ACGACCACACCACAACGCTATCTTGCACTACCCTGCCTCTGCACCCCGCAGAAGGACCAGGCCGAGGCTGACGTGCGTTCATAGCACAGCAGCTCTTGTAAAAATCGTGCGATAGGCTGGGTAGATAGGGGTGAACTTAGCACCCAAAAATGGAGATTTAGTATGCGAGTTTCAAAAAAGACCGCTACCCGAGTCTTAGACCTACCCCCGTGCGGACTTTCATGGCAGAAAAATACTATGCAATAGTTATAGCGTTGTTCCGTGCATAGTCGTATTCCTCGCTAATCATTTCTGGATAGGCGTTACAAAGAGTGTATCTGCCAAGACCACAAATATCGAGTATCGCAAAACTCGGCCCGTCAGATGATGTTTTTCTAAGCATCAATCGCTTAATATCGCGACTTCGGAGGTGGTTCAGCCGGACTACGTGACGCTGTAGCGGCTTTGTGGAATGGGTTCAGCACAGCGTCACAATCACAAGTAATGTTGTGAATTAAGTATCCAAGCATGCGCTGTTATGGGCAGGGGCCTATAGAAGACTGCCGCCACCGAACTCAACAAAACCATTCGTCTCGGCAATCATCGAAACTTTGTAGGCGAATCAAAGGCTATTCTCCTTCCAAATGTGCGTTCCGGGAAGAGGCGCTGCTTATCTCGGCCTGACCTTTGGGAATTTATTCCACCTAATCACATGGATTACGCTGCACACCGCAGAAACGGATAATTAGCATTGACTTATTGACTGCGAAATCATTCTCATTCTCGATGTGTGCAGTAGCTGTTGGATTGACACGGGCGAAAGTCTTTTGGTTACCTTGACTTTTGAAAAGAAAAGACAAAAAGAAGCATGGCTTCGCTTCGCTTGACGTAAAATTACCGTGCATCGATACTCGTACCTGATGCACGAAACCTTTTGACCACGACAAGTAATATGGTGCTAGCATACTGCGGAGATTTGCATTGCATGATCAAGGAGTGGTCAAGCAAGCGCTCGAAAAAGAAAGAAAAAGAAGCGTTTTGGCGACAAGCGAAATCTGACCTGCCCATTCTGAACACAACTGCTGATCCCTTGGGCTCTTGCCTGATTCCTGGCTGCTGCAAGTATGACGCCTAGTAAACCGTATTTAGCCTTCGTCGTCCGTGAACCGTAGGATCCATCCCAACCTAGAGTGGCCCCAGCCAGACTGCAGTGGTTCATCAAAGTTTCAAGGTTCGGCCTCGGGAATCCCCGCCAGCTCGAGCCATTGCGCTGGGATTTGGACCACCTGTCCCCATGCCCAATCCGTCGAAAAGTCTTGGCGTACTGGCAAGGTACAGCGCAATTGAGCATTGGAATTCCACTGGTTATTTCTGGTGGAATGCAGTTTTGTTATCTTATTCGAAATATCTTAACGCAAGCATCACTATGCATGGCCTACAAGCACTAACATTTAACGCTCTGGAGTATGCTTTTTGCATGACTTGAAGGGCAAAAAAGGAAGCAGCGGTGTGGAGGACAGCAGACGAGCTACCTCGCACTACAAGCGGGAGTGGAATGTGGCAGGGAAGAAGAAAGCTGAGTGCCAAACCTTTGGGACCGCCATGGACGAGCCACCCGCAATTTCGAGTCTGATCTGTCATCTGAGCCCAAAAGCTCACTTGCATACGCAGCCGAATCTGGGATGTGTGTGTGAGGTGCTGCAGGCTGGCACACACCAATTATCGTCGTCTTTTGTTTATCGCATAGTGTTGGTCTAATCCAGGAGAGGGAAAAAGACTTTACTGACTCCGTGCCCTCCGTTGATTCATGCAGGCTTGCCCCTGCGACCATTACGGTGCCGGTAACTCTCTCCAAGGCTTGACGACTAGACTACTGTAAAGTACTATTACTCTCCATCTCTATGTAGCATGCAGGCAATAATCAAGCGCAATATTAACGTCAAGTGGGCGCGGCTGCATAGTGTCAGCACCAAGGACTAAACGAGAAAAGTACCTCAATCTTATGTTGGCAGCAGCATCAGATTACAAGGTTCTGACTGACAACGAAGCAACACGGCCGCATTGCAAGCCAAAAAAAAAAAAAAAAAAAGGCGTCCCCCCGATCCAACGAGAGCAGAGTCGAATCAAAATCTGTTTAGCAAAACACATCGTTTGTCACTCCATCCTAAAAATCATTTACCTGTCAGCCCAAAGGATTCTTGAGTTGACGAGCACATGAGATCACACCTCTTTGAATAACCTTCCGCCGCGCCTGTTCTAGGGCCAGCGACCGTGTCCAACAATTCCTATCCGAGGAATACACCACAACGGTCACTTTAAGCGAGGCACAGGTGCCTCCTCTGCTCTCGCTATCAATCTGAAAAAAGATCTTACCAACATAAACCAATTTCTTTACCCGCCAGGCTTGAGAATAGGTAGAACAAGCCGTATAGGCATCCAACAACTTGACATCCTCACTTTCATCACGACTTTCGAAGAGCTCTTCACGGGTACTTCTTCCTCAAAACAAAACCAATATTGAACGCTAGATACAACTATCAGCGCATCTTGTTATTATTGTCGTTTTTTCTTGTTGTTGTTTACTACGAACATTCCTAAAGTCTCAGAAAACTTGGAGTCTGGAATCTCCAATTTGTCCTGCCCACTAACCAACGAGCTTGGTCCTGGAAAGCAGTGTAGGGAATTCAACAGACGGTGCCGCAAAAGGTAATCTAGCTCACGAGGTCATCCCATCACTCAGCTGAGAATAGCGACTTACGATCAGACGACGGGATACCCACAGTATATACAGGGGACCACGGAGAATACCTACCTTTTGGACAAGTCGGCTACCGTTGATAATTTGACAGCTGCAAGCGTGCATTGGTACGGGTACGTACAAGCTGCATTGCACTTTCAACTGGAGACCAAATCATCTTGGATCACTCAGCTGCGGCCCGGGCTGCGGCCACCAGAGACCCGTTCTGACGGGTTCCGGGATTAGACGCCTCAGACCTTGACTTGATTGGAACAAGATCCGCCCTCACGCGAATTTCCCTGAAGACGTCCCGCAATTTGGACCTAGCCTAGCATTTGCAGCCTGGCTTTTACTGGGTCCCCGACCATCAGAAGCCCCAGAGACTCCAGAAGCCCATAGGCCCCAGGGTGCCCTGCATCTTCTGACTTACAGTACATCATCTCCTGGCATTTACAGCAACGCAACGGCGCTTCCAACCGTTTGTACCACTCACCCTTTCATGTTCTAACATCTCGCATCTTCATCTTCTATCTTTCAACACCACCTTCCCGCACTTTAGTCATTGGTCCTTCAATCATCCCAAGCAAAGCCCGGTTTATCTGGCTTGATGAGAGTTCCCTACCCGTACACTTCGTCTCACCTGCATATTCTCTGACTCGACAACCCCACTGTCCACTCTTTCTTCCACCTCATTCTTCAAAGCTTCTCGAAGACGAGGGGTCAAAGAGAGCGCTGCCAGGGAGAGAGGGCTTCGTCATACTAAATCGACATCCATGATCGGTCATTGGCTAGCAGTTTAGCGGTCCCAAGGAGACGTCTTAGTTCTGTGAAGCCGACCACTGAAAGGTCTTTCCGACCTAATCCACCAAATATCTGACAAGCCATCGGTCAGTCTATCGCGGGCCACAGACGAACCCGATCAACAACTCCACACGGTAGTCAGAGGAGAACAGGTGCGTTTTAGTAACCTCTGGTGTGACTAAGAACCCACACTGCTTCCCGACTCATGCCCCTTGGTCTCGTTCGGGGACCTGGGAGGCGCGTCTCAACCCTCGACACAGAGCTCGACCGTGGCAAGCGTCACCACTGAAGCATCTTGGGTCGCCCTCACTCAGGTCAACATAACAGCTGCATCCGTTTGGTTCATTTGTTTTTTGGTTGAGAAGGTTCCTGTGGTCACGCTCCTCGCTATTTTCTGTTACTTCACCTATTGTGACGAACACAACTTGTTGATTTCGAGTGCAGTAAGACAAGCAGCGCTGGCCATTTAGATAGTCACGTACTGTCTTGTATGTCTAACGTCCATCCAAATCGGTTATGTTTGACGCCACTTGTCTGTGTGCTGCACGGAATTAGAAGAAAGAAGAAAAAAGGGAAGAAGAAAAAGGGGAAGAGGAAAAAAAGGGGGGGTGGAAGCGCTCATGCTTCTGTTTGCGACTACAAGTTGTTATTCAAATTCGGCATTTGCTTTCTTTCGTTATTTCATGCCGAGAATGGCGTCCACGTCACATCGCCGTCTATAAATTCCACATGTCTAATTTTACTTGGCTAACTTTGGTGTTCTAGAGGCTCCTCGTTTGCTGCAGCCCCCAAGGGATCTCCCGTCCCAGACTTGCTTATAGACTCAAGGTACTCCCCGGTACTTCCAATCTGTCCCCGCTGGGCCCTGGTACGGCTAGCCCCGCTAGGCTACATTCTACTTGTACCCAAAATTCTCGTTCCACCGCCCTGCTCAGTGCTGAGTGGCTCCTCTCCACCGTTGCTACTACCACTCACTACCTACACCCCTTCTGCCACTCCAAGTCAGGGCTCTCAACCGCCTGCGCATTTAATTAGTGCACAATCCCCCTCCCCCCTTCAACTACATTCAAGCTCTCACTTTGGACTTTGGTCGACCAACTCAAACAAGTTGGGTCTGCCCTTCTGGTGGTTAAAAGGTTGGTGTTCGTGACTGGACTCTTTCAATCATTTGTTTCACCATACTCATTCTTTCCACCCACGTCTACTTATCAACGAAACAAAACCAAGGTCCCCGAGGCTCTACACAACCGTGGACTGACTTATCCAGTGGAAGTTTCTTGCTGGGTTTAATTTGGGTTTGCAGCGCGAGCATTAGATCATTCGCTCGATAAAGCGCAAGGGACGGGCCGGCGCCTGCAGCTCGGCCTTGAACTCGACTCTTCAGTCTCTTTCGTTTTACTGCTAGAAACGCAAAGTTGAACAGGCACGCCGTGTTAGAGTGCGTCTCTGGAAACTGGCGCCCTTTAGTATTCGTCCACGTAGCATGGCGGAAGACCATCGCAGTAGGGGACCGTCTAGAAACGATCAGCATCACGAGTCCCAGTATCCCCCACCTCCAGGAGAGGAAGACGACCGTTCCAGAGGTATTCCATATCACCCACGACCACAAATGGCGTCAGGAGCAGTCACTCTCCCGTCCATCCAGGACCCAAACGGACCTTACGGTCCGCCACAGGCGAGAGGTTGGGACTCCCGCTCAGGTAACTACAGCGGCTCGCCGGGCTCTACAAATGGGTACCCAGCGCCAGGGAGTCAGGGAGGATACTCTCCTCCCAGCAGCTCATATCCGCCGCCTCCGAATCAACAATACTTGCCACCTGTCCAGCCTCATCCGGTAGACTCAAGAGCTAACTATCCTCCTCCTCCTCCTCCGGACCCCCGGGGTCCGCAATATTACGCACCGCAAAGACCGCCGTACAACAACGCAGATAACTATGGGTACGCATACCGCCCGGATCGTGGCCCACCAGGTTATGAGAACTACCAGGGTGGCCCGCCTGGCTCTATGCAACACCAACAGGCTGCACCAAGACAGAGAACGTCAATTGCTTGTAGGTATTGCAGAAGGAGAAAGGTATGACCACACTTGATGTATCATTGACAGCAAGCGTGTCTAATTAATATCTCTGCAGATACGGTGTAGTGGTTACCAAAACTCTCCAGGCGGCAAATGTACCAACTGCATCAAGATGAACCAAGAATGTGTTTTTCAACCAGTCTCGTCAGCCGCGTCTACAGCATTTGTTCCAGTGTCTGCTCTTCAGAACATTCCTCCAGGCACGCAGCTGTATGGGTCATATGGACAGCCACTAAATCAATCAACCCCAGGTCTTCAGCCTGGACCTGGTGGGCCATACCAGACTGCAAACGCTCAGTACGATCAACCGCTTCCATCGCCTACGGGTTCGTTCGGAGGTTATCCCGACGACAGGTCGGAAGCGGGTAGAAGGCGGCAAAGACCCCCTGAAGATGACCATCATGCGATGCGTCTACCACCGCCAAGTACGTTCCCAGACGACAACGTCAGAAGGAGATCACCTTCTTCGAGCAGCAGTCCCAATCACTTGGCTCCGTATGGGCAACTGCCAGTCCAGGCTGGGCAACAGGTTGGATATGACAATCGAACGCCGCCGCCTCGAACCAGTCCTTCAGGCCCTCCAGCAAGCGGGGCGTCTGCAAATTCTGTTATGAAGCTAGGCAGTATCATGGACTCGGCGTCCAGCAATGATATTGATCGTGGTATGCTAGGCAGGCTCAATCAGAGGAAGAAATAGGCTTCTAGGCTTTCTTCTTTTTCTTTTTTCCCCGCGTATAGGAACTGTTACCACCTTAAAACCTTTCTCCAAGGAAACACGTCACGGCGGCAGAGTAATACTGCTGGACAGTTGGCTCTACTGATATTGGGCTCGATGGAATTTGGTTCTAGTGGTTCTCTACGTTGACTAATGTTTTTCCTAATCTACGATTCAACGACACAAAACAGTCGCCAGCCAATCGTCGGCTGCGTCGAGCGAATGGACGTCAATGACCCCTCGCTCTTTACGGTTTATGTTTCAAGGGGATTTGTGGTCACGACTTAGATTTCTCCTCGTTCGGCAACGAACAATCAGCGCGTATATCCATTGCTTTTTCCGGCGGTCGTTGCAGTATTTGGGAGGTTCGTTCATGTCGAAATAGTCGTTTTCGGGAGCGCAGAGAAAAAGATGGGCGTGCCTCGCGGCAAAATTGGCAAACAGTGCATTACGTCGGGCATTTTGGTTTACTCGTCGGTCGGTGGTAAAATAGGGTATCGTGTTCAGTCGGGATTTGCACCAAGAAGTTCATGTCGGTCATGAGCAACGTGCACTCGGTGATCGAGTGAAGGGTAACGTAGAGGATGGCCTTTTATTTTAAGAATGAAATTGTGAAGTTTGTGACAAGGACATCATGGTGCCTACCATGTCGGCTTGTGCGTTCGTAACCCTCCTGACATGCTATACTCGCAATGGCCGATATCAAGTTCGTCGTTCGTGTCTTGTCCCGAAGCATGGGCCAGCAAATAATAGGAGGTACCATGTTCAATCATAGGTAGCGGCATTCTCTGGGGGAGTCCCCAAGGGAGGGATGTCTTAGATAGAGAGCATGAACAGTGGGTCAGAAGTGGGTGCCCATTGCTCTGTCAGCTCACCTCAAACATGCCTTTGTGCCGAATGATGTGCAGCAGCGCGTCGGAATGCCTTGCCCGGAGTCATGTCGAGGTGGTGCTAACGTCGACGGCACCAACTCGTAATTACACGTTAGCAGCGGTATCCTGGCGACTTTCGAACCGAGGATAATCGATCGCACCCAGGAGCTGTTTGCGTGGTGAACATGTCCGTGCCTTCTCTCTTTTTTCCTCCTCACAAGGACACTATTGCTAACACCCGAGAGAGGGGTTCGCTCTCGGCCAAGTAGAGGCGCACAGGAAAATTCTATCTTGAGGTCTTTCTTTTAGTTGACGTCGCACTGGGTGACGGAAAACTAAAAGCACCACTGAACAAATGGCTACCATACCGTGAGTTGGATGGCTTTAAAGTCAAAACCGATCCCCTCCTATTAAGCAGGGGACCAATTACCGCCTCCTAAGTCCAAATGCGCCGGTACCTATCGTGAGCTAATATTACCCAATACTAGCAACTTCCCATGATCATCACTTGGAGATGGTGAGGCCAACATCGAACCTTTGGGACTTGATCCTTACTGGCGAGCCTAAATTTTTGTGTGCTTGGGAAGCTCTCACGGTCAAGGGTGGGCGAAACTTATCAAGCGGGAACAAGCGTGGTGAGCGCCGGGACGTTTCGGTTCAGTAGTTCCATGGTTCATGGCTGTTCTGGCGACGGTGTCCAGACCCTGGACGACGACCACCCCTCCTTCTTTTGGCGCTGACTCCAAGCGATCTGACAACATGACCACTGGTAAGGCAGCGTGCTGACGGATCGCTGGCTTGGGAAGCCCGCAAGCAACCCATGTCCATTGCTGATGAGCAGGACCGAGTTATCATTTTGCCAGTGTCCAGTCTTTCTACGTTGCGTGAACTGTTATCCCATGATTCGCGCTCAGTCGTCGGAAAGGGGCGTTTGTCTGCCACTGCTTCTAACCGCTTTTTAATCGGCGCCGGTCACCACAATACATCTAACGTCGCGGATGGCAAACCGGCAAGCAGCGTTTGGTAAGATCGCGCAACTTCGAGGTACATCCCAAAGCATAACAGCGAAATCGCGGTTGTGGAGATCGTGTACCGTCAATATTCGATCAAAATTGTGCTAAATGAGCCAAAGGCACATCAAAGGTAGCGTCATTTATCCATTTTTGCTGACATGTACCAATTTCACAACCGTAGCGAGAACCCATGTCATTGAAAATCTGTCTATTCCGGGGGGTATTTTCGCAAGAGACTTCTAGTGGACCAGACACATCATGATACAGCTGATGCTTCAATGTGCTCATCACTTCCAACTGCCTATTGACTAGGCCGTAAGCATGGCCCCTCGGATGGGCTGCCCATAGTATCCTCCAGACTGCCCCCCCGTGCTCAACAAGGCTCAAGCCACTAATTGCTGGTTGACAGGAAGCAGCATCACAAAGCACAAAAATATCTGATAAAACTCTCCATATGTATTCTTACAATATCATATTCGATCACGTTTCCCTAGCTATCAAATCTACTCGTCTCGTTCATGGTTAGGTCAGACAATATACTATGAGACCTCATGGCTCATCTTTCCTCCTCATTGAGCAGATTGGGAACGCAAGTGATATCCACAACTTTCGAGGTGGTTGGGACGTGCAAACTATCACAGGCTGACAATTTAACCACGCAAGACTACAGTTTCGACTCGGCGACCAGTCGAGAAGTATCCGTGGAATACCACTTTCCATGACTCGCGCTGAAATTCAGCATTCTGACTCATAAATTTCGAAAGAGTCAGCCCAAACAAGAAGCAGGTGTCGCTACAACATACCCTGATATTATGATGCTAAAGCCACTGAGATGGCCTGGCAATCCATCGCCCAGCTAATTACAGCAATACAATCTTCCCGCTTCCCAATCCAATATTTATTATTGGCTTTGATTGGGGGTTTTGACACAGTAGACCTCCAACGCAAGGTATGTATTTCTCACAAATAAACTCCAGTTTCTCATTTCGAGTAATATAAAGACATAAAACAATCTCATATCACGACTCTGAATATCTCCGATAAAAGTTAAACCGAATCGAACAGAAAGTGGTGTTACACCTTTTTGTCCATCGACCCGATTCTTGACACTAAATTCTTAAGTGATGATTATTAAATGGCAGTCAAACCTGTTGCAGCTCACAGATTGTTACGGCGCCTGTGCCATTAGAAAAACATGGGATCTAATTATTGACAAACAAATACATATCACTTATATCCTTCTCCTGAAAACAGGAAATTTTGTAAATATATATATATAAAGTTCTCATTCACTCTCCGAATGACTGAAACGCTCGCTTCACCAATTCAACCCCGAAGTATTTTCACTTATCTCCATGGTTTGATAGCAGACGGAGAGGCAGCAAACCTCTTCTGGACAGCAGCTGAGGCGATTACGATAGCATTTGATTCTATCCCAGCATCTATTCCGCACTGACTTCCTTCTGAGTTCATAGAGATCGTAATTCCTTTTCCTTCGTCTCAGTTGATCCTACGGGAAGCCGTTTCGAGGCATGTATTTATTCTCAGATGGATATGCCGCTGAACTACCGTGTCAAGACTGGGTAAGTTACACTTGGGCGACATTCAAATCGTCAATTAGGGGATAGATACGGAACCCGCGTGTTCACAACTGTGCCTGTCAAGCAATAGGTGTGCAGGCAATCGGGACCAGTCTGCCGGCAATTCTGGATGGACCAAAAAGAGGAGGTTGGTGAGTCCCGCATTCGTGGGACTGAAGACTAATTATCATGTTGATATCATTGTTCTGAAGCAAGACAAGTGCCCCTGGCTCCGATCTGGGGGCGGGAAGGCGTCAGCGTTCGACCTCGAAGCAAACAAGGTTCCTTGCCATGTCCGGGATTCTTTTCCTCCCTCAGTACGCTGAAAGCTATTTACTTATTTATTGACGAGGGTCTTGTGCTTTATTCGCGAATGGTTTCCTCATAAATTGGTGAGAAGGTTTTGGTAAGAACCTTTTGGGCGGTTTTTGGTAACTAGTTAGGGGATGCGGATGTAATTACATGGTGATTATGCTTCACGGGTACTGCTCATACACAGTAGCAAGCAGCTCTCGGCTAGTAAGATAACTTTGAAGAACGTGAGGCGTTGGATGTCTTGGAAATATGGCCGAGATTGCGGGTGTAGGCGAGAGAGAAACTCTCCATTGCGGCTCCAAACCTTGTTCGCCGATCGTCGGTGCGCTGCCTCATATCTCGCCACCAATGCCGCTCAGAAGAACGTGCCAAATCCTGCCATTCGTACCATCATATAGAGCATCTCGTATATGGGTTGAGGGGAGCAACCAATCCCTAGGGCTGTCGACACGGACATGAAGGTAGAGAAAAAAAGCGATGTACAAATTGCGAGACATCGATTTCACGGGATCCAGGTAAGATCGGCCCTTTTGTCCAATAACCTTGAAACACGAATTTGGGGGGGCAGTAATTTAACGGGGGTTTCTGTATACGAAGATGTTTACGCATATGATCCAGAAATAGCCTCGGACAGCTTGGGCAAGGTTTGCAGAGTGTCCGAATTTTTGCTGCTGTCCGTGAACTGTACAATTATCATGAGCATGTCGGCAGTGCTTTTTTGGTATGCGAGAACTCATCACACAGTCCACTACTGACGTCGAGGTTGGTTGCTTTACTCTCTCGTGATCTCCTCCGTCATGGGGCGTGTATGCGCTCCGGATCGATATCGTAATAGCCACCAACATTGAGACTTGAGTTTCAAGTGAGAAGGCTGATCAGTTTTGGGGAACTCAACGGAAGATGTATATTTGGTGCTGTATGTGCTAGAAATTGGATAGAAGATTGTGATCGTGAGCCTAGCGGTCGTATTGTGTTCATATGTCGTGTCAAAATCCAGATGGTTCAACCAAATTCTGCGTCGCAACCATACGAGCCCCAGGATGTTACGCAGTTGTTTGGGAAATCGCATAGTATTCTCCAGCCCGCCGAACCAACTCGGGATATCGAAGTAAAATCTGTTGCTCGGACGTGATTCTTGAGGCTTGCCGTATATTCATTCCAGAATGTTGATGGTCTAGTTACATCCCAGCCAAATACGCAGACCTGATTAATTATCACCAGGAATATCACATTGATTGTGAAGAAATATCGTTACACACATATTAGATGCTGAAATTCTCTAGCACACATAACAGAGTCGATTGATTCACCACGAGGTTCCAGCGAGGCAGTCACCCCTATGCATCTTGAATGTGGTAATCAATTCTGATAAATAACTCCAATACAATAACCTGACTTTTCCACTAGGGTCTATCTAGATTTCGTAATCTCGTGATGTAGTGTTTTCTATTGCCCATTACCGATTGTCCGTGGTTGAGACAACCCGATCTTTGAGGCGCCAAAGACCTGTTTATATGTTGACCCAAAATCTACCATGATATGCTAGGCATCTCTGCGATTTTCCCGCAAGTGTGTAATTTCAATGTTCAAAAGACATTTCCTCCCTAAGAGTAATCTCACCTGCTGCACTCCTTTTCAATACGAAGCATCTCTCGGCATATACTCCTTGCGCATTTTGTGTCCTCCATGCCTCGCTCAGTCGGCGTACCATATGTTGCTTCCAACCCCCAACATTAATGGTAATCGACCGCCATGATACGCCCATCTTCCCCCTCACTAGAGCCCTGAAATTCCGCATCGCTGCTTCGTAGTCACGGTCGACATCGGGATGAACAACCTCTAACGCACGTAGTACGGTCTGTACATGCAAAGTCAGGGTGTGCAGTCGAGGGAAGTTGCATATGGCTTCCAGAAATAGTGGCGGATCGCAGTATGCTGTGTCCATATCCAGCTCGAGGGTTTCTAATTTGACCATCTTCTGCGAGAGGGCTGCGAGATCAGCGGGCCATATCGTAGGACATCGCCGGTCCTCATCACTGAATCCAACGTGATCACGGATCCGGAGGTGATGAAGAGATTTGCCATGGTGAAACAGTGCATCAAGTGGGAAGTGTTGCGTGTGACAGGTAAATTCCAAATCCCGGAGAGATCGTATCTTCTTAACTAGGCAGTAAAGGCCTCTTGTTGCTTCTTGTCGCCGATCGGCGGCCAGATGAGCACTAAAGTCGTCGCATTGCAGAGTATGGAGATCGGTAAGGTCTTCGAACGGGACTGATCTCAAGAATTCGAAGATTGGCACATCAATGAGCCTGAGCAGACGGATGCTAGAGAAGTCCCAGTGATCCTCTACCTCGGTCTCTGTATGACCCCAGTCATATGAGCGTAACACCAACTCTTTGAAAGATGGCAATGTTTCGTCTTCTGAAAATGTGAAGTGAGTGCCTTGACCCCTGTCCTGGTAGAAAAACGTCTCGAGGTTCCTTGACCTTAGCAGGAGTTGCTTTAATGACTCGAGCCTATTTGTGAGTGGGGGTGCCGGACTGGCCAACTTCAGAGAAGTTAGCACATTAGATGGTATGGATTTGAAGTAGACATCCTGCTGGTTCGAAGTGAAGTTCCTCAAAGGCAAGTCATCGATATAGAGCTTAGTTTTGTTCAACTGTATATGCCGAGGGCTGAGAACATCCGCGGGCAACCAAAAATCCCCCGAGCAAAAGCCTGCGCCTATATAAGTCCACCTGGAAAAAGAAAACCCGAGTCAGCTAATCAAGTATGTAGACGGTCATCATGAGTGGATGTCAAGTACCTGACGGTTGAAAGTCTCTGTATACGATCTAGTAACCGCTTGATATTTTGTGGATCCAGGTCACTGTTCGCTTGCACATGGCGAGTGTGGACATAGATCTTCTCTAGAGCGTCTGGAATATAGGCCTGCGCTTCAGGAGCGAGTATCCGCTCAGATAGATACAAAAACTTGTATTTGATTGGCGTGACGATGGCGTCAAACCTCCTTGATAGTAGTCGAGCTGTGGCTAGGGATCCAGCATCGACATCACGAAGCTGTAGAATCCAGTAAGCGCAGGGTCTATACACTAGCTGAGTGGAGGGCCGCTAGAAATAACTCACATGCTCAAATATAAGAGCTAACAATTCAGAGCTCAACTCGTTCATAGACCATGGTTGCCTCGACGGTGCAGGATTTGAAACAGCCGCCATTCGATATTTACCATGACTAGCACACCAGTCTAACATCTGGGGAGTGAAGGAAAGTAAAGGGGGTTGGCACAAGACCTGAGTTGGAGCCATCATGACGGTATAGGGCTTTAGTATTGGAAATTGTGCGTATAACGATCTGTCAGATTTAGGGCTCCTTGCAATCGGTCGAGGGCGGATCCAATAAACAAGTTTGTCATCAGGACGCTGGCAGTACCCAGGTGAAACATTCGACGGGTAATAAAGATGACAGCGGCAGCGATGCGGCGGCCAGCAGCAAGGTATACTGTCTGGATACGGGAGTGACCAGGGTGTCCGGAGCGGAGATGAATGTAGTGCAAGGGAGCAAGTGCGCCTCTTCATAGAGGAGACTAAACTGTTTGCGGCGAATGTCACGAACGGGCATTCGTACAGAATTCTTTCTGATCTATGGAGCCATAGAAATGAATGGCTTTCATTCCAGCTTGCCAGTAGTGGAGTAGTCGATGCGGGAGCTGTGTCCGCGCAAGGTTGATCGACGACCTGCCGCACCTTGCATGCATGTGGAGGCTGATGCGGTCAAGAGGCCAAAGGCGGAGGTGAGCCAGACATAAAAGATCTACGGAACTGAAAGAACTGAAGAAGAAGAAGAAGAAGACTACTCGGCGCATACATATTCGTACAGCAAGCATGCCTAAACGAGTCCGGCGCATGAGGAGCTAAAGCCATTGACATGCGCACTCTGGCGTCTGCACGCAACAACAAGACGGGACCAGGAGGGTAACAGACCAGTCGGAACAGCCCGATGTTGTTTATACTCTCAATGGAGACCACAAACAAAATTATGTACGCTACTGGGGGAGCCGGACTCAATCGTTGAAGAGCTCGTTAGTCATATGGGAGCAACAGCCGGGAGTATCCATCCTGACTATTTGGTAGTAACAGGGACTGTGCTTGGGGGTTCATTTTTAACTTGGTGTGATGCTGAGGGCTTTTCGACGAATTACTCTCATTGGTAAGAGCTTGCGTTAGGGTAGGATGAACAACAAGCTGATTTGGGTCCATGTTTCAATCGGCTGGTGAGGCGTTGAGAACGTTTGCTGAGTTGTTTGAGGAACGGGTCATGACCCATTCGCAAAGTTCGCCCAAAAGAGTTGGATCTTTCACGCTGCCGGGCGGTCGGGATTGGATCCACTTGCCCTGTCTGCAGCCGGGTGGCTCCTGCCCGCTACTAGCGTCTGCAGGGGGTTTCAAGGGTTCGCCATGACGATCTGATATTGACAGTGCTGTGCGAGCGGCGGCTTTGGAAGAACCAGAATATGAGATGATGGACTCGCGAGTGATCATCAGATGAAACTGTTTATTTTTAGCAGAAAAGATGAATTGTTCATCAGGTAAAAGTCAGCCACGGCCACAATGCAGTGCATGTGAAACGGAGTTAGTGTTGCTGGTGCTGGTGTTGCTACTACCAGTCGCTGCCAGCAGCAGGAGCTCATGCACGGTATCACATCGTGTAAGTTTGACATCCCATCTCTGGGCTGTGGAATCTTTCGGTGACTGAGCTGTGAGACAATCTCCAAAAGTCTTGAGTGCTTTCGAAATTATCCACGGGGACGCGAAGTTAAACATGATAACCAACCTCTTGAACGTTGTGGATAGTGTATCATCTTCATGTTGGCTCGAGGTTGAAGTCAGCCTGTCAAAATGCAGCGGAGCCACTGGAGACATGTCACAATTGCAGTTCCTGGCTGAACCAATCGCAACCTACGGAGTACCATTCCCAAAGTCTCCAGCAAGGTTCAGCAAAACGTGGCTCGCTGTTGAAATCCCACTTTTATCAGACAGAAGGAATGCAGGTGCTTGCCGAACGTGCAAGGGTCTTTGATTCAATGATGGAGTTTGCCCTGGTTGCGAAATGATGCTCGCCATCGGGACCCTTGGATTCGTTGTTGACCTTGTTCTGTTCTAATTCAGAGAATGGAGATTTCCCTCAGAATATTCGATCGACATGTTCGAGAACGTTTCAAGTAAACCATTTCCATCGCCATCCCGGTTCGGCGAAGGCTGATAGAAGAAGCCCAAAACCCATTCAGCCATGATCAAAATGGTGAAAATATACTATATGAAGTATAGTCCTAGTGACCGTGTCCAGACACGACAGCTAGAATACCGTACGTGAAGCTTGTAGTGGAGGGGTTTTCCTCAGATTAGTGTCAAGCATCTGCGTTGACGAATAGGGCGCTCGGTGAAACCATATGAACATGTTCATCTGATGAGCTGATTCCCACGCATACATAGTAGCGCCTTTTGGAAAGCTAACGAGAATCCGACTGAGTGGTGAGCGGCTATTGACCCCATGTCCCTAGCGCCCGAGAAACGTACCTATCTGGTGGTATTCGATAGTTTGAACGAACTCGCATCCAAGAAACGACAAAGCAGCACTCCTACAGTTATTCCTAGCCACGTGGCTTACCCGTTGTCACAATGCGAAAGTCTAAGGTCATGACCAGCTGCTAAATCCGGAATATTGGCAAATTGCGAAATGGGTGAATGAACTGTGGAAAATGAAAACACTGCATATGCACCAAACACACCCCAGTATACGTGGGGAAGACTACAGTACATGCGGGCAACTTGGCGTGGAACTTGCTTGGACAACCCTCCTCACATCCAGCATGGGACTATTGAAAGGAAGACCGTGTTCGCTGCTTCACGCACTGCCAGCCTCCCTCTTACGGCCGTCGAGCTGGCACTCGCAGCATTTTTCAGAACGAAATTCGAGGAACCGAAGAGCCTAGAATCCCCGCCATTGACTACATACTTAGCTCCGGATATACTCGACCTAAAAATGCGAACGGCCACCCAATCGCATCTACTGTGTATTGCCGGCCCGCGGTGATACACAATAGCGCTGCGCGTAGCTGCGCGCCCTGGTTGACGTGTTCGTCTCTTCTCTCTACTTTTACTCCTTCCAGGATAACGCATCGAAAAGCTGACATTGCCGGAGGGCACCAATCGCTTCTTCGACGGGCTCGATGCCGGGGCTCGCAATGGTTACCCGTTATCATCCAATTTCGTGTGCGCATCTCGGTTCGTGGATCTTGTGATGATGTCGAGCAAGCTTGAGGGCCCCGTAGACTAACTAAGCCAGTTCGCAACCCTAACCAGTGTTTCTTAGACAGCACTAACCTAAAGCTGTCGTGTACTTAGTGCAGCATGCTTCAGTTTTATACTCGAAAACATGTATGCAAAGATCAGTGCGAAACATACAGGAGGGTTAAATCGCGGCTCAGTCATATTCTGCTATCTAGAAGAAGTGGGATAGGAGATATGAGGGGGTCCAGACTTTGGGCCATCGAAACTGGCCCGCTAATGGGATCCTGCATCTCGTTCGCCCTGGTGGACTGTCGACACAGATCTGTGCAGGATTCCGCATAGGGATACCTACTCAGCAGCATGTCACTAATGTAAGACCAAGCGCTCACGAGGGTGGCAATGGTCTAAAGATACAATCCAAGGCTTTAATGTCACGGCCAGTCATGAACGGTGGGGGGGCCTTCCTGCTCTGCAAAGAATAATCATATTTGCTGATATCGGGATATCTCATGTTCCAAACTCCAACTCCTAGCTCTCTCAAAACAAACATCTTAGAAAATCGACTCGCTTGAGACTTACACTATGACTGGTTTATTGGCTCGTCGCACCGACGAGTAAAGTCACTCTAGGATGTGCACAACAAGCACAAACCTCATAGCTTTGTGCTCAAATCTCGACACCGAATCGGATTGAGTTTGGTGTTCCTAGTACCGATAGATGGGCTCCTTGCTTTTCTGCGGCGTGACATCGTACAGCTCCTCATCGTCATCTTTGATCCCCGAAAGTCGCGACGGATCTTGGGGCACAGCTCCATGCATTGCCTCCTTCCCGATGGCGCTATCCTGTCTTCCCAAGTAGCTTGGCGTAGCATTGAAACCTGGGTGGAAGGGTTCGTAAGCAAGTCTCGGCTCGTCGTCTGCAAATTTGGAACTGCCAAGCCCAGAGCCACCAGCACGTGAGCCAGAACCTGTGGGCTCCGGTGCAGGGTCCCTGAAGGGGTCATCCTCTAGCCCAGGAGTATGCGTTCGCGACGGACCTGCGATGCTATCATCGTACTCCCGCTCCTTGCCCTTCCCAACCCGCTTAGGGGGAGGCATGGGCGGCGCTTCATACTCATCTGAGTCATCGTACGTTGGTCGGTGTGGCGATGGTTGCCGTGAAGACCCAGCTCCGTTCGACACGGGCACCGGTAGAGATTCGGGCAACGGCTCAGCTGGTGCACCCACACCGGCCTGTTTCCTGGCTTGTAGCATAGCCCTCTGATGCAAACTCAATGCAGCCTGAAGCTGCTCGTTGGTGTCGATTAGGCTTTCCATGGTCTCGTTGTCAGGACCTGGGTTTTCGGTTGCCATGTAACCTTGAATACTTCTGCTTGCACTTGTGCAGCGGTCTGCGAACTCCTTCATAAAGTCATTGTTCAGAACCTCACTAGGCGGCGTGTTTGTGACAGCCTCTTGAAGCAGCTTGGCTGATGTTCGCGCTTCCTCCAAACGACTAGCCAGCTCGACAGGTTCTGGAAGTTGTCGGTTCGAGTGACTTCGCGCGAAGTAGTTCTGCGAATGAGAATCTGGCCGCGGGCCATTTGTCATCATTGGCGGTTGTTGTTGCTGTTGAGGTTGAGGTTTCCACTTCAATAGCACTTTTAGCATGAGAATTTCTACATGAAAGAAGCGATCTCATCTTACCCCTCCCTTTTGCGCCTTGTCCTTTTCTCTCCTCCACATATCGATGAGAGGAGCCAGTCCCTCGTCTTGCGACTTGGTGTTCTCAAAAGCGTTCAAGGTCTCCATCAAGAGTTGCAACACACTCGGATCGCGGTGACTTTTAAGCGCCTCCTTCATAACGTCCACGAATTTCTGATCCATATTCCTGGTGAACGTTGGGCCGGGGTTGTCGGTGAGAATCCGCATTAGCATGATGGCGTTGTATTGATAGGATGCTTTCGACCAGTTGTCCCTTTTCAAGTACTTCCTGATAAGCCGCGCACATTCTGCAGCTGCCTGTGGTGACGATTCGGCGGCATCGACAATCGACGGTAGGTATGTGACTTCATCGCCAGCGCTGTTCGGTCCTCCTGCTGATTCGCAGAATGCTTTCTGTTGACGACTGCCATTAGCTGCGTCCGGGGCCAATCAAAGAGAGGAGGGCTTTAGGTGTATGGCCATAGCTACAAGCTATGTATGCAGATTCAAATAGACGCCGAAGAAGTGCGCATGTTGGGAACAAACATACCACGCATTGCGATGCGGTGGCTTCTGGGCTACCATTCTGTGGATCAACCTCGCTGCCTACCAGAAGGCCAAACGTTAGTTATTCATTCAGCCTTATAGCACCTAGGTTAATCCAGTCGTATGCATCGCATCTTAGGTAGTCATACCGCTTCCGCTCCCAGCCTTCCTCCGGACAGCACCAAACATCTTGTTCATCCTAAGTGACTTCATCGCGTTCAGTTGCTCCTCGGTGCTCGAGTCAGCTTGGCCGCCCAGTCAGGGAGGAAATTGTCGTCTTTGTTTTGTCCCGGGCTCTCTTCGCAATCGACACAGGGACTTGTTGATCCGCCAGGGGTTTAGCGGCAACCAAGAATGGCTAAGGTACTTTGGGGATGCAGTAGGCAGAAGTATAAGGCAGAACCGTGCTGTCGCGCCTTTCAATACTGTAGTAACGTTGAGTGACCGACGACTCGGTGCCGGAAAGTGACAGCTCTCTGTAGGAGAAAAAGTGTCCGGTGCTTGACAAAGTGAGTCGCGCGACGGCAACCTGAAGTTCAGGCGCGTTTGCCAGCTCCGTTTTATGAGGGGAACAAGGGTCCTGTGATCGACGTTTAGAAGGGGCAGCGCTAACCTTGACGGTTCAAGGCATGCGGGCAGTGGTCTTCTGTCAACAGTTTCTTAGGGCCGTCAGTCTTCAGCTGGCACTCGACAATAGATACCAGACGCTTAGTTTTAAGAGCGCTCAGACGACTTTCCGATAGACCCGATGCTGTTTCTTGAAGAATCACCTAAGGCCTCCTGTCCATGGTTTTATTTTTTGTTATTTGCTGCGCCGCAATCGTCGTGGACGGAAAACAGTCCGCTTGACATATATGGTTAGATCGAAGGCAATCACTGGTGGCTTTGGGTAGTGCACCAACAACTCATTATGGATTAACCTAGGTTACGAAAGTTGTGCCAATTGTGTGTTGCGAAATATTACCATGAAGTCCCTTTGTAAGAGTTCTGCCTATTACTGGGCCACATACAAATTTTGGAGGGTTCGCTGTGCAGAATGCCAAGCCTATACATGTTCATTACATAGGAAAAACTTGATAAGCACTGCAGCCTGTGACCTCCAGACCTCTCTGGGTCGATGTGCCCTCTTCCTTTGGCGGAATTAGATATGCTTGAAGCCTTGAAAGCCACCCACGCAACCACGGCAGACGGTGGTGAGCCTACTCTAGCCAAGACACTTATGAACTTGCACAGCCCCAAGCTTCCACGCAAGCGGTGGTATTCGTCATGGACACAAAGGCATGGTGCTGACATGCTCATCAATTACATCTACTCCCATCTAAATGAGCCCTTGACTACGGTTGGATGGTACAAATAGTGTGGTCTTTATCAACGGGAACCGCTATACCGTACTTTAGCAGGGGCCCCCACATACTCGGTCAGAAGAGCTAGCTGGATATCAGAAGAGCTTCCCAGGCTCATGAAGGTTCAGTAATGACATGTAACCGCAAATCTAGCGACTTTCTTGATGGAACGCTGGCATGCTAAAATCTGATTTATTCCTCGGCAATACGTTTGACTCGATTTTATGTATCCGCAACGATGCACCACCTTGATTGACTGCTTGCGTGGCATCCGAGGTGCGTTCTGTCCGCCGCAGCAGGGTGACGTATCTAAGTAAGTATCTTGCGGCGTTGAAGGCAGCTTCTCGGTGCCTGGGATCCTGGCGATTGGCGCGTTTTGGTCACAAGCGATCTATGGCCTCGAATTTCAACAAGGCGATATCATATAGGCAACGTCTTGATGAGCTCTATTCCTGCTTCACTGGAGTTGTGACGCTATCTAACGCAACAGGTAGCGTCTGATCCTCATCCGTCAGTCGATTTGCGGTCCTCTGTGGCGATGAAAGCCTAGGCGTACTGTCATCGTAAACCCCAAGCCAATCTACCAGAGCCTTGCCTATCCAGACGCATTTTTCGTCCACGGCTCTCCAGTAGTAATCCGCAGCAACGGTCGTCAAGGCTAGTGTTATAAGAAACATGCTATAAAAACTTAGACCTTGGGGCCAACCGAGAGACTTGGTCAAGTAGTGCATCATTATAGCTCCTGGCCATAAATAAGCCATCCAGTGAAGCAGATAAAAAGAGAAGCTTATCTCCCCTAGGTATAATATCGGGGTTGTCGAAAGCAGCTGTTGCACTGACGGCAGATTTTCAACGGCAGTCAGCATGCCGACTGCTCCGATGGTTGACCAGAAATACGCAGTCGTGTGGCTCCAATGGTCGCCCTTCCGCCACTCCAGTGGCACAAGCTTCTCCAACGAGTTGAATGGTTCGATCCCCTGAGCCCCGTTCGAAGGCCAACCAATGACAAGCATAGAGAATAGAAGAAGGCATATAGTCAGAGTGTGAGTAGCAGACTGTGGAATTGTGAATCTTATCGCGGTCGGGAGATCGCTCGATAGCGGGCTGTATCGCAGCTCGGCGAGGAACATGCCAGAAAGGAAGCAGAACATGTCACCACTTCGCGTGTGTAGTGCCCAGAAAGCCGAACCTCCGACCACGAGTTTTCGAGCTCTTGTAGTCAGCCGACATGTCGCGATGCATACCAAGAAGACGATCATCGAGCCACGATACTCTACAGCAAGCGTCCAGCAGTGGTTGAAAGAAGGCGGCATGTATTGTTCAAAGGTAAACGGATTGAACAGAGGCATGGCGATGCCGACATATCCCCATAGAAACTCCAGAAATGCCGGGTCGCTGTCACGCCACCGGCCTGGATGGAACGACGGATAGTTCCAGGTCGCGAAACAGGTCAGGAAGATCAAGGGGATTGCTGGTGCAAAGAGGCGGACGCCTCGCCGCAAGATCGAGGAGCAGAGCCCAGTCAGAAGATCACTGTCCGACGACGGAGATGAAGCATTATTGATTTTTCGTAGCGGAGAATAGGTCAACACAAAGCCTGAGAGCACGAAGAATAGCGATACCATGCCTTCTCCGGCGTAGATAATTCGTACGATGGGTAGTTGTCCGACGCCGCGGTTCTCTGGGGCTGGGTCGGTGCCGAAAGCGTTGTTGTGGTTATGGGACTCATCCCAATAGTCGGTGATGTGTCTGATGAAGACGATGATGCATGCCACGCCACGAATACCATTCAGGTAAGACGTTGATGACTTCTTTGGTAGTTGTCGGTTTGTTTTCCTCAGCGCTACTGCCACGAACCACGGCAGCATAGACCACCACCATTCGTTCCGCCGTATGTTCTCGTCTCTATGATTTTGAGTTCCTTCTTCAATCGAGTCTGTTTGTGGGGCATGTAGGGGAATTTGATGGTATTCAGCTTCCGTTTTCGCAAAGAGTAATTTCGGTAGAAATAACATAATTGACAGTCTGCGAAGCATACTGTAAGCACATGGTTGGGTATACTCTTATACTCTTAGCTCAGGGAACGTGTATGTCACATCGCGAGTACAGTACGGGTCGAACATACCGGACAGACAGCGAAGTCAGAGTCTATTAATACAGTACATATAACTTGAGCTGAATCGAAGATAAATTCAGGTCTAGGACCGTGTCTCACCTTGAACTCCACCCCACGAACAGTCTTATTAGTCTGCCATTGTGAACGTGACATGCTCCGCGTATGTGTATAAGACATTGACCCACACCATAACATTAAAATCTGCCCCCATTGTGCTTATCTGGGTCTTTCGAAGTTTCGGTAACACGGTTCCTGGCACATGAGAATTTCCCATCCGAGATATGTTTCGCTCCTTATTGATGTGTCTGACTTCGATTTATAACATTTCACGCCTATGGCAAATTCGGCAGTTTAGTTTCTGCTGCCGATATCACACCTTTCCTTTTGTCTTTGAAGCACAGGGTTGTGTCCATCGTCATACTTTTTTTTCCAAAGGTTGTGTTAATTTTACTTGAAACAGGCTGTGTTGATCACGCGTAATTGTGCAGATGACAGCTCTGTCCGGAAATCATTGTTCCACAACTTCTACCGTTTTTGTGAACTCATGTCATCCTGAATTAGCTCATGTTGAGTTAGTTAGGAACAATAAATTCTGGTAAATGAAGCTTTAGCCAGTGATATCAAGAAGATAGTAGTTCTAGGAGAGTCGACTCGAGCCTCAATGGTGTCTTTGCATCATGAGTCGGTCACTAAACCAATGTCGATACATGATTTCAGTTATTCTCTTATTCTGCACAGTTTATATGCACGCTATATTATACGTAAGAAGACTCTTGATGAGGGAGTGACGGGATGATAGACGGCGTGTACTCAAAACGCATTGTGCCAAGTCCCACCTACACTGTAGTATATACTCCATGTCGACTCGGCTTTGGATCACTGTCACTTTGATTATATAGGCGACGGAAACTCAACACAAGGTGATTCTTTATTTGTGAACGTCGTTGGGCTTTTGGGTTTTGCTCGACTGCCAGATCATGATGCCGTCTCAGAACGAGGATCTTGCGTACTGGGGGCTTGAGCACTCACCAGTCGGTTCGGCGTGTGAGTGTTCTACGTATATGCCAACTGTACAATTTTAGTTCCTGTCTGACACTTACACAATTTGACTCGCTATAGATAACGGAGCTAAGTTTGTGGCAGGGTATACAGTGTCAAACTATAAGATCTCAATGCGACGATGCGGAGTCTCTCTGTAAGTCTCATGCCGGACTGGATTTTTGCGGCATTTACATCTCAGATCTCCTACTCGTTCTTGACCCATTTTAGACCAGCTTGTTGCGTTTGAGTATGGTCGATATTTGCATAATATGGTTTTTCATATTGATTAAACGTATCATCTTCGCAAGTCGTTTGTTGGGATGTTGGCCCGTTTTGATGCTACCTGGTCTCTCACGTTCTTTGACCAGCTAATTGCCCATAGTCATGACTTATAGAAGGTTTGAATTATTCCAAACATCATGCATATGTCAAAGTTTTGTTAGAAGCCTCAGCAAGGGCCGAAAGGTGGAAGAGCCTTCTTAACCAGGTCGTGATTGACTTATGGAAATCCCGCAGGCAACTAAGTATCTGTGACTAGACGACTTTCAAGAAAGACCGACTCGGATGCCTTCTACTCCTGAAATCATGGTACTGACGCTTACTGGTTGGGAAGCTCACACCCAATCTATGGAAAACGCGGATAATATAGCGTTGTTGGTGTGCTGCCAAGCGTGTTATTTGAAGAGATTCCTCTTTGATTGTGGTAAGAGGTTTGTTCCGAGTTTTTCCTTTTGACAACCCGAAGAACATGATGCCTGTTGGATCGCCTCATGCCAGATTTAGCCTTGCGGAGGCTGTAATGCCTGTCAGCACAATCATTCTCCATCTGTAGGCCGTCAGAAAACTCCGCTCCGTCATCATCTCTCATGAATGGACAAAGGACATCAAATTCGATTTACTGAGTGTGGTGGTAGTTAGGCTCAACAACAATGACAACCTCACTATCGCCGAGAACAGTTGCGAACATTTGGTGACTACGTATTTACAAATGGCCTCAAACTGTGTAAATACCTACAAAGAAACAATAGGGCAAAGTGACAAGTACCTTAAGAGTGTTCGTACTCGGGTGGCTAAAGAATGAAGTGTATTCCATAAGCCTCCAGAGTCTATTTCGAAGTTGAAAAGCTCGAGGGATCTCATATCAGTAAGGTTCAGAATATAGCCAGCGGTAGCCTTTGTTCTTCTGAGGCCTGTGCAAAAACAACAATACGCCTAGCTTGATAGTACCGTAGTTCTGTTGAATCAAGTTGATGATTTTGTCACTGGCAGAGTTCAAATAGAACGAGGACTGTTCCAGTCACTTACCTAGATTGACTGGAGTGGAATTTGTTCGTTGAGTTTACTTCCGGGTTTTGTGTTTTCCACCACCTGAAGCATCATCCCAGCAAAGAAACGTACAACCGATCCAAAATTTGAGGTTCATCCACCACTTTACAAAATTATCATGTCTTGCTGAAGAGATCTTATCGTTTTACGCATCATGGCAACCGGATCTGACCTATATCAACAGATCCTCTACACCTAGGACATCCTTGTTTATATGCAACTGCCTGGACGAGCTTGGGGTCTTTGGATGTGGAAAAGAACTCGACTGCCACCCCCTTCAATTCGATATCTCACTAAAATTAGTACTTCCATCTGCTCGCCTATACTTGAATTGCGGAGTCTATGCTGTATAAGTCAGTCATTGTCTTCAAAGCAACCCGTCGACATTTCAAGGCGGGCGCCGGCAAACGCTCAATCCTCGCCATTTCAATTCTCATGTTAGTTATTCAAAATTTGGAGCCACTTTGGTCGCCTCATTACCGTCTGGGGCGCGAACCGTCCCAGTCCTCTATCACCATTATCTTCAGCAACTGACAGGCATTATCATTTTGACTTCCTGGTCAAATGGGCTCTGTCAGCAAGCAGATAGTTGACCGAACACAGAGCTTCGGTGAGTCAAAACAAATCGAGATTCAAGTTCATGTTCTAAGAGGTCCTGACTGACGATGTCTGATGGCAGTTTCCGAGACAATTTGAGATGGACACATTTGCAGGCCCACCCACAAGGTACGTGATACGCATTGGTCTCCTACGAAGTCATGTTACGAGGATGTGCTCATAACGAGAGAAGCAATACGAATGGCGGATGGCACGGAGAGTATCAGCAGCCCACGAGTATATTCTCACGGGTACAGCTGAGGATGTTACCGCTTGGAAGCCGATTTCAGGACTTGAGTTTGATGACGTTGTCACAAGTTTGCAGATGATAATGGATAACATCTACCGCTCAATCTCTTGTGGTATTTGACTGCTGACATTCGCAATAACAGGATAGAATACTACATTAACACCCCTCCCGTATTTCGACGAAGCATTCGCAATTCGGTCCAGTACTATAAGAACATAATGCTTAAGAAACGATATCGGTTCGGAGCACTATCTATTTGCAGTCATTCTTCATCAGGTCACTGTAATGTAGCGTTTTGTCGCTGGCTGAGAGCTGATTCCCATAAGGTATAGCGCATTAATTAGAGGGGTCTGGCGCTACGAGAACATGGCTGATAGAGACCCGGCTGGGATCCCTTATTGTAAGCAACAATCTGATGAGAAATGCTCTCTATGCGAATTGTGTTATAAATTTTCTGCGTCGGAAACATTTGACACCGACACAGCCATTACTCAGGAATTTGTACTAACTACGAATCACCAGATCTTTCAAAGCCACCTCCTCTAAAGCCATCTTGCTCCGAACAGTACAACACAGGTCGCCGACGCTACTCGAGCTGTATATCATGGAATACCATATAATGGCCGGTTGCTATACTGGAGGAAGACAATTTAAATGACAAATATACTTCTTCTGGGCACGGGAAGCTTCCGCATGATGGAGACAATAGATGAGTGTCAGATGGGTTAGACCATGGGGACAGGGCATTTACTGCGCATTGCTGAATCATACTTATAATCAAGGATGAGCCAATTCTAGGATATCATATAAGACTTGTTTAACCCAATTTACTAAACCAAATGAACTGTCGTTGTGCGATCAGGCTGTAGTTCTTCTGGTGTTCAGGCGAGCAGCTTTCCAAGTATAGTCGATCAGTCCCAAAAGTCAACTTCAAAGTAAGGCATTTAGTCGATAATCTTAAGCTCTCTCAAAAGATTGAGAGTCATCTAGGTAAATGAATGAGACCTTGTTCTCACTCTAGGCACGTTCTAGAACTATCCAGCCTCTCGACCTACAAGCAACGAGCATTGGAACAGCAGTAGAAGTGCCACCATCACCACCCGCAGCAAGTATAGAACCACTGTACTGAATCATCTTATGTTCTGATGAAAACCATCTCTCTATATACCTTGTGATGAGTATAAAAATCTAGCTCATTGTCTTTCTCATGTAGTTTATCTCCGCCGGTGGGGGCTCCACGAGTACCGAACAGCAGTATACGTCCAACTTGTCACAAATAATTCTTTTTCGAGAAACCCCAGCCCGAAAGACACAATTGCAAGACAATACCATCCGTGGCGATTGATTATCGCGCGTTGTCGGCTGTTGGAGGAGGAGCCGCCACCTTTCCCATCATGGTTCTAGCCGACTGCCTCGCTGCTAAAGCTACACGAAGAGGAGGTAATTACACAACCTGGAGCCGAATTCTTCCATATGACGTACTTATAGCATAAATGTTGGACATACAACCCAATGAATATTCCGAGCCATGAGGACGATATTTCAGCGTGTGGAACGCTTAACAAGGACCAATACGCTTGAGTGAAGTCATCATCAGGCTGGTTCCAGGACCACGATGCCTACCTTGAGAGTATTGAAACTGCAAAATGGCCTAGACAGATAACTATGGATAACATATTGGAAATATTTAAGTCGACTTACATTTTTGCGGCCCAGATTTGGGTTGCTTACGCTCAAGGTCGGATGACTGCGATTGAGTGATACGCCACTTGTTGATCGCAAGGTGAGGTGCACACTTGACTTCAAGCATGCCTCCCCTTGAGACCAGCCGCAACCCAAAGCAGATTGCTGTCCATATGAACGAAATTGGCCAAGCTGCCGTGGGCTATTGACTCGAGTCAGTACGTGACTAATCGTGCAATACCGTCTTGATCAGATATATTCTCCCAAAGCATTCCTGTTGTCTCTTCAGTCATCTTCCGTATTATCCCCACGTCCTAACGTTAACGCTCCACCGAAATCCTACCCGGTCGTCTCGTCCTCAAAGCCAGGGGCAATTCAGCAACCTTCATTGAGCGTAAGGGGGCCGCGCGACTTTGGCTTTCAGGCTATACTGCACAACACTATTGCAATAATGATACTCAAGAAATGCTGGAGGGTGTCTATATGTGTTGAAGCTTAATGAGACACCCATTCCAGGCCATACATATTCTTGTAAGATTGGTCATGATCATGGCGTCACTCCAAGACCAAGAGACATACTCAAAGCCATCAAGCAACTTGATCCAAAGGTGCACTTCAGGTCTATGAGCAGTTACTTGACATATAGCAGCCGAAGCGAGTGGCTATAACCACGGGGCTCTACAATCACTCTCTCTCAGCTGGGTGAAGTCAAAAGAGCCCAGCCCGGCCAAACTAACGTATCAGTAATCGGCAAGAGGTCAATGGACACCATTTATTCAGAGGAAAGCGATACCCCAGTCATGGTCCTGATTGGCGCAACCCAAACTGTGATTAGCCCCAGAGGCACGTCCATTTTCGACTCTCCATTGATTCCGTCTCCCATTACTCTCACGTCCTTCTCTCTTCCTTCAACCTGCACCTAATTACTTTCCCTGAATCAACGTCAGGTTAGAGAGCAGTCCATCAAACCACCCTCAACACTGCAACAGAAGCACCTCCTTGGTGTCTTCATCTTGTCCGAGAGACCGCAGTATTTGTCTTTCTTTCTTTCTTTCTTTCTTTCTCCCCACCTTGTTTCTCGACTGCCATAGCCGTGCGAGCAACTGTTCCTGAAGAGTTGCAGCCAAAGCGTTGCGCAAGCACCCGTCAGTCAACCATCTGTCCCACTCTGTCACGCCAAGACAATTCGGACAACCTATTCTTCATTCCATCAGTACGAACTATTAACACTTGACACTCTCTCGCCATCCTATCATTTCGAGGTTGTCAACGTTGAATACTGGCCGCCCGGCTTTCGCAGCACCTCACATAGCCTAGGTGATTTCGACCTGTCTCTGCGACCGGTCAATAGGGTAGAGCTGAGCAGCCTGTCTAAGATTAGTCAAGGAGTTTTTGCCTCTTACGGCACGGTGGAAACTCTCTGTTCGGCGCGTTGAGTACGGTACTACCAAGTATTACTTACTTACTGCTCACGTCCCACACACACCAAGAGACACATCCCACACTTGTCGGCTTTTAGCCCCCCAGACGTTCCGTGCCGACCAGGCGCGTTTGTGAGAACCAACCCTTTCACCCCCTACACGCCCATACCCACTCACGCCAACCAACACTCCGGGATATCAACAGACTGCGGCGCGTCCGTCACTCCCCTCCAAACTCCCTCTGCATATACAGCCGTTGAGTACATTGTCGCGATTGCAATCGCTTCATAACTCTATCAACATGGCCACCTTGTCACCTGCGCGTGCTCTCTCTTCCGAGACGAACACCGACGTCGCTGATACTTTCTCACATGTCGCGTCTTTGAGTTCGACGCCTCCCACTACAGTCGGCGACGGCATGAGCATCACTTCAGAAACTTCGAAGCAAGACAATGTTCTTGAGTCGGCTGCAATTGAGCTCACTGCTCTTGAGCACAGCAATGCTGCAGCCCTACCCTCCGCCACCGAACCTCTTGAAGAACAAGTAGAATGCGTGGTCGAAGCCATCGAAGCCATCGAAGCCATCGAGGCCTACACTGATGCGCCCGCTACTCCCGGCACAGCAGCGACTCCTGAAATCACGGCCACATCCTCTTCACGACCGCGAAGACAGCGGGAGAGTCTGCCCGTCTACAATTTGTCAAGGCTAAGTGGCACTGCTATCCATGGAAAGAGACGCGCAAATGGCGACATCGTCGCCGACAAGAAGCGACGCACAATCTCTGGAACATTTGGGTTGGACGACGAAACCACCCAATTTACCAGTGGCGCTACAAAGGCAAAAAGCACTTCGCCAATGTCGAAAAATGCAAAGAAGCGAGCTCTGTCACCGGAGCCTCCCAAACGTGCAACCCGATCAACCGGCATCCAGGTTGAAAGCTTGACCAAGAAGATTTCTTCGTTCGGGAAGCGTGGCAAGAAATCTCTCGAGCAAAGTCTAGGGAAGATGTCACGCGAAATGCGTCGCCTGCAAGACACGAATGAATTCTCGGGCATTGACACCAAGCCCGTTCTCCATACAGTCTGGGCCAATGGCAAATACATTGACCCTAAAGCTGCAGTCGAGCCTCCTCGCAAGAGGACGAAAGTTGAGCCCGCAAAGGAGGAGGAGCTCACTACAATCCCAGAAGTCCCGGCACCGAAGCAGCGCAAAGTCAAGAAGTGGCTCAGCCATGGCCTATACTCTGGTCAGGCTGCCCCACTCGATATCTCAAAACACCTCACCCCGAATGAGAAGAAAGCCCTTGTCGACCTTCCAGAGCTTGTGCCGGCCGGCAAGGTCAATGAAGTCCTGCCAATGCCTATATTTACTGGTCTTAGATTCTTGATTCAAGGACGAGACTTCAAGCTACCATATAACATCTGCAATCCTCTTCCGTCTGGACAACCAAAGCCCGCTTCTTGGAAGCTGATGACTCGAAGTAAGTTGTGCTTGCCAGTTTGTGTGACTTGTACTTATGAATACCCCAGACCGTTTCATTGGTGAGGCTGGAGCTCTGTGGAAGAAATCACCTCATTTCAAGGACTACCAGTCCAAGTGTGTTTGCACACCGGAGGATGGTTGCGCCGAATCTTGCCAGAACCGTATCATGCTTTACGAGTGCGATAGCACCAACTGTAATGCCGGTGCTGCCAATTGCCAGAACCGCGCTTTTGCCAAGTTACAAGAGCGCATCAAGGCCGGTGGCAAGTACCGTGTCGGTGTTGAAGTTCTCAAGACCGAGAACAAGGGCTTCGGTATCCGTGCCAACCGTTGCTTTGAACCTGGCCAGATCATTATGGAGTACACTGGCGAGATCATCACGGAAGAGGAATGTGAACGCCGCATGGAGGAGAAATATAAGGACAACGAAGTAAGCCCATGCGCCAAGTGTCTTTTGATCAGAACCAAGTCACTAACGTTCATAGTGTTATTACTTGATGTCGTTCGACCAGAACATGATTATTGATGCGACCACAGGCAGTATTGCCCGCTTCGTCAACCACTCATGTCAACCTAACTGTCGCATGATCAAGTGGATCGTGTCTGGTCAACCGCGTATGGCACTATTCGCTGGTGATCGCCCGATTATGACTGGCGAAGAGCTCACTTATGACTACAACTTTGATCCCTTCTCCGCTAAGAACGTGCAGAAGTGTCTGTGTGGTGCACCCAATTGCCGAGGTGTACTTGGTCCCAAGCCCAAGGAGATCAAGCCGCCCAAGGCTCCTAAGGAAGATTTGAAGAAGGTCGTGAAGAAAGGCATCAGTGCTGGCAAGCGAAAGCTGCAGGCATTCCTTGGCGACGACGATGAGACCGTGAGCAGTGTTGCAAAGAAGTCTAAGGTCAATCTGGCGCCTGGCGCCAAGGCTAAGGGCATCAAGGGCGCCCTCTCCAAGGTCAGTGCCAAAGCTGCAAAGGTTGTCAAGAAAAGCATTTCCACCATTTCCGTTAAGACCCCCGCGTCAGGTCGGAAGGTCACTATCAAGCGCAAGTCATCTGTAGTTAAGACCTACAGCAAGACGAAGGTCGCAGGAAGACTATCTGTCACCCCCAAGAAGGCTGTTGCAGCCAAATCCAACAAAGCTACACCAATTAAGGGTACTGCGCTTACAGATGCTACACCTAAGCGTGGCCGAGGCCGCCCTCGCAAGCATCCTATCGCATCCGTTACGCCCCGAAAAGCCGCAGACATATCACGAGATCCGAACCAGATTCGTGTTGTCCAATCTCCAACTGAGGCAGCCCAGGAGAACATCCAGGAGGTCGCACAGGAGACCGCCTGAACATACATCTTTGCATTTCAAATGCCTATACATCCCCCGGCGTGTACCGACCGGAGGTGGCCATGTCGAAATTCGAGCGCAGATATCTTCTTGAGTAGTCCAAATCGAACAATCGAATTGCCAGCACGAAGGCAACCTGCAAATACTTGAAGTGGCAAGTACTTGTTTTCCAACATTATAATTCGCGGCAGATGAGCAAACTTTGCAGAAAGAAGCACTTGCTATGGCACTCAACGGCCAGCCACTTGCCCACGTATGGAGAGCCAAGAGTGAGGCTCTATGAGGACACACGAAGGCAGAAGAGGATATGACCTAATTGCATTATATTTGTACACTAGCTTAGGGGATCATCTGAAAGACGGCATTAGGAGGCGTCTCAGGCGTCGGCGTTCATGTCTCTTCATTGCTCTTTATTATACCTGGCAAAGATTCGGTCACGAGGACCTTAGGTTTTGCTATACAGTCTGCATCTATCATGTGGTTGCTATAAGAATATGTTGACTGATCTAAGAAAACCACTATCCAGCATTGTCCCAAAGTGAAATACCATTTTATGCCAACTGTTGGCTTTGAAGGTCTCCCATCCGAAAGTACGATGCCATTGAATCATGCACATGAGTAGTCACAAGACTTTCCACCAAATATGAGACGAGCCTTCTGTTCCATAGAAACAACTTTGTCGTTGCACATTGCTGGACTGTTTGTTAACTTTCTCGCGCTCAACAGGACGCATTGCACGCCGCGTCGTAGTGGCATGACCAAGGACCACTAAAACATTCGGAGTCAATAATTGCTCTTTCAGGATGAGTTGAGGGGGTCTTTGGGATCAATGTGAAACAGTCACGAAGAGATCAAATTGCCTCTAATAGGCATCGTCCGCTCTGTAAACATGCTTTTGTAAAAAGGGATTGGAAGACAACTCCGAAAATTGCTTACTAAGGTCCTCCACACATATTGCTGAAGATCATGCTGGAATTGTTTTGGCAGACAACCTTTAATAGGGGCGTCAGCAAAGTTGTTCGTTGGATGGTGGTTACATTTGCATCATTACAAGTTCTAATAGGTCATGTGAAGTGAGAGCACCTCGGGCATGGGACAAGGAATGGGCTATATATATATCTTACCAAGATTCCATCGGTCGTGCATCCAGTTGTAGCCCCGTTGCAGGCGCTGTGTATTCCGCCCGTCCAACACGATTGCTTGGGAACGATGGCGGCGGCGGGAGAAGAAGCTGGAGCCGCGAACGCAGAAAGAGCCGACATGCTGGCAAAAAAGGCGCTGTAGGTCAAGAATTGCATGGTGCCGTTGGTGGTTTCGACGACGATGTTGTTATTGTTGGGGGAAAATGAAAGGATCTAGTATGACTGACTATAAATCTGAAGAGGTTCTGGGGGCCAAGATGCCAAGGACGACGGAACGAGACTCCCATTTATACTCGATTCGCTCAATACGATTTACCCGGGACCATGTCTTGTGGCAAGCAGTGGATTGTCCTCGCTTCGTCTTTTTTCTTTGTTCTTTCTCGCTTCTCGTATCGTACGTGGCGTTTAGAGAGGCACTGCTAGACGCATATCCTGGTTATCATGTGAAGGAAGGATGGGATAAGACCAAGCCATAAGACAGTATCATGCGTGTAACAGGCCACTCACCGCAGTTCCTGTTTCTTTGGGAGCTTATTCTGTTACGATACTCGCCTGGTGGTACCACTACTGCATCCGAAAAGGGACGATTCGGTCTCTGCGCGATATATCCTTCTTCATGATTCTCTTCGATGAGCTTACAGCGACTGCGATGCTCGCGGCGGCTTTCCCCGCTGTCATGGAAGGCTATCATAGCTCAAAGTCGTGAGAGACGAACGCTGAGTCACTGCCAAATTCAGAATGACCAATGGATGAATGGTTCCTCAACCTTGCCGATGGATAAATACGAGTAATTGGACCGTTACAGGGAACCTTGCTGTAGCGGCCATGACATTGGTGTTCCTGCAGGTGTGAATAAGCTTACAACGAAATCGTATCCATGACCACATCTGGAAAGCATACTGCGATCTGTGGGCAACCAAGAAGTGGCCTTCATTGCGCTCCGAGGGCGCTAATCACTGATCACTACTTACAGAAGATTATGGTTCGGCTTCACTACACCGGAATCATGTTAATGATTACACTTGCGTGTTGCAGCCTGGATAGCCACGAGAGGAACACTAGAAGGTGGCCAAGTGGGGTATGCAGTCAGCAGCGTACACAGTCGACGTACTCGAGGAATTAGACCGTCCCTCCACGGGGCATTACCCCTGAAACTGCAGCTGCTTGGACAAGTGAAATCGAGCACGCATTCACCCACCATTCCATGCCACAACGTTTGTGTGGCGCATTCTTTGTTACATTTCAGAGGCTCTATTCTACCAGAAAGACTCGAAAGAATCTTGATATTCATCATTTCCTCCTTATGTAGCATTCTTATACGTCTATATTACGGATGACTCTAGTAACTGCAAATACGAGATTAAAGTTAGTTTGTACGGCTGCTCTTGCAGAACTTAGTAGGGAACATGTTAATCTGTTCCATAATTTATAATAAGTGGCGGTCTCTACCCGGAACAATACTCGAAGGAGGACGCGTAGGTAACCTCATCTGGCGCGAACCGCGCAATGATCGGAATGGCCCCGTCTCGGATACCTCCAGACCTCTTCTCACAACAACCAGTTCCGATCGTTTGACGAAAATTATCTCACCCCTGGCCAAAATATCGACCTGGATTTTAGTGACCATGCTGATCCAATCGTATGGGACAAAAAAGTGTCGAACGATTACAGGCTCAGCGCTGCTCGGTTCTTTGGTGGCACCGGCTGCGCTTTGCCGGCGAGATGCTCGCAGCCCAGGCGCAGATCCTGTTGTTATACTGTGCTTATTCGAGATATCGCGTACATGGCTGAGGTCGATACTGCAGACCCAGTAATCTTGATCAAGGAAGATGAAACGATCATTAATCATACCGATGGGTTGCTCCACTCGTACAGCCAGCGTACCAAGGTCAAAGGCAGGTTTCACCGTCGGAAAGGGCTCTGTTGTGCTGAAATCGTTCATATCCCATACGAGTATTGCCGACTGCGCATCCCTTGAAGAGCGACCCTTGGTGACAGTAGCAAAGAAACGATGATGTTGAAGTGGAAATATTGACAATGTAACCGACGGATCAACTGAGTCAAAAGATATTGTAACGAGTTGTTCCAGATTCGTCCAGCTGAACATGCTTGCCGTGTTTTTTTCAACACGTATGAGTTTATGAGTATCTGAATGTGATACCCAGCTGACGTTGTCAGATCCCGCTATTCGATTCACGTATACCGGTTCGCAGCTTTCGTCAAGGGGCCATAGAGTGTCGTGCTCGATAGTAGACAAAAGAAGCCGACGATGAATAGATGAACTGAGCAGCTGGGATACTTTTATAGCTGGTCGTGTATCAAGAAGTATATTCGATATCTCCCAGTCACCTCCTAAGTTTCGAGAAACTCTCCGCGACGTGACTCGACTTGCCCAGTCGCAACAAGTCAGGATATCGGTCAATGGGTCAAAATGCAGGAGGATGATGCCGCAGTTCGTTGTTTGAACGAACAATCGTAATCCCTGTGAGTCCCGGGCGACGTCGTAGGCATATACCGCGCCGTCTTCCTTTCCACAAAACACCAGTGGTAATGTTACAGCATTTGCAATTGCTGTGATATCACATGTCCCGGTAACATCGTATTCGATTTCGAGTGGCGCTGTAGAGTTCGAGACCGCATTCGACGTATCATCAGAATCCTGTCGAAGAAGTACTGATGGCTCCCAGATACGACACTGGTTGCCTCGAATCTCGATGAGTCGCAAGTCATCTGGAGTGAATGCCAGACTTCGGATCTTGACTGCATCGCCCTGGAATTGGATCTTGTAGAGCATTCTCAGAGTTTCGAAATCGTACAGAATTACGTTACCCCTTGAGTCACCGCACGCCAGTGTGCGACCATCAGGAGAACAACAAAGTGTCTGTGGGTAAGCAGCCACTATTGTGTTACCCACCGTCCCCTCATCCATATTATACACGACTAGGTCGCCGTCGGAGAAGGCTGCCGCGATGAGATTGGCTTCCGGCGTAGCACTGAAAGCAACATCCGAAACACTTGTGATACCATCTACCTCTTTTGAGGATCCATTCAGCCTGGATCCTGTATCCTTCTCGTAGATATCGTAAACTCTCTCCTCGTCTAAATCCCATATAATGAGATCCTCCCCTCGATAAACAATGGCTAGCACACCCATTTGCATACAGAAGACTCCCATTTGAGGGGCGCGAGCATGTAGCTCGGAGCCTTGGACTTCAAAGTCCGCTGTCCAGTTGATTGGCTCCGTATGCAGATCGCCGGTCTCTACATTCCAGCATAGAAGAACGTTGTTCCGCAATGCAGCCCAAAGAACAGAGTCATTGTTCCCGAATGCTACGGCAATGCATAGAGAGTTGATGCGGAAAGTATGTACTACAGAACTGGAAGTAACACTCCATAATCTCACATTTCGCGGACCAGCCATGGCAACCATGTTGCCACTTTCACTGTAAGCCAGTGCTGAAACCAGCTCTTTATGATCCACAGAAGCAGTTTCCTGAAAAGTAGCTTGATCGTACATAATCACCTGTCCCGTTGATGTTCCCAATACCATGTTCTCATGAGACGTCGCAATCATTTGTGGACGTATGGGCTTAACATACGACATAGTTGAGAGACAATCATCCCACCCTTTGGCTCCTGTTCCATGAATTGTCAAGCTTCTCGGAGTACAAAACTGCTGTCGAATAGCCGATGATTCAGGGAAGAATGGGGGAATAAGATTGAAGATTGCATATGGACTCGTGATGAGTCGTTTGCCAAATTTAGTGACCAAATGGATTAGATCATTTGCACAACGGCCCATATAATCTCGTTCTTCATGTAGTCCGACCGGGGGTGAAGATTGCGCCCGTCGGTGAAGAATATGGTTGATAGTTTTCCCCGCTTGATATATTCTCCGAAGATCAGAGCGTTTGGCAACAAGCTCAATCCAAGTCAGCAAGTTGGTTGACTTTAAAAAAGAGGTCAAGGCTAAGATGAGCTCATCGTCGTAAGATTTAGTTTGTGCCAGATGGTGAAACAGATAATCCGTCGCATATTCTGCGAACGGTGATGTCTGAGAACCTTGTACTGCGGTACCCGACTTTGTTGTCGTGGAACTATTCGCCCTCTTCATATTCTGCCCTAGAAGAGAGTCCAGACATACCATTGCTAACCGACGGTGGCCGAGGCTTTTGTCCACCTTGAACCCGAACTCAATGTTGTCTTTCGTGAGGAATTCTCTCACAGTGAGGTGGAGAAGTTGTAGCTTTCTTGAGTTGTCGACGTACACTAAATTACCGCAGGACTCGCTGATAGACCGCTCCATATCACCTATTTCGTCGTTGATGTCTGTTTGGATTGCCTGTTGTAATTCATCCAAATGCAAAGGACGAACACTACACACGGCCCATACCAGGATGGCCTTGACCAGCTCTTGGTTGAACCTCTGCTCCGACATCTCTTTTGTAATCCTCAGATACAATGCTTCCATATCAGATGGATTGCTATCAATGACTTGATTAGCTTGCGTCATAGTTTGGACTTGCACTAGTTCTTTCACAATGAGTTGAGCCCAAAGGAAGCACCCTTTGGAATTTTGCAAGATGCGATGAGCCATTTCTTTTCGGGCATGTGACGTTGATGCTGGAAACCGCTCATAGTTCAGTTCCAAAAAGAGGTAAATGTCGCCGGTATTGTCCTCCTCAGTGATTGTATTTGAGATAACTTCCATCTTCAAGCCCAAGGGTCCAATGTGGGTATCAATGGAAGTTCGCGACGTGACGAATATACCCAATGGCCAATACTCCTTAGCTTTGGACAAGAATGTGATCATATTTGATCCACCATTTGCCTCATCTAGCGCATCAACAACCCAATATTGTGGTCGCTTCAGTCTGATCTTGAGGATACCGGTGACAAATAGTTTGCGCCAAACAACAATAGCGTCATCCTTTTCGAGGTTGCCTTCTCCCCATTTGGGAATGATCTCAAGAATGGCCTGTCGAATTTCAGGGTGCAGCATGGCCATTTGGAAAGCCATAGACCGAAGAAATGATTTGATGCTACTTTTGTTCTTATCTGCTCGTACGAAGAAAAAGAAGCAACAGTCTCTTGTGAGCCACCGTAGAGAGGATATAACTGCACTCGAAATGACACTCTTCCCTGCACCCGGACGTCCTTGTAACCAGAAAGCCTTTGAGGGGTTGGTTTCTCTCCATTCCACAAACGTTGGTTTTTGTAATAGCCACTCACAAGAGCCTGGAAGCCTAGTTGCGTCTAGTGTCATATAGTCGCCCTCCGGAGCATCTTTTACCCCTAAAAAATTCGCTATAATGTTTTTCTGCATTTCTTTTTCGGTCTCACTTGTCGTTTCGTCATCATCCCCTTCTGGCTGACTTTGAATCTGGAATGGTTCGCGTAGGCTATCTATTAATGTCGCAAGGGCATTTCGGATAGTCAAATACGATGGATCGTTGACAGAAGGGAAACGGGCTACATCTCTATGGTTTGCGTCAAGGTATATTCTGCGCTCATTAATGTAATTGAGAACTGCCGCTTGTCTCTCAACAATAAGACCCTTGCCAATACCATAGTTCATTGGTTTGGTTTCGAAAAAGGAAAAGAGGCGAAGGTCCTTTGAGAGATAGGGGAAATCCTTGTTTATGGCTGCGAGAATTGAAGAGGAAGGGTAAAGTTCGTGAACAAACGGCCTGACTCCATGAAGCGATAGCACGCGGTTCAGGGTATGGGCTATTTCTGCCCCTTGATGTGGGACGCCCAAGAAGAACATGGCGCAAATACGATCGGCAAGAGATTTGAACTCGTGTAATTGATGAGCAAGTACAAGTGCTTGTTTGATCACAAGGCCGCCCATACTGTGTCCGACGAGTATTAGAGGAACCTAATAGGCGCCGGTTAGTGCAAGGGTAGATTAAAGAAAGGAAAGTCGTTGGTCTTGCAACGATATAAACAACAACTTACACTTTGCCTGCGCGGTATCGTTGGTGCATCTTGGATTGCTCCAAGAAGGGAGTGGGAGAAGTCTCTGATACCGAGGATGGATTCATGGCGAAGACCCGAATGATACCCAAAGGTATGTATTCTGACGTCTGTGAAGGCATCGTCATTTGGGAGCCAATGTTTTGGCCAGAAGTTGGATTCGTCCCCTTTCGTCCATGTGCTCTGAGATCCGCCATTGAGGCCATGTACAAACACTAGGTCAGCAACAGGGACGTCGACAGATGGAGGCTCGTATAGAGTTGTAAGGCCGAAGGTCCCTTTTGGAGCCTCTTTACGGTCGGCATCCTTGGTTTCCTTCCTGATTATGCTTCCGAAAAACGAGCCCCCAGACCTGACTGATAGAGGCAGACTCAAACTTTCACCTGTACTGGCATGCCGATCCATCAAGCTGCTAATAATAATACGGCAACCAGCAAAGCGGGCCCCGCTCGAGTGGTGCTGCAGAACAAGCGTTTAGCGTACGTTGGATGGAACCACCGGAGACATCGAAGTCTGAGGACAGAAGAGCATATCAACACATCTATACGGAAGGACAAACAAACAGAGAAGTTGAGGATGGTGTATCGGACATACATAGCCGGCGGACATGTCCTCAGAAAGCACAATGTGCGTTGCATTTGATGCAAGCAGTGCGGGGTCAGCAGTGCTTTCATTGCCAAGCATGCAGCGCATCAAGCCACTTCAAGCACCTCCAGTCCAGGCATCGGGAGGTGCATTATATCCCTCTCGGATTCCTAATTTTGAAGCCTACAACATACTGGATGGATAATACCCAACAATTCCCTTCAAATCAAGCGCCCTCGTTCATCATGAAAGACTCGTGAAAAACACAAAGGCGAGGGCTGTCGCGTGCATAAGGTCCTTATCTGTGAGGGGAACCTTGTAAGAGTCACGTTAGTGATAAAAGCTGTCCATATCTACATATCCACAGGTGCGTTTTGTTTGGGAATAGGCCGTACATCTTGCCATTGCCACTCAGCCTCAAGCTTAGTTCAAATTGATTGGCGAATTGTCACGCAAGTTTCTGTGCTATCTGTTTTTGGTAAAGGCCTTGGCAGACTATAGCCCTGTATCGGATTGCCTATTTCTTTGGGCTCTGGAATTTACCTACAAGGTCGCGTTCCTTAAGGCTTTCGTTTTCACACCTAGACTAGTCGCAGAAGACTCGCGCTTCATATTACTGCCTCCAACATACAGCACTGAGTGAAGGCCAATTGAGTGGTCGGCTCGCCGAATTCTGAAGTCCGCGTCCTTCGCGATCCACGAAGTCAGCCGGACAAAATAACAGACGCATCAGTATGGAACAACCAATTCCTGTCTGGATCATCCTACTGGGTAAGGACTGCAAGAATAGATACAGAGCAGCCCGATGGTGAAGAAGAATGGTTCTTGTCAGAATTAAAAAGATTTATACTGTCACTCTCAACCTTCCATTGAAGTCATACTAACCTTGACCAAATGCAATAAAGTTTTCATCGTGCAAGCGGTTTACGAAACAATTCCAGATCTTGTACCTAAGCCGATTGATATGTGTCATTGTGCTGAAGACCATGTCAAGTCCTTTCTCTGTGCTTTCCATGAAATGATTGACACATCCCCGATATGAAAGAGTTCTCTTCTATGATAATAGAGGTGCATAGGCATGGCGTGTCAACCGATGGGAAGTTTGGTTTCCCTGCTCCCACATACGGTGGCCGCCTGCCTATGATCTACCCCGTCTCTAGCAATTGGGAGGAACTGTTCACCGAGGTAATGAACACCACTTTTGACGTCAAGGAACATACACATTTGTATTGACATCGACACCACTATCACCATGCCAGAGATTGGAGTGTATCAGTCGGGCACAAGCTTTTGACCTTCCGTCTCCATCGGTCAAAACATGCAAGGTACAACTTTGTTCATGATATCCTTCCTAAGCGCTCGTATGCCCTCATCGAAGGCTTCTGCCAGTTATTTTCGACGCAGTTGCCCTACACGCTCACAATGAGTACGAGCTGGCTCTATGGCGATCGATTCGACACAATATTGGGAGACCTTATATCAAGGAGTACCTCAAGACATTTCCCCGCTACTGAACCTGCTGTGGATCTCAAGAATCGAAACTTACTTTGCTGCGTGTGAGTAATTCATTATGTCCCGAACCTGAGACGGAAGAGTTGATACTGATTACATTCTATCAAGCTCAACATTAACTCGCCTGCTCATTACCCGGGCAACCTACGTTTTCGCAATATTCAAATGCTCAGTATCTGAATGAATGATTATTTAACCACCTGGCAATAAATACTGTCAGAGCTCGAGAAGAGATGCGTCAGCTTTTAGAAAAGTATACAGATGAGTATGAAGGGTATGCAAAGGAGCAGGGACTGGATGCTCTAGCTGATCCCATCCCAGAAAAGGGGGATGAACTGTTCCAAGAAGCAAAAATATTCCCTGAGACCGCCATTCCATCGAATCTATGAATATTTTGGTTCTAACTTATATGATACCACATAACACTAGCAGCTTTATCCGCTTTGCGATTGTATCTGGCAAGACTATTTGCAGACATTTTGCACTCATTTTGAGATATTGTAGAACGAGCATTGTCTAAGAACCCAATTATTTTTTAATACAAGCCGTCGTTTCAATGGCTTCGATGTTATAAAAAATATTGCATTCATTTATAGGGGGTTCCGGAAGGCTATGCGCGTGACAAGCACTATTGTGCCTCGCACTAGGCTAGTCGAAACTGGTATATGTTGGTTGTTAGTTTTCAGATGGAGAACGTAGGCCATGTGAACACTTTTAGAAGCCGCTTTGGAGGATCGGGCTGTATCGTTATAGGCTAGCTGTCTGCTGCATCATCTTGGACGTAAATAAGATACTTGTAGGTGACGACACAGCCTCCCAAGATCGCTGTTGGGGTAACTGGTTATCTGCTGGATTCGTCAGCATATTATCTCACCCCATCAGAATGCAAACATGGACGAGACCCCAAGCTTGAAAACCCCGTCGCTGAAGCCTCAGCGCCTAATAAGCTGGCGACTGCCCCCTACACCACACTGGGGCGTACACAGCGGCGATGTCTGACATATCTCCAGGGAATATTGTGTCTCGTATCTTCGCTGTCCGCAACCATATACTTCCCACTCGTTCCGCTCCTCGCATCACAGTACAACACTTCTCTACAAGCAGTCAATCTGACCATAACCCTCTACACCATCTTCCAAGGCTTGGCACTATCATTCTGGAGCCCCCTTTCCGACCATCCTGGGCGGCGCCCTGTAATCTTTCTTAGCTACTTTGGAGTCTATACAGCGGCGAGCATGGGTCTCTCCGTCAGCAGCGGCAGTTATGCCGCCTTGTCTTCGCTCCGAGCATTACAAAGCATCGGGGGTTCTGCTGTGTTGAGCACATCCTACGGTGTGGTCGCCGATGTGAGCACCCATGCTCGCGAGCGGCAATCTGGGGCCGTGACTCGGACCGGTGATCGGAGGCGGGGCCATATTTGCAACCGGAGAGCCGGTCTGGTGCTTCCGGATCTTGATCATCTTGGGTGGAATCTGCTTCCTGCTCATTGGCTGGACGTTGCCCGAGACCAACAGAACGGTGGTCGACAACGGTTCGGTGGCTGCTGTTGGTATCTAGAGGACATAGTAAGATGTTCTGGCCGCGAGGCTCACGGCGCGCAAGGTGCAGAAACGGGGTCATGGGACCAGTGAGAAAAATCAAAGGGTGAGCGATCCTCATGGGGGTGTCTCACTTCATCTCTGCGCACAGTCAACACAAGCAGTCGTAAGAGGAAAGATTGTTATTCCCAATCCATTTGCTTCGCTGCTTATCGTGCTCTCCCGAAATAACGCGCTCATTCTATTTTTGGCGGCCAGCCCTTATTCGGTCTGGCACTTGGTACAAACATCTATTCCTTTCATATATGGTCGAGAAAGCGGTGGGTATGGCTTCAGTGATGTTAACGTTGGCCTATGCTGCTTGACTGGAGGTGTAGGAGTCATCACTGGTGGCTTTGTTGCCGGCCAAATGATGGACTACAATTACAAGGCCGTGACACATCGGGCTGGCCTGCCTGTAAATCGACAAATTGGTGACAGTATGAAGAGCTTCCCCATCGAAGAGGCCCGGAGTAGATGGTCCATTGCAAAACTTTTCGTATCGGTAGGTGCTCTTGTCGGCTATGGCTGGACTGTGCAACAGGACATCCACCCATCTGTTCCTCTACTTCTTCAGTTCTACATTGGAGCAAAATGCACAGTTTTGCACCAATCATGTAGTGCTCTTCTGGTAGACATTCACCCAGATAGGCCAAGTACCGCTGCAGCGAGCAACAATTTTGTGCGCTGCGCACTATCAGCTGCAGCTGTAGCTGCTCTTCAGCCGCTCGTTGATGTCCTGAACAGAGGCTGGTTCTTCACCATGGTCGGCTTACTCGACCGGGGTTTATGTATTATTGCGGTCGTCGTTCTGAGGACATGGGGGCAGCAATGGCGCAATCGCAAAGTCACAGAGTCAACCCTTATGGACTGACAGAATCGTTTGTTTGCGGAGCTGAAGAACTATCTCTCAACCTGGGCAAAGCTAGGTTGCGAGAGATATGCGACAAAACGTGTAGTACCCACTGAGATATGACAAACTCCCCTTGTCGATCCTCGCGTTCGCAAACCACTTCATCTCCCCCAGATTAACCCCGTCTTTTTATTCCAGGGGAACCAGACCCTGATACAGTCTGGCATCTAATCCCACTAAGTGGAGGTGTGTGACCTCAGTGATGTCAGCCTTGCTTTATCTTGCATGCCAGGCGACGCAGGGGTGACCGCTGGTGGCCTCATCGGCGGTCACTTGGTGAGAATTTTACAAGAACGGGCACGCCGGGCTTGGCCTGTCGGCGATTCCACGAGTGGGCAAAAATGCAAGATTATGCAAGACCGGTGGACAGGCAGTAGAGATACAGACTCCACGCACGAAGCTCGTGGTGATAAAAGCTGTACGGCAACATGACAAATATACGGTGTCCATGGACTACAACAGGGCGAACTGAGACCGCCAAGGAGAAAAGTCTGTGGCAAGGACAGCATAAAATATTTTTGCATTGTGCTGGCGGCCGTGTCGCTGCACAAACGTAAGTGCGAGTACGCAGTGTCGTTTTGATTTGCCCGCCTAGGTACCATACAATTTTGCAGGAGAACAGTCCGTCAGGAGCCATGCTGGGTCTACGCATTTGATCCTATTAGGTTCAGATAAAGGTTCAGGACCGAGTTCGGTGTTCTGGTTTTGACTGGTCGTTTTGTGTGCTATGACGGGGCGAAACATCGTGTTTTACACCAAAGCATAGAACTTCCTCTCGAGGCAAGTGGTGACCCCCACGGTCTTCGCACGGTTCCGCTGGTCACAATCCCTGGGGGCACTTGCTGGAAACACTCCTGAATGTGCCTGGCACAGCCCGACTTCCCATACCTCAACTGCCGTACTCAGCGGTGGTTTATGTATTCTTTACGATGATCATCCTTGAAGTAGAGATAACGCGATGAGACAATCACAGAGCGTGTAAATACATGATCTGGTGCGCTTATTCACGGGCGTGATGTCGAGCAGGTCACTGCGTATCATGCCTGAGAGTGAGCAATTACCAGGTTCAAGGACGTCTCCCCGGTCGGATTATAGCACGGATATGCAATCATCGCGAGTTTGGCTAACTGTTAGTCGTTATAAGCGTCGGCCAGACGCGGCACAAGCTACTGCAGGTATTCTGACAAAGTATCCACCAGGGAGTTAACAAGTATGGATCGTACAATGATCTTGCATCAAGTTCCTGGCTCGCTAGGTTGTGCTAAACTCTGTGCATAAAAGGAGATAATAGAAGGTATAAACTCCGCCCAAAAGCCACCCGACCATTATCGGCGAAAGATTTCCTGTAAAGCTAAATGATACGTACAGTTCGAGTTTCTGGATCAAATTTGTACATAAAGGCTTACTCCAGGCGCTAGGTAGTACCGGAAGGAATAAAAGTGACGTGACGGTTTCCACTATACTCAGGCCTAATGTCCACTATAAGCCGCGCATCGGTGGTAATGGTAGGCGCAGGAGCCCCTTGGCGCGCCCGGCCAGGACGGCCCCGAAAAAAATTCAGGACCTTTGTTCCACGACTGACTCGATTTTGAAAGTCAACAGATCAAGAATTTTATTCTGGTCGAATCCCCGTCCGTTCCTGACTTATCTTTGCCCGTGGGGAAGTTGCATTTTGTAAAGTGTTTGTGGAACTTGGATGGAGCCTGAGACGCCCTAAGCGTATAGTCCTTCGAGTCTAGAGTGCCGATATTGGAACGTCAAAACGGTTCTTATCTGCGCTCATCCTCATACATACCTAGGGAGATTTCTCCTACTGCTATATTTCAGTTCTTGTCCTTGTAAGGATTGGTTCTCTGAAAGGCCAACTCCCAGCTGGACTTTAATTCCTTCTTTCAATCATGGCCTCGACAACTCATATCGGCTCGGGCGGCGGGCTCGAGACGCTGGATGCGATCTCTTCGGCTGAAAACACACACATGAACAACACCCGTGAAAAGAAATACGACGCTACATCTGGCGACGATGAGGAGACGGCTTCGAAGCGAATTGAGATACCCCTGGACGCCTTTGGCGATGAGAGCAACGCCGAAATTCAGTACAAGACAATGAAATGGTGGCAAGCTTCTATGAGTGGGTTTCTCAGTCGCCAAAACTAATCGGCCCGACTTTACTGACAGTATACTCTTTTCCTCGTTTTTTAGTCATGGTTGCAGAAAACATATCCCTAGGAATTCTGTCTCTGCCCGCCGTCCTAGCGACAGTCGGCCTGGCCGCCGGCCTCACTGCCATCATCGGCCTGGGCTTGTTCGCGAGTTACTCGGGCTATGTCCTCTGGCAGTTCCGAATGCGCTACCCCCAAGTAGCCAGCTACACCGACATAGGCACGGTCCTGATGGGCCGTTTCGGCCGCGAGGTATTCGGCGCGGCCTATGTGATATACTGCCTGTTCTTCATGGCAAGCCACCTGTTGACCTTCACGATCGCGCTCAACGTGCTCTCGCGGCACGGGGTGTGCACGATCGCGTTTGGCGTCGTCGGCGTGATCGTGTTCAGCATCCTAACAATCCCACGGACGCTCAAGAACGTGTCGTTCCTCAGCATCGTCAGCTTCGCCAGCATCATGTCGGCGGTGCTCCTGACCATCATCGCGCTGGGCGTCAGCCCCGACGCCGCGTACGAGGACATGAAGGCCGTGTACCGGCCGAACTTCCCCACGGCCTTCAACAGCATCTGCAACGCCGTCTTCGCCTACGCGGGCCACGTCGCCTGGGTGAGCTTCATCTCGGAGCTGCGGGACCCCAAGGACTTCCCCAAGGCGCTCGGCACGCAGCAGCTCTTCCAGATCGTCATGTACACGATCACGGCGCTCGTCATCTACCGCTTCGCCGGCGAGCACGTTGCTAGCCCTGCGCTCAGCAGCACGGGTACCGTAGTCCGGAAGGTCGCCTGGGGCATCGCGCTGCCGACCATCATCATCGCTGGCGTCATTTTTGCGCACGTCAATGCCAAGTACATCTACCTGCGCATGTTCGCGGGTACCAGGTATCTGCACAGCCGAGGCCTCGTAGCGACTGGATCCTGGATCGGACTCGGTGTTCTCACGTGGACCATTGCCTGGATCATTGCAAACTCAATTCCCAACTTTAGTGATCTCCTTGGTTTCGTTAGCGCGCTTTTCGGTGCTTGGTTCTCGTTCGGCGTTCCTGGCTTCCTGTGGATGTACCTCAACCATGGGCAGTGGTTTTTGAACTGGCGCAAGACATGCCTGTTTTTCGTAAATCTTGCCCTGATATTGCTTGGGTTTATCATTTTCGGTGTGGGCTTGTACGCCTCTGGATGGTCTATGTCTCAAGACAGCTCGGGCAAGGTCTGGTCTTGTGCTGATAACAGCGAATAAAAAGTGTCGAGACCCACTGAGATATAGAATATACAATTTTCACGATTTTTACTTCACAGCAACAACCATGCTTTCCAATATGAAAGCCCCATATCTATGATGAAGTTTTGCAGTGATTGAAACGTGGCCCTTGATTAAAAAGGAGATGGTGCTCATTATGACAAACTGCCTGCCTATGCTCAGGAAAAGCCCCCCACCCCCCCCCCCCCACATCAAAAGGCCAGTCTCGGGATAACTTTGCAAACCTTCAGCTGTAATGTTGGTATTTCCGTCAAAATATACAGTCCAAAAAAACGCCAATGAGCCGAAAGCGGAGCCGCAGCGGCTATATGCAACTCTAATCATGAGTGGTCATACATCAAGGGAGGCGTCGCGAACTATTACCGTCAGATACGGCCAAGACCATAATACGTTGCCAATGACAGCTGCACTTAAGCGGCAAGAATGGGCGACGAGCTGCCGTTCACGGGAGACATGTCACCGTCGGCAGGAAGTTCTCCCAGAATGTTGCCATCAGGGTCCATCAGCACACCACCATTTGCTGCCGCATTTTCCATCGCAAATAACCGAGCAGCTCGCCCTTCCTTCTTGCGAGGCTGAGGGGCTGGATATAGACGGTCAGTGATGATTTCCTCCTAGAGACCAGATTGATGAAACATACCTCTGCCATTCTCCTGCACGTAGAAGCGTCTGAGGAGAGACACAGCCTCATCACGCAAATATCCACCCTCGGCGGGGTAGCCAGGTTCAACGTTACCTCCATCACCATCTTCGTCAGTTCGGGGCAGGAGGGCCGCTCGACCGCGTAGAATGTTCTTAGCGTCTTGAGGACCGTAGCCGTTCTGGTAAGGTCTGCCGCTGTCGGGTTTAGCGATCGGCTTCGAGTTGACATGGACACGGAAAACTCCTCCTGTACCACCAAACTTGTCGTTCACTGCGCCGAAGTAGACCTTCTTAATGCGGAGCTGCCGCAGAAGAGAGGCACACATAACGCATGGTTCGACCGTAACATAGAGAATGCACTCCGAAATGATCGAGTCATCGACCTTGGGCGATGGGTGGAGCTTCTGTCCGTAGGGAAAGATGTGACCATCGCTTGGATCGACATCACCCCACAAGGACTCATCATGGTATTCAGCGTCCTTAACGTCGGCTTCTGACTGGCGAGACAACAGAGCAGAGAGGGCCATGAATTCGGCATGGCGAGTACCATTGCGTGTGACGTTGGTGGCGTTCATGCCCTTTGCAATGATACGATTCTTATAGACGAGAACGCAGCCTACAGGTGTCTCGTTTATCGTCAATGCCGAATCACCCTGCTCCATCATTAGCGAACATTCCTCAGACGTTTATGCAACAGCATGGTGAATCATCAGTCAATGGAAAGAGAACACGGAATGTTGTCCCCAAGCGCGAGCGCATATCCAATGCAATATTTGGAAAGAATTCTGATATGAAACGACACATTTCATATGCTTGGGCCTTTGAAGGGGGCAACAGCGAGTGAGTCGAGAGAGTGTTGAAATTTCGCTTACCATCTTCAGAGCCTCCCTCATAAAGTCAAGATGGACTGCTCGCTCGCGTTTACCCTCCTCGGTATCCGGCTCGATCAAGCCAGGAAGCACCTGACTAGGGGGCGTCACCAAGGGGGCAAGCGGCTTCAGTGCAATCGGAGCCTGGCCTGGAACCGGGTTGACCACGATGAGCGGGACGCCCGCTGCTTCCACAGCAGCAGTGTCCTTGGTAAGGGCCTTATCAGGTCCAGGTGTATTGTCGTCGAGGGCGAGCCGATCAACGGCGGCAGTGGTCTGGTCGACTTGGGCATCTATAACGGGTAGATTGGCATTTTCCTTGGTATTTGTGGCTAGCTCGGGCGCAAAACTGGGAGTTTGTGTGCCGGTTTGGCTGTGGCTAGCCGCTTTCTGAATCTCAATTTCATTCTCAGCTGGTACGACAGCCGTTATGAGTGGCGTCTGATTGCCGGCCGCCACCGGTGTCTCCCAACCTGAAGCGAGGCCCCCATTCGTGGTGACATTGCCCGATGGCTCAGTGGGTGATGAGGCACCACGGTTCTTGTTAGGTGTCTTAGAACCATTCGGCTTCTGCGTGTCGACCTGCTGAGCATATCCTGCAGTATCAACAATACCGAATTGGCTGGATGCGCCAAGAGGCGCCTTCTTGATTTCGGAAGATGCTGGGGATGCGTTTGAATGGTCTATTTGCTTGCTGGGGCCCATGTTCTCCTTGTCTCGCTGTTGATCGGTGGATGCATTGGCACCGGCACCGGCACCGGTACTGGCAGACTGAGCGCCATTGGGCTTGACGCTGGGTCGCTTGTTACCACCGCGTTTCTTAGCCGCAGCCATGGCGTCGTCTTCTTGTTGTGGCTGGCCTTTCTCTAGATCAGGCTGTTGCTGAGTTGGTTGTGATGCAGCGGGAGGTTGTGAGCCTGCAACGATCGCAGGCGTAGGTGCAGTCTGTGTATCCGGTAGACCCCCGCCAGGTGCTTCTGTCGAAGGATGTTGTTGCTGTGTCAATGGGGTGTTGTTGCTTGAATTGAAGTGAAAGAGGCGGGTAAAGAATTGAATAAAAGCAGCAAACAGCGCCTGCCAAAGGCTCGAGGTGTTACCTGAGGCATTGTGACCCGCCATGTTGCCCCGTTCGTTCGTTCCTGCCTCAACGATGCAAGAAGAGCGAGCACGTTGGATGGATTGCGATTATACAACTGGCACATGAACGGATGCAACCAGTCACCGTGCACCACTACAGAAAACGCAACGCAACACAGTTTGTTTCCAGCAGCAATTGTCTGCCTCAAATGGCACTGTCCCGATTCGTCCCAATCACCAACACCTGTGGCTTGGTGGGCCAGTGTATACAGCAGCCAGAGACTCAAGACCCAAATAGCCAATCGAAACACAATGTTCTAGCTGGCGACGGTTGCAGAGGCACAAGCAGGTGCAATCATTGGCCGAGCTCCACCTATGTGCTGCACCCTCTCCAGGCGTGAGTGCCGGCCTGTATGGTTCGCTGAAGACCTCTAGCAGCAGTGGTAGCCGTCTGATGCTAGGAAAGAGCGGTATGATATGTGGTATTGCAGCGTATTTGTAATGTATAGAGAGTATCAGTGTAAGTCAATTGCGCCTCTCTGAGTTTTTCTGCGCCCGAATCACCCCGTCTCCACAGCCAATAGATCGCCCTTGTCTATGCATTTATCGCAAGAAGTGTTCCTTGATAGATGCATACCATCCCTGCCGTGACACTGCTACGAACATGGGCAAAATAATATTGAATTAACAATGCGAATTTAGTATTATTGGCGCCACATGTCGTGTACATAATATCACTTGGTCACAGTGAACAAACAGATGATCTGTGAACGGCTGAAAGTCGTTTCAATTCTATAAGGCTAATATTTTACATCAATTGGATCGACTTCCAACCACTCTGCATTCCTCCGTCAAATGCTTCTCTTCCTCAAGCAGCCATATGCTATCTGCTCCAAAACGCAACGCTATGCAGGATGATACTTAAACAAGAGGCCTCTTTAGTCCTCAAAAAGGTAAAACAAATCCAAGCTTCGGTATCCGAGACACCTTTCACTTAAAACACCATTCCCAAATGCGAGAGAGCGATATTGCTGGACGCGGGCCCTAGTGATCTGTGTTTGAAGTCCAAAAGTTCACACTGGATTCTTTGGGTCTTCGGCTTGACGTTGCTAAGGGCCATGCTAGGCAGTCGCCTGGCGAGGTCAAGCGCTTTTGTGAAGAACTTCGGTTTGTTGGTACAAGGGACGGAGTATTGTTGCGACATTCCCGATGCCACAACAAATGACAGCGCGACAAACAGTGCGCTGGAAAGGGATAGGGGTTGGCCACGATCCAACGATGATGGTGAAGATACGCCTTGACCAATAGCCATAGCCACGACGGCCAAGCTTGACAGTATAGCCAGCGAAGATAGAGCACGATATGTAGCAATGCCAACATTTCCACTACGGGCCAGAGATATAGCCTCGAGGCCGAACAAGATAGTTGCGGCAAGTGGTCCCTGGACTAGGGACAGTCCAGTCTGAGTTCCGTCGTTGATTCCAACAACTGGCAAACTCGTAGCTTGAGAAAATGTCGCTGCTTGTGACATGGCGCCATTCTGAACACAGGCGTCGCCAGAACTGGACAAGGTCCTGCCCGGCGATACTGCAATACTTTGTACAACGCGATCCGGGCCAACAGTGAGTCTGGCACGAGTAATACCATTGGCAACTACGTCTGTAGTGGCCATGACTGTCTGGGCTGCGTCATGTGCACCAGTAAACAGAATGCCTTCTGATGCTCTACCAAAGGCGGAGTCCTCGGGACGACGTTGATGACGAACCTCGGGCAGTGGTCGTTGAGTGACGCTACTGACATGCTGTTGTTTGTCGTTACTTGGTACGTGGGCAGCATAGACACTTGTGGCAGTAGCAGTAGTCGCAGTAGTCGCAGTAGACGCAGTAGTCGCAGTAGTCACAAGACCTGTAGTTGGCGTCCTTTCTGGTGATGATAGAATTGGCGCCTGCGAAAAGTTTAGCATCATGTCACCCAGAGTCCCGCAGAGGCGACCTACAGTTACCAGTCCGTTGCCGCCAGCATTTATCGCGGGTAACGATTGTCTCAAGTGCCTTCGTTCAATGTCGTCGACAAATACAGTCTGTCGGACGCTGTTGCCAGATGCAACCGGTACCGTCTGGAGTCGCGGTGGAAGCCCTCCTAGCGATAACCCACTGGATGAAATTGTCTCACAAGGAACTCGTGACTCAGGCGTACCTGCCGGGGAGCTGGTACGTGACCTTGCAGTCGAGCCAGCACTGCTCGAGTGCTCCGAGAGTTGATTTCGATCGTGGCCAGGATCTCTGTAGTTCTGATCAGACTGCACAACTCCCTCCTTTACAAAGGCGTTGCCCGTGTTTCCGAGTGCATATGCATTGTGGTCAGCCTGGTCATGGAGTAGGCCATCTTGAGATTGAAGGCGCGCTTCGCCATGAGGTGATGCAGCTACTCCGCCAAGTAGTGTAGAGCGTACATCCGGCTTGTGACTACTAGATGAGGCCTGGCGATGGTAGATGTCGGGGCCCCGTGGACCGGCAACATCCTTGGATGGCTCAAGTTCGTCATCTAGGTATGTAGAGCCTGGCGAGTATAGAGCGAAATCGACGTAATTGTTGCCGACATCGACGCCACCGTCGAGGTATGGTAGCATTGGCTGCTGGCTGTCGCCTACACCCAGTAGGTCAGCGCCAACAAACTGAACGCCGCTGCCAACTTCTAGGCCGCTTGCAGGTGTGAGAACTTGGCTTGATGATGCCGATGCGGAGTTCTCAGTAATTGGCGAGTAGTATGTCGCAGGATCAAAGAAAAAGTCGTAATCTTGGGGAATTGCGTCGTTGACCTCCTCATCGTACTTGATGTACTGATCCCAGTCGTCCATGGAGAGTTCAGAGGTGATCATGAAGCTAGCATCAAAAGATAGCGATTCACGTGTTAAAGAGTCGAATGTGAGGGCGTCTGATTTCATAGCCGCACTGCTACTAGGTGGCTTTTGGGAAGGTGGTGCTCTAGACTTCCTGGCCTTCTTGGACACCTTGGAATCCGAAGAGATATCCGTGGAGGAACCTCGTTTGTGGCTAGGATCGCAGCGGGTCTTCTTTCTCTTGCAAGAGTCGCAGGCCTTGAGGACTCTCATCAGATGAGCATGATCACGTTGCTCCTTGGTTTTGCAACCCCGAGATGCTGAGTTTGTGACATCAAGGCCCTCCTTTGTCATGATCTTCATGCCAGGAATGTGAGAGAAGTCGCTGGCATGTGACCGAGAAGATGAAGAGCCTGCCTTCTTCCCGGATTTCCGTGCCTTCTTGGGAGCAGCCAAAGGCCAGCTATCACCGTCGAAGGACTGTCTCCATACGTTATCATTGGTCATGTTGGGAGACGTATTGGAGGTGGAACCATATCCAGAATCCTGAATGGTGGAAGCTGGAGATGCAGTGCTCGAGGTTACAGCAGGGCAGACGAGGAAGAACTTGAAGTTTTCACCAGTTGCCATGGCATGGTTGAAGAACTCCACGGTTACGTCTCTGCGCTTGTCCAGTATCAAAGCTGGCCCAGGGATGTAGGCATCGATCAGCTCATCCAATTGCGCAGATCCCATCTCGGGGAAGAACTGCAAAGGGGCTCCCAGAGCAGGCTGAGAGACGGAGAAACTCATTAGGGAGCTGGAAGAGGAGTTGGATGAGGAGCTGTTTCGGGACATGGAAGACATTGGAGCGTAGATTTTGGTGGTCTCGGTATGGAAAGAATACACCTTGAATATCGCGTGTTAAGTCGGGACAAGTTTGTTGCACGGATTCACCGGCGTAGGAGATACGACAAGCAAATGCCGGTTGCGCCAACTTGATAAGCGATACTACTAGTAGTATAGACGGATTGATTGCCTATCTATCAGGATATTCGGACTTTTGCCGAATCGTCGAGTAGTGAGTGGTAAGGGCAATGACAGTTGATTGTAGCGGATGCTGACAATGCCAAGGACTACTTGTCGGGAGCACAAGCCGTAACAATTGATGAACGATGCCTGGCTCGAGATGGGAATACCTTCCGGATCTCTAGAGTGTATGGTGGATGAGCAAGTGAAGAGAAGAGGAAACAAACCAATCTCACTGTCCGGGGGAGTCACTGGAGTTTTTCACTCTCTGATGGAGGCCTGGTTTGCTGCAATGCCTCGAGATTCAACTGGCCGGAGCATGGGGGACGAGCAATGAGACATTCGGCGAAGCGAAAAGGGTATAGTTTGGGCTGAGTCCCCAGCCAATAGCCGACAAGCCTTCCAAGAATGGTCACATCCACAGATGGAACTCGTTTCGCTAACGAAACGCTGTTAGCGGAGACATTTGAAGATAGCGGAGGCACTAACATGGCTCGGCTCAAGAGACTTTTGTCATTTCGGCCGGCACCATCGACATGCAGGATGCACTGATGCCTCAGGCTTTCAACCGGCGAGACTATAATTGGTCAATGGTGCTCATCTTCCGTCGATGAGTCAAATTCAAGACCCACATGTCATCAATTGGATTATTCCTCCGCCTTCTTGGCATGATGTGCTGTGAGCATCAATGGGCCATTTGCGTGGAGGAGTCATTCATCTTGTCGCATTACGGCAGAAGATCTCGCTTCATTTGTGCCTCTATGCATAGATATTTGGCATCAAATACTGACGCACGCGACCACTCCCGAGGTTCTCTTGACTGTTAATATTGGAAGGTGGACAAGAAAAAATCTAACAGGTGAACTGGGCTTCGCGAGGCTCATCCCTATCCTATACCCCTACAATCACCATCTTCAACTATATGGCACCCAAGACATTCCCCAACCCCACAAGACCTTGAGCCTCTATGTAGGTACGCGAATGGATTGCCGGGGTAAGTGGAGTATGAAGGATGCTAGCGACAATAGTTCAACATCAAGACGGTCCCTATATCATTGTCTTGTCCTTCAGATAGTCGCGGCAGTACTTCTGGTCGGCAATTCCAGACACCTCCCTATAAGTAACGCAACACTACCCTAGCATATATATGTCGTCTTGGTAAACAAAGCATTATGTTCATTCATCGTTCTCATTCTTGCCCTACAATGGCCCATCTCATTGTATTCGAGGTAATAGCTTAAAATAGCACTTCAGTCCCATCATAAAGTACATGCAACTGGATGAGAGTTGCGCTGCGTGGTATTAGTCACATCGACGAGTTACCTAGGGGGTGTATCAGCTTCGACGATAGTCCGGGCTAACAACATCAGAGAGCTCTATTTCATGATCGACATACCCACGACGACTGCAAGAGATTGAGAAATTGGTAAATAATATTGAACAACAACAATAACAATAATAATAAAGGGTATCATGTCAAAACTAATCCCACAATGATATGAAGCACAACGGGCGAGATTATGCAGTTTGCGCCGACAAAGCAAACCAGTAACCTAAGCGCCGGCAAAACTAGCAATGCCAATATCAAAATTTATCTCAAAAGTCGATGGACAAGTACCAGATGTGCCGTCTTACAGGGCGCCATACTGAATGTTTATACGGTCATCATATCCCGACGCGTCAAACGAAAACCCGCTTTCCGACTCCCCAGACTGTGTCAGTGCCGGCGTTTCGATAAGCGTGTGGCCATAAAGCCACCTCTTCCACGATGTCCCGTAACAGTTCTGCATCAAACATTGCACCGGATGGTTGGATCCCAGAGAGAGTGATTCGCATGACAAACAGCACAACCACCACTCTTCCTCCTCGAAGGAATAGTGTTCTAGTGCAAAGTGTTGTTTCAAGGCTCCTACCGGCCCTGACCAAGAACAGTCTTCCTCCAATAGTGAGTTCGAGCTCAGTCGGCGATACTCGCACCTCCAACGACCCGGATATGCAGGCATCTCGCTGCCAATGGGAAATGGTGGCGATAGGTTCTGAAATGGTGGAGCAGGACTTGGAAGGCCTGGGTTATATGATCGCCCGAATGAGGTTTGGAGAGTCCCGGTGCCGAGGCTTACGCTGCGGCTGTCAAAATTGTTTATGAAGTTATGGAGATCTTGTTGTCTTGAATTTGGCCGCGAAGCAACCGAACTTAAGTCGCTCCCCAGGTCCTCGTCGGGTGGCAAATCGGGTGCTAGCGGGTCATCGTCCCCAAAGCCCAGCAAGTCCGTTGGTATAGGACTCAAACGAGCGGACTCTGTTTGCGTGGGTCTTTTGCGAAATTGATAAGCTTCTTCAAACTTTGACAGGTCGTAGTGGTCGCACTGGTATCCAGACGGATTAGATAAGTGCTGGAGCATTAAGATACAAGGCACCTACGACTACTTTCTTTTCCTTGCAGTGTTTACAAACAAGGTTTAATTTCCTCTTGATTGCGGTCTTGAATCTCTTCCCTACAGGCAAAGGGCCATGTCTCCGCCCTCGTAGGCGCTTCCCAGCCGTGTGTGAGACCTCGATCGTCGGTATTGCTTGATCCGCAATGTCTGTAGTCGAGACTGGTGACATGCTGTCACTTATATGGCTTTCGTTCGTCACGCTGCGTACCATTGGAGGCGCCCTGAGGTTAGCAGGGCAGGGATAGCTTTGTGATGTGACATGTTGCTCTAAATCACGCTGCTTCTCGTACCGTGCTTCTTCATCCCGGACTTGATCATATATGACTTGTTTTTCAGGTGTGGGTTCTACTAGGATTTTATGGACCTCTTGGCCGCTGCTCCTCGACTTGCGTTGTCTTGTCGTTGGTACTTTCAAAGACATGGTGATGGGCTGCCGAGGCGTCCAGATGGGTTAGAAGGCTCCCACAGCCTTATGTGAAACAAAGCAACTCGAGTATATCGCAAACTGACTGAATCAGGCCGCAGCCAGGGGAACCCGTGCAATATGAGACTTCGATCGCAATAAGAAAGAACAAATCAGGCTACAGTGGTGTGATTAAGGATGTGATAAAACACAAGAAAATTGTGTGTAGGACTTGAAGGACTAATATGAAACCAATGTACGAGGCTCAAGGCTGACAATAAGGCAGAATACCTACGTTCACGATTGCCTTCTTTCTTAGGACGTGGGTCGCCTACTCGGTATCTGGCCCCCACTCCAAGAGGCCATTTTCCTTGGAAGGAATTGCGCCTGTGACCGGCGACGTGCAAGTCCTATCAAGTCTGTTCACAAGGGGGGGGGCTCTGCGGATTTTGGCAATAAAATAACGTTGTGACGCTACAACTTGCGCAGAACGACATTGATTAATCAGTGACTTGTCAGGTTAATCTGCGGGCTTTCGGTGTGGAATTCGACGAATATGACGGGCGAGGAGTATGCGAAAAGTGAGGGGTACTAGCTGGCGGTTTACTACTGACCGCAATTCTTAAGCTGAGGCCAAAATGCACTCAACCCCCCCGGCTTCTAGCAGGGGCGTTCACTCCCAGTTTTGAACACAAGAACTTGTCAAAGCCGCCTCAAATTTTGGCGGGCAATCTAATCGTGTCGTTGAGCCTCATTGGACGAATCTTTGATTGGCATTTACCGCAGCCGCAACAAGATTGTGTGCTAACATCATATTGATCAATTAAAAACCATTGCAGAGACAAGACCCTGTTCATGGGCTGCTCAAACTAATGCAGCCACTTTAGTCTTGCGACACCAAAGTCCACTATTAATGGCCTTCCGTTGTCACCTTCCATCTCCGTTTGCGCCGCTTGGAAAGGGTGTGTTTAAGGAGCCATAACTGCAAGTGACAGCTCAACTAGGGCGTTTATACTCGAATAAGTCGTGTGCCTCCCTGCTCCAAGGGCCACCATTTGCTTTTGAAAATCCTGGTAGCGCATTCGATTGTTCTTTCGCTGGGTTGTTTGCAACACGCACAAGGACTCGGTCATCTGTGGGAATAACACGCTCGGGGATTTGTCCCGCTGCATCAGTCCGCTTCGCAGCCTTCTTTCCACGTGTAGCAGGGTTTACTATCCTCGGTACCGGTTTCGCAATGTGCACCAGCGAATTCGTTGTCTCTCTGTGCTTGTCACCTTCCAGCACCTCGGTTTTAAGCGACACATTATAAAGAGTTTCAGGTTGCTTTCTTGGTATCGGACGAGTCGTTTCCACAACCTCAGTACTGCGAGACGCTTGTAGATCGTTGTTACGTTTTGCCAAGGTATCAGGGCCATGAAAACTTTGGCTTTTCGGGTTTGCATTCGTGACTGAATCGCTTGGTTGGTCTGTACGATTAATAGCAGGCGGAATCTGTGTCAAGACCCCCTCAAGTGACGGGTGCTTGGTATTCTCCAAAGTGGTCGTAATCTTTTTAGCCATTTCAGGAGTTTCTGAATCTGCTTCCGCGACTAAAGCAGAACGACCCTGCCGATTTTCAGAGGTAACGACGCTCTCGACCTCTGCTATGACTGCCTCTGATGGTGCAAGTTTCGCGTGTTTGGAAGATGCCAAGTTCATGCTGGCTCTGGTTAGGAGCTTCGAATTTGCAGCAGGCAAGTCGCTGGGCAATGGTGAGTTACGTCGATCTTGTGCAGGAATCTCTACCGGCTTCGAAGGCGCTGCCTCTAAATCCATGTTTCCTTTGGCATCCTTGACGGGATTCGTTGCCACCATTTCGTATGTATCAGCGTAGCTCTGGAGTTGTTGATTATGAGGCAATGAGCTTGCCACCATAGCCGCAACATTCATCAATGGGGTTGTTCCCCGTTCTTCATACAACGTGGAGGGTCTCGTGGCTGCTGGAGATCTCATCCGCGCTTCCACACTCACTTGTTGGATATTAGGCACATCGCGCTTCGGTTGGAACAATGGGCCATCATTATCATCATCCTCGAAGAACAACCCGATAACTTCTTTACTGCGTACACTTTTCCTGGAAAGTTGTGCGAGTCGTGGTGGGGGTGCATTTCCAGGTTGCCGACTGAATATGTCTTCAAGGTCCTTCTCTTCTCCCTTCTTTCTTGCTGGAACTTCATGACTGTCTTCCACGACCTTTGCCGCCAGGCGTGTACATTTACTACGCCTTTCAGGGCTTTCTTTGCATCCCGAATCTTTGTTTGGTCGCTTCTTTACAAGCACTTCAGCATTGCTGGAACCATATTTGCTACAGCTCTCCCCATTCGCTGACATGACAGAATGTCGAGTAACAGTTTTCCTTTCTGGAGCAAAATTCAGCGTGTCAACGCGTGCTAATTCTTCCTCTGTGCTGGAGTTTGTGAATCCATGACTTGAGCCGTCGGCATTCCTGTGAGAGCTCTTTGTCTTCTTTATATCGGAAATCGTGGCGCCTTCTTTAGGCACATCGTCATCTATAAGAATTGGGTTGTCGTTAAATGGCTGCCGACCAACACGCTCATCGCGTTGTACTGAACCAGCCACGCCACGCTTTGAAGGATGGTCATCAGTTAAAACAAGAGATTTTCCATTCTGCTCACTCGATACCGTTTGGGGAGAACCAAAGTGGCTAGAGTTGGCTTGTGATTCAGATTTGTTGGGCTTGCGAGCCTTCTTGCTGCCTTTTTCAGAGATCATCAGAAGCCCCCTTCTCTTACTTGGTCCTATTCGTAATTCTATTCGAGGCTCACGTACCACTGGCTTCTCAATTACAGAATCCGAATTTTCTGTGCTTCTGAGCTGCTTGCCTCGTGATTTGGTGGTCTCTCCGGGTATCGAGAGCTTGCGCCCAACGGGCGAGGGTCGCAAAAGAGGATCAAGTTCGTCGACTATAGCCTTATATCGTTGGGAATTGTTCGGGTATCTTGGTTCTGTTGAGGCATCCAATGGAGCAGCAGACTCATCCGTGGGCGCTTTAACTTTCGGGCGCGGCTGGTCCTGTACATTGTAATGCGTGGTGGACCTCTTTTGCCGACCCAACTTGGCGGTGTTTTCTTCCATAGGCACTGTATCAACCTCATTATCAGACTCAATAAAGTGGTTTGCACTCCTGGACTTCGCAAGAGGAGCTTTTCGAGGTTTATCGACAATTCTTGGCACTTGAGGCCGGCTTTGGTGTAGCAAAGACGTTATGTTTGCTTTAGACCTTGCATCCTTCCCTACGAGAGCTTCGGAGTGAGGTCTTGAAGTATTGATGGCTGCAGGTTCTCTCTCGGAAAGTGGAACGCCTTGGTGAGGCTTACTTTTCGCTTGTAGAGATACTTCGTGTACCTCATCACCATCGATATCCTGCATGCTCAAAGCAGATGAAACTGGAGTATCATGTTCTTGACGATGCGTTTGGGAAGACATGGCTTTATGGCGAATTGGTGCGCTGCTCATAGGGCGCCCAGACAGCGTGAGTATCGCACCGAAGAGGCTTTGTGCATATCCGCTCTTGCTTGGTGGCGAAGCTTCTCTTCTGCGTCGCTTGGCTGGATGTGGGCTCTCTTCTTGCAGACCCGGCGATTCTTGAACATTCATTCTTTGACGTTGCTCAAACGGCGATTCGCTTGGGACCAATGCGCGACCATGGTGCCCCGTAGGCGATACGAGGCCATGCAATGGAGTATGTCGTAGCTGAAAATGAGGTGTCCCTGCTGGAGGAACAACGGGCATTCCTCCGCTTGGAGCTGGTCTTGGTCTTGACGTGCGAGCAGCGGCAGTGGATTGTCGTTGGACCTTCTCCTGGACCCGCTTGTCAATCAACTCAGACAAGTCCTGGTTGCGGCTTCCAACACATTCCGATGTCTGCACGAGAATGCCGCCGCGCTCCAGTTGGACTTCCTCACCATCCCCGAACTCATAGTCCTCACGCCAATGAGTGTCACCAATGAAGTTTCCCCGCTCATCGTAGACCATGATCCGCTGGTTAAAAGAATGGAACTTGAGACGCCCATCTTGCCAGCGTTTTTGTTTCCTCTTCAGATCATGGGTAAAGAGGCATACGAATTCGAGCACTTGAGCACTACTTGCTTGACCCTGACCCGAAGTGGACAGTGCCAAGCTCTGCATGCCCTGAGAGGTTGTCGGCATTGCGACTTTGGAGCAGTCACTCATTCGTGAATATTCATATAAAAAATGCTGTCAAGACCCCATGTTGTAGCATATGGGCTAGTCTTGTGGTTCTCGTGAAAGATGTTGCTCAAGATTTGCTCATGATGGCAACGACAGACGCGTTTCGACTCTCCAAAGTTGTCATCCATACAGGCAGGCGCGACTGTAGCGCGGTTGCACGTGTCTTAGTGGCAACACACCGGCGGTCCTCAATTAAGTCACCGATAAAGTGATAGCGCATCGCACGGCCATTGAGGGGCTCTTGGCAGATTCAACTTTCCTCCATGTATGAACATTCAGATGGAATTCTACAGCTAGGGGGGGGGGGGGGGGGGGGGCGTTTATTTTGGGGTTTTTATTATGTAGGTGTGTGAGGGGGCAGCGAAAAATTAATTAAAGGTGAAATATATGCAATGCGCAACCAATGTTTATATATTTCCGTTCTCCAAGACTCTTCTGAACCTGCCATTTCAACTCCACGCTCGCATCAATCAAATGGAGTCGGCAATCTTATCAGAAAGTTTGCTGACGTACGGCCGGGTAGCTTCATGTCGTTCTCTAACATGTGTTAGGCGGCTCTCAGCGTTTGGCTTGGGTTGAGTTGAAGAACCTTGCCAGTATGCACAATTTTCCTACAGGCAATTCAAATTCATTGTTCTGAGCGACATGGTTTAGCGCTTGTAGCGGCGTTGTACGTCAGGATGGCTGTGTACTAACCTTAGAAGGTTTTACTATGCATGTCGATGTCTGGTTTGATCTGGTCTGATTTAATCTACACCCGGCCGTTGAAACAATGGCTCGCTGAAGCAACGAACTAACCTTCTGACAGAAACTTGGTCGTACAAAAGTGCGACTGCTACCCAAATTATACTACTCAGGCCCGTCCATGTTTAAATAATCAAATATCATCATCCATCAATTGACGAATGGGATACTGCATGGCGAGAACAAATATCTACGGTTAGGTTGTTGGATGTGTTTTGCATGAAGAAATTCATGTCGCGCACCTCTCCTGCTGCTGCATGGTATTTTGCTAACCGGCTACACGGCTACGCCTGTCCTTATCCTAGGGCTTCTTGTACGTAACTCGAGTCGAAGGAGTAAACCTACAACTACTTGCTTTGCGCCTGCACACCATTTAATCGGGTCCTTTCAATTTTCCTTGCCATGTATCACGATGAATTAGACCCCCAGTCAAGAGGCACAGCCTTACGGCGCCGTTGATCCATGTGCCTTTCGGGCGTTCCACCACGCACTACTGCCTACTACGGAGTGCCTACATCCTCCATCCTACTGCACATCCTATGTGCGCATGTACATCCTAGATGTGCCGGGGATCCATACTGGTAGTCCTGGGAAGCGAGGAAGCTACCTACACTGACTCTGACGCAAAGTAGCGGCGCAAGCAACACTCCTTCGCTGCCACAAACTTATTCCTCTAACCTCCGCAATCTTAACGAGTTGCGCTTGTATATTTTTTTTGGGGGGGCGGTCAAATGTGTTCTGTTAGAGTAGAGCCTCCATTCATTTGAACTGCTGATCATCAGCACATGTCCGCTCGTTCAGCAGCCCCAAACCAGCAGCTTCAACAACCGGAATCGCATTTGTTAGAGTACCCCGCAGAACTACACCAAACCACCTACAGCTAGGCACAGAGCCCAGGCAGAGCAGCTACCGACAATGCAGGCAGTGCAGAGACAGTTTGGGAAGCTCACCCACAAGGCTCCCGGCGACAATGCCAAAGTCAGTGCCGTATTAAATGATTACGAGGATGCAGACAATGTTCTTGCCAAGGTACAATTCATTCCAAGGTTTCAACGCAAAAATCCTATGCATATATCTAACCCACTATTCACCATGACAGATCATCGAAAACACCAAATCATGGCGCGATTCATGGGTCGCCCTGACGTCCACGCAGCTAGGCATAGTCACCGAGTATGAAGGACTATACGACCCGATCGAAGGCACTGGTAGAGCCACTGTCCGACCGGCAACTGGTACCCCCGAACTGCAGCTAAACCGGACCTTTGAACTGAAGGGTGAATACGGCCAACTCAAGACCGATCTCATAGAGGAGCTTGCCGTCATAGAGTCTAGCATCATTGTGCCGGCAACCACTGCACGAGACTGCCTTGCCCCCCTTCGAAAGACCATCAAGAAACGAGAGAACAGGAGGCTGGACTACGAAAAGGCGCAGGACAAAGCCCTGAAGTTGCAGAGAAAGCCTGGAAAGTCTCCCAAGGACGAAATGGCTCTGGTCAAGGCTCAGGAGGAAGTCGCTAAAGTTACCGATGTACGTTCTTGTCCTTCCGCGTGGCCTACGCCGAGGTTGCAGCACAACACGAACCGCAGCTCGGTGCTAACAATCAGTCAAGGAGTTCCAGACAATTGATAATCATGTCCGGGAGACTTTGCCGCCTATCGTCAACGCTGCATTCAGCATAGTACCTCCCTTGGTGAGCTCAATCGTTATGATACAGAACCGCCTGCTCGGCCTGTACTACACAGTCCTACACAACTACTGCGAAACGCACAACTTCCCATCGCCACCGCCACCCATGGAGGACGTCATCGCAACATGGCAAGCTGCCTTCGGTCCGGCAAGAAAAGAGGTAGAGTCTGTTAGTTGCATCGCTCACGGCCGAGCCGCAAGACAACCTATGCATGTCACCATAGAACCACAGCCTGAAGAAGGCCGGAAACCCTCTACTGGCACCGTTGGCTTCCGACGTGCCTCGACCAATCCTGTCCCTCCAAGGGACGAAGGGCCCGGCCCTATGCCTCCCAGACCAAACCGAATCCCATCGACACCAAGTATTTCAACACCCATCGCGACCCCTGGGCCACGGCCTAGTTTCAGTAATGCAAATTTCGCCTCCAACTCGAATTTGGGTGTCCCGACCGAGTTTACCACCGCATCCGGCTTCGGACGTTCACCACCGGGCACTGTTTCGCCTCGGGGTCTTTCGCCTGGTAGGATCTCGCCTGGGAGGATCTCGCCGGGCAGACTTTCGCCTAACTCGCAGAAGCCGCGGACCGACTACTTCTCAACCAGGCCTCCGAGCGCAGCATCGACAGCTCCGTCTACCATCTCCTCCGCCAGCGTCAACCCTGCATTAGGCAAGAAGAAGCCGCCGCCGCCGCCGCCCAAACGTATTGCCTCCAACAAACTGCCAGAGGAATTCATGGTGGCACAATACGCGTTCGCAGGCCAGGGCGCCGGGGACTTGTCGTTTCAAGAGGGCGACCGGATTCGAGTGGTCAAGAAGACGGGCACGGATCAGGATTGGTGGGTTGGCGAGTTGAGAGGCACCAAGGGCAATTTTCCCGCCAATTATTGCAAGGAGGCATGAAAGGACGTCGTTCTCGAAAAGGAACCGCCCCACGTGACGTGACCGACGTCGAGCATGTCAGTTACGGCGTTGAATGGTAAATTCAAAAAAGGAGGTTAGGCTAACCCGTTGATCAGTTTACTGCTGGTTTTCCTTTTTTTTTTTTTTTTTTTGGGTGGAGGGGGGTAGTTTATGGCTTTTTGTATGTCGACATCACGAATTATGACTTAAATAATTATCATTGTTTTGTCTCGGCCATTATCACACTTCAGGCGTTGCTGATGCTTTTGCTTGCAAGTGAACAGCTGGCTCCGTTCGCAAAGGATACTGATTATAGGCTATGATGAATTCCAGCGACAGGAAGTATATTGAACCATCGCCGCGAAGCCATTGGTCGGCACCCAAGCGCCAAGCACCAAGCAATACAAAAGTTCAGCGATTGGTTGATGCCTTGACGGAACAACTAACCACGGCGCAATATGAGAAATGATAACAAAGAAAGAAAAGAAAAGAAAAAGAGAGAGAAGGAAAAATGTGAAAAGGATTTGTGCGTTCAACTGTGCTCATTTTGATTTGATCTATCTAGTCTTTTGAGACCAGCGTAACCTTCGAGCCTGCTTCCTCACACTGCTATCCCCGACGTCATTTCAAACTGCTCCTTTGCAGTTTCATAGCTGTTTCTCCTTTTTCCTTTTCGGGGACCACACACACACACACACACGCCTCGTTCATGCGAAACAAAACCAAACAAATGAAAACGATCTCAAAGCATGTTGAATCGAAACCCATGCATCAACCGGCTGGGTGCTCGTGAAACTCCGTTGCCTAACTCTATGGCGATAAAGAAAAATGGATCTGTAATTCTATGGTGATGTCCGGCTCAGATCTTCCTCCCAGATCATCTTGCCGGACGCAGAAGGTATAATGGGTATCATGGAGGAGTCGTGTTTAACAGCCGTTTATTTGCTGCTTCAAACTGAATGATCTTGCGGGGGTAGCGTGAGCTTTGCTTTATTCGCTCAAGTCCAAAGTGGCGAGTTTGACCGGAACCAAGACGTGTATGAAACTTGATGATGACTGGCCTGTGGACGCCATCGGACCATTGGGTTTCGACGTCATCCAACGTTGTGTGAGACGCCTTATCTCCAAATGGGAAGCTCTACCGATAACTTGTTGAGATATTTTCGCAGGTGTTCCGAGACGGGGTACTCAGAATACAGGGCTAAGAGCCGGTGAACGCGCGCCTTCCCGGCGGCGTCGCTCTTCCTCAGCCCGTATTGCCCGTGCAACTTCCTCCATGTGTGGTTGGTCCTCTGAACGGCCTGATCGAACACCGAGGTAATCGTCGTCGTTTGTTTCGAGATCCAGTGGTGTCACGGGACCAGGGCTCCCAAGCGGCATAAGATTCGGCTTGCTGGGCTTTGTGGGAATGCCGGTGAAGCCCATGTTTCTCAAGGATATCGCATTGCGTGCCGCCGCATTGACATTTCCGCCGCTGAGCGCCAAAGTCGCCTGTGCAATCATGTCTCTCTGGTACTGTTGCAGTCGACGCTTAGCCTCGGATTCCTGTCGCGAATGTGCTGGACCATCTGCTCGAAGTGTGGGCACATGAGACTCAGACTTGATTCCCGTGGATGGTGACACCGATACAGGTGGACGATTTGGTGATAAGTGTTGCTCCGGTTGTCTGTTCTCATAGTTCGAAGGGTAGTATTTCCCCATGGGAAGAGGGTTTGCATGAGCCCCGCTGGGCATGTAGGATGCAACGGGGGTATTGCGGCCAGCCATTGCCTTTGGGGGAGGCGCCGTGGTCTGAGAAGGCATTTTGACAGGTAATGGGACTCTTGCTGATGGGGCCAGGCCAGTGACTGGAGGAGCAGATGGAAGCGGAAGACAGTCCGGCGAGCAAGCCTGTGCGTCCTGAATAGACTTTTGCCGTGCTTTCGATGCGTCTAGGTGAAATGGATGGCTACGGTAGACGCGGGCCTGATCCTCATGAAATGGGAAATATCCGCTAAATTCAACAAAGGTGTTAGCTGTGCAAAACGAGCAACCGGGTCATGTTGACTTTTTCCTTTCCTTTGTTCTCGAATAGAAAAGAAGAATCAAATGTCACGGCTCAGGGCAAAACAACCTACCCAGGAAGATCTCCGCGTGCTGATAGTGGTGCTGGTGGAGTGTATACTGATGAGCTGCTAGGTGTTGACTTCTTAATGGTAGGAAGTTCAATGGCAATAGGCCGGCTAGCAGATGTTGGCGAAGAGGGCGGTGACGCTGCCTCTATAATTTTGGACGAGTCAGCAATTGTTATCGGACCAAGGTTAGTGTTGTGTTGTGTTGTGTGGTGAAATGTATGGTGAAAAATGTAAGGTAGGGGGACCGGAGCCAGTCGCAATGTGACTATGTGACGCACTTGGTCGCTGACCGCTGGCAGCGTTACTGTGTAGAAAGGGCAATCCGGGTCATGGAGCGCGAAAACTGGGAATCCCATGCTCGGAATGGGAAACCCGCAAGGGTAGAATTACAGGGGAAATGGCGCTCGGGTTCGGACCCAAACTCTTGGTTGTGCGCCATTCTCGCTAGAGAATGCCACTAAAGCCGCTTGGAGCCGCAAGGCAAGCCACGGCGCCCATAGCAGGATCCGAGGGACCCCCAGACCCTGAAAACCCCAGCAAGCGAATGCTGAAGCACCCCGCCAATACCCTGCTTGATGGTACGACAATGGGTGTGGCGGGGGGCATTAGCGGCTGCTTTGGCTGCTCAACCATCCAATGACCAATGCGTGCAGATGGGGCGCCGGACCGGATTGGATCGGATAGAGGCTACTATCCTTCGTCTCGCGATGCGACTCCGGCAAGAACGGCAACAAGCCACCACGAGAATATCTCCGAATAGAGGAGAACATGGTGCATGTAAACTCTACATGAACGTGTGCCTCTGCGACCGAGGATAAAATATGATCCAAGTCATGGAGCGGGGAATGGGGATATGGAATGGAAATATGAAGTAGAAACTCAGGAACCATAAACAACTCATGAGAAGAAGGTTTCAATAATAATAATAATAATAATAATAATTGTATAAAAGAATTTAACGTACCAGGAAGCTTCAAATGCATCTCGCTTGGTCTCTTAGCAAGGTCAGGCCAGGGACTGCCCTGAGGCGTCGGAGATGGTCTTGCTGAGAAGAGGATCTCATCGTGATTGAAATCACCAGGTGAAGATGGTGCTGACGACATTTCCGAAGTGTTTGATAAGTTGGACACGGACCTGCCCTGCATACCTGGACGGCGTGAAGCAGCCATCGTAGTCAACAACGACGGTGGCTTGAATGAACGGCCAATGCTGGCCATTTCTTAAGCATCAAATGAGACTACCGTGAACCAGGGCTTCCGAACTTCTGGGCGTCCTAGGGCGGAGGACAGAAAATTAGCATTAGTCTGTAGAGATGTTGCGATTATGACCTCGTAAAGAAATCGCGCCGCTCTCTTCGCAATTGGGGGTCGTATCGAGTATCAGAGTGTCACTTGTGTGGTTGCTTGCAAGCTCTGGTGTGATGGCTTTGTCCGCAAACCCGGGGAACCTTCACAGCAGCTGTATATAGCTCAAGCTGTCGCGATTGCTTGAGTGCTTGTGTTTTTCGGTACGCGCGTCTGAGGCAGGGAGTTGATGCAACCCCGCCGTTGCCGTGGCAGAGTATAAAGCGGTAGGTAGGTCTGGGGATATGCACAATGGCAATGCTTGTTGAGAAAAGGGCGGCTTACCTTGCAATGCAGGGAATGTTTTGAACTTGGAAAAAGGGTCTTCGGAAGCTAATAAACTAATTGAACAAGGCACACCGCAACGAGAGATGCTTTCTCCAGCTGAAATAGCTGAGTTTAGATCGTCGTCTTTCTGGTGTGATGTCTCCACTGACAATTTGTCCAACGGCACAGGTGAGGTGTGATGGAGAGGACCCGCATATACTACGAAGGCCACCTTTGTTGCCCTGTTTCCACTTCGTTGACCTCTTAGATTTTGAGTCTCCTTTAACCGGGATGATCAAAAATGAGTGGCATGTGAATGAGGGTGTCGATGTCTTGAAGTGAGAAGTTACCGTCCGAGAAACCATAGACTCTCAGACGTTGGTTCGACGACGGCGCAGGTCAGTGTAGGAAAGGTGCTGAAATGTCAGAATGTTGAGAATCACAGGTGACTGCTTGGCTGTCTGATGACTTGATAATCGAGACAAAACTGGTTCAAAAAGTGAAGTGATGGATGGAGCTTAGAAGGTGCTGCCAGAAATGTGCAAAAAAGGATAGCAGATCTACTTGACAGCTCGTATCAGGTTTAGATCAAGAGCTCGGAGCCGGTTGACAAGGTACAAACACAATCATTAGCCTTATCAGGTGCCAGGAGCTCTTCCAATGAACACAAGGAGACTCGAAGGTTAGAGGCTGGAGGACCCTGAAAAGCATCGACGTTGGACCCTTATAAAAGTTAAACACTGGTTGGATCCATGCAGATAAATGATCTGCCTTATCTGAATGGATTGCACTTCCCGTGCACAGATTCATCACCCGGCCCGGACCACACCAGCGTGCAACCCTATGTATGGGAACAACACCACCCGAAAGCTTGCATTACTTGCTTCAAAGTTGCGCATATTCTGTCACTTGGCTTGAGGTGGTATCTGTCGGGTAGGAATTGTGATTCATACGAGGCAGCGCGAGGATGGTAATCCATGTCTGTCCGCGTCGCATGCAATGCTCCAAGATGGAGTATTAGTCAACGTTGCGCTGCCCAAAGTGGGCTTACACTATCCGGTGTAACCACTCGCACCTGCAGTATTGAGTGTGGTCGCATGTCACTGTTGTTTATGACCTTATTCCTGTAGTACTCATGCAGATGACGATAGAGCGACGTGAGACAAACATGCAGCGATCTGCAAGAACCCGACCGCCTTTAGGACTTGTACGTCCCTTGGCTCTTTGGCGCCTCATGCCTGGCTTGCCTGGCATTGGGCGATGCTCCTGTAGGCTGCTGTGACTTGAACATTTGATCCACAAAGTTGTAATGTTTCAGATGTTATTCCTGTCTCCTGATTGAAGGACTTTGAGAAGGCGACAAAAGTTTCTGCAGTGTCGACGCCTTTTCTTCGGTTATCATGCATGCAGGCCGCATAGCCAGCCTCTGCGATCGAGCGAGCGGCCGATCTTGATGTCTAACGGAAGTCGGACATACATCATTTGTGTCAACATGGACGTCGATAATGCACCCCCTCTACTGTTGGTATTAATTCAAAACATGCTGCAGTCTATACCACGGTTTGTAATACACCACACCACGACTTTGATCTTCACGTTTACCGTGGTGATTGCAATCTTGTGGGCGCGTCTGTTTGAGAATCTGCCTTGGCTCTTCCCGCTCGTGAGCCGCCGATTCGACGTCTTTTGGTGGCATCAGACACGGCACGCCGATCTGTGATGATCAATCCTCGAAACGATTATGGCTGGCGTGGTATCGAGGGAAAACAAAGCCACAGAACTTGTTTTGGCGCATGCTGATCGATGCAATCCATCAACAAATATTTAGGACAACTCTGCAAAAACCCTTTTTCGAACCTCCAACGTGTCAGCAGAGGTTGAGGGATCGTGAGGATCTCGGGACTCGGTGGCGAAATATTTCGCCTCACATTACAGTAAAGGTATCCAATTTCTACAACTCCGCTCAAATGCAGGCGTCCTCAGGAGATGTATGGCTGCATCGAAGGATGGTGTTGAGAGTGCTCCGTACAAACAATCCATACTTCCCCACGCCCTCGCAGCATACTCTGTTCAGTTCCATAAATGTTAAAGCAAGGACCACTCAAAGGCATAGGGGCTATCCCCGTAGCGGCTTCATGACGTCGGTGGAACTACGAAGAACCCTGCAATGACCTTTGCAGGGTCGCAACACTAGAGGAAGCTAGCCTGCCACTGTCCAAGCTTGTGGATCGAGGTAACTTGCGGAAGATATTGTGAATTACCTGCCATGTATGGCTTGATGGCAGATGGCTCCACGATGTCTTTGAGACCAACTTAGTGTAATTTGTCAATGGGAGCATTGGCCTCTAAGCTAAGAGTAAGTTGACCTTGGACTATGGTGAAATGTTCACATGTTCAAATTGGGTCAGCCTGTCGATCTTGTTTAGTCCGGCCGCATGTTTGGCGCCAGTAGCTTTTGTTTTGTATTATTTCATTTTCACTTGTAGCAAAATGCAGTTCGAGGCAGAACAGAGCTCAAGGCCTCCACCACACACCAAGTCAACATAGTTGCTAACTGGTGGTGACGCCTCAATCTAATAGAAACTCTCATGTCCCCATATTGCGTACCCCGAGAGTGCCTATCCCGAAAGCGCGGCCGTCCCCTTAACCCACGCTCTGAAGAGGAAAGTTATCTTCAGAGTATAGGTTATGTCACATATACACACTCCGAGCGGTAGGCTGCTGGCTCCAAACGTCGATGGAGCCGACTTTGCAATAGTTCCATTTACGAGGTCAGAGTTCCGCAAGGGAGAACGCTCATCTACCCAGTGTCTTCTCACGCACCCCTATCTCCAATTTCTTCCCTTTTATGCAAGCAAGTTCCCTACACGGTACGCGATCTCCAAAATTCCATACCCCTCAACAGTCGGTCCTTACGCTGCGCACGCGAACGTGGAAAACACAGACTATTAAGCGGTCAACATGGCAGTATTTGTGTACGTTATTAATTGTTGCTAAACATCTGACTCCGTAATACTAATGCGCGAGCAGGGGTATACTGAAAATCCAAACAGCTATCCGCTATGGACAGCAATCGCGCGCCAGAAAGTGGTATCATATACATGGCTTAGAAGCAACCTTGGTCCGACGCCCATCATTAATGCCCGTAGTTTCCTTTCATCTCACACATACTCATTATCGCCTAGGTCATGGTCTGTATCGCTAAAATATTCCATGGAACCTGAAACGCCTTTACGCCCTCCAAGCAGACGAGGTTCGTGTCGAGGCATTACGGCCGAGGGTGGCGCGTCCTGTAAATCGGCTGTGTCGCTCCTTGTGAGCCCACCAGTAGGCGGCACCAAAGACTGTTCCCACGAACCATAACAGCAAGTTGACCAGGTCGATCCACACGGCGTTCTTCATCCGGGTGATATCCCCGTTTCCTTCCGGGTTCTCGTGGATGTACATCTTGCCAAAGATGCCAAATACTGCGCACCAGAGTATGAAGATAACCAAGCTCCAGGCCGGCACTAGAGCAAAGCGGAGGATGAAAGGGATGAAGTAGAGGATCGAAGTCAGGGCGGACAGTGATCCAACGACGACCGCGTAGACCTATGTATGAGATCAGTCCACTGATTCGTGCCAAGCTGCCATTGCGATTCTTCCAAGTCAAGAGACGCTGAGCTCTTTGAGATTGGATGGGGAAAACTTACCCATTTTCCATCAGCATATACATGAGCTTTGCGAGCCCGGTCGAGATCGGTGCCATAGAGACCTATGACAACCAGTGCCATTACAAACTGGCAAAAGTGCAGTAATGAGAAGAGCAAGTAGCTCAGGGCCATGCCGAAGAGGCCCATCTTGACTTGTCGTATTTACTCGCGAATCGTGCCGTGGTGTGTCTTCGTGAATTGTAGATCAACGCTGCACGGAAACAACGCGTATGATCGTCTGAAGTACGTCTGGAATGTCGGTGAAGAGCTGAGGCGACACAACCCAAGAATGAAGGTGCGAAATCACCAAATTTGAGACTCCCGTGCGCAAAGGTTAGCGCTTCATTTCCAAGATTCAATGTTTCTGTTTATGACGTAATGGGTCCCTGTCAAAGAGCAGCCGCGCCAAAATTGGCAGAAGCTAGACTAGATTGCGACGCGCCACGGTAGAGGAACTTTCCTTGAACAGGGGTTTCACGACTTTCCCATCCTATCACGATGACGATTTCCCATCTAAATCGAACGCGGAGCTTATTATCTGGGTTCCTGGAATGAGTATGAAGTCTAGACTGGGGTCCTCTGATACATACATAGTACAACTTCAAAGAACGCTCTTCGGTATAGTCAAGCAGGGGGGTTACAGAAGTTGGTACGCACGAGTAGACTCCACACCGCCAGCAGTAAAAACGAACCGAAACCCAAGTTTATTTAATCTTGTTCCATCTGTTGCCAGTGACATCGCTACAAATGATTCTAACTCATCCTAACCGATTCTGGCAGCTCCAGCTCACTCCATCTCATGAAACCTGAAGGTTTCCCTAAAAGTGCTTGGAGAGATCGCCGAATCTCGGCTCTACCACTTGGCAGTATATTAAACGGAATGAAGCAACATCGAGGTCTTCTAACTCATCCGCGTGGCTGCCATACTTGCTAGTATAAACCCCCGACACTTGTGATATTTGTTAGCAAACCTGGCTTATCACCGGATGCTACTCGTGAGAACACGAATTTGTATGGCAATTCGGCGTACATTTTATTTTGCAAGATTTTCTGCAGGTGGCAACAGCCATGCATTCTGTGCTTCGGCATCCATTACAAATGGCTGTGTTGATCCCCTCGGCAATTTGCCCTAGATGAAATCACATGATGAAAAACCTCTCACTTTCTTGTAATGCCTGAGCCTAGGAGTAACCTATGCTGGCGGTTACTCGTGTCTTGTCAAAACGGTACTGCACCGGATTAATATTGAGGACGTTCTCCGCGTACTGGTTCCCTTACGTTTGCGCACCCTCTACTGAATCAGACGGGAAACACGAACTGTACGTATGTTGGCAACAAACCGGAGTGCTTCAGCTTTGTTGCAATGATGCTGTTCTACACCGCGAATTCAGTATGGTATGAGGATCTTGTGTCATGCACATATACAGTGTGGGTGTTGCCAGATGGTCGAATTGTGTTTTTGTGTATCCCCGGACACACGCGAGGGCCTGGGAGATCTCCGTATATATGTGCGACGACACTACTCCACTTCCAAAAGACCGTTTATCGGAAGTATGACGGGAGCAAGTGTCCAAGTATAATAATCCAGGTGGTTCATACTATCTCATATCCCACAGAAGAAGACAATCATCTTACGTGACATCGCAGGCGTTCCGTATGGCAGCAGGTTGGATGGAGCGTGGCCCTGGGCGTTTCTTCCTGCATGTTTCCAAGTCTCGAGGGCAACCTATAGACATACCAACCATCAGTAACCGTGGCCAGTGGGCTATGATTACACGTGGAAGGTGAATTATGAGCCTGAAACAGGCCAGTGGCAGAGCCTTTGGGGCATCTACTCTTGTTGGTATTCATCACGATCGCTATCCTGATCGTCTTTGCCGAAAATGTTATTCCACCACGAGAACATGCTCGTTACCTCTACCGCAATAGAATGCCCGCCCCCTACGACCCTGAATTCATTCGCCGATGGGCTGGTGGTTGTACAGACGATTACAGACAAATATCAACGGTGATTCAAGGACTCAAGATGAAACATGTGAAAAGTGGTATCATTAAGTATGTTGAGCCAACCTCCATTTTCGTTTGCTAGCTCGTTGTTTCGAAGCCAATCCAGCCCACCCTGTTGCTATGATACAATCAACCTGTCCCAAGTGGCCTATGGGAAACAGAGATATGTTTCCGGATATGATTATACTCTTATTTTTCTTTCGAAGACCGGCAATCCCGTCGAGTCGCGTGACATAGCAAAACCGCAGTCGGTTCCTGTGATGTTTTCTCGGATGTGCAGACCCGGGCCCGCTGGACAGAAGTCGAAGTAAACTAACTCAATAAATCCAGCTCTTTAGAAGACTGCTGAGCCGAGCATATGTTGCAAGGCTGCATCCATGAATGGCCGGAATCCTTGTTATGCAGATTAAGCAGCAGCCGTAGCTGTTGCTGCTCCAGACACTGATTGCCGCTTCTTCGCTTTGGCCTTTGCGGCGGCAGCCTTTTTAGCTGACTCATCCTCCAGTGCCTTTTGCGAGAAGTCCTTCCACTTTCTCCAACCATCAAAATCGATCAAGGCTTGCATACATCCCCACTCCATAACCTTTCTCTCTAACCAGACAAAGTTTACGGGCTACAGCGAGATATGATTAGCGTGTCTTTTGAACGGGACCGATGAGGACATACCTTTGTCAAGAAATCGTTGCAGCCAGCAGCCAAGGCTTCGTGTCTGTCGCTCTGAAGGGAACTGGCTGTCAAGGCTACAATAATTACAGGGCTCTTGAACATCTCCGTGTTCGGAAGCTTATCCTTTTCGTCCAGCTCGCCTTGAACCTCATCTGGAGCTCGGCTGGCAGATGAGGAGAAGACGCCTATCGAGTTGACTTTTTCGATTCTTCTGATTTCGCGAGTAGCGTCCAGACCATTCATGATTGGTAGCTGAATGTCCATCAAGACCAAATGAAACCCACCCGATCTCCACTTGGTAACAGCGTCTCGGCCATTCATTGCTGTTTGCCATCTAACCTTGAGTCGTTTGACGAAAGCTTCGAGTAGTTTCAAGTTGATGATGTTGTCTTCGACGATCAGAACATTGATGGGCGGAACACTGCCGTTCAGCATGCCAGGTGGAAGTGACGGGGCCTCCATGGTCTTCTTCTTCTTGGGGCGTGCAAAAGACCGAGGCGATGCCACCCTGGGAGGTGGGGGAGTGGCAATGCGTTCCGGTGCGGGAGGTGTGGGCATCGGAGGAGCGCTCGGAGGCGGGTGAGCATGCGGATGAGCGGCATGGTTTGTCTGATCTGTGGAGGCACCTGAGTGAGTCCTTGATCGCTGAGGTCTTGTAGTATAAGTGTGCGTACCAATGCTTGCCGGAACCGGTACTGGGTGTTGTGTGTGCGATACATGACTGGTGGCAGTCGATATCGGAGAAGCAGTATGCAATCTCTGTATCTTCGGCCTCGCAGCCAGACGTCTCGCAGCGCTACCGCCAGGAGAGGGTAATGGAGGCAATTGACCGTTGTTGAGAATGGCCATGGAAGGAGTCATGTGCATTGCGCCTCCGTTGGTGGCTAGTGTTGCGTGTGATTGAGCTGCCGGGGGATATGGTGGAAAGTACTCGGTCCCTGATTCGTGAGGCCTGTTGACATCGTCGCTGTAGTATCTGATATTGGGTGACGCTTTCGGAGTTCTGCGTGTTGGAACGTCGATCAGAAGGGCGTCGTCCACGGTTTGTCCGCCTGGGAAATATGCATCGATCGTCCTTCCCATCGGTTCGTCTGGTTGGAGGTGACGAGGGTTCTGTTCCTTTGGAGCGATGCGGATTGTGAGGTCTGGAGAGTCGAACTGGCGGCCGAGGGAATTGGCGTATTTGCGTAGGATCATGTCGCGCACATCGTCGACCAAATCCTCTTCGTTGATTGTGACCATGGTGGCCGAAGCCCCTGGTCGCTTGACCCAGATCTTCCTGGTCACCATGTTTCCGCTAATAGGCAGTAGTTGGTCCGAATCCAGGTCGTGCACCTGTCCCGAGTCCAGGAGGGTCCTGATCAAGGCCTCCTGTCGGCTGGGCACGAGGCTCTGGCGTCTTGGAACGGCGGGACGAGATGCGGTGGGAGAGGAATGTAGGCTGGGTGAGACGGGGGTGACAATGTCGATGCCAACAGCGTCGGCTCGGTCGGGATCAGTCAGAGCAGCTGGCCGGCGGGCATGAGTATCAGCATTCGCGGGGGTTTGATGAGCATGAGCCGAAGGTGTTGTCGTGGAAGCAGGTTCGGAGCTAGTTTTGAGGGAGGGTGGAGGTTTTAGTAGTGTAGCAGCGATGGCTTTGTCCGTGACCGAGTCTATTGTGGGCGATTCAATTGCATTATCTGGAGTCGCAGGTTGCTCGGTAATGCTGGGGAGAGAAGTGTTGTTGACTGCAGGAGATGTTAATGCAGTCGCAGTCGCAGTTGCAGCCGCCGGGGAATTAGCTTTTGCTAGGCCTGGGGCCCGAGTATTATGCTGCTGCTGATCGCTGCATGTACCGAGCGTGGAGCCTTCATCGGCTGTTTCGTTGGAGTTGCCAGTGCTTGTGCCTGTGCCTGTGCTGGTGCTGGTATTAACGTTGGCGCTAGCTAGTGTCTCACCATGGGCTACAGAAGCCATGTCCATTTCCTTTTCCCTTGCTTTTCCTTTTTCTGATTCCTTTTCGTGGATCTGACCGTCTTCATTGTCATCATAATTATTGTTGTTGATGTTGGAATCGGGCGTCAAAGTATTAGTTTCCATGGATTCCGTGTCTCCCGGTGATATTGCTGCCACCTTCGTAGGCTCTCTCTGCTCGGCATTTCTTGCTGCAGCGGACGTAGACACCCCCGTAGATGGTCTGCTTTTGCCTGCACCCATTTTCATACCGTCTGCCCGAGAGTCGTTGCTCTGCGAGTATGTGCTCGAAACCTTGGGCTCTATTTCCGTGTTGACTATTGCTCCTTTGTGGTTGCCGTCCTCACCAGCTTCTTTCGAGGTATGATTTGACGAAGCTGCATAATTGGTGCTCCTCTGGGACCCTGGCCGCCCAGACTTGGTACTGTCCCTGCTCGAGGTTACCGATGGTGAGTTGCTGTGGCGCCGGAGCAGCTTCGCCTTGATCAGGGCCCTGAGCTCGCCCATTGAGGTGTGCTGGAAAAACGACGAGACATTGGACTTGGGCTCGGACTCCACATTGCCCGACATTCAAGCACTTTTCTTTTTGCAGATGCTCTGGAAGGGAAGGAAACAAAATCTTGGTTTAGAGGGTTAGGAAATTATTTGGGGAGCGTAGTAGCACTCGGCCTGTGGACGACAGATATGGCCTAAATCATTAGTGATAAAAGCGCCACTACCGTTAGGAACGGCTTCGGTCATGCGATGGACGAGACCAGACAGAAAAAGAGTGTCCTGACCTTGCACTACAACAAATACGTGCAGGCTGGGGTAGTATTGTGGTATCCCAATATCACGCTTACTTGGTTTTAGAGAGATGCAGCAGTGACTCCTTGTTCTTCTCGGAAAGTGGTTGAAATTACTGGCCCAGAATGGACTGAAATCGTGATGCGGAAGAAGTGTGCACCAAGACAAAAAAGAAACAAGGATTGGAATATTGGAATCGCGCTGTCGACGCGTTCCCAGGCCTCAAAGGCTTCCCTGGGGAACGAGAGAGCGCCAGGGGGCCCGTCCTTCCTCTCCCCACTCCGGTCGAGATCACTATCGCCACATAATCCTTGCAAAGAAACATGAGGCAACCGACGGCCTGATTCCGACATCATGTTTGCTTTGCTTCCTCCGACAAGACGTGCATTCGCATTGCTCCGTGACAGCGACAAGCAAACGAGTAAGGCTGAGCATTATCAGGGACCCGGAAGCAGACGATTCAGGCAAATATCAGGCCACATTCTGGAAACTAAAGGCTAGTCTGCATATGCTAAGCAGCCGTTGGGCATGAGCAGCACCATAAAGCGAGAAAGATGACATTGGACCTTAGACTAGCTACGCGAGCTAACAGATGCTACCACTCAGGAGCACATACGCCTGGGGTGAAGGTTTAATGTCTTATACCCCCTGGAAGCATCTTGGCAGCCGCGAGAGTGATGTTTCGGCTTGTGGATTTTAATCACCATGTCTGTTGACAAGGGCATACATATCCTTGCTTCAACGTTCGCGGCGATGACCACGTTTGTACAAGTTTTTATACCAGCAGATACATACTCGGTTAAAAACTTGCGAATTGGCAATATCACACCAGCTCGACATGTATACGAGCGCAATTAAGTTTGTAGGGCATTGATACAGCACTTTCCTTCTTTTAGGTCTCACCCGGTATCACTGCGCCGATGCTTGGGTATAGCCTTCTGTCGGGCAGGCCAATTCGTCGCGGGCTTGACTATCGTGACAAGCTTGGAAGCCAATGCGGATGCCGTCTGATTCATGAGTATCTTCCGATTGTAATTGCAAGGGGAGCGAAATTATAATCTTACAAAACAATAATTTGAATGAATGAAAGACTCACTCCAACCTCTTCTAGTCCTCGGGCGTTTGTGGGTTTCTTAGCGAGGACTCGTACGGATCCGCAACAGGCCTCTGAGTCTAAAAGAACTCAAGGTTGAAGGCCCGTCGCCGACGGGTATTGGATGTTCAAGACGCAGCAGCGGCCCCACATCAGATTAATCCGTTCTTCCGGGCCCCCGACCAATTTTCTCCAGAGCAGACCAGATCCTCGCAGGCGCATCAAATCACCGGAAGAGCTTGATGTGAGCTGCCCGACAGCTTCTCACGCCCGAACAAAATGCCGCCAAGGATATCATCTTCGGCGGTCACGCCGTCGACGTCTTCAATACTGCAAATATGTAACGTGGCTTTCAAGGCACCGCAGCAGCAACAGATCACTGCGACTTTCTCCACCACCACCAGTCGCGCCTACACCCCGAAGGCTAGGAGGCTGTTCTGGAAGTGGCTCACGAAGCAAGGCACCCAGTTCAAGAGACCATCGGAGAAGGGCACCAACTATGTCTCTGGAAAAAGCCACCCTTTCCCGTTGAACACGCAATTCCGCAGTACTCCCATCCTGGACGACCGAGCTCGCGAGTTGATATGGCAAAAGATCATCCAAAAGGGGGAGACCATCAAGGCCGTCTCGGCAGAACTTGGTGTCGACATCAACAGAGTTGCTGCTGTTGTGAGGTTAAAAGAGGTCGAGAAGGACATGATAGCAAAGGTAAGTCGATGGCTGGTTACTCTCATCTGCACCCTCGACTTGAGTTGCCCTTGATATGAGTCTTGAAGACACGTACATGGTTATAAAACTGTTGCGATCCTGTCTGACCTAGTTTCGGCACTTTAATCCATAAAATCTGGTTCTTTTTTCTTTTTTCCCGCCTCCTGTTGCAACCAGCACTTGCTAACACGCAATGTCATGAAACAGGGCAAGCAGCTCGCGCTTCCATACGCCAAAGCAATTCAGTCTATGCTCCCTACCAAGAGCTTCCGATCGGATCAACAGAATGATCCCCTCGAGAACATCAACGAACTTCACATCCACCCACACACGATGAAGCAGCTCTACTGGCCCACGTCTGAATCGAGACAGTTCACGCGAGAGGACGCCGCCAAGGCCTTCCACCGCAAGATGCTTTCTGCAGACGAGCGCGTGCCACATCCCGAGCTGGTACAGATGGAGAGGGATTTGTTGCAAGGCAAGAACCCCTCGGAGGCAAAGACTCGCTTCACTGAATCTGCGAGGGAGTCTGAGCGGAAGGCTGCCGAGGAACGAATCAAACAGGTCCAGCAAGAAGAGGCCGCCATGACCAGGATCAACACGAAGCGTTTCGAGTTCAGATTCAAGGAGATCAACGCCGAGGATGTTGGTTCCGACGGCCGGAAGATCACCGCTGTCGGTGCGAGATACGGCAGACCCTCATACGACCGCGTCAAGGGTGCTGTCAAGATCCCCACCAGTGTTCCCTGAGCCGTCGCCCTTTGGCCCTGTCTGAATTTGTACTATAACCAGGTGAGACCACCTATATAGGTAGTTTCGAGGATACCAGCCCAGCCCTACGAGGTTGGGCCATTTGCGAGTCCACTGCACCTAGACAGCAGGAGTTCTTGTACACCATCTGTACCACGAGCGAAGCAATTGTGTGTGTATGAGTATTTGAGTGGCGGAATGACGGATAGCCAATCGAGAGGCGATGGGCTTGTCAATAGCTTTAGGGGTCACAATAGGCCCACGGAGCACACAAAATCCAACGTCTGACATGAACCCCTTGCCTGTGCTACGCTTGTTTCTTCTCTATAAAATTATTGTTTCTCGGATAGCTATTACAGCTTTCCACCAAGTCTGGTGCCATCCATATCCAGTTGGCGTCACGCTTGCATCTCAGCAACTATTCTTTCGGCCTCGGCCTCGGACTCCTTCTGCGCAATAACAACCATCTCTGCATGCTTCTGCCAGTCGAGTGGGGAGCCCCCCTGTCCCGCGGCATCAACAACGAGGTTCTCGCGTAACTGCTTGATCTCGTCCTCGGTCAGGAACTTTAGTTCGATGACGCATTTCTCGACTGAGCCCCACGTCTCCCGGATCTTGTTCAAGGTTCCCACCATGTTCTCCTTCCTGCAAACTCTGTGTTAGTACGAGAGGTTGATCCCGGTGCAAAGAAGCAGCCTTGCTTACCTGGACCCTATCATGCGCCACGCCCCCGCCGAGTTGCCCCCGAGCGCGGGCTCCTTGATCAAGTGCCGCATAAACTCGCCGTGGCGCGACTTGAGACCGAGGTCTGTGAGACTGTACTCGTGCGCCACGATATCGTCCTCAACGCCGCACAGAGAGAGGATCAGAGCGCAGATCACGCCAGTGCGGTCCTTGCCGGCTGAGCAGTGCAGCAGCACTGGTGCGGGAATACCGCCTTCGGAGGTGGCAAGATGTTTCAGGATGTTCTGGTAGGGTTGCGCCTCATTATCTGGTACAGAGGCTGACCTGAGGATGTCTTGGTATGCTTTGATGAACCCCTATGCGTAATGATGTTAGTCATTCAGCCGTGTTGGTCAGTCAGCGGTCGTGGGGGGATGTGCAGATACGAATTTGATGGGCGGAATCCAAGACAGGCATGTAAGTCAGAGGGTATTTCGACATCACAGCCTGCCTCTAATCGGTCCGCATGCCCGGAGCTGTGGGCAGTATGGGCGGTGTAAGAAACAGAAGAGAGGGGGACAAGGAGAGAGAGGGAGACGGAAAAAGAGAAGGAGAGAAGAAAATGATACAAGAAGCATGTGCCGGCCCCCAAAGCCCTGTCCCGTACCGGCACCGAGGACAGCAGTACACTCTTTTCTAGGAACAGGCTTTCTATGTTATTGAGTGCTTACCTCAGAACTCTTATCAGCGTAGTTCTTGAACCTCTTTGCAAGAGCTTCGGGTGAATAGTCCTGGTCTAGAAAAACAGGGGCGAATATGCGTCTCGATCCTTCCCATTCTTTGGGTTGGCGGCCATGGCCGGCTTTGGCGTCCTTTTCCAGCTCGTTCTGTGATCTCAGGTCGTAGACATCTGTGACCTTGAGTCTTTGCAATTCAGAAATACCTTGGTCCGTCACTTTGGACGGCTCCGAGGACCGGAATACCACGCCTGAGCGCACGACTTTGCCGGGCTGCGAAGCGATCGGGTAGCCACCGATGTCCCGGAAATTTGGGAGACCTTCGATGAAGACGAATGGTGGTGAAGGGAGTCTCGAGTCTGCCATTTTCCTCGAGTTGCTGTGCAAGATTGGTGGTGCAAGCTTTATGCAGTGCATGTAGATCGCAGCCTAAGTTTAGCTTTGAACTCAGCGTAGCTTATGTCTGAGTATAGCGAGGGGTAAATACGATGCACCAAAGATCTGACCAGTAGTGAGATTTTGTGACCAATTTAGGTTTGGGGGTCACAAACGGGGGCCACAAGTAGTGTCCCAATGGGTTGTGCAATGTCAGCAGCCGGATGTGCACAAGCTTGACGCTATGGAGGGCGTACTGTAAATCGTATCTGAGGCTCTCAATTGATATACCGTAGATTTGTGTTTCTTCGTTCAAAAGGGCCATAGAGTAAGTTTAGAGGGGTGTGGAGGGGCAGGAAGCAAGCCGAACCAACTCCCGCCCTTTGGTTAAGTAGAAACGCTAGTTCAGGCACATCATCAGGCACATCATTAGGCACAGGTATGACTTGTGTGATGCTCTTCTGCTTCCGGACTGGCCAGTTGATTTGCAGCAACCAGGGTGCGTAAACTTTTGGTTGGCAAGACAGGTACGGTTCCGTTTGTGCCAAAAAAATTTAAAAATTTTTTATACAGTTGAGACAAATGGAAGTGATCCTGTTTCTTGGTGGGGCATCGCAAAGCAACCGTCACGGCTTTGGTTTTCCACGGCTTTGGCTTTCGCTTGCGGCGGCTCTTGAGTTAGAGCCTCTCCAAGATTTCCCCTCATCACACCCCTTCTCAGCAGCCTGTCCAACGTCGTTCTATTCTCATTTCAACTCACTGTCTGGACTACATCACACCGATTAATGCGATTGTTGTCACAGCTGAGCCCACCTAGTACGCCCACGGTGCTTTTCGACATTTCCAGAGGTCGAGTTCGCTAGCAAGGCACAATTTAGTCCTTGTGACTGAGCTAGAGCTGGCAAAGCCACCCCCGGATCCAGTGTTGTTGACATCATTCCTGAACAACTGCATCTCACGAGACCGGAGCTCACTTCTTACCTCCCCGTTCAGCCCTTCCAAATTCCACTTGCCTGCTAGGTTGAGTCAAATTGCTGTTTAACACTAAAAGCTGATGCCTGAAAATGCCTGCATATCTTAGGCGCCTTGTCCGTTGCCTGCCTGAAGTTGAGGTATAGCAAGCTTGCAACTGCGAGTCAAGCCCCATCGTGGTCGGGTTGGGTTGCGAACCAATTTTGCTTACAAATACGATACATTCAGAAAAGGCTTCCTTGATGATTCCGAGGTTTCTCGGTTCACTTTCGTCTCGAGTTTTGTTGCGGCCGTCAAGCGAGGCTGGTAAGAATTCCGTGGAGCAAGGCTCTCTCTGTAATTACGTTTCATACTTTCCCTTCTAGTTCCGCTATCCACCTAGTCTCGCTCATTCTGCACCCTCACACTGTTTATACATATGCACAGCCAACAATGTCTTGTTCGATGAATCCATTCTCGGTCAAGGCTAGGATATTGTATTGCTCGGAACTGGGGTATCGAAGGCTATAAGTACACCGCGTGCCTTGTGGCTCCAGTCTAGTCGAATGTCTTCTCCTTTGTCATCGAAACATAGCCACATCAGCATGTAGCGTGTTTTCCTCTTGGCCCCCGTCTATTCTATAAAACTCAAGGAAAATGGAAGTAATGAGCGGCCAGTCCGAAGTTAAGCTGTTAGTAACAAGCTTAGCGCCATATTGTCAGATGAGCCTAGGTGCATTAGTTCGTCATGCTCTCTGCCACAGAAGATGGAAACTTCAACCTACCAGATGCTTGGTGCCAAATCTCGAAGTTGATTAACCGCTAATGAACCACTCCACCCAGTCGGGGCGTTTGCGGAAGCACATAGGACAGCTGGAATCGAATTTCCAGGAATTATTCGAATTGGGACACTCAGGCTTCTTCTAGTTAGCTCATTGCTCGCATACTTTCTCAGTATTTCATCCGGTGACTCACGCATTTCCATCGGTAATTATCTCCATTTTTCGAGGACAAGGACCCGGAAGACGTTGTAGACCACTCCGAACTACTGGCACGCGAGTGATTGTCCCTCTTTGAGCTCTTGTGGCTGCTCCTGTGGCTGCTCTTGTGGCTGCTCTTGCTTCCGGAGCGATGTTCGCTGTCATAGTAGTGTCCCGGCATATTCTCGATAGTAGACAGTTGAATGGTGGAATTCCAAAGGATGATAAATTCGAGTCGGTTGTACAAACGGGAGAAGATCTGTAAGTGCACTGTTTGAATGCTCGAAGGATATCAGGAAGAGCATACGAGTCCGTGGTCTTCCTGTTTATACTGCTGATCGAGTAATCGAGCTTTGACCATTGTTCCTCAATGCTCAGCCAGCTTGAGGCAAAATGAGGCCATTCAGAGGCCGGAAACAGCCTGAGCGAATGTCTGACGGAGTGTCCGTCCAAGGCGGTCGCGATCGTATGGATGGGAATGGCTACAAATCGTGTCACGGTGAATCCTCAGCCTCCGGTACCACTGTTGTTGACTTGGAAGGATTACTGCCCCCGAAAAGGCAGTCTTCGAGAAGCTTAGAATTCATTGAAATGCCAATAAGCAAGCCTGCTTTTGGACACCATGGCCCCCACTGGCGGTCTTCCAATATGAAAAAGCTCGGTGAGCTGAGCCGGCAGTGACCAGCAAAGTGGAAAATGTAACCTTTGTTCCAGAGCTAAGCACCAACGTGCTGTTATGAGTCGTGCGGTTTCAAGTTCTTTGTGCCAGGACCTGCAGCCCTATCGGGGTCCTTTACTACCATAATGAACGGGGTGATGCAGGTCCAACTGCGCCAATTTCGATCTGCAAAATTGCTGCCTCGTGGCCATGACATGGTGTCACTCGCCTTGGTGAGGCCGTGCTTCATTTTCTTTGTAGTATAGCGAGATCACCTCAGGCTAATTAATTTTCTCTTTTGGTCGAATCTGCCATTACCGCAGGCATTCTGGATCCACAATGTCGCCCGGTTGACACTGAGTTATGGGTAGGCTTTCCCAGGGGCTGCCACCACGCCCAAGGCCCCCTTCGAGGTGAACTTGGCATAGCCATGTCCACTGTCTCCGGGTATTGAGAATATGTCATCTCGTATCGTGTGCCAATGGCTCGGTGTACCAGTGTACGGCGTTGGGGCCTAGGAGATGAGGACCATCCTAGAGACGATGATATTCGTACAGCATCTCGCCTGTTTCTCTTTCGTGTTGCGCCCAGACTCTTTTCTTCGCGCTGAGAGCACATCTCAACCTCTTCTCAGCCTCTACCGATGCCTGAGCCCATCTGTCTCATCAACGGTTGGTACTTTTACGGCAGGCTCCCTGCCTGGAGCTGTGATTGGTTGTCAAGGTACCCGAGCATCTCACCTCGGTGGCAAGACTAGCTCCAATGACAATTGTCAACTGCCTCTTGTCATTCACAGCTTTGACATACCCATACCAGCGACCACCTCATTGTCGACCTGGTTTGATTAGACTTTTCGATGAGTATGATGAAGCTGTGATGAAGAAAGATGAAAAGGACGGAGTAGGATGACGTCGTTGCGTTCGAGACAAAGTGTCCGAGGACCTGCTGGCATCACCCCGCTTCTTCACTGCAAATATGGTCCAAAACAAGCGTCGAGGCAGCATCCAAAACTCATCGGCTTCGGGGGAGCATCATGAGCGTTTTATATATCCATGACATACGGCCTGAAGATTACTCACGCGGCCGTGTGGGATGACCCTGTGAGGCTCTATCAGCCGCATGATGTAGTGCCAACAGGACGCCCTGCGCGATATCACATCGCCCAATCGGGACGCTTAGGATGGAAAGGCTGGCTAGCCTAATTATACTTCAAGTATATTAAATCGAATCGGTCGAATATCCTGAAAGCGCCCGCCGGGCTAGAGGGACTTTGGTAGACAGACGGCGCAAGAAATTAAAGAGAAATCGATATATATATGGCTCGTAATGTATTCAGAAGTGAAGCTGAAAGGAACCTCGTGTCAGCTGAAGCTGAGTAGCTTGTCGGAGACGTATAAGATTGAGCTGACTGTCAAGCCACGGCTAGCGATATGGTAAGCAGGACACTGGAACAGGATGGGACTTACGATGAGTGCGAGCCATTTAATAATAATAGCACGCTGACAGACGCAACAACTTGTCATGAAAAAAAAAAAAAAAAAAACCCTGAGGCGGGAGAGGATCGAGAAATCTTCTCAACGAAGAGGCAATGCAAAAGATTACGTTGTCCATGTGTTTCTAATATCGGAATGTCATTTTTGAGCAAACTGTGCCTCATGATCGCATTACTTATCGGAGTTCGCTACTTCCCTGACGGTATAGAGCTTGCAAACTCCGATGATCCACGGAACGGTCGATACGAGTATGAGTAGTACCCTCTTGTCAATAAATGTTTCTTGTCTTATAGCATGAATATTATGATCAACATACCTCAGAACTTGGGCGACAACACGGCAATCGAAATCAGGAGAATAACAACGTCTTATTGATATCGTACCATGTATTTTTATGTCCTCCCAGGCTTCGGTCGATCTGGACTTCGGTCGTTGCTATGCCTTATCTGCAAAGCCGGGCGTACATAGGTAGAACAGCACAGCATACCATATATGTTTAACAGAAAGCAGGCTCTGCGTAACTTCGAATTGCCTGATTTTGATTCAGGCTTTTACAAATCCATTTAGTGCATCACTTTATGGTCTGTTTTGTGACTGTCGAAGAACATGGGCGGATCGGTTCGCTGGTAGATGTATAATGATCGAAAATTTCGTCCATGGAAGTCAAGTAATCCCCAAAGACAAGACTAAAAGCGATAAGTCGAGTCAGTTCAAGAATGCCTGGATGCATTATAGTGAGCCAATCGAGTATGGCATAGGACGTTACAAGATTGTTAGTCAATGTGTGAAAGACCAGCTTGGGCACCAAGGCATTTCAAGATATCCACTTCTAAGTGACCTCTAATATCCCTTCTTCAACGCAAAAAACCTGCCGCCTCGACAGCTTGCATTTGGGCTGGTTAACACCTCAAAACAAGGTGCCCATGTCCTGCTCGTGGTTAGCAAGTCCTCGCACACTTGCAGCCCGTCACACAAAAACTCTACCAGAATTTTCCATCTTCACTTATGAATATTACTACGATGCGGTATCCAAATATGGCTGAAACTCACACCACAAAGTTTTCTAGGCTTAAATACTCTTTGAAAGGGTTTTAATAAAATTTCGGTCTATTTACCGGTCACTCATTCAAGCTTAATGCGAGCTTTATAAGGCCGGGCGAAAACCGCACTAGTTCACGTTTGGGGGTGTCCAAGGACTTTTGAAAATCTTTCTGCCCTGTATACTTCAGTAGTTCTTTGCCAATTTATATTGCCTTCCGCTTTAAAGTAATTTCTCAGCCAGATAAACACAGCGGATCGAACGATATAAATTTTGCTGACAAACGACGGCTTGGGCTTATTCTAGTCTCTACCAAAAGGCGGTAGTTCCTTCTTGAGGACAGAATGATAACAAGGGAACATAGCTGATAGAAGCCTGAGCTGTTGCTCATGCGGCACTTGCCGCAGATGCCAATCATATTATTATTCGCATGTTTGCCTTAATTTAATGCTGATTCTTCCTTCTTCATTTTCTTGTTCTGAGCCTGAAATGTCTTCAGCGTGACGAATCTTGAAATGTGATTACGTTCAAGAGATATGACGAACAATGTGAATTTGTAGTCGCATATATTCACTCTCATTGTTATACAAGGCTTTCAATCGGCTATTCTCACCACTCAGGATTCCTACAGTGTCATTTCTGCAAGTACTGTGGAGCTTTGTTCAATATGCATTCGGGTTTGTCTGAGTTCCGGTCTTGTGCCACCAGACTATCATGTTGTCTTATAATACCTATTTCACCTCTTATTGCCATAGGGGTTAACTCGTCAAGTCTGTTTTTCAGAAGCATGTTCTGCAGAGTCCAGAATATGTTCGCATACCTACTTCCCAGATAAAGCAGTTACAAAAGTTTTTTAATGCCTTAATTTTAAAGCAGCCCACATATTGATTCAGACCATAAAATGTCTGCCATCGTAGCGCCGGTAGCAGTATAAGTCTACATTCGTAAGAGGGTCAGATGAATAACCGCCGGAGATCTGATCCTCCTAATTCTCCGTCATGAATTGCATGAAAGCACCGCTCATCTGGTTGCGGTGGGTATATATAGGCGAGTTTCGAGTCCTGCAGGTGCTGCTGGATATTCGCATGAGGTCTCCGTACTGAACACGGGGTAGACGGCTCTCGTTATCTGTGAATAAAATGCTCTGTACCTCAACGCGCCATACAACATCCTAAGCAGCTTCCATTGGGAATAACCACCATTTACGAACACATACATGGGGTTTATCGTCATCTCTGTCGCTGTCTGATTCAATATGAACGAGTATGAGCGACAAGACCAAGTTCTCAGGAATGACTGGCGGAACTCGGATTATTTTGCGTTTACCTCCGTCATTGTCAGAATATAAGAAAGTCACAAAACTATAATTAAGACACCAGGTGACCACTACGTACGAAAAAGTTTCATGGATATGATATCTTCGGGCTTCCTCCACTTGATAGCTCCAATCCAAATATCCTAAGCTCGTTTTGAACTAAACTGAGGCAGCATCATCTAAGACTTACCCGCTTATTAAGCTCAACGAGAAGATTCTTCAACTCGGCTTGCATAAACAGCAAATTAAGAGTATTTAGACGCAAAAATCGTTGCAACTTATCAAGCTGAGGATAGGCCCCCATCGATGACGCAAGGCGAGCATAGCCATCTGGCCTGATGTCTGTCATTTTGTGGTCAGATTCGTTATGTCCCACCCTACCTTATCTGCCATTTGAATGATCAAGGAGCGAACTAGATTTTGAATATTTCTGAGAGGTTAGAAGAAAATTGATGATAATAAGGATCAAGGTCTGAGCATTGCGTTGGTCCGCACAACTGTGTTGAGCTGCGCGCATCACATGTCCCATTGGGAAGTGCAATTTCTTCCTAATGATAAACCTAAACGGGGCAATCAATCACGGAGCCGCTCATGATATTCCAGGAATAGAAAGAATTAAAACTTTAAGGAACAGTGATTGAAAAATACATGTCTGTTCCATGATGACCGTGGTTGCTGGCGTTAATTTGACATCATTGATCACGTTGTGGGCCACCATGCTGCGAGCGCTCTGCCCCCTATCTCTCATCAAAATTTTCTTTTGTGTTTCAAGCTCTGCAGCCTGTCTGTCAGCCTCTTCCTTGGCAATTGCTTCTCCATCTTTCGTCCATTGGATGGTCAGTTCTACTCTAATATGCACTGCCAGCTGTTCCGAAAAGGTATTACTGACTTTTGTGCTTCTTCGGTATGAGTGGTACAACAGCCTTGTTATTTTTCATGAATATATTCAGTTCTTGATCTCATATTGTTTATTGACGCTACAACCACGTCGTTTAAGACCCAGTTGCCGACCTGACATCCAGTATCAAGCAGTCCTTGCTATACGGTTTCCTCGCCAAACTTATCGTCAATTACAATCTGTTGTTTCCATATGTCCTAGTATCAATGGGGAAAAGCCACCATGTAAGGGAATTAATTGACGTTATCTAACACCTGACTACCCGTTGTTGCCATTGATACCATGATTTGGACAGCGTACAAATGAATCTGACGCACATTCAAGATCAAATTCCTCTCTAGGTCGATTGCTGGGCGAACTAGTTGGTTTTAGCCCAACCGTCTTGAACTCATATTCACTGTTGTATCTTGGCTTGTGGCGGCGTCATTTAAAGTGACAGTAAACAAAGGCTGCTTTCCTGATTAGCAGCAATAAACTCACTCCGAGGCCTGCACCGAAAGCTACAGCAAGTGACAATGTACCGGCTGTGATGTGGCACTTTTATGTGCAATGGTGATAATGAGAGGATTAATTCGACTTGGTCGGACAAATGAAACACGGAACGACACTTGCCGATGTAGTAGCAACACTCTTAATTCAAGTCAAGGTCCTACATTTGACATCTTGATTGACAGGTTGTATTGCCTAATTTCTTGGCACTGTCATCAACCTCTGTAGAAGATTCGAGAACTATTGGGTCCATGTTACCGCAGAGCCGGTGATAAAGGGACAACCCATTCTGGACTTGTTGAAAATTTGGAAGTTATTCGAGCTTGAGTTCTGAAGATATGTGAGCTGAAAATCCCAATACATATCTTTCATAAGGGACAAACGAAGGCAAAGCACTCCTTCTTGATATCATTGTGATGCAAAGGAGATATGATATCTGTATAGTTGTCCGTATATACTACGCAGAGGCGTGGTCCTCCGCCAAGAAAATCTTTGCTGGACATGTTCTAAGCACTGTCGTTAGCTGCCAGAAACTGCCACTGTGCGTAGTTTCCCGCTCTCGAATATGGCATAAGACGAGTATGATGATGATTGTTACCAGATGCGTAAGACTCAATTTCTATACAAGAGTAAAACCATCGCTGGGGCGGAGTGCACAATAGGTTCTGCTGTCGAACTGACCGGTGGTCCTCATGATATCACAGGCTTTAGGGTGCTCTAGTTCTGGAATCATCTGGATATGTGTAATAACAGAGCGGTTGTCTTGATTTAAATAGAGATTGGTCGCGTGAATCCGTTTGTGTTGGAATATTACACTGTAGAAGGAGCTGGAAACTACTCTGCAGTATTACCCCAGGCATTTTTGAACCTCAAATCCGTATGACCGATAGAGACATGCTGGTTTATGACTACTGCAGCAAATAAGTAACCCGAAACTACTGGGCATTGCCGAGACTCTTCATTTCAGAAATTAACGAGTTTGGAGAGCAAGCAGTGCTGACTGAAATTTATAAATGTAGTGCTGGGATGATGGCATCCAGGTTTCATCACCGTTACTGCTAGACAGGGAAACCTGGAGACTAGGATATTTCATTACATAAATTCATCTGTTAAAAGTTGTTCAAATTCAACCACTTGGTTTAAGCTGTTAGGAAACGCGCCGTGATGGTGATTGGCAATGCCAATGGCGGTAAGATAAACTGCATCTAGAAGAATATGGGTTGAGCAGTGTAGATCTCTTGTAGGATTCCCAGCCACCTAATTATCTAAGTCTTCTTATCTAGACAATTTCCATTATAGAATATTATAAAAATAAGTTTAAGAAACTAAGCCAAGAGGGGAAATTATAATTGATAACCCTTTTGGTTTAAGGCATAATTAGAACATAATACATACCCCGACTATGACCGTCAAGTCGCTATTGCATTTCTCCATTAGCCTGTAAGTGGCGGGGTCGCTCAGGACAACCAGGTCTGTTTCCTCAAGTGAGTCTGTATACCACGCTAGAACCTGGGTTGGCGATTTCGATGTTTAAAAGTGTATCGGCAGTCGCCTGATTGTTCAGCGAGGAGAAAGGGGATGCATACAACATCATGGGCCGTGCGATTGGAAAGGGGTGATATCGGTAGAGAATTGGGAAGATATCCTAGAGCCTCCTTATGGCGATGATATTATTCGGGCGCATGGAAGTTGGCTAGCTCGACAAGCCGCGGCAACCATAATCGGTCTGCTGGGCATGCGTTGGGAATCTGTTATGTTTGATATAGGCCGACGGCAAGTTGACAGATTCAATCCTAGCACAAGCCGTATTCCCGGAACAGTTACAACAATGTCGAACTAACATAAAGCTGGGGCGGGTTGAACTTCTGGCTAGTCCAGCCTCTTGTGAACCACAGAGCTTTGGCGAACTTTGTTGATTTCCCCTTGTGGATATCAGAAGATGTTAACGTCTGAGAGAGACGCGTAACAAATCTTGACTTCCGTATACCACTGAAACACGGAGTTGATGTCCTCCTGTAGTTTTGCACTGCTTAACTTGTCCATGCAACATGTATCTACTCGTATTGACTCGTGTTCATCACATGAGGCTTGTTGGGCACAATTCAACATCTTTCTCAATCTTGGTCTTTCCTTGAAATTGGCCGCGATAAAAGCATTTCAATCGACGGTGCACACTTTGTGGGTTACTAAAACGGCCAACTACGTACAATTAACAGCATCGGTCGACTTGTCATCCTGACCAGACGGGGCTGGCCCATCATTGACCTTTGTATATGACTGCTGCAGCGAGTCCGTCGCCAATTTTCATGTTATTGTAAGTACATCTCGCCCGAGCCCCAAGTGTGTGAAAGGATGGCATGTTTTGGGACGCCCCCCTTCTTTTCCAACTCGAGAGTTTTGACATTCATTAGCATCTAATACCATGCCATCGCAATAGACTTCCTTGGTGTTTCAGGCGACATTGCAAGAGGATTGCGGGTCACAAAAGGTGGTGCAGCCACTGCCAATACTCAGTTTTTGCGTTCATCCTCTCTAACGTTACCATGGGAAGATATCATTTAGGGCTACGCACGACGTAGATGCTTCGTAGTTAAGGAATATAAGAATCCTTTTTAGACACCTTGAATTAGTAATCTTGAAGCTTACCAATGCTGCTCCCTCATTCCTGCTGCAGGTCCCTCTCGTTACACAATGAAGATATGCGCACCGTTGTATGCATTCTGTTTGTTTAGCCGTTTGGTGCAACGGATCATAGCGGCAGCGTTGCGCTGATTATTTCAATGAGAGCAACTGCGCTACTTCTGTATAGACTTTCATTCGAACGAACGAACAACCAACTGATTCCCAAACGATGGTCGTGTGTGTCCGACGACGCATTCACAACCCGCTCGATAGAAGCACATGTGTCCCCATTGAGGCGGGAAGACCAAAGAAAAAGTACCACTTGTTGCATTTGTGGCACTAAAGATCTGGCTTGCAGCAGCCGGGGAAGTGACTGTCGATCGTTTCAATATCGCTACCCTGAGCTTTACATTTTTGATAGGTTAGGTCGGTCGTACAAGCAACATCTTGGTTTAGAAATAATTCGACGCTTACAAAGTATTCACGACGTGTTGATTAAATATGATAAATGGCTCAAATATCATTCTAGGCGCCACATCGGTATACGCGTTGAGACCGAAAAGGCTAACTGTCTAATTGATGCTACGGTCAATATCCGGATTGAAACAAAATCATATATTGCACGACAAGTAAATTATTTACACTTTCGTCGCCGTAACAGTATAGTTTGATGTGAAAAGATCGAACTGCTGGCTTGGAGTAGTCGAGTGACTGAACGAGTATTGAGCTGTGCCCAAATACGGATCTGAACATTCGGTAATGGTTTTAAATTCCTATATGCAACTGTACCTTTCCAATATCTCACTACGAACCTTGATCAAGTCGTCCTAGACAGTCGCTAGTACACTCAAGTCTTTTCTTTTTCTTCCCTAGTCCTCATTCCCAGTCGTTACTTTGAATTCCCATCAAGGGTCATTCCAAGGTTTAATTACTCGCATAGCTTCGATATCTGACCCTTCAAAAGCCCTCGATTTAGGAGGTTGGTAATCACGCAGGCCGAACTAAGGACCACTTGGGCCGCTCCTAGGGGGTATACTGGCAATATCGGTAGCTGCATTTACCATACGGCTCAACATCACTGGATCCCGTAGTCGGGTTTCTTGCTGATTTGCGTGGTCGCTGTGTATAGGACGCAAGCTGTGCGTATCTCGGGGGTCTACATCGATGTCCATCGATTCACGGCGACCGTTGGAGCTTGTGCCCATCCTCCAGATATCGTCGGCGCTTCTGCCAATTGCTATACGTGAAGCGGTTGATCTGCTTGGACCAGTCTCGTCACTTCGGTCCGAATTTCGTCGGGGTTCATTCGGATCTTGCTGAGAGCTCATTGCAGATTGGCTGCTAAATCCGCGTTCTCGTTGTCTGTCCTCGGCTGCATCATCGCCATCCCCGCTGCTTTCCCGTCTGAGCCATGCAACTTCATCCTCAGTGAGACCTTTCCATGCACATCTTGCGTGTTTCTTAGTGCAGCCCTGACATGCTGTGAGGTGTTTTATGCATGCCGTCTTCAGTCTTCTGCATCGATCGCAGGGTGGCTGTATCTCATCACCCCGAGCAAGCTTCTCTACTTTAGCGGTAACCAAAGAGCGATGCTCATCTTCTGGTTCTCGAGGGCCCGACTCGATTGGATAAACACCAGGAGACGGCCGGTTGCTCATTGATGTCAGCACCTGCTGCTGGATAGAAGTCCTCGGGGTCGACGCAGCGGTATGAACGGTGCCTGGCGTGGGAGGCGTAGGACCAAGAGAGGGCAAGCGATTGGCTGGGCTATTAGTAAGGAATTGCTGGAGAAGATCTGCATGAAGATCATAGCCGTGGTGATTTGGCCCAGAAGATGGTCCAGGTTGGTTTACCGGCTGAAAGCCAGATGCCGATGCTGTGTTATGCGGTGAGGGGCGTCGGCTATTGATGATTGCTCTGCGACCGCTCAAGTGATAGTTCAACTGTCGGGCTTTACCCGCGACTTCATCTGCTTTCTTGATCAAGACTTTGAGACGTTGCTCTAATATCTCTAATGTAGCAAGCTCTGCTGTTTCGTCCTCTTCGAGCGGTTGTGGCGGGATCAATCTGTTCCTGTCTAGTGTCCCAGAAACGATGACCCGCCAGTCGTCCTCTGATATTTCAACTTGGACACCTTTGAGAAAGAATTGGCAACATCGATTACCACTTGATGTCGTCGTTGGGACAAATTCGCTAGGCCGCGCCTTGGAAAACTCAACAATGTCAAGCCATGTTATTGGATCCAAGGTCATTGCATTTTGAGCAGGGTTCGTGATGATGGGCCACTCAAATATTCCCTCCACTGCCTTGAGCAAGCGGGGGCCCATGAGCTTTGCACCCAAATTCGAGGCGAAACTCTCATGACGACTTAGGACACCTGAGAATGATCAGCGTGTAGAAAACCCAGTGTGGTCACAGATGCAAATACCTTCATATTCGTTGATAAGCGTGATGACGTCGGAGAATGTTTCCGTGTCACCATGAATCAGCTTCAGCTTTCCGGCGTTGTTTTTCGTAAGATAATTTATCGGTGTTTGATTGCCTTATTCCCTTGTCAGTGGTGTGTGAGGCATAGCCAGGCCAAGAAAGTATAAGAAGAGACGATGCGTGGGAAAGATAAACAAAAAGAAAAAGAAAACATGTCACATTCGGTGCACGATCGGACTTGAATAAAGAAGGTGGAAATGGAAATGACACCAGGAAGATAAATAATGTAGATGCACCAAGTTCCTCCGATAGTAAGTTGTCTCTTCATGGCTCCCTGATGTATGCAAAAACGCACATACCTGATTGAGGTGGAGGGGGCTGCGGAATGCGATCCGAGTGGCCTTTACTGCCATTTTCGTCGTCATGTCGTTTCCGCTTGTGGTGCTCAGAATCTGAGACATGCGCCATCGTCCAAAGATTGGTGGTTGATTTCCCGGGGGGGCTCTTTGTAATGTTGTGTTTTCAAGATGGACAGATGAATGGCCGATCCTCCGGCAGAAACGGCGCCGAGGTGTACCCAAAACCCGGCCCAAATGTAGCCCGAAGCACACGGAGAGATTGACATACGGAGTTGTGAGTGGGAATCAAGTATCGGAAAGGCCAAAGGTTATGCGGCCGTGTGCAGGCCTACTAGCCGAGGAGACGGATGGAGTCTATTTGAAAAACGGAAAAAAATTATGGCTTGAATTTGGAATTTTGTGCTGGACGGGCGAGCGCCGAGAAATTGGAGGACCTTGACCACGGCAGCCTTTGGCACCAAAGCTAAAGTGCTGTATGAGTTTTGGGCGTGATGCCTTGCAGCGCATAACTCGCTCCGGCGCGGAAAATGCCTGGGAAAGCAGCAGAACAGGAAAATCAAAGAGACAAGCAGTGTATAGAGTTGGTGCAGAATGCATGTATAAGAAAGAAGTTCAACCCTGGTATCAAAATCAAATAATCCCTGGCATGGCCAAAAGCCGAAGTGGCGGGTTCTGCGAACAAACTAAACTAATGAGATGGGTGATAGGTAGGTACAGTAGATCCCAAAAAGATCGGACGGAAACTACCATTGCGGGTAGAACATCGATCACTCGCCCAAGTTGCAATGTTGCGTTGACAGGGAGCACGAGCCAACACGGACTTCTTTCTTGCTTCGCTTTGGTGGTGTAAGTGGATTCAGAACCTACTCCTCTTATTCTTTCATTCTTTCCTCTGCATACCCGAGAAAGTATGTAAGCATTCAACCCAAGGGAGCAGGTACAATAACCACACTTATGTTCGATCAATGGGAAAAAAGATTCCCATGCTCATCAAAGCGGATTTTACCTATCACAATCGCCTCAATCAGTTCATTTGCTTTTGCCAGCATGTCGATATTCGATGTCGCGGATTTTGCCATCCATACCTTTACCTTGGGGAATGCACACATCCGGCAAAGATCTACGGCTTGTCGGCTTGGCGTTCTTCTCTCCTGCATGCAGACGCATATCTAGACCCCAAAAATCGTACACAGGCCAGAGGAATCAGGTCTGCGATCGACAGTGCTACACATAACCCCCGGCATGCATGCGATTTGTGTGTTCTTGTCACGTCTATCGCCTGCGTCTGGTGTCTGCCTGCCGTACTGACAAACAAAGCGCCAATGCGAGAAGCGAAAGCATTTCTGGTACCCGGGTTTATGGCTTGGCATTCCCTCCAATCGGCAATAGGCCGCCGGATACTGCTGAAGACCGACACATTGGCAGCAGAAAGGATTGATGATATTTGGTGACTATTTGCTTCATGACTCCCCGCTATCACTAGCTGTCGTCCCTTGCCCATAACTGCTGCTGCTTGTACGGTGTTGCGCTGCAATGATATGTATGTTGCAATGACACATGCATCCTTTTTAACTATATAGACATATTGTCGGCCAGAGACAGCATACCTTTTACTCCCACGATATTAGATTTGGTTTCTACAGGCATTCCCAAGTCGTACGGATTAGTTGCGCAGACGTTGGAACGGGATGAGTTCCGAGCAGTCAGTGGTTTTCATTGGGGCAGTTGCAACAGAGGCGCATGTGCTTTTTAGTGGCCCGGAAGACAGACGATGCATATTTTGCCTAACCTGAGAGTTTGCAGCTACATGATGTAGCCTTGAATCGTGACTACACCAGTCAAAGCCGGTTCATATATCTCATAGTCTCGATTATGCTGCTTGCCTGCAAGATGCAGTTCGCCGACCGTGCATTACAGAGCTCCAGGTAATGAATGCGTATCTTGTATCTCCCGTGGCACACTGACTACCTATTCCCGGGTTTCCGCCCTGTGGCCCATATGATCCGCAGCGACCAGGGAGAATGGAAAATGCTGTATGTTCCAGAACACCGGCAGTACGCAGGCATAAAAGACTAATCTTTAGACACACGCGCTTGGGCAGCCTTGGGCAGCCTTACTGCCGATCTCGACATGAAGTCGGAGAGGTATCCTGGACAAGACGCGGGTTGAAAAAGCAAACGGTGCTAACCCGGAGGACGGGGGCGGCAAAGAGCGTAAATCGACGATTCCCATCTCCCATCTCCCATCGGTGGGATTTGGCATTTGTGATTATGCAAGCGTAGAGACAAGGGGAGCACTTGACTGGAAGAACTGGCAACCTCTTCCCTTGTCTCGCGGCATAGTGCCCAGCCGAAGAAGGAAAACGTGTCGCGACGTATTCATTTTCCAGCAAGACAGCGCCGATCAAAGAACGTCCTAGAACCCCGCGATGTGCTTTTCTACAGCAGCATATCCAGGCATTTTGGGGGTCAACTTACAGCGGCCTGTTTCCGTGCTGGCGCTTTCTACAGGCTCCATTTTCAGCACTCATGGGTACCAAACATGAAGTACTTTACCGTATGTAACCACTGTAGTTGGACACGGACACAGCCACAAGACACAGACACGAGACGCAGCAGGCACAGACACCTAACCCACCCACCACGGCGGGTTCAGCTCAGCTCACCTCACCTGTCAGCCTTTTTGAGAAAGTGTGTCCAAGCTCCTAACCTTCAGACCCAAAACTCTAACTTAAGAGTACTTGTAGGTTAGCTCTATAACTATCCAATAGCTGGCTCTAGCTTGCAGCCTGCACTTGCCACTCCGTTCCACACCTGACCGACCCCATTGCATTGCAGGGCACCCGCACCCAGCACAAGCAAATTCGACGACCTATTGAACATTCTGACTACATCCGACCAAACACGCACTCGGCCCGCAACGACCCGAACCGAGCAACAAGTCTCCATCTACCTGGTCTTGGTCTTGGTCATCGATACACATACGACAGCACTCTCTACACACGCCTTCCCCCTCCCCAAAACACCCCAGCACCTGAAATCTCATCATGTCCGACAGACCCCACCAGCAGCGCGGCGGCCGCGGGGGAGGACGGGGAGACTACCGGGGAGGACGCGGTGGACGTGGCGGCGGTGGCAGAGGAGGTGGACACCACGGGGGCGACAGGGAGAACCACCACCACGGCAACAAGGACGGCGAGCGCCCCAAGAAGGAGAACATCCTCGACCTTGCCAAGTACATGGACAAGCGCATCACGGTCAAGTTCAACGGCGGCCGCGAGTGCACCGGCACCCTGAAGGGCTACGACGCCCTGATGAACCTGGTCCTGGACGAGGTGCACGAGGTTGTGAGAGGTATGTCTGCTTATCCGCCTGTCTGTCGATGATCTGTGCGTGGCAACAAGGCAAAGAGGCTAATGTGATGCTACCATAGACGACGAGGGTAACGAGAGCACGAGGTCGCTTGGGCTGGTGGTTGCACGCGGTACACTGCTCGTCGTCATCAGCCCCGTGGACGGCAGCGAGGAGATCCAGAACCCTTTCGCGGCGGCAACTGAGGACTGACCCCAATCCAGAAGTATGAGATCATGAGAACGAATGTCAATAGTAATTGCCAAAATAGAGGGCCAAACACCGTGACGGTGGAGCCTTGTTTCCGGCCGAAAAGAAGATGCCGGGAAAATAGGCGGCCCAGGATACGAATGACCATATCAAGTTAGCTGCCATATCGGTATTGCCAGGCTTAGATGGACTATCTGCGTTTTGGCGACCCAGTCTGAGCATAACTTGCACAGTCAGACACTCATAAATAAAAGCGTTTGTGACTGATAGTCATACCAAACTGTGAGGTCTGTGCTACGAAACCTCTTCTATCCATTGCCTTGTTGATCCTCTGTCCTATACAACATTAGTCTATAGAAAAGCCTGAGGCGTTCAGCCTCATGAGCATTTCCGTCCAGCAGGCCAGCATCCACTTTTAATAGAGACTTGTTATAAACACTGCCCTTTCCACCAGTATTCACTAGTTTATTTAAAGCGTTCCAACAAACTTTGAGCCAGGGCACGCCGTATTACAAACCTACAAGTCGAAATGCCCATGTTCCTTGTTCACAATCGCTTGCATAATAACTTGATCTTCATAGCCTTCACGGACAACTCGGTCTCCAAGCGTCCAGCCTCGGCTCTCAGCTGAGAGATTTCCCTGAGGAGGCGAGTGGTCAGCTCATTTTGCTCCTTCATGTGAAACAGTTGCTCCCTTAGGCGGTCTTGAGTTGAGCATCGAATGTACCGGTGCATGTACTCCAAGATCTCACGGTCAGTGGAAGTTCGGGTTCTGACGGCATCGGGTATGTCGTCATCTGAGGTCACAAACAGATCCTCATCTGATTCTGCGACAACGGGCTTGCGCCCGAACGGCTCTGCAATGACCTCGTCGTCTTCGCTGGCCTTACTGATCTTTCTAGCCTTGCTAGTCTTGTCAATTTTGACAGCCTTTCTGATGTTGCCAGCTTTATTGATATCGGTAGTTATACAGTCCTTGGAAATGCCTGTCTTAATCTTCTTGGGAAATACGACACTGACGGCTGCAGCCAGATGCTTTCGCTTCAGCTGTGGGACCGGCTCCTCTAGAGGAGAACACATCCAGGGGTTGACCCAATCTGGTGATGGGAGGTATAGCTCTGTATACTGATTAGCCAGAGAGCCGTTGGATGTTTGTTTAATGATTGATAGACCTACCGACTTTGGGATCGTCCTTGATGGGGTGAAGCATGCTGACAGACGGAGTTTTTCGGTCTGGCAACATGACCTTGAAGAAGGCAGAGGCGTCTGAGGCCAGGAGCTTGCGTACGTAGTCGATCCCATCGCGGCCTTGGGCAATTTTGGAAGCACCGTCAAGATGCACGAGACGCGGTTTCTGTGTCCTCTGGAATCGAAGCTCTTCGTCGACAAGGGTCTGCAGCAATGTCTTCGTACCCGTATCGTCTTTCTCAAGATTGTGGAAGCGTCCTCGTGCAGGAGTGTAGGCAGTGCAAACGCTGCGAAACGATTTCTAGTCGTTTTGGTCCTGGTAACACATAAGAGTTGGTTTGAGGCAAGACTATTTCTGTCTCCGGGATATCATCCAGTGGTGGATCGTACCATCCATCCAATGTAGGAGACTGAATCATCCACTGGGGAAAAAAAGATGCTCAATCATTCACATGAAAATTACTTACGCAGCCAAAACACGAAGCTAAGGCTATCCAGCCCTCACGGTTGCTCGTCCAGACCTCTTGAAGGCGTAGCTTGGCTTGGAAAACCAGCGTGAGAGCTCGTGAAATATCTACAGGGTCATCTACAGGAGAGGCGAGCTGGGCAACACTCATAAGAATATTTCGACCATGTTCTCTAAGGTATGGGTTTCGAAAGTGAATGAAGGAATGTGCATACGAACTAAGTGTGCATATGAAATGAATGTGGAATGAAGGAGGGAACAGGTGAAGTGAAAGTGAGGGAGGACCTATCGGAGGTTATGGGTTTACTTCGGGGATCTACTTTGTAAGTTAGGTAGATACAAATATCTAATTAACGAAAAAGTACTTCACTGATCGCCCACTTACGGTTGCAGGGGGAGATAACAACGGTGGTGCAGGTGAGCCAGCCTCCTGCTGGGGAGTGGCCATACTCAGTTAGGTAGGTTGGTTCAGTGGTTTATGGTGATTCGCACGGCGTCGTAGGTCTGGCAGCCGGGCCACAGGATTCTATTTCCGAGTTAGCTGGTCAAATCCAGACTATGCCCTGATCAGTACTTTTTTTCTCCTTTTTCTTTTTTTCTATTCATACTTCTTCCACCTCTTCTTCCTTCATTACGTCCCTGACCAGTTTGTTACTTGATACTCAGGTATTTTAAAAAATGGTGTTTGTTAACATCAATGCTTTGAACCTCTATGAGCTCGTACGTATCTCATCACATCAGATAGAGATATGCCCCATCATTATGGCGAGGTCTGGGCTGATGGACGGGTTTTAAGTTGATCTAGAGCTAGTCTCTGTCGTAGTTCTTGTCACTCAGGTGTATACCTTCCATGGCCCACGCCTCGTTACTCACTTGGCAAGTGACACGTTTTCTACTCAAGAGCGCTTTGCATAACTACTACAGCTTTGGGAAACTGGACGAGTCGTCACCAGTTCAGGCTTTCTGCTACACGGCTTTATCTAATATGTCGACATTCTGTTGGAATTGTTTCCTCATTAGGAATGTTACGGGGCAGCCTTTTTTCTTTTCTTTCTTTTTTTGATGGTCACTCGAACATTAATGATTGACTATACAGTCGTGGACGATTCATTTCGAGAAAGATAAAATAAAATGGGTGAATCATATCACTTGATACTCAGGTTTCCTTCGCTAGGAGGGTGGCAACATCGTTGGGCGGCATTGAACCTTCCCCCCTGCCGTTCGTTTATGCTAGGTTATCACGTTTTCGACCAACAGGAAACAGGGAACTACTGTTTGATTTAACTAGAGACTCAATTCAATATTTGCTTTCTACTATCAACTGTGGCTTCATCCACAAACACCTCTCCCCAATGCCATGCCCCTCATCTATACCTGACCGACTGGCCCTGGTGGCAGGGATAGTTTATAGATGGTATTATTGGGTTTTGAGCGTGGTTGTATACAGCTGATGATTTCCAGATTTCCAGACGACATCATCGGATTGTAAAACAAGTTGTAGTCAATGCTTCCTTGGTGCCACGGAAGCGGTTGGGGCTCCTGCGCAGGCTGCCGGTCCCCCTAAAATCGTGATGTCGCAGTCTTGGCCGCCTGAGCCTTCAGGAGCTCCTGGAAAGCGTTGGCGACCTGCTTCTTCAGCTCCTTGTAGGTGACGACAAAGGTCGATTGATTATCACGACTGGTCAAATAAATCTTCTCATCAATGCCGGCATCAAGTTTATTGAGACAGGTCAATATGTGACCAAGGTTGATGACCGGGTTGTTGTTTGCGTCAACCTGATGGAACACATAATCGCGGAAGAGCTTGAGCGTATAGCGCTCGCCATGGTCGGACCAGTTCGGATCGTTGTCGTATTCTGGTCGCTCGTTAATGGTTCCTAGCTTCATTAAAAGACGGGCAAGTCTGCCATTCTCCGTCTCCTTCTGGAATTCGGACGTAATGTTATCTTGGGCATGCAAGCTTGCATCCATAGTCTCAAAGAGGTGGTGTGCGATCGACTGGCACAAGAAGCCAATGTGCTTCTGTTCTGCAACCTCCTCCGCAGGCGGGGTGATGAGCCATTCAACCAGATTCTTGAGTTCCAAGGAGTAGCTGGTTTGCACAAGAGCTGCAAAGGAAGTTTGTAGGTTAGGAATATGACTTTGGTGGAGACATAGACTCATAATGAGCTTGCCAAGATCTACTAGATCTTCGTGCTGTAGATCCGCTAGTGGTTGTGGCTTGTCGTACTCAAGTACGTCCAACACCATGCAGGCACCAAGTCTGATACGGTTCTTCTCGGTGAGGAGAATTTTGCTCGGGTGAATACATCGTGCTGCGAGTTCACCGGCATGAATTGCTCGAAGAGCGTTGCAGACCTGGGAGACATAGCTCCAGAGCACGCTTTCCTGGATCGAAGTTCGGAATCGATTGCCACTATTGTTAGTGAAGTGGTGTTCGGCCAATGTTTTCGAGCATGGATGGTAGTTATGTATGAAAATGAGAGAATTATCATTGAAATCTCGTGTTGTGAAAACTTCGACGGGTGTGACAATGTTGCCATTGACGATACGCTTCCACTTATTGAGTGGAGTATTTGTTGCTTCTTTCCCGCTCACTCGTGTGTTTTGCAGTCTTCGGAGACAGTAGACATGCGCATTCTTCTTGGACTTGGCTTTATAGACCCAGGACTGAATGTTACCGAAGATACTAGATTGGCTTTTAGGACCCTCTAGGGGTACGAGCGAGTGATACGAGTCGGCAACAATCAATGAGTTAGACAATACTTGCTGTAGCGCTGCAGACTTCTTCTGGAGATCCTCTCTCAAATCGTTCGCAACAAAGAAGTCGTGAGCCTGACGCTGGTAAGGCGTCAGATCTGATCGGGCAGGGCCAACTGGCGCATAGAGATGGTACTGCAGAGGTTGCATAGGCGCTGCATAGGCTTGGGCTTGATAGTACGATGTACCAGTTCCTCCCATAGAAGTATGATCTTCTGCATAAGGGTTGAATTGTGTGGATGGCAGTGCTTGATTGAGAGTAGTCATGGTGAAATTTGCGTCGTATAGACCTCCCGTTGTGTCGTTGGCCATTCCGTTGGTGGCTGGAGTGGCTGCCAAGTCGTAGTTGGCTTGCGGTGTGAATTCACGGACCGCTGCAGGGTTAACGAAAGCAGCATCTGTCTCCTGGGGAATGACTGGATTGGTAGCTGGCGACGGAGTCAGTCAAGCAGAGAAGGCTGAAGAATCAGGCCAGCAGCGCCACTTACAACTTGCAGCCCCTTTAGGTGTGAAAGGTGCCGCATTAGCAGTTTGGGAAGAAAAGGTAGATTTCTTGGCCCCTGATGGCAGTTGAGCAGGGGTGAAGGACGGCGAATCAACGTTCAGTGACTTTTTTGCGCTACGGAGAATATTAGCGATTAGATCATCAAGTTGCGATTCCATAGACATCAAATCTGGCTCTGCGGCGGGCTGCTCCAGCTTGGCAGCCATGTCTTCGACCTCGCGGACTTGTGCGGTTCCAGAAACTTCAGATGTCATAGGAGCCTTGGAAGATGCGGCAGTAGCGCTCTCGCTATCGCCTTTCAATTGGCGCTCTTTTGCATCAGAATGACCGGCAGTGGTTGAGAGACTTTGGATGGCTTTAGAAGAAGCACTCGGCAGGCCATCAAGCTTAGGTCGCTGTGGCTCAGGGTATGGAATCACTTCGGCCGTAACCATGCTAAGCAGTTTTGCTTTAAGAGCACGGTGTTCTTCAGCGGTAATGTGACTACTGAAGGGGGTAGTCGACGTTTGGTCATTTGATACTGGATTGCCCAGAGTCTTGTTACTGGTTCCTGGATCACGGCCTTGAGGTCCTTCCGCATCGTTGGCAGAGATCGGTTGATTGAAGGAAGTTCCTTTGGCGGCAGATGAAGAAGAAGCTTCCAGAATGGTTGCTGGAGCAGTTTTGGCCGAGTTCATTTTCAACCATTGCCGACGCTTTTTCTTACGCATGACAAAATTTGGGACCGCGTCAGACAGAGATGGAAAGTCTGTCCTGTCGTCCATCTTCAAAGTATGGGAGTCAGATCCAGCCTGATGTTGCTCGGTCTTGACACTTGGGGCATGCTCAGAATCTGTGTCATGCGGCTGATCTTGAAGTTGCAAATGCTCAAGAGGTTGTGCTGCATCCAAAGTGGGTGCCCCATCCGTGAGATGTTCCGAAGTTGTAGGCACGAAGATATCCTGTGGATGATCGACCTTCGAGCTGGCACCAGGCTGATCTGCTTGAGGGCGGCTTCTGCGGTTGCCGGCGGCGGCCAGAGGCATCTTGTGGGAATCCATAGTGCAGCCGTGAACACCCGTGTAGAGTTACCAAAGTGTTACTGCAAGCTTCTGCTTTGAGATGGAAGCCGAGTCGGTGAGAATCCAAACATTAATGCGGCAGGCGGAATTTTCGTAGTAGACCAAAGTGCTTGAAAAGCCCCTGGACCTCTGACCGGATTATGGGTTCAAGGTAGGTGGCTGTTGTGGTAATTATCCGAATGAAAGATTGGTGAAGAAACTCAGAGAGCTTTCACAGCTGCGTTGAGTAGGAGGGGATAAAAGCCAACCGAAGTTCTTTGAGGTCCGGACCTTCTCAGCTTTGCACAATAGGTCTATGAGAGCTGTGCAAGCCGCATTCCATCACGATCTTTTCCTTTCTGGTGGTCCTCCAGGTCGTCCAGCCGCAGCACCGTTCTATCACCAAGCCGCAGTGGGGCCAGCGCAGCCGCGGCGCTGGTCCGCAACTGCTGAAGGCACACATATATGAAGGATTGGAGATAGCACTTACTCTATGGAATTAGACGATCCCTTGTTCTGGTCATGGTTGAAGGCGCAGCCTTGATCTTCATAGCGGCAGTGGCCATATATGAGCACATTTCGACACAGAGTATCCTTAGTATCTAGTGATAGGTATGTGAGCTTTCATCCAGTTGTTCCTATAGCGCCGATCGCAAGATTGACACAGGTCCTCGTACAGTTCTGTATAGTCGACCAATCTGCTCTTGGCGCGTGTGCGTGGGTAGTCTCACCTCGCGTCTTGGGTCGTGGGGAAGCCATCTGCCTCCCTCCAGCGTTGGTGTACCGGGAGGTCGCCATTGCTCCTATCTATATTGTGTCGCCGAGTTGGTTGGAAGCCGGCATCAAGCCACGCTCGTAGCTTGTAGCTTTGTAGCTTTGTAGCTTGTGACGTAGGGCTGGAGGAGCGGCGCGTCGTCGCTGCTGCTCCTGTCGTATCTGCAACCCCTGCAATGACCAAAAGTGTTAGCAACTGTGAAAAGAAGGATCGCCGAGTTACAAAAGGAATGAAGAAAGGTCGGCGATTGGGCAAATTTGCGCCGTGGAAGACGTTGCATAACAACGCCCGTGAGCTTTGCGCAAGTGGTTTATGGAGGGGCTCCAAGGACCAGGCCACGCGCTGGTGGGTGACAAAGAACTGGGTTTAAAAGTGAATTTGCAAACTTGAGCAGACAAGACAGCGCACATACTCGACACCTATCTCGCTCCCATTGTAACACGTCTACGGGCGACACCTCGCCCATTCAATTAGTCTCGATAGCAGATTTGCTGTCAACGCGGAGCATACAGCGCGGGCACCGGGGGGTTGTAGGATGGGTGAGGTTGGCGATAAGGTGAAGACGGATAGGATATGCAATCCCCCCCAAGGTGGGATGTGAAGCGCCGATACCGTGCCAAGCCTCTGTATCGTCACGCAGTTAGCCTCTCAGCCTTGACTAGACCAGGATCATTAATGAGCACATATGTAATATAGACCGTGTATCGTTACTTTAAACATTCTGCACTAGTCATTTTGTGGTAGTACCGGGAGCTCGGCGTACATGTTCGGGCATGCCCAAAAGGCCGCTTGAACGTGTCTTGAGTGACAGGCAAGATGTGTTCGACTTTTTCCTAGAGCAGGCAACAATAATATGAGTGGTCTGAGCTATGAACCAGTCATTCCGTGTGCGAAATGATTGATCTGAACGAGCCATCAAACTTCTGAACTCTTCAATATCAGGCGACACTAAATACAGTAATAAGCTTAGCCTTGTTCGGGATTCGACTCCGTCATTTGCTAATGCCACGCAGCCAGCTCCCCGGATTTCCTCACTGTCATACTGCCCTGCGATATCGATGAGCTGTTCGGTACTGTTTGTACCTCAGTGGGTCTCAGCAGCTGTCCGTAATCCAAGCCGTCAACCTACAAATCCTACCATAGTAGGCAAGGTAAAAACTTAATTCTGTTCTAGATCTTGGTGCCTTGTCTCTTCTCTGCCTAGCTTTCGGAGATATACCACACCCGGGCATCTTTCTTCCAGCCCGACTCGAATCAAATTCCTGGAAAGACACTTGTTCGACCACAATTACCCCATGGATCTATACAGCACTGCCTTATGAGCATAGGAGGCACGGCGCAAACGTCAAAATGTCGGACGATACAGGGGTAGATGTCAGCCAGCTCTCCGATGAGCAGCAAGCGGCTCTACAGCAATATACGGCCGTCACTGCACAGGAAGTCAAGGATGCGGTGCCCTTATTGCAAAGGTCACAATGGAATGTACAAGTATGCCAAGCCATCACAGTTCTACTTGGACCCCCCCCAAAAAAAAACTAACTGGAGGATATAGATAGCAATCGCCAAATTCTTCGACGGAGAAGGTCCCGATCTCCTGGCCGAAGCGCAAGCAGCTCAAAACGCGATACCGCCGCCCGTCGCAGCACGACATGAGAATCTCCAAGAATCCCTCTTGGCCGGCTCCTCGCCATTCGGCCAGGTTCCGCGTCGAAACCGGCCGAACCCGGCACCCAGAGTTGTGCCGGCCCCCATGACCACCCACAACCCTCCCCTCCTGCTGTCGATTCTGTTCGGGCCCTTCAACCTGGGCTACCGCGCCGTCTCGACACTCTTCCGCACCTTCGTATACATCCTCTCCTTCCTCCCGGCGCCGATCCGGCCGCGCGCGATAACGACGAGCGTGACCTCGGGCTTCAAGGGAACCGCAGGGCGGCGCATGCTCCTGCCGCGGGACACGGCGGCACGGTTCAAGCGCGAGTTCGAGGAGGAATACGGGCCGGACACGGGCCTGCCGTTCGTGGAGACGGGGTTTGCGCAGGCGCTCGACGCGGCGAAGAAGGACCTCAAGTTCCTGCTCCTGGTGCTCGTGTCGCCCGAGCACGACGATACCGAGGGCTTCACCAAGGACACGCTGCTGGCGCCCGAGGTGCGCTCGTTCGTCGCCGACCCGGACAACAACGTCATCCTCTGGGGCGGCAACGTGCTAGATTCGGAGGCCTACCAGGTGGCGCAGGAGTACAATGCGACCAAGTTCCCCTTCTCGTGCCTCGTGTGCCTGACGCCCAAGGAGGGCAGCACGCGCATGAGCATCGTGAAGCGCATCGTGGGCCCCGTCCCGAGCTCCACGTACCTCGCCGAGATCCAGGCCGCCATCAACAAGTACTCGCCAGACCTGGCGGTCGCTCGGGCGGAGCGCAGAGAGCAGGAGGCTGCGAGGAGCGTGCGCGCGGAGCAGGACAGCGCCTACGAGCGCAGCCTGGCGAGGGACAGGGAGCGAGCACGGCAGAAGAAGGAGGCCGAGGCGGCAGCCAGGGACGCCGAGAAGCAGGCGCTCGAGGAGGCCGCGGCGGCCGAGAGGCGGGCGCAGCAGAAGGAGCAGTGGCGCAGGTGGCGGGCCACGACGATCGCGGCGGAGCCGGACGCCGGCGTCAAGGACGTGGTGCGCCTGGCGCTCAAGATGCCCGAGGAGTCCGGCGCGGGCCGCATCGTGAGGAGGTTCGCCGCCTCGACGACGGTCGGGGAGCTCTACGCGTTCGTCGAGTGCTACGACCTGCTCCGGGGTGATGAGGAGATCGATGCGGATCGGGAGGAGCCGGAGGGCTACGTGCATGAGTACGCGTTCCGCATTGCGGGACTAATGCCCAGGGTTGTGTACGAGCCTAATGATTCCTCGACGCTGGGCGACAAGATTGGCAGGAGTGGAAATCTCATTGTGGAGAGGATTGTAGATGAGCAGGAGCAGGAAGATCAGGATGAAGACGACGAGTAAAATGAACATCGCATAGAAATAATAGAAGGGCTGCCTACCAATATCAACTCACACTTGCGGCTTGGGAATAGAGAGTACGCATGGTCACAATATTGTACCTGAACTTGAGGTGGAGACATGGCAGATGCAACTTCGACTATGTGCTATTCATCCAAGTATTGTTACTGTCGTGCCGCAACGCGCCCCTGCACCTGGGGCGACACAAATGTAAGTATTCTGTGTTTACACCGGTGTCCCTCCCAAAATCACCTCGTAGCAATTTCTCTCCGCGGCCAAACGTGGCCGTACACTACACTACATATGCTACAGTCGATATACAGTGCATACACCGCACGAATAGAGGGTCTACTGTTGTATCCCTAGCTGGTGCTAGACTACGGGTACGTTACAATCATGACGTCCGGAGGAAGGGTCCGCATGGCATCTCACGCGCGTAACGCAGTCGCGATAGTTCTTGAAAGCAACAGGAGCTGTATTTGATATGAGCATGAGGACAAATTAAGCTAAACACTGGGTGCCTTTACCTGTCATAATTCTTGGCGCAGACTTCCTGCTGCGCAAACATGGGCGAAAGGGTCTTATTTCCAACCTAAACGCCACCATCAAGCTCCAGGCTTCGAGTACCGCAAATGCAACGCGTGGCCGAATTGCGCCTATCAGAAGAATCCATAATCGTTTGGTTTGGATGTTCGCTTTAAGGTCATTGGGTTGTCCCTATTGATTCGGTGCGTACCTCTGGTGAATGGCCCGAATCTGTTCTGAGACATTGGTGCTTTGCATTTGGGGCTGGTGGCCGGGATTGCGGGCATCGGGCACACCATCGTAACTGTTCAAAGCGGCCCTCTTTCTTCTGGCTAGCTCTTCTTCTGATATCGGCTGGCCCGTTGCAGGATCGAAGATGTCCGTTCGCGAGCTGGCTAACCGCTTGAGATGATTCGCTGCATCTGCTGGCGCCATGTTGGTGCTAGCCGCTCTCGAGTCTTGCTTGGCCTTTTGTTCTTTCCAGCGCGGATCCAATAATTCGATACGCATATGCTCGGCCAGCTCGTCGACGGGAATTTGTTGGTTACAGGTGGGACAGAGTGCCATCTGTGCTGCTTGTCTACTTGCTGCACGCGCTGCAGCCCTCGGCACGTAGTTCTCCCTGATCTTTATTGGAGCAGCACCGCCCTTGGCGTCGGCTTGAGCCTGTTGCAAGCGAGCGCGAGCCTCTTCTCTTTCTCGTATACGGGCCGATTCCTCGTCTTCAAAGCCATTGGGCCTTGGAGGTGGTGCCATTCCATACCCGGGCTGTGGCGCAGGCATTTGTTGTTGTTGTTGTTGTTGATATGCTTGTACACCTGGCATGGGCTGTGCGGGATATGCTGGGTGATGAGGAATATTGTAACTTGGCTGAGCAGGGGCAGCGTAGCCATTGTATGAACTGTCTTCCTCGGAAGGGAATCCTTCCTCAATACGAAAGTTGGCACCGACAGAAACCCTGGCCTTCTGCTCGAGAGATGCATACTGAAGATCGTTCAGAGATGTTGGCGGCGGGAGGTTCGCTTGATCGTCTGCATCGTTGAAGACAACAGTTTCGACGACAACAAAGTCATGCCAGTCGATCTGGGCGTAGACTTCGCGCTCCTTCTCCTCTTCCTCCTCTTTTTGTATCTTCTGAGATTCCTGGTACTTGAGCCATTCTGCCCGCTGTCGTGCCCGTGCCAAAACGTGGAACTTGTCATCGACGTTGCGCTGGAGCTCAGCCACCCGTTCTTGTTGCTGTCGGCCTCCTTCTCCATCGATGCCGCCAGCTCGCAGTAGCATCGAGTATTGATCGACTAGATGCTGGAAGAAGTTGTGTAGACTGTGGTTTGGTCGCAGGAATTCAAACTGGTAGTTGCCGGTCTCTCGCTGGGAAAGGTTGGTCATGAACTGCCGTCCGTTCTTGGCCACGAACAAGGCTGTAAGTTTGACGACTTCGAGATCCTGGGCGCTGATGTTGGGCATGCGCGCCGAGAACTTGAAGTCTGGAGGCTGGGGAGGCCCGACAGGCTTCTGCTCAACGGGAGCGGCAGCTTCGCCGGCGCGACCTGCAGAGACTGCATTGCCTCTCCCTTCCTTGATCTCGCTGAGTCGCCATAAGTAGTACGGGTTGTAGGGATCGGCGTTGCTCAAGAAACTGAACTTGGGGTTGTTCCTTTCCTTTTCGCGGATACGGTCTTCGAAAACGATGCCGTTTCGTGCGACGAAGCCCGCCGTCTTCTCGAGGATAGCTAGACACCTGGTTAGCACGGTCCCGGCAAAGAAGGAAGATAGGAGCAAAATTATAACATGATAGACGTACTTCTGAATTCTTTGGGGGGGAGAACAACGCCCTGAGGGGGCTTGATGTCCTCGAGGACAGCAGCTGCATCACCATTAGTTGTGGCGGCCATCTTGACGTTTGGTAATTCAACCCTCCTTCCAAGTGGTGATGAAGCTACAGGCAAATGTGGTTGGGGTCCATAGAATCGATCGATAGGAAAGCGAATCGCGACAATGCGTTCAGCCTTATTAGCGCTCCCTCCAGTAGCAGTAAAGCTCAGGTCAGTTTTTGGGTGCTTCCGGTACGTACTGTTTTTTTTTCGCGGCGTATTGATGATCCGGCTCAGATCATAGCTACAGTATGAAAGTACGAAGTAATTACGAAGTGAGTGCCGCTAGCAGACTACATAGGTCCTACATGGCGTTGCAGCACGGCACACGTAGGGAACATGCTCTACTGGGCCAAGCTACAGTCGACAGTGTCCGAAAAATCTGACAACGGGAACTCGCAGCTTGGTATTGCTTTCTCGTATCGTGCACGAGCTTGCTCAAATCACCACCTTGTTGCTCTCGGCTTTACTTGAACGGCTGCGTAACGTGGATAATATACCATATACCAAAACACACAAGCGCAGTCCAGCGAATAGGGGGGGCCGCAGGAAGCTACCATGTTCAAAGAGCCCAAGCAAGCTCATGTGGAAACTTGTGTATACATATATACCGTATATACATACAGACAGTTGGGGCATCACATGCAAGAAGAATCGCCCACGGATAGTAAACGTTTCCGTGTCGTTCTTATCTTTTTTTGTGCGATTCTCATGGGTAGTGTCTCGGTAAAAGGGGAAATACCCACGACATACGGAGTACCTAATCCTCATCTCAGTACATAACTAAAAGATGGGAAAAATTGTTTGACAGATCTGACACTGGGTTGCGCATCTTATACGAGGACTAGACTAACCTTAGTCTAGACTAACCTAAGGTTGTCCGTAGAGCGAATCAATTTTTAGAATATTCAACGAGCTCCCCCCCTCTAGCCTATGTGACGCCAATCCCCAGTTGGGACGCGTTGGCGTTGGCGAGCGGAGAGCTGAAGGATCCTTGTTCGTGTTTCCGAAAAATGCACCCGCATTTTTGGGTCATTGGATTTTGGATGTGAGACTGACTTCAGATGAGATGAGGCCACTTGTTGAAAGTTGACGGCGCTAAACCTGAGGGAGCCTCCAAGTGAGTTCAGTGAGTTCACGATTAGAGTCCGGCCCCTGAATTCAAAGTCCATGTCAAAGTTCAAGTCAACCCTTTCCTTTCCACCCAACTCCTATCGCCAATTGCGACAAGAGGACTGCTATTCTGTCCTCTACTCCCTCCGAGCATTCTTCTTTTGCTAGAGGTCTTCCCATATCACCTCCTTGTAATGATCCATTTTACTTCTTGACCTTCTTTTAGAACCTTGCCCTTTCTTTTCCCCATTGGCCCCGTTTACCTGCGTCTGCGTACCCGAAGCAGCACATAGCTCCTGAACCAAAGCTTGGGACCTCGACCAAAGCTAGAGTAGAGCAAAGCAAAGCAGGAGAAGAGAGGCCACGCAAAACATTCCAACTTGCACCCCCAGTTGTAAACTCCTCCTCCTCCTCCTCCTCCTCACCCCCCAATCATTTATGCTTGGGTTTCCATCATCTGCGACAACTTAACACAACATGGCGAAAGCCGTAGCAACGAAGCCCAAGGGCGCTTCGTTCGTTACGCCTGCGCCGCAAACTACCACGAAGCCTGTCGTAAAGAAGAACGATGACTACACCTCTGACGGCGTCGAGGACAACGATGTCTTCCTCTTGCCCATCTCTGACTACAACGTCATGGCTATTGTCACCATCCTGGGAGCTGTGGTTCGCCTTTTCCGCATCTACCAGCCCACCAGCGTCGTCTTCGATGAGGTGCAGTAAGTTGAATGGCCAGACACCGGAAACAATGCGCAAAGATGGCTGACAAGTGATTCTTCTCGCAGCTTCGGTGGTTTCGCTTCCAAGTACATCAAGGGCAAGTTCTTCATGGACGTCCACCCGCCCCTCGCCAAGATGCTCATCGCCCTCGTTGGCTGGCTCGCCGGTTTCGATGGAGATTTCGATTTCAAGGATATCGGCAAGGACTACCTCGAGCCCAACGTACCATACGTTGCCATGAGACTGTTCCCTGCCGTCTGCGGCATTCTGCTCGTCCCCACCATGTTCCTGACCTTGAAGGCTGTTGGGTGCCGAACCGCAACCGCTGCACTTGGTGCTTCCTTGATCATCTTCGAGAACGGTCTCCTAACACAAGCTCGGTTGATCCTGCTCGACTCCCCCCTCGTACTCGCCACCGCTTTCACCGCTCTTGCCTTCACCTCCTTCACCAACCAGCATGAACAGGGCCCTACAAAGGCATTCTCGGCCAGCTGGTGGTTCTGGCTGGTCATGACTGGTCTGGGACTCGGCACAACCTTCAGCATCAAATGGGTTGGTCTTTTCACAATTGCCTGGGTTGGTTCCTTGACTCTGGTTCAGCTTTGGGTTCTCCTCGGCGACACCAGGACCGTTACCATGCGCATTCTCGCCAAGCACTTCCTGGCGCGTGTCTTCTGCTTGATCATCATTCCCGCCACTTTCTACATGGCAATGTTCGGCATCCACTTCCTATGCCTCACCAATCCCGGAGAGGGAGATGGTTTCATGAGCTCCGAATTCCAGGCTACTCTGAACAACAAGGGCATGCAAGACGTTCCTGTTGATGTTGCTTGGGGAAGCAGAGTCTCCCTCAGACACGTCAATACCCAAGGCGGATATCTGCACTCACACCCTCTGATGTATCCTGGCGGCAGTCAACAGCAGCAGATTACTCTCTACCCGCACAAGGATGACAACAACATTTGGCTTCTCGAGAATCAGACTCAACCTCTTGATGTGAACGGTGAGCCCATCAACGGCACAGCTGCTTGGGACAAGGTCAGCAACATAACCGAGAACTACATCAAGGATGGCGACGTCATGCGCTTGTACCATCTCCCTACCCACAGACGTCTTCACTCACACGATGTCCGACCTCCTGTGAGCGAGGCCGAATGGCAGAACGAGGTTTCCGCATATGGTTATGAGGGATTCCCTGGTGATGCTAATGATCTTTTCCGTGTTGAGATTGTCAAGAAGGAATCAAGTGGGGCCCTCGCCAAGGAGCGTCTTCGAACCATTCAGACCAAGTTCAGACTCGTCCACATCATGACTGGCTGCGTTCTTTTCTCGCACAAGGTCAAGCTTCCTGACTGGGCTTCTGAGCAGCAGGAGGTTACCTGCGCCAAGGGCGGTACTCTCCCCAACAGCTTGTGGTACGTTGAGTATAACGAGCATCCTTCTCTCGGCCCCGATGCTGAGAAGGCAAACTATGTCCGTCCCGGCTTCTTTGGCAAGTTCTGGGAACTCCAAAAGGTCATGTGGCGAACCAATGCCGGCCTGGTTGAGTCGCACGCCTGGGATTCTCGTCCCGAGTCGTGGCCCATCCTGCGTCGTGGCATTAACTTCTGGGGTAAGGACAACCGTCAAATCTATCTGATTGGCAACCCTATCGTCTGGTGGTCATCTACTGTTGCTGTTATCCTTTACGTGCTCTTCAAGGGTCTAGCTGTTCTTCGATGGCAGCGTAGCTGCAGGGACTATGATAACGCGACCTTCAAGCGATTCGATTATGAGATTGGTACTTCAGTTCTAGGATGGGCTCTGCACTACTTCCCATTCTTCTTGATGCAGCGCCAGCTGTTCCTGCACCACTACTTCCCAGCACTGTATTTCGCTGTCATGGCCTTCTGCCAGGTCTATGATTTCGTTACCGCGCGATTCCCCTTGCCAGGTATCCGTAGCAACCCCATCATCAACAAGACAGGCGCAATCGCCATCCTGGCTCTTTCCGCTGCTGTCTTCGCCCTCTATTCGCCCTTGGCCTATGGAAACGCCTGGACCAAGGACGAGTGCCGTCGCGTCAAGCTGTTTGACACCTGGGATTGGGACTGCAATACTTTCCTTGAGAGCGTAAGTGTTCCTACACATGGCATGCCATCTAGAGGGAGGGCTTAACCCCTCGCATCTGCATGAGAGAGGCTGTATGTACGAAGCAAACATACATACACGGTCTACAATTTTGTACAAGATCTTAGACTAATTCATCTGCTTAGTACGATGCCTACGACAAGATTACCCAGAGCAGCCTCAAGGCTGCGCAGACCTCACAAGCTGCTGTAGAGAACAAGGCCGTGCCACCCCCAGTCGAACAACAGGCACAAGAGCCAGCTCAAGACGCCCCAAACGGGGCCGAGGGAGCCGCGGGAATCTCCGGGGCTCCCCAGTTCGAGCCCCAGGGTCAGAAGGTCATCGGCAAGGAGGAGCGGGTCGAGTACCGCGACCAGGACGGCAACTTGCTGAACGAAGAGCAGGTGAAAGCGTTAGAAGGCAAAGTCGAATTCAAAACGCGCTACGAAACAAGGACGCGCGTAGTCGACGCCAACGGGAACGAGGTTCCCGGCGCCGAGGTCCCGGTAGCCCCGCCTCACCCTGATGTCGAAGGTGTGGACAGCAGCACAAAGCAGAAAGCTGCCGAGGTGCCCGCCGTTGACGTCGAGAACCAGAAGGTGGTCAAGTCCAAGGATGGCGAGAAGGAGAAGGAAGCAGGAGAGCCCAAGCCCGCCAGCGAGGGAAATGAGGCCACGAAGCACTAGACTTTCTCCTGGTCTCCAAGCTTCGAGAATGCTTGGGCCCCCTTTCGACCAAAGCACGAGAGGAGTCTATAGCATTCGTGTATACCACGATTGCATTTTGCACCAAAATTACAGCGTAATGAGGATCAAGGGAAAAGGTCACGGCGAAGAGCGGATGAAGTCAGGGGGACATAGGGATTGTCTACAAGTCATGTCAAATGTAGTTCCCACGTAGCTACACGCTATTTTTCCTTTATGTATCCCCCAAAAAATTTTACCGTCTTAGGACCACAGGCCTTCCTGCAATCTCAGCGAGATCTATTGGGTGTAGGTTGTATCTTGTCTTGTCCTGCCAATGGAGTTATCCATACACGTCCGTGTCCTTCGACAGGTAAGATGCTCTGGATTGTCTTGAGCCACGGTGTGGTAACCCAATGCTCCAACGGTGCAGTATAACTTTAAGAATTAATCATAATAACTTGTTTATCGGGGCTGGTGTAACTACACTCCCTCGAACAATATAATCAACATTTTTACCTCGCTAGACATCCAGGCCGAGAGAGTAGTAAAGAGAAGCGAGCTGAACCAGGTGAATAAGCGAATCAGCCAAGGCTATATATTATGGTATGTAGTTTGACCTGTGATGGTTCAATCTCGACGAGGGAAACTCTCAGCCAGAGATTAGGCTGCGTGTTCGTTCGAGGTGAGAAAGGTAAAGGAGGTTTGCGAGGCATCTATTCTGGGTGTTGCTCTGCAAATGGTTGACTTTGCGTTTGACACATGGAGGCTGTGCATGCCCACGTCATGTGAGCAAGGCTGCATAGGAGCTGAGAAGTCGGTTTACGGGTCTCTGGGGAGCATGGGAGTGCCTTGTCGGGAGGCTGCTCTCTACTAAACATGGGTAGTGATACTTGCTGGCCCTTTCGCAATGTGACGAACCCCTCTCGGAAGCAGTGATATTATGACAGGAACGAAACCCGCGTGTATAGTAGAATAAGTATCGAACAAATTAAAACAATAGGACCTCTAAGATCCACCAGCGACTACATGTACGTTGGTCTTCTGGCTGTGTGCATATGTTTCGCTCTTTCTATAACCATCATCCTTTGGTTTGTTTTTATGACTTTGTTACACCTTTGTCTTAGCAACTGATCTAATAGACAACAAACTTGTCTAGTAGTTCCTGATGCCGAGGTTTAATTCCTATGGAAGACTAATTCGCAACCTTGAGGACTAGTATTGGGTAAAAGTAGTTTGGATGGCAAATAGGAAACCACAATGCCTGATCAGTATAACCATACTTATAGACTAGCTAGACTTCTATCCTTTACTCGGTGCGGTTTCGGCGTTGATCTGCTCTGAATCGTTAAGTATATACCTGATGATATCCTGAAGTATTATATGAACTTATAATTTCCTCCTTTGCTGTAAATGCTCATGTACTGACCGGCCATCTCATGGAATGAAGCCGGGCGTCGATGGGTTATGCCGCACAACTAGCCATGGCTGATTCTTTCCGGCGCCGCTTTGCCAAGCAAAATTGCAACAAACGCGGCGATGGAATGCTCTGTTGCCAGGGAAGATTGAGAATTCGCAAACTGCTGACGACATCGACAAAGCTTTCGCTTATGGTCATGCTTTAGATACACTCGTGGGGGTGGACATCTCTACTTGAGAGTCCATCTGCATCAAGCACGATGGCCACCATATGCGCTTCCCTCCCATTCTTCGAGAGGCGTTGCAGTACGTCTACAAGAGGCTTGACGCCCAGTCTAAGCAGCAGACAAAGAAGAAAGAAAAAAGGTGCAAGGTCGCAACCTATCCCCACCATCTACACGGCGATTCAAACAGAGAAAAGGAAGAAGCCACCGTCTAGTCTACTCGCAGTTATATCGAAACTGTCAAATCAGCTGTACTGGATCACTGATTTGCCCTCGCCGATGAGCATGAATCATCAAATATTATCAAATCTCCATTGGATTTGTTCGTAAACGAGAGTTTCCTGGCATTAGACGATGATCCATGTTATAAAGGAGCAACCCGCAGTTTTCATTTTCAGCAGCACATCGGTTAGAAGGACGAAAAGATAACTTGGTAAGTGGACTGATATAGATGCTTGTCTCTGAGATACTTGAGAGCAGAGAGAACTCGGCTTTTCATGCGCTTTTTTCAGCTGGGGATCTTGAAAGCTGGCGTGCAGTGAAAAAAAAACGATGCAGATGCTGCCATGGAGTTTGGATAGCCAAGGTAGCGGACAGAGTTGTCCAGTTTGTATATATGGGAGGAAGAGGCGTACAAGAACCAGCCGCTGGATGGATTATGTGCTTTTGATGGAATGCCGGGTTTGTAATTCTGATATGGGAAATTGACGACGGACGGGGTTCAAAAGATTTTGACAGAGTTGATCGAAGCTGGGTTCCAATACTTTAGAACCCAGTAATAAAATTCAAAGTTGGAAGGTTCTCATGAATTGCGTCCTAATTCTTCTGCTCAGTGATAGGAACATTTTAGCCACCCCCTATGCTCGGTGGCTAAGGTCAATGCAAATAACCTGTAAAAAGCTTCTGGATAGAAGTCAGATATCTTGTCGTTTTGGTCGGTCAACCGATCACAACAGTCACAACTTCATGGTCGAAACCCATCGAAGCGCCCAGCATCCTCGTCTCTCTGCCATAGGCTGATCAGCATGACGGCATAAGCTGACATGGCGAAATTTACTCTTCAAGGCGGCCCATGATGTCTCGGTGTTAGCCTAGTCTATGTGCTGTGCTATGTTGAGGGACTTTTGTCGCTATGAATTATGAGTCTCAATCACTACAACCCAGACCAACTTCGCTGGGCGTCAGTGACACTCCGACTAGAAGAATGTACGACCAGGCGCTATTTAGAAGTTCTGATTGCAACTTCACAATCTTTCCATAAACTTTCAGGCTGTTGACTACAGTTCTTTTCGAATTTCCATCCATTTGAAGAAAACGTTTGGTCTATATTGTAAATGATATTTTTCTGGTTGTGAGCTGAGCGTTATTCTCCATGCATGGCGAGGTGATCAATTCCCAACAATTATTTCAGGCGTCACAGTAAGCAGTAAGACTTCAACGTTTCTCTCCAAAATGTTTCAGTTCAAGGGAAGAATCTTACTCAGTCGTGAGGTTCATGGGTCGCTCCAGCTGCCGCACAATGCACGATACGGCAGCATTCCTCCGCTGATCTTTTCTGCACAGACGCCGAGGAACCATTCCGAGACATGCTTGCAACAACAGTATTATACGGAGAATCAAACGGACATCCAAATACCCAAATTAAGTTCTACAATTGTCAGATTAAGCGGTCATATGCCTTTGGAGCCTTTGTATCAATGCTTTTGTATGTGCTTGGCAAAGAGGTCTCATGCAACGGCAATTATAGTAAAGCTTGCTGCAATGTTCAGTACTTTTCTTTTTCTTTGACACAAGACACGTCGTGTGCCCTGGAAACTACCGGAAGGTATCAGTTTGAGGGCAAGGCCAAGAAAAGATCAGCGAGGCACAAAGGACGGGCGTCGCACGTTCCCGTCTTGGCCACCCTTTTATACGTGGCCACGACCGCAGTGATGAACTCTGACGCTGGTGTACCCGCGAATGCCAAGTGACAATCATTTCAGTTTTGCCTTCGAGCTGAAGCGCGCCAAGCGCCGTCAGGCCGGCCGACTCCTGCGTATTAGCTTGGCGATGAGGATCTTGATTTGCGATCCGCGATAGAGTCTTTGCCAAGCGCGGCAGTCGAGTTGATCGACAGCATGGGTATGACAACCGTGAGTAGAACCGATGAATGGCCAGATCAGGCCGTTTTTATGGATTAATGGGTGTAACAGTCATCGCCTATGTCAACCTGACGCGTCAAGATATTGCCAGACGTAAGCACCGAGCAGACGGTATCTGCCTTGCATTTACTCGAAGTTTCGGCGATGCTGAACTTTCAGGCGCCCTTTCCCATGGAAAGCTTGTTCAGTAGCTTGGCGACATAGATAGAGCCCCTACCGTTGGTATCGTGAAGTCTAAAAGGAAGGATCAGACTTGGCAACGGCATCCTTCAGGCTTCCAAAGGGCGGGATGTTTGCCTCAACCTTGATAATTCCAAGAACTTTCAGCAGGATCATCCACTTCTGCAGGTTGGAAACGCCACTCGAAAATGACGAGGCACATCACCGTGGGGGAAAGTTTGGCGAACAAATTGATTCTCAATGTGTCGCAGAAGTACTGCTCGGCGACAGCCAGGGCTGCCTGAAACGTAGCAATAGTAGTCTGTACTATTTGCATCTATCGTAGCCATTGAAAACTCGGAAGAAGCTGTAACCCAATTTCTCGACCAAGCGCGTTTCCGGACCTTGGCAGTCATGTATGTATTCTCATTTATGTTGAGTTCCATTGTCGAACAAGCAGACCAAGCAACCGTATTGATGTATTTCGGCCATAGCCTGTCTCATTGCTAGCGAATCTGTGCAACCTGGCCTTCGTTATACCGCTCACGGTTGAGTACACAGCTAACCCACATTAGATAGCTGTTCAAAAAAACGCTCTCGGGACTTGTCCATTAGAAAGGGCTCAGTATCCGATTTGCCGCCACTTGATCAGTGGGTATGTGATAATGCTCTCTATGAAGTCGGAAGTTTCGGAAGCTCACAACACCTGACCTCCAATTTTGAGGATATTCGAAATGTGCAGCAGAGCCCCCTAGACATGATTTTCACGTCACACAACCTGAGTGTGGGAATACTGGTGCAATTGGTGAGCGGCTGGATGTGATTGGTGGTGTATAGAAGAAATTGGCGCATCAGATTATCCTTTGCTCACCGCATGATGCAAGGCCGCCATTAACTCTTCCCGCAGGCCATCGAAACATCACGTCCAGCAGTGAGTGAGGCCAAAGCCCACTGCAATGGTACCCCAAGGCGCGAGAGACACTTGCCGATATTTGTGCTCAGCCAAGAGCCTCAGAAGGCCGACTGCTTCGCCACGTTGTTACTCCTTACAACGTGTTCAATTGTGGAAATTTGCCGTGGACTCGTCCAATTTGAACAACTCGACCTTGTCCGGTCTATTTGAATTTTGGCAAAAGGCTAGATGATTCATTCTCCATAGCCAAGACGGGTCACTGCGCCCTGGTTGATAGGCAGGTAAAGCATCGCAGCTAATGCAGGAGTGCGCTGTAGAAATGGGTTGGAGGTCACGAGACAGAAGGCTTGGCGATCCCTCCCCCCCTAATGAGCTGCATATGATTTCATCATTTTGTTCTGGCTGCAGGGACGAAGCGGACCAGTCTCGTTGAGCAGCAATTTTCGTGGGGGTTAACAATTATGTGTGCTTGCTGTGTAACACGAATCGACATCTTCCATGCTGATTGGACAGAAAATAGTCCTCGGCATGCCGATTGTAGTCGAACCGACCCTGCTTGAGAACCTTGAAGTTCACAGTTCCGGGGTGATAGCGCCGACACACCTTACTCATGCATGGACGAGTTGGTCGGGGTGCGCCAGGCGTGCAAATGGCTGAAGTAATATCATCATGCTGCCGTTTAGCAGCTGCAAGTTGCAAAAAGAGTTCTTGTGAATCGAGATTTCGCCTAGACTAGATCTCGTGTAGTATTGCGTACCGCGAAGCAGTCATGTTCAAGTACTACCCCGAGATTGTTGCTTCTTGGTGATTCTGTGGACTGCTTGGCTGAGCAACTCCAGGTCCTGTCAAAACATGTCGAGCATCCTACAATAGGTTTGTTTGTGCGACTCAGGTACAATGCTGAGACGGCAGACATAGGTTGCGTCTTCCTCACATCCGCCCATACCGTCATTATCCCCTCGCAAACGGGTTTATTTCATTTCAGCGAGAATCATGACAGTGAATAATTCTCGCTCAGTAGTATTTTGCCTAGATGATTCGTAGAACCTTGACTGACAGTCCTGCATATGCACGCTCAAGAGCTGCAACTTGCATGCCCCGCTCAGTTAAAATGATAGGCAACGCGAAAGGACCCAGGAGCTGAACCCGCAGGTTGCATTTGTCATACGTACGGATCCGTAGGCCATCGACAGAGAGCCCCTTCAGTACGACTTCAAGACCATTCATCACCTAGCTCAACCCACAAACGCTATCGCATTGCTGGAACCAGAAACGAAAGCTCGTGCATCAATTGATAGGATCAGATCTCAATATAGAAAAGCAGCGGCCTCTACATAGTATGCTGCTCAGCGCTAAAGGACTTTTGTCGGCAAGCCTAATGAAAGTCTATCTTTCTAGTGGCTGTCGTGAGTTCACGTTTACCGCGACGAAATAGGTAATTCTGGGGATTCTACTACTGTGTGCCTATGAACGACGAATTGTACTGCGTGGAACGGAGGGTGACTTGAGCGATGATGTAATATCCTGGAATAGTTCAACACGAACAAGTCAGTTGAGGGTTGAGACAACTTCCCATCGCCTTGGAACTTGGCATTGGTGACTGCCGCTGATCACTGTTCTCACACATGAACATGTCGCGATGTCAGAATTGGCCGAACCACCGGTACCCCACTCACAAAGCCAACATGACGCAGGGTGGTTGCATTTCCTGGAGTTCCTCAAAGTCAAGCTTACTTTGTCGGGTTTGGGTTCTTGGACTCTTTGTACCCGGTACTCAGCGCGGAATATGCCTTTGCCAGTGCATCTAAATGGGACCGGCCATAATAAACAATCGTCGAACTTTACGTCTTTGGATTTGGGGCTTTGGGTATAGAATCATTCCACGAGGAGATTAAGACAATCGAAATTGTAGTTACGGAGGACGAAAAGCAGCACGCCATCGGATTATTATCGCCAAGGGCACTCGTTCCTTTGTGGAATATGTGCCAATGCTTGGTATTGTCTGCGTTTCGTTCATTGCGTTGCTTGGACTGAAGATTACAATATAAACACCTCCGAATATTCATTTGGAAGCTCGGACGAAGGGCAACTCGTTATCGAGACTTGCATGAAACTGCACAGAGACACACGCTGTCTAGGAGAAGCAGAAGACCATGGCCGATAAACTTTATGTTTATATATGTACATGCGTAACATAACCATCAACAGCCCCCTTCAGGTGCAGTAAATATCAAGAGCAACCGTGTAACGAAGGGTGTTCAATGCACGCGCGTTTAGAAGACAGCACCAGGAAACTACGAAGCTCCCAGTTGGCTTCGGCTTCTGGTCGCATTAGGGGGTTGCTCATTGGACACGGCGGTATTATTATGGACACATCCTGATGGTCGCATCAATTGTGGGCGAACCCCACACTATTGGTAGTCGCAAGCACCATCTAAACGCCGATTTAACAAATTACTACTCTGCTAGACGTAGCACTGGTACTATGTATGTCGGAAAATCGCTCACGTTGATGCGCTGGTCCTGGTCGCGGTCACAATCGTGCCTCAACAATTATAGAGTTATTGGCAACTAAGGCACTGCGAGAACGTCGGACCAACTGCTGTCTAAACCGGAGACGAGGTAACAGATAGCTCTCGAACAACCCGCGGTCTTATTGAATGCCAAGTTCACTTATTTCAATGACATATTCCCTATAGGATAGCGATCGACAAGCCAGCCCCGAGCAGGACCGCACAGGTTTCGTGGTGGCTTAATTAGTCAGTCAGTCCAAGTTACCGAATTTGGCAGTATTATGCTGGAGGGTTGTTCTACGGCGACTATCGGAACTTTGAACAAGCAGGCTAGGTTTCTGTTCCGTGCTCAACATGCACACAAGTGAATATCCCCCTTTCACAGACCAAGTGACCCGTTGATATATAATTATGTGCCGTGTTTGTGACATGATACAAGTTCTCGACGCTGGCTGAATCAGTTGTTCCTACACCCTTGCCTGTCACTTTGTCCACATCGAGGCCACGGCCTTTGGCGTCCCCAATTTCGAAAACGCCAGCGATTGGTTACACACACACACACACATAAGCGATCAACTCCACAAAGTATTCGATACTTGCTCAGTTCCAGCAAAAGGTCCGCCACATCCACACTCATCAGCAACCGTAATTGCTGCTTGCGCGCATTACCCACATAGACGCAGAAGAGCTTGAGAAGACCCTGCTTTGTTCATTCGTTCTGATTGCAACTCCAGTGGCCAGCTATCCCATTACAAGCAAATTGTACTCGGATAGTCGTATTGCCGCAGTCCACTTCATTATCTCCCACGCATTCAACTTGCACATATAGTACAAACGGATGGGGCCCCCATTATGTACGAGGTATCCTAAAGCAATTCCGTTCTGAACGCACATATTCCTGCAGCTGTGCTCCCACCAGACGCAACGGAGCAAGATCAACATAGTTTGACAAGCTACATACCTGTTATTTCCCGCTTGAAGACATGCCTCATAGTTTCTTATAATCGCTTTGACCCCCCGGGCGTTTTCTCTTTTTCGCTTCATCAAATTTCCTAAATATTTAATCTTTTTTTTTTGTCGTTTTCCCTTGGCGTGAAGATCCTAAGGCTATTCGTTCTTCTGGGCGTCTGTAAGCAGGGCGACACGGCATTGCATAATAGCGCAACCATTCAGCAATCTTCGCTGCATCGAACATTCGAAGAAGGAGCCAAGAAAGGGGCTTCCTGGGCATCACCAAACCTAGCCCGTTCGTACTACGCACATACTGCTTATAATTCTGAGCAACCCTTTCGACTTCGTTCTCCCGGTCAAAACACTGCAACCAACCCCTCCTTGAAGGAGGGTTGCCCTGCCCTCGTTATCTGGGATCGGAAAGTGTTGTTCGCTTCAATACTTCCCGGTATACTGATAGTTTGGAGGCCGGATCCAAACCCTAAATACAAACAGTAGTATACATCCAGCAAAAGAAGATCGCTTATCGGGAGCGCCGAATTGCTCGCGTTGAATCCTGAATTCTCCGAGGAGGGTTCCTTTACTCGATCAGGCCATTCTCAGAGCTCACGCATCCCAGAAATCCAGACTGGGACATGGTCAGCTGGTGAACTGCGCTACTGTTTGCAGGCTTTAACGGTCCAGATCCCACCACCCAAAGCACGTTGACCAGCATTCGGCACCGCCGCCGCATCATTCCAGCCAGCAACCTTGAACAGGGTCCTTGTCTCTGCCCCCCAGGGACTTTAGACGGCAATAATGGCTGCCCCTCAGATAGCACCAGCATCAGCAGTGCAGGCGTTTCCCACAGCCGGCATGACTACATCATCAGCGCCGTCCTCGCACCCACCCTCGCAGCCGCGACCCGTTCCCCATGGACAGCCGTCGCCTTTACTAATACACAATTCAAAGTCTTCCACACGGGATCCAGCAGAAGCAGGTATTATTGACTCCTCCTCTGCCCACCTTTTGATCTCGCCATTAGTTTAATACCTAACACGTTGTACAGTCGAACCACTCTCGTCATCTCCTTCACATCCACAATTCATCTACACCCCGAGTCTGACTTCCAGTTCAACTGCAAACCCACGGGAACAAAGCAAGGCACCATCACTTTCTTCTTCACCTCGCCGTTACCCTACAGACTTGACCACACCTATTCCCGAAGAATGCGACGAGACCGAGAGCGAGTACCCCAATGAGCCTGTGACGCCTGTAAGCGATCAACCGTCGCGCGACTTTGATGCTGTAGAACATCACGACAACCCCCAACAGCAACACTATACCAGCTCACTTGCATCGTCCACTGAGGTTTCGGCAGAGCACAACCATACAGAAAACGGCTTCTCGAAGACGCCCCTTCTTGTTCACACTGCAGCTACCCCTCCAAGAACACCGCAAGACGGTTCCGCATCAGCTAAATCCCTCAACTCGTCAACTGCGACCACCACACCGCAGTCCCAGACCGAGAAGCCCACAGCTGGACGTCGCCCCTCTACTCGCGGATCCACCAATCCTCCGACTATCCAGAGACGATCCTCGAGCTTCAGCGCCAAAATGACCAACTTCTTCCGTCGTACCAACTCCAACGTCACCGACGCGGCGACAGTTGAGTTTAGGAGTCCCAACTATAACGCCAATAATTATACAAATGGCTCCACGCCCCTCAAGATGACTCCTAACAGCAGCCAACGATTTTCATGGCGGCGGTCGTCCACCACAACACGTTCACATACGCCCCCATCGCCCGGATCCCCACCATTGGAAATTGCGCCTCGCTCTAAGGGAGACGAAGCGCAGCCTACTTTGCCTTCCGAGGGTGACTTTTTGCAGAACAACAAGAAGAACCGTGTCAGTACTGGGTTTTTCCATCGGGGCCGTGGTAGAGTCAACTTCGCAGGAACCAGTGACCGAAGACGTACCAGGAGCGTTGAGCGTAAAAAGCAGGTGCACCACCCTCATGGAGAAGGCGATCTTGTTGCTCAGCCATTTGTCATTGTGCCAGAACTTGGCACCGGCATGAAGGCGCGACGGCTGAGTCTCAGTCTGCCTGATGACTTCACGGTCGATGTGGCGGATCTTACCAAGGAGTTCGAATACCAGCACAAGCTCTTTGGACGCCACGGCAAGCATCTTGGAAAGGGTGCGACTTCCAAGGTTACCTTGATGGTCGGCAAAGGTACCGCGGGCGAGCTTTACGCGGTTAAGGAGTTCCGTGGCAAGAAGTCAGACGAGTCCTCTGGAGACTACGAGAAGAAGATCAAATCGGAATACAGCATTGCGAAGAGCCTGCACCACCCAAACATTGTCGAAACAATCAGACTCTGCACCGACCACGGTCGTTGGAATCACGTTATGGAATATTGCTCCGAAGGAGACTTGTTCAATCTCGTATCCAAAAAGTATCTTCGAGAAGATGACCGAGAGAAGGATCGATTGTGTCTGTTCAAGCAGCTGCTCCAGGGTGTCAACTACCTACACTCGAACGGCATTGCACACCGAGATATCAAGTTGGAGAATCTACTTATCACCAAGGACAGCAAGCTCAAGATTACCGACTTCGGAGTGTCTGAAGTCTTCTCGGGCATTCATCCCGGTCTCAGGGAAGCCGGTGGTCAATGTGGCCAGAAGATGAACGGAGAGATTCGATTGTGCAAGCCAGGCATTTGTGGAAGTGAGCCGTACATTGCTCCCGAGGTTTTCAGTAAGAAGAGTGATTACGACCCACGTGCTCTCGATGTATGGAGTTCTGCCATTGTCATGATCTATCTACTGTTCAGCGCGAACCTTTGGGAAAGAGCCAGCACTGCCCCTGGCACAAAAGGCAACGACAACTACGTCAAACTTGTACAAGCATGGGACAGGTACAGGACGAAAAAGGAGAACAACCCAGACCTACCTCCTGAAGTTCTACCCCGCGTGCCTGCCATTGACTTCGCTGTCAAGCAAACACCGCTCAAGCGCATTCTCCTCAATATGCTCAACCCGGATCCTGCTGAACGCATCACCATCTCTGAAATTGTTAATAGCAGATGGATGAAGAACGTGGAATGCTGCCAGCTGGAAAGCTACGAGGATCCCACGAAACTCATCGATGCAACTAAGAAAAACTGCACGAAGACCAGTGCTGGAAGAATCTATTGTCATAATCACCTGCCACTACAGAGTTCTGGGCACGGTCTGCCGCCTATGCCTGGCAAGGCGGGATACTAAGCGCTCAGTGAGGATCATGCTGATCGCTGGACGTTTCCTGTCCATGAGAACCACGTTGATTCTTTTGTGGGTCAAAAGCCACAGTCTTGTGGTTTATTTTCATAAGTGGCGTTGGGGACTGCATGAAACGGCTCAACAAATAATTATCACATATTTATACCTTCCAGCGCGCATCCGGACATTGTCTAATAGTCGAGCATCATATACAAGACGGAGCATGTCGAACATTACCTACCAATTCCCCCTTCCAATTATTTCTTTCCTCTCGGCGCTCGAGGAAGCGTTGTGATGTACGAGAATAGAGTTGTGTTCATCGTACCCGCCTGTAATATCGGGGGGGTTCGCACCGTGGCAATTCTAGATCTGAAGTTTGCAGGGAGTACGGCTTCTGGTTACTACTTTGTGGTCAGCCTACCAATGCTCTGGTGGGTACTCATGTCTGGAGACTAAGCATGAGTTGATGTGCTGAAGAAGCTTGAGCTGTCTATCAGAAGATTGCCAGCTCGTCGGCACTCACGCCGCTAGTAATACAAAAAATGCTTACCATACCACGTCCTGAAAATCGCATTCATGAGTGCTGTGTAAAGATGCATAGTTGATGGCTTGGCTTCACGCTTTTGCAATAAAGCCGGTTGAGCCTGGGCGCGTCCAGGCCAGGCTCCGTCCCGGTGAGGCTAACGCACCGATTGCTTGATTCATAACCAGTAAACTAGTAATATTTGTCACTCTGCATCTCCATTACTAGACAAGACACTTCCAGTGGCGTATTTTCTGTTGTTGCTCTACAATCCACCCATAGCGTGGACGCCGGCGGTACCTTTGGATTAGATGATGTTGCAATGCTGAGCCCAAAGGTAAGGCGGCCAGTCATTCACAGGCTAATATTTAGCAGCTGTTCTACAACCTTCAATGGGGCGCCTTGGCGATTAAAAACAAGCCTTTTGGGCTGTCACAACACGCTGCGACATTTTGCGTTCTATGCACTCCCCATCACCTTTTCCGCCTTGTTTTCCCTGACTTGTAATGCTAGCGGTTGGCTTATTTTGTTCGAATCTTTCGGAGCGCGCGTGGACATTCCTCAGTCGAAGTTAGGCGATGCAGCTCTTATCAGAAAAGAGCCTTCGCACTCACCGTCTTTTGTTTGCCCTGTATGTATGTACTGTGTAAGTGTCGTGTGAGCACCCCTCCACAGACAATCTTGACTACAGCTACCATGCCTGCCGAACGCAGCCCTGCCAATCGAGACCTTTCTTTTTCATCCCATCATATCTGCGGGCACGACATGAAGGATCACAAGTTTCGACACTAACCCGCCCGCATTGTGAACTAAATCGCTCACCGAGCCGGTTCGATCGTGGGGGATCAACCACTGGGGACGCAAGAGCCCAGCCCGTTCATTCGTGCCCGCAAAATGGGCGGCAGCATGGGGTTTATGCAACAAGGTCTACAGTAATACTCGGAGTGCTCGGTCGTTTGTGGAGGGTGAAAATTATCTTATCCATGATTTCAATGATCTCTGCTTGGTATTGCTTCCAGTGTAGTCCAACTATCGAGCCCCGAAATTGTGCTGGGGTCGTGGTTCGTAGTAACTAGAATAATAACAGTGCACACACTCGAACGCGCTTTGGGGGGGTTCTTTATCCAAGAAAGCCAGAATCGTTGAGGTTAGTGGGTGTCACAGATGCTGCCAGGTGAGGTGTCAGTGTTTCATTAGAGGTTTTTTAAGGCCCGACTTGCACTCCGACTACCTGTCTCGCGTTGTTCGGTACTCCTTCTGCACAGAGTGCGAAAACATGGGTAGGTCCAATCAGTATATCGTTCATAAGCCGCATACTGCAAAGTGCGCGAAGATCGGCTCGGTCTTCCCTGCATAAGCTTTATCAACACACGCTTATGCTCTAGATCGTGTTCTAGAGTTTCACCGCCGCGGGGGTTAGTTTGAAAATATTACAGTATACTGTGTCAGGGGACTACTTTCATTGACTATAATGCTTGTACCTATTCGAGCTCACTAGGTTAGCATCCTAACACTGAATACGATCTCTTCATGATCTCTTCAGGCGTACGGGATGGATATCTCGATCGATTTAGGTGTTTGCGGCTCTCTGCTATACATGCCAATAGTTCCGGGTACATGAGACTGCAACCTCGGATTGGTCACGCGACAGGATGCATCGCGTTGGACCTGCGTCTCAAATGCCTATCAGGTATCGTCTGACATCAAATTGGGCAGCAAAACGGCATCGTCAGTGGCAAAAATAGATAGCTCTTGTCCTATGAACTCAGCATGTGTTCTCTACAATCTCCATGGCTGGCTCACTACTTGCGTTCCTTTGCGATCCCGGAACTACGATAAAGAAGCCCACGCTGTCAAAATGTGATCATCAAGGCGCAATGCATCATCATGCACACGCCGTGGAATGTCTCCGACTCCAAAGACGTGGGGAAGCATGTTTTGTGCAAGTTGGCAACCACAAGTCGATGGTACTTGGCCGCCTTTGGTCCCGTCGAGACGGTTGACAGCTCAGTATCGAACGGTTCGAGAACAGGCCGTTATCATAACGACCATGTCGATGCTACTATATCATCTCGTATAGATGTAATAGCCATGGACCAAGGATACACGAGGATACCGGGGCAATCATCTCAACATTCGTGGCCACAGCCTTGATCGCCCTTGGGGGTCCGATCAAGACCAGGCGCGTCTACTTTTGCTTGAGTGAGAATAATGTCCGAAAAATGTTGCGAGTCTGCTCAAAAATACCTGTCCCCGCACCTCGCCCTCCGTTATTAGTAGATATATGATTTTAACGACGTCCAATTTTGACTGGCAAAAAGTTCAGCAAGAATGTAAAGTATTAAAAATGTAATGCAATGTTAGTCCCACTACGTGGGACATAACTTGTTACGGGAGGCCGGCGGATCTTGCCTTGATGGAAAGCTCAAACCTGTATAGAAACGATACTTATATATCCATCTTCTCAAAGCATTGATGGGAGCTCCCAGGCGTGATGCCTCGGCCGTGCCTGCGTGGACAACAGAGGTGCTGTTGAGGAAAAACTACCCACCCAATTCGAATTCTGCAGCATACAGCAGGAGAGCTGGGACCTCATATTTTGTGTGAAGATAGGCGCCCGGCAAGCCAGTTAAGCTATGCCTTCACAATCACAATTCTTAAATGTGCCACCACTGCTCGTGAAAGAGCTATAACCAGAATCCAATAGGTCAACTTTGTGTCGTTCCTGTACCTCAGTAGTGGCGTCGCCGCGCCAGCTCATAAGGAACGCGAACCGTATATATACCTACGCCTTTTCCTCACTACAACGCACCGATGTGGAAAGTTGATATTCAGTAATAGCAATTGATCCTGTCCTTCAACGTAACAACCTGATCTATCCAATGGCCACTCATCAACTCTGGCATTGGAAAGTGTACAGGTACAAGGCACTCGAGGTCGACCGGAAAGAGCAAGCAGGTCTATAGGAAAAGTGCTAAAAGAGCAATAACAGGTCACTAATCTCAGAGCACACTTGATTCCGACGATACCAAGACCTCAAATTTCCCCCTCCACCAGGACCCCTGCTCTACATTAGATTGTCCGACTGTTGACAGGAGGGATATAAGCCGTTGCAAACCAACACACGGTCCAGTTCTCAATATCATTAGAACCGCGACAATCTTGGAGAGTCATATCGCTGGATTATGCTATGTCAATACACAATGTACTGGCACAGTGGTTAACTCGACGCTGACGTGAAAAACACAATCTGCCAAAGCACCACGTGGAATGCCAATCTCGCGACATCAACTGCTCACGAGACTTCGAACTGCTACTCGACGCAGCCATGGCATCTACCTTGTTGAGGCGGTGGAGCACCCGCTATGTGGTCGGGGGCCGTATTATTTACATACTCAGGGTGTGTATTGTTGGTCCGTCCTGCCTAAAAAACCTCTGTTTTACTACGTTTTGCCTCACTATCTACCACCACTTAGCTAAGCTGTATAATGTTTGCCGAATAGAATAGTAACTGCAGTTCAAAATAGAGCACGATCCTATAATATTATTGGCCTCTACGAGGGAGATTTACCTTTTCACAGTAAACTACAGTTGCCACGACTTTGGGATCATGTCTTATGAGTGTTTAACTTTGTAATTACTTTACTTTACTATTATAGTAGATCCGCAGCCCCGACTCTCGACATTAGTCTACAGACCTAAGAGCTCAGTGAGCTTATATATACTAAGAGTGACATTGTTAGTGGTGCTGGGCGGCAAGACGCCGCCACCGGCAACAATGAGGTAGTCGTTGTCCTCGGCGAGCACTCGCAGGCTGCGCGTGTAGGCGGTGGGCTGCGAGATCTCGTACTTCTCCCAGGCGTCAGGGTCGCCGAGCGCGCGGTTGATGAAGAGCTCCTGGTTGGTGCCGGAGCTGACGATGATGCTGCCGTTCTCTCCTCCGACCGACGACCACACGTTATACGGGCTGCCCCTGGGGATCGTGCCCGAGGCGTTGACGTAGTTGTCGGTCGCGTCGATGAACTTGCGCGGGTCGTCGGCGATGCGGTAGGTCACTGGGAAGGAGTAGGACTCCGAGAGCTCATTACCGCCCCACTCATAGGTCTGTCAAGTAATTGTTAGCGGCTGTCGAGCCTTCTTTGTTTTATATCTTCTTTTTTAATAATTTTTTTTAAAAGATATTGGAGATTGTCTTACGTAGATGAACTTGCCGTTGGGCAGCTTCGAAACGGTAGGCATGCCGGGGCGGTCAGTGTAGGGGGTGTGGGCAACATCGTCGATGACATCGGACCAGTTGACCAAGTCAGTCGTCTCCTGGTGCACGAGCTTCTGACCATAGTTTGCGTCGCGCTGGTCGGAGTAGTAGACAATCAGGGTGTCTTCGTAGACGCTAATCAAAGTGTCAGTCATCATGTGTGAGGCACTGAGAACGACAAGGTTTTACTCACTAAATAAAAGGCTCCCAGACAGGAGTCTCGCCGTTGTTGGGAACCGCAACACCGCCGTGGGCGATGTGTGAGACAAAGTCCCAGGTGCGGCCCTTATCCCTCGAAGCATAGAGCTCAATGTTGGTTTCGCTCAGGTTTGTGGGAATGGCACTTCCGGACAGCAAGATGGTGCCGGCCGGGTAGTCTCCGAACGCCTGCTCCAGCTCGTATAGAAACGGCTGATATCGCAGACCGAAACCATAGACCTGGTCCTCGGCTCTTCCGACTTCACTCCAGGTTTTCCCGTGGTCCAGAGACTCATAGATGGGGAAGTACACCAACGGTGGCTCGGGCGAGTAGTTCTCCCATGTGGCCAGGAGAGTACCATCGCAGAGTTCGAGGGTACGCGCATAGAGAGTGCGCGGATCTGTGTAGTTGGCCGCAGGCTGGTATACCAGGACCTGGTCAAGTTCTGTCAACTTACCTGTTGTGGCTTTGCGACCACGAGTGACAGGAGTGACAGCGGCGTTCACAACAGAGCTAAGCGCCGCGAAGGCGAAGAGAGCTGAGCGTAACATCTTGACGGTCTTGGATAAATTTGAACCTGTTCTATCTCAAGGAATGGAACTCTACTTCGGAAATCGGAGAGCTGGTCTCAAATATGATTTTGATGCCAAGGCCATGTTTCTTATACATCTTGCTTCCCCAATTCATGCGCCCTATTTCGGCCAAAGATCTTCCATCGTCGGCAGGACAATGCTCGTGTGATTGGACAATTCATTAGTGAGGTTGTATCAACCATCTTGCCTACCACTGAGATTTCACGAGTTTCTCCGGCTTGGAGGCAATGACGTGAGGAGAAATTGGGGTTAATCACTAGCAAGACTTAGACCACGTCACGAACAGCAGACGAAAAGCGCCCCAAGTTTACGGAGCCGAGGCGGAATCAACCCAGATTCGCGGAAACTGACGATCCCCGGCCTTTCTGGATACTGCCATGACGATGTCTCGTGTTGGCTCACAACAAAGATCAAATTTCTTGTGGGGTTGACGTGCTCCGGGGTTGCGGGCATTGCGGGGAATCCTGGCGTAGTAGGAGCCGAAGTCAGGGGGTGAAGCTGGCTTGGCTGTTGGGGTCGCTTACAAGAATGCATGCGCTCCAATCATGAGACTCGCGACGCATGCAGCGCCGTCTAGCTGGGCCTTGAGTGTAAGCAAAGTACCTGTGCTGCCATCCGGTGCAATCTCCTCATGTTGGCGGCCGCGATTGAGATGGAGGGCGCAAATTGAGACCAGCCCTACACGTTCAACCGCGACGTCTCCTGGTGTTCTTTGAGCCTGCGTAGTCAAGATATAAGCTTCTATGAGAAAAGGCTTCTGCATGCGTACGGATTGCGCGAAATAATTTTACACCGAGTATAAAACCCATGAACGCAAACTGCTGCAATGCCGCAGAATCCACGCAGAATTGTACTCTCGAACGCCCAGTTTCAATTCAAGATATCGAATTAAAAGAGGCCGGGAAAGATATGTCTCATAGTTGATCCTGTATACCGCCGTAGCAAGGCATATCTATGGATAAATACGAAAGGGATAGAGGTCAACTATGGTCTAGAGGAATGGATATTAACGCCGTAGCGTATTTCACCTAAGTGATTGCATGAGTGATTGGACAGATGTAATGCCTTCTGTATCAAAAGACCACCCAGGCAGTGGCCCGACAAACACAAGCGGTCCATATTTACACATCGTATAGTTAGCCTCTGTTATGAGATGGTATGGCCAAATCGTGTCAGAGTCTAAAAAAGGAAGTGTTATACCTCAAATACAGCCAGTGTATTCTGTAAAGCTACCAGAAGGTCTGGGGCAAAGTTTCTGGTCCGATTTAGGCCTCTCTGTCACACACTCTGTTGTATGCGAATGATTACAATTTGCTGAAGGAAATCCAGGGGTGGCCAGTCTTGTGGCTAAGAAGCAGAACGCCCGTCTGCGGTTGGTTGGCAGGACCAAGCGCTGTGATTACCACCAGTTAGACCACGGACGAAGACAATGTCGACCGGGAGTATCCACGACGAGCGTCTGAACGCGCACCTTCTTGGGAGCGTTCGATATAACAGATCGAAGACATCATCTTTGAATTTTGTCGATTGTACAAAATGTCTTCTTCTGATGCCGGACGATGGAAACTACAGACTTTAGGATCTTCTGAAATATTTTGTTTCAGTCGAAGCCTTACTAAAATGCAACGTTCTCAAAAATCAAAGTTAATAGTGTTGAGACATCATTTAGTCAGACGAAGGCGAATGGGTATTGCAACCCGTCAGTGAGATACAGTAGTGTGAACCCGAAGAAATGATCTGTTACACCAACAAGCCAATGTTCTACAATTAAACGTCTATTTGAAGTACCACTAATTCACTTATACTTATTTCGTAACCCAGAAGAGAAGTGCTTGCACGCCGCTAGTAAGTCCGAACAAGGCGCCGCCACAACCGATCCCGTAGCCCAAATTCTTGGATGTTATGCCAACCGCGATGGAAACGATGAAGGAAACCAGGAGGCATCCAAATACGAGAAAGGCGATGTTTTTGTAGTTGATGCGGTAGTCGAAGAGAATCGTCTGACGATGAACAGCCGTGTGCGCAAGGCCTGGAAACTCTCGAAGGAGGCGCCGGTCGCCGAGGAGGCTCGGATTGCGGAAAGAGTCGTTCAGCTTCCCCGACATAACCTTGTGAGTAACAGTGACCTCGTGCGGTAATTCTGCTCTGGTGTCCGCATGTCGAGGCTTTTGAAGTCAGCTGTCGGGTGCTCTGCTCGGCATGTACTCCTATGGTAACTCAAATACATACGTAGGACACCTCGGCAAGCGAGACTTCGAGCTTGAAAAATAGTTGCCGCATGAGGACCGGTGACATGACACTACGATGCGGCCAGATAGTCACGCTCAATTTCTTAGCGATCTGCTTCAGTGCCTGTTCCGCAGAGCCAGCAATAGGGTAGGAATGGTCGAAGAGCAAGTAAGAGCCCGCATAGGTAGGTACGGCGATTTGGATGACGGTATAGGCAGGCAATATGCGTGAGGGGGTTGGTGCCATGATGGTATGATTCTCCGGGTTATATTTATGCAGAAAGGCAGATGAGCCGAGACAAGGCAACAGGCAGACCAGAAACTAGCTGTACTTTGGGATGCTAACAATATGAGATGGGAAGGCTACAGAAGAGTCTTTTAGGATATTGGGGCTTGAACTCACGGTCCGGTGCAAGGATCCATGTTTAAGAGTATAGAATTCGACGCTCCATAACATACAGGCCTGAACTTGAGAGTTTGCAATCCGACGCTCCTTCTATGCACCGCATGCGACCAGGTGTCCTGCTAACAGACCATGACTTGCCTCTGTAAATAGTGTATTCGTCCTCCATGTGTAGGGTGCAGTCAAATATCGCCCGAAAATTATTGACATATGGAATCGGCAACTCCTGACTAGAACGTTCTCCTACAGCGTATTTTTAACCATGGGAATCAATGGATAACGGCGCATTCCAAGTCAAAAGGTACTCGGTATATATTATAGAGAGGCCGACCGTATCACCAATCTGTCACAGATTCGAGGCTTGCGTTTGCATCCCAAAGCAAAAATACGGTAAAAGCCTGGCAGAGGACGGAAACTACTATGACCGCATCTGGAGTTGGGCTGGCACCGGTACCTGGAATGATGTAATGCCACCTCCTGTCGTGGTGGCGCGGCATCGCCCGTGGTTGCGTCGTGGGGGCCAAAAACGCAGAGTTGGAATTTCGACACTGCATCCAGTCACTTAATAAGGACCGTGTACTCTGGAGAAAAGTCCCTAATAAATGATCAGGAAAGACTGAGTCCTTCGCAACAAAATATACCCAGAACGCTTAAAAAGTTTTACCGCCATTAGATCATGCAGTATGATAGCATTTCCGACTGGTAAGCAATCCGCAGTGTCCACGTTAGTCTGGCATGGTCCTCTAGACTGAATTAACTAACATCGTTTCGAAGTTCGAACTCAACTTTCTGCAGCAGTCTGAGTTCTCAAGACTATTCCCAAAGTTCCGGCAGGCAAGAAATCGAGCGTTGGACGAGTCAGCTTCTGGGTTGCAGGCTACTCTACAGCAACGGCGATTCCAGAGAGTCTATCACGCAGCACACCGCACGAGTTGGGATCGAGCTTCGCAGCATTCTAAAGCCGCTACGGCTGCTCAGACCCTAGACGTAACATCCAGGGAACTGTGGGCAAGCGCGTCTGGAGATAAGTTATCATGTCTGTGGCCGAGGCTTCGGAGCGCGGACCACATCCAGTCGTTGAGAGGATTCGCCAACAAATCGAGGAGAGTCGGAGTAAATCTGACAGATTCAAACTCATGTGTCCTTTCTCCAAGTACGAGCCCACCCATCACGAAAATGTTCTCGAGTGTTCCACCGAAAGGCTTTCGGGAATTCGCGGGCTCGGGTAAGTAACGCACAGCTTTCTTGACCGTTCATCTTAACGTATACCGAGCATCGTGCCTTAACTTTTATTTTTGTTTTTTTTCATAGGATCCACATCAAAAATCACCACGTAATCGGGCTCGGGTGCAAGAATTGCTGGAAGCGATCCACCAGCCAGGCGGCTTGGGAGAACCATACGCGGGCATGCCAGGACTGCTCGCCAGAGGCGAGAAAATGCAACCCTCGGATAATGTCACAGTTGGAAAACGACAAGTATACCTCTCTTGATTTTAATAAGATTAAGAAAGGCGATAGGTACAAATTGATCTGCGACACGGTGTTTGGTTCAGATGTTACCCCTATGATTCCAGGTAGATGTAAGTATTATACGTTGACTCTGGTGGAAAGGCATTTCTAACGGTACCCAGATTTCGAGCCTGGATTGGCGCTGTCCTGTATTATCTTCTGCCCAGCCCCTGTTGACGAGGATCTTGTCAAATCTTTTAAATTGCTTCAGGAGTTTTTGAAGTGTGGCGACAGCGAACCAATGTATGGGAAAGGTCGCCGACCCAAGTCAAAGGCTGATTCCGGCATTGGTACATTGATATCTTCAAATGCCGAAGATTCGGTGGATAATGGTGGTGGTATGAAAGATGAAGTTGGCAACGAAACCGCGGAGAATGCATTTGCAGAAGGAGGACTACAAATGCCCGGAACTTGTGACGAACCGCAACAACCCTGGTCTTCCAATTGTCTTGGAACCTCTGGTCACAGCTTAGCGAGAGAACAACTCGATTGGGGCCAGGAAGTGAGGGAGCGGTATGATGGATCACCATATCCACCATTACTCGAGGAAACGGACCAGGATCTAACAATGCGTGATATGGAAGGATGACTCGGTGTGGTAGATACACTCTCCTGAGCTACATTTTATTTATCTTCAACGAAATCGGTACGCAGTGTCTCAAAAGCATGTGACCACATGGCAGGAAACGTCTTATTGTTTAATAGATGTCGTTGGAGACAGCCAAAATAAGATTTACTGTAGGAAGGTACATCTCAAAGTGCTTTACGCGAACGATGTGTTGCCTAAGGCTACCTTCGTTGCCAGAAGACTTCTGGTCGTTCTCTATCATAATTTTGCAGGATGCTGTTATAGTTCTTCTAACCTTTCCCCGCTATGGTGACGGTCGTACTTGACCAGACATTCAACTGACAAATATGAACCACGACGCTGCTACACACCACATACTATTTCTTCGCAATGCTTGTCCATCATGGTACTTCTTCCGCTGAAGTGGGCGGCTTGGAGAATAGGTGGAACATGCAGAAGACTGGTTGGTATTTACGTTTCGGATGCTACACTATGACTTTCCTGAATTAGTGGCCTATCCCACCAGCCCCCAGCGGCTGGAATGGCTGCAATCCAGGCTGCGGCACCGCTCCCGGCTGAGGCACCGGTGGCCTGCCTCCCGCCCTCGCTGCGTTGTCTTCCGCTTGTCTATGTGCTTGCTGTCTGGCATTTCGGTACCAGACGAGGGCCACGATCGCTGCTGCTACGGAGAGAATAATGAGACTGTCAATGACGCCCTCAATATCATCCTCATCGAATGGCTGACCATCCGAGCCGACAATGCCGTCCTCGTACAAGTCATCGTAACCACCATCGTCGTACTGGAAACGGTCATCTGAGAGGAAGTTGGCTATCCACTCGCTGAGAGACCAATCCTTCTTTGTGGCTGTTATAGTTGTTAGTATTAGACTAGAAGGCCAACGCTGTGTAACTTACAAGGCTCGTCACGAATGGAATTGATGTCTCCGTTTGTAAAAGTATTCCAGGCACTTCGCATCCGCAATCTTAAGAGGCTGATAGTGACTGGTAGGTACGCCTCATCATTGGTTTCCAGAGCATGGTCATAGTAGCGCTTAGCAAGGTGGAAGTCCTGTGTTAGGCCAACACCATTTTCATGCATCCAACCCAAGTTGTACAGGGCTTGGGCGCTTTGGAAATGCTCCGAAGCTCCAGTATAGCACTGCGCGGCCTTGTCTATGGCGGCTTCAGTTCCAATACCACCGAGATAGTAGTCGCCCATCTTGACAAGGGAGTCAATGTTGGCCTGAATGGCAGATCGCGTCCAGTACACGAGGGCAAGTGCCGAGTCTTGCAACAGCTTTGATTTCGGAGCCTGTCGCTTCAGCCATGATGGCAACGGTAGCCTTGACTGTGACGAGTCCAAGATGTAAGCAACATTGTTCTGGGCTTTCTCGTAGCCTTGCTCGGCTGCCAGGACATAGTCGAGGACTGCCAGCTCTATATCTCCCTCGTCGTAAGCATGGTTTGCCTCTGCCCAAGAAGACACGAAGGGCTCGGCCTTTTCAGAGACAGCCTTGTAGTAGTTCAGTGCGCTGTTGCACATCTTGTCCCGCCCGACGCCGTGGTGCATCATTTCGGCAAGGTAGTACATCGCCTCGACATTGCCGTAGCGAGCAGCACTTTCAAAGTAGTGGTTGGCAATCTTCAGATCGTCGTTGGTGCCTTGGTCCAAGTGTAGAGCACCGAGCGCGACCTGAGCCGGACCGTGCTCCTGGTCTGCAGCGGCCTTGAAGAACTCAGTCGCTCTCTGGACGTTCTTGGTCATGCCGTAGCCCTTCAGAGCCATGACGCCCAAGCCCCACTGCGATTGAGCGTCGCCATGTTGAACACCACGCTCGAACCACTTTTTGGCATTGCCAAAATTCTGCTTCATGCCCTCGCCCCTCAACCACATACGGCCGATATAGCCGGCAGATTTGGCGGCGTATTTCTCCAAACCAGGCTTCACATTGTCGTTGGTGCGGCCGTCCTTGACTCGCCAGTATTTTGTGGCGACACTGAGGAAGTAGTGCCTGGCAAGCTCGACGTCTCGATCGAGTTCTCGTTGCCCTTCGTAATAGAGCCTGCCCAGGTTGAACGCGGCCTTGTAGTCCCCCTTGTTGGCCATGAGGTCTAAGTACTCAATGACGTCGTCGATAGCAGCATAGGCGTCGGAGTTGGGGCTGTGTCGGAAGGCATGGATCCCAGAGCTGACCACACTTGCACCCTCACCATAGACACCGCCGACCTCGTCGGCCAGTCGGTATGATTCGTGCACTATGTGCATACCACCAGGTGGGCCGGAACGAATCCACGCAATGGCCTTATCCGCGACCCTCTTGTAGTATCTGCAAGCGGTATCACAGCTCTTGGACACACCAATGCCGCTGGCGTATCGAGCAGCGACAGTCATTTCGGATTTGGTGTGACCTTGATTTGCGGCAAAAGTGTGATATAGCAATGCCTTGGCTTGGTCTCTCTCCACTGCTTCGCCCACACCTGTCGCATACATCATCCCGACCATGAACTGCGCGGAGCTGTTGCCGGTAGTCGAGGCGAGCCTGTAATAATGATCGAAGGCCGTCTTGAAGTTCCTCGGGTGGCTGTAGTTTCCGAAGAAGTTGAGCTGGCCGAGCAGATAGATGGCATCGGTATTGTCCAGGTCGGCGGACTGCTGTAGTAGTTTGACGCCCTCGAGCAGAGGTCCTGTGATGATGGGGGCCGCATGTTCTTCTGGTGGAGCGCTGGCGCGTATGCTAGGAAGCGCCCTCAAAGCATATCGAAATACTGTGGGAAATATGCCAGTCTGCTTCTTATTCTTCCGATGTGACGGCGTCTTGATCTTTTTGAACTCGGCCAACGCTGCTTCCACAAGCTCCCAGCCTTTAACAGTTGGAGTCAGCCCATGATGTGCTTCTGCACCGGGCGCTGGGATACGGTCCTTACCATTCTGATATGGTGTCCATCCTCCGTGGATGAGCTTCGTCTCGGTAATCAGGTCGGGGTTCTCGAAGGCATCGCCGGTTCGGTCGTCGCCCAAGACCTTCTGTTCGCTAGAGCATATGACTGCGACTGCCTGCAGAAGCACTGATTGATTGCGCAATGAAAGTCAGCTACGGTAACCCGGGAAACCTTGCCTCAGTGCTAGAAGTGGGCTGCTTGGGTTGTACGTACGGAGCACAGAAACGAGCCAACGCCTCATGATGGCAATACTGCTATGAGCAAGATATCACAAAGTGCGAAAATGTCATCATAACCAACAGAACCTGTAATGAGAAAAAGAGTCCATATGTTGGGGGTGCTGAGGTGTAAGGATGCGTTGCGTCGTTGGTCACAATAGCCATCAGCTCTCCCAGCAAGCTGTCCTTAATTAATAAGGGAGCAACGGGCAGCTTATTAACGTTAACTTACAGAAATGACGGACAGCCAGCGGAGAGAGGCCTGAGAGGTACGTACACGTACACAGTTCCAGAGTGCCACAGTACCTGGCTAGGTTAGCTAACCAAGACGATTTTAGCCCTGTTCAAGGTTACCGCAGCACGATTTCATTGGGTTGGTTCTGCTCTGGCAAGGGGGGGGGGGGGGGGGGGGCCCTAGAGGTGGGCTTTTTTGGTGGGGTTCATGGAATTCACTTTTGCAGTTTGGGGGTGAAGCAGAAGAATAGTATATGCTGTGCTATGTAATGGGTTTGGTGATGAACTAAATTCGAGAAAACATCGTTCGACTCGTCTCTTGGGCTCTCGGCATATTCACTCCTTCGCAAAGCAGCCCACCAAAATCGCATCGTCAGAACCGCTCCCGGAAGCACCATTTTGGCGCATCAGATTTGACTGCACCCGCCACGGTCTCTTTCTGTGACAAGCCTACCTGCTTCGCTTCAGGCGAAGTAGACTATCGCAAACATGTTCAATCTTACTTGTGTGGATGGCTTCAGGTACCCTGGCTTGGAAGAGGTCTACGTCACCGATCTCATACCGCTCACTCAAGGCCCCGCAACCATTTCGTCAGATCAAAAGTTGTGTCTGTTCAACCCTACAAGTCTGAGACCTGGTCCTATACAGACAATACAGACAAGCCATGGAAACCTCACGTGTGCCAAAGCATTCGATCTGGGCGGCTCTGTCGTGGCCACTGCGGGCGAAGATGGAAGTGTCTCCATGTGGGATCTCAGACAGGACGCGAAACAAGCAGAAGTTGCGCGCATGACAGGTAACTTCTTGACGTAAAGACACTATATCAAACAGAATCCGCTTGCTGACTGTCCCCAGATAACCAGGTACCAGTTCTTTCCCTTGCCTGCTCGAGCGGAAGCTTCTCCGTGGTGGCTGGTACCGAGCTCTCTCACAGCCAATCTTCGATTTTAATATGGTAAGCGCGGCCAAAGAGTGTCAATTCATCATTAATGCTCATTTTGTCTTATAGGGACGTCCGGTCAACACCGGCACCCCGTCATAAATACCAGGAAGTCCACAGCGATGACATCTGTGAACTCAACTTCCATCCAAGTGACCCGAACATCCTGCTGTCTGGATCCACTGACGGTCTTGTCAATGTCTACGACACCAGAATCACAGACGAGGATGAAGTTGTGATTACAGCATTCAACCACGACGCATCCATCCACCATGCTGCGTTCCTCAACGATACAGACGTGTTTGCTGTCTCACATGATGAGAAGTTTGCAGTATATAGCATGACAGTGGACGAGGAGCAAGGCCCGGCCCTGAACAAGTTCGGAGATGTACGAGAAGTTCTTGGCTGCCAATACATTGCAAACGTGTCGGCCAAGGCAAATGGTGCTGGAGCTGTCATCGGCGCAGGAACCCACGAGTAAGTCTATTCGATCCCCCGACCCTCATCAGGTTCTTGACTAATCTTCCGGCCAGACAGCAAATGTTTGAGATGGTGCACCTGACCAAAGGCGCTGATGGATGGGCCTTTGACAGGGCGAACGGTGTAGGTCTGCCAGGCGCTCATTCGTCAGAGATTGTTCGGGCCTTCTGCTTCTACGACGAGGCTCAAATGGTCTTCAGTGTTGGCGAAGACGGGTATATAAAATCCTGGAAGCCGAGCGCATAATAACCCACTGGGAAGACATCTTCAACCATACTTGTCGTGCTTGCCCTTGACCTTCAATATCAGAAGCTGCTCGTGATAGTCGCCCTCCCGCCTAGCCCTCTTCAGTGTTCTGACTTCATCCTCCTCCAAGCGTCTGCCGACTGCTTCCTCGAGCTCTTTCCGGCTGATCTTTTCTTTGGCCTTCTCTTCCTTCGATGCCTTGAGCTTGGGCTTGAATCGAGCTTGCATACGAATGCGCAGTGTCGTGTCGAACTTGATCTCGGTTGCATCGCCTCGAACTTCAGGCGGCGCATTTGCCTTGGTAGACTCCTGCACCGTGACAAACGTCTCGCGCAGCGTCTGCAGCTGGAACGTGCCCGGTGTGTCTGCCGTAGGAATGACCGTCCAGGTCTCAAGGGGTGACACGGCCTCGGAGGTTGCGCTGAGGAACCCGTACTTGTCGCAGCTCAAGAACCTATACTGCAGTTAGTCACCCACAGCCGTCCGGTGTGCATGCGGCGGCGACTCACTTTCCGTAACGCCCCTTGAACCTGAAGTGCTCCGTCCCAGCGATCTTGTTCGCGACCCACACCTGCCGAACGTCGTGCGGTTCCGACGTCGCAGGATTGTTGTCAATCAAGTTGTGAATGTCGTCGGTGAAGACCTTGCCATTTGCATCGCAGGCCAAGCAGGTCGGAGGCTCGGTAGGCAATACAAACATGACAGGGCCGACAAGGTCGCCCAGTGTGTCGGCGGACACCCAGCTGTCGTCGTCGGCGGTATCCTCTGCTGCTGGTGGCGGTCCTGCCTTGACGACTTCGCTAGAGCCGGCTTCTGCTGGGGCGGAGGACTCCTCGGCTCGCTTTCTCTTCTTGGGCTTCTTGTCGCCCTTGAAGGAAAGTGGTTTCACCATGTTGTGTTTGTTCCGCGATGCGTATCGCGAGAGACGAGCTTACTATGTGATCTGAAGCTCTGCGTGAACATTGACATCCAAGCTCTAAAGCTGAAGCTACAGGCTTAACCTAGTCAGGGCAGAGCTAGGTGGGTAATCCGTAGGTATGATGCTGTAGGCACTATTGTTACATAGTGGGGGTGACCCTTGGCATTTGCATATATGGATTAGAGGATAAGTATCTAGCTATACTGCATTATGCAGGTACCGCATGAGGATTCGATTCGACATGATAGATACTCTTGTCATACGATACGAAGACTTTGCTTCGGCGAGAAGCGACCGAATTGCTTGAGATGGCAGTCTGGTGCTTTACCAATGCCGAAATCCAAGCTTACTGGCAGTTGTGGAAAGAGAGTGCTCGTAGAACGGATTTCACCGGCCGTGACCGTGGACGACCAAAGCCGACGGTTTCCTATGGCTAGTGCGAGGCCCTCCAGGCCCGTCACGAGGCTGTATACTTGGATTTCTTCTTAGCACAGAGGCAAGACGATTAATTCCACCTGCGTATCAAAATTTAGTTCTCGTCGCACCTCTCAGTCAAGATGGCAACCGCACAGCCCGTAGTCGTGTCTCTGCGTGACCTGCAGACTGGTACGCCCGCCCCTCTTGAGGTTGACGGTTCAAACTCGCTAACCATATACTAGGCTCTGTTTCCGATGAGACCCTCCAGGAGGCTTTCGGACCCGAGTCCTTGGGCATTTTAGTCGTCAAGGACGTGCCGCAAGAGTTTGCAGGACTACGGCATAAGCTCCTGTCGTACGCCTCGTACATGGGCAACCTCAACGAGGAGGATTTCTGTAGGTCACTATTCCTGCCGAGTCTAGAGAACACGATACTAAATCGTCGCAGTGAAGTTCACAAACGAGGCAGCCAAGTACCTGGTCGGATGGTCGAAAGGCCAGGAGCGGTTAAAGGACGGTGGTGCCGACGATCTGAAGGGCTCCTTCTACGCCAACTGTGCTTTCTATGTCGACCCTAGCCGTGAGGCACCAGAACCAACGGCGCAGTTCACGCTGGAGGACTTCCCCGAGTATTTGGCGCCTAACTCCTGGCCGCCGAAGGAGATGCTTCCTGGCTTCAAGCCCGCGATGGAAGCGCTCTGCAGTCTCATAATCGACACGGCTGTTCTGGTCGCGAGGGCATGCGACAGGTTCGCCGAGAAGGAGATCCCAGAGTACCCCAAATCGTACTTGGAGCACACCGTGAAGACGTCGTCTACTAGCAAAGCGCGACTGCTGCATTACTACCCCATGACCGAAGAAGTCATGGCTAAAGGGGCTGGCGACGACAACTGGTGTGCCGTGCACAAGGATCACGGATGCCTTACTGGCTTGACGTCGGCCATGTTCATCGACGAGGAGAGGGTGAACGCCAAGGTGCCGAGTTTCGGCGACAAGGCGCCGGAGTCGCTGGATACGCTCGAGGAACTGTCTCAGTCGCCTGACCCGCAAGCAGGCCTCTGGATTAAGTCGAGGAAGGGAGAGCCTGTTCAGGTCAAGATCCCGAGAGACTGCATAGCGTTTCAGACAGGCGAGACACTGGAGAGGATCACGCGAGGCAAGTTTAAGGCTGTGGAGCATTCCGTCCGAGGAGCATATGCCAAAGGTGTGGCGAGGAATACCCTGGCCGTCTTCACGCAACCGAACCTGGAAGACGAAGTGGACTTGGATCAGCACATCACTTTCGGCGAGTTTGCAAGGGGCATCATCGCCAAAAACACAGTTTAAGAGATAAATACGGCACAATCAGCCCACAAACAGACAATACTTCCTCGTTTGTGACATGTATGTAGAAAGAGCGATTGTGATACGACGAGCTCGCATATCATACTCGTCGTGAGGAATGACAAGAGCGTCCGCTGCTCACCATCCACATCCAGGTGATTTCAAAGCATGGCGCAGTTCAAAACGTAAGCGCTGCAAATCCGCCTTTTACTTGCTCCCTCGATTTACGCGAGCACCTGGGACCGGGCACTATGAATGTTCTTGCAAGAATCTAACGAAACACATCCTGTAAGATTCGCTTTGGCTCCTTCCATGACGGAATTAATATAGCCGGAAGAACAACCCATCAGCAGCGACCATCTTCTCAGTTTGTGACAACACACTGGTACAGTAACAGTCGTCGAGCTCGTCGCCTCTGACCAATGTTCCGCTGATGCTGGTTCCGGTCACCGCCATGTCACTATTACACCAGGGGGGTAGTTTCGTGCTCATCGCTGAGCCATCCGGCTGTATGATGCCGGAAACACGAGGTGTAATTCTTTCAAGACGCAAAAGCAGATCCTCGGCGACGTCGTGCTGATACCGTCGCGCAAGCTCGCTGAGTGTCGTGAATATAATATCTGTTGATGACAACTTGCCAGTCCGTGACTTGGTATTTTCCAAGATACAGATATATTGCGGTGCTTCCTCCACTATGGCTGTCGGTTCATTGCTTTGAGCTCTCCCTAATGTCCCGGTGATGTGGCCTAACATCACAAACAAATCCCTCAGCTCAAAGACCTTACCTCGCCGCATGCTTTTCGGCGGCGTTGAGCCAAGGCATCGAAACACCAAAGTACTGGCAAATATCATTAACATACTTACCAGTTTTGTGTTGTTGGCATTGGCGAACGGATCCGCTCCCAGCGATGGTCGAATCCCGATCCTGTCCAGAGGCGACGGTGCCAATGACACCAAGGCTGCAAAATCATCCGTCCCGAGTCTCTTGTGGCCGAATGCTGCAGAAAGCAGCATGTGAAGCTCGTTATGCTCACTAGTTTGGCGTTTGGTATTTTGAAGAACGTGGACGGCGTATAGGAATTGTCCATGTGCAACCGCAAAATGCAGGAACGACGCTGCTTTTTCAGGATCTTCGTCAATGGCACCGGACCCAGAGATCGCGTGGTAGCTGCTGATCGCGTAGGGACTCAAAAACTTCTCTGCATGAGTGCTCTGCAGGTCTTCCGATAAGGTACACATGTATTTGAGTGGAAGCTGATAGCGCAGGCCGTCGTCCGTCCGGAGGTGAAAGAGAGACCGAACATAGTTGAAGTAGAGCCTGCGTCGCCGGGGGTCCGCACCTTGGTTGACTCGGTACTTTCCTGCGAGTACAATTTCGGCGAGTCTCAATCCAGCAAACATATCGTTCAGCTTTGTGAAGTCGAAGCTACGCTTTAGGGCCTCAAGCCGCGCTGGTGAGCGCAAGAAATCGCGAGCCGTGCGGTGGGAGAACTGGATACGCTGTCGATAGAACTGGTCGCCGTCTTTACGCTCGCGCCTGTCAGTATGCATCTCCAAAAGTCCTTTGGTCAACCACTCTATATCCGCCCGAATGGTTTCATGTCGCCTGCTGACTTGTACAGATGTGTATGGATGATTAATGCGAGGAAACTGCTCGTCGCCAGTTAAGTCGTCGATCCAGCTCATGCACAACGCGTTGAGTGCTTGAGCGTACGGGTTCTGTGCAGCAAAGACCATCATTGTGTTTGATCGATCTTTCTCTTCGTCTGTTAAGGGCGATAGTATACACTCATACAGATCATCGATCTCTGCAGGGTAAGACTCTAGTGTTCGTATCAGATCATGAGTACTCATACCGTGATTGGATAGACTGATGAGGGACCGGACGGCGATGCGAACCCAGACGAAAACACCCTCCGATTTCATTGCAATGCCACCAACAAGAGAATTCATGACAGAAGACTCAAAGTCCAGACCCTCGGTCTTTTCGAAAGATTCTTCGGCAAAGGTGCTGATATCGGTCATTGTAAGTTCGTGAAGATGGAAGCGAAGATCTGGATCAAATGTCTCGAGAAATTCAGTGTAGGGCCTGGCGCTCACGCAAAATTTGATACTAGGCTTCTTGCTCCAAGAGTTGATGTTTCGTGCAAGTGACCAATAGTCCACCTCTTCGACTGTGTACTCGTCGAGACCATCAATGAAGAAACACATCGAATAGTTATGGGCGATGTCTTGTGTCATCAGCTGCGTGAAGGCGTCTCGAATGGTCTCAGTGTTCCAAAAAGGGTCATCTGTGGAGTCCTCGATGTCATTGCTACTGCACTCTGTCCACTGTTGAGGAAATAAGCTTGAGATCAACTCCGGACTTTGTCGGCATGTTTCAAGTAGAATGGACCGATAGAGACCCTCCAAAGACATCTGCATGGAGCCACCCGAGTTCCAGAAGTAAAAACTGGAAATTATAAGCTTCTCTTGACCAGCCCATCTTTCTAGGGATTCTTTTGTTCGGTAATGGTGCCGCAAGAATTTCATAAGAGTTGACTTGCCCGCTCCTGCCTGCGAATAAACTTAGAATCAGTGTCTTGAGAACTTCATAATCGAGGTATAAGTATAACACCTACCTTACCAGAAATGTGGAAGACACCACTGCCTGATTCAAGCCACTTAATATATGACTTTCGGGCAATATCGAGGTTTGGCTCTGACACGGGTGAATCGTTGAGTATCCACCCGAACGTACCTGACTCAGCATTTTGGATTGAATCCTCGCGAGAATCAACGGAATCAAAAGACAGGTAGCGGAGTAGGCAGTTCTCGTAAGGTACAACTTGTAGGAGATGACAAAGGCTCGTAAGACCATTTTTGACGGTCTCGATAACGTTGATCAGGCGCTCTTCAGTGGGTTTGGCCGATGATGATCCCGTTGTTCTTAAAATACTACGACGGGCCTTGGTCCTCTTGTTGTAGGTTCTTACAGGACGTTCGACATCCTCGGTACTGTCAGACGATAGAGGTGCAGGTGCCAAAGGCTTCGGAGCCTTTCGTGACGATTTGGCTTTAGCCTGGTTCTGAGGAAAAGACTTGAGCGCAGAAATAATGCCTTTCTTGGTCTTAAGGATTTCAGTAGCCCTGGATGAGTATATCCTTTCAGACTCCTTGTGCAGGGTTTCCAAATTCTTGTTCAGAGAGAAACTCTCATTACTGACTTCCTGTATTAGTATTGGGAGCTTCCCCACCGCGCTTGAGCAACACCTATATTGGAGGAACTGGCCAGCATAGGTATGGCTACTGGACTTGACTTACTTGAACACTTCTATTAGCAAGTTGCATAAGTCTGTAGCACACTCAAGAAGCCGCGCTTTGCAGGCCGCGACAACTTCGGTCTGTGAAAGTTCTGCCCAGCCCAGCTGAAAGACCTGCCAACTTGCTGCGGGATCGGGGTTCGTGATCGTGGGGAGCAGGTCCAATAGCAACGATGCTTCCACCAAGCACCGTCGTGCGAGACTTTTCAAACTGTCTTCATAAACCGACCCGTCCACAGAACTATCGTCTATAGTCGAAGACAGTGGCCCCAAAATTGCCTGTAAGTGCTCAGTTACACTAGCCGCTACCAGAGGCCTCTGGGACTCCACTAAGGTTAGCTGCTTGGCAACATGGGAAGGCCCAGCCACTAACGACAGGGTGAATTCAATGAGACAGGCGACATCCAATGCCATGCGTATCATCTTGGCAAAGCTTTTCTTCTTCGAAATCAGAGTACAGAGTCATGAAGCTATGTTCTGCTAGACCGACGTCTTTATCTTGGAGGAAGTTTAGGAATCAAATGCGCCATTAAATTTGCGGAGATAAGCACTAGAAACCATGTCCAAGGAACTGCATGTGAATGGGTGGTCCTATCCTCTGCCGTTGCATAAACACAACTCGATTGCTTTGTTGCTCCGGTTTCGTCAGCACATCATAATTCATCTATCTGATTGTGGAGTATTCTACGATCGACGTTCTGTTTGATGACATTGAACCCAAATTTGACGAAGAATGCTTGCATTTAAATACCCAGACAATGAAAGCCACGGAGGCATTCGTAAGGCTATGTAGTCTGACATGCTGTAATGTAACAATACGGCAGAACAGAGGATAATATGGGATCACACTTGGCTTGACAATTCCTGCGCTACGTACATGACGATCGCCAAGTGATATTTGCCAAAGCGAGAGACGCAAGAGCGACCGGACAGTGGACGAATGACACTAACTAACCTAACTGACACAGTACATTCCACCCGCATCTCAACCTGGGTCCGAACATCGTCCTCCACACAACTCCTGTATTTCTTCAAGAACATCCCTAACCTCCGCCATGGAATCATAGAGCGAATCCGAGGTCATTCACGACCTTGAACGGGGAAAACACAGCAACTACGCTCCACCCCCTAACGACCAAGACTACGATTCGGACTCCATCCCTTCCGTCAGCGACTTACAAAGGACCATCCGCTCGACCCTAGGCTGGTGGAAAGAGGAGTACATATACTGCGCAATCTGTCTTGTCGCCGCCACCGGTCTTGTCGCCCTCCTCTACGAGTTCGACGGGGAGCTAGAGCCTCGATTTGGGGCTGGCAATGGCCTGGGCTTGAGCACTGTCATCATTGCGGTCATGACAGTCTACCGCATTGCCCTCAGTTCGATCGTCGAGACAGCCCTCAGTCAAGGCGCCTGGATATGGGTGTCTGCCGCGCGACAGGAACGTAAGAGGAAGACGGAACCTGCCCGACTCGAGGACTTCAAGATGTTCAACGAGGCGTCCCGGGGACTTTAGGGAAGTTTGTGTTTGATCTGGCGTCTGCAAGGATCGTGAGTGACCCTGGTTCTATGGCTGAAACTTTGTGACTGAAACAACAGATAGCCACCTTGCGTGTGTCGGCGCTGGTATCATCATCCTGATCACCGGGTTCGAAACTTTCTCCCAGCAAATGGTCACATTTGACGAACTCCCTATCGCACAAGTTAACATGACCAATCCACCTGCACCGCCATCACCAAGAAGTGAGTCCTGGCACAGTGTGATTTCCAGGGGTTTAGGGAGTGGTAAGATCTGCCCCTTTATTGTTCAATTTGTCGCAAACTCACAGACAGGCAGACTTGGATCTAGGGCTTTCAACAAAGGCATCCTTCTACGATGGTATCATGGCAAGCAGTATTTTGGAGTCTCCTGCTTTTTGTGGGACTGCAAATTGCACATGGCCGACATTTCCTACCCTCGCGGTGTGTGGTAACTGTACCGAGGCCACTTATCGAGACGATCTTTGCCCTCCAGAGAAGGGTTGCACGTATACCATGCCCACTGGCACTTCCATTACGGCACCCAGTGGTGATTCAACCGGATATATTTTCACTGTAGTATCATCAGAGAACGTATCAAGCTCTGGCTCGTGGGCGTATTTCTCCAAATTTGACATAATGTCGGTTTCGAAAAGTCGCGCATCAACTTCGGTAGAGGCGTACCAGTGCGCACTCTGGTTCTGTCTGAGAAGCTACGAAGTGTCCGTCACAAATGGACAACAAAACACGAGCAGCACCGGGAACTGGTCCGAGGTCGAGTTTTCTGCAGCGACCAGCGCCCACAACGATGAATATCACTTCATTGATATTCCAGCAGAGATGAATGCGGTTCCTAGCACGCGTTACAGTGTTCCGCTTGAATCAATCGAAGTCCTAGAAGGTTTTATGGCATCCAAAATGACCGGCAATTCCTCAAACATCGACAATCGAGCGGATTACAGCTCGGACTGGGTTCAAGCCATGCAAAATTCTTCCGCAGACTTGCCGACGTGGATGATAAGACTGACATTGAGCATAACGAACGATGTCAGAAGCTCCGGTTCTGCAGATCCTAATAATAGGGGTAGCCAGTACGAGTATGCTGGCACAGCCTATATTCAAGCCCCCCACCTTCAGGTGAACTGGCTTTGGGTCATATATCCACTGTCCTTGATGATTCTCGCATTTCTGTATTTGGTGCAAACTGTTTGGCGAACAGCTCGAGACCATGTGTCGGCATGGAAAGGGGATTCGCTGCCAATGCTCTTCGCACACATCGACAAAGGCATTCATCAAGTAGTCGCGGATGGGATGGATGTGCCAGGCGGCTTGACGGATCGTGTCGGCCGTACACAAGTCGAGTTGGTCCGCAGGCAGAATGGGCAGTGGCTGTTCAAATTACCCGAGAGGTCAGTAAGGCGCAGGCAGTCAGCGGCAACAGCGCCTGTCCATGGATAGTTGCGCTCTGTATCGTTTGTTGCAGGTGCCCTGTCCCTATTTTCTCCTATAAGATTCTCACAGTAATTAACAAACAGATATCGCCTGCGCTGTGCTGTACTGGTGTACTTGTGACTGTTTATGTATAATTGGCGTTTATCGCTGCTCTGGTGTGAAATGAGCTAACCTTAGAGCTCTCAGACACCCCTGGCCTTCTAAACGCTTACCGAGTCTTCGCCGAAGCCGCGGCAAGTTTCGGTTATATTCATTGGTAATTAATTGACTACAACGCTTCGGAGTCGTATCTTACACAACTTCAAGCACCATACGGAAGCGTCGGATGCAATTTACTGACCGTGATAAATGATTTCAAAAAGAACGCTTAGGCTTGTCAATCAATTCACCTTAGTCTTAGAATAAAAAGGTGGCATGTTCACATCATTGGAGACGGAAGTATTCCGCTTCAAATTGCAGAAATAGTTAGATCCGTAAGCTATCAGCGTCCGTCATACAATCGAACTGTTAGTACATAATAACACGAGAGCACTTCAACGCTCGTGGAACAGCATTTCCTTATTGGCGAATCCTGTGCTTGACTTACCAAAAAAAGGCATGCGATCTACTTATCATATCTGCAATGTTTGGGTCTGCGACATGAACTCTAAGTTTCATATTAAACCAAGTGACACACTTCATGTCAAGCAATGCAGTCTCGGCAGTGCGCAGCTGACAGACTCCCCAGAGGGGGTTCTCGATCGGCCAAGGGTTCCAAATCGAGACTTAGTATAACAGCATTGGCCCCGATCACCAGGCAAGTTCCGTAGGCTAGACGACTTGCCATGCAGACGATCTTGATTAGCTTGAAGGACTAGATGGCCAACGGTGTGGAGAGCTGCCAATGGCGACGTCGCCGCACCGCCCGACCCCAGAATCCCCCATGATCTAGTCTAGGAGGCAATTCCGCAATGGAGCATACCCCACAACCCCACGATCTTCTCCAACTTCCCTTGTATGTGCTCCTTGATTTCTAAACTTTTTGTCTCATCTTCTTTTTGCGTTTATTGTGAGAGGTTAACCAGAAAGTATGTCCACAACCACCGAGACTGCGCAACCAGAGCAAAGAACCAAGCCAGCCGGTAAGGTTCGTAAGAGAGCTGCAAAGGCATGTCTGTCTTGTCGGGCGCGGAAAGTGAGATGCGATGTCTCCCAAAGAGGAAGGCCTTGTATGAACTGCTACCTGGATAGCGAAACGTGTGTCGTAACAGGGAGAGCTTCTAGATTGTAAGTCGAGCCCTTTATGTCGTCCTTGGGCTACGAAACTCACTGTTCCCGCAACAAGTCGAAGGCCTGAGCACAGCGGAGACAATGTTCAAGCGTCGTACCCACCTTACGAAACCGATCAGAACAACAGCGAAAAGACAGCAGAAGATATAGTTAGATCAAGAGTCAGCGGCCAGCCTGCATCACCTCCAGCAAGCCACGATGGAAGCGCACATCGTGACGGGCACCAAGAATCATGTGGTGGACATGAGCAGGATGACACATCTGCCGCTATTGATCAAGATGTCGAAGCATCCAGGCAACCGACCATGTCTCACGGAAATATGTTCAATACTGCTGGAAACCCGATGCACCACTCAATCGTTCAAGGCATGTATATCCCACTTGCGGTGAGATCACTGCTGACCAAAGTAGACCATACCACGAACATAGCACCAGATGTGACATCGTTCCTCGCATCTGAGGCACCGCTTTGGGTAGGGGACCAGAGGATCCACGTGAATGCAGATATCACGTATTCTTACTATCCTTTCTTGAGCATGAACAACCTCCCCAACATTATGCCGCAGGATGTGAATTATCTGGAGTCGCAAGGTTGCTTTCGTGTACCTACGCGAGAGATTCTCGATGAATTTGTACAGCAATATTTCCTACATGTCCACCCAGTCCTCCCAATGCTCAACGAGGGCGATTTTTGGGATATGTATGGCGACTCAGGACACGGCGGATCAGGGGAACGGATGTCGTTGCTTGTATTGCAGACGATGTTGTTTTCGTCCTGCAATTTCGTGTCGAAAACCAGCATCAAATCACTCGGATACCCAAGCATTCGGGCTGCTAGAGCAACACTGTATCGTCGATGCAAACTACTTTACGACTTTGACAGTGAGACATCCATGGTCTACCGTGCTCAATCGGCTCTTCTACTCTCGCATTGGTCGCCAAACTTTACGCATGCATTCAAGAAAGCAAACTCTACCTGGCTTGGCATTGCTATTCAGGACGCTAAAAGCGCCGAGGCTCACCACTACTCAGCAATGCCGACCTACTCTGCCACAGCCAACCCAGCTCAAAGAAAGAAGCAGAATGTTTTGAAGCGGCTTTGGTGGTGTTGTATCCTCCGAGACAGAATTTTACCGCTTGGACTCCGGCGAAGCCTGAAAATTACGAGGGCACACTTTGACTTCGACGCACAACCGGGTCTTGGTTATCTAGATTTAGCCGACGAAATCGATCGGTCAAAAGTGTACAATTCGGGAACGAAAAGGTGTCTCATTGAGATATTTGTACAGTTGGTTGAGTTGGGCACTGTTCTCACAGATCTGATTATGCTTGTGTTTCCTCTGGACGACTCTCCGGGATGGGGCAAACAAGGCGGACCTGAAGACGCGAACAAAGCTCGGGAATGTAGGCACGCTCTTCGGCGCTGGTATAAGGGCGCTACTTTGAGGTTTCCACCTTTTGGTGGCGATGCAGTCGCACGTATGGCCGTACCGGGAATCGAAGATTCTGAGCATGATTCAGTGATACTGTATACCAACCTGATGTACATGTATTATCAGTAAGTGGTGTAATTCCCCCTGCATCCATCTAAATTAAGATACTTACCACTCGTGTACAGTTCTGCTCGAGTGGTCCTTAGCCACCACGAAGTGCTTCATACGGCGGTTGCAGCTGTATCCCCAAATCTCACAACCAACATGCAAGAGTTCTCGAACATCTATGAAAACCGCCATGAGCTGCAAGATGCAGCCTCTGGAGTAACAGAGTGCCTTAAAGAGCTGATACAAATGCGACTAGCTCGCTGGCTACCTATCCCAGCGTACGTGTTTGATCTTCACTTTGGAACGACTTATATTAACAATACGCAGAGTCGCATGCACTGCTTTGCCGCTTGTACTACACATTATTGACGTCAAGCTCTCAACATACAACAAGAGCACATCATCAGCTATCACTACTCCGCAACAGGCAGTGAAGCAGCATCGCTTAAACATTCTCATAGAAGCAATGAAGACATATCAGCCACAGTATGATGGTGTAGACTATGTCAGCGAAACGATTCGACATATCGTTACTCTGGCTCAATTGGACACACCAGCCCCTCCTTCTGTCACCAATCCCATCAACGACTGGCAGGATATACTAGCATCGCAGCCCGGCTGCTATCTTCGCCTGGCTATGACCATGGACCTTAGTCTCAGCAAGGGCCGACTGCCAGAAGAAGCCGACTTTCCAGCCAGTCTCCGGGGTCTTTTCACAGCGGGCTATAGCTCCGTGAAGGCTCTCATGGAGGCTGGAAAGACAACCCTGTCACCATTACCTCGACAAGGCGCTTACGTCAACCCTGCAGATCAACTATTCTTTTCAATGAATATGCCAGTAGCTCCCGGAACCGTACAATCTCTGCCTTCTGACGCCGGAACAGACTCGCCATCATCATCCGATGATCGCGCAGCTTTCGAGGACAATTCTCTACCTCAGCACAATTATGGCGAGGATCTGCGCATGGTAGATCACGGCTTTGTGGATGCGGCCATTGAGATGGAGGGTCTAGCCGGTGGAGTGCTGGCTGCATACACGTTACAGCAAGACTCACCCCAAAGCTCCAGTAGCTACAGCGATGAGAACGGCACAGTCTTTGACGGGGAAACGACCATGACGGATTGGATCGATAACGCCTGGGGGAGCGATGTACATCCCGATGCTGCGAACAGGGGTGATCAAGAGACTGCTCAGGCGCTTCTTGATGCTATTGCCAATGGCGAGGGTGTTGGGATTGAATGTAGCGCTTGATTCATGAATGATGATCTGTCACGATAAGGCCAACGGGTTGGATTCGGAGTTTGGGCTGCATAGCATAGCGATTTGATAAATGGCTGAGATTAGTTTCCAAAATGAAAGACAACAATGAAAAGTTGGTATTCGGACCAGATCAATACCAAAACCCAAATTCCTAAACTACAATGTATGTGTGGCTGAAAGTAGAATACCCGACCGTATTTCGTGTCCCGCCGCTGCGCTTCACAATCTTATTGTTTGTTCCATATATAGAAAGAGACATACAGTTCAAGCCATCACCAGGGCCATATTACTTTAACGACCCGGGCGCTTGGTTTGACTGCTGACTATCTTCGCTTACCCGTGGTCAATTTCCGTTCATACTATGTAATAAACTCAGCCGCAGATGACCAGGATAACTAGTCTTGATGGAAGCCAATGGCACATGCAGTCTAGCAGCAAGGGTGGAGCTGTCAGTTTAATATTCTTGGCGGAAGGGACAGGGTACAAAACCCGACTTCTTCAGCGGATTCTGGCACCGATGACTACGGCAACAGAAAGGCTCTGCGCGGATATTTGCTAGTATATCTGGGAGATAAGTATATATCTCACTTGAGACCATAATCTTTGGCTGCCTTAAATGATGTGACTTGTGATACCCGCAGACAAGCATGATCTGATCGAAAGGCACACAATCAGAACCTAAAAGTAGGGGGCGGAATGGGCTGGGGCTTTCAGCAATGCATCCCTGTCAGAGCTGAACCGCACCTGGAATAGATCGTCGGCGAATATCTTTCAATAGTCACTTTGTTGAATGTGCCACGGACGTAGTCGTGGAGGTGCCCTTTAATTACAACGTCTCGCGCCGTCGGCGTTCTTAGTTGCATTTTCCCCTCCCTATTACTCGTTCTTGGGCATGGAAACATGACGCTACTCAAGACTAACTCACCAGTGGTCCCGCCGCCTCCGCATACTCAGCCTAGCGGCGGAGGAGCAGGAGGAGAGCTGAACACCGTGAAGTTCGAAGTCAAGTATACTCTCAGCGAAACAGAATTGGACGCGCTGTCCGCCCGTCTGCTTTCGGAGCAGCCGCCCAAGGTCCGCGATGCGCTAGTGCTATACCGGCTAGAGGGAACGGACGAGCTATCCAACCTTGGCCGTCATATCGAGCGACAGGTGTTCTTGGAACGGTTCGGCAACACTGATGCCGATATGAGAAGAGTATATGGCGACTACGAGGCCGCGAGCGACTTCTTCATCGCTATGGATCGGAGCATCTGTCGACCCGTGGGGACTATGCGTAATATCAAAAACTCGTCCGCTGGTCTCCTTGCTCTACGGGATACCGGCACCTATACTGGTATCACTGTTGAACAGTTCAAGCAAGCCCATAACATCAAGAGTCTCGACACAGTGTGGGATATTGGGACGCTGGCGATTCCAGAACAATATCGCGATCGGGACGAGCATCACATCGTGGCCATGCTGTACCGAGGCGCCCATGTCAGGGGCTGTTACGAAGGCATGACACATTACATTGCTATGGTCGACAAGCTTTTGTACCGGACGTTCAAGATGATAGGCTTCGCTTTTCACCCCATGGCTGGCCTGAAGCCCTTCTCGTACGAGGGCTCGGACAGCATCCAGCCAGTATGTGGCGTCACAGAGGACTTCTTCCCGACCGTCGAGGCCAAGTTGCGCAGCGCCGACGAGAGGCTGAAACCGATCCTGCAGTATTTTGCCAAACGGTTCATTCATGGACATGATGTGGATCATCGCCTCATGTACGATTACGCCGTCTGGTCAGGTGGATCGACACCTGTCAAGAAGGCGTGCAGCCGAGCTGTCGCCCAAGCTCGTCTATAGCTTGAACGTACTGACCGTGATGGTAATCTCGCCAGATGCAAGCGAGCAGGACTCGCAATAGGCTTGGTCAGCCATGGCACGAGTCTGATGACAAACTTCAAGGGTAACTGTGAGAATTGATGGGAATAGGTAGCAGTGGAGCGTCGAGTTTATCATGTTTGGTCATTTCAGCGCGCATGGTAACGGGATTCAACAAAATCGCCCGGGGTTTATGGGTGCATTTGGAGTATTTGCGTGGAGCGAAATAGGTCTGCAAGGCCCACTGCCTCGATAATATCGGCCACTTCGTCGTCCTTGCAAGATTCCGCTTGAGACTTCCACTTTAACGTGTTCATCAGCCCCCCACCGGGGGGCATTGAAGCGACGCTGTCGAATTTTGTTTGAAAGCCATTAGGCATGCGGAACCTTTTTGGTGTTCTATTTTCCCAGCCGTCCCTTGTTTGAGCTCTGCCAGTGACTTGTTCCTCGTGCTCTCAATTAGAAGATTAACATGCCTTGTCTGCTCCATTTCGGAGGCGATTTTTTTCTTTGTCAAAATACATTTTCAGAAGGGGAATTGTTTACTCATCTCAGAGTTTACATCTATATCATTACCAATAAATTGTTCTTTCTCATCCTCGCTTCGCTTACTCAGCCCCATTCCCGCCCTTGTACAGCTGTCTGTAATGCCGGTTACCGCGTCGGCCTTCCACGAAACACAAGTGTCCCAGGGTAAGAACTCACAGCCAAACCAAATGATTCTCATACGTGATTGGAGAGCTTAGGTGTCAAGCGACCTAAAAATGAGCCACCGTTCATTAAGCATCATATTTTACGGTAGTACTATGCGAAAGTATTTCCTCATCATTGACTGAGATTGGCTGCTCTTTGGGGATGCGCCAGGTTCTGGCCAATTGCCAAGATCCATATATGCATCAAGGTGCCGCGTGGTACGACAACACAATGCTATGATCGACGGGGTAAAGTGGTCAAAACTTGCTGGCTGGTCCATGGGTCTCAGTAATACCTGCTGCATATTGGTGCGGGGTGGCTGCAAAACAAAAAGGCTATAAGGGATCCATCGTATCTAGTTATTAGTACTTCCTCGCAATATTTCTGGTTCCTGAATTCGGAGCAACTTAAAATGAATCTCACGAGAATCGATCTTTCCGCTTCGAATCTTGGCCTTTGCGCCGTCGGCACATTGTTGAGCTGGTATCTCATCACGTCTATCGTTGCGTGGTACCGCCTGCGGCACATCCCAGGACCTTTCCTGGCATCATTCTCCTACCTTTGGCTTGCCGGTGTTGCCCAGAGCGCTCGTCAGTACTATGTGCACAAGGATCTTTGCAAGAAGTACGGGCCATTGGTCAGAGTTGGACCGAATGAATTGACAACAGATGACCCGGAAGTTCTGAAGCGAATGCCGGCAGCGAGAAGCCTTTACGACCGGGACGCGTGGTATCTAGGAGCCAGGTTCAATGCCCATCATGACAGCCTCTTCACTATGAGGGACAGAGCTGGTCACACCGAGCGGAAGGCCAAGGTTGTAAGTGGTCTTGCCGGTCGAGAAACGCCGCTAATTGAAGCGGGCGTCGATGCTCAAGTGACTACTCTTATTGAGGTGATCCGAGAAAACTATCTTTGGGATCCGTCTAGCAAACAGAACAAACTGCTGGACTTTGCGCCCCTTATCAGCTATTTCACAATGGACGTGATATCAAAAGTCGCATTCGGCGAAGAGTTCGGATATTTGAAAGCCAACGCGGATCTCTTCGACTTCTTACGTGAGGTACGAGACAGCTGGCCACGACTAGCCATGGCTGTCGACGTGCCATGGATAAGAAACGTGCTGTTCTCTAAATTGTTCTTGAAATTTTTTGGCCCAACAGAAAAGGACGAGAAAGGCATGGGGAAATGTATTGGGTTAGTCTTGATGACGAGTCGTCAACCTCCGATGGACACTTACAAGCCTTCTCACAGTATAGCGCAGAAGTTCGTCGAGAAAAGATTTGAACCCGATGCAGACCAACAGAATGACCTTCTGGTATGTCGGCGCCATAAATATCGTCGAATAATTTGCTGATGAGTTTAAGGGGACTTGGATTCGTAATGGTCTATCTCGAAAAGAGTGTGAAGTTGATGGCCTCCTCATGATAATTGCGGGAAGCGACACTACGGCATCCACGATTCGTATCACCATGCTGTATGTTATGACATGCCCGCAAGTATATCAGAAGCTCAAGCACGAAATCGACACTGCGGTCCGTGAAGGCAGAGCTTCAAGCCCCATCTCATATGACGAGGCGAGGAGGCTGCCCTATCTTCAGGTGATTATGATTCTATGTGGGATATATTTATTGACTGACTATGATTGTAGGCTGTCATTTACGAGGGACTTCGTCAGCGCCCACCAGCGCCAGGTCTGTACCCCAAATCGGTACCTCCGGAAGGTGACTATATCCATGGCAAATTCATCCCTGGAGGTACGGCCATAGGGATGAACACCGCCTCCTTGTTCTCTTCGACAACACAATTTGGTGTCGATGCAGGTATCTTCCGCCCAGAGCGCTTCACTGAAGCTAGTGAGGAACACCGAGAACACATGAAGAAGACCATCGAGCTGTGCTTTGGGCATGGTCGCTTCATGTGTGCTGGCAAGCCTGTAGCGTTCATGGAGTTAAACAAAGCGTTCTTCGAGGTATGCAGTTCAAGTCTAGCGTTGAAGTTATCAAGCTCACAGGAAACAGCTTCTGCGCCATTTTGACTTCCAATTGGTGAATCCCACAAAGCCATGGGAGTCGCGAAGCTATAGCGTATTTGTTGAGGAGAATATGTGGGTCAAAGTTACGAAAGCCATCAAACAGTGAATGACAGTATCAGAAGGAAGTACGTATGGAATCGCGCACATTCCGAACCACATTACGATCTCCGGCTCGGGTGAGAACAGTATGTGGAACTTCAACTATAACTGAAGGTCGTTGAGAGTAGACAGAAACTGGAATAGCTCATTCATTATGCAAATCGACTACAGGCGCCGGCCATGATAGGATGTTGGCCCAAATGCGAGGCCGGGCCGCTACATTTTCAACATACCATGACGATTAATATAGTTAGCGCGCCGTCGGCAACACTGATAGCTTACGTATGTTACAAATATGATGGTCTAAGAATGGTGTTCCAAGCCAACGCAAACCGTCGCAAATTATCTATGTGACCTCAGATATGGATGCAGCGCTTACAGTAAGGGCAGTATACTGGCTATCATTGGCTCCATTCCCACCCAGAATGTTTACGTTTTGTGTCAGGTCTGGCCACCTATTTCTTATTTTCGGGACAATAGGCGCCACCTCAAGATTACTGGCAGCCTGAGGAACACGTCCGACAACCATTCGGGTTGGCAGCGCTTTCCGTGGCTCTACATTTGTGTTTTTGTGCGGTTCCTCGGGATGGTTGCTAGGCAAAATGGGTTTAGATTTTCGAAACGGGTTGTGGAGAACACTATCAGTATTCAAGCCCAAGCAGTCGTCCCCACTAGCCACCAACCCACTGGACGCTTGCATACATACGTACATACCAGGGCAGATGGACAGCGTTTATTAAGTGGTGCTGGCTACATACTTGAATATGTTGTCTTGAAATGCCAGCAAGCGGCATCCTAAGTGCCCCAGTTTAGAGCCTCCCAATTGTATCTATAGATGAATTAACGAGCAACCCTGTGCATGCTAGTTCATCCAGGCAAAACAACGAATACCGCCCTACGCCGTGGCACTGCCTTGATACGACACCTTTTTGGATATTCAGAAACTCATGATGCGATGGTGGCACTCCGGCAGCGACAAATGAGCATTGAACACCTAGATCAAGAGCATTCAAAAGCATTCAAAAATGGCTTACTCTCCATTCTATCCACAGAGCTTGCAATGCACACAATGGCACAGCTGATAGATGGTCTACCGACAGCTTCAATTGCTCGAAAGACCCGCGGTAGTGGCTTGAGGATTGGCCATCCGATCTATCGACATACCGAGATTTGCGACCCCGCAATCCCGATGGCGAAAGAATTCAGAGAAACATTTGACCCTTTACTGCTTGTCTTCGATACTTTGGTAAGGTACTTGTGCACCATTGCCCTGCGCTGATATTGATACACAAGTCTTTAGGTGATTCAGAGGTTCCAGAAGGCACTACCTGGTTCACGCTCGTTTCAGTTGTCTTTACTGGAGTTAATGGCCAGATCTGTTCATCAAATTGCAGTCCATCTATGCAACTTGGAGCCTAAGCTGCACACTAAAGAAGATATTGCTAGTGTCTTGTCGTGGAGACATGAGCCCGAAACCGTTGAAATAATGCCGGGAGAGTGGTATACTTTTGAGTCAAGGTTTGAGCCACACCCTACCCTATTCTTTCAAGGGATGTACATGGACAGTGACCAGTATCCTGATGGTCTAGCTGATGTTGCTGGATACTGGGCAGAGGATCTCATCTTCGGGGGCGTTGTTTTGTTCCAGCATACAGTTGATGAGAACGAGGTAGGTATTTCTGGATCTTTCAGGATTTAAATCGATGACTAACGACTCTGCGGATAGCTTGGTGATGCATTCTTGCATACTGGAAGACAAGGAGCCAACCAAACTATCCGAGTATGGAGACCGACAGACAGCCAGTTAGCTGACTTGATGCTATTCTTGACTTCAGATCCGGCTGGTAATTCGGACTGTCCACTACCATTAATGGCAACGAGTACCAATTACCGTGTGGACGATTGGGACGCTATGGCAATATATGGCATATTCCGGGATCGTTGGGAACGCAAGCTGCCCCAAGAAAAGGACGTTTCAAACGTTAGGCTCAACTCTGGCGACTATCCAGAGCTAGAACAGATGTTTGTGAATGTCAATTCCGGTCCATCGTTTGATATACCAGTCGCATCTAGGTCGCAATGCGCTCCAGTAGACAGAAACATGCTGGATGAACCGAGAAACGACAACGAAACATTGGGGTCATCGCATAGCCAAGGTGGAATCGACGCTTCCAACGAGGAATATGACGATCTTGATAACTTTTGAGGCGATAAATACTGATACTGGATAGGACTCACACTGACCCGATTGTCGCACTTGTTGTTACATGCAACGCATCACCAAAAGAATCTTGCACCTCCTGGTATGGCAATGACAATCCAAGTCAACTATATGGCAGATCTGTCTCCCGTAGCTACATAATAAAGAACATATATACTAATTGCTTGCCACTCCTGCTAGTTGTGTTCGTCCGTAACCATTCATGAGGACTTCAAAACTAACATTTCTGTCCAAGAATATTATTTAGGGTGGAAGCAACCTATAATGGCGGGTGATCTGGATGTAAGATTTTCCAATAAGCGGTCGTCGTTTTTCGCCTTCTTGTCTAGTTAAAGGTCATCTATACTGCTTAGGCAAATACCTTTACTGACCTATATCACTTGGATCACAGCTTCACTCTTGTTTCTCTAGTTGGTTTGTAAAAAGCAGAGATCTTTTTATGGGGATGGTTAAAATTAATCAGGGTTTCCTCGGGTTTTGTACTATTTAAGAGGCATCACACCAGACACATGCTGTAATACGCTTATCAATTTGTCTTGAACCTGCTCGTCGGCAGCAGCTGGCTTTGTGTTTCTCAAGTGCTTTTGGTACCAATGCATTCCTGTTTGACCTTTGGCTGCCCCTCCACCCTCGGCTAACATCACACTGCAGCACTATTAGTCAGTAATCACCTCCCTTTTGGTGGTTGAAATTTCTTCAATATTCGCTATCAGACACAAAGAGCTCAGTTGCTTGGGATAGGCAATATACTCTTCTCGGAGACGCTGGAAAGGAGAGAAAGTGATTCAGAAATTGCTTACTAAGTGTCAACCGCAGCATCGATATCGTCAGGAGCGCTAGAACCTCCCATCTTCGTGGCAACCCAGCCAGGATCCATGGAGTTGCATGCTACCTTATTACCGAATCGCCTTGAGAACCAGAAAGCGAGCATGATGTTGTGTAACTTGCTGTCACTATAGCCGCATCGCTCGATGTTTCTTAGGGATGCGTCACCGCCTTGGTGCATACCACTGAAGTTCTGTCAGTGCTTGCCCATTTAGACTAGACGTTACCAATGACTACCGGCAACCAACCTGCTGAGAAATACATATCTCTTGGGCGGCGGGTCTACTAAACATGTCAAGAGATACGGCGCCATTGTGTTGATGGTGAACAGCTCGCCGCCTTCCCCACCGCGCATGATTCCAGCATTGTGAATGATCGCGTCCCAGGGACCATTCTCGTTGAGCTTTTCCGCCAGGCTTTTTGTCTCAGAGGTTGAAGATAAGTTGCCGATTAAACAATCAGTCGCTTGTGGACAGCCACGACGCGCATCTTCGGCTCTCTGGGCATTCCGTGCATGGAGATAGACTTTGTGTCCGCGACTTGCTAAGGCTTGTGCTGATAATAGTCCTAGCCCGTCTGAGGAGCCTGTAATAAAAATCTTAGACATTTTCCCTTCTATCAATGAATATGCCATACAATATATCAATTTGGAATCGTAGTTCTCCGTGGTTTGTGGTCGTAGTCGATGTTGGCCTTCGGAATTAAAGTACTAAGCCCGTCGTTGAAGCGCTAGTGCGTCAATTAATCATCAACTTCCACTACGGGTGTGTTCTGCAATGTTCACAAGTTCGAAATATGAGAAACTCGCCTCAGGCGCAGGATAGTAGCAAATTATATGTTGTATTCACCAATTGTTGTATTCAAAATGCTACTTACGTCAACTGAGTAATGTTTGGTCGATCATCAGGCAGGCCTTGCCGGACGGTGGACCCACCGCTGCTACCTCTTGTGCTACCTCTTGTGCTACCTCTTGGCGACATCATGAAGATATTCAGAGAATATGGACTAACCCATCGCAGTGCTAGAGTCCTCACTTTGCTATTCTAGAGTTCTGTTCTTCGCTTTCCTTGGAGAGTTGATAGTGCCGCCTTATTGTTGCCATCGCGCACAGCAGCGGGTGCAAAGCATGGATATTTGACCGCTATGGTCGACGACTGTCTTCAGCCACTGTCCAGCTCTGCCGCCCTCCCGCAGTTTAAGCTCAAGACGACCAGGATCATCAATGCGACGAAGAGGATACAGCGAATAGTTTCATCTTGTTCCCCCGCATCAATCTAATTCTCCTCGGCGTTGCAGATTTGCGGGGAAGCACACCATTGCGTAGCTACCTCGGCCGCGAAGCACATAGCCCCAGCTGTTCATTTAAGATACTACCACGAAAACACCATTGTTGCTCTTGTTTGGAGGTCAATTCTTTTGATCCGCTAAAAGCCTTTGATGAGTCATAGTCAAGCATGGCCTGTGAGTTTGTGCGAGGATTTGCATAGATCTTTGCTAACTGGATATCTATAGTCGCCACAGCAGGAGTGATCGCAGGTGCTACAGCAGTGGCTACGTATATCGACGCTAAGTACCATGTCCGCCACGATTTGCGTTCTGGCAGCAATGCTGCCAAAATAGACAGTACGATGAAGTTTATTGCCGAGAGATACGCTCACGATAAGATGCTCATATATCACATATTCGAGGACCGCGTAGGCACTGCCGAAGGTAACTACGTGTTTCTTATCTTCGAAGGAAGACAATGGACTTATACCGAGTTCTTCAATGCCGTTCAGCCTATTGCCAACTGGCTGTTAAAAGACCTCGGTGTGAAAAGGGGCGAAATGGTCGCCATCGATGGAGGAAACTCGCCTGAGTGGCTCATGCTTTGGCTCGCAATTGAGGCCATCGGCGCATCAAGCGCGTTTATCAACCACAATCTCACAGGTCGGTCGTTAAGGCATTGTGTTGAGCTTGGTAAAGTCAGATACCTTCTTGCCGATACGGACGTGAAACACTTGGTCTCTCCGATCGAAGCAGAGCTCTCTTCATCCGGAGTTAGTACTATTTACTACTCGCCTGAGTTCCTTCAGTCTTTCCGAGATGCCGAGATTCTCCCAGCCGAGAGGCGAAAGAACATCAATCCGATGGACGCCGCATGCCTAATCTACACATCTGGCACAACGGGTCTCCCGAAAGGAGTCGTCATGGAGCGCGCTCGTGAACTCAGAATGTCTAGCCCAGGCTCAAGTAGCACCATTTCGCTAAAACCAGGCGACAGAATGTATACTTGTCTCCCTCTGTTCCATGGTGCTGGGCATGCCCTTTGCGTTACCCCGTGCGTTGGCGCAGGGGCCACTGTCGTTCTGTCGCGAAAATTCTCGCATGCATCATTCTGGCCCGAGGTTCACAGCACCCAGGCGACTCATTTGCAGTATGTTGGAGAGTTGTGTCGATATCTGGTAAATGCGCCGCCCTCGAAGCTGGATAAGGGCCACAAAGTAAAGATGGCGTGGGGAAATGGCATGCGGGCGGACGTATGGGAGGAGTTCCGGCAGAGGTTTGGCATCGAATGCATCAACGAACTATACGCCGGTACCGACTCACTTGGCTTCTCAACGAACGCGAATAGGGGCGATTTCTCAAAGAACGCCATCGCAGTACGGGGGAAATTATGGCATTGGTGGAATGGTGGCCGGGAGAAACGCATCCTGATTGATCCTAACACCGAGGAGGTGCTTCGCGCCAAAAATGGACTTGCCATCGAGGCCAAGTCAGGAGAGGTTGGTGAAATGATACATCAGCTGGATGCACAGAACCCTGAACTTGGCCACCCGACATATTTCGGCAATCACGGCGCCTCCGTGAAACGCAAGATCTTAAACGTCTTCAGGAAGGGGGATTTGTGGTTCAGATCCGGCGATCTTATGCGACTTGATTTGGATGGTCGACTATACTTTGTCGACAGGCTCGGAGATACATACCGATGGAAGTCGGAGAACGTGTCAACGAATGAGGTCAGCGATGTGATTGGCGAGTTTTCGCAGATTGCAGAAACCAATGTCTACGGAGTCCAAGTCCCGAACACAGATGGTCGTGCAGGATGTGCAGCGATAGTTCCCCGGGGAACAAGTGCGACAAGATCTGGATCAGAAGCGAGCCTGACTCTCGATCTAAAAGCTCTGGCCGAGCATTCTCTATCGCGTCTGCCACGTTATGCAGTTCCAATCTTCATTAGAACTTGTCGCGAATTGGAATATACTGGCACAATGAAATTGCAAAAAGGACGACTCAGATCAGAAGGCATTGATTTGGATCTCATCGAGAAGTCCGCAACAGAGAAAGGGGAAGCTATTGATACACTATATTGGTTGCCCCCGAACGCAAGAGAATACGTTCCTTTCAGTAGGAAAGAATTGAAGGAACTTCAAGGCGGTGCCGTGAAGCTCTAGAGAAAGCCAGTTCACAGCATTGTTTGATTTATGGGATTCAAAACTACAAGCATTCCCTTCCGAGAATGAGGCCAATCTGTGGGGCAACTTGACTACTTTCTTCAGATGTCTTCGTCTTTGCTCCACGAGAAACTTGTGGTTTTCTTTACCCAATTTGTCAAGTTTTGTCGTAATAGAAGTACACTGATTGCTTGCTTGAATTGCTTGGGGGACAGATTGACGGCCGTTGGGGCAAAGCCCCGGCGGGGATATCTTCTAACGTTAGTTCTGTATTCCTTGCCGTTCCTTGTATAATACATATAATGGGACGAGTGCGCGATGTCTGATAGGGGATAAATTCTGTACCGATGGCGAAGAATAAATTTAATCATGGGGAATTTCCGCCTGCTATCTGTGCCAAGCTCAGGATACCACAGAGGTCCCACTGATCTGCATCTTCCCCCGGCTCAACCCATGTATAGGTATGTGGTATGGATCGTGCATCGGCGGGTGTTTATGCCGACTGACGAGATAACTCAAATTAAACTTCTCCCATTACCTGGTAAATCAGCGGGTCTCGAGTTGTCGCTTTTTGGCTCGACTATAAGAATTGCCGAGTACACGAAACGCCCGACTGCAAAATGTTTGACTTGTGTTCATGAATTGCTCTGTTCAAGATATCAAAATATCAACTTTCCATCATGCGCGCGGCCACCACTCTCGTCTCAATTAGTAGCCTACTAAGTATGGCGACATCGTTCAGAACCGAGCACTACTCATATGGCTCTAATGTTCTGCAGAGTTACGACGTGCACTTTCCCGAGCGTAGCAGGCAGAATGGCACAACGTCCGAGAAATATTGGCTGGTGTTTATCCACGGCGGCTATTGGCGTGACTTGGCCGTCAACTCAACCTCGGTCGAACCAGCAATCAATGTGCTGGCAAGCCGCAACAATACGAATCTCACCAACACGATTGATCATGTCACTGGCATAGCCTCCTTGAATTACCGGCTGTCCGCCCTCCCCGGCGTGCAAGACCCTGCGACAACACCGCCGAATGCAATTCAAAATGTTAGCTGGCCCGACCATCTCAACGACGTCGTCGCGGCCCTCAAGGACCTGAACAAACACTATCCTATCCATGGACGCTACGTGGTCTCTGGCCACTCGGTGGGCGCACAGATGGCCTTTCTGTCGGCTCTTAGGGCCCTGAACGACTCGAGCATCCCAAAGCCAGTCGCGGTATTGGGCGTCAGCGGAATCTATGACTTTCCCCAGATCCTGCGCACAAACCCAGAGTACACGAATCTGACCTTGAACGGCCTCAAAGACCCAGCTCTCCTCGGGTCGGCGAGCCCGGCCGAGTATCCCTCGTCCCTCTATGCTCGACTGAACCTGGACGCAGTCGTCCTGGCACACAGCCATAATGATGGCCTGGTACCCTGGGATCAGGTAGAAACTATGCTGGCGGTAGTCAAGGATGTCGCAAAGAGACCAGCTGAAATCGTCACCCTCGATGGCGCCCACAATAGTATTTGGGGCGGTGGTGTACAATTGGCGACGGCTTTTGCTGATACTCTTGCACTTCTTCCTGGCATTAGGGGTTCGAGGTGAACAGATATTATCCAAGGATAGTAGGAAGTTTATATATACGGGACTAGCGAACGTTGCCCCTGATCGCGAAGCAGAATAAAGCCCAAGTAGCTAACCTAGGCTTGTGGAGACGTAGTTGCAGGAGTAGCCGCCTATTAATAAATCAAGACGCAGCGTTGAGATGGAATCTCACCGACCAACTTGTCAATGCGACGACATTATCTAGCTAGCATATGAACTGATTATACTTCCACCTGTGGTATTGACTACCTGAATTTCATTCTGTTCTGTGTGGAAGCCCTACTGTGAGAGATCTTCGCCAGAGCGTCTTCGTACGCGCTTTCAGCTGTATAGAATAGCTTCACTAATTGCGATCCGCGATGGGTGGTGACTGGCTGTCCTGACTTAAGATTTTATGTCCAGCCAAAGGATCCCCACAAAACCAATCGACATTCTCGCCGCCAACACGTGCTGCTTTCTTTGCCAACTCCATGGCACGTAGATTTTCATTTTTGCTGACTAGCAACCAGACCACCTTTACCCCAATGCCATAATACATTGCCAGCTCATCAATTAGTTGTCGCACTTTGACAAGCATAGGCTGGTTTGGGGGCTTCTTCTTTGCTTTGGTTTTGAACGTCTGTGTATCCTCGTTGAAAGTCCAGCTGTAATACATAAAGTTACTGACGACATCATATAACTCCTTGCTGCTGACTGCGATGATGACACGAAAATCGCCCGCCTGATTTGAGCTCGTCACAATATTCTCTTCGTCTCGTATAATTTCTGGAAATAACTCCTCTGCCTCTGCACGAGATTTATCCAGGTTCTTACTCCCCGTTTTGTGTTTTTCTTTTCCTTTATCTTTACCTTTCTCGTTCTTTTCCTTGCCTTTTCCGGATTTGGGTTTGATTGTAGTCCGGCCCTTTCGCTTGTGCTTGATGCTCAGTGGCTCAGAGTTGTTGGAGTCTTCGTCATCGGCTTCTTCTTTGTGGTTATAGCTGTTTTGAGTGTTGTAGTTCACCGGAGTATCTGGCGTGTTACCCGACAGCCTCCGGTCTAAGAACCGTAGAGCCACCTTCGTGGTTGTGAGTTCCAAATCTAAATCTCCTACAGTCGCCCCCTCTTGACTGAGGAGTCTGTCGATACGCACGACTGTAACTCCTTTGAACACTAATGGATCTCTACCGACGATCTTTCGTCCAAGACTAGCTAGAAGGTCAAATTTCGGCTGTATCTCTTTGCTTATAGTCTGCAGCTCTTCGATGCGGTTCTGCCGGGCCTTCAGGTAGTGGGTGTCAACTGCCCTGGCACCACTCAGGAAAAACTACGTCACGCATATGTACCAAAACACTGACAACTGCTGTAAGCTCAACGCTTAGCTTAGAGCCTTCATGATCAGGTGGCAATCTGGTGAACAGCTCCATGTTGTACTCGGAACCAGGACCAAAATATCCACCCGCACAAGCGACTGGGCCTTTCGAACCGTCCACGAACGTGACCGATTGTTCAATGTAGCCTTCCAGGCGTACAACGATAGATCGCGGCTCCATGGCATACTCGAGAGCAATTGAAGGTTTCAGGGCAATGTGGTATGGGTGAAATCCATGCTGAGCGCTATCAATACCTTTCAACCAAGTGGTTTGACAGTCTTCACAGTATTCTTCGTCTATCGGGTGTGGTCGTGGAATGGATTCCTTGACTTTGCTGAAATTGACGGCAGAGCCGTCCTTTCTTTTTTTCCAGAAAGTTTTGATCTGTTTGTCGTAAAGCTGTCAGCTTTGTCCCGTACGGTATCTGGACGCTAGTATGTTATTGCTCACATTTAGTCCGACCACTTGCTCGTCAAGTTGTGGAATAAATTGGGGGTCCCATCCCATTATGCTCGCCAAGTTGATGCCGTAGTCATTATACATGTTCAATGTTTCACGGGGCACTGAAGAAGCCATACCGATCAAGTAATTCTGTGAGTAATTTTTGCAAATATGAACTGCTGTATACCTTGTTGCTTTGAATACTCTTTTCGATGATGATCAGGGATCAAATCCTGGAAATAATTGATAAACAACTTTCATAACGTACCAATATGGATGTGACTAAGTTCAAAGGAACAATATGGGAAGGCAAGACCCGCTGCGAAGTAGGCAAGTACAAGACGGTCGTGCTGTACAATTATGACAGGCATAGACCTGTTGCACCCAACTCTTGGTTGGGATTACCATCTAAAGCTGTATTTCATTTGTAGCGTAGTGCAGAATAGACCCCCTCCCCCCTTTTGTGGTAGAATAAAATCATATTTTGATATATTTTGTAAGTACCATACCCACACTACATGGAATACGATCTAATTTCAGATTTCTCACACACCTAAAACCCCTCGCATCCCGTTAATCCAGATTGCTTTATTTTTATGAGGGAATCATCAATAAGCCCTCGAGATACCGATTCTGTGCCATGCAGAACTTCCCCAACCCAGCTGGCATTATGCCGTGGTCGAGCTCAGTAGAGAGGACCAATCCTCACTTCGGATGTATTCTTCCATGGAAGTCAACGGAACCTCGACGTCGAGCTGTAGGATGTTAGCCAATGCGGCCATGTGGAGACGTCTTAAAGCTCACTTGATCAGGAGTCAACACCTCCGGATCTCCACCAGTATACCCAAAGTCCGCACAGTACTCATACGAGTCCCATAACTCGTCCCTAACCGGCTTCGGAGTACCCGCGAAGAACTCCTCCCGAGAGACCTGCTTGAATCCCGCCTCGACCCCAAGAATGCGACCCCAAAGCTCCACCCACTCGGGCCACGCCATCGTCTGCGAGACGCCCAGCAGATCTTTCCCAGCCGGTAGGTCGACCAGCGCCTTGACGAAAGCCCCCGTGTCGCGATGCGGCACCACAAACGGCAGCTCGAGCCCCGGCGCGAACGGCCTGATGACCAGGAAGCTGCCGTCGGCCTGCCGCTGCGGGGCCATGGTGCGGAACGCCTTCCAGTTGGTGACGTAGTGGCCGATCTGGACGGTGCTCATCCTGCGCGCCAGGTCGGGGAGCCTCTCCCGGATCACCCTGATCATCTCGGCCTTGGAGTCGTAGTGGTACAGCGAGGTGTAGCGGCCGCGGCTCCACCCACGCGCGTCGCTGAGCGAGGACAGCACGAAGCGGTCCAGGGTGCGCAGGACGGCGGGCGAGGCGGCGACCTCGGCGATGTTGAGGCCCTGCGCCACTTCGACGTGGTAGGCGTGCTCGTTGGGGGTGCGGCCGGCGGGCAGGTCGGCGCCGGGCCGCATGGCGGCCAGGAGGTTGGCGAAGAAGTCCGTGTTGGAGAATATGACGTTTGCGCCCTGGAAGGCCGGCCGCAGGGAGTCCTTGTCGTTGAAGTCGCCCTCCACGACCTCGACGCCTCTCGACGCTAGGGCGCGGGCGGCTTCGCTCGACGGGCTGCGCGTGATGCCGCGGACTCGCCAGCCCGGGAGCCGCAGAAAGGTGTCTGCTACGGACGAGCCCTGCTGGGTTTTCAGCACCATGATTCTTCATGTAGGTAATACTCCCCTCGACGGGGAAGGGTAACAGACCTGGAGGCCAGTCACGCCGATTACAACGATGAGCTTGGCCATTTAGTTGGATGAAAGATTCTTCTTCAGAAAACGATGTGTATAAACAAACCTTAGCAGCACAAAGCTTAGAGCACATATTAGCAACTGCAGATATACTGCCTGATATAAATATTGTTTCACCCAAACACTCTTCCTGCCCGAAGTGGTTACATAGTATGATCTGATTGGTCGCTCATCCAAAAAGGGCCGGCTGAATGATCTCTCCGAACTTACCAATACTCAAAAAAACGCGGGCCATATCATCTAGTCTGGTGACTAACCACCAGCTTCAGCATGCTATGGCGCAACCACTCCTTTGTGGAAGTCAGCACTTGATCGACACTTGACACGCAGTGGTTTAGTTTTGTCCGGCCGCACTTCTTGAAATGTCCGGCATGGCCGAGGGAGACAGGGGGATTCTGTTCATGTAATCAATATTCAGTGATCAGCCAGTTTAGGTGCAGGCGAGGATACACGATAGCGAAGCTGAATGGAGTGTCTACAGTTCTTTACAAGGAATCCTGACATGCTAGTGCTCTAATTATCTACTCTATTTAGAAGAGCCTCGAGAGTTCTTCAAGAACCAGTCCTGCGTTTTGGGAACTCACTGAAAAGTTATGCAAAAGATCAGCCCTTTGCGAGGTTGATGCAAATCAAGGGTACCTATAAATTTCGCGTGACTATCAGTCAGAAGATCATGTCATGCAATCGGCAGGTCCTGTAAAGTCCCCATCTATAAAGGTCAAAAGCGCATGGTATGATTCCTTAACAAGCTTGAGGAAGTCCTTCATGATTTCAGTTCTTGATTCAACGGCTTTGACTAATTCACAATGGTGCCGCCTTACTTATTACCGCCCGGGCTTCGAGAGGTGCTGAACAGCGTTGATCCACTTTTGCTCATCATTCCTAATCACAAATTAGCTATCAATCGTAGACGTCGATGAGAGCCGAATACTTACCGATCAAACTTGAGCAGCTTCCCTAGCACCGGTACCAGCTGGCTTCTGACTTTGTCATCCTTGACCTCCAGGAACTGGAGCAGGATAGTCTTCAGATACAGGGTGTCGACCGGCGGCTGCGAACCTCCTGCTGCATTTATGGGCGTTCCGGTCCGTGAGCTCTCCATGCTGCTTCTCCCGCTACCGGCACTTGCGCCAGCAAGCCGTCCTTGAGCGCCCTTCAGCTCCTTGTTCAGCTTCTCATACCGGGCACGTGCCTCGTCAAGCAATTTTCTGAGATCTGCCTTTTGCTTTTCAGCTTCTCGTACCTGGACCTCCGAAGCATCGAGGGCTGATCGTAGATTGGACACTGCGGAGCGCATGTCCTCGACTTCCGCGCTAGCCTTTTGCTCGACTTGCTCAAGTTCCTCCCTACGTCTCCTCCATTCGTGTTCTCGGTTCTCGAGCTCTTCCTTCTCGGTAGCCATGGTCTTGACGTCTCTCTCGAGATCCCGAACTTTGGACTTCAGCTCCTCGGCCTCCCTGGCTCTGCGCCGCGCTACAGTGGACGACTCGTCCTCGATACGGTCACGCTCTTCGACTGCAGCTTCGAGACGAGCACGCATCTCGCGAACCTTGGAGTCAGCTCGGGCATCGACTTCGTTGATCATGCGGCGCATCGTCTCGCCCTCACGCGTGCGTTCTTGTAGATGCTTCTGCACATCCGCAAGTTCTTCTTCGAGACTCTCAGCCTGGCCACGCGCCTCCTTGAGCTGTATGCTAAGTTCTGCAGTCTGGTCACGCATAGACCCGAGCAAGCCTTGAGCAGAGTTGTACTGCGCAACCTTCAGGTCGGCTTCCTCCTTGAGACTGTCCCGCTCTTTTCGGAGAGTCTCCAGCTGCTCCTCCATAGCCTTGACCCTCGGCTTCACGCCTGCAAGTTCTGATTGCAAGGATTCAAGCTCACGGGCTGCCTTTTCAGCCTTGGCAGATAATTCAATCTTCTCAGCTTCGGCACGTCTGAGGTCTCTGCCCATGACGCGCTTCTCGTCTTCTAACTTGGCGCGGGACTTGGCCTCTGCAGATAAACGGTCGTTAAGGTTGCGAATATCCCCTTCCTTTTCCGCTGCAACACGTTGCAGACGTGTGACTTCAGTTTTGAGGTCCTTTTCTCGCTTCTCGAGGTTGCGAATTTCAGTTTGCTTAGAAGCAAGTTCTTCCCTCGTTGTCTTGAGCGTGGCTGAGTCTTGTCTCAAGGACTTAAGCTCAGGTTGTGCCTTGGACAATACCTCCCGGAGGTCGGTCAAATCCTTGTAGCGGGATTGTGCGAGCTGCTGGGCGGCACCAAGATCGGTTGTAAGAGTGTGGGACTTGCTCTTCAGATCATCATACTCATTCTTCAATGCATCCAACTCGGTCTGTAATTTCGAGCTGGACTCTGCACTCGATGTAAATGTAGCAACCTCGGCTTCAAGCTCATTGATGCGCTTTTTGAGTAATGCCTTTTCTGATTCGAGCTCCTTAATCTTCACCTTGGCATCGGTATGATCATGACCAATCGATAGAAGGCTTTCTTGCATGGTCTCAATCTCTTCGCGGAGGTCCTCCTCCGTCTTTCGTTGCTTCGACAAGCGCTCAATTTGAGTATCCTTTTCAACGATATCGTCCTTGAGCTTGGAAATTTCTTCATGCAACGCAGAAGTGTCGGGAGCCGTCGTAGGTGATGGAGGCGCCTTTTCCGTAGGTGCATCATTTGACGCAGATTCGGTTGTAGCAACCACAGCAGAGGCAGCAGCACCGCCCTTCTTCTTTTTCTTGTTGTTCTTCTTCTTGGCACCTCCTGCTGCCGCGGCGGGTGCTGGAACTTCCAACTTCTCAGAGGGCGCGGTCGTGGCAGGGCTCGGTGGAGGCACATCTTGGAGTTGTTTGTTGAGCTGTCCAATCTTCTCCTCGCTTTCCTTTTTGGCCTTGTTCAATGCGTCGATCTCTTGGGTGAAGTTCTCGATCTTCGTCTGCAGATCTGATTTTGCTTTTGAAAGTTCCTGGACTTGTGAATCAACCTTTGTTTTTTCATCCTTGGCTGATCTGATTTCTGATTGGTGCTCCTTCTTGGCTTCAAGCGCAGAAATCTTCTCCTTCTCCAAGTTACTCTCGACATCCCGTAGTTGACCTTGGGCCTGCTCCAGTCTTTCGGTCAGAGTCTTGATTTCGGTATTCCTTGCGTCGAGCTGAGTTTGCAGCGACTCCTGGACAGCAGATTTGTCCCGTGCCTCGCTCAGCTCTCGGGTTGCTGTCTCCAAGTTTTCAGCCAGTCCAGCACTGTTTTCTTTGGCGACAGCAAGTTCGTCCTTCAAGTTGCCAATTTCAGACTTGAGCTTGTTGATCTCTTCGGACTTGGAAGCCACCTCAGCTTGTAGTTGCGGTATCTCATCGTCGTAAGAGAACATGTCCTCGCCCACATCCTTGTTGTCGTCGGTAGCCTGGGGCTTCTGCGTAGGCGAAAAGACCCCAAGGATGGACTGGACAGGGGACTTGGCGGAGGAGGGAGATGTAGCCTCTTTGGGGCGGTCTTGTTCCTTGGTTTCGTTTACGCCATTTGTTTGCGCGGGAGTATCTTTCGTCTTGGCAGCCTTCAACGCAGTCAACTCTTCCTTGAGCGTTGCAAGCTCCTTGTCGGCTTCATCGTACTTCTTCTTGATACCATCCTTCTCTGCGGAAACTCGCTTGTACTCGTCCATGACCATATCACCCTTCAGAGTCAGTTGGTTCAAGTATTCGACAAAGGCAGCTGGATCCTTGATGGATGTCAGGGGACTGTTCTCGCGCAGAGCCCTCTCGAAGGGCTCGATTGAGGTGGCGCGCCCGTGTGCGATGCGGTAGGAGCGTAGCAGCTCTGTTGAATTGCACAGGGTGGTCAGTATGCAGTGCCGAAAGAGGAGGTGTGACGGCGATGGGGAAACCGCGACATGACTTACCAGGATACGTCTTCTCGAGTTTTTCGAGTTTTCGTAGCTTTGTCTTGACTTCTGGTGAGAGTTCTGGCGAGGCAGGGGCAGGGGCTGGGGCAGGGTGCTCCTTGACGGCCTTCTCGTCAGAGGTTGGCTCCCCTGTCTTCTCGCTGGTCTGCGCATCCGTGTTGGCGGCAGGCTTCTCTTGGTGGCCATCGCCGTTGGGGGTGCCCTTGTCGTCTATGGCGGGTGATTCGGCGGTGGCTTTGGCCTCTGCTTCCTCATCGTCCAAGGCGAAGGCGGCCTCGAAGACGGCAGGGTCTGTGTCGGGGTCATTGTCGCCGCTGGCGGGATCCTGAGGCTGGCCAGGCTTCTTGACTCTTCGCTTTGCCGGGGAAGCGTTCGAATTGGCGCTGTTCGTCCTCGAAACGGAGCGAGGTCGAGTGCCGGAAGGAGAAGAGGTGCGTGATTGCGAACCCTCCTTCTGGCGAGCTTGCTCCTCCGCTATGGTGCGGTCGATTGCGCTTTTGAACCTCTGGAACATGATGGGCCAAAGAGTGCTGCTACCTAAAGCTTAGACAATTCCGTGTCGTAGCCATGCGCCGAGTGGTCCAGATATGCGACTCGCTGTGGCCGTAGCTGTAGCGTGTACAGCAGTGGTCTATGTAGACGGCACGACAGGATGGATTGTAGTGATAGTTGTAGTTGGAATTGTGATTCAATTATGGGCTTGACTTATTGGCGAGCTCATGCTCATAATGCGACAGGCCGAGTATCGCAGAACTCCAATGGGTAGGAAAGAAACAAGACGGAACGAAACAGAGAGGAAGGATACAGTGTCCGTAATCAGCACAGAGACAATAGCAGAACAATTTGCTTGAGTTTGGGAAAAACAAAATCCACTCATCTAATCTACGACGTATGAAAGCTTAACGTGCTGTACGCACAGTCACTTAACCTTAGGTTCGTTGTTCAGAGGATCCGACTCGAAGGAAGCGCTTCTCTGGCCGAGATGCGCCAGGTGTTCGCTATCTGATTTAGCTGCGTTGATCCCTGTGACCGGGCCAAGTACCCACTATATCTGCTCTGTAGTTCTAACGGGCAGACGGGCTCCTGCGCTCCTGGCAGACATGTGCATACAGGTAACCTTAGGTTTCTAGGGGTCTCCAGCTTGCCGGGTTGTTATGTATGTATGTATCTCTGCCAGTCGGTTGGATTGACGATATGCATCAGCTCTTGTCCTGACGCTTTCATGAGATTCTCGTAATGCTGCCCCGTGTTTCCAGGGATGTCTCTGCTGTACATAAGCCCGCATCAGATTTCAGATTCATCGCGCTGGAGCTGGGGGATTGGGTCGAGACGCTCAAACAAAGTCAAACATAGTCTCAGCCAATGTTGCGCACTACATGCAGTACATTACATTACACACAGCGGCCGTGCGCCGACAGCTCGGGGGGCATATGCAAAATGTGTAACCTAACCTACAGTAGGGGCTTGTTACTCTAGTTATGGGGCTTACCTAAAAGGTTGACCTTGGAGCGGCAGCACAAGTAGCAACAACAACAATATGTCGTCACTGCTTTTTCTCCGTGCCATTTCTGCTTCCATTTCCATTTCCATCTCGATTCACCCAGGATCCTACCTGCTGTCCATCACGAGCTGTCTTTTGTTCGCTCGCATCTAACATTACTCCGTAAATCCAAAACAACCCCCAAAACTCTGTTCCCCCACGTGCCTCGCCTCCCCTTCTTCTTGTCGTGTGTGCTGCCTTCGCCTGCAGCTTCAACTCACCAATTCTTGATCATGCTCTTATAACGACATTCACTGTTTCACATCATCATGCCGTCCTTTTGGCCCTGGAAGGTGAAGAGACCCAAGCTTGCCCATCACTCCCTACTTGTCCTTACACCCTCGCTACCCCCCTCCTTCTCGCGGGCTTCTGTAGCCTTTGAGTAGATTCATCTATGGTTACTAACCGCGTTCCAGGGCGAGGACTCTTCCCCAGCCTCCTTCGAGAAGTCCTTGTCCACTCTTTCTACAAAGATCGCCGGCACCCAGCTGCAGCTTGACCAGCAGCGCAACAGCTCACGCAGGATCAAGTTCTTGGGCACACTCTACCTCGTCATCGCCTACTTGATCTATGCCATCGTCCTGCTGCTTGTGGTTGGACACAAAAACCTGGCCGCTTGGGATTGGTCTGGCCTGGCCGGTGGCCCCGTATTGATCTATCTCGTCCGCGCCCTCATCGTCACCTACTACACTTTCCGTATCGAAAAGCTCGAAACAAGGATCAAGGCTCAACAATCCGAGCGTTCCAAGACTATCCAGAAGTTGAAGGATGCTACCAAATACGACACTACCTTGGAGCTGCTCGAGAAATATGGCGGTGAGAGGCCAAAGCCCAAACGTACCAAATCAGGACAGCCTGGCGAAGACAGCGGGGACACTGGACACAAGGCATCGCACGGTCACAAGGGCGGTCGACAGAGTATAGGGCCCGCGCCTGGCGCAAGAATCAATATCCAACCCCCACCAACAGCCAACATCCAAAGACCCTCATCTGCAGCTGGCACTCCACACAACCACCACCTACAAGGATCGCATCTACAGCCTCCACAATCTGCATCTCCTACCAGCCACGACACTACTGCTGAATTTGCACCCAATGCCGGAGACCTTCCGCCGCCTTCCCACCAGTTTGAGTTCAATGCCGGCCCCCCACGATGGTACGACCGCGTTCTCGATCTGATGATGGGTGAAGATGAGACTGCCCCCAAGAACCGTATCGTCCTGATCTGCCAGAAATGCCGCCTAGTCAACGGCCAAGCTCCCCCAGGCACCAAGAGCCTCTCCGATGTCGGCCAGTGGAAGTGCATGAACTGTGGCACCATGAATGGCGAGATGGATGAAGGAAAGAAGATCATAAGGGAGGTACTTGGGGTTCAAGACAGTGCTGAGACCGATACCGATGAGCTCGAGAGCGAAGCAAGTCTCGACGACAGCAAGGTGCACAACTCTGCCGCAGGAAACAAAAGAGATACCAAGGCTGTGAGAAGGTCCGGTAGGAACAAATCGCAGATGGTTCCGTAAAACATGTCATACACTGGCTATAAGCCATTAGTAACTTCTCAGCAGGTCAAGGAACATATTGGTCAACGTCTTGCTCAATGTCCATGACATATTTGGCAGCACAATGAGAAACCTAATGTAGGCAGAAGACCATCAATCGAACCAACCGTGGCTTCCAGTCACCGTTCTGCGTCGCTTTTCCGATTTTGCAGCTATTATCTCAGGGAGCTTATAGCGTATCAAGACCGCACAGGAATCTGCGCCGCTCACCCCATATCTGTCGGCGAACTAGCGGCCGAAGAGATGGGATCTTATGAAAGACCCTCACATGATTGCATGGAGCTAGAGACACATGACGACCCTTTGCATGTGGTAGTATGTATGCGCACTGTCATAGACACTACGATATAAAATACGAAACAGTTGAAAAATTCATTCAAACACCTCATTCCAGATATTTCAACCATCTGATCTGGATATAAGATCCTTTGCCTTCAATTGATACGTTGATCCCACTCTGTAAGGGTTATCGAAACAACGAGAACAAGTTCTGGGTTTACGAGTCACAGTTTTACAACTTGGCAGAACCTATGTAAATCTTACTGAAGTGCAAAAGATTGTGAAAATGCCGTTTTCGCCGACAGGTGGAGATGGCTACCATCCTCTTGCCTACACTGCAACATGCAGTCTTCGTTATCATGCACATCAACGTAGTGCTCGTCACCTCCACAGTTCTCTAGTTTCTATACAATGCAACACCGCATCCACTATGCCGCTTCCCCAGCCCTCTGACGCACCGCTTAGTCGCCATCCCGCGTCTTCACTATCTTTACACATCAGCGACCCCTACCAACACGTGGCCGACCTGGCTCAACTACTTCACGTTCGGTGTCCTGGGGGCCCTGGCGTTCGGCGACGACTTCGGGTGTCTGGATAAGAGCGAATACTATCCCTAGGTTGGGCTGTTACTGGGCAGACTGAAGAATATGGCGGCCATGCAGATGCTGAACCAGTTCGGGCTTCTACGCCCCGTCATGTGGCTCGCCCGGGCGAGATGATTGGCATGGCGAGCGAGAGAAACGACCGCTCTACAGTGCTTACAGACAAAAAGAGACGTGCAGAGCTGTCATGACCGTTGTTTGATTGCTAGTGTATGAGCTTCGACAAGCTGTGGAAGAACGCGGGCCTCCTCGCCATTGCCGGCTCCGAGACCACGTTCACGCTCCCCTCCGGCGCCCTTTTCCTCCCGTCGGCCCACGCGGACACGCTCCCTAAGCTGAAAGAGGAGGTTTGGTTGATGTTCCGAGACAAAGCCGACATTATCTTGTCCAGTATGAATGGCCTGGATTACATGCTGGCTTGTCTGAACGAGTCCCTCTGATGCTACCCGCCAGTGCCTATCAAGGCGCCACGCTTAACGCCCAAGGCGGTGTCGTCACTGCAGGAGATCCCGTGTCTGAAAAAAGAAATAAGGGTTCCTTCCATACTGCACCGAGGACGGCCGTGTGTATTCTATCCAATCTGAGACTGACTATGGACACAGACGACCGTTGGTGTGTGGCACTGGGCCACCTACCGCTCGACGGAACAGTTCACGCAGGCCGAGGAACTCCATCTCGAGCGCTTCCTGGGTCAAGAACCCAGATACGCAGACGATAGACCGGATGCCGTGCAGCCCTTCCCTGTCGGGCCGCGCGACTGTCTTGGAAGAAACTGAGTCCTAGGTAGCGAATTGCAAGAGTAATATCGCTTGAGAATAACAAAATTGTCTGACAACAGTTTTTCGTTTTTCTTTTAGCCTTGCTTATGCGGATTTGCGACTTGTCCTGGCCAAGCTGATCTGGAACTTCGGTTTGCGTCTGGCCGACGACAGCAAGATGTAGCTTGAGGGCCAGAGGTCACATTTTTTTGTGGGCTAAACCGCCTTTGAACATCTACTTGGATCGGGTGGTCAGACAGCTTTGTGCAGTACCCCTGGAGCCTGAGATATATATTCGGAGGTATCAGACGTTATGCTATACCACGCCTGCACAACTCGTAAGTGCATGACCTGTCAATCTGGTGGATCGTCAGCAGGAATGTTTGTGGTCTCTACTACATGGAAACTAGCCATTCCTATGGAAACATTATTTTATCTGTCGAGTTTCTTCTTGGCTTTCTTGGACTACCTAAAATCTCATCGTTACGCAGTCCACACAAAACTGATAGTTCGTAGCTGTATTGGTCTGGACTGTGGCGAGTTGTGCCCCTTACTTCAGTTGACCCCTTTCTACAAATTGGGCAATTTTGTGCCAATAGCGGGATTTATTGAACGAACGGAAATCAGCGCGGCGTAGCACTCAGGCAAAAGGAAGGAGATCGTTGATTAAATATTCAGCCCGAATGGCGATCCTTTTGCTTTCATTAACAGTATTATCCGTGTGTGGTCAGGCCCCATATCAACCATAGCATGCTGTCTTGTTAGTGGCGTCAACATATTTCCTTACTCTGGCATAACGCTTGCTACATTTGGGTATTCATTGCTCCACGACTTTCTTCTGGCCTTGGCGTGGGATAGATCATACTCTGCATGGTAGTCCGAGTTGAAAAATGTCCGGACTACCACGGCACTGGAATCAAGCTTGCTAGTCCTACCTAGCGTTTGGTCAAGCCTCGTCTTCCAACAACGGTCTTATTCTTCGAGTGGGACGTGAGTGAGCATAAAGGACGGCCTAGCCTTGTACGCGGATAAAGACGAACTCATTTGCGGGGTACCCTAACGGTCTGCGTGTCTGTATATCCGCCTTGGCAGTACTTCTAGCCACAATCTAACCCATGTTTCCCTCAACCTGTTCAGCCAGTCAGCATCCCACAGCTGGGAAACTGGTGTCATTGGTTTACTGAGGCCGACAATGGACCGTCATCCCGCGGCTCCGTCACTGCTTAAGTGGTTCGCTCAATTAAACCATACGAACTTTGCTGGCACCCGAAAAGGAAACATGGGGTCCCCGCATGTAGATCCTAGACCACCACAACATCCCATGTACGGGTTGGGGAACTTGGCGGTTGGTCGGACATCAACTCGCAGAAAGAAGCCGGGAGACATATAACCCACCAAACCGCCTGTTTGGGGCCGCGAGGGGGTCTCACCGTTGACTGTGTGTACAGCTCATAGCCCATATCGGCGCCATACTCGACATCAACCACCATGGCTAGTAAACTGCACCAGAAGGCGGACCTCACGGCTGCGGGGAATACGGGTGCTTCAGCTGACCCTATCGTGACCCGTCTCGCGAAGGAGGACAAGGTTCCTTGGTACAAGAAGCCGAATCTGCGATCGCTCTACTTTATGCTGTTTCCAACATGTATGGGCATCGAGCTGACGTCTGGGTTCGACTCTCAGATGATCAACGCCCTTCAGATCGTCCCTTCTTGGGTTTCCTGTAAGTCGAACACCTCGAAGCTCTGACCGCTGGACATGCACTGACTGAACTTCCAAGTCTTCGGTAACCCTCAAAGTAGGCACGACATATATTTTCAGTAATGGGTATAATGCTGAACTTTAGATCAGATGAGTTGAAAGGAATTATCTCTGCGTCCTATTCGCTCGGAGCTATCCTCTCGCTGCCACTGGTGCCCATCATCAATGACCGATTAGGTAGAAGGTGGTCTATCTTCCTCGGATCTGTAACGATGGTTATCGGGTCGATCATTCAGGGCTTCTCCGTTAATGGTAAGTCTTGTCTCCTACTATCGATGCGGATCTATGTCAGTCCAGAGGGATTGTGCGTGTCTACTGACAATTTTCATAGTGGGCATGTACATTGTCGCCCGTCTGATTCTCGGCTTCGGCATTCCTACTTGCATTGTCAGTGCATCGGCATTGATAGGAGAGCTTGCTTATCCAAAAGAAAGACCCATCATGACTTCGCTCTTTAACGTATCCTACTTTCCAGGACAAATTCTGGCTGCTGCTATCTGTTTTGGTACCAACAATATCGCAAGCAACTGGGGTTGGAAAATCCCCAGTCTCCTACAGATGTGCCCCTCGCTCATGCAGATAGCTTTCGTCTGGTGAGTAGGCATGTGAAGGCCAGCGGTATGAAGCTAATATTCTATCCTCAGGTTTATCCCTGAAAGTCCCCGTTGGCTCATCACCAAAGATCGCAGCGACGAGGCCTATGCTATCCTTGCCAAATATCACGCCGAGGGCGACCGTGAAGCCGAATTTGTCAAGGCCGAATTTGCACAGATGGAGACCACAATCCACCTTGAGCTCGAATCATCAAAGAAGTCCTGGGCTGACTTGTTTGCCACGAAAGGAATGCGTCGCCGTCTGCTAGTCAGCTGTATGCTGGGTCTATTCACTCAGTGGAGCGGCAACACGCTCATTTCATACTACCTTGGCGACCTGCTCAGCATGATTGGGAGAACCGATAGCGTTTTCAAGCAACAAATCAATGTGTCACTGGCGTGCTGGAATTTGGTCGTCGCTTCCATCGCCGCAAGTCTCGTGACGAGATTCAGGAGACGGCCCATGTATCTCGTCTGCACTTGCAGTTTGCTGGTTGTCTACATCTCTTGGACAATCAGCATGCAGCAGGCTATGGCTGCAATCGAAAGAAAGGAGAAGAATCCTCCTTCCGGCATTGCTACCATTTTCTTCATCTATGCTTACGTATGTGCTTACCCCTAATGGATTGCGCAAGTATAAATGGGTCAGGCTAACTCCCGTTGCAGTACCCCTGTTATAACATCGGATACAATGCCTTAACATACAGTAAGTCTACTCTTGCATTAGATCATGTCTGTAGTATGAGATACTCAACAATTATGCAGCGTATCTGGTCGAGCTTTGGCCGTATATGGAGCGATCCATGGGTATCGCAGCCTTCCAGCTCTTCGGTCGCCTTTCGGGCTTCTTCACCACATTCGTCAACCCGATCGGGCTGGGCAATGTGAAATGGAGATACTTGATCTCCTACTGCTGCTTCCTCGCCTTCGAGATCTGCTTTGTCTACTTCTTCTTCCCGGAAACTCATGGTAGAACTCTCGAAGAATTGGCATTTTGTAGGTGCTCCTTTACCGAGAACACTAATACGCATCTCAGACTAATTAACACAACTTCGCAGTATTTGAGGACAAGGCACTTGCCGATGAAGCTGTCCACGCTGTCGAGAAATCTATCGCGCATCATGATGAAGGACCGGCTATAGAGGGTAAGGAAGTCAGGGCTGGGAGCAAGGAGATCTGACCACTCAAAGCCATCAGTCAAAGCTCATGGCGGCCTTTGTGTGTAGCTCGAGTGTGCGTCTTATAGTGTGGATACAGCCGCTTCTGACAATCACGGCTTAAACTTGAGTTGCTTCGGATACCTGGGCAAGCGTTGATTAGCTTTGAAATCCTTCTATTCGACCCTGATTCCGTCCCTTTGCTGTGATATTTGCCGGTTAAACAAATCTGAATGCGCATGTCGACATTGCCTAATATCGTTACCGGGTACGCATATTACACTATTATTCGTGTAGGTATCGTGTTATCGTGACATTCTCGAGCCTCTGCACGAGTTGTCGTATAACAAAGCGTTCAGTATGGGCGTAGCAGCTCCACAAGAGCCCGCCCGGCTGAAGCCGCTCTCCGGCGACACTGCACGCTTCACGCAGTGCTTATCACTGTTGTAATTGTCACCGCCAGGTACATTTCGATATGTTTTCATTCTGTAACCATCACCTTTAAAACACAGATAAACCATTCTAGACGGTCTTCAATATTAGAGACAACCGTGACACGGCGATTCCTTTTTTTGCGACGTCAATCTGTATATCGTTGGGCACTCGGGATATGGCGGGGTCTTTAGCATTCCATGGCACGGTCATCCACTCACTCGGTCCAAACGAACTAGAGCTACTCGAGAATGCCCTTATACTCATCGAAGCGAACGGGAGCATCGGGGACATCTCGAAGAACATTCCTCGCACCGATGTGCCCGGGTATCTGGCATCGCAGGGATTCGACCACGAGGTCAGGTATCTGAGCCGCGGCGAGTTCCTCATCCCCGGCTTCGTCGACACACATAACCATGCGCCTCAGTATGCGCAGCGGGGCCTCGGGCAGAGCATGCACATACTGGACTGGCTGGAGAGCGTGACGTTCCCCAACGAGGCGCGCTTCCGGGACCCGGCGTATGCGAAGCGCATCTACTCGGAATGTGTCGACGGGTTCCTGAGGCAAGGCATCACGACGGCGTCGTACTATGGCTCGATGCATGCGGATGCGACCAACATCCTTGCCGATCTCTGTCTGGAAAAGGGCCAGCGGGCTTTCGTGGGCAAGTGTAATAGTGAGTTGCAACCCTTTTGAAGCGACTTTTGGGAAGCTCGATGCTATTGTGTGTTTATATTTTATTACATTTTTCTTTTATTCCTATGAACACCATATAATATCACACGGGAAGGGCTTGTGCCGCATCTCATCACTGACAGCAATGTAGTGAACCGCAACGCGCCAGACTTCTACAGAGACGCCACAGTCCAGTCATCACTGGAGAACACAGAGAAATGCATCCATCATATCCGCAGTATTGATCCCGACGGAAAACTTATCAAACACGTCCTCACACCCCGTTTCGCAATAACATGTGATCCCGAACTATTGGAAGGTCTTGGGCACATTGCGGCGAAGAACCCTGATCTGCCTATCCAAACACATTTTAATGAAGCTGAGCAGGAGATGTCCTTCACAAAGACGTTGTTTCCGCAATTCGAGAACGAGGCTGATCTTTATCATCATTACGGCTTGTTGAACCAACGGTCTATCCTCGCTCATTGCTGTTTCATGAGTGACTATGAGATGAGTAGATTGAAGGAGCTCGACTGTGGTGTTGCCCACTGTCCCATCTCCAACATGACAGTAGGAGGAGGATTCATGGCTGCACCCATCCGCGAGTTTCTGCGGCGTGGTATCAAGGTTGGACTTGGTACCGATAGCGGAGGCGGGTTTTCTGCTAGCATTCTGGATGCCATGAGGCAAGCGCTCGTTGCATCGAATGCAAGGGAAGTGATGAGTCAAGGGAAGGATAAGGGCCTGGACATTTCTGAGACATTCTTTTTGGCCACCTTGGGCGGAGCTCGGGTCTGCTGCTTAGAGAGCAAGATCGGAAATTTCCAGGTTGGTAAGGATTTCGACGCCCTGCTCGTCAAAAGCAGCAAACCCGGTGTGATGGCAATGCTGGAAGATTGGGACTCGATGAGAACCATTTTTGATAAATTCATCATGACCGGTGATGACCGTAATATTGATCAAGTGTACGTCAAGGGGAGGTCAGTCAAAGTGTAGCAGATTTCATAGCAAATTTGAAACAGAAATCCAATGAGCACCATCGATGGCGCGGGTGAAGACTTTTCAGCCGGCTAGGGTTGCCGAGCACTCCTGCGTTTCTTCCGTGCCTGTTGCGGTCCCATGTAGAGCCAAGAACTTCTGGATAGCTTGTAAAGCGATTCCTCGTCGCATTCCAGTTTGGTCGTCCCATGAGGAATGCAGTCCAATGATGCGGCCGCTCTTCCAACAGAGCAGAGGAGCGCCGGAGTGTCCCCAGTACGTCCAAGCGTCGTGCATCAGCGCACCAATCTCTAAATTGTCCTGAACATCCTGTTCCTCGGCGCAACCATGATATACGCCTGTACTCACGTGCAGCACATCGTAGTTGGTCTTGATGCCCGGTTGCGAGGCTTCAAGGTCTTCGCTGCCGGGGTGTCCCACACACACGATTCTCGCTCCAACCCGTGGTGCAGCATCATGTATCAAAGCGAAGGGGAATTTCGCGGTTGGCAAATAGAGTTGCGCTGCGGTAATCTGTAGGAGAGCTAGGTCGCGCTTCTCGTCCCAGGCGATGCACTTCGCTGCGACTACGCTCCCGGAACGAAACAGAAGCCAGTAAGTCTTGTTTTCACTCAAATCTTGTTCACTCTCGGCAACGCAGTGGGAGCACGTCAGGAGGAGCCCCTCTGCCGAGATGCAAACTGCTGTCCCCGCCTCTTCCTGTGCGAAGACGAGAGTGGCGTCAACTGATATCTTGTGCTTCGCAAACGACTGCGGGATGTCGAGGTCATACTCCCGTAGCCACTGTTGTTTCCGTTTCAATAGAGCTTGGTCCCGCTTGCGAAGTTTCGTGTCATGTGCCTTCAAGTTGGATGGCAACTGTTTTAAAGATGCTGCCTGTGTTTGGGAACTTTGTTCTGCTTTGTAACTGATTTCGGGTTTGTGAGGCTCTTCTGCTGAAATGTTAAGGCCGAGCAGTGTTCTTGAACGCGTCTGACGCGTCGTGGAGTGCATAACGGACCTGTTTCCCAAATCTTTTGAGGCCATGGGATAATTCAAAAGGCAGAAGTTGTAATCAAAATCATACGAGGAGCCAATGTTTGTGTTGAGGGTGCACAGATCCCACCCCCATTGCTGCCTACGACCAACGCTAGCATCACGCAACCGAGAATAGGTATAGTAGAATATCATCTATACTATCCAACCTAAATGCGTGTGGATCGATACCTATACCAAGCTCAGAGAGTCAGGACTAGCCCTCTAGGATTTGTCCTTGTTCACTTCAAATGGAAATCCCAATGTAGTCTTCTACCTAATGATCAGTTTGGAATTTCCGGGAATACCATGTTCAAATGTAGCAAAATGCGGGGTGCATTGCTCGCAGGTAGTATGGAGAGATAGCCACCAAAGGAGGATATTCTGTTTATGGCAGTGAAATTGAAAGTGATCCAAAGGAGCGATGATTCTCAATTAGAAGTCGTGGATAACATCCCAGCCCGACCCCTGTGCATATGTAAGCGATAGCAGGGCCCTTGGTCCGCTAAATATGCAGGACGTGTTGGTGGAGAGCCTGCAATGATTTAGTTTTGCCCAGGGTGTCTTTACACAGGGAGATAACGACTTGTTGGATAAAACGTATGGTCACTTCGCAACGTTGCTGGGACTATACCTAAAGCGTGAAAAGTGTTATCATCGATTCGAAAGTTATTCTGTGTGATTGGGCGATGCTCGAGCATGTTGCAGCATGCAGTCCTTCATAGATGCGAATGCGTATTGCCCGGCCCTGGGCATTCGCCTGGGGAATAACAATGGTGGAGCGGGGCTGTTCTGATAAGCTACTATACAGCCATGGAAATAGCGACACTGGAACAAAGCAAGTGCATGTCTCCATGGTATGTATGTGCGACCTGATTATGGGTGGTTGCCCTGCAAGCTTTCTTCAGAAGTCAAGGTGGCGTCACATGCAGCTTTTTAGTTTACTTACCTCGACAGCTTTTCTTGGAAAAGCTACTACTTATAGGAGCCTTCGTTCATCGCATGCTTTGTTGGGTTCGTAAATAACATAGCACCATATCATATTAATCTTTAACATGGGATTTACGAAGGGTTTCAAGAGTCGCCTGCACTCAACCGCTCGTGGTGGGCAAGATGACTCCAACACAGATCCCACGCTTCAGTCAGAGGTGATACATCCTGCGGACCATGATGTCGACCAAGACACCGAGAAGCAAAGCGTTGGCTCGACTGAGCAAGGTGTAGCAACTATAGAAGCAGCTCAAGCGATCTGGGGAAAGAAGGGTCGGTGGCTTGTTATCATTGGCCTGGCATTGGTCATGATCATCTATGAGCTCGACAATTCAACCATTAATATATACAACAACTATTCAACATCTTCATTCGATGCGCTAACGAAGCTGGCATCACTAAGTACAGCGTCGACCATTGTCTTCGCCATCGTTAAACCACCCATTGCGAAGCTATCAAATGTGATAGGTAGAGGTCAGACCTACGCCATTACCATCTCCTTCTACATTTTGGCCTATGTCCTAATGGCTTCCGCAACCACATTCAATACGTATGCCGCCGGCGCTATCTTCTATGCGGTTGGACAAAGTGGAACGAATATTCTCAACGACATTGTGATCTCCGATATCACAACAGCGAGATGGCGTGGCTTTGCCATCGGAATTAGTTTCACGCCGTTCTTAGTCACACCTTGGGTTGCTGGGTTCATTGTGGAAAGTGTTGTAGCTCCAACCGGTGTAAGTGGTCAAAGGTTCTTGTGTGCCTCGTGAATATCTGTCTTCAGATTACCAGCATCGAGGTTTTAAGCACATTTAGATGAAAAAAGAAAGCAGAGGTCAAGCTGACACTCTTTGTGACCAGATTGGGTGGAGATGGGGTATTGCGATGTTCGCTATTCTCATGCCGTTTTGTGCGAGCTTCATCATTACCACACTTGTCTATTACCAAAGTCGAGCGAAGAAACAATGCCTGGCACCACGTACCAAACTCGGACTCCGAGAATTCTTTTCGCAAATTGATTTGGGCGGCATAATCATGTTTAGTGGAGGTCTTGCCTTGATTTTGGTGCCTCTTACTCTGGCTGCAACCACACCATCCCGGTGGCAGACACCATATTTAATCGCTTTGATTGTACTCGGCATGGTCCTCCTTGTTGCCTTACCATTCTACGAGAAGCTTTTTGCGCGTCATCCAATCATTCCTCCGCACTATTTCTTGAACAGAACTATTCTTGTATGTCTGATACTTATTGCCGTGGACACTATCGGCTTCGCATGCACGCATACCTATCTTTACACATGGGTTACAGTCGCCAAGGACTTCGGGGCGAGAGACGCAACATTCTTCACATACACGAACGGTGTTATGCAATGCTTTGTTAACATTCTAGCCGGTCTACTCATGGGCAAGTTACGACGGTACAAATGGATTGCTGTCGCAGGCAGTATCATTCGTCTCATCGGCTATGGTGTAATGCTTAGACTCAGGGGGGCCGACAACTCCACTGCAGAGATCTTCATTGTTCAAATTATACAAGGCATCGGTTCTGGAATGATCCAAAACTGCCTCATAGTTCCTGCACAGATCTCAGTTCCGCATGCCGAGATGCCTCAAGTAACAGCTCTAGTTTTATGCTTTATGTTTGTCTGTAGCAGCATCGGAGCCTGTATAGCTGGTGGCATTTACACCAATACTATATCCAGCGCTATATGGACTTATCTGCCTGGCCTTAGTATTGATGATACTTCAGCACTCGCCAACTCCTTTACTGGTGCTGTGCCGGCTTGGGGCACTATGGAGAGAACGGCAATCTCTATGGCTGTAAGTATTGCATCAAGACCTTTCCCAGGCATTTAAGCTCACCTTATTTCGCAGTTCTCGGACATCATGCGTTATATGACTTACACTGCTCTCGGCAGTTCCGTCATTGGGTTCATTGTTGCTCTCATCCTTCCTGATCTTGTGCTTCCAGATGTCAACAACCTCGTAGAGGTTTAATGATCGGCAGGCCGGGGACTGTCTCCGTTACGAGGAATAAATGATGGCGTTGGTGTAACAATTCAACGGCTACAATTGCCCGAGGCCCATCCGAGAGTATGCACCGCTTCAAACTGCAGCTTTCAGGTTTACATATGACCACCCAATTGTTCGATAGTCCTGGCCTGTAAAGAATAGAAAAACCAAAATTGCTGAAATGTTTCCAACATGGACAATAAAACTACCTGGGCAGTAAGGTGTTTGAGTACGAGCAACAGAAACATTCCCAAGCGGTGTGCCTCGAAAAAGAGTCACCGGGTAGTCATCACTGTATACTCAATATGGAACTAGTTGGCTTTGAAACGAGAAATTGAAATTCAGATATTATTCTACGCTAATAATGCTAGACTGAGAACTCCATCTATAGAGCAGCATTGCTGGCACATGTCCATGGTTTCGAACCAGAATCTTGCGCGATAGCCTCTCCCGCACTCCAGAGACCCAGAGCACACAGGATGAAGCCGGTCAAGACCAGCAAGATATTTGCCACGAAGAAGGCGATCCGCTTTCCAGATGTGAACCACTCGCCATAGTACATCCAGAGCCACAGCGCACCAGGGATACCGTACGAGAACCAACTGGCAAATAGAGCGCAAAGCAAACCAAGCAGGTTGCTGAAGACCGGAATCGACTCGGCGATGACCAACGCAATGATCCAGATACCAGCAGTGATACCGAGCCAACCTGCTGTGCCGACCCATGTGCGCTTGGAGATGTGCTTGGTGCCGGCAAAGACGCGCACGAATATGTACTTGGCGGCAACGTGACCGTAAATGACACCGGCGATGACGATGGTGGGAATCGCGATACCCCAGATTGCCTTTCTCATGGTGTGCGAACCTGCTGCCGAAAGAGCCGGCGAAGGCACATCCGCTCCAACGTAGATGTAGATGACCACGGACGCGACCAGGTAGAGCGTGGTGTCGCAGACCTGAAGCAGGCACAAGGCCTTGGGCCAGTCGTTCGGCTGCCTCATCTCGGACAAAATACCGAAGAAACACGAATGACCGGAGAAAGCGACGGCAATGTTTGTGACCGACAGGAAGGCCGACGTGAAGCCGACTTGTCTGGCGACGTCGATACTTGTCGATCCGATGGGCTTCTCGATGGCTACGTCGATAACTGTCATCATCACTGCGGTGAAGATGGACGCGAATGACGCAAATGAGTAGTATCCAGCGAACTTCATGGTGCGAGGTGTGTTCATGAACCAGAAGACCGCCAGTCCAACCACGGCCCATACGATGGTGCAGGTGGAGCTGCTCGTCAGGGTGTTCAAGCAGATAGTCCAAGTGAGAAGATGACTGCCCATGACGAAGACGACGAAGATGGTTTGCGCCCAGCCGAAGAGCTCCTGGAAAAATGGCCCCATACCTATCGATCGACCCATGACCTCACCCGCATCACCGAAGCTCTGCACCCAGGGGTGTTTCCGTCGAAATTCGCCCATGACCAATCCAGAGTATGTCGACATGAGTCCCATCACAATAATGAGAACAATTCCAGGTGCAAGCCCAACATTGGCCACCACAGCGGGAAGTGATAAGATACCTAGAGACACTGTCTCTGCGATCATGACCACACCAGCTTGCCTGCGATAATCAGTCAGTGCCCATTTTGCCCATTCGCTCCAAGGGTCAACTTACCACCACTCAAGGTTCTTGTAGTTGATCTCCACCTCTCCATCCTGAGAATAGCTCGGCGCCGCCACCCTCTCAGGGCTGGCCTCAATGTCGTGTTGCCCTTCCAACTTCTTCTCAGTAGTTAATTCTGCTGACGGCGCGATGACGTCGGCATCCACGCCGGGAACAGTTGTATTCCTCGCCATTGAATCGTCAGATGTGGGGTCCGCGTTGAACTGAGACTGTCAATAGGGAACGATAGTGGTCGTGGACTGTCGTGTTGAACGTGGAGGTCTGGGACTTTGGGGATGAGCCACGAGTTTTGAAGGAAGTGATGCTCTACTGATTCAAGTGCTCAAATCGCCGTGATCGGATCAGAAACATATCCAAGCAAGGGCCCTGGAGCGGCCGAGGTCGAAGGAGAAGCGGCTCCGCCCGTACTGCCGTATCTAGTGTTGAGTCTCGCCACGCCGAAGGTAAAAAAAAAATCCAGCGAGGCCGTGGATCCGCCGGATCACTCGTTTACAGCTTGTTTACGCTGACCTATGAACCTCGACGCTCGACCAACGGGACGGATGCAATAGTAATCCATTTCCCCAGAAGCCAGACTCTCATGCATAGCTGTTCCTTTGGACAGTGAACTTCCGATTGCCGGCTTGTGAGATAGAGGCAATGTTGTGTTGAACTTCATCGTGAAAACTCTGGTTGTTGAGTAACGTTTACGTTATAGAGGCCCCACGGTGCAATGGCACGGACCGTAATGTGGTATAGGACAGAAATTCCCATACTCTGGTACGCGGCGAACTAGCCATTAGTCCACGAATTTGCTGAACCATCCTGCTCCGAAATGTCCTCTTTTTCAGGATCGAGCGCTATCGCGCCTGGGTCATGCCATGAAAATTGTGCTCAAATGCGGCGAACCCGGGGTCACTGACTCATGTTGTTGATCTGTCGACCACCACACCACTAAGGTTAGAAGATCGCCACAATAACGGACCCCGAATTCCGGGGTTTAGAGACGGTATTGTCACCACTTCGTCACGATTAGAGTTCGTTCCTGCCTGGTCAGCACAGGACTCACATAATGTAATAGCTTAGCAACTTGGATTACTCAAACCATGCCACTCTGCTACTGAAGGTTCTGCGACCGGTGGCATGTAGCCAGGGACAGACATTAACAGCCCACTTGGATTGCCCCATTTGTCATAGCGCTGCCTTGGAGCATATTGGAGTACAGGATTACTGATTTGATCAGCCCCGAATCCGGGGAAGCGCCAAGCCTCACCTCAGATCCACGAAATGCTTGAAGTCTAGACCCTGAGAATGTTATATATCGGTTTTGTGAACCCAGAGAAGACTATTGGCTCATTTGTTGAGTCTGAGGGGGCCAAGTGGCGCATACAAAAGTTCACGAAAGTCATAGTTGATTCCCAGCAGGCTTCCACTAACATATGAATAACCTCGGAAACCACTGGATTTATATCTCTTTCTATGGATGACTAATGGTATGGTTTGGGATAAGATGGGTTGTCGCATGGAGACCAGTGAATGCTCGGGTATATGCGACTTACTGGTCATCAGCTCTCAGCCTTCTGGCCAATAGAAGCCATCGAGCTCATGATGCAGGAGTGAGAGATCCATTTGCTGGAAGTTTGGATCGGTTTGCGCAAGGAACGCTTGCATTGACGGTTCGGCTAAGGCCATACCTGCTGTCATATTATACGTGGTACTTGATGATGCATAAGGCAGGCCTATTCCGTTGAAATTGGGAACCGTAATGTCCAAGCCATCGACGTCATTTACATCGGAGATATGTTCAGAATCCTCGATTCTATTCATGCATGCTTTCATTGACTCGAGATGACGAGAAAATTCTACAGCTGCACAATTCCCGTTACCTTTCAAGTCGGTGAGCAACTGTAGAGATAGCTCAAAATCGTCACGGTCTTTCGATGACCCAGGTGCATTCAGTAGACTCGATACAGCCAGAATTGTTGCGACAGAGAAAAGGTTGAGTGTATCGAAGTAATCGAACGTAAAGAAGGAGCCGTCTACCCACGAATCCATCAATAGGGAGTGCGAGTGTCTGGCACATCGCACACATGCATCGGTCAGTGCCTGCGCGTTGTCAGGGATGACTGGGGTGGATTGGCTCGTAGTTGATGTCTTCGTTCCTCGATGAGCCCTGAGCACATACAGGGCTACAGGGCGAGTGGCGACGATCATGCACTATCTTGATAAGCAATAGCAAATGTACATCATCTCTCAATCTACACATACCTGATTAAAAGAGAGCAGTAACGCCCTTGTAGGTCCTGAAGTTGCCTTTGTAAACCTTTGCCCTTCGGTGTCAAACAACCCTTCAAGTTTATGAAACCAGTCTTGGAGGTCTTTGAGTGCCTGCTGTACTCGTTGCAAGAATGAATCATTCTGTAGCTTTCTTCCATAGAGCAGCGTTGTGATCTGTCCTGTCAATTTGACAAGCTTGATTCTATTGACAAGATCGCTCGCTTCCGTAAAATCTTCCTTGCTGTCAATAGGCATGTCTACGCTGGAAGGTAGGTCGACCTGAATCTCATCGTCTTGTATCGAGAATGGTTGACTTAGACGAGCTGCTAGAAGTCTATCGAATTCGTATGCGGTCCACCAGACTCTTCTGCGATGTTCTATCAAGATTCTGTCGCTCAATTGCGACTCAGGCACGTTCAAGTGCAGGCCCATGATCAGGCCTTGTCGGACAGCCGAACCAGCTAGACACCAAGCAGAATGCCGCCTGTTGCAAAGCAGGTTATAAAGGGACTATATATCGTTAGTTGCATGATTTCCAGCTTGGGCAGTTTGATTTTACCAGAAGAAGTAATACTTCTATGGAGTCGTGGCTTGGCCGCTCATTTACTACTTGTTGAGCTTTGTTCGCTTGGGCAAAATACGCCAGGCCGGGAAAATTGTCTCTACTGCCGGATCGTGCTGTATACATCTCCCCAAGCGCCAACAGAGCCCAAATCTTTGAGGTGAGAAGGACATCCAATACAGCTGGTTGATGAAGGAACCTCTCCAGAGTGGCAAAGACAACACTTTTGAGAACAATATGATAGTGCTGGGAAACTACTCTGATGGCAGCCTTCATAAGAAACCGCGCTCTGCCGCGAGTTGGTGGTTGGCAAGATGATGCACCCAGTATTGCCATGGTACTGTCAGCTGGAAATGAGACCCTCTGGATATGCTTGAAAGACCCATCGGATAATGTTTGGCAGAAGCGGGTTGCAAAAGCAGCATCGGCAGCTTCGCCGATCAAAATAGGGATATCGGGTGTATCGTGGAACCAAGGTCTATCGCCAAAGAGAGGATTTTGGATTGGGCCATCCGTCTGTTCTTGTCTTCCGGAACCTGTACGGGACCTTTCATTTTCAACATTGTCGTCCTTTCGGGGCAAATTACTTCCTTCTAGCCGGCGAAGTTTCTCGTTCTCGGCGAGTAAATCTTCCAGGTAGCTGCAACATGTTACTTAAGTAATTCAAGGAAAACTAGACTGTCACGTACTTCTGGCTCACTCTCAGTTGCCGATCCCGCTTGGGAAATGTGCACTCAGCTTCACTCCCAGATTGTATGCAATTAGAGCAGGGCTGTTCCCCTGAGCATTTGACTTTTCGTGAATGGCACTTCGAACATCTGTGTCACCTCGTCAATAATATCTTCTGTACGCTCAACACATGTGTTCTTACGCTGTCGGCTTGCCACGTAATTCTGCCAATTGCTCTGCACTGCGCAACGCTCGTCTGTTCATTATGTTCGGTGTAACTTACACAATGCCGAGTAGTGGGGTCAAGCATGGTGAAAGATTCTGAGCTCGCGAATAAGGGTGCTGCAAATAACCTCAAGAGCGTTATTCCCATTAGCGCCGGTATCGGAACGCTCCGATTGCGTCGGCCAGTGAGCAGATAAGCCGAGCTGTCTTGTCGGATGCTTATATTTCAACGGATCCTTTACGGCGTCACGTCATGGCGACATGGTCAAGACGATGACGATGAACCTGTCCAGGAATGAAGATCTAGTTCCAGTTACTTCAGCCAAAGACAAAATACTTATCTCAAAGTGCCCACCAACAAAAATTACGTTCATGAGCAAGTGGAGCAGAAAAAAATCCATGAAGATTTCAATTAATTCCCAACAGGCTTTCACTGACATAATACAAAATAACATCGAAAGCAACCAAATTCAATGCGCTAATGGGATAGGGATAACATGGGTAATCGCAGGCAGACCAGTGAATTCTCGAGTTCATGCGACTTCATGAATTTCTATATCGATAGCTTGCCTGGAAAAAGTATAATGTTCAGGTCCTGCTCATGCGAGAAAATCAGAACTCCATTGTCTTCAGTGTATCTAGTCGTCAATTGGTGCTGTTCACGCTGTCTCTCAGTAGCTATCAGAAGCCTATACATAGAGTGGGCCAGAAGGCTAACAACTTTTCCAGTGCTCTCGGCAAGTTGACAGGGACACCGAAAGAGACCCACTCAGGTTGCAGAGATGATGTCCAACGTGCACAACCTTCTCCAAGAGGCATGGCCAGCACGAGCACATCTTCGGAGTATCCACACGGCTATGATAACCACCGGTTTTATAAAGGAGTTGATGGCCTGGCTTTCGAGCCGGGCTCGTCCCCCGATCTGCTGTGAATCTATTAGAAGCACTTGTAGCCTGTGGTCAGTCGTTCAACATGTTAGACCGTACACAGTCGGCTCCGAAAGATGCCACGGCACGTCCGTCCGCTAGGTCTGGTAAGGACCTCCCTACCTGGCGGAAGTACTTGATCCTTTTCGTTGTTAGCTGGATGACACTATGCGTCACATTCTCAAGTACCTCATTGCTCGTCGCGACACCAGAAATCTCAGAGGATCTATCGACTACCTCGGAGATCCTGAATGTAACGAACGCCGGCGTACTCATCGCAATGGGATTATCTTCGCTGATTTGGTCACCCCTCAGTGACATATTTGGACGGAGGCTGATTTACAATATCGCCATTTTCTTCCTCTTTGCCCCGTCGATCGGCACAGCGCTGGCGCCAAACATGGGGACGTTCACAGCTATGAGAATGGTTAGTGGCTTCACGGGGACCTACTTCATGGTCGCCGGACAGACGGTGATTGCCGATATATTCGAGCCCGTCGTTAGAGGCAGAGCGACTGGCTTTTTTATGGTTGGTAGTGTGGCAGGTCCCGCCTTCGGTAAGACTTCTTCGATCGTCTATTTCTCAGGCGGTCAACTCACAGCAAACTCTAGGTCCCTGTATTGGCGGTATCATAGTCACATTCAGTAATTGGCGAGCAGTCTACTGGCTACAAACAGCAATGAGCGGCCTCGGCTTCGTGCTTTCGATTCTGGTTATTCCCACGATCAGGAGAGAGACCGACTCAATCGAAGATGAGAAGAGGTCCCCATGGACGGCTTGCACAGTTCTTGAAAGATTTAATCCTCTTAGAGTCTTCAAGTTGTTACTTCGACCCAATATCCTTCTCGCCGATCTGACTTGTGGGCTACTTGCCTGCACCCAATATGGTTTACTCACATCAGTGCGACATGTCATCAACCCCCGATTTAATCTCACCACGCCGCTTGTTAGTGGTCTGATCTATATTGCTCCGGGTGTGGGATTTTTCGTGGGCAGCGTCGTAGGCGGGCGATTATCCGACCGCACCGTCAAGAACTATATTGTAAAGCGGGAGGGTACGCGGCTGCCAAAGGACCGACTAAACAGTGGTCTCGGTGGACTTTTTATCGTGCTCCCGATATCAATGCTTCTTTATGGCTGGAGTTTGCAGAAGGGTTTTGGTGGTTTGGCTTTGCCCATTGTGGCAGGCTTTTGGGTCGGTGTGGGACTCATGGGGACGTTCAATGCATTGAACACCTACACTGCAGAGGTTTCGCCAGCCGAAAAGGCCGAGGTGATATGTTCAAAATATATCGTGCAATACATCTTCGGCGCTGCCTGTACGGCTGCTGTAGTGCCATTGATCGACGCCATCGGCGTCGGTTGGGCGTTCACACTGTGTAAGTGCCAATGACCAAAATACGGCTTCTGAATGATGCTAACAATCTCCTAGTCGTTGCACTGGATATCCTTGGAGGCGTACTGGTGCTTTTTGTTGCCCGGCTAGGGCCAAAGACATGGGTTTGAGTTAGAAATGCATGATACCCAAATATAGACTGAGTGATATAGACATGAATTTACGACAATTTAGGAAATGTAACACTATTCCTCAACAATTGATTTGACTTGCTGGCTTTGGCACGATGGAGCGCTAGCGGCCGCCCACTGCTCACTGCTTCCTAAGCATTTTGACGTCCTAGTCCTCAGCCCTATGACTTCCCCTACTTCCTAAAAAGAAGGAAAAATCATGAATTTAGTTGGTTTACTTGCGCTTCTATTCCAGGAAATTTGTTCAGGGTGGTTAGTCAGTTCATGATGGGTCATTGGTTCGAAGGCCCTTTCCCGTTGGTTCCTACGCCATTCGCTGCTCTTCCAGCAGGGGAGAAGCAAGATGTCTGCAATGAGACCGCAACAGGTAAGTGTGCATCGCCGGCAGCCAAAAGTCCCAAAGGGGCAATCGCTTACAAGGGAAAAAGAAATGGCATTGGCCCACAACGTCCTCATCAGGGGCTTGAATTCAATTTACCATCAGGCACAATATGTCAGAGCTGAGGACCAGCGAGACTTCGTTGGCTACGCTAAGAACTTTGTGACCGTCTTGACGGTCCACCACGACTGTGAAGAGGAGTCGTTTTTCTTAGCAGTCGAAAAGATGACGGGCGAGGTTGGAGTCATGGAGCGAAACGCGGAACAACACCAGGTGTTTCATGGTGGCTTAGATAGCCTGCAAAACTACCTCACGCTGGTGGCAAATGGTGCAGAGGTGTACGATGGCGACATCATTGTAAGGATTATTGACGGGTTCGGCACGCCTTTGTCAGAGCACCTCAGTGAGGAGGTACAGTCCCTCGTAGAACTCAAAAGGTTTGGTCCTGAGAGGATGAAAGGTCTTGCAAATGCATTGAAAGCCGAAGGGCAGGCCAACTTGGTAAGTCTATGCTGCATCAACGTGTATATGATATTCCCTTACTAAGGCTCGTGGCAGAAAAAGATTGGCTTGCTAGGAGGCGTGGTCTATGCATTTCTCGGACACGATGCGACGTGGGAGAATGGTCTGTGGGCCGACTTTCCTCCTACGCCACCAGGATTGAAGCCATTGGTGATGAAAGGGCTCTATTATTGGCACTCTGCATGGTGGAAGTTCTCGCCAGTAAGTCATTCCTGATGTTTTGTCTTTTTCTCTACAATGTTCTCCGACTCTAGATTTACCCACGATTTCCTGCATACCTGTGATAATTTTTGTCGTTTGTTTCGGCATTTTTTCAAATCAACTCAAAGAAGTTATAGCTGACTCGGAATGTTGCAGTGCGACCAGAACTTTATGCCCAGATCTAAGCCATATGCAAGTCCAGAATAGAGGCTCACTCACTACCATCATCGTCTAGTCATCATTGGTGATTTACATCACAGATCCCAATCGAATTAGAACTTACAAATTCTGTTGCATAAGATTGAGTATATCAAGATGTACAAACCTGTAGGGACTAGACATCACGTTACGCGATTGAAAGTGAGGGTAATTTCTAAAAGCATTGATTTTGATTCTAAAAAAATACAAACATGTACGCTAAGACTAATACCGATTAACAAGAAACAATCAACTATTTCCCTGGTGTCAAGCAGTCACGCTCACCTCCAGAGGTCCTTCGGGCAAAAAGCTAGCAGCCACATTGCATTGCCGGAACAATCTGACCTCATCCTCTGCGAATGCACCGACGACCGAGTGAAGGACCCCACGGTTATGAAAGAGCACAAAGTCTCCTTCCTCCCAATCGTGAGCATACACCATCTTGGGTGCAATGCCCGGGCGTTGCAGACGATAGACAATCTCGCGGACCTTTTCCAGATCATCGATAACTGTGCCATCCTTCAGATGAATCTTTCGAACTGCTGAAGGATGCACTTGGACGGCAAGCTTTCCGGTAACTGGATTCCTCCAGCACATCGGTAGGATCTGAATCTTGTCCTCCTCGATTGGGGGGAGCTCGCTCATAGGGATTTCCTTGCCCTGAGAGATCATGCCCAGGCCGGTAGATCGTGCTTTGGCGGTTGACATCCAGATGTACGGGTGTGGAGCATACTCAATCTTGGAGGTGCGCACAAAGTCTTTATCTTCATCCGAGAGAATATCGTACATCGAGTATCCAGAAATGAAGGCAGTCGTTCCGAGAGGGACGTCTAATTCATCACCGGTGCCGTCATCGTAGCGACACGTTTGGCGCCGGCCGCCGGGGACTTTCACTGCGAGCAGCGTAGTGACGACAGGTGGAGCTAATCCATATAAGGCAGCATCAATGTGCCATCGATAGAAGCGGGAGTAATCTAGGTCATCCTCTGCGGGAACAGATGTTGCATGAAAAGTTTTATGGTGAGGATGTCGAAGCTGGATGTTCTTGAGACCCTCGTACTCGGCCACACGACCATTGCCAATCACCTGCACCTGAGGCTGATGGGGGATTGTCTTAAGATCGGGATGTAGTACGCTGCGCTTGGCATCAATAGTCTTGCCGTGGCCGTATGAAGTTGCGGCAGGGTCAAATCGGTTGGTCAACTCATACTGAGCCTTTGGCGATACGTGACTTTGGTTCTTAAAAACCACCACTTGGTTTCTAAACAGCGCATCGCGAATAACGTCAAAGTCGGCGTCTAACAGAACATCAGCCCCTGTACACGTCGTCGGAGAAATAATAGCTTACCGAGGAGGTTACCGATTTCACGGGTGGTCTCCCATTTTACAACATCATCAACTCATCATTTATTTGGTTGTTGGTTTCTTACCAGTAAGGTTCTCGATGTCTGCATTGCATACTTTGGCACCAAAGTTGACACCTGACGTCTTGGGGAAGACAAGAGGTTCCACGGTGATGCTAGACATTATGAGGTTCGTTGCTGTGTGATAACGGAAATTGCCTATAGTCTGGGTTTGTGGAATCTAGCGGCGGCGGTGTCCAGTGTCGCAAGGATTTTGTCGAGATGCTTTGATCTCAAACCGAGAGTGAGGGTTTGTTTCTTATATCTTGTTCAGAAGAACAATACCCGCTCACAATTTGCGGTTATGCGCGTTCGGGCTGTGGCGACTGATTGCCGGAAGCGGCCGCCGAGGCAGAATCGAAGTCGAAGAAAACGGCCTCGGAGGTATCAGAAGCAATTACCAGCCAATACAAGGGTCGCAAGTTATCTTGTGTCTTTGTAAATAATATCATGGACAACTGCTGGCTGAGCATACTAACCTAGTCGCAATACACTGGTGCAGGTATGGAATCGTTATCCTAAGCTTATCGTTAGCTTCGGGCGAGTTGCGAAAGTCTTCCGCTGGTGTTAGCCCCTATATTCCCACTCTGTCGTCTGGTAATACCAGTAGTGTGCCTTCGTTATGACAGGAATATCTGTGTGCAGTAGGAAATTTTTCATCCGCATTCAGCCGTATCCTGGGTCAATGAAGTGGCTGATATTATTATATCGTCACGAAAACTGTATTCGTTCTATGTATACAGTACGTTGTCTGTGGATTTCACTTTAGGTGTCACATAGAAGCACAGATCCGCCCAGTATGAAACTAATGAAACTAACGATTGCAATCCTATCCTATATTTTATTTGAATTTCTAGATAGCCTGACATAAGTGATAGAGGCGCAGAACAACGACGACGAAAAATTTAGCATCATAGTGTCTAGAAACATAGTTTTCGAACCTAAGACATTCTTTTTCGGGGCTTTACAGCAATCCAGGTACATATTGGCAGTGGTGAGTGCTGCTCATATTTCAAGCCTTGGCATCTTCTGCCCGAAGTGACGTATAAGACTAGTGCTCGAGGGAGCGACCGGCCCCCGTGCCCGACCCGCAAGCAACGCACTTTGCCAAGACGGAAGTCCACATCACTTGCAATCTTGTTATGGCTCATGTGATCTCTATTTTCTGTATACTATAGTCATTAGCTTTATGCACTGTCTTCTTCCGATGGGTTGAATTGTGCGGCCAAGAACCAGCTACCCCGATGCCACAGCTTCAGGCCTCAATAACCCCATGTTGGGCAAGCGTACATACATCCGTGTGCCGACCACGTATTGTAGCACAACGACTTATGACCGTCTTAATAAGAAATCAGATGGGTTAAACACGAGTTTGTGACTGTGAAAAATCGGCGAGACCTTATCCAAACTCCGGAGTGACATCCAAAAACACCTGTACCCGTCCTGTCCTGAAGTTGGTATCTAGCACACCTTTAGAAACCGAGTGCACGACCCAAACTCTAACGTCCACAACATATAGGCGCAGTGTCGAAGTCATGTTTTCGATCGTCGCAAGCTGAGCCCAAGCAGTCTTCTGTATCAATCGAAAAAGATGCATCTTTGAAAACAAGCCCTTCGATAAAATTGCGAGTCAGCCACTGCCATGCTATCGGCGCCTGGCCCGAGGCTTGGTTGACTGCTCTGAGTCATAGTCCAAATTTTGCGGCGTACGGTGCCGACTTCTGCCCGAAGATTCTGGCGGTGGTAGGTGGTGGCGGTCGTGACGACTCCTATGTGCCCTTCCGTCGTCTGCCGGGTGCTGCACTATATCTGCGTCTAAAACTCGATGGATAAGCTCTACATAGTCCTTGGAAGTCGCTGTTCCCAACGAACCACGATGGCTAGATCCGGCATGGCTCGACGCCTCCACATTTCCGGCTCTTATGGAGGCAGGTTTTCGCCGGCCATCGATTGACACTAGTTCCAAATCAGCATTCATAAAGGTCAGCACGGCCTCGGAGCAGTCGCACCTAGATCCTCGGTTGAATTGTCAGGATCATAGCTATATTCTGGATGCCCAACATGCTTCTGGAGCTTTTCTTGAACTTCGCGTCCAATGGCGAGGTCAGTCTCTAAGCCGGGCCGGATGCGAAACACGCAGTCCGGAACGCGATACACTCGTCCACGGTCGTTTACGGTGATTGTGTGCCTCAACTCAACTACGACCTTGGATTTTGAAATCTCTTTCAACCCACACCGCTCGACAATCGCCTGGGAGATGTAGCTCGTGTTTCCGTCCCTCTTCGCCGACCTCATCGGTTTCGAGTCATCATTCGGCAGGATTATCGCAATTGTGTTTGTCTGCGTTGAGGACGTATAAGCTGAGGAGCTACGGCGTCTGTGCTGCAGCTAACTTACTAGATCTTCCAGCGCTAGAGTGCTCAGGAGCCCTCCGTCTGTCAAAGACGGGGCCGACGTTCGCGAGCTCCTGCTCGACAGGACTTGTGACCTGCTATCAGTATGGGATGTACTTGCGGCCGCAGATTGACCACTGGCGGATCCATCGTATAGTGCGCGGTAATAGTCTATGCAGTCGCTAATGTAGAAGGGACAGACCTCACGCCCCTCCTTAAGCACAACGGGGAAGGCGGATACGCGGGTGTGCATCTCTTTGAGGTTTGTCTTGGGATCAGACTGGATGCGCCTGGCAATTGCGGTCTCGATGCTGTCAAGGACAGTGCCTTCATTCGCCTGGCCCGGAGTCTGATCCTCTCCTATCTTCGTAGACGGATCCCCCAGACGAGGAGGGCGTGGAGACTCGACGACATCTTCTACCGAAGAGTCCGGGTCCTGCTCAATCGCTGGTCGGGGCGACAGACTCATTTACGTTGGCGGTAAGACCACCGGGGCTATGGTGGACCTCGCTCGATCGATGTTACAACAGGAGCCAGTTGTGAGCGAGTGCGGCAGCGCAACATTCTCGGGGTTGTTGCGCCCTGGGCCTGTCTGCGGAAGGAAGCTGGAGACAGCGGTGTCCAACGGGAGCACCTGTCTTTCTACGACGGGAGCAACTGGAGGTGGGATGTTGGTCTCGGAAGCGACTTGAAGCAGCGCATATACAGCGCGCGATGGGTAGACTGAATATCAATGCTGGACGTTGCACAAGATGGATCAGGACAAGGGCCGACGACTACAAAAGACGACACGACATTCCGGCGGATCTTGGGAGGGCGGTGATGAACGACGGCCAGACGTTTCGCGATGGGTGGGCATAGATGCGGTATCGTGGTCCAGGTTGGCAACCCGACGATCGGATTGGTCCAGGTCCAAACCAGCGATGTAGCTGATGGTCATGGTTGACTGGAGCGAGATTGGGCGCACCCCGCGGTGTCCTGTGCATGCTTCCAAGTGCCTGGCTTCTCTGGCGTCGCGGGGCACATTCAAACGATGCGTGCTGTCCCGGCTCGTGACGCGACCTGCAGCCGGTGGACCGTAAGTCAATTGGGATCCGATAAGCTGCGGATGACTCCTCAGACATGTTCTGCTTTTTCTAAGGCCTTCCTTCCCCGGGGTAAGCAGCTCGAGTTCAGCCCATCGCAGCACTTGGTTCGCATGGATCCCTCCCTAGGCCCATGGGTAGGGTCCCAATTTTACCGGTACCTTGTTCGGCCCCACCGTGGCTATCCTTCATTTCGGTATCCTCTGGAAGGCAGAGACGTCGCTATCTAAACCATCGTGCTGCATTCTGGGCGTTTACTCTCGACTGCCTACCTAGGGTACCCAACCTACATAGGTGTCTATTGACGTTGGTATGTACCTACCATATACAGAGCATCCCACTTGGTGTGACTGGTAAGTCCGGTCTTTCGCTTATCGCAACGAGTCTCTTTTCTTCCCGGACGAGCTGCCCTTCCTTCTCGACTCGTCAGCAGGTCTTTGGCTCCGCGCGATCACTTCGGCCGATTGCTTTTCATGCTCTCTTGCGTTCTCCTCCATCTGACGTTTTTGGTCCTTCTGTGTACCTGTCAGCCAAGAGAATTTCACGCAAGACAGACAGACAACACCGGTTGGTGCCATCGCCCTCAAGTATAACACTACTTACAGTCATCTTCGCAGCTACGAACATGCACGCATCTTCAATCTTCGGCGCATCTGCACAGACCTCGCTCGCGCGTCCATACTTGCCCACGAACTCGTCGCCCAGCACCAACTGGATTGGCGACCTCTGAGGTGCAACGAAGAAGACATCCTCGAGACTGTTCTTCTTCCTTCCATACCACGTTACCCGAGCGCGTTTCGCACATGTGAATGTCTTGCCGTGCATGTCTTGGAAGGATCTCGGCTTGCAGTCCTCCACCAGGGAGTTGAGTTTACAGCTCCTGATCACGTTGGGGTGGATCCAATTGACTGGCGTCCCTGTGTCCTCTTTCACTCTCACGTCGTATTCCCTTATTCCTCGCTTGCTACTAACAAGAATGACCGCCCACCACTCAGCGTTGCCGTCACCACGTGTCTGACTAGTGCTCTCAGAACTATTGGTATCCGCCTTAGACATGTAAGTTCCCATACAGGTCAGTATCAAGAGCTCACGGATTACCCACCATTTGCTGAGACTTGCCATGCTCTTTTGCTGAGACAAGGCCGAGGTCCGTCGCAGGGGGTCGGGTTGTCGACGGCGCCAACGCTACGTCTTCGGTCAATGTCTGCGCAACATCTCCGTCCTCCGCTCTAAGCTCTAAGCTAGAAGTTTTCTTTCCACATTTATCGACTGGCATTGTATCGCAGAAGCAGTTGACTGATTTTTAAGATTGGTTCGACTCGAGAGATTTTACGCAGTTATCACAGCCGTCCGTGTAGTCAAAAGATTTTATTGCGCCAGGATAGTAGACACGAAAGCCAATACGAGATGGGCTTGTTACCTTTATCCCCTCCAAGGTGTTCTCAAATATGGCTATGCTGCCTGGCTGAGGCATACTTGAGGCTCTGATGCCTCGTGCGGCTGCAAATCATGCAGTAAGGCTGCGTTTCCTCTACTCGTATCTACACCTGCACTGGTCTGGCTCTGGCTCAATTTACTACCTTTAATTGGGACTTCTTCGAGCCGAGTCTGCCTAACCAAAGTAGTTTGCGTGTGGCGCTTTCTTGGGTTGGGAGGGTGCAAACGGCATCTAAATGGCTGCATTGTACATGACGGGTTGCATTTTATGCAAGTCATATGTTAAAGACTCAATGACAGGTAGCCTCCGTATTGGTGCCCAGAATACTCCCCAGATTATGGTAGGCTATGTCTCTAGAACCAGACTCCAGAATTTAGATCGATCGCACCTATCAACCTACTACATTTTCTTTCTCCTCGTCTTGAAAGCGCCATGGAAGGATATTGCAAAGTTGCCCGCTTCATGGGCAGGCAAGACGAGTATGCAATTTTCCGACGATTCAAGGCGCTGAATGCCCAGAATTTGTTGTACCTTCAGGCTGAGCTTACCCATTTAGAGGCCCAATTGCACAGCCTTGCGCAACGAAACGGTGCCGACCGGGTCGTCTCCAGTAAAGATTGGTGGTCACTGTCCCACAGTGAGGAGACGGACGATTCTGAGCACTGGGACAAAATTGTGGAGATCCGGGGGAAACTTGAGCAGTATAGTTCGTTAACGATTTATGCGAGGCTATTGTAAGCTCTACTAATACTCGAAAACCACTTTGCAGATGATACGATCCTCAAACAAGCTCAAATCGCAAAATTCGGGCCACCTGCAGTATACGATCAAGAGTTTTTCCGTTCATGGCTTGCGCGACCGGATATGGGCAATTTTCCCCTGCTAGGTCTTGACCAAGAATGCTACACCGAAAAACACGACGCAGACCTGGTCGCACTTACTTCACGGCCTGCGCCAGACGTATTCTCCCGATGGTTCACCTACTGCGTAGTCCCATGGTGGCATCATGTGGTTGGCGAGAAGTTTAAAGTATGCAGACCCGCCCCCTCTCCGCCGTATGCAACCAGTGTGTGAAGACGTTCACAGAACCCAGTTGAGGACGGGCTAGACGAAGGTGTATACCGTTACGAGAACAGCATTCTCGCAGCCACAGTCCGCGTCATCACGACTGTACTGGCTTCGCTATTTCCAGTATGCTCTGTCACCGCTCTATACTTTATAGAGAGCAACTCTGTCCGACTCGCCTCTGTGATTGTGGCTTCTGGTTTCTTCGCGCTAGCCTTGGCATTGATGACCAATGCTCGGATGATTGAGGTATTTGCTGCTACTTCCGCGTACGTCTATAATGACTTTCCCTGATCAAAGCACTGGTTTTACTTACTTTGCCCAAGTTATGCTGCGGTCAATGTTGTGTTTCTTACGAATGTGGTCTACGCAGTATGATTGTCAGAAACATCGTTAACTTGTGTGGCATAAGTCGTTGATAACTGCAATGACCTGGTTGGTGTTCGGAGCAGGCGGTGGCAAATCCAATAAGAGCAACTGCAGTGATAAGTGCAGGGAATCAGGAACTTTATGATCGGTGCGCTAGTAAGGTGTTAGTGGATTGCTTATAGGCTTTCTTTTTTTCTTCTTTTTTTTTTTTCCTCCCCGGAGATGGATGTTAGCATGTCCCTCATCAGGTACGGCGACTCTTAATCCGAGGGCTTCTCGATGCGTTCCTTTTACAGCTTTCTCAGAGCCTGAAACGCTCTGACAACGTTTAGTACTGTTAGTACGAAGAACCTCTCTATTATTGTGGACTGCTGTCGATTGGCACGGCCGGCTACGTACGACAGCCCAGGTCTTGCTCGTCTCATGGTCACCGTACTGAATAATGTCGATTAGGCGCTTTAAGGCGTTTTCGACCTAGCTATCCCGCTGCTCATAGTACTGTCTTCTATTCATTCCTACGTGGCAAAATATATAAGTCGATGTACGTTAAACGCGTCCGCATCCGTTATCTCTTGTCTTTACACGGTCGATAGACTGACAAGACGTTCCATGATTTATTAACCAACCGGAGTAAATGGTCACTTGTCACAATCAAAATCTAAATGTAGCAAATTTGAATACTTTAATTAGGTTAACAATTGTCCTTTGCTAAACTTGAGACTTAGTGAGTCTTGCCTGATAATTTATCTGTTATACAAAGCCGAAGTAGAAATCATATGTGCCCGAAAAGAGTAACTTTCATCTTTGCTCCAAGGGAAACATTAAATACTGTACAATCTAGTTGTTGATATTCTTTCAGGTAAACCCACTCCAACAGCGAGATATGATATTATTGGCTTGAGGCATATACCTCAGGCATAGTGAAAACATCTTCCTTAGGTTGGGAAACACGAAACAGGCGGCCGAAAGGCACGAATAAGTCAAGGATACAGCAGGCTCTTGCATACATGGCACAGCATAAGTGGATATTCATACCAGATACCGAGGTTCGAACTCATAATCAAGGCAATGGTTAGGCCACTTGCGCCCGATAGAGCGTAACCGGGTGTGGTATATAGGAGGCAACGCCAGTACAACGAACAGCGAGAATCGATGGCCAATCAGACGAGCGCTTTCATGAACCCATCTTTTCACTTCCAGCATCGGTCATCGCCAGAGCCCGCAGACCTGCTAGATGACACTGATTCAGCAACGGTCCCCGTCTTGGGGGCTAGTGGAGAAGATGAGACACACTGGTTCAACGGGATCTTCGAGGCTGATTAAGCCAACCTCGACTGCGCACCTAGGACAACTGAAATTCTGAAACTGGTCCCAGCCCTGATGACGATGTACGGTATAATACCGGAGGCTGCCTTAGAAAAACAGCTACGATGGCAGCCATACACCATTAACATCAAAATTGTAAAATTATATAGTGAGATAATAAGTGCAAGGGTTCATGGGCTTGTTTAGCGGGAGCTTGACCCTACTACATCCGACGCCGATATACCTGTTCCTCCCAATAGAAGATGTAAAAGCTGGACGCAAACATCAGCAAAACATGGCTATTACGACTTCGGCATGTATCACAAGCCAATTGCTTTTCGTCGACGTGTTGGCCGAGCAAGCGGGAAAAGAAGTGGCGCGGCGGCGGCGCAGCAGTGATAGGGCAGGGGGTCTCCTGCCAATAAATTCCATGGAAGGCTGTCTATGCCAGCACTAACCCGGATTTATTACCAATCATGAAGATTTCGCAACTAACCACTACTCCGCAGTTCTTAGTTACTCGATGAAGGATGATACGATCTGTAGAGTGGCTGCTATACCTGGTCCAAGTTCTCTGTCTCCGCGGCGTCAGTGCCGGCCGCGTCCTGATCAAGTCTACCACGCGACAGTTTTTCAGCTCCAGCCCCGTGCCGCTGTACGATATATTTCGTAGATATCGGTTCATTGGCGACTAGTATTAGTTAGCCTAATATAGGTAGGGATCCGAATCGTTGGGTGTATTAGGGAAGTATATAACACAGCTCCGAAAATGGGGATGACTGCGTGTGGTGTATCCAAAGAATTCCGTGCTGCAGCACCTCGGTTGTTTACTGATTCTATCGCGAAACAGATACAAGCGATTATTTCGGTAGGCGTGAAAGAAGAAAAATCTATATTAATGGTACGCGGGTTTTAAAACAATATCTACTCTTACTTTTCCGCTCTATCAACGATCTACTCAACGCCTCGACCCTCTCTAATACATTTGCAATAAGAACATTTCTTAGAGCATAGGATGTACCAACCTGGATTATTGCGCACTATGGCACAAACCATCTTCAACTGAAGGACTCATCTCAGCCGGACTGCAGTTTTCCATTGTCTATCCCGATCATCTCGAGTATGTGGTGGGCCTTTCAGTGTATGGGTAAGTGTATGCTAGTCCTTGAATCACCTCATAAGCAAAAGTCCGTCATGCTATAGCCCCAGCCTTCTCAATTTCTCCAGCTCAGTATCGCCAGCGCCGGGTGTATCCACTACATCGCGGTCTCGTATTAAGCCCTGGTATGGCCTCGGTGGCGGTCGTTCCCATACGTCTCGGTAGATCTTATTGTTGACCACGGCGAACTCTGGATCAATACTGACCAGATTCTCCGATGAAAATAAGAGCGGCAAGAGGCAGCTGGGAGCTGGTATCTTAGGGTTCGACGTCTCACTTAGCGGCACTGGTGGCGTAGGTAATAGTAGGAAGTCTAATAGACTTTGCTGTTGAGCGTCGGTCAGCTGGTAAATTAGGTATGTGCGCTTCGGGCGCGACGACTGTAAGTAAACATTGGGTTCGTAGCCGCTGGCGCCGTTACCCCCGTCTTTAGTACGATCAAACAGTAGGACTCCTCCCAGAATCCTGTCTTCGGCCCAATAGCCAACCATATCGGCCACTCCATTGGGATACTGCTCGTATGCTGTAAAAGCTGGGTGCGTAAATAGAGTAGGCCACGGCTCAACCGTTTTAAATATATTGTTATCCATAGGGACGCTCTGCCATGACGTGACATTTTGAATGCTAAGACCATCATTATCCCAATAATGCTGGTCATGAAGACGGAAGTCCTTTCGAAATAAGTATATGGCGGTCTTGTGCACGGCTACAGCAACTAATTCTAGGATTTGTCGCCCAAATGCCAAAGACCCAGGCGGAGAGGCTCGATAAGACCGCAGTAGCTGTGACATAGGTTAACAATTTTGAGATTTCCCATTCTCAACAAGGTGTTCACAGTATGAGAAAATACTTACCTTATCGTCATATGATAGCCAGGACAAGTCCAGACTATTCTTCAAAGAGCTGGCCTTTTCAATCGAGCCTGGGCAGAGACTCTTATGAGAGTTGATGGGGTGTTTCTGACACAATCTGTGCTGATATCGGTTCCAAGCAACGTCGCAAAGTGGAAGGCCATCTATGATCTGAGCATATGTTTCAATGGCAAGATCAGTAGTGAGCACTTGATGAATTGCCTTACTAAGCGCGTTGTAATGGTTAGGGCCGAGACTGTCTGCTGATATTGCGTCCGAGTCTGACATGGTAGGCCGTGGAAATGAAAGCGACTTCCGGTGTGGGGTTTTTATCAAATGTGAGATGAGCGGATTGAGGAGGGGAAAGAAAGAATGATGAGAAGAAGAGGAACTCAAAATGTAGCGGATGGCCGGAAAGCTGCGGTTGCGTGGATCGATGAACCAAGCATAGAAGCAGTTTTAGAAGTGCTTGTGGAGCCTTATTACGGCGCAACCACTTTAGGGGAGCGAGCAAAAGGATACTGATGCAATCTTGAACTTTCAAAAAATCAGCGTTTTGGTTTCGAGACTTATTAAATGTTGTATTTGTCGTCAATCCAAACCTATGCACGTATGGCCCCCCACAGAAGATAGTCACAATCGAGGCTTTGAGCCGCAATCTCATCTGATTGGTTGTGGGAGTTTTTCCATTTCTGCCTACAGTATCGATCGTCTGCTTAAGCCAGGTTTGCCACGTGTTTGTGCGTTCGAGCTGAGAAGCTCAATAAGCCAAGAGCGTTATTGATTGTGAGCTAATCCCATATTATTATGCTCGCCGGTCGGCCAAGATATGGAATTTGAAATATGGGTTTTCATGCGAGCTATACTCAATATAAGAGCATGTGGAGGATCCAGAAGACTTGTAAACGTTGTTGACAATAGCACCGTCTATCTCTGAAGACTTCTACGGCGATGCGCCGAAAGTTGCCGTACACTTAATAGATCTAAAGATTAGAAGGCTGGGCATTGACCGAAGGTGGCGCAGACCTCTCCGACCTAAATTATGGTTCCCTTAGTCCAAATGGAATAACTGCGCCTTTTTTTGAATTGGCCATGTTGACACGGTATGATATATAGAGAGACACTAGAAGAGAAGCATCCAAAGATGATCTCGAGCATAGCGGACCTCGCGACGCACGTCACGCATAGGGGGAGTATGCCGAGGAGGAGAAAGTTAAACTATCTAATTGCCCATACTTATTAGTAGCAGTTAGATCCGCACTCTTCTTTAGGAGCAACTTCATCACCTTTCGCCCATTTCTGCCATTCCTCGCAATAATCACAGCCACATCTTCTTCTCTAAAAGCAGCTCCAATATCGGTAGGCCACTTTCCAAATTCCCCATAACAAGCCTTGAGCAACTGTTAAATCCGCCCTCGCTAAGCTATCCTTTATGAGAGCAATAGGCAAGGGCGCAGATGCCGAATAAGTTTTAATAACATCCCAGCTTTGTTCTTAAGGCTGCTACTGCTCCATTGCTGCTCTTGCACTCGTTTCAAGCCTAGTCCGTTCGTTCCTGAACTCGATATGTTCTCTATCAAGTTACCGCTTAGTGGTCGTTTGTTGAGTTGTTCTTTGCACAGATGAGAACCTGCCTGTGTGGTTGGTAGCATTTGCACAATCTCTATATCCCGTATCCGAAGCAGCCTGCAATGCGTTGCCATACTCGCCCGCCGCCTTGAGCATTGACATCAGCCTTGGCTTCTATTAGCATCTGCACAATTCCTTCATGTTTCTTAAATACAGCGGCCTGTAGCGCATCACCGAAGAAGCCAACCTTAGCAATAACATGCTGCTATACTTTCTACACATGTGCCTAATAACTCCGGATCATAGAACAAGGGCGAAGTCTAGTCCCATAATCAGCTTCAGTTTCCTTTCGATATAGTCAGCCCCAGATTTTGATCAGCCAAATAGTATACCAACCTCAAACTTGTCGTCCTAAAGAGGTCGAGCACATATGATATTAGTTGAGTATAGTGGGGCCTTACAAACTCCCCTTTTCCTCTCGGTTGGTGCACAAGGCTGGCGGCAAAGCTGTCCGCGATAACCCTGTTGTGCTGCCATTGTGAGTTGGACGAGTAAGTGACTCTAGCGTGATTGACAGTGGTGTCAGCATGGATGTGTCTAAGCGCTGAAGCCTCTAAGCAGAAGAAGCACACGGCGGACGGTAGTTTCTGGCAGTTAAGTCGGCCGTTCTAGTCGATTCGATAGATCCCACTTTCAGCCTGTATTATGCAGACCTTAGCACTCTTGCACAACTCTATGAATAGCTTAGAATACTGTATGTAGACTAGCATAAGTCATCACGTCTTAGATTTGTCATTGCTTCGCATTTCCCTGATCAGCGGCTTCTAGCCACGTCCTACCACGACAGCGATACCTAAGCACGAGTATTGATTCGTATGAGATGCTCTAGTGGACCGGCCACATCTCAGTGGCCAGTCAATAACTTATGAAGGGTTAGATTCTTCCGATCCAAACAACGATTCCAACCAAATCACAAAAATGATCGAGTACGACTGAAACCCATTCCGACTAGATGAAAACATTACTATAGATGCTCTTCGACTCTCGTCGCGCTTTCCTTTAGCATAGACGTCTACGTTCATGTATACGCAACTGGGCGCTGAAAGGTAATTGTTAGGATAACGAAAGACGAAGACTGACTTCTTGTTTGACTTAATCCTAATGGCAAAGAGGTCAACAACTGGACGTTTGGGTTTGGGGAATGACAGATCTTAACCGTAGGCGCGGATCCCTGGTCCCGTGGAAAGAATGAATTTGATAAGAATTGTTCCCGGAAGGATACTCAGGACGACACGTTGATACCGTACTTCTCATAATCAAAATGTTCCAGGCTTGGTATGCTTTCAGCCCAGCCATCACCAATGTCGCCTAATTGCCAGTCGTCTCCCACTTCAATCATTCCCGTCCTCCTGGTTAATATATCCTTCTGCCTTGCTCCATACTCGACTGCCATATCTGGATGCGGTACCCATATGATCCTCATCCCAGCCCTTCTTCCAGCTTCCACCCCAGTCACGCTATCCTCGAACACCAAACATTCGTTAGGCATGATTGCCTTTTCGCTAGAGTTTCTCGTTGAGTTCAAGGCCTGCAATGCGACCAGATATATGTCAGGCCATGGTTTACCCCGATCCTGTCCCACTCGTGGATCATCGCCTAGTACTCGTTTGTCAGATTGAAAGAAATCAAGCAGCCGTTTTGGTTCTTGCTTTGACGTTTTTAACTTGTAGCTATGGCTGTTTGTGCTGGATGCTAATGCCAGCTCAATTCTGTCCCCAGCAAAAACACTACGTGCACGACTAAGATTTGACAGAAGCGTCTCCGCACCAGGCAGCGCCTTACAATTCGGGAAATTCAATCTCATCTGTTCCCCCGATTCATGCGCCCACTGCTCGCGGGAGATAGGTAACTCCGCCCAGTCATGGAACGCATCACCATTGGAAGAGTTTGGGACACCCATGAGTTGAGCTCGAATTGACCGGGTAAGAGCAGGTCTTCCATGCTTCTCAAGAAGTTGATTCATGGATAGGGTGAGTATGTCTTCGGTGTTGAGGAGAAGTCCATCCATATCGAAAATGCATGCGCGGATCGCGGGGAAGCTGAACATAGTCTGTTAACTGCGGCTTTATTTACGATAATGCCGCGGTGTCGATAATCAACCATGTACGTGCAGGTGCCCCAAAGGTCTTGTTGGAAGATCACTTACTTCGTTTGTGAAGGAGTCATGAGTACAAATGAAGACTATCTTTGGCTAACGGCACTGGATGTAAAATTAATGATGAGATCTGGCCTGGGATTCATTCGTGCGTGGGTGGTTTGCTTTCGCCAAAGACCAAGGGCATTGACCAATCATTTTTAAGAGGTGTGGAAGAGGGACCGTTGACCAGGAATGATGATTGGTTGGCATGGGCGCTTATAAAAAGCTCGCCAACCCCGTTGAACGCTCATATGCAGGTTGCAGGATTTAGGAAATGGACTGGGAGCCTCCACTGCGTTGGCGGCGAGGGCTTAACTGAGTTCAATAATCTTGTTTGCAAGACTTTGCATGACGCTTTACACCTAGTTGCACTCAGACTTGAGGATCGTAGGTCATAGGGGTATCGGAAAGCTGCAGACTGTGCTAATGGTCTCAGAGGAATACCAATACGCGACCGTGAGCGAGTTACCACTCAAAGGTGGGCTTGAATTTTGAGTTTCATCGAGTTATTGTATTGAAATCAATTAGCTGAGCAATTGAAACTTACGGAATGGCCGTCCAACGAAGCGACAGAATGGCCTCCATATAGAGCAATCGAAGGAACTCACTTCCAGGATTCGAGTGGGTACGTCCTTCAACACCAAACACTGAAATAGGTAAACCCATGTGCTTACCATGTTTCCTCCCCAAAACGCGTATGATTCAATAATGATTTTTCACCGTAGCGACGATATATTGGAGCGTCTTGCAACTGAGCTCTTGCCTTCGAAGGACCTAGTGACAGGGTCAAGCACCGCCTCACAGCAATTAGCACTGTGCGGGTTCGGGGGAATTAGAAATACAGAAATAGCTCAAGTGTTCTCCAGACGCCACACAACTTTCTTTTGAGTTGCTGCGGACGAGATTGCAAAACTCGACCTCGATTACCAACAAATTTCGTTGGCACTAGGACTCGAAGACTCACCCAAGTGCAAGATTAAGGTTGTCATTAGGGGAATTGTGAAAGGATGGCTCTCCAGTCCTGGAATGCATCTGTCGGGGTCGGATGAGTTCGTTCAACCCGGAGCAGAAACGACCTGGCTGCCCATACACGACAATGCTGATGACCCGATGATTCTGGCTGACTACTGGCCGCAGGGCAGTGGATTGATTCTTGTCACTAGCCGCGATTCGTGAGCCAAACCCGTATTTACGAGAATGCCTTCCGGCCTGGATATTGGTCCACTTACACAGCAAGACAGTCTATCTCTGTTCAATCAACACACTAATTTTGTCAATGAATCAGATGATGACATAGCGCGGCAAATATCCGATGCACTTGGTGAAGTTCCTCTGGCCATCTCCCAGATGGCAGGTATAATCCGTCGACAGGATCTCACCTTGGCGGGGTTCCTCGAGCTATATGCGGACCATGAAGAACATGCCGATCTTTATAAGCCAAATCTGATTGAATTTTGATCATATATGGCCTCTCTCTCTCTCTCTCTCTCCACCCTGTCTGGGAATTTGAGAAACTGAAGCGTCATGCTCGATAGCTGTTGGAGCTGATTTCATTCCTTGACCCATATATCACTGAAGAAGGCATGCTGATGGCAGCATCAGTGGAGCTGCTCTCCGACTGCACGCGTTTAAGGAAGAGTAACTATATTCAGGGCCGAGCTGATCTCTTGCAGTCGTCGCTAGTCCAACGAGATAAGTAAAAGCAGCAGCAATCTGTACATCACATCGTACGAGATACAATTTTGGCAATAATGGATGTTGAGAGGAAATGAGTCTTGTTTGACAAAGTGGTACGCATCCTTTGGGCAGATTCGCCATCAGCTATGCCCAAGCTGTCGAAAGAGCCAGAGCTACGTATACCGCGCTTTGAAGTTGTCTTTGGTCTGTCAAATTGGACTTGCATTGATCCTGCGATTCTACACTACGCATCGCATGTGCACCTTTCGAATATCTTCTGTTATTTTGCACCTTGTTCAAGTATTGACTTGGGCGCTAGTGCATTCACTTGGGGCCAAATTACACTTGAGAGAGACTGTGCTTCTATGCAACAACGACCTTTGCTTCTCGAGTCCTTTCGTAGAAATTTATCTGTAACCGCGGCCAATATACTGAAGAAAGAACATCGTCAAGAAATCAAGTTGATGTTTCAATTGTCTTGCGTGGCCCTGACCTGGACTTGATCCTAGACGTGAAATTTCCAAAAGTAGAATCATGCAGAAATGCCTACCAGACAAGTCAGTCTATATAAAACTATAGCATGAGATTTATCTAGAAATATATATATATAAGACCCACTAGTGTAAGGCACGTGCATCAAATCACTCAGGCTAGCTAGTGTCAATTACCGATCTTTCAAAGTTCGATGCGTAGGACCGATCCCATTATCTAATGCTCTAAATAGCCAAGCTTGGCCTTGACTCAGCGAATCACTACCAACCTCAACGGCATGCCAATCGACTAACTCACATCGGACGTCCGAATATGAACAGTAGGGACACCTGCTCAACGTGTAACACAGTATGATAGTAGGATGTCAGGGTAAGGATCCTTTATAAAGGACTTGCTGCCTTTTGAAGAGCCATTCTTAGACTAGACTAGTCGTGCTTCAGTATTTCGGCCCGTCACCAATCAAGGAAGTAGTCGATTCCGTCGCACAATGCTGCTGATCCTACAGCCGCGTGGTAGCTGAATGGGTACTCGAGCAACTCTACATCCCTGAGCTTAGGGCTGTCCTTGACTTCGCCGTAGAAGCGACTCACAAGCTCATTCGTCTTCAATGAACTTAGAAGTGCCTTTCTCTCCTCAAATGCTTCCTGCGTCTCCGTTCTTCTTTTCCGGGGATACTCTTCGAGACTTCCGTAGGCAATTTGGAGTGCTGGCTTCGTTGTGTTGGCTGGCAGCGATCCGTTCTTGAGGGGGCCAAGATGATCAAAGATGTATTCATTGTTCCAGATCAGATACGGTGATGCACTCAGAAAAACATCGAATAGATCCGGGCGCACGAGGAGAGCATAGATGGCAAAAAGCCCAGCGAAAGAGTGGCCGTAGAGGCCGTCCCGGTTGAAGGTTGTATTAGGGAAGTAACTTCGAACCCAGGGGCGGAGAACAGTATCAAGGAACGTAATAAAGGCATCGGCACCGGGTGGTACCCCGACTGGCTCAATCGTCGGGGGGCACGTCGAACATACGGGCATCTGGTAGTCGTAGTATCGTCCGTTTGAGTACGGCGAGTCGGGGATGAGGTCAGGGTATCCGATACTCACGATGATGGTATCCGGTTGTGCGAAATCGACGGGTCGGCGCTTGCGGAAAGCCTCTGTGGCTGTTTGGGCCAGCGCATTGCCATCGAGGACGAACCTGCGGGGTGGTAAGTAAACAGAATTTCGCGCGTATAATCGCATACAACTTACAGGGTGTCGACGGTGCTGTCGGCCTCGGTCGATGTCCAGTTCAACGGCCAGGAGACCTGAACCTGATACGTCCATGTGCCATTAGTGACGTTCCAGTAGGCAATATTTGGGAGCAATGTCGATGGGAAGGAGGTGACGATCGGATTAAACGACCAGGGTCCAATTGACGAAACCCCTGCCATTGTGCAATGAAACGCTCGGCGCAGATGCTTTCTTGACCAGTTCGACGTGATTTCACGGGTACCAGTCGCTACCGCTATTTCAACTCTCCACACTCGCGATGGCCAGAATCTGGGGCAAGTAGAAAGAAAGGGTGGATGTGCGCAAAGTCGGCATTTCAGGTCTTTGGCAGAGGACTGACTATAAGTGCATTTGCTGCACACGAGCTACGCCGTACATACCAGGTACATACGCTCGGTGCACATGAGTACCTACCAATTACTGCAGATCGGTAGAGTGTCCGGGCTGCGAAGCCTGGAAGCGAATCTCCATCGCCCCGCTTGCCATAACTACAGTATGTAGCTGTCCAATGGGCCCGTCAGGGGTGCCACGCCACATCACCGCGTTCGAGGTCATTCGTGAGAATGGACGCCAAGTCGACATGGGTTTCGCCAAAGTCTAATCCAGTTAGCTACCCGCCGACCCGTGGTCCGTACCTGGTGCCAAGGCTTGTGAATGTTTACTAAATGCTGAATTATTCTATTTAAGCAGCCCCAGCCCCAGGTACGCTACTATCTTCTAGAGATTAAGTACAACATCATTTATTATAAGCTCCGATATATGGCATGAGATAGCATGGATAGAAGTGGTATATTCTAGAAACTCTGGGTCACCATCATCGCCTAATGAGCATAGCCAGGACACACGTCCCTATTCTCCCTCTCTTAGAATCTGCGCCTGAGATTATGCCCCTGTATTCTGAGTTTGTACATTGGCTTTCATAAACAGATATGAATAATAGTAGTATTGATGGGCTGTGTCTACCTGGCCTGCTTCTATGAGGCGAACGTGATTCTACCCTCAGATCCTGCCCCTAGGATGATGCCCATACTTGCACCCTCCCTGTTCAGGTTTATATATGTAATCCATAAGGTATCCTACCTTATCACATGGGAACGCACCTCGAGTGACGAATTCAATAAAATATTCAAGCTGAATTCTGTTGTCGACGTTCGGAAGGCGTTTCAAAACCTCGTCATGGACTACGCTTCCTAGTTCCGATAACTTTCAAGAGCACCACCTCAATCGCAACGTGTGTGTTAATCCTTTTGCTGATTACTATGAGCGTGAGCCTTAACAAGTACTCATCCAGCTTGCTACAAGTCACGGCAAACCTGGTAGCAGCCGTAGGCTAGTAAACCTCATAAAACAGCAATCGGCCAGTCTAAACACTCACCCTCTAACCATGCACTTCAAAAATATATCTTAGGACAAAACCTCTACGGTTAATAGAGTATCTTGGGACTCGCCTTGAGATCATGGTAACCAGGGTCAGGCTCTATAATGATGAGAAAGAAAGGTCCGAAAGAAGCGAATTCAATATTAAGCCACGGAGGAAATGGAGGTCTAAATACAAAGGGGAGGCTTGCCCAAGTACCCCAATGACAAGGTCCCCAACTTTTTCCCAGCCAAAGGTGAACGATGTATTGACTTTTTCTCCTCTTCCGTGACTCGAGTTATCAGTTCTACCAGAGAGCACGTCGTAACGTATATTACCCAATTGCAGCCGGTGACAAAATGGAAGCGGCTTTCGGACATCGTAGTGGACCTCGAAGGCGACTACTTTGACGACGTACCTGTGCTCACTGCCCCGAACAGGAACCTCTGCATTGATTCGAATATTTTGAGCAGCAACAGTAGCAAGCGGAGTAAGTCCACATGGGCCGCCTTCGGACGGGGTTGGTCTTCTGCCTTGAGCTGACATTGTGGTGCTAGGTTTGGTATTCCCTGCCTTCTATGGAAATATACATTTTACGGAGTGGAATAACGCTTTACCATCCCTTCAGAGAGCATGTGTTCTAGAAAGCGGCGTGTTTCGTCATCATGGGCGAGATCCCAAGTCCGTGGGTCGCCATTGGCATTGAGCTGTCATTCGGGTGGCTCGGCGACAACCTTCAGAGCGATCGGAACTACATTCGGACCAAGAGAGTGCTGATATTTGTTTCGGTAGCTCTGTGCTTTATAAGCATTGGAGTAGACTTGAAAATTGTAACGTTGGTGATCTCTGCGCGGCTGTTCGTCATTGTCGAGTCCGTCATCAGCCTGCGGAGCACGCTCATAGGGGTCTGCTAGACGCCGTCATGGATTCAAATGCTGCCGTACGTTTAGCCAAATCTTCCGACTCGCTTCGACGCTTTTACCCGGAACTTTTCATACCGAGAATAAGTGTTCTTGCTCCCGCAATTAGTATTACGATAAGCTAAAACACATTTCATCATTTCATATCATAGTTTTAGCAATTGAATTCTGAATTGCTAGGCTACAACGAGATGAATAGTCCTAACGCACCGCCGAATATTCAGAGCAAATATCTTGCATCAAAGGGACCACTCACCACTCATCCTTGGAAGCGCTCAGTTTACCATTGCCACGTATCGGATCAATCGTGAGCGCTTACAATTGGCAAAGTTGAACCTCAATGTATGGTCGTGGCGGAGGTGTGATGAAATTAGAAACACCTCTGTTAGCATGATGGTTTAATACCAGTCCAGAACCTGATATCTCGAGCGAGCTGGGCAATACTGCCGTCTGTTTTCCGAGTATTGGAAAACTCATCAAGGCCGATGTGGAAAACACGTAGATGTAGCAATCATAAAACCGGAGCTGGCTAGCTGGGATAAAAACGCAATTGATCGTATCAGAAGTAAAATTTTATCGTTCGAAGAAGGTATATACTACAAAGCTAGCCAAGAGATGGACGAGCGTATTACTAAAGTTGTGGTACACGATTCCGTTACGCTGACCTGCAAACTTAGCGCTTCGCTCAATGTACTGCGCTAAAAGATCTTAAAATTGCCTTGAACACCATTTCGAAAGACTTGGGATTATTATACAAGAGAGCCTGTAACGGGATAGCGAACGGCAATAGAAATCATGTGAGAGAAATCATGATATGGCTGAGCCCCTGAGTTTGTATCTTGGATTTGCACAATGCTCGTTGACATCGCTTTCATTGATCAAAGAGTTGACGATGCGATATACGCTTTAAAGTCCTTATTTGTATGGGCACGGTTGTCAATTTAGAAGACAACTTCCGATTTACCCGGGGTGGGGGTATATATATATATAGTTCTAGGGGTATAAATTGTTAATGTGAGAATTAATTCACCCACAACCTGATATCGACCAATTTCAAGAGCTCTTAGGCTATATCCTTGTTTCTTGCCAAATTCTAGATTTAAAAAATTGTTCAAGACCTTATTAATACGTTAATTTAAAGAAATAGGTAGTATAAAAAATTGATTTGTTATATTTCTCGCCGAGTATCCTAAAGTTTTCAGGCACAATAAGTTTATACTTTATTACTTCTCTCACCCTCATGGTGTTCATGGGACCTAGTAGCATGTATATGACCTTCTCTGGCACCTGTGTAGGATTATCAGTATCACATTGGCAATTTATGCCCCTGCGGACTGTAAAAGGCTTGGAGATTTGCAATGGGAGATGAGATATAATGGGGCGCTTCTGGGAGACACATATCGTCCCATAACACCCCGACAGACCGCCAATTCCGGGCCAATATTCGACTGAAGGCAATATTGCACAAGCATGGACTCTCTAGCCCTTTCGTTTGTAATGTGTGTGACCCTTTTACACATAGCCATACAGCCATATGCTCGAATCCATCAGTACCAGGCTTGCATATACATGTCAATTGCTACGGCTCGTGCATGTAAAACCGTGTAGTGATTTTTAAATTAGCAATGATAAAATATCTCGCCTAGTGAACTCCAGATTTGAACCGTCGGCCTGCCCGCCCGACGTTGTCACGCTCACAAATATTCGAGCGTGCTGCTCGCTAGTACTATCACATACTGCCCTATATGGATCCAGCACGATCCGTGAAGGCAGGGGGTAGCGGCGTAAAAAGCCCATTCGGCACATTTTAGGACGGCAGGAATTCACGATAATGGCCTCGTTCAAGGTAATTTGCTGGGCCATTCTGCTCATGGAGTATGTAATAGCTACCTTTACTAGGTAATGACTCAAGCGTTGCAATCTGGACTCATCGCTGATGCGTTCCAGTAGAGTCTGATCTGTCGTTGCCCAAGTATCCTCTATCTTGTCCGTCACGGAGCTGGTCAACAAGGTAATGTGTGGCGTATCTCACTGACTTCGGAGAGCTATAGTAGCACGGACCTTGGGTATTAACGGAACGGGTATCAAAGCTGACGAGAGACGTTGACATCGTACACTTTTGGCCTGATCTCAAAGGCAGGGAGCATGGTACCCGTGCTCAAAGGACGATAATATGCAGTACGGCTTTGGTGGAGCTCCGAGCATGGTAACACCAATCTCAGCCCGGAAGAAAAGGCGATGTCCATCTTAAGACCAAAGCCGCATTGCCAAGGCAGGGTAGGTCGTTCACAATTCATATGTAGTCCTGGTGCTTCAAAAGAAAAAAAGGGAAAGAAAAAAAAAACCAAGGGAGAAAAAGATCCTGTTCCAAACGTAGCGCACACAGATAATTGACCTCTTTTGATCGGGTCACATCGAAGCCACTAAAACCTGCCAGCCAGACAGCATTGTGTTATATGCGCGACGGCACATAATTGTCCGGACTAGCAACAGTCACTACGAAGTTCGCTGTGATTATAATTTAACTTCATTCATTTGTTGGTGGGTCTATCCGGTTCTACACAACAGATTGGTATAGCTTAGCATCTATTCAATCTTGATAGCGACCTTGCCAAAGTGCTTCTGGTCCCACTACAGAGAAAACATGTTAGTAATCGAATATCTCATGGTGGAAAATGTTATTGCTTACCATATATTGATAGGCATCCCGGGCCTTATCAAGAGTAAAAACTGTCTTGTCGACGACAGGACGAATGTCATTCGCCTCAATCGCGGCAACCATGTCTTCCATCAAAGCCTTTGAGCCGACGTACACTCCGCGGGTAGTGCAAATGTTGTTCAAGACCTCGAGGATGGTCGACTTGGGCTTTGCTCCACCGAGGAATCCGATAATGCTAATGACACCTTCAAATCGGATTGCTGCCAAGCTCTGCTCCAGAGTAGCAGCACCGCCGACCTCGATGATGTGGTCAACACCCTGCTCGTTATGTGTGAGGCCGCGAGCAGTCTTGCCCCAGTTCGTATCCTCCTTGTAGTTGATGACGTGGTCAGCACCAAGCTTCTTCAGGGTCTCGCCCTTCTCTGCCGATGATGTAGTTGCAATCACTCGTGCACCTGCGGCTTTGGCAAACTATGTATTCATGTAAGATTACGCATGATACGTTGGGTTACTTCAGGGCGCTTACCTGCAGGGCGAAGATACTGACACCACCAGTTCCCTGTACAAGAACTGTGTCACCGGGCTTCAGGGGCTTCAGGCCGTATAGTGCATTCTGCGGCTGGTCAGCGGTGCTTGTTCGATGAATGAACTAATCTCAGTAGCCAATTCATGGTCTTACCCAACTTGTCAGACCAGCGCAAGTCAATGTGCTGGACTCGATGTGGTTCAAGTTCTTTGGCGAACGAACAAGGCCGTTCTCATTGAAGACTCCGTACTGGCGCAGGGTTCCATCGATAACTCCACCAAGGCCAGTAACAGCTGCTGCAGAAGTGACGGGGCCAAACTGGTGGCCTTGGTTGAACAATGTTACGACATTGTCGCCCTTCTTCCATTGCTGGACCTTGGATCCAACTTCAACGACTTCACCGGCTCCGTCGGAGGCGCCGACCACGGGGAATTTGGTAGGGAAGGGATACATGCCCTAGCGTGCAAGCTGTGTCAGTGCGTCTTTCGTTCTCTGTTTCTCGTCACTTTGGGTAGAGCTCACCTTGGGAATGATGAGATCTCGGTAGTTTAGAGATGCAGCGTGCAATTTGACGAGCACCTCATTCTCGCCAACCTTGGGAACATCTGCATCTTCGTACTTGAGACCATCGAAGTCATGCTCTTTGTCGACAATGGTCCACTGTTTCATAGTAGAGGGCGCCATTCTGTAAATCAGTATAATTCAAAGCTGACCGCGCAGAGTATTCAAAGATAAGACAATTTAATTCTGGTTAGTCTAGATGGACAGCTATCGCAATTGCAACAAGTAAATTCACCGCTCGTGTCTATGTTATATAAGATGGGCAGTCTCGTTCATAATCATCATGGCATGAAGTTTGCCCTATGATTTGTAACATTTTTCTCTTCCATACGCAAATCGGGGTTATGGTCCACCTTGGTCTGCCGTGTGGGCATGGCCATGACATGGTAACGTCAATGCCGTCATGGATGGAGACAGTTGCGGTCGGCGACAAGGGGTAGCCGCACGTGTCAAATCACTAGATACACCTCGAGCTCCATGAATCACGGCATTTGTGCCCGTCATCGCCGCACAGGAAAATAGCTTCTCAAAAGACGACACCCGATCTGCACCATGTAGCTCATGCGATAGAAGCTAAGCAGTCCGACATGTGCGGACGAGCGGACAAGCGAACTTGGCGACTTATAGGTCGCACAAACCCCCGTGCGAACAATCTTACGTCTCTCTTGTGTGTTATTTGATACTCTAGTAACCACATTCTAAATACACATCTGGCAAGTTTGTTTTATTTTATTTCCTCCTTATCGAACTAAACACTCTGCATTGTACACTATCGAAACAGTCGCGAAAAGAAATATTGGTATAATGGGCCCGCTAGAGTAGAGCCAACCTTACTGTATGTAGGTACAATGCATGTGAGGCGCTTGGATTCGTTCGGATGGCACCATGGCCCGACTGAGACACCATCGGCCACGTCGAGCAGTCAGGAACGAAATTCTTAGAATACCTAGTCTTTTGAACCAAGAGATGCAGTCACGACGCAGGACGTTGGACACAAACAACAGAGCAGCTGGATGGGGGGAATGAATTGCCGGCTAGACTAGGTTAAGGCGAGAGAATGGGGCGGACATTGGTGGATGGACCCTTGGTGATAGAGCCGTTGGAATGATTCTAGCTCATCCATTTCTGCTATTAGCGTCGTCAGACTTCCTTGCAGCCGAATTCTGCCCACCAGCCGCTAGCGGGTGGTGATCACACATTCGTACATGCACCCGGACCTGTCTATTCTGCTCAACCTACCATCCAGGTTGTGAAAGTACATCGGTAACCTTTATCTGCCACTCATGCTTACTTGTACACAAAACATGCCACTTCAGCCTGAATATTCGTCGTAACAGTTCAGTGACAGTTCGTGTTCTTGATATATTTGTACCTCATCGAAAACAATCGCAACATCTTTCAGGGATCAATGCTCTTATCTGCCCGTTCGTTTCGGGATTGCCGACTACGAGCACGCTTGCTCACAGATTCAATCAGTTGAGAATAGGCTGTTGTGGCTTTTGAAAAACACACGTGCCTAATTGACTACAAGTAGTTAATATTTCAACAAGGTATATACTCAAGAAGCACCTATAATTTAGGCTCTATGGCACATCATTCAATCCTGCATTTTGCGAAGAGGACGTTGACTAACCTTAGAGCCTCGCACTGTTGCTAAAACATAAGTGATTGGCCAAGAAGTTTCAAGGCTGGTACATATAAGCCCGTGATAGGCCGGCGTAGAGGGAGACAGTCTCACTTATAGAATAAGCAGACGTATACACATCTGTATGGCACCCGTTTCTTCTTCGGGATTTTACAGCCACTCCCACCCCCTCGAACATTTGTAGACAAGCAACATGTCAGTGAACTGGTCGTTTAACGCTGCAAGACACACATCACAAATGCAGAGAACTGATCCCACGGTGGCCCCGTGGAAATGGCTGGCACGTTACTTCAAGCATAGAAGGCTTTAATAATAATAATAAAAAGGGGGGGGGGGGGGGGGGGGGGGGGTAACAAAGATTGAGGAGAATTCTTCGAAACTACTTCGCTCGGAGTATAATCTGGCAGACATGCTGTCTTGTGGTTGGAACATGCGTACAATCTCGCCGCACTGAGTTGCCATAGTGGTAGCCCATATGCTAGCAATACGTCTACCATGATTCGCAGGGCTTTCTTCACAGTTCTTTCACATGATCATTCGTGCCTTCGTTGTCTCTGCTCCGATGATGGAACGCGGCAACAATCTCTTCCACGTTGACATCACAATCATTGGGATGCAAATATGCGGCCACAAGGGTCTTTGACACGGCTTTTTGATACAGGAAGGACGACGAGAGCGCTCCGAGCACGAGAATTCTGAACTAACCAGGTGTCCCGGCGATAGAAAAGACGTTGAGCTGCAAGTACAAAGACGAAGGGCAGAACGGGGTATGCTTAAATCAGATGTACCCCGGGTTATTCGCATATCCACTTCAACCCCTCCATGCCAGGCTGCTCCTAAAACTGCCCCGCCAAAAATTTCCAGGCGATCACTAGTCTGGCTAAGATAATTGACAAGCTCTGTGCTGGAAGCTTTCTTGAATTATTACGGATAGCGAACCTCAACATCACCACCACTCTAGATTGCTTGGCCAAAGCACAATCCGACAGACTCAACCACTCCTACCTCATCGATTCTTCTCGGTTTTCCCTCATAGATCAAGTCGTCCACCAAGATGCCCCTGGACACCTCTACCTACAACCTGGCGCTCCTGCGCGTCGACGGGCGGCGCTGGAACGACCTGCGGCGCCAGCACGCCTCGATCCGGACGCAGGCCGCCGCCGACGGGTCCTCGTACCTGGAGATGGGTAACACCAAGATCATGTGCATCGTGAGCGGGCCGTCGGAGTCCGCGCGGCGGACGGCGCAGTCGTCGTCGGCGTCGATCGCGCCGGCGCCGGGCGGCAGCAACGGGGCCGACGTGGCCGTGTCGATCGTGATCGGGGGGTTCAGCACGGTGGACCGGCAGAAGCGGTCGCGGACGGACAAGCGGCTGCAGGAGATGCAGGCGACCATCGCCAAGGCGCTGGCGGGGACGCTGCACGCGCACCTGTACCCGCGGTCCACGGTGTCGGTATCGCTGCACGTGCTGTCGCAGGACGGGTCGCTGCTGGCCGCGCTGATCAACGCGAGCACCCTGGCGCTCGTCGACGCCGGCATCCCCATGACGGACTACCTCGCCGCGTGCACCGCCGGGTCCACCAGCTCGCACGCCGCCGGCGACGAGGGCGCCGACCCCCTCCTCGACCTCAACCAGCAGGAGGAGCAGGAGCTGCCGTTTCTCACCATGGCGACGCTGGGGGCTAGCGATCGTGTCGCCGTCTTGGTCTGCGAGAGCAGGGTGCAGATCGGGAGGCTGGAGGGCATGATGGCGGTCGCCGCGGACGGCTGCAAGTGGGTGAGGAATTTCTTGGATGGGGTCGTGAGGGAGAAGGGTGCCAAGATGGTCAGAGAGGGTGCAGTGCAGAAGGGTGATGTCGTGGACATGGATCTGGACTAAGGTAATGCCTTTCTTTCCGAGTCAAACCGAGGACATGGGGTTATGGATTGTGGCATGGATCAGACACGGGCTGTGAATACCTTAGACTTGCAAAGCATCTACATGGCGTTGGAATGGAATTAGAGAAAAGGGAGAACAGGCGTCTGGCGTCACTCAATTTGGTCAATACAAGCTGTCACTGTTTTTGTCCATCGTCATCGGGTCTCTGATCCACGAACCGCAATTATCCCTACAAAAGATATGGCTTATAGCTCGTTATGCTCATGCACAGGAACCTCAGTGGCCTCAGGAGTCGGCTCAGCTCCCTGCCACGAGGTCGAAGTGGACTCGGGCTCAGCCTCGCCAGCCTCAACCTTGACCTCCTCTTCGACCTTTACCTCGACCTTCTCAGCAGCAGGCACTTCGTCATCCGCAACAAAGATCTTGATATCCGGCAATGGTCTCTTACCGCCCTCATTAAGACGAATGACATCGATCCAATCAGCCAGACTCTGGTGAGAGAAATCTCCCTCATACAGTCTCCACCAACCGCGCTTGCCATTCAGTGCAATGATCTCGACCTGCTTCTCCAGATGGAAGCTTTCAAGCATCGAGGCGACATTGGCATCCTCGGAGTGGACTTCGTACACGGGAAATACCCGGCGATGATGGTTGTCGTACTTGATGCCGACTCCGCGGAGACCTTCTAAAGCCTTCTCGGCTTCCTCGCTGTGCTCCTTTGGGACGAATGCCAGAACGCAGGTGCCGGCCTTGGGGTTGAGGCACGCTTTGGTTAGCTCAATAGCGTTGTCGAGGACACCTGTCAAATCAAGTGTCACTGTCTCCTTTTCGGCCCTCTTGGTCTCGGTAGGGGTCTCGACAGAGGTCGTTGCGGTGGCTTCTTCAGATGGAGCTGGTTCCTCACTCTTCGGCCGGGACTTCTTTGCTGGCTTCTCCTCCTTCTTCTTGTCCTTCTTGGCCTTGGCCTTCTCGGGCCCGTTGACAGGATTCGGCTCGGCAACCTGCGAGAGGAACTTGATCATGGCTTCCTTCTTCAATTCGCCATCATAGAGGACTGAGGGCTTGTCGCCACCGGGGAGCAGGACCAAGGAAGGGTAGTTGTCGATGCCAAAGATATCGTTGGCCTTGGTTTCCTTGTTTCGAATTTGAGCAACCTGTATGACATCTAGGTAGTCAATGGCGATGCTCCTGAGCAATGCGCTGGTGGTGCCCTTCTCGGTGAACAGGAGTGCCTTTGCCGTCTCATTATTTGTGCTTAGGAACTCGTCGACGTCCTTATCCGTGACCTTTTTGACGTGGTTGGGGATCTTGTCGATGACGGCGCTGACAATGTTTTTGGCATCTCGGGGCCCGTTGTAGTCCTCGACAATAGGCTTGCCCTTCTTCTTGCCGGGTCGCACGATCTTGATGGTCGGGAAGCCCTGGATACCGAATTGGCCGCAGAGCGGCTTGTTCTCGTCCTCGTCGCAGTTTACGGCAGCGATCTGGGCAAGGCCGTCGAGGTTCTTGGCAGCCTTTTCGTATGCAGGCTTGAGGTTCTGGCAATGACCGCACCAGGGCGCGTAGAACTCGACAGCCTAACACTTTCGTTAGTAGGACGCCCTGTGTAAGCCGGAAAGCAAAGAAGACGTGGGCACACACCGTTGTGTAGTTTGACTTGGCGACCAGTCTGTCGTAGTTCTTGGCATCGACTTGGATGACGGGGGAGCTCCTGGTGTACAAACCAGCTTGGACACCAGGCAGAGCTGCCAGTACGCCCAAGGCGATGGTGGCGATGGTGGGGTTGGGGGTATACATGCTGGCGCGTAGGAATGAGTGGAGTAGAGTAGAGTAGGTTAGAGTACGTCGGAATGGGTTAAATCACCAAGGAGGGAGGACGGTTTTCAGGCCATTCACTGGCTTGAAAAAAGAGTCAAAAGTCAATGCTCAACAGCAGAAGGGGGAAAAGCCAGAAGAAGAAACCCCAAGAAAAAGCAAGAGGATATTATACGAGACTGGAAGGCGGAAGAAATCCGCAAGGTCAAACTGTCTTCTTGCTGATTTAGGAAATCAGGCCAGCGTGGAATTTCAGCTAGGTTAGTCTAGCTGGGCACTCGTACGGCGGCTCATAAGTTAAGTTAGCTAAGTTGAGGTTTAGCCACACCTACCTAAGTAGCGGGCTGTTACTAGGCCATGCAGCCGCCCGCAGCTGCTAAGTATAATTCTCCAACACATGTACAAATAACGCTATGTTGTTGATACGCAGCAATGGGAGGTTTGCGAAGCTGCTTTACTAACAGACTTGTATATATACTGTCAATTAATTTCCAAAGAGAGACTGTGCGGTCCTTAAATGAGAGTCTCGCCACGGCTTCCATGAAATCATTTGCTTGAAAGCCAAGGAAGGAGACAAGCAACACTTCGCAGCAGTAAGAGGTCGACGCAAACGTTTGTTTGCAATTGGTGCAGCTCGGCCAGTTCACTTAGACCTGCGAGCGCGAGGGCTACGTTGAGCCTTTAGTGTACCAAGGTCCTTGTAACCTTATTGACCGCCGCCACGAGGGTCCACTGTTTGACTTTAATCGCAAGCATGACATGACGTTCGTGGCACATAGCCCACAAGGAGGCGGCTTCTTACATGGCAAACTGACATCGGGGCAAGTCGAAGGCACGCGCTTCGCCGAGGGAACAATCATGTCTATGGATGCCAGGCGGTACGATACTGAAAAACTCCATGAGGTCATCCACATGCTTGATACGACGCTCGAGCCTCACGGCATTCCCAAGACGGGCGCTGCGTTACGTTGGCTCGCCTTTTATTCCGAGCTCGGCCCCGAGGATGCCGTCATCTTCGGCGCAAGCAAGATCGGCCTGGTCCAGCAGAGCGTAGCAGCAATTACCCAAGGTCCGCTTCCTAGGAATGTTGTTGGAGTGCTGGATGGGGTATGGGACACTCTGAAAGCTAAGTAGTCAGGGGTGGTGGCTAAGAATAGTTGGCCTCCCTCTCTTCTTTTCGTACTCAAGTCTTCCTCGAAGCTCTTGACGCCATCTGTGCCTAGTCCATAATCACTGAAGGCGATTCACTGGCCACCTAGCGGATGTTGGTTAACTAGTATGGTCTCGTCTACGAGAGGGCATATGACATGGACGGCGAGCATACCACCAAACAGTCAGCCAGATAATTCAACTTGGACCCCGTGCTTATGAGCCTCTTCAGCACTATTCAAGCGCACGTAGGCTGTGGCCAGGTTCCTGCTAGTCACTGACCTGTTGAAACTAAAGTAAGCCGTCATGGACGAGACAAGTGTATGTCATATACTCGGTCCAATTAAAATTAGAGAACGATTGATAAACATACAACGCAGCTCATGAAAGTGCAGAAACCGAACGGTTGCCGACGCACTTGACGAGTAGCAATCCCCCATGATCTGATCAACACTTGGGAGCCAGCTTGATGATATCAGGCAATCGCTGCGAATGAAATCCAACATTCCAGCCGTGACAGACCTCTCTTTCATACTCTGCACGCCTGAAGCAGTCACCTGCTCTGGAAATCCAGTTTCGAGTTTCTCACATGCGGCATGTGCCTGAGCCAGCCAATTTGCTTCAGTAGCCATTACTACGATGACAAATGAAGGTCCAATCAGATTTGTGAATAGTCCACTAAGTGAGATCTCTCACCGAGGATGTGGTTATTATGGGTCTAAAGTTACTCTTTTGGTTTCCCTTAAGAAAGAGTGGACTGATTAAAGTCCTAATATGGCTCTGCGATAAGTTTCAAGTTTCCGATGGTGCCGCGGTCACACCTGAGGACGGCTTCTGTAAACTTACGGTCGGGGAATCAATATGGCCAATTGCCTCTGTTAGTAAGACCATCGATCTCCGTTATATTCGTCCCTAATAGGAGAGCTCTGCACACCCATCTAGCAGGCAAGGGAGCCCTGGTTCTTAACATTGGGCCGTACCCGGGCATAGGTGCTGGTGCTGCAGGTACCGCGGCCGTCAGCGTTCGCACTACCACCCCGTGGCTCCAACAAAAGACTGCTTTTCAGTCGTACTTGCTGCATCTACATCAATGTAAACCAAGTCGGTTATAAGCGCAATTGAACACTTTTGGTAGTGGCATAATGATTATCAGGCCGGCAGTATCTCGTTCGTCAGGACTTATTGAGATGATAAGTTATTCATCAATCCAGAACGTCTCCTTGTCATTTGCGAAAATGCATACGTGCAGCCTGCATGAATGTACGGAGGTCGCTACCAAAAGTCATTGCTAGCGCCGTTTTTTGAGATCCCCTAACAGCCGGCAGAAGCGGGATAGCAAAACCGCGTGCGAGTCAAAAGCCGTGTGTTAGTTATTTACGGATATTGACAATACAAGCTCCTCTTCTATCTAATCAAATGTTGCGTTCCTATAATGTGCTTCCCTTTTTTTCCTTTTCGGGATACTATTCTCGTTATTTTTAACACCCCGTTAAGTACTAGGCCTTCCCGGGACTAGAGCCCGGCCTTCTCTATACTCGTTACCACTCTCTAGCTCGATGATCTGTTATATGTGATAGGGTATTCATTCGATCCATTGCCGAACCATTTCTATAGGCAGTTGCTTCCACGCTAGTTTCCGTCTTTTAATAGCTTCAACCTTGTTTAGTAGTGGGTTTGACTAACTAGTCAACCGCTTTAAGTAATTGTAACAATTGACCGTGGGCAGACCATTGCGCCAATAGTCAAAAGACTAACCTTAGCTACCTCGGCGACTGCCGATATGCCCACTGGCATTTGTTACATTTATCATGATCGTAGCCGCGTCCTACGAAATTTCTGCTAAATTATGTGAATAGTCTGCTCAGTATTTACGTTACATATACCACGTTGGAATATTTCACCCTGCATAGCCCCTTGAACATAACCCTGGCCAATAAAGGTGTACTCAGTCTCTCCGTCATTTTCTGAAGGTCGCAGCACGAAGGGGATTTTCCCCCCTCTTAATACCCATACTTCATCTCCAGGTTGTGTGTCCACATGACCCGTACCCATCAGACCCATCTTAGTGGTGAAGAAAGATTGGTTTGCCACCATGCTGTATATCGTCAGTCGTATGTCAGAGCTCACCTCACACGAATCCAAAAACCTGAAAACTGCGCTGATGTCCTTGGCGGTGGCTTCTCTAATCGGTACAAGATTGTAATCCCTGACCAGATCGCCGAGGACAAGTCTTGCGAACGCTTTGGCACTGGTATAGCGCGCTCCAATGTACCGTCTCGGGAGGACCTTGTTATTCTTATACTTTCTGCTTCCCTTGACAACATCATACCAGGCGCGGACGATGCGCTCGATGTCCTCGTCAGGTACGTTCGGATTCGCTATTGTTTTTGTTCGATAGCCGCTCTCCACCAGAGCGACTTTGTCCACACGCACCCCCGCCAGGCTCAAAGTCTTCGCGTGGTACTGCATTCCCAAAGAGCTTGGATCCAGTGGTCTCAACGGTCTGGCAGCATCATATTCCTCGTAGCCGTACGAGTGGTAATACCAATCTGTATTGTACGATGGTCCTATACTGACAAGATCAAGCACCCAGGAGGATATCCCAGGAGTGGCCTTGTCGGGGTCGATCCGCGGATTTGCAATAAGGGGCCGCAGATCTCGTTCGGAAATCATCAACTCCAGTGTCAAGGTGCGAAAAACACTCGATGCAGGGGAGAAATAGTCACATTTCTCCGTGACCGGCAGGGCCCCTAGCTCGCAGAGCCCCATAAGACCGTATATCTTATCACGAGGATCCGTAGACTTTCGGAAGCGCCATCTGTTGACAATATCAAGTGGCTTACCGTCGAGCCGGTCTTTGGCTATGTTCAGCCAAATCACGTGGACCATTAAACCGCTGAGGATTGTCTCCGTCTCGGGGGTGAGTAAATTGGAAAGAGGGTATGGACAGCCCGGATCAATCCAGGTCGCTGCCGCCTGCGTAAGCGTCTCCCACGGCAAAGCCAGTGGCCCCCAAAGCAACAGGACCTCTTCTGGGATTGTCGCTTCCTGCACTGTCCATATGCGATCCCACCATGGATGTTCCTGCTCCGACGAGCTCCGGAGTGCCTTGATAGCGTCGTATAATGCCGTCTCGCGTCCGCTTGCTGCCCAAGGCATTGGAATTTCGCTGGGATCTTCCGCCCCGTTGGCTGCAGCCAAATAGGTAAGCACCTCCCACCCTCTCGCGGCGTCAGCCAGGGACACATGCTCCTTGATCTCTCCCAGCCAGACGAGGCATCGGCGACAGTGCTTATAGATGTCACGCATGAGCTGCACTTGCTGTTTCTTCTCCTCCAGATTCCATTGTTCAATGCAGAGCTGGTCGATCCAAAGGGTCCTCTTCTGCGTGGGCGATCGTAGTCGACGGAGCGCCTCGAGCAAGCTCGGCGTGATGGTGACCTGGCGACCCGATACCTCAATCGTCTCCGTGGCTGTCTCGTCGCCCCAAACATAGGAAAGTGCCTCGTAATCTGCCTTTGCCGACAGGGGAATAGCGCGTAACTCACATACTATTGGAGTGTCACCTACGCTGGGAGAGTGTAGGAGGTCTAAAACACGTATCTCGTTGTCGGCGAGCATCTTGACAGGGGCGGTCAGTTGGAACTTCTGCGTCGACAGTTTACATGGTCAGAAAAATGGGACAGTGCCTCATTTTATCGATGGGGGGTATTCAGGGGTCGCGTTGTTCTCTAGTACAGTGGACGACACGGGTAACTGGTAAGCTGACTGTGTCAAATCGCATAATCTCTTAATTTAGGCAATTAAGAACGACAGAACGCATTCGACTATACCGTATATAACATGGAAACGGTTAAAAGGTTGAAAGCAAGAACTCAGCTCTAGCTACTGGGCGCAGGCAGAATGTCCGTCTTGATCCCGGCTGCGACTGGAGACGACTTGAAAACCCCCATCCAAATATTACGGCTTACTCGTCGTAACTGACCAGAGAGTCAAGTCGCTGACGCTCCCTGCAAAAACTCAGGTCAGCTCTCCCAAACCGAACGCAACTCTTGACGCTGTAAACACGAACATTATAGACACTATAGATGTGGCAACGAATATATACTCTGAGATTACCATCGTTCTATTGACGGTGGGCCCACTGTTTTTGAATGTCACAACAGATGATAACCTGGGCAAAATTAGGAACTTTACAGGCTTTACAGACGCTACACTGGACGTGCCGCCTGTCATGGCGCACAATACACAAGACTAAGGTTAGCGGCTGCAACCTTCCCTGGTCAGATTAGTGGCTGCCCCTTGGATCACATGACTTAGCAGTTCGCCCACAGCCACGTTAGTGTCAGATTCAGAGGGTTGCCACAGTGGGTTAACATGGTCTAAGTCATGTGTGATAATTGATGGTGATCCTCCCTTAGTCCTGCCCCGGCATCTAGTATAACCTGGATGGGTACCCAGCATCTGACAAGTTCTGCCTCATTAGGGAACGGAAGGCACAAAATCCCCCTTTAGAAATTCATTCTTTAGGCGTTGTTTTCTGCAACGGCAGATCTAGTAAATATTTGAGGAGCATAGTACAATGTCGCATTGAGTCGACTTTGAACATCCCTTGTGACATTTGGTAGCGTGTGTGGTGTTCCAACAGAGTGGCTTTGTCCCATTTGCGGTCAAAAGACGATGTCGAGATTCTGATTGCGCCGATGTGGAATACTAAATAGCCAGCCAGAGCAGCTCGGAGACTGTTTGGCATGAGCTCCTTACCTTGGTGATTCAAAGAGTTCAATGCAGAAACAGCGGCATGATAGTCCACCCAGGGCCCTAGTGTCGAGTTTATAATTGACTGATGGGGGATGTCGTAGAGGACGTTGAAGATTCCGGGGCGCTCGATTGGCTTGTTATAAGCTAGATATACAGCAACACCGGTTGTCCTAAATTGTAGACAGCTGAGGTATCAGAGTCGTTCTCAGCAGCTACTATGAAATCGACGGCTGCCTCTATGAGGCTTTCGGACTGGGAAACGTCGAATAGCAACCCCCCGAACCATATTTCACCATTGCCAACGGTTTCGACATCAAACCTTGTTACAATTCCTAGTTTTGCATTAAAAGGTTGGGGAGTAAAAACCCTCAGGGAACTAATAATGATGAGTAGCTTACCAAAGTTGAAACCGCCGCCTCGTAACGCCCACCACAAATCTTCGTTCGACGTCTGGCTGGTACTACGAAAAAGTGCAGCACCTTTGGTACTCATGGGGATGGCGATGTTTGATCATCCGATAGGCCAGATCGAATCCACCACTTACAAGTGGCGCGAAACACTTCGAGCGTCACAGGCCTATCTGCCCTCTGGATATACGGACATGGTTATCTCATATTTACTTAAACTAGTGAACTTGAGCCAATGCGTGGAGCGAATCCGGCCGCTGAAGTATTGTTGAACCACGCTGTGGCCTTGGTCAATGCCCGCCAACATTGGTCTAGGATCATTGTGGCCAGATTCATTACACAAACGGATGACTGCCTTTTGAAATACACCGATCATTTCCGTCCCTTGGCAGTGGACAACGGGATTGTAACCTCCGCTCCTTGCGTCCGTAGTGCTGATAAAGGAGCCAATATCCTTACTCTCATACACGGGGATCATGGTCAGACCCTCTGAGACTGTCTTTGTAGATAAACCATTTCTATTTATCCTGTTCATCGACCTCGAGCATGCCAATCTCTAGCTCTGCCCGAGACCATTGGGCATATTACCACAATCTGGAAAACTGCACATTGGCGAACGATGTCTTACATGTAAACATTGAGTGTAATTCACCGAGATTCACCACCTCTGCATCTACGAGCAAAGGAAAGAAGGGCTAAGTTTTGAGGAGTATTATCAAATCACTCACATGCACGAGGTCACCAAAGCAAAAGGCACTCCTCACAAAGTTTCGGAAGTAAGCCTTAGAGTCCACTTAGCCTCTTTTCGACTATTTTGACGTGTTAGAAGGACCACATGATTACCACCGAGTTTAGTGAGAACACCTGTTTCTGGCCTTCATATTTCGCGATCCTAAAGTGTTTAAACCCAGTGTTTCCTACAGATTTGTGCAGGAACGACGGGTCTTGGACTTGGAAAAAGCAGCGACAGAAGTGCGCGGAGTATGCTAATAAGAAGAGAATCGCACGATCAATCATTTGCTGATCGATATTGGTACTATTAAAACGACAGCAGTTTTCAATTCTTGTATACATAATTATCTCGGGCTGAGAAACAAAAGTCGGTCCCAGAAGAAGGGTCCTGATTGGAGCAGAGGCCGGCCATATGGGGCGAATTGGTGCTATCAAAAACGGAGGTGACCGCGATGGACGAATTATAGTTTCGGTTGCTACCTACTGTACCAGTGTACATAGTAGTGTATCCACGTAAGCAAAATCCGGGGTAGCACGCACATGCGAAGCTGCAGCTACGCGGAATTGTGGCGCGAGCTATCTTGTCAAGGGCCCCTCTCTCCATCTTCAGGTTGAAGAGTCGTGTTGTTTAAATATGGATAGCAACAACAGTCATAGATGGCCACCATGTGATTCTCCAAATTATAGACAACGGTTCGTGATATTGATATAGTGGCGAAACTACATGTGGCTCTAGAAGTACATAAAGCTGAGGATATTGGGGCGGTCTTATTACGTTACATACAAGCTTCCCGATGCAATTCCGCCAAATATGGAGCGGCATTTATGGTGGGGAGTACGGATCATTTGTAGGGGACTGGCGACGTCAAAGGCCTAAAGTGCCAATCAATTCCCGTCTGCCTGACAACTGCTCATGTGCCAAACTCGAGGTGCATCTTTTGTGATTCAAATAAATTGTCTATCCTCAACTCGTGGCCTGCCCATAACAACACGGCGAGCGACATTACAGCACTCGAGCAGAGCATGGCGACCAACATCCCCACAAAGCTCAAGGAGGCGGGCATTACCCCGTTCGTGGTGCGTGGCAACCAGCTTCGCACAGCAAAGCCCGTGATATCGTATTGGTGTACGCGGGAAAATACTGCCCTGTCAAGCTGTGTCTAACTTCTTGCGTAGGTGACTACTGGGTCGTGAACCAGATCCTGGCCAAGCAGCTTCACAATGCCGACGATGAGTGCCTGCAGTTCACCACGGTCATGATGGACCAGCTGGAAGAGGTAAACATGCTGCCTGCCCACTTGCCGTCGTAGCATGCCAGCCCAGCTGAATACTTACGCTCTCCCGAACAGATGAAGGCGAACAACCAAGGCAACTCGGCTATACTGAACGACGATGAGGGCCGAGCAGAGGTCGAGCAGTTTGCCCAAGAAACATTAGATCGCGCCGTGCGACCCATGAAGGCCAACAAAGTCAGCAAACAGACCGCCATCACCTTCGAAGCCGCTGCGACATTCCTGCAGCTCGTCAACATCTGGGGTCCCCTCGACGCCGAGACGGAGAAGAAGATCAAGTTCGCGAGGTGGAATGCCGCGAGAATACTGCGCGCCATCAGGGAGGGCAAGGATCCGAATGAGTCGAACCCCAAGATGGAAGACGAGGACAGGGTGGACGAAGACGACCCAGAGCTCCAAGCTATCATGGCCGGCCAAGCGCCAAAAGCCGCGACGGTGGAAGACGTGCCAGACGAAGGAGGAAGAGGATATCTAGGCCCAAATGCCGCAGCAGCAGGAGCCAGCGCAGCATACTCGGTAGCACCCGTCTCGGCACCCACGTCGCCGCCGCAGAGCTCAGCCCCGGCTCCCGACCAGGTCTCCCCGATCGCCCCGTCCGCGCCGGACGGGTACTTCCCTTCCGCCCCCGGGGCAGCGGACGACGACCCGCCCCTCGAGCTCCCATCCGCGCCAGATGCGCTGCAAGACCAGGACCCCGACCTGAGTATCCCAAGCCCACCAGCCGCTGCGCCGTCAGCCACGAGCCCAGCAGGACCGTCCTCGGCACCATTCGCGCCGCCGGTCCTGCCTGACACGCCCCACGATTTCTACCACCCAACGCCATCGGACCTCTCGACCCCATTCCAACCACCGCCGCCGCCACCTCAGCAGCCCTCGCAGCCGGCGTCCCAGCCCCCACCCCCCTCGTCACACTACCAGCAGCAGCAGCCGCCGATCCAGCCCCCGGCGCACCAGCCACAGCATCTGCCGGCGCCCATCGCGCGGCCCCCCGCCGCGCAGCAGTACGGCGGCGGCCCGCCCACCAATGCCGTGTACAACGCAGATGACCTGGCGCAGGCGCAGGCGCAGAAGCATGCGAAGTGGGCCATCTCGGCGCTGAACTTTGAGGACGTACCCACGGCGGTGCGGGAGCTGAAGGCGGCGCTGGCGGCGTTGGGCGCACAGTAGAGGTTTCTTCAGCAGGGAGTCGGGGCATATACATATATACAGGTCGGCGTAACGGTAATATACCAGGCAGGTTTGAGGGCAGGCTCGGCACTGGGGAAAGGTATTACACGTAGAGCGATCAATGTCACAAGTATAAAAACAACACTGAACCATGCACTTGAAAAATATAGACAACACTCGATTTGACTAGCCTGCAGTGCAGCCTTGGGAATCGCAGGTTGTTTCTCTCTGAACGATAGGATCCGTCCCCTTGCTCGTTTGAAAATCATGTAATACAGCATTTCCGGAGCAGCGAGTGTGTTCTCTCCTCCCTATTCACCCAGTGTCCTACGGTCGTCACGTAAACGAATCATATCTGTAGCAACCCTGCTACTCATACGCCAGGCCAAGATCTCTTCTTGATTGCCTATAATTCCCAGCCAAAGACTCCTGACTGACTCGATCACGTGGGTTGTGATTACTTCTCACAGCATCTCATCTACCCGCGTTGCGGTGGTATATACTACATGCCATACCGCAGACTCCTTCGTCTGCGTGTTCGGAAACTGTGTTTCTTTTTTCGTGGTGTCGTAGAATTCGTAATACTCCATTTCATGCGAACACCGTTATATGGATGTTCGGGTCGTATCCATGGGTCTGGACAACGAGGTCGGCGTCGGCGTCGGCGTCGACCGGATGACCGCTCAACATATCCGCAAACGTGCCGATGGGCTCGTTGCTCGGGATCACCTCGGGAGGTATTATCTCGTCCCCGTCGTCCCAGCCCTTCTCGGGGCCCCAGGCCAGCTTGCAGTCCATGGCGTGGACGGCCTCCAGCAGGGCCAACATCATGGCTCCGTTCTTCTTGACGCTGGGGTTGGCGTCGAACTCGACGGTCCTGCACCAGGGCATCTCCTTGAGCACGCCCTCGAGCAGGTCCTTCGAGAACTGCTCGTAGAACCCGTCCGAGCGGCGGAAGCCCTTGAAGATGTCGTTGCTCGGGTCGAACTCCACAAACACCTTGATGCGGCGCGTATTGACGCAGCCCTTGAGTCCGAGCGCGTCGTTGACTACCCACCCGCGCGGCGGACGGTTCCAGCCGGGGCCAAGGCGCAGCTCGAGGGTCGTGAGGCTGGCGCGCTGGTTGGCGGACATGCGGGCGAGGAGCGGCTTCTTGGTCTTGAAGAACTTGCCCCATATGGGGAAGATGCGCACGGCGCGGGACCCGTAGAAGACATAGCTGGCCTCCCGGTATACCAGGCGGCACGTCTTGAAGATGATGAGCTTCTTGTGGATGCGCTTGTGGTTATCGTGGTCGAGATCGAGGACATCTCCGACATCGGCGAAGTAGAACTCGTAAACCTTCAGGCGAAGCTCGGACGGGAGGTCGAAGAAGCGAAAGGGCGGCGGCCTCTTTCGCTTGGGTGGCTTGTTGGAGAGGGGTACATGGACGGTGAGGGCGCCGATGTTGCTGGTGAGGGAGGCGATAGAGTCGGCCATGGCAAGCTCGGCGTCTGAGGTGTATGCGGATGGTAACGCTGAACTGGCGGGAGTCGTGAGGCGGGATGAGATGGATGTAGGGCCGGAGGCGGCGGCTGAGGCTCGTGGGCCCTTTCCTGCCGTCGAGCGGCGCCGCGTCTTGCCGGAATTCCTTTCTGCCATTGTCAAGTGAAATGGCATGACAAGACCAAGTGGGTGTTTATTACGACGGGTGTTGCGCAGGCTCTGTGGGTTGATGCTTTTAGCAGGTCGTTGTGATGATGGAGGAGTGTGCTCTCTGTAAGTTTCGCGACGACACAGCGGGTGTATTGGAGGAGGTTTGGGTTTAGTGAAATAGTAGAGTGAATGCTACGAGGCGAACCGAGGGTGGTGCCATCGTGATATTCCTTCGACGAGCGACTGCCACCCTCTAGAATGCAGCCATGGCAAGCATGTTGCAAGTGTGGAGAAGGACGAGCAGGTGGATGGATATGGTGAGTCCGCTGTAGGCGAGGGAAGACAATAGACGGTCAGCGTGATACAAAACTCAAGCAAGATGCGGAAGCAGCAGTTGGGCCAAATGGTGGGGTCGATATTATCAAGGGAAGGAGGCGGCGGGAGGAACAGATGAACGATTTTGCAAGTACTACTACAACTCAGAGGGTGAGTGGTTGAATGGGTTCATGGAACAATGCGGAGGAGAGTTTTGGCTTTGTACTAAATATTTCACGGGACACCGGGCGAAGGGTTCTGTACGGAAGGTCAGAGTATGAGTCTGAGTCTGGGGAAGCCGAGGCGCAGACCGAGTGACGGGATCGTGTTATTGGTTGTCTTGGGCAATAAATCATATCTGCAGAGTGATCGAATCATACAATCGCAAATGGCCAGCCACTTGTGCAGTGTTGCAACCCACCGAGAGGAGGAAGGCAAGGGAGGGGCGTCTGGGGCCTGTGCAAGTCGGGTTCGGAGGGGCAAAGGGGCTGTGGCAAGGTGCAGAGGGGCTCTGTGAGCGGACGTACGACTGGTCGTCGCGTCTCACCGCGGCGCAGGCCCCCGTATCGATAAGAGAAAAAACGTATGGTCCAAACGATCGCATGACGTATCGTACTAACCCAGACTAGTCTCCTGCTAGGTTGATTCCTTTTTTTCTTGTCGGCGGCCGGAGAAAAATCATGACCGCCGGACAGTATCTCTCAGCTGGCCGGCAAAGGGCTCCAAATTTGAGCTTGGGCTAGAAGCTTCGCAGTGACGAGAAAGATCATACTCCGTACTGCGGCACTCACCCAAGTATCACCACGTCAGCTTCCGTCGCAGGACTAGGACTCGACCTCGGTTCTCTGCCTGAAAACATCTCGCATTCTTCCACTGGGCAATCATTAAAACGCAAAACTCGTCCTCCCGCACTGTCCAAAATGCTGTCCAGGACATTTACGCGCGCAGCGCAGTCGCCTGCGCTGTCGAGGGCTGCCGCTCGATCGTTCATAGCCCCGAGGATATCCGTGCCAGTGTCCTCGATGCAGCTCCGTGGCATGGCCAAGAAGTCAAACAAGCCCTCGGCGTCACAACCCAAGCCCGAGTCCGACTCCAAGTCGTCCGAGCCCATCCCGGCTCCGCCTCCCTCATCAGCCTCCGAGCCCGTTGAGCCAGTTCCCAACGCTGGAGACGCAGTCCCCGAAGCACAAGACGGCCCTCCAAAACCCTTCAACCTGCCCGATCTGACCCAGGGCATCCCCTCGACGCTGGAGTTCGAAAGAGAAGGCGCCACCAACAAAAGCGCCCTCTCCGATCTGGAAGAAGCAGAGGCACAGGGCGCTTCTCGTGAGAAGGGAGAACTCCCCGCTTCCGCATACATCTCATCCACCGAGAAGCGACGCAACAAGTGGGCCAACCGCATGTACGTCTCTGCGCTCGTGCTCGGTATCGGCAGCGTCGCATGGCTTGGCCGCGACTGGGACGACGACGAGGAGGGCGCATTCCCCGACATTCCCAACGGCTGGACCCCCAATCTATGGTGGGCTCGTGCCCGCGCTCGCTTCGGTGGATCCCTCAGCTATTACCACGAACCTGCATTCGAGAAGCTCCTGCCTGATCCCGACCCCATGTTCGAGCGACCCTACACCCTGTGTATCAGCTTGGAGGACATGCTGGTCCACAGCGAGTGGACAAGAGAACACGGCTGGAGGATAGCCAAGCGACCTGGCGCCGACTACTTCCTGCATTACCTCAGCCAATACTACGAGCTCGTTCTCTTCACCAGTGTCCCGTTCGCCATGGGTGAGCCATTGGTCCGCAAGTTCGACCCCTACCGCTTCATTGTTTGGCCCCTCTTCAGGGAGGCGACCAAGTACGAGGACGGCGAGGTCGTCAAGGACCTGTCATACCTGAACCGTGATCTCTCCAAGGTCATCATGGTCGACACCAACGAGAAGCATGTCCGGAACCAGCCCGAGAACGCCATCATACTCCCCAAGTGGACAGGTGACCCCAAGGACACCAACCTCGTCGGCCTCATCCCTTTCCTCGAGTATATCCACACCATGCAGTACAAGGACGTCCGTGAGGTTCTCAAATCCTTCCAAGGCAAGAAGATCCCCGAGGAGTTTGCCCGCCGCGAAGCTATTGCCCGAGCCGAGTTCGAAAAGAAGTTCGCCGCCCACAAGGCCAAGCACGTCTCCGGCATGGGTGCTCTCGGAAGCATGCTCGGTCTCAAGCCCAGCAACATGAGCATGATGGTGTCTGCTGAAGGTGAGCAGAGCCCAAGCGAGGCGTTTGCGCAGGGCAAGATGCTTCAGGATATCGCGAGAGAGCGCGGCCAGCGCAACTACGAGCTCATGGAAGAGGAGATTCGCAAGAACGGCGAGAAGTGGCTTAAGGAGGAGCAGCAGGCCCAGGAGAACGCACAGGCCGAAGCCATGGCCGGGATGAGGACTTCCTTGACCGGCTGGTTCGGCAAGAACGAATAGAGTGCATGACAATAGTGGATGGTGAAAGCAGTCAGTTCGCACAAAACGTTACATGCTGGACAACGTCAGGTCGGACTTGACCTTACGAGCACAGCCGATGTATAAGCCGGCCACTTTGGCTGGATGATTTGTATCAATATTGTGGACGGAGATGTTTTTTCTTTTTGTGTAAAAAGACAGGACGGCGCAGCGGATGTACTGCGCCATATAGATTGATGGCCGGAACAGGTGAGGTGGGATCATTGCCCTCGACTCTACTTACTTATCGTCATTTCTGGCGGATCGCATTTGAAGCGGGCACATGTGGCTTGAGATGGCAAGCTCGAACGAATCATACTTGGGATGCACGATTACCATGTTGGAGCAAGGTTGAGCGTACAAAGCACGAAGTAGGATTAATATTGTATATTATTCAAAAACAGAACCATGTGGTATAATATACCCAACCCTTTTAACCTCCACATGTCGGCCATATTCGTGCTACGAGTTTAATGCCCCGGCCACCTTATGGAACATCAGAATTGCCACAATAAGCCTTGCAACCTCTCCAGCGTGCCTCCCGATCCTGTTGGGTTTAAACCCCCCCCCCCCCCCCCCCCCCGAGCAGCAATAGCAAGCGCTTTGGGTCGGGCCCCGCGAACAAAGTTGTCTCGGCCTACGACAGCCATCCGGCCGGCCGTATTTTTCGTCGTTGAGATGTAGTTTTTAGTTATGGGAAAGGGGTGCAAGGCGTAGAGCACATGGCTTCGCGTCGCAGCGTTATCAGGACGTGGATATTTGCCAGGTTATCGATCGATATGATCTGAGGCAATCGGTAGTTTGATGGCTCTCAGAACCCCCATGCTCTTAGGCTCCATAATATTGTAGCAATGGGTGTGGGACTATATAATGTTAATGTAACAAGTCGAACACATTCCCTCAAAATCGCTGGTGTCCGGTCCCTGCAATCCGTTCTTGATTTGGGGAGATATACACAAGATGCAACAATGGGATGGTCGAGGACGAAGAAGAATATGTCAAGTTGTTTCTGATTACCAGAAGCAGTTTTATGCATCTGTGTTTCAAGCGATGTCTTTCAAGTGACCTGCTTGGCTAGGTATCTACTATACAGGGTGTTCATATAGGCCTGGAAGAGGCCAAGGTGCATCCTTCCTTCGTTTCACGTATATGATCTGCTAGATGATCTCGGGCTGCCGTGATCGTCGTGACGAATTCGGTCTTGAAAAAGAAGCCATTACCTACGACACCAAGGCCTTCGGCAGTCCTGGTCGTCCACAGTCGATAAGCTCTGGGCAAGCAATTCCAGACGGACCCCAATCCATGCACCATCCCCCCATCCCCCGTTTATCATACCGAGTATGAGACGGTGTCAGGTGAACGGCTGAGCTGGATTAATAAAGTGTTGACTCGGCTTGGCGCGAACGGTATAAGGGCGGTAGCAACTCCGTCCGTGTTTTATGGTTTCCCATAAACCATAGGATGCAAATGGGATCTGAGCACTGATAGATGGCCCTAGAATCTGTGTGTGGGGGGGTATTTCCATGAAACGTTAGCAGTCGCCAGTTGTTTTCACGTGCCACCCATGCCAGTCCCATCGTGGAACAAGAGTAACGGCCATTGAGTGTTACCGGTTGTAGGAATATTGGCACTGTTAATTCCTCCACCACCCATTCCCATTCCTTGTGGCTGCGATGCGCCATCATTGACAACACTACTGGGCCTAGTGCTCGCCCCGAGAGACATCAAAGCGTTTGCACTGTAGCGATCTTGGTTATCAACGACGGCAGCGGTCCATTCTTGCCATGTATTCCCTCCAGGCGTGGTCTGCCTCCACATCATGTCAGACGACGGCTGTTGCAGCGACGTCGCCTGGGCTGCGAAGGCGGAAAGCGGGTTGTGGTCCCCGATTGGGGTTTGACTCTGTTGGATTTGTGTTTGTGCTTGCGCTTGTGCTTGTGCTTGTCCTTGTGTTTGCACATGGGCGGCGGTCACTTGACCTGGCTGAGCATAGAGGTATGGATCTTCAGTTGTGTAGGGCAAATTTCCAGAATCATGGCCGGATGGATCGTTGTAAGGTAATGGAGGATAAGAGGCTTCGGCAGTTGGCTCTCCGTAATAGTTACCACGAGAAGGAGGAATGCCGGGGTTTGGTGTGTCGACACTAGGAGTTAAGGATAGGTCGGTATGAGAGGTTGGGTTGCCGGAGTTCGTCGCGGAATGCCCATTGGGCAATCTAGAAAAGCCCTGTTGTTGCGGTGACTGCTTAAGCATCTCTTGCGATACCTGAGGCGGTATTGATCCATTCAGCTTTCGCAGGCGATCATTCTCGATCCATGTGACTGTTCGATCAACAATAGCTGCTACAGAATCTCGCAGGCTTGAGCCGCATCCTGTGTACGTTAGAACCCTAGTCGTATTTGACTGCGCAGAAGACTTACCCATCAGATCACATGAATCCGCAAGGATGACCAGCCACGTATCCATGTCTTCGCGTAAAGCTGAGACCTCAGCTTGATCTGTCTCATGCCTACGCTCCCACACTACTGCGAGAGAAGTGAACATCGCAGCGACGTATTCTGCCACCGAGTACCATGTAGAGTCTTGAGACTTGAGCTTGTACAGCTTGTATGCGACATTCAGCATATCCTTGGCAGCCTTTTCGCATACTCGACTGTTTTCCGCTAAGAATTTCGGGTCGTCTGTCAAGGCAACAGATGGATGACGAAGACAAAGGCGGAATTCGTGCACAACATATTGCGCGTAAAGCGCGAACATCTCATCATGACCCTCACTCGACTCAGAGGGCTTCAAGGACTCCGGGAGTTCTTCTTGCCAGGTAGCGATTCTTGCCTCTAGTTCCTCCACCATTGCAGGATAGGTGGCTGGATCTCTCTTGGCGCAGTACATGGTAGCATACATGTCCAAGTATATGGCCGTCATGCGAAATCCAACTATACCAATCTCATATAGACATTTGCCCGTCTTCGACGTATCCACGCCATCTTTAGTGAGAAGTTCGTCGGGTATCATCTCTGGAAACTCCACGTCCATATCTTCGAGGCGAATAGGCATTGGCTTTCCCATACGCCCGTGGAGCGTAACGGTCATCAGAATGATGGACCACCAAACACGTTTGCGCATCTCATTCTCTAGGTGCGTGCCTGCTTTTTGATTCGGCATGGACCGGTGCAGTCCTAGCTCGAGAGCCATTCCAAGACAGATCCAGGTGACCATAGAACTGCAATCCGGTTTAGGGAATGATCTGGTGTGGGCGGCGATTATTGTGAGAGCTTGCAGATCTTGGAATGTTTTGGACGTGGCCAGGTCAAAGAACTTGGACAACGCGAAATGATAATGCTTGTTGGAGAGGTCCTTTAACTTAGCCTTCTGCTCTGGATTTTCGCGATTTCGAAGCCCATACTGGAGATAAATCGAAGCAAAGACCACATGCACCATAACAACCTCGGCGACAGTTGGCTTGAAGTTGGGGTCATCATATAGGCGCGTGAGCTAAAATTGATCAGCACTTGAACAGTAAACAAAAACAAGACAGTATATGATTTACTTACGACATTCATGAAAGTCGGCTTGTGCAAGACTGGAAGAAAAGGGTATATCATGAGAAAGTACCATTCAGCATAAGTGAAAGCGTCTGCTCTGGGTGGGTATTCCACGTGCAATTGAGGATTGATATTGGTGCATGATTGTAAGAACGCTTGTGTTGATTTGTTGTATAATGGTGATTTCGCCTGGACACCTACCGGAGGCTCGTCCATATCTGGTGCCTCAAATGCGCCGAGGTCAATCGTACTACCCAATATTGATAGAGTCGTCCCCTTGATAGAACTCAGTGGAGCATGGTCGGTTGAGACTCCTAAATGAACATCTGCGGACTTCTTGCCGAAGAAGCTGGCGGGTGCACGAGGGACGCGTGGTGCTGGTTTTTGAGTCTTCACCCATAGCGATGGGCTCATTTGTGTCCAACTGTCCTTGCTATCGGCCACGGGCGCGCTCTGGATCGAATTGCCATGCGCATCGTATGTGACATTCGAGGAATAGCCTTGATCTTGTAAGAATAAAGGTCCATCAAAGGGCTTCACCTCAACGCCATTTGAGCCGAGCAGTTTCTCGAGGTCTCGTATATGGTTGAGCATATCGGTCTTCTCGCGTTCCAACTCTTGCATGTAGCCCCGACGCTCTGTGCGCCCTGTCACTCGGTCTGTCACGTAGCATTCGAGGTTTTGGTTGATGCAGTGGGAGCATCCTTCGGGCAATGCATCGCAACGGATCTTCCGTACTTTGCAACGGTCACAAGCCTAGAGATGGGTGTCAGTTGTCATAGGTAGGCGTATATATATACCCCGAGTTAATTGGTGCGCGGGACTATGCAGTGCGAACAAACTTACTTGGCCTGTCCTGGTGTAAGACGATAGTTTACTCTTGACAACGCTCGAGAAGTCATTTGGTGTGCCGCCGCGATCCAACCTTGGCAATTTGCATTTTGTCCCTTGTCCTTCAATACCGTCGATCTCAAGCTCGCCGGGCCGCTTGGGCGGACGCCCTGGAGGCATGGTCTGGTGCCGATGTGTTCCCCCAATGCCTGTTTGGGAAGCTCAGTTATGACAAAGCAAGCCGATAGTAGATCCAACGCGACAATGGAGTTTGCCGGTACAGCGTGGACGTATAGAAGCTTAATCGCAGACGAATGCGACGGGAAGCTCTTTACCTGGGACTGGGAGTGGGCTTTGCGACGGTAACTGCCGCCGCGAATTGAGAGATCAGATCGAGGATGGAACTTGCCGTGTGAGAGATGTGACAGACGATTGGAGGATATAAAAGGGAAAAAACAAAACGTCGTTCTCAACCCCCCTGGCCAAGACCCTCAATGCAAATGTCGCAATATGTCTGATTTGTCTGGGAAGAGACTAACAGTTACACTTTACGGAATGTCGTCGAGCTCAAGGATTTTCTTTGTTGTGGCCCCCTGGAATCTCTCTTCGCTGTTGGCGTCTGTGATGAGAAGCACCTGACACAGGAAAGACCCTGGACGCGTGTGGCCTTGGCCACAAGCTACTGTACGGGCACGATGTGGTCCCACACTCCCGCTGGCCCACGATACGATACCACAGTAGCAGGGGGACAAAGCCCCGATAGCTATGGGCGATGGGTCGATCTCATACAGCAGCAGTACGCAGTCGGTTGTTTGAATTGGACCGACTCGGTCTGAGAAGTCAGGACGCCCCCAACGGTATCATGAGAGATGCCGGGGAAAAGGCACGGAATGAGTCAGTTGGCGGCAAAGTTAAAGCGTCGACACGTAAGTCATGAAAGCCACGACCTGTGTTGTCTTACTTAAACCTCCCGAGTCCTGACATGCTGTCAACCGGTCGTTTGAGTGCCTCGATGTATTTATGTCTCACGGCAGTTGACGAGAGTTGGGAGATACCCCAGAATATATCAGACATGTGTTGGCGGGTAAGAGCAACCGCAAAGTATGGTCCCCACGGTCTTGGCCAGTTCATCGTAGAATAGAGTTTTAGTCCATGGAAGAAAGCAAGCACCGGGCTAGAAGGCGGCCACGCGCCTGCTTCCCCTATGGTGTCAGTTCCCCGAGCGCTACTGTATCTCAGTTGAACATGGTGTAGTGGAGGCGGCTGGTCCCCGCTTGTGTCTTTGAACCGTTCATTAAACTCTTGCGAGCAGGAAACTCTAAGGTTAGAAAGTACTTTGTAGATTGAGAGTCCACGTTTGCATTCATCGAAATCGCCAACTCATCACCTCCCGTCTGGTCTCAATTTCTCTCCTTCTCCACCGCGGGGGCTCACCTTCGAACACGAACTAGCAACCAGGTCAGACTTATGTAGCAAACAAGTACAATCTCCTTCGGAAATTTTCCTGCTCGGGCAGGCAATTTGAACCATATGCCTAGACTTGTCTATGGATGACTTGGTCTATGCCATATGCTCTGTTTTCGGTGGCTTTGTTTACTGGAAAGGTCGATCGCTTCCTACACAGTGAGCATAAGAAGAACTAACCTAGGTACTCCGTATAGCGGCGTACAGTAGGCATGCACTCTACTGTGTATGCAGTTGCGGGGCCCATGACGGCGGCATCGTCTCGTGGGCCCGGGCCGATGCAAGAAGCTCTTGCATCTGTCAAGATCCTGCATCGTCCAACACTATTCCTCAAGTTCTGCATGCCAAAGCTTTCACGCCAGTAATTGCCGCTGTCAGGGAGCATCTATGGAATGTTTCTTTGCTTGGTTGGTGAACATAGGTAGGGGTCAGTGTGCGGACCTCAACCGCGTAATCTTAGTTTTCTTATCGCTCCGGCACTTGCTACCCGAACCCATCAAAGATCGACAGGTCCCAAAGACCAACTCGCCGACTAGATACCATAACTGTTAGGAGCTTGCTAATAAACCCAGCAAAATAAACCGCCTAGGGATCAATCAGACCAGCATATTTACACAGAGCACTGTGTACGGCATTGACTTTCGGCTAGATATCAGCTGATAGACAACACTGTAGACCATGAACACGCACCAAACCAGACAGCCTGGCCCATCATATACCACAGACGTCACAGATGCACCCAAGCAGCAGAAGTACAGAAGTGCGTGATGGTCTGCATGTGCAGCTTACGATCTAGGCCTTTGTTAGAGTTTATGTCTACCACGAAGCTAATCGGGGACCTGGAATGTGCGGCTCTCCTAACTTAGGGGCTACGTGCTCTAGTCGGCGCCTCTCGGCAGATGGTGGCTCGCATGGCGGTACATCATTTTCAGACGGGAGGGGAGTAGGCAGCTGGTAGGCAATCAATACTGTGTACAGCGGTCTGCCTCCCCAGGGGGTACCGGTAGACGCTGCTGCATTGAACGGGGAACCGATCTCCAGATCGTACCATAGTATACAATGCCCATGCCATTAAGAAGAAGCCCACGTGTGAGAGTGACATCGCCCCTTGAGTCAGGAAAACAGCTGATTGCGGCGCGGGACCTGTAAGTGAAAAACGGTCCTTTTCGCAGAGCAGCACTTAATTCGAGCGAAGTCATTCCGAACATGAGCCGTGACTTTTCAAGTGCTTACTCGATATGAACATACTCTAAATTCTGACTCATCTACAATCCAATTTACAGATAGTCTAGAGGGTTTTCGTTAGAACAAGCCAAAACTGCTCGAGAATCAGGGAAGTGCTGTAAATTAATTAAGTGCTTCAGTGAGTTTCATGCTGACGGAATGCCTCTACCATGAAATATTACAGTGCTGAAGATACCCCTCAAGCACCTGAATCCTCTCTTGATAGGGCCCCGACCAGGTGCGCACAGCTGCTGCATCGCAAGCTCGCCCGTCGCGATGTGCGCTGAAAACTACCAACATACCCCGCCAAAATTTTGGAACCCCACCACGGTGACGATACAAGGCACAACACAACCGGGCCTGTAGAACCCGCGCGGGCGCCTTTGAAGCATCAAATGATTACCTAGTTAGACCAGAGAGACGCTTGACTGGCCGACACCCAGCGTCCACATTTATTCCGACATCTTGTGCCCTCAACAAGACAGTCCACATCTCTCTTGCAAGAAGAAGAAGACAAAGAAGAAAAGAAAAAATGCTCGAGACAATACCCCTAGAGCACATCCCCAGCACGCACAGCGTGCACGTGGCGCTGTTCCGCAACGTCGCCAACGCATCGCACCTGCAGTCGCAGCTGCTGGGGCGGAATCCGGACTTCGAGTATGCGTTCGTGGACGCGTCGACGGTGGCCTCGCGGTTCCACCTGCTGTCCGCCGTCTACAAGGCCGTCGGCATCGAGATCTCGGGCAACATGAAGACGCCCAACGTCCATTCCGAGATCGTGTGCTCGTTGAGCTCGAACAATAATGTGAGTTTTCTAACGGGGAGGGGGGTCCGTTTCTCATTTTGATGTATAATATATATTCCGTGATTTCCTTCTCTATGTAACCGCTTTATTACATATGTTCGATCATGACTATTTTCAGTCATCCTATCATGAAACGCTACTAATATATCTTACAGATCTCAGAGGCGTATAGGAGGTTCGGCATCCAGCCCTCGACCAAGGATATCGTGGTCGTAAAGGTGTTGGTCTCCCGGGATGAGACGCCCAGCGTCATCACTCCCGAGGACGTAGAGAAACACCTGACGGAGCACGTGCAAGGAGAAAGCGTGCCTTTTAGTGATGACGAAATCGCGAAACTGACAGACTGGCCGAAATTGCGCAAGTACCACAAACTAAACGGGGTCAACTATGTTGAGGGTATCAAAGACGAGGAGGTGAAAAGGAAGGAGCTCGGGTTGCTGGTGGTCTCTGCGATGGCCTTGCGAGGTTTGTAATCGCATGACATGACCAGGAGATGTGGTCGAGATAGACTTTTAGAGAATGATACCCATAAATGCAACCAACTACGAAGCCCCTGACTTGAGCTTGGGGGGAGTTGGTGTCCGTACGATCATGGAGCTAATTCGACAATTCTTATTCGAATATATGAGGAAATTTCTCGCGATAGAGCTCCAGGACTTCCTTGGGAGGACCAATTTTGGTTCTGATGGCATTGACGGCCCCAGCACCACCATCAACCCTGAGACCTTCCAGTGAAGTTGCACGAGAAAGAGCAACATAAGCCTGGCCCGGACCCCATATCTTCTTGAGGTCGACAATGAGACGCTCCAGCGTAAGACCCTGGCTCTTGTGTATCGTCATCGCCCAGCCAGGGGCCAAGGGGACCTGTGTCCGCATCGTGAGGCTGTGAGGAGCCGCCCCTCCGCTGACTTGAGAGACGTTGCAGTCAGCTTGGATGGTGCGAGTCTGGCCGTTGTGGAATCTGACCACGGGCCACACTCTCTTGTTGACACCCGGCGGTTCCATGTATCGTCTGACTTCCCGCCACCTGATCTCGGCGCGTCTAAGGCCTTCTGGGTCGTCTTTGTAATTTTTGGGGTTTGGGTAGGAGGGCAGTTCCGACTTCTCGTGGTCCTCGAACCCAGCAACAATTCCTTGACTGCCATTGCAGAGACCTCGTTCTAGATCTAGGTTCCTCAACAAGATGACAGGCATGCCAACTTTCAGCTCTAGCTTGTGAGGGAGACGTGTACCTTCCAGAGCCGTCAAAGGCGCCCTACCCTGTGGACCCCATCCCCGACTGCTCATATGGTGGAGCTCTGGATGACAACACTCGAACTCATCAAGACTCCAGTAGGTAAATATCTCAGCCTGAAGCTTTGCAAATTCCATGGCGTTCAATTCGTTGACTTCCTTATTTGTGGAAGATAATTTGACTGCCTTGTCGACATTGCATTCGTGATCCATAAGCAGCTTGATTTCCGCCTCGGTAAGCCGTTCGCCAATGCGGCACTTCTGAAGGATTTTGATGAATGCCTCATCACTTTGACGGTGTATTTTCGTCAGGTGAACGTGAGCAAAATTACATGCTTTCCAGGACTCGCTCTTGAATGCCCATTGATCTTCATCGTGATATGTTATCGGTCGTGGGCATTCAGGACAGGTATATTGTTTGGTTGACCCGTCTCTGGTCATCTTCATCTTCTGCCCACAATCTCCGCAATATTCAAGTCCATTGATCGGGGGCAGTTGACAGAAGTCTCCTACAACGATGACCTGGCAACCGCCAAATGGTTTCGGATCCTCGTCACCATATTGTTTGACCACTGACAGGGCCCGGCTTATCCGGTCCAAATGAAAATTATTGACCATGCTGATCTCATCTATTATCAGAACGTTTGTGTCTTTCAATCGTTTTGCGGACTGTTTCTGCCACAGTTTGCCGCCCAGCTCTCCGAAGGGCTTGGCGTTGTCTTCAGGTTTCCAGCCCAAGAAACTGTAGGTTGTTGTGCCTGAAATGTTCAGAGCCGCAACTCCCGTCGGCGCAACAATGGATACATTTTTCTTCATTTCGCGGAACTTCTTTTCAATGTAGCGTACTACAACTGACTTGCCGCAGCCGCCAGAGCCAGTCATGAATAGGTTGCGACCTCCAAGGGCGTAGGCCACAGCTTGCCGTTGCTCCTCGCAGAGCTCCGGCTCCTCAGCGGCGATTTCCATCCCGGCTTTGTCGTCGTGGAGTCCATCTACGGACGACTTCTCTCCCAATACTTCTCCATACGCTGGAAACAAGATTTCGCTATGCACATCGCCATAATCTTCGCTACCATTATCTTCATTTACACCCTGGACAGCTTGAGGTTGGCGTGCAGTAGTTTGCTGGATACCCGGAGGAGCAGGTTGAGTTTTGTGTGTCGACTCAAACTCTTGCTTAGAACGTTGCGCGTCGTCTTGTTCCTGGAGCTTTTTGGGATATTTCTCCCGCACGAATGACTGGGCGTCTCCAAAGGACTTGCAAGTTTTGTCTGTATGTAAATTATCAGCACTTTCGTCACGTTTCCTTAGGGAGCGTATGAGTACGAACATACATCAGGCCCATTCCAACCCGGATACTTATTCACCTGGCGCTGACAAGCATCCCAGTTTGTGAAGATACCCGGCTCCCGAGCCACAAGAGCAACGTAGTACTTTTTGCTATACTCGCTGATGCCGTTTGTCCATTGCGCAAGGATCGATTCCACTCTGTCGCTCATGGACTGCTGTGGAGCCGCCATGTTGCTCAAAGGCTGTCGCTGGTGTGCTCTCTGGTTTGAATTTTGCCCAGGACTTCTGTTGCTTGAAGTTGGAGATTGTTGGACAGGAGCGATGGTTCCGTGTCGAGCATTCCTCTGCGTGCCAATGCTTGATAAACCATGGCTGAAGTTGAGGCGCTTCTTGCGCGGTTCGTGCCTTTGGCCAAAGGCATTTTCCTCATCCGAGTCGGATAAAGAAACAAATTCTGGAAGCTCCTCCTTTCTAGGCGGTGGCTTTTGTCGCTTTGGTGGAGGCGCATCGTCCTCGCTGTCACTGAGCACTATCGCCTCGGCGGAAGTGTGCCCTGTGGACAGTTGCTTCCTAGTATTCCGCCGGGGGCGAGCTAGAATGCGATTAACATCGTTGTCATCTGGCCAATGATATGCACTTACTCTTACCACCTTGAACATCAAAGAAGAAGCTTTCCGACATCTTAAACAACCGTAGCCGTATCAATGGCCCAAATCAGTTACTTAATCCAAACCGACATCTACGTCAGATGCCGAGAGCTAATGAACGCGTGAAGTCGCGGGGATGTTTTAGCACGCGTGTGTGGAGTACTCTTAAGTTAAATTAGTTTGCAAGTATGGGACGCTGCAAAGCTAAAAGATCGATTTTCGGGCGAAGAAATTCTGGGGAATTCTAAGAAGTCTATGTAACATCAACCGATTGAGTATTGGAGAACCGTGTGCGAAATTGCAAACAGAAAACGATCGGGAATGCAATCACGAAGACGCGATGCGGCCAATGGACCGTACCAATGCTGGTCCGGGGGCTTCCAATGATTGACGTGACATCATGCTACAACGATTGAAGTTGGAAGATCAATGGAATCGACATGATTAGGGTCGCTGTGTTTGAAGATGCGTATGGAGGACAACTATCATACAGTTTCTACTGTGTAGATAACTAGATAACCTAGTCTAATCTAGATTTTAATCAGTCGCCGATTCGATACAAAAGTTGGTGACGAAGACAAGAAGACCAGGAATCGCAACAATGATCATCGCAGTCGCTATAGAGTTGCATAAAGTTATACATTGTAAGCCCGGACCATATGTAGACACCATTGCCGCAGGACCGCTCACTCCGTTTATTGCCTCTAGCTCGTCCATGTCCCCTGCCTGGATACTCCCACGTCTGCCAAGTGGGTACAGCCCCGTCTTAGCCTGTCCGCAGGTAGCCGAGCAATGCTATACTCGGCCGCATTCGGTCATGATGATGGGGATCCATTGGGTTTCAAGCTGGGTCATGTGCGGTGCCCCGTAAAAATGTTCTCGGTGCTATTAGGTGATCATTTGAGTATGCAATATTGAGGGCAGCCGCTGGTGCCGGTCCTTTTTGCGCATAACGGTACTATCTGACAGCATAGGCTCTTTCTGTGGTAATAACGAGCTGGTCCAATAGTTTTAATGCTTGGCACCTCATGGGCTAGTCGTTCACGTATCGTAAAGCGCTGGAGGCACAAGATTAAGAAAGAAATTGTGGTTCTCAAGCAAAAGCTGCACAATACGGAGTATGGTTGAACGAAGAGGTCGTTTAAAAATAGTTTAATTCTGAATAGGTATGCCATCCGTCGAATCATAGCTCATAAAACCTGATACTCCTAATAATGCTGTAACAGAACGCTCGCACTTCTCTGTCTGTCCTGGCTGCAAATGTGTATTGTGGTATAGTGCAACCTCTTTTCGCTCAATCCGTGAACAAATTTCAACGTCAAAATCTTTTGACTCCCTGAAATAACGCCTTCAACTATGCTTTGAATAGAAGAAAAACAAATCAAGCACGACCAAGAGAGGTCCAGAAGCGCCTCTTGACCTCACCCCACATGGCATCACGTCCGCTGCGCGTACGGCCAACGGCGTCCTTGTTCTCGTTGGCACGGCGCAGGAGGTACTTCATGCACTCTCCCGTGGTGCCCCAGACCAAGTACTTGTAAGCGCGCGTGCTGTCGCCAGAGACCTTGTCGTCCTTCTTCTTGACGCAAACCAGCTCGCAGCTCACCTCGTCTGCCATACCCTGCAGCTGGGCCATGGCCAGCTCGCCGACGGGGCCTTGTGCCGGGAATGTAGTGGGTGCGGGAACGGAAATGGAGTCACGGATAGCGCGGGCATGGCGGACGGAGTCGAGGTTGTGCGAGGCGATCAAGAGGGACACGAGAGGGTACTTGGCGTCCTGGGAAAGAACGTCGTTCCACTCACGACGGATCAGGGACTCGGAGATGCCATCATAGCACTTGTCCGTGTCCTCCTTGGTATCATGGATGATGTGGCGGGGGTCCGCGCCGAGGTAAGCACCACGGACGAGCTTGACACCAAGTGTGAAGCCCTCCTTAGCCGCAGCTGCGAGATGCGAGCCAAGGACAGCAGGGCAGGCCTTCAGGTATGCCTGGTATGTACCGTAGATGAGAGCGTGGCCGGGAACAGTGTTGTACTTCTTCTGGTATTCAAGAGTCCAATCGTCAATGCCGGACTGGAGGGCGGTCTGCTCAGCATCGAAGAGGAGAGGAATGTTGCGCTCGCGAGCGAGGTCGCAAACAGCATCGATAGCAGCTCGGAGTTCTTTGGGAGGTGGTAATCGGTTCTTGAGGGCGTATAGAGCTTGTCGACCAGCACCGGTGAACTTGAGAGAGACAAAATCGCCTTGTTGAGCAAGTCGGACTGTCTCCATGGTTCCAGAAGCCCAAGGGCTGATCTCATGCTGTACGCACTCATCCTTGTCGGCTCCCGTGTCGCAAGCTGTCAGGTTCTCGGTTTGCGACTTCGAAAGAACCACCTCCTTAGCATAGCCTAGAATGACGCCCGTGAAACCAATCTTTCGCAGACCGTCAACTGTTCTGCGAACCTCCGGAGCATTTTCACCTGCGCAGAACTGCGCATAGAATGTCTTCTTCAAAAACCATCCCAAGACCGGGTTCTTGTCAGGGTTCAAGATAGGGTTCTGTGTGTGCGCCAAGACGTTCATAGCCATCAGCGACGGTGGAAGGAGAAGAGGCGACGAAGAAATAGTAGTTGTGGCAAGTGTCCGGAGGACTGTGGGAAGCGGGAGAACGGAAAGTGGCGCTATCTTCTTCTCCATTGTTGCCGCTTCTCTCTTCAATCGAGACTCGATAGATGTGACTGAATTTGCGTCCAAGACGGAGGTTTCATGTGGGGAAGACTTGCTGGACGATGAATGAATTCGTCTTCGTGGCTCGTTGGCTTCCATGGCATATTTTGTTGTGGAAAAGGACCGTGAGACAAAGAGAACGCATGGCTGTCTAACAATCCTCAGAGACGGGACGGCCGACGGCCTTCCCAACAATGGAGCTTGCAACATTATAAGTAACACAATGTATTTGCACTGGGTGATGGGAAATGTCCAATGCTAGCTAGGACACGGGAAGCTTTGCGATACGATGTTGAAAGAGCCCGGTGGAATGGTAAGAAGTACAGTCGAGGTATGAGTTCAAGTCTGAAGTTAAATCATTGCTGGGAAGGGGGGTATGGAGGGCATTCATCTATAAATCTACGTTCAGAGATAGCCAATGGCGGTGGCTAGGTAAGTTTGATATCGAAATGGATCGTAGCTTCCGACGTCTGAGACGGCTCGCATCTCCGATATTCGCAATAGGAACTGAATCGGCTGGATATACGGCGCGTAACAGCAGCATAAACCCGTGCAATCCAGTCCAGATTCCTGCCATGATGGCCTTGGCCTGTTTGAAATTCCAATCAGGTGATTGATGACATAGAATTACGCTTTGCTGCCGTGCCTTATCAGACCCCCGTAACGTGGGTGGAGAGTTCGAATAGATTAGAATGCCGCCTATAGCCGGGCATGATACCCCGCCATTGACCAATCAGCCGTGTTACCGTGACAGGCCGTGGGATATGCATGCAAGATGTGAGCGAGACGTGAGGACGCCAGCCCTGTTTTGAGCATAGCTCCTGGTCCGCGGCATCGGTGAAGCTTTGAACTTGCCATAGCATCCCGTGCAAGTGCTGAAGTATAGCGCAATCTGCTTCGGCTCCAAAAATCAGTCTCGGCTCAGGGTGGATCTACTTCTTCCTTTTCTACTGCTTCGATTGTGGGGGAGCAAAGAGCAAGGAGCAAAGAGTAACGAGACACTTGTGCAACAATGGAACTGTCGAGCTAACCTTAGAACCACGCACCCGTAACGGCCTAGTAGAGCAGATTGCCGAGAGGCAGACTTCCCAATGCAACCTGTGCGAATATTTCTCGTCTCTTTTGGCTGTTGCATCCGACGAAGCCACTCCAACACGTTTATTTGCATCCTAGGCGGTCCACTTTTTTCGCAAACACCGATGCTGCTGCACAAGGTGATTTGTGCATGACACTGGAGCGAGGGAGCCTGGAAGCCAACCCTGCCGATATCTTGATGGTACAATACTCTCTGGACGAAGCTTGGGTAGCGAAACGCTTTCTCCAGAGTGGATCATAGGCCAAAGTCGCGTCCGCAATTCGGTCTGGATGCCCTGTGCGACTGCTAGTATTCCTTGGATAACCGAGCAATGGGGATGGTGGAGCAGGACTATTTGGATATCCATCACGATGGTATGATAGTCGCAACGGACTGGATATTATTATATGGTTTGTTCATCTTGAGCCTCCGCACTGCTACCGATCTGTCTGCGCAGGAATTCGATGTACCCGACTGGTCGGCCCCTTGCAAGCGAAAGCGCATCTTGAATCGCGCCATAGACGACGCCGACGATCAATCCTTTTCGTGCTGTTCTTGCACCTTCGGCTGCCGAGAATCGATCTGCATTCATCAACCACGATCAGTAAAGACGACGGGAAGCGGGCGGCGTGCACCGATGGGAACTACTTACTTATCAGACTGAAGCCGCTAGCGACGGCCAAACTGGCAGCGATGGTGTTGAACATGTCCTTGGAACCTCTGTAGACATCAAACAGGTTCTCGGTGCAGAACATGGCAGTTGTGATCACGCTCAGCCGCGCGCCATTGCTGAAGCCTTCTTTTAAACCTCCAAACATGAGGTGATAGTTCTTGCTCTTGTGATATAGATACCAGCCGGTGGTGGTTGTGGGTAGCTTATGTGCGTGCTCAGCTCGGAATCGTAGACCGGCCATCTGACTGCCATGTGCAAGACCCAAGGTGAAGCCCATGCTGAAGGCGGCGACCGCGGCACCGGGTATGCGGACCATGGGTGGTAGCGAAAGTCGAGACTCCATCCATTGCCTGTCGTATTCTTCGCGCGACACTTTTGTTCTGCTGCTCTGCCGGCGTGGTTCTCGTGGCTCCTCCATGCTGGGCGGAAATGGCTTCGGCCTCCCGACAAACAAGGTTTCGCTGTCGACTCGGACTGGGGCGGAGGGAGAGGATACAAGCGACAAGTATGAACGTGGTTCTTCGGGAATCCCCTGAGTGGTTGGTTGATGGATCCGGGGTTGTGATCTGTGATGGTTTATCTGAATGTTCAGTACGGATCCGTCCCGACGGCTTGATTCTTTGTTCTGCCCTGTCTGGACCCCTGCCACTTTTTTTCCGGGGGCCTTTTGGGCTGGAGCTTGGGCCGCTAAAATGCAACCACTTTATTCTGGTTCACTTTCTCACGTTCTCACGTGCAGACGTGTTTCCGCTCTGCCTTGATCAGCGAGCTATGTACGTGCAGGAGTCCAGGAATTCGGTATTCATAAAAGTGGCGATTTCCGTGTTATTTCACCCGAACTCAAGCACTTCTCTTCAAGGAAACTGAAAATAAAGAGGAATAAGAAGAAGAAGAAAACACTGACACGGCCCCATATCACGAAAGAAGAAAAAGAAACTTGACGAGAATGGTAGGTTACACCATATGCTATCATGACAAGCATGACGCTAACAAAAACATCCCAGGTTCGTCGAGACCAAGTTGACGACATAGACTTGTCTATTCGCTTCAAGTATGGCATACACACGATATTCCTGTTCGTTGACGCCAACTCGACATTCTCAGACATCTCTGCAGAGCTCCTGGATGTTTTGAGAGAGCGCTACCCTGACGGCCTGAAGGCGGACAAGGACAGCCCGGAAACTGCACTTCCAGATGATGCCTCAAGGATAGAGTACGCAACGCTGGAAGTGGCCGGCGACCCTAGTCAAGGATGGAAGGCACTCGACGCAAAAGGCAATGACACGCCTATGTTCAAGAAGATCAAGGACAATCAGGTTGTGGCGTTTGCATTCCGTGATGAGGCTGTGGAGGAGTTTGGTGAGGTGGTCTTCGATGTGGCTTTCCCTATTTACGAGGAGGAAGAGGAAGTCGACGATCAATGATGTGAATGAAAAGGACTGCATCTAATTGGTACGAGAAGACGTTTATGACAATAAATTACGCGCATCGTATTCCGCATATGCATTTTCAAGAGTTGCACCGCCACCCGCCATGATGGAACAGATAATGCAATTTATGATCATGATTCGACCAGGCAACGACTAGATCCTGCCAACGATACAATGATTGACCCGGACTAGCGCTATCGTATGGGATTTTGCTGTGTACATAGATGCACTTATCCTCTGCTCAGATCGTGCCCACACGATTTGGGCAACATCAGCAAGTACTCGGACCCGGTGAATGGACTTTGTTCTACGAACTTCCCAGAGGACCACTGCTAATGATTGCCCTCGCATATTGGATTCATCGCAAGGTTTGTTACGACAGGCAAATAAGATATGTATGCGTGCATGTGTATTCAAGTCTTAGCAATCAATGTGTATCGGCGGCCTCGTAGGAGTCACACACGGGACAGAAACTTACTGTGCTGTACGTGCAGGTGAGAACTTATTATTACATACCTACATAGCGCTAACTGGAGTTGAACAGTCGGTGGGGGTGGACGCCTGGGCTGAGCTGGGGGAGGACCCCGATCCGAACCCTCAGGGGGGTCTGTCTGCCTTTTGTCTGTCCAAGCTTGCCGATCCCCTATCCTGAGGCGTGGGCTCCATCTCAAAAAGCTGTCATGGTTCCGTCTTCTTTTGTATTGTGTGTTTTGCGACAAGCACGCCTCTTTCCTTGATACTTTTTATTCCTCTGGCCTCGGCCGCATGCCGCTAGCTACATGTCCCCCGCGGCTTTTCTTCGCAATGGCTTGCGAGTCCTCATTCCTTTTGCCGTGATCCTCACCACCTACCTGTACCTCTACCCAGTCTTCCTGGGTTGCGCGTTTCCGCTCCCCGACTCGCAACCGGCTTCGGCTGCTTTCCAGTCTACCCTGCGCCAACACATAGGCAATGGGCAGCCCAACCTTGCGCCTTTCCGTCTGCTGGCGTTAGGCGACCCCCAGATTGAGGGCGACACATCGCTTCCGAGCTACTATCGCGAGCCTTTCAAGCATCTCAACAACTTTGCGCGGCAGGTCACATTCAAGACCTCGCACTCTTCTTTTCGCGAGCGTGTGAGGCAGTCACTACACGACTTGGTGGACGTCTACTTGGAGGATGTTCCAGACGCGATCGAGACGATCAGGAAGCGCATCGACCTTTTCGGCAACGACTTCTACCTCGCACATATCTACAGGACGCTCAAATGGTGGACCAAGCCGTCACACGTCACAGTACTAGGGGATCTGGTCGGCAGCCAGTGGATCGGCGACGAGGAGTTTGAGAGGAGAAGCTGGAGATACTGGAACCGAGCGTTTCACGGAGGCGAGCGCGTGCCAGACGAGGTGGCCGTGCCTCCTGCCGACGAGTACGAAGTGACGGGGTATCTGGGAAGCGAGCCAACGAATGGAACCATATGGCGAAAGCGCATCATAAACATTGCCGGAAACCATGACGTCGGGTATGCGGGCGATCTGACCGTAGAGCGACTGGAACGGTTCGAACGAGTCTTTGGCAAGGCTGCTTACGAGCTTCGATTCGAGCTGCCTATCACGAACGAAACTGTAAGCGCCACAATCATGGGTGCGAACGGAAACCCAGACTCTACACGCCTTGCACCCGAGATCAGGATCGTTGTCATCAACAATATGAATCTCGACACGCCTGCCATCACCCCAGAGCTCCAGGATCATACATACTCCTTCGTCAATGACGTGATCAACACCGCTGCTGCTGTGGAATACCAGGGTCACTTCACTGTGGTTTTGACCCATATTCCATTGTATAAGCCGGAAGGAGTATGTGTCGACGCCCCATACTTTGATTTTCACTCATCCGACGATGGCGGTGGCGTGAAGGAGCAATACCAGCTATCCGCCGATGCATCCAAGGGTTTCCTAGAGGGAATCTTCGGTTTGAGCGGGGACGCAAACGCCCCGGGCAATGGCAACGGTCGGCGCGGTGTCATCCTGAACGGGCATGACCACGAAGGATGCGATATTTACCACTTCATCAACCAGACCGAAGAGACGTCAGAGGACCACAAGTGGGAGACTGTACGATGGAGTGATGCTCAGAACAGGGATATTCCTGGACAGCCTGGCCACCCTGGTCTGCGCGAGCTGACCGTCCGTAGCATGATGGGTGGGTTCGGTGGAAACGCCGGCCTCCTCAGTGCTTGGTTCGACGAAGAGACGTGGGAATGGAAGTTCGAATTTGTCAACTGTGCTCTTGGAAAGCAGTACTTATGGTGGTTCGTGCATATCATCGATCTCATCACGATCGGTGCGATCCTTGTCTGCGCAATTTGGAATGTTCTTCTGGCTGCGGGTGTTGTCGAAGACAGATGGCCTGCTTTCATTGCTTCAGGGGTTGAGAAGAGTGCTGTGTCGCCGAAGGCTGAGAATAATGTCGCCGTACCAGGAGGTAACAGTGTGGTCAAATCAGGATAGGGGGAATGGGGAATGGGGTTAGGATATCTGCATTCGGCCGGTAGGCTTTGGCGTTAGTGTATAACATATTCATGCATGGGGTCGGCCGGGCTTTTTGCGTACAGACAACATAGCATTGCAAGCATTACTACCATGGGAATAACCATATTCATTCTACGGAAATGAGATAAAAACTGGTAGCATTGGGTTTCTACTCCTGACTGCGAATTTGCTGAAATCAAGAACATGGTGTAATCACAGGAGTCTCCAGTAGCTAGATATGTATGATAGTTACATGGCTACGCGATGTAGCTAAGTGATGATCTTACCTTGCTGAACAGCTACTACCACAGGAGAACAAATACTACCAAGGTTGAACACCGACTGAGAGTACAGCTTAATGGTTGGTAGTATAGGAGTATTTTCATATTGAATGTGCTGAAAGTCAGGAAGAGACGGCCTAGATGAGACTATCGCTAGCAATCACAATTCCTAGTAATATGCTTGATACAGCCACCGGTACTGGCGGATAGTCGTCCGTATAATTAAAATCGGGCAATCGGTGTCAATTAGAAATCACTCAATCGCAGACCGGTTCAGCAGACGACACTGCCAGCACCAAGCCTAACACACATCAATACTGACACAACCGGCCATCGCCCCCAGCATACAATGTCGCATCCGAGCTCTAACAGGCCTAGGATTTCGGGGGTAAGTAGAGCACCGGACACAAATAGGAATAATGAATTGCATACCCCTACCTCAGATCTTCCGTGCCGACTGATCAGATGCACCGAGGAGCGTGTGAAGTTACAGGTGGCCGGAAGTAAACGATCGTGGTTTCTCTACAAGCAACGGCTCTCCGAGGCATCAGACTAGTTTCGACAGGCCCTTACAGAGAGCAAACGTTCTCAGCTTGGATGCTAGCGAAGAAACACTTGATGGTTTTGCCAATCGGCTCTACAATGGAATTACCGAATCAGAAGATCTCGGTCGGATCGAAGCAAAAACATGAACGAGATCGACCTTCAGAAGGACAATCAGCATCCGATCATCAATCAGAGAGCAATAAGGTACCCCTGATATTCTGGGCAGCCTCTTATCATCGCCTGGCTCATCCGCTCCCAGCCTTGCGCCTTGGTATGCTGTGATGAAGCGGAGAAAGAACCGCGTGCAAGCACGGTTGTTGGACCTCTACCTCTTTGGTAAATCCCACAATTTTCCGAAGCTTGCGGTCGATGTAATGATCGAATGGCAGAGATTTGCCCATCGACTTTCTCTTCTTCCAAGTGATCGCGTCATAGTCCGGGGTTGGGAGGAGGCTCGACCAGGAAGACCTACTGCGACATCTGCAGGTGGCAGACTATGGCTACAATCAAGAATTCTCGGAGGATAAGCTCGAAACAAGTCAACTGCCGTTTGATCTTCTTGTGGGAGTCATTCAGATGACACACCGCAGACTCTCTAAACAGGCGCTTTGCAATCCTAATTTAGACTGGTGCCGATATCACGAACATCAAACCGCAGATGAAGAGGACGCATGCATTCTTGGACGCGGACGAGTACGGACGCAACAAGAGATTAAAGCGGATTATGAAAAAAGAAGAACGGATTGGCAACCAAGTAACAAAATGCTTTGATTTAGGTCAGCGCAGGGAGGTGTTCTTGAGACAACCAGCATGGTAATAACACTCTACGGTAGTGCTAAGCAAATAGGCATGTGATCAACACACAGGATATTACGATACTAGTTCCTTAATAATTGAGACCGACATTACAACTGAATAGTGAGTTCGATGTCAGTATGGAATAATCCCAAGATAATGTTATGAGTCCCATAGGTGAAGTCGGAGTAAATCTCAAAATTAGAAGGAGCCCTTTGATAGATCCGATTACATGAACATAAGTGTGAAGTGAAGTAAACCTTTGTCGAGTGAGCTTGAACAAATGTGCTGTGCTGATACATCAATTCAATTCAAATCCACATCGACGGCACATGGCTACGGCGATGGCGACTCAAATCTACGGTAAACCCAACCAAAATCCATATGCCACTGGACCAGCAGCAGCTGGTTCAACTTCAATAACACTTTTCAGTCCACAAATTCCTGACCTCAACACCACAACACCACAACACCACAACAAAATATCAAGCTCACTCCCTTAGACAAGCAACAATCGCGGTATCATGGCTGACGAAACAAACTTAACGGAGCCCAGCGCATCAAACCCTCCAGCGAGCAACAGTTCTTTAGACACCCATGCGTACGTCATCTAATAAGTTCTCCTTCATCTTAATGGCGCTGACCTTTCCTCTCCTTTCCCAGATACGCGTCTCAGCAGATTCCCATCCGCCTGACCGTTTCCGATGGCACGACCACCAGCACGCGTTACGTGTACAAAGCTGTGCTTTGTGCGCGTGCGCCGATATTCATCGAACTCACCAGTGATGGCGATTGCGTCGATTTTCCCAATTGGCGAGTGGAGACCCTGGAGAGCTTCATTGACTGGATCAATGGCGGACGAGTCTTGGTGAGAGGTTTAAGTGGCGGCGTGGAAATCGATGTCGACGAAGCGCTGAGATACGACAACTGCTCAGCCTCGGATGATGACGCGAAAGTCAAGTCTGAAGATCAGGTTAAGGACCAAGCGCTCTCTACTCGGCCTATCCCCGCCAACGCTCCTTGGTACGCCTCTTTCCGCTGCGATGCCATCGCGCACGTTCTAGGGCGGGTGCTCGATGTCTACAGCTTTGCACTCGTCGGAAGGATCCCAACCCTCGCCAGTGACTGCGTGCTCGTCTGGCAGCGAATCCTCTGCGCACCGCGTAACACAATGGTCTACGCGCCGCTAATCAGGGCCGCTGTCGAGCGTTCAGGCGGCCTGGACAACCACCTCTGCAGATTCATCTTCGAATGGACAGCCGCCAGGATCCATGATGACGTCTAGGAACACGTCAATCTGCAAATCTTGCCATCCGCCTTCCTAGCCAAGATATTCAGATTGGTTGTCCGTCGTGCCAACAACGGACTGAACACAGAACACGGCATACCTGATCCCAACGACAATTGGTGCCGATATCACGGCCATGCCAACGAGGCTGAGGCTAACACCTGCCGCTACGCTCGGCCCGACGATTGGGATGTTCGCGGGACCGTTGCACGCCAGCACGCCCAGCAGCAGCGCAACATCAACAGCGAAGCGACGCTATTCCAAGGAGAAGCCAGCGATGGTCCCGAGGAGGCAGTGAAGCCTTTACCGGTGGCTAACCCTAATCATGTATTCACACCGGCCGCCACGCCTGCACAGACCGAGCCACCTCATGAAGATTAGCATCGCAATACCTAGAGCGTAGTGATGCCCAGTCAGGGCGAAACCAGCATTCCATAGAACGCCTCTTTTCGTCCTAGTTAATCTAAGCACTATTGCGACAGTCTTCAGTTGCCGACTTTGCGGCCTGAGAGAAGCCCACCCATTCAGGCCGAAACCAGGGTGTATCCTTTGCCTCGTCTCTAGAACTTGTGGTGACCATGGCGATCAGCGGTGGTGACTGGTATCGCGAGAATTGACTAGCTTGGGACATTACTAAGGCAATGCCGATATGGTACAGAGGGTATCATGTTCATTCATAGTACATATACATAGTACATTAGCTTCCGGGCTTAATGGTTACAGCGGTGTTTTTTTTGGTTGTTGGCCGAGGTGCGACTCGTCAGCCTTAGCTAGAACAGCAGCCGCCACCAAACTTGACTGCCTTTCCTCCTGCGCCCTTGACCGTGTCGTTGTCGCCTCGCTCGGTGTGCTCGTGTATCCTCAGCTCTGTCTCATGTTAGCCCTTCGCGTTCTTCCTTGTGTTGCGATCCGGTTCGGCGTACTGTACTTGTCTCCGTCCCTTTTGCCCTGGACGACGTTTTCTCTGAGGATCGTGGCTACGTCTTGGGCGTGCTTGATGTGGCCGTCGATCTCGGGGCTCTGGGGATCTAGCGATGCATGTTCGCGGAAACCGCCCCGGATCTGGGCGCGTGCAGCGTTGAGGATGGGCTCGTCGCCTGGGAAGTCGACTAGGTCAGATCTATGCCTCAATGGCGGACATGCATGGGGCGAGACGGAGAAAGTAAAGAGCAAAGTAAAGTAAAGTACCTTGGAATGCTATGCGTGCTGAACGGAGCAGATGTCTATACGCTGCCAACGCCGCCATATTGAGATGTATCTATAATTTTATACTTTTTTGATCCCTTATTAGGTCGTCCTGAGTAGATATGCTGCGGTCCTGTAGGTTGGTGTTGGGTTTAGTGATTACTCGTCAATTCGAATTTGTATACTGTAATGGTCTACTATCGATTTGCGACCGAGGCCTCGTATTCTTTAGTCTTCACCCCCCAGAGACGGGTCGTCGCAGAAGAATGGTGGCGTAAAAGGGTGAGGTGACTGACTGACTTGTGGCGCACACGGCTCATATTCTAACGTTTGGTCTAGTCTAGACTAATAAGAGAGAGAGAAAGAGAGAAAAGATAGAACACATTAGTCTGACTTGAGCGCTGCTGTGGCGGCCTTGCCAATCGATCCCTGCTCCGGTCCCCAGAAAAAAAATATTTCCCCCAAAAATGCCCCACGCTCCTCCTACCTGAATCCTGATCCTGATCCCGATTCCGATTCTTATATTGGAAACTTTTGTCGCTGTGATCATCTCAATCGCAGTAAGAAAGGCACATCAGACATGGCTTCCGCAACTGTTGTATCACGGCCTCTGCCCGCCCTCCCCGAGGGCTGGTCCGCAGAGAAGGACTTCAAGCCCGTCGCCTCCGTCACCTCCTCCACCAAGCGAACCATCGAGCCCGTCGGCCCTCACTTCCTCGCCCACGCCCGCCGTGCCCGCCACAAGCGCACCTTTTCCGAGGATGACCGCATCGAGGCCCAGAACTCCGCCAAGCAGATCGAGAAGGACGACGACAGCGATGTCAGCGAGGACGAGGACCCCATGATGCTCCAGCGCGAGGCCAAGGACTGGAAGGTATGTTTGCGAGCATGGTTTTATTCTTATTTCAACTCTACTTCAATTCTCGTGTGTCTTTGCCCGACACGCAGACGCTGACATTTTCCCTTTTCTACAGTCGCAAGATCACTACCAGGTTCTGGGTCTCTCCAAGTACCGATGGAAGGCCAGCGAGGACCAGATCAAGCGCGCCCACCGCAAGAAGGTCCTCAAGCACCACCCCGACAAGAAGGCCGCATCCGGTGCCGCCGAGGACGACAACTTCTTCAAGTGCATCCAGAAGGCCACCGAGGTCCTCCTCGACCCTGTCAAGCGCCGCCAGTTCGACTCCGTCGACGAGAAGGCCGACGTCGAACCCCCTGCCAAGAAGGACGCCCAGAAGAACTTCTACAAGGTCTGGGGCCGTGTCTTCAAGTCCGAGGCGCGCTTCAGCCGCACCCAGCCCGTCCCTCCCTTCGGCGGCGAGGACGCCTCCAAGGAGGAAGTCGACGCTTTCTACAACTTCTTTTACAACTTCGACTCCTGGAGGTCCTTCGAGTACCTCGACGAGGATGTCCCCGACGACAACGAGAACCGCGACCAGAAGCGTCACCAGGAGCGCAAGAACCTCAACGCCCGCAAGAAGAAGAAGGCCGAGGACAACGCCCGTCTCCGCAAGCTCGTAGACGACTGTCTGGCTGGTGACGAGCGTATCAAGCGCTTCAAGCAGGAGGCCAACGCCGCCAAGAACAAGAAGAAGTTCGAGAAGGAGGCCGCCGAGAAGAAGGCCAAGGAGGACGCTCGCCTCAAGAAGGAGGCTGAGGAGAAGGCCGCCAAGGAGGCCGAGGAGAAGGCTAAGACTGACCGTGAGGCTAGCAAGAAGGCCAAGGAGGCTGCCAAGACCGCTGTCAAGAAGAACAAGCGCGTTCTCAAGGGCAGTGTCAAGGATGCCAACTACTTCGCCAGCGGTGGCGATGCCAGCGCTGCTCAGGTCGACGCCGTCCTGGGCGACGTCGAGACCATCCAGGCCAAGATCGACCCCGATGAGATCGCTGCCCTGGCCGGCAAGCTCAACGGCTTGAAGGTCGCCGACGAGATCAAGGCTGTCTGGACCGAGGAGGCCAAGAGACTCGTCGGTGCCGGTAAGCTCAAGGACGGCGAGCTCAAGTCCTTCTAGGCCTCCTTGACTCGACACGGCGGGCAAAGTTGGTGTAGAATGACGCTCGCAAGATATTTTCTATAGAACTAGAGGTCGTTCGCGGCCGTGGATAGACTGATGATACATGTTGCACGACTATCTGACACGAAACTTCTTTGTATCAAATGACCGGATGAGTGCTCCCTGTGACAGACTGTTTACTCGTCAACCTTCTCGTGTAGAGTCTGACCTCTTAACTAGCTAGGTGCTGCTACTAGAGAGCATAAAAGTCGTGCTGTACCACGAGTCGTTTCCAATTGCTGTCTAGCTACTGCGTGATCTAATCCGACCTTGTTAACGGCTTCTGTAGTAGTTGCTGGCGTGTATCAGTTGGCCGGTGATTAGAGTGCGTAAGCATCATGGTTAAGGCCAATGATTTCTGTTGCTAATATTATGCTTATACGGAACCTCCTGAATCCTTTCGTCTTGCCGTGAGGTTTTCACACCTTGTGATTGTAGCCTTCTTTTGTTCCAATGCTCTAGAGCGTGATCTTATTCCTTATACAGTAGTAGATAGAGGGTTTATTACAAGACAGGTATTACTTTTTCTACATAGGTGTTTAGCTACTATATTCAGTCGATTCCGACTTGCCCGCTGCCGGAGCGGAGGTGTGCGGCGTGATACTATGGCGAGGCCTGCCCCACGATGTGAAATACTTTTTTACGTGTCGCCGGAAGTGCCCAGAACCAGCTGGGCTGTCGAGAAGCACGGCTCGAACGGTGATCTGGAAGTTTTGCATCCCGTTCAGCGTGACGCACGATGAGTCGCTGATCGCGGCCCGGATCTCCAGGACCTGTCCCAGAGGCCGCTCGTCCTCGTCGTGGAGTTCGACACGGAGGCAGCTCTCAGTCGAGGCGTTCTCCTTCATCAGGTGGTACAGGTCGTACGTATTCTCCGGGTCGTAGAATTGGCTCTCGTGCCTCGCCACCTGCACCCAGAGTCTTTGCAGCGGGTCGACGCCACATGCCACCGAGAACCGTCTGGGCGACGCGCCAGGCGGGCCCTGGGTCTGGAACCTGACATAACCCGCAAAAGGGGCGTGGTCTTTGGTGATGAAAGCCTCGGCCTCCTCATCCCAGGCGGCGACATCCCAGGCGGCACTGTACGAGACGCCTATCCGCGCAAAGTAGTTTTGGTTGATTAGTACAAAGCGGAAAGCGTGTCCTTGACCGACGCGTGACGCCAGTATAGCATCCTCTAGCTGTTCTACCGTCGTCGTGATGTAGAGCTGGCTGGCCGGTATCGAAGCCCCTCGTCCCGGTACGACGTCGTCGCGAAAGCTGATGCGCACGTACTGGCCTGTGACGATCTGCATCAGCTGGATGCTGCACCACTTCTTACCGTCCTTCGTCGCCTTGAAGCAGCCGAGCTCGAGGAAGATGGGGTCTGACTCCCCAAACGTCCGCAGGGGGGCCGTGATCCGCAGACCTTTGTTGGAGAGGGAGAACTCCGGGTCGTAGTTTCTCTGCCTCGACAGTACTATGTTCCCGCAGTTGGCGAACTCGCGCGGCGACTCGGCGAGGACGCCACGCATCCTCGGCTTCTCGCCGTGCACCGACTCCCAGGCGAAGAGCGACAGGTCGTTGCGCGCCTTCATGATCTCCTCCTGCAGCCTCAGAAACGCTCGGTGGCCCTCCCCGTACAGCAGCGGCATGCTCACGCCAAAGATTCCCAGCAGCGAATAGGCCGTGTCCTCTTCTCGCGTGGTCTTCCGCGTTGCCGCCCACGACATCTTCCTGGCAAGCGGCAACCCCCGCAAGATGCTCTGGACATCCCGCGTGAGCCGCGGGTGCGTCGGATCCGCCAGGACGTCTTCGCCGATGCCCGTGATGAAATCCAACTCGAAACGAAGGTCCTGCCGGCTCCCGAAGTACTGCCAGCCCCGGTCGAAGAACTTGACCACCCGTGGCGCGACGAGCTCCTGCAGCGTCCAGCCCCTATAGAACCAGCGGCTCCTGCCCAGTCTGGAGGCCAGCACTGCACCGCTCGAGCCCGGCACGGCCTCGCTGCTGCAATCGTCAGTGTCCTTGTCGGCGGCCGCTTTCTCCTGGGCTACAAAGTCCGCAAGGTGGACGTAGCACACGGCCGCTTCTGAGTACCACTTGAACATTGAATTGATGGATTCGCTCAGTTCGGTGCTGCTGTCCTTGTCGATACAGCAGGTATCGATCCATAGGTAGTTCAGCCGCTGCGGGTCGGCCTTCGTGATGCCAATTGCGTTGTCCACTTTTGCCCAGTTCATCTCTTTCGTGGCCGGCCGGCCAGAGAGGTAATCTTTATAGGAAACCTCCTCGGGCTCATGATGCTGCGTCCAGGTATGCGACAGGATTGCGTACGGCGGTCGCTGTCCTCTGGGCCAGTCCCTCACGGTTTCCAGCTTGCCAGTGGCGCAATTGATGAGTCTCATGTTTCATAGAATACCTCGTGCAGCGAAGGCCAGCGCCTCGAAAAGGGCATGATGGTCATGGAGTGTTGAGTTCTCATGTTCGGGATTTGGATGAGCAGGGCCAGACACATTGCGATTAAAGCGGGAGAGGCGGAGGGAGGGAGCTGATGCTGGTAAGGAGCTGGGTTGTGTGATTGGCTGCTGCATGATGGTGGGATGCACAACATAGGCTGCATTTATCGCACATCATGTGAAGCTCCTTTTCAACACAGTGTCAACTCAGAAACGAGAGTCTCTCTCAGAGGCCTCGTCAGATCTCAAAACCCACATCTTTAGTGTTGAAGATGAATATATGAGAAGACTACTTCTGTTTAATCGGACGAATGCTCGCATGTGAGATCAAGGCAAGTGCGCATGTTGTTTAAGAGGCAGTCAATGATTCCTGATGGCCTGCAACCATGTCCTTGGGTTCATTACCATGAAGGGTCCGCCTCTAAAGCCCTTCGCAAGTCCTCAACAACATCTCTGATCTTCTCGGGACTGGGCCCGCCACTGCTATCTACGCTCTCGAGCTCCTTCTCCAACAAATCGCGATATTGCGGGCGGTCGAGTAGCGGACACTGAACCTGAACGCTTTGGCGTCTGTGCCCTGGTAGCAGGCCTAATATCCTCTGGCTCCGATCGAGGTAATGTATAATCATGGTGCAAAACATCAATCCCTCAAGCCGTGCGTCCCATACGCAGAGGCTGCCAATTTGGAAGAAACGGACCGAGTTGATATCAACTGCCTCGTTGCTCTTGAGATATTTCAGATTGTTCAGAATCTTCGCGCACATCATCGTGAGAATGCTGATAAGCTGTACATAACAGTTGATAATCACCTTGACAAGCGCAGTCGCGGGCGTAGTTGGTCTTGATGTCGAACTAGAGCGAGACGGCCTTGAGAACAATTTCTCCCAGCACCTTTCCGTCAACGCCGTGGCAGTAAACAGACCCAACGCCTCCCCATGAATTTCGGCATTGCTCTCCATGTCGAATATATCACTGGTGTCACGGCCTGGGGCATGCTTGCGGATAATCCATTCCACGTTGTTGATGGCATCGTAGAATTTCTGAAATGATGCGAGTGTCCTTTCTGCGAATGCATAGCTACACACGTCCACGTATGTAGGATTGGGGCAGAGGTCGGGTAATGACCTCGTGTCAACCCACCTGCGCCTGGCTTCGATCCACTGTGCATGTAGCTCGATGTTAATTTCTGACAGGTCTTTGAGACATTGATGCATGTCCAGCACGGGATACATCTGTTTCATGGTCCCTGGTGTTGCTCCGTGTACAGAACTGGCGAGAGGGTTGAAGATGTCGATATTCCTAAAGTCGTTATTGGTCCGGATCCTAACCACGTCCAAGCCATCATGGACGTTATCCTGCTCAAGCAGATTTGGGACAATGCTGCTAATGTCATCAAGTGCGAGACTTGACGGCATTGCCTGGTCGGTGCCAGGAACCGATTCTGGCGTCGTAGGCCTTATGACGCTTGAAGCAGCAGCTGGAGGATTCTGTCGCGATTTTCTTGGCCGACCGGGACGTCTTGTCGCTGCCATCTGACAGGGCTTCCCCAGACGGATACATCGTTGACAGTTGGCCTGGTTCTCGTCACGCAAGCACTTGAGTCGTTGTTGGCGACAACAATCACAAGCCGTCCGCCGAAGAGCATTTCGGCCGGAGGAATTCATATTCTTCAAGCACGTGCAAAATGAATTGTACCTGTAATAGTTATCCCGAGGTCACAGCTTTGTTTGAGAGTCCTTGCACCATGCCGTCCGGAGGGTTTCCAGCATACATGTTTGCGAAACTCTCCGAGTCCGATCTCACAGTGTCGAATGGGGGCCACAACCAAAGCGTCATAACCGGAGCAAGACATGGCAGCCTGGTATGTGTTCATCGTAGCATATCAATGAACGCAGCGCGAAGATCCGCCCACTTTCAATATCTGTGCATCTAGCGAACAACGATGTACAGGAATACTCCTGTAGAGTGGCTAAAGCGCTGTTCTTCTGGTGTTGTCCGGGTCTCGGCGACCACTGGGTCCACTGCGTATGCGGAACAAAGATGATTACGCTTCCCCGCGGTTATCTGCCGAGCAACCTAACCGATTGAGCCCTCGACACTTGGTCTGCACCGGCGCAAGAATGTCGTCTAGGAGAAATCCTCATAGTTGCATCCCCCCCTCAAGGTATGGGGGGAGTCAACTACTGACCCGATGCTCTCATCTAAAAGACTGGAGGATCGAATTCTCCATCGCAAAGTTCTAGGGGTAAAAGTTTACCCCGCGTTCCCCGGAAGCCCTCTGTTCAACAAACTATATACAGACGCCTCTGGGAACGGACAAACTTTGCCCATTCTTCTTCGCCATAGTAAGAATTGACCCTCTCATTGCATTCTCTCCAAGATGTCTCCCCCTGGTATGCTTTGTGTGACCATGCAGCCGAAGCCCGAGCTGCTCGAAGCACAATTTCACGAATGGTATAACAATGAGCATGGCCCGACTCGTCTACGCCTGCCGCAGATCTTCACGAATGGACTGAGATACCGACAGATTGACGGGAAAGAACCGATTTACCTTGCTGCATACGATGTGACTGCTATGTCACACTTGGAAACAGAGACATACACGACACTTAGAGCAAATAGATCCCCGCGAGAAGCCCAAACAATTGGTCAAGTTGCTGTCAACAGATACTTCTGGGACCTAGTGACGGCTAAGCAAGCTCCACTATTCATCCCGATCGAAAAGTTGACGAACGACGAGGCCGAGGGGTTGGCACTGGTTGTTGTACAGATTGAGCTCAAGGGCGAAGCAGCGCAAGCAGAAGCCGAGGTCTTGAAGTGGTACAAGGAAGAACATATCGATATGCTGTCGAAAGTCCCGGGCTGGTTACGATCCCGAGTGTTCAGGACCTCAACTCTTGAGTCGGGAAGTCCTACACATATATGGGCGTTACACGATTACACCAAGGAGAACGGCCTTGGAGGTCATGAGTTCAAAGCGGCTACTTCGACTCCCTGGAAAGACGAGGTCACCTCGAAGTACGCGAATATCAAGGACAGACGGGTTTTCGGGTTGTTCTACGTCTTCGGACCGGCACCGAGGGATCTTTCCTCCCTATCCCAGCTACCAGCTGAGACTTCATCCTTCAAGGCCGCAGACGCCAAAACCACTACCACTAACGACCCGCAGCCCATAATCACCTCATATATCACGACCCCTGACGGTCTGTCGATACCATATCAGCTCGAAGGTAACCCTGACCCGAAGGCACCCGTCATCGCATTTTGCAACTCGCTCCTCACGTCTCTGCATATGTGGGATAAGTTCGTGGCCATCTTGAAGGAGAAGCGCCCACAATACCAAATCTTACGCTATGACACAAGAGGGCGACACTCCATACCATCACCTACTCCAGTCACCCTTGATAAGGTCTCTGATGATTTAAGCTACCTCCTGGAAGCTCTGCGCATCCCCAAGCTGAATACTTTGATCGGCGTGTCAATGGGTGGAGCAACGACACTGAAGTTTGTGCTCAAATATCCCGAAAGGCTGGCCAAGTTCGTCGCTTGCGATTTCAATGTCAACTCGAGTGCTGCAAACACGGAAGCATGGAAGGGACGGATTTCTATAGCAGAGACTCCCCTGGAAGATGGAAGTCCTGGCATTGAGAAGCTCGCAGGTCAGACCGTCGAGAGGTGGTTCCACCCTAATACCATGAGTAAGACGGAGACTGTCCAATGGATTACGGAGCAGGTCGCCACCAACGACATTGAGGGCTTCAGGTATGGTTGCCAAGCTCTCTGGGACTACGACATGAAGGCCGAAATGAAGGATTGCCAGGTTCCCGGCTTACTCGTCGTCGGAGAGGGTGACGGAAAGGGTGCTCTGGTCAAGGCGATGGATGGTTTCAAGGCCAATCTTGGTGCTAAAGGTAGTGACCTTGCGATTGTGCCTGAAGCTGGGCATTTGCCAATGTGCGAGAACCCGGAGGGTTTCTGGAAGGCTATTGAGAGTTTCATATAGGGATTCGATCGAGCTGTTCTTGTTGGCTCATATATTCCAAGACATTCAAAGTGGCTGACTCAACTTTGAATATCTTCCATTTCACCAACATAATGCCAATCGCCAATCTGAACGTATGCATACCTGTCACTACCTGTGGGCTAACATGGCAGCACTAAGCGGCCATGGCTCTGCATTCGTCGGTACAGGGTATTCGCGTGTGCTCGAGATCATCTCAAGATTGCCGATGAAGCCAATGGCGGCGGTATGACGAGGCATAGCACAACTGACTTGCCTTGTGGCATGTAGACACAGCCAATCGTTCCACTATAGATGCAGTCGCTTTGGGATGCGATCTACAAAGAAACCCGTCAACTTGTCCCTCCATCTGTGTATGAGCTACCAAAGCAGGATTCCTATCCAAGAACTGTGCCGAAGTTGTGGCTGTTGCCATGCTTAGGTAATAGACAGGATCTGAAGTCTACGACCTGGGATACCCGGCTATGCTTCAGAACCGTCTCATTGTCCCAGGTATCAATTAAGGCTAGCCTCCAATGCCCGGTTCAATCTTTCCAGCCTGTCCTGTGGCCAATAGTCCGGTAGATCATAAAACTCATCCACAAATGGTACTTCACCCGTCAACACCACCCACGGCTGTTTGGTGCTGGTGTAGATATGCATCTCCGGCTCGAACCCCGCCACATCCGGCTCGTCGAGAGTGCCTACCCGGATGATCCTGATGTGGTCCCCGCCATGTTTGCCGTAGTTACTCCACACGGCCACGCGGCAGTGAGGGCATCGCGCTATGGTCTGTGGAGTGCCCGACTCAGTCGACGTCGGGACGAGCTCTGGCTGTGCGGGGGTGGTGACATTGACCAGGCCGGCTTCATACATGGCGTTCAGCGCGAACGCGGATCCCGTCTCGCGCTGGCAGTACCGACAATGGCACGCGTGTATATATATCGGACGTGAGGGGAGACTATAGCGAATCGTCCGGCAAGCACAGCCACCTGTGAAAGGACCCTGGGGCTTGGCAGACGCTGGAGTGTTTGATGCCATTTTTGTTTGAATCTTATTATCGTTGGAAAGCAGACAAGATCAGAATATAGTTTCGGATTGCTAATGGCGCGCCGCACGTCATGTACCTTGCTTTGCCGCGCTTTTGTAGGTATTTTAATTGAAGTCGAGTGTGTCACGAGTAACACCGTCCAATCACGTCATCACCCTTAGCTGTGGTGTTATAACTTGGTATAATCACAACATCAGATGCTATGGCACGAATCCTTTTCTTTGACATGCGTTAACCCCATCCAACGGAGTCAAAATTTCTGCTTTTTCTTTTTGTATAGCAATGGTGCTACTATAGAAATGCCTAAATTTGTACTCTAAATGGCTAACAATTCAAGGCAGCTTTCAATTGCTCTTCGAGTCCCACTGGGTGCTGTTGTGTAGCCTAAGGATTTTGATAGACCACGGGCTATACCGCGTTCCAATCACAGCTGTTGCTAGAACTTGACGTATTATTTCATATGATTTCAATCTCTGAAGTCTTGGCACCTGCGATCACGGAAATATTCTTCTGTACAGTCGGCTCCGTTTCATGCCGCCTGCCAACCGACCTAACGTGCGGATCGCATAAGCGTTGAGAGGTCTTGTGGAATCATCTTGCCAGGCTGCGATGACGCGCCACTTATATCGGATGCATTGAACCGACGTGGGAGGAAGAACTAAACGACTATACGAGTCTCGTAATACGTCTCAATGTATATTGCTATATCCACGATTTTCATGGTCAGAAACATCCAAAGACTTGGGTTCAAAATAGACGTAGAAAGCGATTCATCGCGAAGAGAAGGGGGGAAAATAGTTACATTAACAAAGTTGTTCTTCTTGTTGTTGGGATAATTCAAGTTAACTAATACTCGAAGCTCTCACGCAAGTCGCGCAATCGTCCAGGGGTTCATGACAATCGAGGGGCTGGTTCCCCAGAACCCCACTCTAATGCGACATGACCTTCTCTTCTAAGTTAAGGCGTGATTAGCCTCAATGGTGATATCATGGAGCATTTGATCCGATGGAAACGAATTGATAAACTTCCTTCTCTTTTTTTTCCTTCTTTTTTCCATCCAGTTCAAGGACAACAATCGAGATGGAATCTGAAAAGGGTCTGGGTGAGCTGCCACCATACAGCGCTGTAGAGAGCCAGCAATGGCGCAAGCGCCGGTCGCTACGCCGGTCGCGAGGCCTAAAGTATCTAGCGCTGGCATGTCTTGGCTTTATCGGATACGCGCAGTGGAGACAGATCACGGCGCCTGTGACGATATTGTCTATTGAGAAGCTCCAGGCGGATTTGGCGGTTTGCTCCAGGCTGCAGTCGAAGCCGCAGGACCCAATTGGCCTCGGCCGTGAGCGCAATGCGCGTTACATCGATGGCCATAAGCCAACGCTCATCAAGAATGCTACCGTCTGGGTGGGCGAGCCTGAAGAGGGTACCAGTCCTGAAGATGCGCACGCGGGCAAGGGCTTTTCGTGGATCGTCGCGGATGTCTACTTGGAGCACGGTCTAATCAAGGAGGTCGGTAAAGACCTCGACCTGAGTGCTCTGTCTTCCGATGTTATCGTTTGGGACGCAGAGGGTCGACAGCTCACATCTGGAATCATCGACATGCACAGCCACTCCGGCGTGGACTCGCTTCCACAGCTTGTCGGCAACGAGGACACCAACGAGATGTCTTCTGATATCACACCCTACGTGAGATCCATCGATGGCATCAACCCTCTTGACCATCAGATTCAGGTCATCAAGTCGGGCGGTGTCACAACCAGTCTCGTCTTGCCTGGCTCAGGAAACAACATCGGCGGTGAAGCCTTCGTTATCAAGCATGCTGTCGGGAAGGCAGACGGCCGAAATGAAACATCAGCAACGGACATGCTGGCTGATCCTGACCGAAACTGGCGCTACATGAAGATGGCTTGCGGAGAAAATGCAAAGCGAGTCTACGGCAAGGTCGGCGAGCATGGTCCTGTCAGCAGACTCGGAGAATCGTGGGAGTTTCGTCATGCCTTTGAGCAGGCAGCAAATCTCATTCGGTCACAAGACGATTGGTGTACTCAGGCTTATGCGAATGGTGTTCATACTATGTCTACTTACCTCCCACAGGAGCTGAAGTGGGAATCGCTCAGTGCCGCTCTTCGAGGACAAGTCCACATCAACACCCATTGTTACACAATTCCCGACCTGGAGGCTTTTGTCGACCACACGAACGAGTTCAAATTTCCCATCCGTGCCTTCCATCATGCTCACCAGACCTTCCTTGTCCCCGAGATCCTGAAGCGCGCCTGGGGTCCTTCACCGCCTGCATCCGCCCTTTTCGCGGACAACATGTGGTACAAGGCGGAGAGCTACGTTGGATCCGAGTATGCAGGCAAAATTCTATATGAGAATGGCTTGACGCCCATTTACGTCAGTGACAACCCTGTTCTCAATGCCCAGCATGTTCTCTTCGAGGCTGCTAAAGCTTTCGGCTACGGTCTTCCTTACCACGCTGCGCTCGCTGCTGTGACAACTGCACCCGCTGAGCGCTTAGGGCTTGGACAGCGACTTGGAAAGATCAAGCCCGGATACGATGCCGACGTTGCTGTTTGGGATAGTGATCCGCTAAGCATCGGTGCCGCTCCTGTACAAGTATGGATTGATGGTACCGCACAGTTTGAAGATCCTGTCGAGCTGGCGAAGCCACATGCTGCTCCTATAGATGCAGCCAGAGAGCCGGTAGAGATCCCAGTAGAACCTGTTGCAGTCACGGACGTTGTTTTCACTGGTGTATCCACGTCTTTCCTACCGCTCCTCCCCAAAGACATTGCTCAATCATTGGAGAGCGAGAACTTCACCGTCTCTATCTCAAATGGCAAGATTCAGTGCATTGGTTCGTGCGCCAAAGAGCTTCAAGCAGCGTCAAAATCTGGTGTCAAGGTTGTTCACCTCAAGAACGGACATATTAGCAAGGGATTCGTTGCGTTTGGCTCATTGATCGGCCTAAATGCGATTGACGCCGAGCGGGATACCGACAATGGAGGAAGCACCGAAAACTTCAGCCGCGGTGTCGACGGCCTTCGTCTGGATTCGAAGAAACTACAGTTCGCTCACAGATATGGTGTCACCCGTGCGATCACTGCCCCCAAATTCAGCGGCCAGGGAACACACTTTGGTACCAGTGTGGGCTTCAAGACGAGTGCACTTCACACTCTCGAGGAGGGTGCAATCTTCGCTGACGATGTTGCTGTACACTGGACGCTCGACAATGCCTCCAAGAGTGGCAAAGGATCTGTCTCCGCCGCACTGGGTGCCCTTCGTCACAAACTGCTCAAGGCTGTCGACGCTGGTAACATTACCGCAGCCGATGCCTTCACTGAGGAGGCATATCTGAAGAAGGTCGTTAATGGCGAACTACCACTGTCTCTCACCGTCCAGAGCGTTGATGGCATCGCTGGCGCGTTGAAGCTGAAGAAGCAGATTGAAGAGGCTAGCGGCTCTACAATCACAGTCGTGATTATCGGCGGTGCTGAATCTTATCTTGTCGCAGATGAATTGGCTGCTGCCAAGGTTGGCGTTGTTCTGTCGCCTCTGTTGTCTTATCGTGCTAGTTGGGATGAGCGCCGCGCACTTACCGGCGCACCATTGACGAACGGCACCGCTATTGACAAACTGATTGATGCTGGCGTTGTCACGGCTATTGGGCTCGAGGAGGATTGGTTGGTTCGCGACCTGGCTGTCCTCGCTGGTATTGCTTACGCGAACGGAGAAGGCAGACTTGGGCAGAAGGATGCCTTAGATTTGGTCAGCAGCAACGTCTACAAGATCCTTGGATTGAAGTCCCCCGAGGCCGCTGAAGATTTCATCATCTATGAGGGTAACCCATTAGAGATCGGTGCACAAGTCAAAGCTGTTGGCTCTGGCTCGTCTACTGTGACATTGATTCAGTGATTAGGTAACGACACTGATTGTCGGTCAGATCTCGTGTAATATGAAACAAATAATCCAACGAATCGAATAACTTCCAATTGCCTTCACGACCATCTGTCAGGGCTGTCTCGCCGTCTTGATCGAACCTCCGTTTTGATAGAATTGTTACAACGTTAAAATGCAAGTGCGCCTCGATGCGAACTCGCCCAGGTCTTATTTTGGGACGTCTCTTTTCAAATACGGCAATACAAAATTGCTTGTTCACTGGCTGACAGCCAGCGGAAATTGAGACCGAGCTTAATGATCGGGGGCAAATGAATTGGAGCGTCGCTAGGAATGAACATGCCATAAGTAGACCCACCAATGATGGGGTGGCCGAGTGCTAGCAGGGCAGCATACCTCCCTACTAGATAGTGCGAGAGGAGTCGCGGTTTCATGAAGATTAGGACTTAAATAGACTACATTAATTCACGATGACTTCCCTACGTAAGCCAGCCGCCACGCGTCTCCGCCAACTGTGATTGACGATTATGGAGCTGCCGCAAATGCATTGATGAATAGAATTCGGACCCATAGTACAGTTTCAATAAATACCTTCAATCCGTGCCTATGATCTGGACAAGACTTGACATGTTCTGGGCATCTGCAGTCCTTCATCTATATTCCAACTACAGATACAATCACTAGAACAACGTGCTGGTCACGATGCGTCAATACTTTCTCCCGGCGGCCATCTGCCTTGCCCAGGTGGCACGCGCAGAGTTTGGAAACTCGTTCTACCTCGGCCCTTTCTCCGGAGGCCAGTATATCACGAAGGCGACCTATTCTTTGAGCGCGCCAAGCGTGCCTACTGGGTTCGACAGCTCCGACACCAGCCTGTGGCTCTCGATCTGGGTCGGCGTGCAGCAGTCATCAGAGGACGTTGACAACGAGAACCTGGTTCAGCCCCTGCTGAACTGGTGCCTCGACAATGAGTCTTGCGGCTGCGATGCAGACGAGACTCAGTGGTGTGTTGCCGCTAATACGTATACGCCTTCCGGGCAGGAGGGAGAATCCTATGTTGTAGTGCCGTCCGATGCCGTTCTCGATTTTGAGAGTACGATAAGCCGACTTTTTTGTGTTGTGGTGTGCTCTGAACTGACTGACGTTATGTAGTCGCTGTCAACTCATCGACCAGCTATATCGACCAGAAGGTCTGGATCAACGGAGAACTGGTTTCGCAGAAGTCTGACTGTAAGCTTGCTAACCACTGGTTCCATGAATAATGGGAAAAAACAACTAACACATTGTGTAGCCCAGGGAATGAAGCCTGGGGTTATCTATAGCGCCAATGAATGCTCCGACGCCAACTGTGGCACTCTCCCTGCATTCAGTAAGTTTCAAATCTGCAAAGGGACAGCTAGCTCCAGAACTAACAACGATGTAGGCTGGACAAACATGACCTTGACCTTTAACGAGGCGATTGATACCGTCGAGCCGGCTCTCAACGTCGCGACTTCCACTGGCTTCACAACTTCTGACGGCGGCATTACCTGGACAGCCGATGAGATCAACATGGGCAAAGACACGGCTTGGTCTTGAACAATTCGCGTCCGGTGACTTTCGATTTCGCGAGCCAAAGCGACATCTTGCCACCAGACATTCGCTTCGCGGATATATTGTATATATCTCCCTTCCCTTATCCAGGGCCCTACCTTTTCCTTTGTCTAAAGTCTGTGTCTTATCAAATGGAGGGTTGTTACTGGCGATGAGTCGCACAATGAAGAGTTTGCGACTAGCCAATACATGCAATATACAATCCAGGAAAATGTGATTTGTTATCCTGTAAACAGTAGCAGTCATGATACAGAAATATTGGCCAGCAGTCGATGTCAGCATTGACGGTTTGCATTGTGATGTTGCATCATATAATCAAGCGAATGGCTTGCTTACATTCCTTTCTTAAAGGTTAAAACTTTAGCGATAACCGAAGACGGGTTTCTTGGTCTTGCTCCAAATTCAAGTGAACCGAGTGACGTTATAGAAACCCTTGATAGTGGCTGCACGCTTTTCGTGCTTCGGAGAAGAGAAACTGGTGGAGACTGATGAGTGGAAGTTGAAGGGTGAGGCGTATATCCGTGGCCTGACACACAGGTGGCAATAACTCCAAGCAGCAGACTGGGAAAAGACATGAGCATGCCTTCGAAGCTTTGAGGCATTTTTCGTCGATTCAAAGTCGCATTCACGCTGGCGGCAGCCATTGCACAAACACCATATCTTTTATTGCCTCGCTTCAGAGCTTGTGAGGTGTCGGAGTCTGATGTTCCCTGCCAGTGCTTTCTTGTATGTCCAGCTGATCTCTGGCTATCGATCTGAGTTGGTCGATCTGATGGGATGCCACAAGGGCAACGTGTACAATCCCTAGAATAGCTTTGTCGGCACACCATCTTCGTTAATTTGCCCACCGATAACGAGCCATTGTGACTTCAAGTCGCAGAGAAGGCGTCTGAAAACCATAGTGCACCGCAGTAACGCCGGCCACGTCGCTTACGTAGACCTCATTATCTCAAGAACCCGACTGAGCCTTGCAACCTCGCAAGGCCCAACCTCATTAAGCTCTCAAGCTCGTGGGTTTTCTACACAACGTTGTCCTATGGTCGGTCATTATTGACTAGCACTTTTTCTCCCACCAGATGGCGGCCTCTAACGTGTTATCAGGGGGTTGAATGCTGAATCTCGGGAAACGGGCGAATATCAGTGCGGATATTAAGCGCTTTAGCATTCTGATCCGATGATACTGGTGCTTTCATCACCCAAATACAAAAACTGCACTCGGTAACCCAATTAAAACACCGCACGAATTAGATGAAGTGGTTTCAATATGACGTTCCAAGTATAAAGCTAGAAACATCCGTTGTTGCACGAGGTGTGAGTGGCGTCAAAGCCCCAGAAAATGCTACAGCGTCTAGCTGTGGTCGTCATCAGTATGGAATCATGACGGAATACTCAAGATCTAACCTGAGAGGATCTCTCGGCGCTAACCACCGCCTAAGAATACAAGATTTGGTTATAGGATCGGCACCCGATATCTGCGTAACGGCCTAGAATGTGCCCAGCGGAACTGGCATGAGAATCACACAAATTTATCGCATAGTCTCGAAATTTGCTACCTGCACATGCTTAGTGTGAACCTTGTGCACATCCGGCATGTCATTCGTAGCCAAGCCAGCTGGACAGCGGGCTGAATGTCACCTCAGACGGCGCTGGGGAAGCTTGCGATGTTATAGCGCCCACTATAGCCCCACGCATCTACCCCACAAACCTGGGGTTGGCAGCTGTTCATTGACGGCATTTTAAGCATCAATTTTTTTATTTCGTGGGGCTCGGCTTGTCGCTCCGCATGAGGCCGATAAAAGCACCGAGACTACCCAGACTCTGTTGCTTTTCCGGCTTCTGAGTAAAGCATTGTCGGAGTTCTCCAGATTTGAACGTCAACCGCGGCGCACGTGTCGGCAACAAGCGACTTAGCGATCTCCAGGGGGGTTGCAAAGGTTCAACTTGGCCCTCAGTGGTGAGCTTGCAATTAGGAAGGCCCGTAACTTTTGTCTTTATCTCGGCCTCTCTCGTGCTCACGTGGGCAGCGCACATCTCAAAACAAGTCTATCCGCCGAAGGCGAATCTACTCTCTGATACCCCCCTCGACCATACAGACCGTATGCAACGGCTGGTCAAACCGCTACTAGTGCTTGAACCAAGAAAAAGAAGACTTTCGGGGGTTTCGATGAACAAATAAATGAGCCGATTTCGGCTAACTAATCAAGCTCATTATCGCGTGTTAACAGCGAACTTGAATGAGACCCGGAGTAAAGAGTATGGCGGTTGCCGCCCAGGGATTCGGGCCTTCTGTCAAGGCAACCCCATACCATCCCCATGGGTAAAAGTATGAACCATGTGCGCCACAACTCCGCCATGTTGGGATTCGCTGGTTTTAGTTCCCAGTGGAGCAGAAAGTAGATTCTCGTCCTTGTTGATGATAGTGGCACGTTTTTCAAGCCGCGCTGGCTTGTCTAGAGGTCTTCTCCGCCTGGCATTTTGTCGCTTTCAACTTACGTTGGGCCCATCGTGACTCTTTAGGATGGACCGCGTCGAATTAGTATAAGTAAGCGACCGTCTCCCTCTTTACCTATATTGTCTGCATCACGCACAAGTCAAGAAATATATCATCATCATCGCTCTACTCGGCCGTGAAGTCATTCAAGATGGTGACTCCCGCTATTCTCTCGTTGATCTTCGCCTCTTCGGTTGCTGGCCACGGATACCTTACTATTCCGTCCAGTCGTACCCGTCTTGGGTTTGAAGTAAGTGAAGATCATCAAAGACAAGCAAATACGATGATCGGTTCCTAACTATATAATTCCAGTATGGTACCGACACATGCCCTGAGTGCACAATCTTGGAGCCTGTCGCCTCTTGGCCAGACCTCGATGTCGCCCCTGTCGGCCGCAGTGGGGTTTGCGGTTACAATGCACGTGTCAGCGTAGACTATAACACGCCGGGCGCCGCTTGGGGACAGTCGACTGTCGCAACATACACGCCGGGTCAGGTGGTTGATGTGCAGTGGTGTGTTGACGCCAACGGTGATCACGGTGGCATGTTCAGCTACCGTATCTGCCAGAACCAAACCATTGTCGACAAATTCTTGACCCCCGGTTACATCCCGACCACCGACGAAAAGCAGGCGGCTCAGGATTGCTTTGACGACGGGAACCTGGACTGTACCGATGTTTCAGGTCAGACATGTGGCTATAATCCCGACTGCAGCGCTGGTACAGCTTGTTACCGCAACGACTGGTTCACTTGCAACGCTTTTAACGCTGATAGCCGTCGTGGCTGTGAAGGTGTCGATAACGCAGCCCTAGGTTCATGCAAGACGACCATTGCTGGCGGATACACAGTTACAAAGAAGATTAAGATCCCGGACTATAGCTCAGACCACACCCTGTTGCAGTTCAAGTGGAATTCCTTCCAGACGGGTCAAATATATCTGTCCTGTGCCGACATTGCTATCAGTGGCAGCGGCTCGACAAACCCATCATCGACCGTGAAGACGTCGACTGTCTCTTCCACGGTCTCTTCTACAGCTACCAAGACCACTTCATCTGCGACTGCGACATCTACTGGGACAGTTGCTGTCACATTCAGTGAGTCTGTGACGACCGCATACGGGGATACCATCAAGCTTGTCGGCTCCATCTCTCAACTTGGCAGCTGGACCGTTGCCAGTGCGCCTGCGATGTCTGCTTCCTCGTACACTAGCACGAATCCATTATGGACCTACACTCTATCACTGCCGGCAGGAACGTCCTTTGAATACAAGTTCGTCAAGGTCACCAGTTCCGGTACCGTGACATGGGAGAGCGATCCCAACCGCTCTTACACCGTCCCAGCATCTGCTGCGACTGTTAGCACTTCATGGAGATAGAATATCCTGCTCCATGCGGTTACTTGTACAGATAATCTTGAACTTAAGGTATACTCAAATATCTAGCCTGCCATTACGACGGGAAGTGCCGTGTCTTGGCAGACGGATGTTGAAAATCCGGGAAGAAACGGTCGGGGTCGGTTGAAATGATGGCGTATCTGGATATATATGTTTTTTAAACCAATTGATTTACTACTTCAAGCAGGATATGTCACATCATTATGGTCTTTGTGCATGAAGCGGGTGCTGGATGCATAGTACCAATGTCAATTTCGGCTTAGACTAGTGTTTACTAAGTTAGACGCGCCATCAGTTCCATCCATGATCCATTATTTATAAGACAAGGAGCGGCCCCCTTGCAACGGCCGGCAAATTACTGTCGTGTAATGGATGGTAACCCGGTAATTGTCCTCGGCTTCAGTCGTTGGTGGGTCAATCCAAATTCCGCATTACCTCACTAGCATTGCTTTGTTGTAATTTGGGGATTGTACCACTAGCCAGGCAAGCCAGGGTAACCTGGAGCACAACAATTGAGTTGCACTACGGGTCTCAACACAAGCACTTACTCGCTGGCATGCCTTCAATGCTGAAATGCTAAAAAGCAAAGTAACACAACTCGAGGGGAAGAAAAACTGTTTGGAATGATGGTGGGCTTCTTATGACCTGTGCGAATGTTTTCCATCTGAGCTCCATCAATGATGTTTGGCAGTTTTGACGGATCCACACTCTCCACCAAGCCGAGTTTCACCATCGAGACAGGGACCCGATTGCCGGGATGGACCAAAGTCTCGGGGTCACCCTCCGTCTGAATTAGACTATGGATAGTACGATGACAAGGCCTTGCGAAGTCATCAGATGAAGTACCCCACAAAGGGATCCCGTCATGATCAATTTCGACTCCGGAGCATCTCGATCAGGTCTAGGCCTAGAGTCTGGACAATCTACTCGCGGATACGAGTTACCAAGGCCAAGGGGTGATCTAACAGTCGATATTGAGACGGAAGACGAACACTTGACCCGTATCGTCCGGTCAGCTTATATATCTATGCTTGGCCTATTCTCGTTAGACTTTTACGCACACCAGTCGACATACGTACATACCATTCCTTAACCATTACCAAGACCGGCTCTTGGCTTGACTATTTTCGTTCATTGTATAATCATCTTCTTTTCTAAAGTCAAAATGAAAGCCGCAACTATCCTTGCCGTTCTGCCTTCGGCAGTGATGGGCCTTAACCTCTTCCGCTCCGCTTCGTTGACGCCTACCAAGACTCTTGGCCGCAGGGAGGATAGCTGGGGTGGTGCCGTATCACTCGGCCCGACCAAGTCGCGTATCACCAAGGCCGTCACCACCATTACCCCTGGCAAGGCGCCTTCGACCCAGACCGGCGAACTGTTCCTGTGGCCCGGTATGTCCAACGGTACCGGTGACCTCGTCCAGACGACCCTCGAGTCGTGGCCCGACAACAGCTGGTGCGGCGCCGAGGCTGGAGAGTGGTGCATTCGCTGCTCGCTTTTTGGCTCTTTCGGACAGCTAGATGGTGATTCCGCTGCTGTCTCTGGAGACATGAGCGTCGAGATTCTGTACGAGTTGCAGAGCGATGGAACCACTTGGCTCCAAACCGCCACGGATGTCAGCACTGGCACAGTACTCAGCACCTTTTCACACGATAGTGGCCCTTACATGGTAAAGACTCCTTGATAATCCTTGACTTGATATTCATGAAAGTATACTAATTCCTTGGCAGACTGGATACGGTACCGGAACCGAGTGTGATGGTGGCTGCACCGGCACCGTTGCTGCTCAAACCTACACAAACACCGTCATTACCCTCTATGCTGCGGACACCAGTTTTGGTGATACCATCGCTACTAGCCAGGGCGCCACTTACTCCGGCCTCACGAATAGCGGCAATGGAAAAGTCTGGACCATTGCTACCATTGATATTCCTTCCATGTCGTAGGGACCCTGGGTTTTGAAAGCAACTTGTCCCAACTATCCTTCTTGTATATATTAGGTAAATACCTAGTTAATATATAAAAAAATACATGCATTGGCCAATATAGTGTTACCTCTGTATTGCCAAAGTCTTGTGGCGTTGTTTAAACAGCGAATGTCCTACTCTACCGAGCTGACTTCCACTATCACGCCCACAAATATCATACATGCATCCTGAACGACGGAATCGTAATGTAACACAGACACAGGTTGATTATTTCCATTAGATTACTGCTAAATATGCCTATTGGCTCGCCACTGGAACAGTCTAACCTAGTTCACTCATCTCTCAAATGTAGGATGGTAACTCATATTCTGCAACACCTCTCATGAAGTTTTCGTAACAGATATCAATTAATAATGGAGAACTATACTGAATTATTCTGTACGATGGAATCTCCATGTCATGTACTATTAGTGTATTAACCAAGCCGGGCCAATTCAGCACGTCGCGCGTCTACATCGTCCTGTCCATCCTCGAGCATAGCATTGTACGCATCGTGTATACGCCGTGTCTTGCGAGCCTCTAGGTATTCTTCCAGCTAACCCAGCCGTTCGTCCAGCACTTTGGCTTCGAAAACGATAACGGCCCACCGCTTGACTTGCCGTCCCTCCTGCGCAGCATCCTAGTCATAAGCTGGCGTCGCTGTTGCGGGTCGAAACCTTGGCCATAAGAGAGCTGTGTTCCCAGTCTGATTATCTATTCATCCAAAGCGCTGTCGCGCTCTCGGGCCTCATCCACCAGCTGGTTGATGTATTCTTGTTCATCTGCAATATTTCGATCGCTCATCTTGTTAGTTTGTACAAGTTTGATTTGCTGGATGAAAGATCAACATGCGAGTACCAGCTTAAGATGAAAGTTGAGAAGTACTGATCAGTGATTCATAGCTTAATTCTTTTGAGTTTCTGAATATCTATCAAATACTGCCATGATGGCCCTTGGACGTTGCGCTGGCTCACGCCCAAATTTCTTGTCCATAACTGACAGGCTAGGTGATTGCGCCATGATTTAGGCCACCGTATCGACACTTGCCACTTATATTGCACAATGGGCTATTACGTTTCACCTTGAAGTTCAGGTCAATTTCTATATTATTCCTTGTTCAAACACAAGACCTGAACATCTGATGTGGATCTGATATCCTGTGTATATATGCCTAGACTAGTGGGTTAGATGGGAGCAAAAAAAAAAAAAAAGGAGATGGACATGTTGATTGAAGGGAGTTTGCATGCGACCTTTATGTGTCAAAAGGGCTCGTTTGATTCATATTCTGTTTGATAGTAGAGTATCAGTCAGTTTTCAACGTAATCAAATATTATCAACAGCAAGATTAGCATACGTCTTAGAGACTTGAACAATGATGACTGAGCAATATCGTATACTTCAGAGTTTCTCTATCTACCGTGCAATCGAGACGATACAATAGCTAACTCATATTTAATTCGTCCACGTAGTATTTACAAAGCGGAATTTTGTCCAGGTAACGATATAACAGAGTTTCTTAAACGAAAAAAAAGAGACCGAATTTCTTTACATGACAAAGTTTACTTGGCCTCTATTAAAATCCATGCTCGTTTTATGCTGCCTACATGGCTTGATCTTTACAAAAGTATCAAGTAAAGTAACGCCATTTTGCATCCCCCTCACCTCTCCCCAACTCCCTTGTGTCCACATCTTCAGGTCGTAGGACAACCCCCAATAGTTGATCCTTTTTCCTGTTTTCCCTCTTCATCCACAGTCCCATCCATAAGGTAAAGGCAACGCATACGACATTGCAGCACGCCGTCGCTATCAAGCACGGCACATATCTTGGAGCGTACTCGGTGCGAAAGGTTGCAGCTGATAAGATTCCACCCAAGTTACCCAGTCCCACGAGTAAACCCGTGTTAGCAGCACGTGAGTTCTCGTTGAGATTGTTGTTGTTGTGCCACGAATGGACAAGGCAGCTTGGGATATATGCCCCCGACGCGACGAGGAAGCACGCAAAGTAGGCGACACCTCGGTGGGTCAAGCCATCAACAGTAGCGAGGATGATAAGCCCAATAAAGGATAGCACGAGGGAAAATACAATGTGGTATGTCCGCTCGCGCAGTCTATCCGACGAGTACGTAACTGCCAGTAGAACCAGGAACCCACAGCAATTTGGTGGTACGGTCAAGAGGTTGGTGACAACCGTCGAATACCCCAATCGCTGTAAGACAATAGGCAAGAAGTTGGCGCAAGTGCTGAATGCGACTGGATAAGTAAACGAGATAATACACCATACTGGGAACTTCCAGTCAGACCAGGTCTGGAAGCACTCGCGGAGGTCGAACTCAGTATCCACTTTGCGAGACGCATCACGAAGAGACCGCAAGCGAGCGACTTCTCGTTCGGACTCGGTGAGAAACCACGCACTTGATGAGGATGCGGGGAGCCACCAGAAACCGATCAATGAAATGATCACCGTCAAAGCTCCTGTACACGGTTTACTGTCAGCGACTTCTTACAAATATACCTAAATGGTCACTCACCTTCGATTATGAAAAGCCACTGCCACCCTTGCAGGGCCGTGTTTTTGATCTGAAACACCCCAAATGATATCAATCCGCTAAATGCACTGGCAAGTAACGCAGATCCGAAGTATAGGGCAATGCGAAAACCGAGTTCACCTCGCGTATAGAACAGGGTGAGGTAGAATACAGTTCCTGCAAAAAAGCCCGCTTCAAAAGCGCTTCGAAAGTCAGTCACGCAAGCTGGGGCAACTCGTAAGGTACGAAAAAAAAAAAAAAAAAAGGAAAGTACAATCGTTGACTCACCCAAGGAGTAACCGTATCACTAACAGGCCTGCAAAATTCTTTGCGGCATTCTGGACCAGGGCCATCGCGCCCCATGCAAACATTAGACCTGGTAGCATAACTCTACCCGAGAACTTCTTGGTTAGCATGTTCAAGGGCAGGTCGCAAAGACCATTCGGTATGTAGAACAGCAAGATAAGAAGCGAGTATTGGTTGCCGATGAAGCCAAGGTCCGCTCCGAGACCATCCGTCTGAGCATTGCCAAGATTGCTCTGTCCGATGTGTGAGCAGTGACCTGGGCAGCAGGCAGGAGGTTCCGATACTTACTCGGTCCACAGAATTAAAGAAATACATCAAGCTCAAGAAGGGCAACAGGTAGTAGTCAAGCTTTTTCACTGCAATCATCAATCAGCTATGATGCACAAGCATTCGAACCTTTAAATCGTACCATAACTCCTCTCCGTTTGCTTGTCTACCACAATGTCACCAAGGCTCATAACATCGGTTGGAGCTGGAGAAGCAGCTGCATCTTCGACTCGAGGCTTTGCATCTTTTGCAGACATACTGTCATTAACAAAGATGCGACCGAGATGAATAGAAGACCAGATTGCAGTCTTAGGATTACTTGGCACAAAGGCGAGGTGAACTCAGGTATGGGTACGGGTCTGGCTCTTCTACGAGCCTTGTGATTTTTTTGAAGCATAAAAGTAATATTCATCCCAGCGGCTTTAATACTACTCGCCGATAGCAAAGCTGGGCTACATTGGAACGATTGCCGGCTGTGTTCTTCAAGATAACTATCAATAAGATAAGAAGATTACGCACTTGTTCACCAATTGTCCAGCGGGAGTGGGTTGAAGTATTGTAATACAAAGGTGGGCTTTTCTTGCGAATTACCTCCACTTATGTAGGCATCAAAGATTGCCATAATGATGCATCGGTGTTTAGCTGGCCGATACTTCACCCCATCTTCAAATAACAGAACCCCCACTTTTGAGTAGTGAATAACATATAACATACGATCATATTGTATATATAGCATTAGGTCGTACCTGAATATTTTACTCTATAGTTACAAGGCTGCTTCCGTGGCCTAGTCTGCTATGATTGCGACTGGATAATAGAATGCACATTCTAATAGCATGGTATGTTGTCCCAGCCGTATCTGTTTTGTGGTTGGTAGAATCCGTTCTTTTGTGTTAACTACCAAGGGGAGTCATTAATTTACTAGAGTCGTTTAAGATGCGAAAGCTCAGCTCTTCATAATGTTGCGAGGCATGATAGTGATGTATTGCTATGAAGACAAGCTATGATGTAGTGCTTCTATAACGGCTCCAAGGCAGATTAGACCCGTTCATTGATTCGATACCTATAGTATTGTGAATAACAGTTTTTGGAGCCGAATATTTCCAGACAAATGCGCTATAATCCCCTGAATGCCACGTGGTCCATTTCTTGGGTCAGTTGTCTATGCTTGCATGACCAGTACTGGGCAATCCAAGAAATTGTATGTCTAACACCCCATACGATAAGACAAGGCCATTTGGGTGCATGTGTGTCTTCTTGATATAGTGCGCTTACTTGCGGGATGGGTAAAGGGGAAATTGTTGGTGATGCTACAGAGCCGAAACTACGTGAGAGAGCGTATGATGACCAGTGAGCATACACGCAACAAGCACACAATCTCCTAGAAGCTGTGTCGATCCATGCCTTATATCAAGCTTCAACTTATGGGCTCATGATTTATTCCCATTTCGTTACCAATTGTGAAACCTACAGCGATGTTTTTTTTTGCGGGGGCTATCAGAGACAATTCACCATAAATGAATAACTATGTTGGCAATCTCTGCCGTTATGCCCTTTCTTTCATTGATCACTAGATTTCAACTGAGGTCTAGACCGCATCATTAGAAGTATTTCTGAGTCTGAGCAAAATGCATGCCATGAGCAAAATGAAACAGCTTCGCGGCCACGATCATGCGATCCTGCTTGGAGTATTCGACCAGCCGGTCATAGAACTCAGAGAGAGGGATGACGACGCGCTGAATATGCTCTCCGTCCTCGAGACGCTGCTCTGGTTCCTCATCGCCTTCCTTCAAGTTTACTTCCACCATTGCCATTTGCATGTTGGCGTTGCTCATTCCAGGGTCCGCAGCTTGGACCGGGCTGATGCTCACGACGCGACAATCGTAACCCGTTTCCTCTTTGAACTCGCGCACCGCAGCTTGCTCGGCCGTCTCATCCGCATCGATAAGTCCAGCCGGCCACTCCACAGTGTACGCATCAAGCGGCGGGCGGTACTGGATCACAATCAAGGTCGACGGCGGCTTAGATGGGTGCAGAAGTATGTTCCCCATAGCGACGGCATCCACTCCAGCCTTGCCCCTCGTCTTGCGCGTCGCGACCTCCCACGTTCGGTCCTTGCCCACCTGGTCCGTGTATTCAATCTTCTTGAGAGTGATCCATTTTGCCTCGTCAATGGGCAAGTCGGACAGCTTGTTGATGATTGGTTCCTGGGTCTTTTGCGACATGCTGAATGCGCGTTGGCAGTGAGTGAATGATGATGTCACAGCTTTAAAACGCCTGATGACCGCAGCGCGCGCTGGAAGCATAAAGGGGATGACGAAGCGGAAACCCCAAATCGCAATGGTAAGATTCTGATGGGATTACTTGCTGTTCCGCTTAGACTATTAGTGTTCTCTTTGTGGCGGAAACTGAAAGAAGCGAGTTTGTTATAATATGTGGTGCCTCTTACCCACTGCTTGTCTTATTAATAAAAATGAGTTAAGTTAATTAGCGGGGTAAAGTCCCTTTTGTTAAGCACTTATAAAGATTGTTATTGAAAGTTATTATTAGCGTTTAAAAAAAAGAATCATTAATTAATTATTAATTATGTATATATATATATATATATAAATATCTTTAAACTTTTGTAATAATTACGATAAGATCACCAGGTGATAAGCTCCTAGGCGTAACGTTTATATTTAGAGACTTATTCTTATGGAGTAGAAAAGGAACGTGTCCATCGCTAGACTAGTTACGAAGCGGGGGTTTTACACCGACTACGCACGGGCGTACTTCGTACGCTGCTCGAACGCTAGGCTAGCACCTTGGCCAGGTCGTTACACTTTTATATCCTTAAGTTACTTTTATCATAAAAGTTTAAGGCTAATACTCTGCTTATCGACTAGGATTACACGGACTATAATCCAAAGTGGAATCCCGGCGTATAAACGCACTCTAAACAGACAGAGCCCTTGTCCGATGCGGAAAAGCGGATGTATGAGGTGTAGTTATAGTATCCCTGGGAAGCGATTGGTCAAGGCAGCGGCGTCGTGCATATGCTCGTCTACTCAAACCATCCCTCCTATGTCGCTCTCCTCCTTTTGCGCTCATTCCGTCTCTTCTATCTCGTAGTAACCGGATCAATTGCGAACCCTTCCACCAAGGCGGAATCCTGCTGCGGTTGGCTTTGAATACTTCGCCCTGCGACTGCCACCCTTCCCTAATCGAGAGGCTCGATTCCTCACCCAAGCCGGTGAACGCGATCGTATCAACGTCACGGGAGAAAACGACCACAAGCCTTGACGCAATGGCGGTCGATATGTCAGCGCTGTCTCGAATGCAGATAGAGGCATTTTTTGAGAGAAACGCTCCTGTCACGCAGAAGCAATGCAATGATAAAGCTAAAAACATAACAGGCAAGTCTGTCAGTCCAACAGCTTGCCAAGGCGGAACCAGCTACACCGTCGACACGGGGCAAGTCGTCGTCCAGTTCCGCGTTCCAGGCTCCCTTCTGGACATGGTCTTCATGAATTGTGTCGAACAAGCCTACCCAGACTTCACGCCAGAGCACAAGGACTGTGGCTCGTTTCATAATCTCCACATCTATACAATGAACAATATCGGGGGCACCTCCATGTATCTCGCCCGAGCCTACTTGCAAGGGAACAACTACGAGCTCCTGCGAAACACCATCGACAGCTACGCAAGGTTCGTCAATATCAGCGCGCCGGCCCCCCGCTTTCTCTCTGACTCTGGCCTTCCAGGGGAAACATCTACGGCTGACTCGACTGGGGTAGATTCTTCGCCTCGGCGTATCATAACACGCCTGGGTCGATGAGCAAGCCAGATCGCGGGCAGCTTCTTCGAGATTACTCGTCGCAACTCCAACGGCTACGCAAGGGGCTCCCCGATCGCTTTCACACAACGCTAGACACCCTCATCCCCCAACTCCCAAGTATCTTTGATCAGAACTGGCCATTGGTGCCCAACCACACCGACCTCCTCGAGAACAACATCCACGTGGATCCAGACACGGGCGCCATCGTGGGCATCTGTGACTGGAGGGATGCCGAGGTCAGTCCCTTTGGCATGTCGCTGGGGGGGCTTGAGACTATGCTTGGGGTCCGGACGATGAATGAGCACGGTTGGAGCTACTTCCCCAACCATAGTGAGCTCCGAGAGCAGTTCTGGACCACATTTTACCATTACCTGGGATCAACGTCTGAAGCGCAGCAGCAGTGCATCGAGGTTGCGAGGCTGACTGGCCTCTTCCTGGCCAATGGCTTCGTGCAGGACAAATACGGGCACATGAATCCGGCCACCGAGGAGAGCTTGGACTTACGTTACCTCGGTGCTGTTGTTCTCGCCTGATGTCTTGAATCTTGATAGCTCAGTTCGGGACGTTGAGGTCACGAATGCTGCCAGAATTGACCAAGTAATGCAAATATACTCTATGTATGTGTGCCCGCGCGTGTGTCTTGCTGGAATACATTTGTTTCATCTCGTCTCTCTAACGTCTGCCACCCTCAGCTGCTGGTCCATGTGGCCAGCCTCGGAGCAACGCCATGGCTGTAAACCCCTACGAGTGCCCCTACCACCGCTTACGTGTTGGTACTATTACCAAATCGCTTAACTAACCCAAAGCAACTACTACCTAGTCAGTGTCTAGGAGAGATGCACTGCATCCCACGTAATCGTCATGATGTCTGGCGTGGTTAAAGTAGTGAAGCAAGAAATCAAAGGCACATCGAACGCTACCGTGGAACCGTGGTGGTATGAGACGAGCAAGCGAGGCAGACTTCTGATGAGAAGGACAGCCTCGGGACGAAACAGAGCAGTGGCAGGACCCGTCACAGAATGGAGCACAGGCAAGAATAGGGAATTTGTTTTGGAGCAAACAAGTATATGTCCATTTGCTATGTGGTCGTGCTACCACCTTAGCTGGACCGAGGACAATTCATGATGGCAAAGTTACCCACATATCCTCACCGCGATGCAACCGCCAATATCTGCGAAATGAGAAGAAAAATAGAAGTTGAGAGAGGGAGATGAGCTTGTGCGTGCATGCCAATCTGTTGCCGCCAAACACTTATTCTTCGAAGCAGCCTGAAGCAATTAAGCCTCGATCACCCCGATATCGACAAGCGCCTTGTTGAGAAGCTCAGGGGTGACAGCCTGGGCATTGTGAGACTTGCTGACGAAGACTTTGTGCGTCTCCTTCGTCCCGACAACTGCCTTGGCCCAACTCTGACCAGCGGGAGGCTCCGAGTCCGTGTTCTCCTGAGAGCCATCCTTGACGTTCCAGCCCGTAAGGACAGGCTCCACGATTCCATCGACAATACGGTCGAGGGGCACAACGACAGTAAATTCCTCTTTGGTGGAGCACCAGACCACCTCCAACTCGCCAGTAGGCACAGCGTCCATGGCACGTGCCTTGGAGAAGTCCCCGACCTCAATGGCAATCACGTTAGTGAGGTCGTGCTTGATGAGATACTGGATGACATCGACGAGGAATTGGGGGGAGAGCTTTTATCCGTTGAGGAGGGAAGGGCCCTTGGCGATGGGGCGAGTGGACACCAAAGAGGTTGCCCATATCATGGCTGTTGATGATGGCGAGCAAAGCTTTGATGTGCTGGGAGCTATAGAGCTTGGCCTGCTCCTCGATGGGGGGGAGCGCGTTGTACCTATGGCAGCCCCAAGTTAGTCCATGCTTCCGAGCATGCTATGTACTGTAGCGATTGAAACGTACGTGCGGCAGGCGACATCCAAGGCCTGCAGCTCGACAGGGAGACCCGAACCTGGAATAATAGCGGGCCAAAAGGCACCATTCGATTTCCAAGGACCTATAGCGGGTTGAACAGCGGCGGTGGCCATTTTGGTGGATGAATGGGGATGATGCTTGTTGGTGGAGTGTCAGAGGCTGATACATGAACCAAGATCTGGGTGCCTATTTCGAATGTTGGTTTCTGATGCGGAAGGAGAAAGACAACCCATTTCTACGGGCAGAGAGACTAGCTATATATATTCGTGCGACTCGTTTCGAACTCGGCATGTCGTCTCCGCTGGAAAAAACGACGATAGTGGCTCAGCGGCCGGAATTAGGTAACGAATGACCAAGACAATGAGCCCTCTTCCGAAGTGTATACCATGGGTACCTTCCGTGCCCGACCTTGCAGGTGGTTCCCAAAAAGCGCAGGTGGTTCGCCTCAGATGCCACACCTCAGAGACGTACAGGACGTGGCCCACATACCAACAAAGCTTCCCCACGCCACGACGCCATGCTGCTCCCTTGCAGTCAAGTATTGCTAGACTCAAAGCGAACATTGTAGGCAGCTATGACAGTTTTTTCAGTTGGTACAGAACACTGTTTTAGTGAAGGATAGGTCTGATGCACTGAAAGGAAGAGCCTGAATTTACTCGAACATAGGATAGCGAATACGGTGCTCGTATGAGCGTGGGATCGTAAGTGTAACGCTCTTAAGCGTGAAATGATAGTATAGGTACTGTCAAGTAGTATATAGAAGTCTAAGTCCACAAAAGAGAATATCGGGGTACAGAAAGTGGGTATATGCCCACTGGTTCAGTCACGGGATCACCACTTCCCAAGTTAGGTGATCCGAGAGCTCGTCGCCTTAGTGTACAGCATGCTCTCCGTGCACTGTGGCCATCTATAGTCATCCATATTACCACAAAAGGCCCTTACGTAAAAGCGAGATTATAAAGAAAAAAGACGGTTTATGGCGAAAATCGGCTTACGTGGGATCGCGCGTGAACGCCAAGCCCTTTGATAACATAACGTATACCTAACTAGCACAGGGTACTGTATTCTTTTATCCGTACTGTCATAGTGCCTGTAGTACAATACGGTACATACAGTGCCTAGCAAAATCACCGTCCCCTACGGTAGAACCGAAAATGCTTCGTGACTATTTAGCCACAACGGCCAGCGAGAGTTTGCTCGGCCATGGCTGTCAAGTAAATCTCGCGTCTTTACTGCATCAGAAGCCCATCATTATGAGCTCAAAATCAAGGCCTGGAACTGGTCGGTATATTCCCACCTCGTAGTGCGTAGTGTGGTGACAGGTAATATTGTTGACGCAGGCTGGCAAAGTTCGATCTATCTCATAAAAAGAGTCAACGTAAATCGTCGCTGAGTCTACCTCCACTGTCCAGAGAAATCCTGGCGGTGAAGTATGAAGAACGAACAAAAACACGACAATTCTCAACGCACATATATAGATGTGCTTGACGATAGCAAACATTTTGTATGATCCAGAATTCCAGTTTTATATTGACTATTTACTCTGTTCGAATCGGGCGGCGGACCATTTCGTTTCTCCGTGCAGGGTTTTAGTGGAGACATCGGGATTCACAGTTAGCCCGCATGCCGCAGCTATGCTACCCGTTGCTGATAATTTTAATAACGACTGAGATGAAATGGAAACAAGGTTTTACTATAAGGTATGGATCATATTGTTTTATTGAAGCTTGCAATAGGTTATCGGACTAACTTCTGTCGTGATATAAGTTACTTGTCCGGTTTCTTTAAGTGACCATCAAAAAGGATTACCATTAGTGGCCAAGTCCGCCATTTCACTGATTGGTAGCGATCAAGTAATTCTCTAACACTTGAAATACCTAAAAAAAAAAAAAAAAAAAAAACGTTCACGCTCCTTGGTGCTCGTCTCGTCTCAAGACTTTAGCTAGTAAATAAACTTTATCACGAATAGAGGCTCACACTACCACATTCTTCCTATGGTATTTCACTATTGGATACGCCTATCAGATATTGAGGTCAATTGAACTTATCGATGTTAATCGTAGTCCTAAATCGCTAGACATCCCCGGCATCGAAAGAGCGGGAACCGATTATACCGACTGTGGCAAATGAAGTGCTCTTTACTCTATCTCTTTCACTTTTCCTGTGCAATTGCAATTGCAGGGCTTGGAACATTCATCTGCAGGAAGAAGCGACAATTATAGCATGATCCTCAGTTAATTGCATCTTTTGGGTGCTTATTTTCAAGTCGATAAGTATCCGTCAGTTTCTGGTCTTGCTGTTCGATCTGCGTCGTTCCCCCAACCACAAGTTGTTTTATAGTCTTGCTATTCTACCTGTATTTTCTCTAAGTTCAACAATATTGTCCCAGAATAGGCAGTCCATAAAGGCTGCCTGAATCTGACCCCTATCCGCTGGGATGTATAAAAGCTATGCGCACATTCTCTCGTCGAGGAATCTGAGCATCCACATCTCGTTCACTCTCTACTTTCCCCAATCTGCCCGCTAGCACATATAAAGGCCATAAGCACGTCCTCTTGAACGACCCGAACAACACATTCATTCTCTACTTTCCCAAATTTACTGATTTCAACTTTTAATTTGGCAGAAACCCGTCTTCCTTCGATCCAACCACTATGAGTTACAAGTCGACCTTTCTTTTCGATGCATTCATCGCGTTCACATTGCCAACGCTTCATTTATGCTTTGCAGTAGCCCTCATTGTCGTTTTGAATCAAGCGCTCTCATACGCCTTTGAGTGCATTCATTGGCGCTACTCGCAAGGCGAGGTTCTCGACGAGACCTCGCGATCTTGCAGCACTACACCAATGCAGCCCTCATCCACCCAAATAGCCACCCCAGAGAATCAGTTTGCAGAGGCAGAAGCAGCAACAAACCAACAAGCAGTAATGGCATCGGCCCCTGGTGATTTTCCTAATTTACCTGGTAACAAATTAGAACGTCAGTACCCCTTTGTTATATTCAACAAAACGGAGCTAATTCATGAATTGATGTAGGTTTTTTTGTGAATTGGGACGAACATCGAAATGCAAAGCTCACCAGGGCTCATTACACACCGCTTCCTACATACGCCTCGCAACAGTATATTGCGCACCATGGAACTCTTCGCAGCAGCGGCCCAGATGTTCGGTCTTCACAGGCTCAACGACTGTAGCTTATGACTGCCTGGCCAATAATGCAAACAAGATGTCTTTACAATACATACAAATATATGTTAGATGGATGGCGGAAAGGATGGAAGTGATGTACATACTACGTAAGCTGCCTCATCACATTTTGGAGAAATGGAGCCGAGAGATTTTCGTCGCAGGCGTCATATGTCTCCCAGATGTGCCTAATGGCTGTTTGGTTTGAGATTCAATTTGTACATCAGGTGCGCACAATAGACAATAGACAATAGACAATAGACAATAGACAATAGACAATAGACAATAGACAATAGACAATAGACAATAGACAATAGACAATAGACAATAGACAATAGACAATAGACAATAGACAATAGACAATAGACAATAGACAATAGACAATAGACAATAGACAATAGACAATAGTCGCTATCACCCCTCATATGGACCTGTGAGCTAACGCCTATTCACTGGTCCAGGCTTTTTAGAATTACCAGTTCATTTCTGGGTTAGAAAAGCCGTGCGATGGTATGGAGATAGGTTTGCCATCAGCACAAATCGCCCCGTCCATAAGCGAGTCTTTCGCATGCACATTGGCACACAAGCTCACGGTACTCGGCCATTAGTATTAGGGTCAAGTTGCGTGTGGTACGTCATATAGCTAGAGAATATAAGGGGTAGGGATAAAGTAAACGTGCTAGACCATATTCGAAGCATTATACTGTCCGCGATGTGTTTTCTGGCTATTTAACGGCGCCAAACTATCACTATAAGTAAGTCAGATAACAAGGATTTAAAGAGAGTATTGCTCTGCCATCAAAAGAACCGGGCCCTGCTTGAATGCCGAATGAAATGTTAAGTTGTCAGTGTCTATTCCCGAGTACTTAGTTCTCAGGGCTGGTTCAATTAGCTCTATTTTGGCCACACAGGACGCCTAAAGGACGGAGAGCCTGACAACACAATGTCGTCACAGGCTTCTTAGAAGCTGTGCCGTAAGCACCAGACTATGTGCAGGCATCTCGTAGTCTCTAATAAAGACCTTTAAGTCTACATATGCATGATTGTTAAAAAGCCTACAAGATGTTGGTTAGCTAACATTCTTCGATGAGAATAGTCTACATACTGGGAGTTTCTTGAAAGGAGATTAGTTCCAAAATTCGCCATCTTGGGATTTGGGCCAGCGGGCTGTTAGATGCTGCTTTCTGCGATGAGGTAATCTCGCTGGTTGCCTTTCTGCGCCAAACACTGCGCGATGCTATTCGCGAAGCGCTTAGCAAGCTGATTGAGGGTGGATAGAAGAAGAGGATCGAGTTGACTTTGCTTGTGCTTACTACATCGTCTACCCATTGACTTGTGGGTTTTTCGACTTGGTCGATTCTGCTAGTCCTTTCGAGTTGTTAAGGATATACCTTCGAATATCATCATCTGAATAATCCTCTGAATGAAAGTCTGCCAAATACGCTAAATTGCACGCTGGTAGCCGTGCCTATTAGCTAGTCGGGTTGAGCTTTATGGTCGCGCTCATAATTGAAGGCTTTGGCTAACAACTAATACACGGCCGATAGCCCGTAACACTCACTTGTTAAAATGTAGAAATCAAAATGAAATAAACTAAATGCTAACACGTAGTAAATGAAAGGCTGAATTGCTCATTGACTTATTCCACTTGCACTCGTGAATGTTTAGTCATAATTGTCTTGATGAACAAACACTCTACTTGAACCACTAGACAAACACTTAGGTTAGATATATTATTGTAGCCCTAAACTAAGCCTTGAAACCGTAAAGATAGCTAAGACTGTGAGACACCCTACAGGCGAAGCCTGTGCACCCGCAGCGTAGCGTAGGGCTGCGATCATGATGAGAGCAAGCATGGACAGGGGAATGCCAAAGAGTCAAAGAATCACGGAGTATGCGACGGACTAGCAAGAGATTGACAGCTATAAGGGCCGCCTACTATAAAGGGCTTGGCCTAGGGAAGCAATTGAGAAAATCCCCCTTACAAAGCTTACCTATTAAAAGGGTAGGAACAGGGATATTTTGGTCAAGATTTTGTGTAAATCTTCATTTTTAGTGTTAGTGCTCTCTTAAGGATTCTAACGGAATCCTTAGCAGAGCGACCCTATAATCTACTATAAGAGAACACCAGAACCCATCCCTAGACATGGGGTAGCATTTACTACTATATGGCATTCTTGCCTTCCTTCGACACACTAAGAGCGTAGCGACATGCACTAGGTTCCCTGCGGGCTAAGGTTAGGCCTCTAACAGCGCGGGCAGCTCGTTAGCTTCTTTCGCCGGGGGGAGGGGGGGGGGCACCCTATGGGGAACACTAAGAGTAGACTAGCGGGACTTGTCAATTGATTAGAACTAGACAACCACTACTCCCGATTGAATCTTAGAGTAAACGCAACCTGGTGACAACATCGGCTATTATGAACTTAATTAAGATGAATGAAATTAATTAAAATCGAACTTGATCTTTTATTTGAACATGCACTGTCAGCGGTGCGTCCAGATTGTGCACACCTGGGTTTTGCCATACAAGATATTAACTGTGAAAAGTGGAAAATAAGAGTGGTCTCCAACATTTTTGTACAGGACTGACATTTTGTCTGTTGGTGTTCTTTGTATGAGCCCAGCAGGATCACTAGCAGCGCGTCCCTATAATTTATTATAAGAGAACACCAGAACCCGAACCCAGCTATTGAGATACCTCGTAGCAAAATACGGCGATTTTATAAGGTCGACTGGTCAAAGGGCATAAGAACGGCCTGTGCCTATCTATTAGGGAAGATGCATTTCGACTGAGCTGGATGATTCAAGCATTTTTCTCTTTCATCAAGTATAAAACAATAGCCAAGTCGATTAAGTTGACCTTTTTGTAGGTCTAACATATCCTTATTTTCACAAACTTGTGTACTTCGTTTTTCAGTGCCGCATCATGTCCTCCGGGTATAGACCTCCCGCTCGCGTACCGACAAACTCATCCTATGTACGTATTAGAGACCCCCATTTGTATCAATCAAATACTTCCTTGAATATGAGTTCGGTATAAGGGTGAACACTAGAATTCTGATGCACGTGACACGTGTCTAGTATAGCTGGAATGGCACCCCGGATCTGTCCAACCTAACGGGAAATCCTTGGATGCATGCACATCATATAGTAGCCCAAGTTGTAGCTGCTCCCAGTCCTACGAGACCATATCCATCGCGCTATGGCAACCATGAAAACCAGCCACTTCAATCTACTCCGCCTTTACACCATTACCCACTTCAAAAGTCAGGCACATGGTCCCTAGGCACAAGCCCAGGTGCTGTACGTGCTGTTTACAATGACTAAAATCGCAGTACATTCGATGTTGTCTATCACAATCCTGTGGCTGGACAGACAGGCAAGGGTTATGGTCAATTCACGATGGCGAATTATCACGCACACGCTTCAAAAGAATGATGGTTGGCACACTTGTAGCTGTTTGTTGAGAAACGCGACGGAGAGCCGATGCGGCCATGTGGGTTTGTAAGAAGTCCAAGCTCGCAGCGGAATAACGAAACACACCGATTCACGAGATGTAGTGATTAAGATCATGATACAATGCGCGCAAGTTTGTCTGGGTGCTAGGATCAAATTGTGGTCAAATCACGACCACCACGACTAGCTTTCAACGACGATTTCTCTATTAATTCATATTCAACTTTGCCGAGAGTGAAGTGATATTACTCGCCATGTAGTAGAGTGTATTCTAGCCATCTGTGTTCTTGACTGCTACTATTTGACGTGGCATGAATCTCATAAGTCTCCGAATAAAGGCCATATCGAACTCGAACCACGTGCAATCAATTGCCTCCTTCGTATAGTCCTCGTCACAGTTTTTCGTCTCTAATTTGTGGAACCAAGATTCGACTTCATGCAATTCTCGTTTGGGAGCATGTCGAACCTGCTCAATTAGGTCGAAATCTGTGCGGCCAATTAACTAGATTCCGCGAGTCTCTAACCCCCCCCCCCCCGGAGTACAGCCCTGGATATGAACTGGCGCGTTGTCACGAGCGGAGGGGTTCCCAGTGTCGTTAAGCGATGTAAGCTCTTCCTCTAGAACGTTTCCATCAATTTACTCTATCTAGAGACTCCGGATCGCCTTGGCACAAGATCAAATACATGGCCCTCCCTCCTTGGCCCGCTGCCACACTGTTAATACGGAGGAGTCAGCGGGGTCGAAGAAGGGGTAAGTATCTAACGAAGAAGAATTCCGAAAAGTTACAGAGGAAAGCGTTACAGCGCATTTCTAGTCACTGAATCCTCGGGTAAACTAATTGCGGAGGCAAATATTCTCGGACGGCGAGAGGTGGAATAAGCCGGATCTAGAGCTCGATACAAGTAATGTACAGCTAGGCTAAGAAAACCGAGTGAACGGTTATTTTCGAATTCTCTCTTCCTTCAACTGTGTCTTAAAATGTATTGAGCTTTGCCCGGCTTGCAGTCCGAGATTCAGCCAGAGCGCGATGTGATCAACAAGGATGGCGAAGGCTTTGAGTTTGCTTCCAAGTCTCTGGCCCCTGCCGTCATTACCCAACTCTTCTCCTGAACGATCGGCAAGGGTATTCAATATGGCTACGTCAAGACGGGCGAGATTTTCGTCTTTCTGCACATCCCTGATAACCCCACTACGGTCTACTACTCGCTGTGCGTCCCAAACCTTGATATGATAGACGACAACCTTCGGCTCCATCGTACCGCTGTTGCACAGGTCTTCGCCCTCTGATACTCACTAAACTTCTCACCAGCGTTGGATGTTGGCCTGGACTTGATGGCGAGATCAACAAGCACGTTCCTGCGGTGGCAGCGAGGGCGACGAGACGAAATGTGACTGGCATCGCGGCGAACGAGAAACATGCATTACGAATACTGAAGGCACCTCTGTGCCCGAAATGATAGCCCTGCAATTTTCATAAGATTTCTGCGAAGCTAGGGGTTTGGACTTCGGCCAAGATCAAAACATGACTTTCGGGAGTGCAGACTTGAATCCGAGGTTCGATATTGGAGCGACAGTGGCAATGGCCTTTCGGCGGTCTGAGGATAGTACTGACTGTCACATAAACTGTACCAGTTGGTTTCGTGCCTTGATCGAGATGTGCTCTACAAGCTACAAAAGCGGATCGATGCTTGGCGGAATGCCGATGCTTGCAGGCTCATGTGGGAACTATTCCGTGTCAGTCGAAGAATTGAAGATTCTAACTTCAACATTTATTAGTTACTAAAACAAGATCTTGACGTAGTTGCAAAGCAGGACGAGCCTCAATACGTAAGGCACGTAGCTACTTTAACTTTCACCTGAGACTCGCTTTCTGCCACTAATAAGCATACGGTTATGCTCCTCCTTTTTGAAAAGAGGTAGGAACATATTCGCGATGCGCAAAGCTTCCATTCTTATCTAATCATAAGGTTCGCAATGTACTCTGCGGAATATTGGGTTGATTGCAGACTGCTGCAAGTAGAGGAGAAAGGTTTTTTAGAACTAGCTAGCGTCGGTCTTGTTTCTTGCTGAGCATCTCTGCGTTATTGTTGAGTATTGCTTAGATGTTAGCCTCGAAGTCGAAATTTGACCGTATTATATTGTTGCTGTCGACAGTAGAGGGAGGCGTTTGATTCTGTCGAGGTCAGCTTGGTAGTAGGACGGGCTGATAGCCATGGCATCATCTAGATATGAATCCTCATTAAGCCTGAAGTGAAAGATGTTCACGAATCCTGGCATCAAGCTGCACCAAACGGGGAATAGAACATATAATTGGCTCCTGAGAACACGTGGTAGGGTTGTGATTGATCTGTTACCTTTGGGAATTCATTGTTGACAGTTTGTGATATCTAGTCAAGGGACGATATCCTTGAGGGCTGGTGGCCATGGGAACACGACATCTAGTTTTGGGAATCCTGCAAAGAGACACACCCCAAAAATACCGCGCTCGAACTCCAGATGTGCGATACGCTCTTAATCCCCATTTTCAATCCCCTGGGTTGTCGCCATGAGATCATCCCCCATGCTGTCCGCTGTTTTGGGTCGAATAGTTGTAAATACCATATCATCACCACTGACAGGTTAGGTATTCTCCCAAATGAAGGTAGCTGTGAAGGGAACTGGGTGCCCCGCTGAATTCCAAATTCTGCCTGGTCTGTTGGGTTTACCTTCACCTATGGCTCTGGCTACTTCTGCCGCCATCAATAACATGTAGTCTCCACTAATTTGATAAGGTCGTTTTCCTCTCGTATCTATACGCAGGTATTGGTTGAGCTCCCCATCTTTCTCATTGCTCCAGGTATCAACACAAGTATGCGATGATTTTTCCTACAAGCTCCAATTCTCACAACTTGCAGAAGGGGAGCCAGCAACTTACAGAAAAGATGGCGGACTCTAGTGAAAACTGCTGTCGACCTCTGAGGTAGCTACGGAGCCATGGTCTACATCTCCATCAACGTGCCGGGTAAAGGCAAAAAATTCGTCTTCCGTTGTTGGCATATGGACGACTTAAGTATATTTGTCCAATCGGAAACAATACCTTGTTAGGTAATACTACTGTAGATCTACAGCAAGTATATATGTCAAGCCTTCACCCACCTGAGCAGATAGAATAAAAAAGCATCCTAATACATCATCCTTCACCCATCTATTGATTAGTCACCGCTGCAATACCTCCTATTCGCACCTATACTCTCACAAAAACAGCCTTTTAAATGAATTTTAATAATAAAGATAATATTAAAGCTTAAATAATAAAGAATAAATCTCTTTATATATCAAGTAACAACTCGGTTATTCTTAACATTTTATATTATTATATCTTTATAAACCTAGTACTAAGTAGCTTCATATTACAAACGAGAGGATTAATAAGGTGAAATAAACTCTGTAAAATAAAAGCTTTAATTAAGGCTAGGAGTTCTATTATAGCTAATCCCGTAACAGCTTGAACCTGTTTCATCGTGCATTGTGAATTCGACTGTTTTTAACACGCCATGGCTTTCCCAATCATCTGTGACAGCATCCGGCGGCCTTGTGACAAGTTGTTGTTCAGCTGTACTGCCTCTACTGTGACGGCTTCTCGCCACGTGATGATTGACATCCTCTATGCCGTCCCAAATCGCTTCGCCTGACTTCAAGCTTGGTATATGAGGCATCTCTATCGTGCTCGGGCTAGAGAACTTGATCTTGCACGCCAGTATATCGATACTACGTAAAGTCAACGTCGACATGCGTCATTAGTGTTTGGAGGTTGGCGACCACTAACTATATCATCATCGGGAACAGGCATTCCAGTGTGTACACGAAGCGATCGACCTGCCCGGCGGTCGTCAGAGCCTGCGGCAGAGACTGGTTGAAGATATACGCGACGGCCCTCGAGATACCAATCAGTGCCAGCGATGCAACCCTAGTCTCGGTGCCGCGCATGAGATGCTGCAGCAACGCGCTTCCGCTCAGCGCCGCATCCTTGGACGCCTTCCTGGCCGACGCGAACTCGCGCAGCAGGAAGAACGCGCTCGTGCACTCCAGCAGGGCGATGAGCGAGAAGTAGCCTACGTGGAGGTAGTTCACGACCTTGAGGAAGCCGGAGCCGGGGTCGAGGATGATCTTGATGCGGCCGACGAGTATAACCATCCGCAACACGGCAATGCCGAAGACCATGACCCAGAATAACACCATAAAGACTGTCCGGCTGCGGCGGGTCAGGAGGCGGATGAGGATCGCGTAGCTGTAGAACGAGATGCCGACTTCCTGTATCAGCCAGAAGAAATCGGCAAACCCGGACGCGACGGCCGTGTTCGTGGTTGGAAAGTCCGAGTAGAATGCATAGTAACACAATCCGTTGGCGATAGCGCAGGCCGCACTGACAACGATCGGGATCAGCACGACCGGGGAGAACTTGGTGATGCTGATGACTGTCAGACCATAGAGGACATTGGCGATCCCGATTGTGCTTAGTATAGCCCAGCACTGCTCAAAGTAGAGCGTCATGTTGGGCTATAATAGAGTCCGCATGACAGGCCACACTTGCTTCTACCCGTGTGGAGAATGTAATGAATAGGAGATAAATCCGTCCGATGTAAAATGGACTACGACTGGAAATAAGAGAAAGGGTTTTCTTCCTTGAACAAACCCCCAGTCGCCGATACCCGATGCTTTGGTTTGTGGAAATTCGCTTACGAGTGTGACTGGATTACCCCAGATTTTTGGGGACTGTTAGATTGTTAGGGGGTCGCAATGAGACGAAAGCGTTTGGAGAAAGCCAAAACTAAAGTCAATTGGCCCTAGCATCCCACCGGGAGACTGTCCGCCGCCTCAGCTAGGTTTCTTAACGTCTTGGAAGGATAATATGATTGGTGCGCACACCCACTTCCCTCTGTTGAGCCCGGGATTCCTAGTAGAAAGGATTTAGGCGGTCCTATCTTCTGTCGTTGGAGGATCGCATACCCTGATCTTGGGATAGTAAGCATCGAATCAGCTAGCTGGACTACGATTGTGCATGGCGCCACGGATCAAGATCTGCACAAAGTTCTCATGCATTGGAGGTAGAGCTTCGGCAGATTGCTTCGGCGTTGCGAAAGTCGTAACAGATCTCGCTCGACATGCCGCAAACAATGTCGAATTGCAAGAGACGTCAGAAATAGTTGGATGTTCAGGCTGCCAAGCTGATTGCCTTTGGAGTGGCCTATCGGGTGAAAGCTTGGCTATCCACGATAGCTCTCTAACGCATGGCGCCACATTTTGACAGCATCAATTCGGCCTATGTTCAACGTTATTGTTATTATTATTACTATTCAGTTTTGTCTCAAACTCGGACTGCTGAGACCGCAGTAATCATGGCCACCAGGTCCGTCAACGTGTGTTCCGTCTGTGGCCGCGTGAAGCCTTCGGCATATGGTATCCGCTCCTCTTCTGTCGCACGTAGTTAGCAAGAGATTCCATTGACGTTAGGGCAACTTGTTGACGTACCGAAAAGCACCCGCACATAATCCTTCGGCACACCGCCTTGGTTCGGGTCCCAAAACGCAGTCAACAATACACTGGTCTCTCCAATACTACCTGAACTGCCCGCATCGGTCAAGTTGAACTTGGGGTTGACCAGCTTTGCATCCCTCACCCTTGCGGCACGTGCTCTTGCCGCAATCTCAACAGTGATAACTGACGAAGCAAACGGGATGCGAATGCCATATCTCGCTGCAGTGGCAGCCCAGATCAACGGGTTGAAGTGAAGATTGTCACCAAAGAAGATATCGTTTCTCGATAACGAACCGTCGTGTTCAATGGCATTGTGGAATGCGAGGTCTTGGAGGTTGAACGTCGAGCTGTTGCCCGTCGTCGACACTGCGAGCGAAGACTGAGTGATGCCGACGAAGACCTCCGGCGCGAAACCCATGGCATTTTCGAAGGCGGATTGGATGGTAGGCAGGTCAATGTTCTTGCCGTTATGTGGAAGCCATCCATGGTTGGCCATGGAATTAAGCATCGGACAAGGCGAACGACCTACTGGCGTGTTAACCATCCAGATTGACATATCAGTTTGGGACAGTGCTTACTGTCTCCTGGGCTGGCAGCCTGCCATTCATGACCCGTCGGCGCAGCCGGGATGGCTGGCTTCCATCCGGCAGCCGCAAGACCACTAAGTGTCAAAGTGATCAAGCAATGGGCGCGCATCTTGATGATCGGAGCGATATTTTCGGACGGCTACTGATAGGATGAGTTCAGGGTTTGGACCGAAAACACTTTCGACGACCAGAGCAAGAGGATCGGCACTTGATCACGACAGGCGACCCGTATGATATATAGACCAAAGACCGTGGAGGATCGGAGCCTCCATATCGTTAAGTCGGTTCATTTGCTGCCAGGGCTTGAATCCCTGGAAAGGGTTGCACCGCTGCCAGATCGCACCCGGCTGCACAGTGGACATGCAGAAAGGCATTATCACAGACCCTCTGCATCCACATGATTCGTCTTTACTGGGTATGTGCTCGTTGAAGATGACCTCTCAGGATAGGAGAATTGACAAGCGACCTAGTCGACTTTTTACCGTGCGCAGCTAGTTTCCGTCATTTTAACTTGCATACGGCGCCAGGACTTCTCTATGAGGATCGACAATTTGCTTTAGCTCTCAACGCTCTGACTGCGGCCGCACTTGTTAGTTCGGGAGGGACAGCGATTCTTGCACAGCTAACGACCAGCACAGACGTGATGACCGTACGATGGCTTTTGACTCGAAGGGAACGCTCTGCGCTCTGAATGGAAGACGAGTAATGTGAAAGACCGAGTCGGTGTGCTCAGATTGCAGTAGTTCTGCCAACATGGCAGACGCCGCAGCGGTTAACATGTGCAGACATGGTAGAAAAAGAAACTTTAAATCCCGAGCAGACGGGCTTCACGGTTCCCCACAACGCTACAATAGAGCCTTCCAGCAGCCGGAAGTGGCTACATATGGCGTTGTGGGAACAGGCTAGGCAAGGTAAGACCCGATTCTTCGGAACTGAAAATACCGTTCAATAGCTGCACCAGCACTAATTCATGTGGAGATTGGCGATCGTAACAAAACCGGAATAGTGTCCCCCATCTTACGATCAGTATTTGTCACACGGCACTCATGCGCTGCTCATTGTCGTGACGATGTCTTGCCGAGGGCTTGCGGACGGAGTAAGTGCGGCCATGAACCACCACATCAAAATCTTTCCGGGCACATACACAATAGCCGAGCCTGCGAGTCGCGCAGAGTTCATTCTCTGACATCTGCGCTCCTACACGACTTTCAATTATGTCGGTCGAATTTGATGCAATTAACATTCCGAGGCAAGCGTTGTGAACTACCACTCATCGCGACCAACCTCCTACTATCAACACTTTCTGAAACCGGATTCCGTATAGGTTCGGGATGCACTGAAGAAGAAAAAAGAACTTCTGCATGCATATAAACTGCAGACATCTAGATCGGCTGCCAGACCGCTGCGATTCTGATGTGTTGGCGTTCATTCTATCGATTCGTATGGGATGCGCCTCCCAGCCTCTAAATATACTTCATGCATGGACGTTCCGACCGTATAGATGACACTCGTATACTTGCGTCATACCCTATGTGATGTTACCATAACAGCCCTCGCTGTAGGCGCATGGAGTTCAAGCGCTTACATAGTAAGGCCTGAACGCTATAAAATAGAAGTGTAGCCTTAATTGACGCCTGGATATGGTTGATCTTGACATACCGCCCACGATGGCGGAAGATTGAAAGTGCTGAGCGACCAAATAGGACATCCTCTAACAGCCACGATGGAGGCATACTGATAGGGTTGGTGGTCTCTCTCTATAACTTTGCGCCCTCCTCTTTCTTCCCCTCCCTCTCTACCCGCTCCCGCTCCTCCTGAAATACCTCCTCCCGATCCATGACCTCGACCTCGGTCGCGGTCCCCTTTGCAAACCGGACCAGCACAACCCTCTCCCAGTCGCCACCCCTCCCGCTGCCCCTCAGCTCGGGCCCGGGCTTATCCAGGCTCAACACGACCCGCCCGTCCGGCCGCACGAGCGACGTCACAGGGCTGATAACCTTGTCCGCCCAGGATATATTCGATGTGGCCTGCTTCAGAGCCTTGGGATGTGTCGCCGTGGGCGTCTCCTGCAAGAATGATAGAAGGCTGTCCCGCTGGTCCTTGTAGTGGGCGTTCTCCCGGCTCTTCTCGGATGGAGAACCCTTGCAGAATTGCGCTATGAGCGTTAACAGGAAGGCCTGGGGTGGGAATAGGATTATCTCTCCGCGTCGTTGGCGTGCGAGCCATGTCGAGGCATCCTCAAAGACGGCGGTCGTGGTCTCGGTGCCGTCCGGTGTGGGGAGTACGGCCTCGGACTGCATTGCCGCCGAAGTGAGATCCGAGGGCGTCGCCGCGGCCTCGTCGGGAGCGAGTGGCAGCATGTAGAGGTACATCTGTGTAGTGAACCTCTTCGGGGTGGCCGGGGGGGTTATCCAGCGGGTGAACGGTCGCAGGTTTTCTGTACCATTTGTTAGCACATCCCCTTCCTCCAAAGAAAAGAAAGGAAAACCAAAATCAAAGATCAAACACAGTCTGGGGTTCAGAATCTCTCGTGACCGCACATACCCAGATCTGCCTCGCCCCCCACGCTCTCCAGCCAGTCCCCGAACGGCACCTCGTTCGCATAGATCCTCTTCCTCGCCGCGTCCCTCTCGGCGGCCGGCAAGCTCAACAAGCCCGCATCGCCCCGCCCCTTCCTCCGCGCCAGCAGGATCCCGCTCTCCTCGAACGTCTCCCGGACCGCGCCCAGCCTGTACGCCGGGCCATCCTCATGCCGGGCCAGCTCGCCCGGCGGCGGGACCGGCCCGTCGTGGAAACCCGAGAGGTTGCCGCCAGGGAACACGTGCGCCGAGGCGAAGGATGACGAGGTCTTGACCCGGTGCAGGAGCAGGACCTGGTTCGTGGGAGACAGGAGCACGATGCTCGAGCTCGGCCTCGGCTCCGCGGGTGGCTTCTTCTTCCTCTCCTCCTCCCTCGACGGGGAGGCTGTGGAGTAGTGCGAGGCCTTGGAGGTCATCGCGGTGGGATGTGGGACCAGCCGTTGGGCCGGCTTTGTCCTGGGGCGTGTCGCCCGGGCTGGTTTTCCTGAAGGGCGGGAGCCAATGGCTGTGATTGGTCGTGATGTTGTGAATGTCCGGTGCAACTGCAATGCCGTAGGAGCAGATGCACAGGTTTCGTGACGTAGACTGGTGGAGAATGAGGCTAAACGATGCGAGATGCACCGTGACATTGCTATAGCTCGCACGTATTCATAGTGGTTTAGGACGGCTTTAGGGGATAATGTAGAGGCTATGTATGCAATGGTGTGGTCTATGAGGAGTTGGAGAAGCCGAGGTTGGGGACTGAATTGGAGATACTCCCCGCCATTTGGCGCCTGTGCCTGGCTTGAGGATATGCAGTGATGAATATAATTAGGAATCTTCATTTACGCGAAAACGAGCGATTGAATTTATGGTTCAGAAGCGGTCAATACATTGCAAAACAAATTTCAAAGATTAGCACATGTTGATTCATCCATTATTTGTTGAAAACTCATCACCATATGACTTGGTGTCAAAGCTCACTATCAAACCAAAAACCAAATAGGGTATCTTCATCTTAATCAGTATCGTTTCCTTTCCTTACCACGAGAGTTCGCTTTCCAAAGACATATGACACTCTTGGATTCACACCATTTCTTGACTTCAGCAGGTGAGACTTCACCATCGTATCCCACTCTTGTTAGTTGGCCCATATTCAGCCAAGCAGTCAAGTCTTCCAGGACCACCGGATCATAAATGAGCATTTTCTCATACCATGATGGTTCTTCTGGATCTGTTGACCGCGGCGCAGATGTTATTACCTTGGTGATATGCGTGAACAAGTTTGCCTCTTGTTCTGTGGGGGTTAAATTGAGTGACGTTTCACCCTCCTCAGACATTGATAAGTCTATCGGCGGAGGCGACGAAAACACAGAATCGGCCACCGACTGCCCAGAGAGCGACAAAGAATCGTCATTTTCAGAGTCGGCAATCTCGGCGTCCTCCTTTGCCGGCTTCTTGCCTTTCGCCTGCGTTGTTGGTCTGGCTCTCGTTGCGAGAGGTGCATCGCTATCACTTTCTCCAGTTGATAGCTTTCTCGGACGGCCTCGCCCTCTTTTCGGCGATGCATCAAGCCTCACCGCCTCTGCCGCTTGTTCGTCCTTTCTGGGTCGGCCGCGTGTTTTCTTGACAGACTTGGCGCCGGCGGCTTTTGTTGCAGAAACAGACTTCTTGGGAGAATTTTGGGCCGCAGACGTACTTACTGAAGCCACTGAACCAATGCTGGGTTGCACGCCGGGTGCACCAGGATGTTGACTTGTCCAGCATTGATCCAGTAGTGCTATCATTGCTGGTCGCCTCTTCATAGATTTGAAGCCGTATGAATTGATCTGCTTGGCCAGCTGAGCATCGGTAAAAAGCTCATATTTTGGCCGTAGGGGTGCTGGTGTTGGAGCTGCAGTTTTACTCGATGGAGCCTGCTGTGAGGATGGCGGCAGCTGTGACGAAGGTGGCGGTTCGAAACCGTCGGGCATATCAGCTTCAGTGGGATCTGGAGTCGATATGTGTTTTTGTGAGCGCCAAAAATGTAATTTAGGATCAGTGGAACCTTCCACCACTTGTGGCAAGTCAGCACAGAGGTCGTCGATATCAGGGAATTCTTCTTCAGCTGGCGTTGGATTGCTGGGCAAGTCTCGCGCATTGGTGGTGACTTCCTCTTCTCGCACGAGATCCATCGTATCGGCTTCCAACAGGTCGCCCGCTTCATCCCGTGCCCCAGCATGCCATAACCCTTTTCGTTTCTCGACATGAGTGGTGGGCGAACTAGCGAAGGGATCATCTTCCTGCATTGAAGCCTGAATGGCAGCCTGTAGATTACGCAAAGTCCTAGGTGAATCCTCTGTAACGAGTTGGCTCGAAGTGCCGAACACGAAATCTTGAGCTACTGATTGCTTAAATGCCGAAGTGGGCGAAAGGAGAATGGGGTCTTCAGCTGTCGTCCCTTTCTTCTTTCGGGGTTTTGCTGGCTTCTTTTTTGGCTTTTCGTTGTTTTTATCCATCACAATTGATTGGTGCTCGACGAGCGAGGTGACATGCCCATCTGTATCAAAGTAATTCAAGAGAGATTCCGTATTACCGGGGGCCAACAAATCGATGTCTGGCATTTCGGGCATGGCGTAGGCTCTTGTGGCTAGTTCGGTAATAGTTGTGGTTTTCTTCTTGGCAGCAGGCTGCTTAGTAGGTGAGGACTCGTTCAATTGTACCAGCTTCCGTTCTTGCTTCTCGCCAGCGGTCGTGACTAAGTCGAGCCGCTTGCGCTTCTTCAAGACATCCCTTGCAGTCTCAGAGGGCTCCCGAGAAACTCGCAGCGCAGAATCCAGCTTCTTGTGCGCAAACTCGTCGAATAGATTTTGGAACACATCTTTCGACACGGTAGATTTTTCGACAGAGGAGAGCAGTTCTTTGTTATCATTCTCTGGGTCGATGACGATAGGAGCGCTGTTTGCTCGTGGAGGGGTCCAGTCGGTTCTCCTAGCAAGCGCAGGCTCTTGTGGTTGATGGGGCTCCGCGGGCTCTTCAGCAGCGGCCGGCTCCTTTTGAGGAGCGGTGAAATGATTCGACACAGTCTCAACCTTCTTCTTCACTTTGCTCTTGTTTGCGGCAGTCGCTTTCGTCACCCGCACGTTGGGTAACTCGGCTTGAATGGCTACATGGGTATTCTCGGGCGGGGGTTTGTGGCTCCTACTTCTGGCGTTGGTCTTGAATCTGTCTGGCGACAATTCCACCACCTGGACTACATTCCCACCGCCGGGCGGATCCTTTGCCGGTTGAGGCTTTGCTCTGGACTTCCGGGCAGGTTTTTGTTTCCGCGGCGGGGAGTAGGTGATTTGTTCCGTGTCTATGTCAATCTCTGGGGCCTCCCGTAATATGTCGGCGGCGCTGGTAAATGTGGTTCGGACGGCAGCGGGGATTGCGGTGGCATTGCTTCCACTTCGGAGTGGCGGCGGTCTCTTGGGGCTTTTCTTGAAGATGTCGCCGAGTGAAGGCAGGTCGGGGGATGAAGAGCGAACAAGGTACGCGTCGTAACGCGAGGTTCCCAGTGGCGACGACATGAGTATATTATTAGTATTAAGAAGAGTGGCAGAAGGTAAATATATCCGTGACCGAATCGGTATGCGACCAGCGCATCCATATAGAGTGGCGATACTCAGATTGGGTGACTTGGATGGTAGGAGCACCAGTCCTGGTCAAGAGGGCCGTGATGCATTCCAAGAGTTAAGAGAGCATGCCACGCATAGCAATTGCCATCCGACGACTATGGATCGGAAAGACCCGTCTTGTATGTTTAGCCTCGGGTGCCCTTTACAGATACAGACAATATCAGTGATCTCTTTTAACCTTATTGACCTAACCTTAGATCACTTGCTGGTGTCAACAAAGTCAAAGTGAACGTGAAAGAGGGTGCCAGCTGCCTGGCAATGGAGGGGGGGTGGCCCATGGGCATTGGCACCTGCACCTCTTTTCCTACTTAACTTACATAGTGTACAGCAGTAACTAAGTTAACCCGTAGACAACTTTGGATAAAGATATGCATGTCCGTACATAACACAGCAGCATAGAATAAGATAACGATTCTCGATAAGATGATAAGATGACGATAAAGGATAAGAGGGCGTAACGGCTCCAACAAAGTCACGTGCCCTTCAGAAGTTCGCCCACCTTGCCAAAAGTATTGACAAAAAAATTCAGGCCCACTCCCTCTACCCTCATCACCTAGGACAAAAGACCGGACTTCACCCGCAGACCACAACCCCACCACTCACCCCCGAATACTGCGAACATCACACACTCGTGACTGACGATATTTGCGACGACCGACCTGCACACCCTTGCCCACCCAACAACCTCTCAACGACCTTTTAGACAAGCCTCTATACACTCGTCAAAATGGAGAACGACAAGGGAGAGATCGTTGACCTGTACGTGAAGTCCTAATCAAACCCGACCGACTGCGAGAGCGACAATTTCGAAGAGAAAATCTCGAAAATAATATTTTGCAAGAATTGCAGCGCAGCTCTCGGGGCGTCAAAGCCACCACCAGCCTGAGAAACCGCCATTGCTAACTATTGTTCTTCTCCTCCTGTAGCTACGTCCCCCGCAAGTGCAGCGCCACCAACCGCATCATCAAGGCTAAGGATCGTACGTTGCGACCAGTTTCCCTGATATCTATCACACAGTACGGCTAACCAAGTGAGCAGATGCTTCAGTCCAGATTTCCGTTGCCAAGGTTCGCTTCCCCGCCACGAAATGCGGCATACTATCCATCATGGAAAAGTCGCTCGAGTGTTGCAGAGGAAGACAATGGTACTAACAGAATTTGGCATAGGTCGACGAGAACGGTCGTCTAGTCGCTGGCGAGGTGAGTCCAATGATCTTGCACCTTCCGTCTCCAGTCTGACATGTGAAACAGAACCACGTCTACGCCCTCTGCGGTTTCGTTCGTGCCATGGGCGAGTCAGACGATGCTTTCAACCGCCTGGCCCAGCGTGATGGCCTCGTCAAGAGCGTCTGGTCTGGTCAGCGATAAGCCATGAATTTCTCTCCGGTACGCCTACCTCGATATCCTCCAGGCCAACGACCGACCAGCGACGAATAGACCGACTAATGTCTTCGACAGGTTTCTGCGTGCTGAAAGGGCCTTGGGAGACGATGGCAGGAAGGGATGACATGGACGACTTGATGTGTGGCCATCCGATTGGAGAACAGTTCGGTCGCGCCAGCAATCCTGACATGGAAAGGAAAAATGCAAAGAATCAAGTTCCTGAACCAACCCACATACGTCCCTCACGATCATCATGTGTCTCTCGGTGTGTCTCTCGTGTGAACATCTGCGCATACCGGCTAGCAAAGTCTTCTCGTCTCCCACCTTCAGAGTGATCCTATGGTCGAGGAGTCTGGGACTACCCCGATAGTCTCCAAGCCGCAAAAAGAAATTTGGCCTTGAAAAAGCCGTGATGTGCGAGTTGTCCATCATGGTACAGATACGGGCCAAACATTCTTCCTAACCGTCACCAAGACTGATGGAGATGGAAGAGTTTCCCCTTACCCCCTCGGCCGACCAGCGTTAGTTGCAAGGACATGAAAAATTGAGTGCAATTTGTTTCCCGATGCTCAGTGCTGACCAGCTACTTCAACGTTCGCGGATTTGGGCTCGCTCTGCACCCAGTCGTGGAAGTTCCGCTAGCAGTGTAGTCCATGCAGCAATCATCTGTGAAATTGCGTTTGTAGACAGTGAGCTTAGCATAGAAATTCGAGATTATGGTTAACTGAAATCATCGCCGGAATCTATTTATGCTCGTTCGTTTCTTTCAACCCCACTGCCCTCCCCATGCTCTAGCATGCTGGTTGTTACTCAGCTGCATCTCCAGGATGCGTCACTAATCGTCACGTACGGATGGCCGTCTTCATGGGCCACCCGTTGACACAATCGATGGTTTATCCCCCGGGAGGGGAAGGGGAAGGGGGCCTATCTAAGGCAATTCACATTTTCCGTTCTTTTCCGCGACAATTTACGTCATTGGTTCTCTTCTATTAAATATCTAGATGGCCAGAACGTGAAAATGAGCTTCGGATTTGGCGTTGGCGATTTCCTCCTCGTCATTGAGCTTGCCAACAAAGTCCGAAAATATTTCGCAGGCGCTCCAGGGCAGTTTGATTATATCAGCTGACTGAGTTTCCATGTTGATTAGCCCCTGTCCTGTATACGCATGGAATCCTTAGCATATCTAAGATGACATCCATTTAAAATAGACGATTTAGAATCTAAACTAGGCGAGATCGGGCAATGTGAAGCCCGGCTTAATATTCGCCTGTATAACTGATGGAGTTTTTCTACAGCATCCGAAACCTAGTTATCGCACTTCAAGAAGCCGATATATTCCTTGTCAATCTTGACATCGCCAATGCCCAAGAAGAACGACTTCGCGAGAGTGGGGATAATTGTAATCGAGTCCTGGTAGATACTGAGAATGCGCTGGATAAGTTTACTGTTCTGAATACCAATGCGCTTGGCATCAAGAGGCGTGTCACAAGGGTCTGGCGACAAGTGAAATGGGAACCTGACGAAGTTTGTGATCTCAGAAGTCGCATCACCTTAAACATTACAATCCTGAACACATTTATTATTTGTTACATAAGGGGAAATATCATCAAACTTGTATGATTGGTTGGCAAATAAGAGCACGACGCTGTTTTCTCACGGCACTCCTGGCGCAGGGAAAGCTATGATGTCTTCGATAGTCGGGGATGACTTACAGACAAAGCACCGTTTGAAGGAAAATTCTGGACTATGCTATTTCTACTGCAATTATTTACACCAGGATTAAGACATCCGCAAACGTTATCCTAGGTCTGCCCAGGCAGCTGGCACAGAGTACGCGCCTTAATTCTGAGTGTGTTACGAGTCTGTTCGAGCTGTACAAGAAAACTCAGAAATCAGTAAGCTCAGAAAACGCTGCGAAGACTCTTCACTCAGTTGCCGGGACCTTTTTCGAGAGTTTTTTGTCGTTGTTGGCGCTCCTTATAAGTGTCAGGTCTTAGGCGGCTGTCAGAGGGACCTCATTACAGAACTGGTCAGGCTACAAAGCGCGGCTAATGTGAACATCGTGGCAAATCCTCGTCTATTACCTCATATTGCGGAACGCTTCCGTGCAGTGAGTGGCTAGAAATTCGTGCCAGCGATGACGATATCACAAGATATGTCGATGGAAATACCATCGAATATTGTGCAAGGTTTCAACAGGGTTTCAAAAACGTTGGGAAGTTCTTGAATGGAGAAAATCATGTGCAGACCTCGGTTCAAGTGTCAAAGCAAACATTATGGCAAGCTTCGTGTTATAGCTCTTCACGCCTGCGCCTATTTTGGATTGTATATAGAGATGTAGCAGGTGTTGTGGAGATACGATCTCAATTCGCTGGGAGGCGATGATCTCACACTACTCTTTTTTACCACTCGATACGGAAATTAAGCTGTCGCACGGGTGCTTCTCAACAACGGTACTCACACTAATATCAGGAGTACATTGGGAAGGACAACTCTACAAGAGACCGGGCAAGTGGTAAGGAAGCTATGGCACCAGCTCTTCTCGATAATCAAGCTCATGCTGATTATCCAAGATACCAAATGGCATTGCACAGCGCTCTCATGGACGGTATGGAAGGGTTACGAAACTGTCGTACAAATGCTCACAAACGTGAGTAGCTGCATCGAAAACAGGGATAGATATGGCCGGGCGCACCGCCCTTTAGTGGGCTCAGAAGCAAGGTCATTCTCAAGTCATGCGAGTGTTGAGTGAATGTCTTTTAGCCTATAACTCAACACTTGCAAGACACAAATTAGAGCTTGCGGATGCGCTGATTTTCCGATTTGAAAGCGGTCGGTGTGATCTTTGTTATACCAATATAGGTGGTGCAGATTATCGATGTCAGTTTATTTTGGTGGTGACTTCTCAATTTGTGAATATTGTCTCAAATTAGGAGCACATTGTTAAGTGCAAGCATACGGCATCAACCTGTATGTTTTTGGATGTTTCAGATGTTTCTGATGGTCCTCATGATTCTCATGCATCAACTCCGTATATAGACTTGCTTTTTGAGAAGCCGAATCTCCTTGTAATGTCCGGTTATAGTTCAATCCAAGGATCATGAGATGAGCACTTGGGCGAGTAGTTAATGTTAATGGAATAATTGTTGCTGACCAGCGGTATTAATGGTCAATGGCAGTATATATTTCTGTGCAAGTCACAAGGACCAGAGATTGTTAGCCAGAAGAGTTGATTTTATATTGTAAGGAACAAGGTTTCTAAGGTTGAGGAGCATAGATTGAGGGACATTGGCACCTTGAACAATGTCCTGCCTCTGGCAGTAGAGTGACTGCGCCGGTTGCGGGTCACCTTCTAGTACCACTGTGTGAAATAATTATTATCTGAGGACTTACACACTATACAAAATATCAAGAAACTCTGCTGCATGGAATACCATGCTTTTTGCTAGGACAGTTCAGGTTACACAATGGGTGCTTGTTCAGGAGTGCGGGGTTCTCACCGACAATTCGAAGCAGGTACAACACGTTACGTGTAACGGCAAGCAGGCTGGACTCTCTCCCATTCACTTCTCACTCCACAAATTCACACGTTAACACTCCTTCCAACGACGACGGAACGGCGAAACGACTAGCGAAGATACACTATTACGACCATAACAGACAAGCCAGAGCAACTGCCATGGCTGGTCGTTCGATCTCCCGATTTCTTGAGCTCAGTTATCGCCGTGTCGAGAACGCGGTTGCCGATGTCGATTGGGATAAGCTTGGCAAGGATGTAGTAGACTTCCACTTAGCAGCCGGAAAGGGGGTTGAAAATACTTTCCACAACGTCTCGACGTTGGTTAAAGAAACCGATTGGGCGGAATTGGGCCGCAACGCCACTGAAACTGTCAAGAACAATCCGAAAACTGTGTTGGTTCCCGTGGGGGTTGTAGGAGGTGCTGTAACCGGTGGTTTGCTTATGGGGCCGGTTTTGTGCGCGGTGGGCTTCAGCAGCATTGGGCCAGTGGCTGGTATGAGGAATTCCTTCACCTGGTTAGACACAAGCTGATACGTGATGCGCGAATAGGGTCGGTGGCAGCAGGGGTACAATCTGCCGGGGCAGCCGGAGCGCTGTTCAGCACACTGCAGAGCGCAGCGATGGGGGGTTATGGGTTAGCTGGTGTATTGACTTCCTTTGCAGGCGTCGGGGCCGCGGCAGGTGCAGCCGTTGGAGTTGCATCTGGTAATGCAGTCGACTTTGATTCTGCGGCAGACCCTGGAGCAGACCATGAAGGAGACTCTGATTCTGCAGAGAATGCCAGCACTGCAGATGGTGACGGGAAATCCAAGTCTGAGTAGACTATCATAATCAAATCTCACAAGGTTCTCAGTGCGGCGTGCTATACCAACTCGATACTGCCAATACACATTTTTCAATTTCAGTTTCTTGGTCTCGCAGGTTCAAAGTCTCTGAAAGCAAACTAGCAGTGTACGAGCGGAAGATGTTGAGATGTATACTTACGAGTACACTTTCAATTTGCCTGGCTGATTCTCTTAGCTGTGACTCGGCGCCTGAGTTATCCCTGAAATTAATCATGTTGAGAACTTAGTCAAAAAGCTTTGGTATGGAGGTATTATGTGAATTTGTTGTTGTGTATCATCACACAATATTAACACGACATCAGCAGTCAAAGGCAAGGCGAATAATCATCCAATCGATTGTGCATAGGACGTAGCAAACTCACAATTCTCCCCTTTCGAAGATTTGCGGAGTCTAAGAGGTGACCTTATATTTAAAATGTAATAGGTGAATTCAAGAATTTGTCGATGTAGTGTATCCATCCGTGTATTCATTGTAGTGTTTGGGAGGCTTAGCCGTCTATTAGGTAGCATTGAAGCGCTGTACAATGATACTATACGCTTTACGGATTTCTTTATCATGTATTGATGATAATCATGGTCAGGACTTGGAATGAATCACTTGTCTCGGTCGAAGAATATCGGCCGGGACTGAACAGAGCCCAATACGTGAATGCAATCTATAGATGAAAGAACGAATATCGTATTAACACGGGAACAGCCTTGTGTCCATAGCGCTATTCGTACAATAATATACCGTAACCACAGGCGTCACTCAGTGGGGGCGACTCGGACAGTCGTAAAGTGTGTGGTGATTTGATTCTTTGCACACAAATCATGTGTTTCTATGTGGTTCTGCACTCTACGAACCTACAAAATCGTTGCGGCTTCCTTCCAGGCAAGATCTGCGCCGCAATAAACATGGCAGCGGGTACCAGGGTGGTTGCCCTACAAATACTACGAGACCAACGAAACGACTTCTGGTCGTTCTCCCTGGCTTCTAAGAGGGTGATGCAGGTAATTATTAAATAGCGGACCGTGGAGGTCTGTTTGAAGGTGATCGTTAACGGTTAAATTTGAAAATCCACCCTCAACGTATGTGATTTAGCTTAACTACTTACAGGACGCTTTATCATCCTTGGCACAAGCTTAATATTGTTAATGAACGATCGATATTAATTGTGTTATATTATATGGACTCGCCCGATCTCAACATAATTGAACTAGACCTGCTTGATTGTGAAAGTATAATGTCAATTGAGGCCGGCCTAGGCATGGCTAATAAACACATGACAAATGTATATGAGGCTGTATATATGTAGTATGCTGGATGGAGCCTCTCGTGTGGATTCCAGCGACCTGCCTTAGCGCAAGCCACCCACACGCCGTCTCCGATGGGCCTGCAGGGGTCTCCGTCAACGGATCGGGTCGTTTTACGTTCAGCTCGATCTCAAGCTTTCAATGACGCAGAAGACATCACAAAACAAGTCCCCAATCACAGGAATACCAAAGGTAGGCTACTTTCTCTTGGTTCTTGCGTTGAGAAGTCTCAGCCCTTCCGTCTGTAATAAGCTCTATGATACGCTCACACCGAGCTACGCCTTTACGCAGTCTACCGCAATTGACAACTCAGAACCGGTTCATGTGCAAACTGTCATACTTCACACCATCTGCAGCTCGACTGAATTTTAAGAGACCATTCGTGACTATGCCGCTCAAGCGAGGACGGCCCCCGAAGCGCCCAGCTCCCCATGCCGAACCAGCGAGTCCTGTCGCATCAAACAAGAAATTCAAGCTTGAGAATGAACCTTTGGCCGACCTGCACAACGTCCCCGACGTCAAACCAGGACATGTCGAGCTCGATAACGAAAAGTTCAAGCGCGAAACCCGGCCGTTAGACGACTTGCGCAAGCCTCATCCGTTTGCCGGCGAAGCGGAAGACAATGGCATCGTTCTGCGAAAGTACTACCCGCACGAAATGAGCAACGCTCGCGCTCTAGCCTACAATAACAATGAGTTGCCGCGGCCCATCGAGACGTTGCTGGATGCCCTCAAATCTACAACCGAGGAGCGCAAGAAGGTCAAGCCCCGGGAGGCTGTGGTTCACTGGTTCAAGATGGACCTTCGTACTGGCGACAATCGCGCCCTGTGGCTTGCAAGTCAGAAGGCCAAAGAGGCTGGGATACCACTGATCGGCCTGTACATTATCAGCCCGGAAGATTTCGAAGCACACTTGACAGCTCCTGTGCGCGTCGACTTTATGATACGCACGCTCCACGTACTGAAGCAAGACCTCGCTGCCCTGGATATCCCGCTTTATGTCGAAACCATAGAGAAGCGTAAAGAAATACCCGAGCGGATCGTACACCTCCTGGAAGAATGGAATGCAAACCACTTGTTTGCCAATATGGAATATGAAGTTGACGAGTTGCGCCGTGACGCCAAGATGATCAGTATGTGCGCAAAAAAGGGTGTTAACATGGAGGTCGTTCATGATACCTGCGTTGTGCCGCCTGGTATTCTCACGAGCGGAAGTGGAAAGCAGTATTCTGTATATTCACCTTGGCGCCGCACATGGATTGCTCATGTCCATGCAAACCCAGACCTCCTGAGCATCTTTGATCCGCCAGAGAGGAACCCCCCCGATGCCCGAGTAAAAGTGGCAGCTCTGTTTGGTTGCGAGATACCCGATGTGCCAGGTAACAAGCGACTGTCTGATGAAGATGCAATACGACTGCATGCCGTGTTCCCAGCAGGCGAACATGAGGCAAGGGCGAGGCTAGTGAAGTTCTGCGAAGAGAAGATTGGAGTCTACCATAATGCAAGGAATACGCCAGCAGGTGTCAGCACCTCGAACATCTCAGTGCACTTGGCAGCAGGAACCCTGAGCGCAAGGTCAGCAGTAAGATATGCGCGTGATAGGAACAAGACCCAGAAGCTTGACGCTGGCATGGAGGGTATTCAAACGTGGATCAGCGAGGTAGCGTGGCGAGATTTCTACAAGCACGTTCTGGTCCACTGGCCATATATCTGGTAAGCGACTTCGTTTGGACGAATTCCAAATGCCAAGCTGACATTGGCCTAGCATGAACAAACCTTTCAAGCCGGATTATTCCAACATCACCTGGTCCTACAACAATGCACACTTTGAGGCATGGAAGACCGGACGTACCGGCTTCCCGATCGTGGACGCTGCAATGCGGCAAGTACAGTCGATCGCATGGATGCACAATCGCTGTCGCATGATTGTCGCGTCATTCCTTGCGAAGGATCTATTGCTCGACTGGCGTATGGGCGAGCGTTTCTTCATGGAAAACCTCATCGACGGTGATTTTGCGTCCAACAATGGCGGTTGGGGCTTCAGCGCCAGTGTAGGTGTAGATCCGCAGCCCTACTTCCGCATCTTCAATCCTACCCTACAAAGCGAGAAGTTCGACCCCAAGGGTGAGTATATCAAGAAATGGGTCCCAGAACTGCGGGGTTGTACTGAGAAGGAGGTGCACGACCCGTATGGACGTGGTGCTGGCAAAAAGGTCGAGAAGATGGGATATCCGAAGCCGATTGTTGAGCATAAGCATGCCAGAGAACGGGCCTTAGCTGTGTATAAAGAGGGCTTGGGGAGGGATAAGCCTTGATGTGGAGAAGGCATTCATGCCTCTCAGCCCTCTAAATCCCCAACTGTAGCCAACCTTGATCTACGACCAATTGCGCGTCGATCATTTCGAATGAGAACCACGGCTATTCCTGTGGCTGATCTTCACTTTCTATTACAACACTATTAGATATCTGTGACTAACGTACTCATATCAATACGCTATACTCTGCGTTCATCGCATTCTTATCGGAAATGCGACGCTGGCCAACTCGGATATACGCAACCATTATCGCAGTCTTCCGACGCCTATATCATCCGCCCCGAAGGCAAGACAAGCGCCTGGGGGTCGCCCTACCGAATGGATCCACCCATCCCCGCAATGGCAGATAAAGTCAAGACACATAATTGGACAATGCCAGAGAACGCTTCCCGAGGATGTCTGAATTGCGGACAAGCATTACGATTGGTATCATTGATTGTCCTCCATGCCATTTGACATGCTTTCCACCGTATGTTCCTTACCAGGTTCCTCCTCAAGCGGCCAGCTCCAGATGCCGGGGGCAAATGATAAGAAAAGCAACCTGCATGGTCTAGCTGCCCGCACCACTGCGCGTCCCATCGTGTGTACTGATGTGCCAGGCCTTCATAATAGCGAGAATGCCGCGCCGGGCGCTTTCTTCTTGGCTTGCTCAAGCTTGTTGCTTGTGCCTGAGCCGGTTGCAATATTTCCCCAACGGCTGCGCATGAACCGCCATAAATGGCGACTGATATCAGCCACACGCCGCCCGAGTATGGCGATGCCGAGAAGTCGGGTGCATATGACAACGGTGGTGTCAAGACGGCGCACAATCTACACGGCCAAGATGTCGAGCTTGAGAATGGTCACCTCGCAGAGCTGGAGGTCGATATGGGACGGATCCTCTCCAGATTGGAGGAAGAGGGAGATTATGAGGCCGATACCTCACCGTTTCCTCAGGTCAGAGCAGTTGTCCCGGAAACGGACGACACTGCGATGCCTGTCAACACCTTTCGAGCATGGTTTCTCGGTATTGTATGTGCTTGCGGTCCAACTCGTCCTCGTTGATAGATGTCACTCATGGTTTATTCCAGGTCTTTGTCTTCCTCGGCGCCGGCGTAAACCAGTTCTTCTCGCTCCGGTACCCTGGTGTCCACATCGTGTCGCTTGTTGCAGAGCTGCTGGCCTTCCCGATCGGTGTCATACTCGCCAAGATTCTGCCGATCAGTCGCTTCAACCCTGACCGCCACTTCAATATCAAAGAGCATGCGCTCGTCACGATCATGTCGAACGTGTCATTTGGCTTTGGCTCGGCTGATGCGACAAATCTTATCCAGGCTGCCAGATTGTATGGCTTCAGCATCCCGCCGGGGTTCTCGGTGTTGGTCGTCCTGTGCTGCCAGCTTAGTGGATATGCTGTCGCCGGTCTCGCCAGTCCGTGGCTGGTCCGGCCCGCAAGTATGATCTGGCCTGGTGTACTTAGCAACGTTGCTCTCCTGTCTTCGCTCCACTCGCGCGCCAATGCCATAGCTGACGGCTGGAAGATCAGCCGTATCCATTTCTTCATGGTTGTGGGCGGATGCGCGTTTGTCTGGTACTGGTTTCCCGGCCTTATCTGGACCGGCCTCAGCTATTTTACCTGGATCTGCTGGATCGCGCCCGACAACCTGGCCGTCAACCAGGTCTTCGGCATGGTCACGGGCATGGGTCTCTTCCCGCTCACATTCGATTGGTCCATGATCGCATACAATACAAACCCGCTGCTGAGTCCCCACTGGGCTGCTCTGAACGTGTTTATTGGATTCGTGCTTTTCTTCTGGATCGTCACGCCGGCGATCTACTATACGAACACTTGGTTTACTTCGTATATGCCGTTTTGTACTGCAGATGTATACGACAGGTTTGGGGACCTATACGATGTGTCCCAGGTCCTGACGAACAATGAGTTTGACCAGCAAAAGTACGCAGCGTACTCCCCACCCTACCTCCCGGCAATGTTCGCGTTCGTTTATGGAATATCCTTTGCTTCTCTCACTAGCGTCTTGTCTCATGTCTATTTCTTCCACTGGGACGAGATCAAGCACGCCATGAGGGGCACACTGAAGCTCGACATACATGCGCGCCTCATGAAATCCTACAGCACGGTCAAATGGTGGTGGTGGGCAATCATTTTACTTGTCGTCTTCGGTATGAGCGTCGGCACCGCAGAGGGCTACGATACGGGCTTGCCATGGTGGGGCATCATTCTCGCCTTCATCATCCCGGCGGTCTACATGGTGCCCTGCGGCATGATCCAGGGTATCACCAACGTCGACGCGAACCAGCTCAACGTGCTCTCCGAGTTCATCGGCGGCTACATGTTCCAGGGCAAGCCCATCGCCAACATCCTGTTCAAGATCCTCAGCACCGACGTCGTGGGCCAGGGTCTGTATTTTGCCGCTGACTTGAAGCTGGGCCACTACCTCAAGATCCCGCCGCGCACCCTGTTCTTTGCCCAGGGCCTCGCTACCATCCTCGGCGCCTTGACCCAGACGGGCGTCACAATATGGATGCTCGGCAACGTCGACGGCATCTGCGACTCGGACCAGCCCAACGGTTTCTCGTGCCCCAACGGCCGCACCGTCTTCTCGTCCTCCGTCATCTGGGGGCTCGTCGGTCCCGCGCGCCTGTACTCGGTCGGCGCCATCTACTCGGGCCTGCTGCACTTCTTCTGGATCGGCCTGATCCTGCCGCCCATCACCTGGTACATCTGGAAGAAGACGCGCTCGGACTTCGTCCGCAAAATCAACTGGCCCCTCATTTTCGTGGGCACGTACAACGTGCCACCCGCGACCGGCATCAACTACTCCTCCTGGTACATCGTGAACCTGATCTTCAACAAGATCATCTGCCGGCGCTTCTACGCCTGGTGGACAAAGTACAACTATGTCCTGGCGGCAGCGCTGGACACCGGGCTGGCGGTCAGTGGCATCGTCATCTTCTTTGCCGTCACCTACGGGCCGAATGCGCAGTTCCCGGACTGGTGGGGGAACACTGTCTGGCAGAACACAGCGGATGGGTTGGGGTTGCCGTGGCTGGAGATGCCGGATGTGGGTTATTTTGGGCCTGCCAACGGGACGTGGTCGTAGAGTCAACAAAAGCTATCTTTACGTTAGGCGCATTTCTGCTGCTGAAAACAGTGCTAACTTAGAACCTGACGGCTGAATAAAACAATGGATTTTACTCCTATTGACGCTAGAGCTTGGAGACTTAGCCTGTGGCAAAAGCCTGCTCTGCATCTGGACGAACTCACAGAAGTCTATCAACATCTGTATACCGATTTCCTTTGTTCATCAACGCGTATGCATCCTTGGAGAGATCCTTGGAACAGTATTCAGTACTGCCAAAAGTGAAGAGATGGCTGTAGGGTATTTTCAGACCATCGGAGTCTCTCAGTTCGTAGAGTTCTAATCGCGACTGGTAGTCTGCATCCATCAGCAAACGTTGAGCCAGTTCGAGACTGAACGGCTCGTTGAGCTTAGCAACCCAACACCAACCTTTCTTCGGGTCCCCCTGTGCGGGTCGAGCGCATTCGGTCAGTTCTGCCTGGCGCTGCCGAAGAAAAACCACGATTCTGATGCTATCAAATTCTCTCTTGTAGCAGAGAATCCAACCCTTATTTTTATGCACATGCTGCTGTTCTTTATACCAGGGAGGGTATATCCCAATAAGATCCCAATTCGTGAATAGAAACCTGCTATTGAAATTGATGTCGTTTCTAGGAATCCCGGGACCTCGACGTTGTAGGATTTTGATCTTTGCATGCTTTGCCTTGGAGGCAAATTCCTTGCTCACTGTCATAGGTGCTACCCAAGGATCACTAAAGAAAGCCGCATTGTGATTTTCAAGAAGCTCCCCACTTTCCCGTCTGTGCGTGTGCTCGAAGTGGTAGAACCAAAGGCCATTCGATCTCATGTTCTCTCTCCTTCTTCGACAGACCACAGGGAAGAATGGCGTAGAATAGCATTGGATTCACCAGATCCGGCACCATTGGGCCTTCGAATTCAAGACCATGCTGAGACATAGAAAATGAGTAACCAATCTAAAACTCGCGATTATAGCAATGATTTTCGAGCAATTCCAAAACTGCATGGGGAATTGAGCTGACAAATCGCTTGAACGGGCCAAATGGTGTTTTTTTACGACGATGAAGAATCCCATCGGTGGAGTATTTTTCATGTTGATGGGGAATCCACGTGCCCAGAGCAGCTCCAAGCGAAAAGCGAGCTGTCGACAGACACTTTCATAATTTCTTCTTCTTGCAACCACTTGAAAGCACGGCTTCTCTCACCGTAGAGCATCGGCATGTTGATTTCGAAGATTCTAAGTAATCAGTACGCGAGATCTTCTACTCGTGCCGTCTCGCGGTTCGCTGACCAAGACATTCTAGTTGCAGTATTTGCGTCTTGCAACACGAGCCTTCCGTCGATATAAGCCGACGAGATACCGGTTGCATTCTCCAGGTTTTCTGCCTGGCCATGCTTTTCTCACATGACTTTCCCATTCGTGTCAAAACACCACACTGGAAGGCGCAAGGAGCTCCTGGAGCGTCCAGCCCCGTCTGAACCACTTCGACTTGTGCAATTCGCAGTGTTCAGGGTCTTGGGCATTAATGTCCGAAAGGTAATCATAACAAATAGAAGCCCCTGCATACCAGCCAAACATGGAGTTGATAGCCTCTTAGAGCTCCGCGCTGCTGGTCTTGTCGATACAACAAGTTTCTACCCAGATATAACTATCATGGCCGGCGATGAAGACTTCCTTGGCAAAACGAAGGATTTTCACCAAGCCCTGCGCTATCTTCGTGGCACCTTTGATCTGTTCGTCGATCCTTGACTCCCAAGCATCATCTAAACCATGTATAATAAAGCCCCCGCTCGAGATTTCATCTTCGATGCTTGAATTATTATCAAAGAAGGGATCGGTTAAAAGGCCTCGCCATATCTGGTATTGCTGAAGCGACACTTCGCCGTTACCCCATGTATGTGACAGAATGGCGTATGAAGGAGGGCAGCCCGCATTCTGCATAGTTAGCAGTACACAAATACTTAACGGGGGACATCAGCAACCTGCCAGCAATGTAACAGCATAGATGAACGTGGAATATATATATTAGAACTGAACAGGCCTTTATGCACATATATTACATTATCTATGTTACAGTGTGGCAATCGCAACAAGTTTGAGGGTTATTGTGATACTGACCAAACCCCAAAAAGAAAATACCCGCCAAGTGTCGATAGAGCCCGCCCTGGATAGCAGCAAACCCACAGTACGTGCGCCCCAAGCTATTTCCAACGCGCAGCCGGTGGGGCCATCTGGAATCAAATCGCGTCCGGTAGTTGCGCGGCCACGCGCGTCTTTCACCTTTCACCTTTCAATACGCTGGCTCAGAACTTCCAAAACAAGCGCGAAGTCGTAGAAGCCAGCGATGTAGTTCTCTACAGCTTTCTCGTGTACAAATTGCAGGCTTCTGGCGAATGTCGCTCCGTGCACCGTCGTCTCTTCGCTGACACTAGCTCTCTCAACCGCAGACATGCTCCGCGCGATTTGCTCCATGAGCTGAGATATACAATCATCTTTCTCGAATTGCGCCTTGACTTCTACAGCCTGGCGCGACCTGTCCGCTCGGAGTATGCTAAATGCAATGTCCAGTAATGCCTCAAGCGCGCTCTTCTTGGTTTGATATGTGCTGTACGGCCCTACTTGCTGCGCCAGTTGCTCGATGCAGGACTTGACGTCTGAGTAGGCCACACCGGAGACGGCATATCTTTGGCCACGACTTTTGAAAATCTCATCCACCTCAACCGCATACTGGCCCAAGTCTGGTTGTCGGTTGCGTCGGCCATATGCTATTTCCACCAGAGCCCGCGCGTCATTTGAGCCTGCAGCCAAAGTCGCAACGATGTCGCGAAGAGCGTCTACATTGAGCCGCGATATCATCTCGGCATATGGGACTGCCGGCGGCAATGGTACAACGGGGTCAACCATCGCCACGTCTGCATGTCCAATAACTTGGATTTGTTCTAGGTGAGGATTCGCGCTTGTTCTTCTCTTCTTATTGTCGAGCGTTGAGCTGCAAATGGCTTCATCAATGCTGCTCTCAGGAGTCATTGCTCTGAAACTATCCACCCCATCCTCTTCATCGCGGTTCCTTTTTACTGCCCCAGCTCTGTTAGCTTCCATGTCGGCAACACGCACAGCGACTTAAAGAAAAGTCCGCTCGCGAGAAATGAAACATTGCTGCGCCGTTCCAGGACATTGCCATGATAAACTTCAGCTGAGGCAACTCGGGTCAGCTATGGCGTGATCGCTCTTGGCCGCCTTGTGGGTTCGTGGCTTTGGTGCTGACCTGCCAACCCCCACCCACCTCTCGAGGTCAGTCATGTGCTCCAACACAGATACAGAGCGTATAGCAGCACACACAGCCGATTTCATTCTGAACTTTAGTGCCCTTCCTACAATAAACACGGTACCCTTATCCGCTGACTTCGCAAGTAACCAGGGCTTCTTGGGCAATGTAGTCGGAGACTTTGCGCTTGAAGTCAAGTATATCAGGTCTCCACATCGCGTCACGAGCGGGTGGCTTGCTCCTCCGGTGATGGATGATCAAATACCCCCTGGCCTTCACCATTGAACCAACCTGGAGTGCATGTAGCCATGGCGAAAAACCACAAAGCTTTCTTCTGGACCTCATCCGTGTACTCATCTGTCGCTTGCTTGGACGGCTCAATGACGAGTGCACTAGTGTCTTTAGACTGTTTGTGTGCAAGTAAAATCGCATTGGCGAGAAATTTTGCTGTTATCGTAAGCCGGTGTCAGGTTGTAAGAACTATCGGCACCTATAAGTGTTATGAAGAACAAATTCGGAAATCCATTGGCGCAAGCACCATGAAATGTCCCGAACTCAGGGAATTCCCATTTCTCTCGAGCATGAACTCCAGTTCGGCCCACTAGCCGACCACTTGACTGACCTGAAGGCGACGTATCTTCCATACAAACTGAAAAGCCAGTCGCGAGGAAAGAAGCGCATCAACTTCGCATAGTGTTCCGTTTGCGACAATATCGGATGTGATAAATTTATACGCTGCCTTTCCACCGGTGCTAAGGAGTGCCACGTTTGGTCGGTTGAAACTCGCCAAGTAATCGTCATGGATAGCCGGCCGCCTCTTGCACCAGCTCCATATTATGGCAGTAGCTTTATCATTGACTGCAGTCGCTATATGGGCTCGCAGACGCTTTGGTCTAGCAACATCCATCTTGTGCATCGAGGCGATGTGGTAATCAATAGTCTCGGGTATCACAATTCTTAACACACTGCCGATAAACCTGGCAACCATGTGGGAATCCGATGCCGTCCAGCCATTATTGATCAGACTATCGAGGACAGGGTCATTCGTGACAAATCAACTGAAGTTTTCCTGCCGTTCGCATTGCCAGCCTTTCTTGTATGTTTTTCAGCGTACCCCGAGTTTCATGGGCCCGGGACATCAACGAGAAAGCACACCTTAAGACTGGGGAAGAGTGGCTTACATGTGCTTTGCCCATTTGGCACGTTCTGGAATAATTTGAACAGGTGTTGCACCAGTTCCGAGAATGTCAACTACCTTGTCCGTAAGATTTGTCAAACCAGGCGCGTCATAGATTACCTCCAATAAATTTCCGGTCCTAGCGAGCTGGATGGAAACCCTTTTCGAGCCATGATATCCTGGAAACCGGGAAGTTTCGGAACATGTGGAATATTGAGACCACTCGCAGCGCAAATCAAGAAATGTGTCTCAATGGTGAAGAGGGTAGGGTCTTGATGCGGACGTCAAACCTGTGTCATCTTTGTTCGTCAAACTGCGCTTCGTGTCACGGGTGCAAAATTGACCATGAGCTGATAATGTGCAGCAATGCGTTTGCGTTGCCCCCGTATCTTGGCCCCATATGAGTATTTATGCTTTGGGACGTAGCCCGATTTTTTCCCCGATTTTTCTTTTCCCCTAAAAACGGCATGTAAACATATCCTTCCACGTGGCACATCAATCCTGGGTAGCGATTCCAGTACCATGCTCCACCAAACCCTCTACCCACATCGACGATATTGATATATCTTCAGCCTTGAAGCAAGACTCGATCACACGCACGCCACATACCAGGCCTGCATGGCCTGCACTAATGATTAAAAATCTGACTTGATCTACTTGTATAGGAGTGAAGACATTGTCTATGAAAACCGGCCTTACGAAACACGGACACTTAAGCCAATGTATGATGCTCCTGTCTGGGTGAATTGAATATATTGTTAGATAAATAACTCTTACTGAATCACTCCCTGGTTATAATTCATTGATAGAAGTGGCATGCAATTCAGTGTTTTCATCTTTGAGCTTAACAAGCCGGGGTGACTCAAGCTTTGGAGGAAGATTTTTTTTTTATGAAGCTTAAATGTGACGGCATTCTACAAAGAATGAATGTGTTCATCCCATAATAACATCAGCAATTCAGCACTTCTTATCCATAAGTTCAAAGACACTTGAACAATGAAGCGAAAGACAAGAATAAATAGATACAGGGAGGACAATAATGAATTACGAGTAATGATAATGTTTGATCAATTGAGCTTGTGTGTCTGGCAAAAGTGTTCTCTAAGAGCACGCACTTACCCAATTACATTAAGCACTCCTCTTCTTGATATATACAGGCCAATCGCCAGGAACAACAGTGAAATAAGCACGGTACGTCCACTCCTGCCCCGGATGCACCAGATCGATATCGTAGTCTCGAATGAGAGTCGCCATAATCTTGTATACCTCAATCCTTGCTAAATGTTGACCCGCGCAAGCGCCAATACCCCCCGAGAACTGTGAGGGGTTAGCAAAGGTAGGCGTGAAGAGTTGAGCTAACCTGCAGGAAGGAACTTCTTCTCAAGCTCGGTTGTATCCTCCACCATCCATCGCTCCGGCTTGTACTCTTGCGCATCTGGTCCCCAGACCTCCTTCAACAGGTTCATGCTGAATGTGTTGAGCGAGAGTATCGTCCCAGCTGGGAAGAAGCGGCCGCCAATGGTGATGCCACCCGTGGGCGCTACTCTTGGCGTCCCCATAGATACGGGATGAAAGATACGTAGAGCCTCGCGGATGCAGGCATGTAGATATGGTAATTGCTGCGCATCGGCATATGATATAATGCGATCGCGGCAGATTTCGTCTCCCTGTATGGCCTGGTCAATCTCCTGGCGAGCGCGGCTCCATGCATTCGGGTGTCGGATCATGTGGTAGACAGTAGACTGAAGGGCACAGGAGATTGTGTCTGACCCAGCGCTATCTACACTGTCAGCAAACCCTTCGGCTTGTTCGAAACATAGTATATGCTACGACGAACCCAACGTTGGCCATTACGGCAGCCTGGAGATCACGATAGGGCAGCTTGCCCGGATTCCGCTCGTGGGCTTTCAGCCAATGAGCTACAAAATCGAAACGTGCATCCTCATTTTTCTTGCGCTCATCTAGGGCCGCATTTGATGTCTTGACGAGATAGTTGGTAGGAATGATATCTAGCCAAGTAACGAAAGGGTTGGCTATCAGGAAGTTATGTAAAAACTGGACGAAAGCAGCAACGGAGATGTAGCGCTCAAAGCCTAGTGTCTGTGAAATGGAATCGTCGAGGTCGACACCTTTCTCCAAGAACCCAAAGGGCTTCGAGAACACGACCTCTCCGACGACATCAAACGCAGTGAAAGTGAAGAATTTGGCGAGATCCATGGGCTCATGACTCGCAGCATATTTGTCCATCCATTTAGTTAGTGCTTCGATAAGCGTACTGACATACTCCTCTGACTTGATGACATTACTCATGGCGTATGCAGAGGAAAATTGCTTGGACAATTCGATCTTCTCCTTTGGCTCAAGGATTGACATTGTTGATCGGAATCTGACGACTGTCAGAAAGCTCATGTTGTGCAGGACGGCCAGGGATTAATTGAATGGAACCTGTAGCGGGATCTATACTCACCTCCAATCAGGAAACCTCTATACCGGAGATTATCAGCATCATCGCTCGGATTATAACTCAATTGTTAATTCAAGACATGAATGTCCCCATGACCGTAGTTTTGTTTGCATGCAACAGGTATACTTACCATCATCTTGTACCAGTGGCCCTGCCAAGAGTGTCAGTGGACGAATCGAGTCCTGATGATCTCAAACTCAAAGTACCTTGAACTGAGGTGTGAGGATCAGCTTTTTGATAGCCTCAGGATGGGCTATGCTGACTTCGTTGGGCGCGATCCGGACAAATTGGCCTGTCTCAACAGTTGGCATGGACTCATGAATGCCATATTGTTGCATCATGATTAATATTGCTGTTACCATATTTTTCGTGTAGTCTTAGGATTGTGAGGTTCTGGCGACCTGTCCATATCTCGTACATATGCCAAAGACGTGTGGTGGCAGCCCGTCTTGGTCCGGGGACGTTGGAGATGGGACTTAGGTATAGGCGATAGAATATCAGGAGAGCAATGAGAACCACTGCATAGCATACAACAACCGAAATTCTCGGGAATCCGGGCAACTCCCTGATGTGCGACGTTGAAGCCATCGTAGGCAAAACTTCCAAATACAGTCGTGTTAAAATTGACGGCGTGATGGGAACTGAGGGGATTGTCGCCTCGTTCTTATTCTTACCCGTCCAGTGCATAAGTAGCGTTCCGCCATTGTGGGCAATCTCTCATCATGCAGCGGTCATAACTGCCAGTGCTGGTTCGATGCCAATTCTTTCCTTTGAGGAGATGCATGCAGCGTGCAGAATAAGCCGGGGTCAGTATTGGATCACTTCAGCGTGCGGGCAGGCATAATCAGTATGTAGCTTCGAATGTGGGCCGTAATAGATTCGCTTCCCATAATCGCGTCGCAACCGTCCGACTCCCCAGACTCGTGTAGACTGGTCACAATCATGAAGGACAACCTGGTCCTATTCTATACCGGCAATCTGCAACAGTTCAATTAATAAGAGCCAAGTCTGCTGGTGCAACCTGGGGATTGTGCTTGCGCCAGCGATTTGCAATATGTGTACGTTGCATATGACGCGAAGAGTATTTATTGCGTGGGCCGGAAGGAGGCTTGATTGACCAATAGGCACGGGCATATAGGATGTGTTCAAAGTTAGTGGTTGTGCGCACTCTGGAGCAGCAATTTTGCTGTTTTGTCCCAAACCGAAAACTACTTTATGCCAACATAGTACTACATCCTGATTATCTATCTATAATGACAGCGTAAAATGTGAACCGGATAGATGTAGATGCTAAAGAAGCATAACTACGGAGGAAAAAAAGAAGGAAAAAAAAAAGGGAAAATGATACTGAAAACACTAAAAATTGCTGCCCCACTGAGGGTCGAACTCAGAGCCTCCAGATGCCATTTCCGATTGTGGTCGAATAACAGTCTGACGCGCTGCCAATTGCGCCATAGGGCAGACGAATTCCTGTGTTGACCACTGGTGTGTCTGATTTGCTGATTAAATTGGTGCTAGAAACTTACCTTATCGTACACACGCCAGACTTGAAACCAAGGAAAATCTTCACACTAACTAGTCTAGCTCGATTGTGGGGTAGATCAGACTAGAGTAGTCTAGTGGGAAACCAATATGGAAAAGCAGAATTCAAATTCAGGATCATGAGACAATTCATCCGGTATGATGGTGTGAATTACTTTCAGTTTGACCATTGGGCATTTCTACTGATTTGCAGTCTATGTATGATTTATGAAACCCTCTTCCGTATTGCCGTAAGTGCGACATAAGTATGACTTCCAGTTATCCGCCCGTGGTTTACAGCCCCAATTACCCTGAGACGTGTAACTTCATCCTAGTCTAGGCTAGGCTAATGGATACTCTGGCCTTGCAAAGCGCCATCCAAGTGAACGCCCTCTGTCCCAGCTGGGTGGATACCCTATGGTACAAACTGCTATCGAAGTGAATCCTGTGCTATTCGGAACACTTTACACCCTTTAAGCGAGTTGCCCCCTTGAATGAAATGACCGACTACATCCTCTTTCTATCTAAAACTTCTTTAATGGCATCGCTTTACGCTTTAACGCGGGATTTATTCTATCCGCACCTCCTCCTCTCCTACAAGCCTCGAGCGTAACATGAAAGTGAAGCACCGGCTTGTGGTAGTCACTAGTGTTAGTCATGATTGATAATTCTTTCAGTAATTCCCAGCTCACGCAGGGACGCTGGTACGGTCTAAGACAATAAGGGTTGGAAACCTTGACAGTGGAGGACAATATCAATTCTGACTTCGTCATCTTGCAAAACAAGTATTGGCTACTGAAAGGTGACCGCTGGAATAAGAATCCTAAACAATTTTCGGAAGTATTACTTTGGCACGAGCAGTTCCGACTTTCAGCAATAGCACTACACGTGATCATAATAGACTCAGAAATTGTAAAGAAAATGACGAGAACCTCTATGTTTAGGTAAGCTTGAATGAGACCGCAATGAATAATTTTCTTCCTTGCAACACAGCCAATGACTTAGAACTCAAACTTCTGGCCGACGAGTTCTTCACTTAGACTCCAAAGCTTCTTCGCGTTTTCCGGGTCAGTCGCATAATCCAACGCCTTGTCGATCTGACAGTGCTTGACATATCCACCACTCTTGGCATCGAAAGAAGGGTCTAGGCATGCAGCGACCAAGGACGACGATCCCTGGGACAAACTCTTGAAAGTGCTGACATCCAGCGGGGAGAAGCTTTCCCATCCATTGTTGCGCTTCGCAATCTCAGGAACATCCGAAAAGACCTCGAATGACAAATTCGCGGTCAGCCCAGTCCCCAAGATGGCACCAGGGTGAACAGCATAAGCCCGAATACCCTTGTCTGCCAATCGGCGTGCCAGCTCAACAGAGAAGAGTATGTTGGCCGTCTTGCTCTGTCCATACCCGCTCCAGGGGTCGTACTCCTTCCCATCTGAGAAATTGTAGTCGTTGAAGCGGAAAGGGCTGATGCGGTGACCTCGGCTTGTGACATTAACAATGCGTGAGCCGGATCCGGCTGCCAGGATCTTGGGCAGGAGCAAGTTGGTGAGAAGGAAATGACCAAGGTGGTTCGAAGAAAGCTGCAGCTCATACCCCTGCTTGTCCTTGGTGTACTCCTTGACGCCCATGATCCCGGCGTTGTTGAGAACGACGTCGATCTTGGAGATGTCCTTGTTGTCCAGGATCTCCTTCGCTGCTTTCCTGACCGAGTCGAAGTCGGACAGCTCGCACTGAACAAATGTGACCTTGACTTTCGGGTCGGTCGACACGATATCCTCAATTACTGGATCTACCTTGGACTTGGTACGGCCCACGAGGATGAGCTGTGTAGGATGTGCTTTGGCTAGAGCTATGGCTGCGGCTGCGCCAAGGCCTTTGGCACTCGTGCCGGTGATGAGAAACGTGCGGCCTTCGACTTTGGATGAGAAGGCGTGGACAACGTCCTCACAATTCGTCTTTGCACCGAAAGAAGACATCTTGATGGCGATTATTTGCAGATTGTGTTAGGTAAGAGTTGGCTTAACTTCTTTCGAGGATGAGTCCCATATGATCAAGTCTGTTGAGCATTTCATAGCATTGTTTTATAGAGCACCTTGAAACTTTAAATATGCATGTGGCCAGACGTGTTCCGGAGTCAAAGCGGGTATAACAAAATAAAGTCCCTGAGTCTGCAGGGTATGTCGTACTCACCCTGCCACCGTGGTTTCAGCATAACGACAACATGAGTCACTAACTTGATTTGAACCGTAGACCTCTATCGATTCCTAGAAGGAAAGGTTGTCGAATACAAACATCGGAGATACACTGAGCTAACGTGGGTTGAATGCCGTGGGGTGAATGCGAGACCATTGGGGATTGAATGACAAAATGCCGTTGCTGTGTTTTTTTTATCACCGTCGCTGATAGGCGATGGGTAAAAGCTAGGATGTGCCCGCAATTTTCACGGATATAAGGCAAATTCCGGTTGTTCCAGTATACAATTATGATCGAATTGAGCTGTCAACACCGGAGATTATTGGCTGGAGAGGGATATATGAGTATTGGCGCCCATCACTAGGTGAGAGCTATCAATAAGCAGTGCTTACCCACGATCAAGCATCGACGCAGCTTTGAATGTCTTTCTTGCTGTTGCGCAAAGTCAGGTTATGTTGAAGCGGCGCTTTCTGTTCGAGTTGCACAGGCCATAGACGTTCCGACAGGAGACGCGCCATCTTAGCCAGCTGGAACCTAACACGTGCGGCCATGTTGAAGCACCACCTCTGCAACATTGCAAAGCCGTACGCGAAATGACAAACTCGACTGGAAGGAAGCCTGGCTTGGTCTCCTCCAGGCCCGGAGGTTATTTGACATCCCCAATGCCGTGACGGAGCTTTCAATCACGACCGCAGCAGAACTCTCAACCAAGACGCGCACAATGAAATACAGGTGCCTAACCTAGAAAATATCAATCCAGGCTTAGGCAATCACGAATAACATACGAAAACAGTATAGACCCTGCTAGTCTACTCTGGGCGAGGATGAAAATACGAATGCGATTGTGTACATATGGCCCATTGATTGACAAGGTTAAGGAGTCGTGGGCAAAGAAAACGGCCCTGAGAGGCTCCACTGGAATTGCGCCCCCTTCCCCAAGGTGGTCCACTCCAACAACGGTCAGGAAAGGCCCGCGGGGTACTATGCTAGTTTGGGTCAAGTCAGCCACCATGTTTGTCGTCGTCATACCTCCTGTCGCGCGTCACAATTTCAAGGCATCTACTCCGTACACAGCACAGTAGTATCCAAGGTTGGTCTAGCCTAGACTGGGATTCCGTACATTTCGTACATTTCGTACAGCTTGAACCAGTGCCCAGCTGATAGGATTCGGGGAAAGCATCTGCATCACGAGTCCCAACCCTTAGCTACATAAAAGGCCGGTAGCTCCCTTCTGTTTCTGATACAAGAGTAGTTTCGACTGAGTAATCATACCCATCAGTACTACGGTGCGCGCGCGAGAGAGAGAGAGAGAGAGTCTAGGGACTTGAATCCTCCCAATCTCTAGCCTGCCCACCACAACCCCACGTCACTGGCACCGCCCCTCCTAAGATCGCCAAACAACAGCTTAAGCGCCTTACTTTCTGGCTGCATCATTCGCCATCCAACCTGCAGTCCATACAGTACGGCATCCAGCAGAACCTTAACAGGCCTGTTACGTTCCAACTCGCCCAAGTCCTACTAAATATAACTTAACTACGTCCACGTGCGACTTACTATACTCTTGTGTCACGCCTATGTATCTCATCGTGCATTGAATCTTCCATGTGACAATCCTACGCCTACGCCTACTCTTTCCCTGGAGACATCTCTCCATTTGTCGCTCCGAGCTTCAGCCTTTCGACCCCCAACGACAACTTTGCGGCACTCTGCTAATCTAGGGCCCTCAACTCCAAGAGGAAGCTCCAGCTCTTGGCAGCCGCCATCATGTCGATGCTGGATTCAAAGAGAGCCCAGGCGAGTAGTGGCAGTGGGAGTGGCAACCATGCAGAGCAAACTCCATCGTACGACGATACACTCTCGGCAACCGTCTCCGATGGCTTTCGCGACCAGACAGCACTCCCCGATTTACCAGAATTAGGCGCTGAAGAAGAGGTACCGCCCGCCTACAGCGAGGTCCACGATCGTCTCTCCTTGCACCAGGCTGGCTTCGATGCTGGTGCTACCGTTACGGGTAAGTAGGCGGCTCCCATGTTTATTGGACCTTTCGCTACGAACTTGAGTTTGCTGATTCGCATCAACCTTTCTCCTAATAGACGACGGCCGTGTTGATATCAACCTCAACCAGACAAGCAGGCAGCTGGCCGATATTATCGCCCCGACTTTACGTAGCCAACTCACACACGACGCCAGAATCGCCGCCGAAGCACCGCTGCCTCCTGCCTATATCCCTCCTAGTCTCGGTGGTCTGCCAGGCCAAACGCCACCTCCGCGGCTGAACGTCGTCATACAGATTGTGGGATCGCGAGGAGATGTACAACCATTCATCTCCCTCGGTCAGATACTCAAGAACACATATGGACATCGGGTACGGATTGCGACACATGCAACATTTCAAACCTTCGTCGAGGAGAATGGCCTGGAATTCTTCAGCATCGGCGGTGATCCCGCAGAGCTCATGGCTTTCATGGTCAAGAATCCCGGCCTCATGCCTGGTTTTGACGCAGTCAAGAGTGGCGAGATCACCAAACGCCGAAAGGGGATTGAAGAGATCGTCTGGGGCTGTTGGAGATCTTGCATCGAGGCAGGCAATGGCTTGGGTCCTGCACCACGTCTTGAGCGCAAACAGAATATGAATCCACAAGACGCCGAGGCTATGACCATGGACCCAGCTCACAAACCATTCGTCGCCGACGCCATCATTGCGAATCCCCCCAGCTTTGCGCACATACATGTTGCTGAGAAGCTTGGTGTGCCCCTTCACCTCATGTTCACCATGCCGTGGTCGCCCACGAGAGCATTCCCTCAGCCTTTGGCAAATATCCAGTCGTCAAATACCGATCCCGTCACCACAAACTACGTCTCATACGCCTTGGTTGAGATGATGACTTGGCAAGGTCTGGGCGACGTCATCAACCGCTTCCGTACCAAGGTGCTTGATTTGGAACCGTTGTCGTTATTGTGGGCGCCTGGAGTGCTGACTCGCTTGCGAATACCTTACACCTATTGCTGGTCGCCCGCGCTGATCCCTAAACCAAATGATTGGGGAAATCACATTGATATAGCTGGATTCTACTTCCTTAACTTGGCATCCAACTATACCCCTGAACCGGAACTTGCCGCTTTCCTCGAGGCTGGCCCGCCTCCCGTGTACATCGGCTTTGGCTCGATTGTTGTTGACGATCCGAATGGGCTTACAAGAATGATATTCGATGCCGTCGCAGAAACTGGAGTTCGGGCACTTGTATCGAAGGGATGGGGTGGTTTAGGCGCCGACTCGGTCGGAATTCCGGATGGAGTTTTCATGCTTGGCAACTGTCCTCACGACTGGTTGTTCAAGCACGTTTCCGCAGTCTGCCATCACGGAGGTGCAGGAACAACAGCAGCCGGCATCCAGGCTGGAAAGCCCACCATTGTGGTTCCGTTCTTTGGGGATCAACCATTCTGGGGTGCAATGGTCGCCAAAGCAGGCGCTGGTCCTGAGCCGATCCCTTACAAGAAGCTGACCGGGGAAGGACTTGCAGAAGCCATTCGGACTGCGCTCAAACCTGAAACTCAAGAAAGAGCGAAGGAGCTCGGCGAAAAGATCCGCGAAGAGAAGGGCTCTGATGTTGGTGGACAGAGCTTTCATCAACATCTCGATGTCGACAGCCTGCGCTGTTCAGTAGCTCCTAGTCGCGTTGCTGTCTGGCGTGTGCGAAGATCCAATTTCCGATTAAGTGCTCTCGCAGCAGCCGCACTGGTTGATGGCGGGTTTCTGCAATACTCTGATTTGAAGTTGTAAGTGTTTCTGCCACTCATCGTGGAGATGAGGTCAGCTAACTTTGCTATAGGTTCCGCTCGAGAGAATACAGTACCGAGGATGAGCCTTGGGATCCAATATCAGCTGTCACGTCTGCTCTCGTGGGAGATATTGGCAGCATTGGAATGGCTATTGCTGACTTTCCACGAGACGTGTTCAAGGCAGCAAAGGGCCGCCCGAAGCCCAAGGAGTCCTCTGACAACGTCGACAGTCCTTCCACTGATACCGGAGCTCAGACACCAGGGGCGGCGGAACACGCCTCAACACAAGTCGTACCTGGCACGCCGGGTGCTGAAGCTGACCGACAACTGGTCTCTTCTCCGGAGCTGACACCAACCAACGAGAGCAGCCTGAGTTTGGCACAGTCAGTATCTGCTGCCTCAGCATTGTCCTCAACATCTACTAGATCAACGGGACATCCTCCCCCGCCAAAGCGCGTACGGTCTGAATCCTCTACCCCGCAGCGAGGGGGTGCAGCGAGCCCCAGTCTTAACGATCATCTAGATCGAGCACTAGGAGCTGGGAAAAGCATCAACAACGTCGTTACCACCGGCGTGAAAACCCCGATGAACTTTTGCCTGGGGCTGGCCCGAGGATTTCGGAATGCGCCAAAATTGTACAACGACGATACTGTTCGCAGACCTGAGAAAGTCACGAGCTTTGAGACTGGACTGAAGGTCGCTGGCAAAGAATTTGGTCTCGGCATGTATGATGGTATCTCGGGCTTAATCACACAACCATTGAAGGGTGCACAGAAGGAGGGTGGGCTCGGATTCCTGAAGGGCATTGGCAAAGGTATTGGTGGTGTTATGCTGAAGCCTGCTGCAGGTAAGTCAGGGTGCTGACACAAGGTTTCCATGAAGACTAATTGAGATGTAGCTGTCTGGTCAATACCCGCCTATACAATGGCTGGAGTGCATGCAGAAATTCGAACTCTGTTTGCTCAGAGTGCCCAAAATTACATTGTGGCATCGCGCATAGCGCAAGGTAAAGAGGACCTCAAAAGGTCAGCAATGGAAGAGCGACAAGACATTGAAGCGCGTTGGCTCGCTAGTCGTGACGATGTGAAGGGTTTTTACTCATGGAGACAGAAAGAGAAAGGCAAAGCGACAAGTGCTTCTCCAACTCGTCAACCATCACCGGGACCTCAAGGAGCTTCAGCGGACTCTATCCCTGCTCGGAAGGAAGCGCCAAAGACAGGATGGCGCAACACCAGAAACATGTCGTTCGAAGACAGAAAGCGTCTCCACGAAGACAAATTGGCTTGGAGGCAAAGGCAGGCTGCAGTCGTTGCTGCGGCAGCGTCGGGCGCTCATATCATAGAAGATATATCCGCTTCTAGACCCGAGTCCATGTATGAGTCGGAGCCACGAGACCCAGAATTTGAGCAGGCCATCCAAGCTGCTGTTCGTGAGACGTCTAGTGGAGACCCCGAGGAAGATGCCAGGATTGAATGGGCCATCCGCTCGAGTGTTATGGAACTGCGACGAAGATCTACCGTTTCAATCGCGTCGGGGATTAGCAATCACTCTACAGCGCCATCTACTGTATCTGGACCAACATATTCTTCCGCAGAGAAGACATCCAACACGGACACAACAGTGTCTTCCCCTCACTATGGCTACCCATCAGATCTCAAGCACCAGGTTCCATTTTCGCCCGAGGACTTTGAGAATATAACGGACCAGGAGTACCAGGACCTGATAGAACAAGCTGTGCAACTCAGCGTCGCAGAAGATCATCGCCACAAGAGCATGCAAAACCTCCACGAAGAGACTGAAGATGATTCAAACTATGAGCAAGCACTGCAGAAATCCCAACAGGAGCATGCGCCTCTACCACATGACGACGAGGAGCTGCGCAAAGTCATTGCAGCTTCGGAGGCAGAACACGCAGCTCGTCTACAACAAGGGCATGATGGTCAAAATGACGATGACAACGACGACGAGGAGCTTAGAAAGGCCATTGAAGCCTCCCAGGCTGCGCATGCGGAGCCATCATCTGACAATGCCGACGATGAAGAAGAGCTGAAGCGCGCATTGGAAGCATCCGAGAAGGCACATCAAGAGGAGTTGGCCCGCGCCAAAGCTGACAGGACGGAAGAGGATATCGTCATGGAATATGTGAAGAAGCAAAGTCTAGCGGAGGAGCAGTACCGACAGAAGGGGAAAGGAACAGAGGCTGTTCAAGACGATGATGAACTCCTTAGAAGGGCCATCGAGGAGAGCATGAAAGCAACTGGCAAAGTGGGTGAGAGCTCCGGAGCAGGTGCTCCACCTGATCCCAAAACGCCTGGAGGCTCGAGCATCAAGGAGTTACCTTGAAGAACAAGATACATAGATGGCACATGAGTAAGCATGATTGACGATATACCCAACATCAGCGATAAGAAACACGCGTAGATCTCGCAATTGACCAACAAATTATTGTTTTCCATTGGCCCGCTTGATGTGAATGATGCTAGCCGTCCTGTGCGTCTCTGATCAGGCAGTCGATGACGGCTTGGACCGAAGAAACCCGACCGCGGCAAGATCAGACTGATCGATTGTGTTCAGCCGTAGATAAAATCAATGACCTAAGTAAAGCATCTAGCGTTGCCATTGACCCGCGGATCGACAACGGCTCCTACCGAATTTGCGGGTCCATTGAGAGAAAGCAACTTTCCCCAGACCACATGGATCCAATCATAAGAGATTCACCATCGAATATGTACAGGTACCAATCGACAGTTACCAAACCAACCGATTCGACATGAAATAAGAGGCTGGGGCAGGTCGAGTTATTACGTCCTTGCCATATAATTCTTGAAAGGCCAAGGCGGCTCTAATGTTTAGTTTCAACGCCAACTCTTTTTGAAATTGATGATTCAAGAAGACGTCATGACAGCCTCGAAGCGTCATGCAACCACTCAACGCGTATTTCGTAAACAATGACCACGAACGCGATTGCGATTGCGTGGGAGGTGACGAAATGGGCTACAAACGGTGAGGCTAGAATGAGGAAAGGAGTTGAAGCTCCGGGTGCAGATATAAGCTTGTCGTATTTCCCGGCCAGACATGATTTGATGGCTTGATCACTGTCATACCGCAAAAGCCCTGCATTTAAACCATTACAAACTCTCAAATACTCAGAATCAAATCAGCCGTTTCCACCAACAGTCAAATAAAAATAAAAATAAAATCCAAACATATCATGTCTTCCTATGCACAAGAGACCAACGAGGTTCCCTCGGACAACTCCTACGTCTCCCGCCAGGGCCACAAAAGCGAGCCCCTCGGCGTCGTTTCCGACGAGACCAACGTTGAGGATCCCATCGACGCTAACACCGCCGACTCTGATGCACAGCTCGGTAAGTCTTGTCCACCCATAAACACTTAATCCCTGACCCTGGGCATTCTATCTTCGCGGACATGCGGCCCCTAGCAAAATGACAGCATGACGGCAGGGGCTAACCACGTGCAGAGCGAGACGACAGGGAGGCCATCAGTAAGGACAACATCATCGACGAGCGCACTCGCGGCGCAAAGCCCCAGTCTGGATACCAGGAGCCCGGCGATACCGAGGGTCTGCCAGAAGACTCTGGAAAGAGCGCCGTTGCTCAGTAGAGAATTATCGTTGCTTTGGCGTTAAAGGAGAGGTTGGGATGCGTGGAACTATGTATTAATTATCTCAAAGCTAGTTCGTTAAGTCTCGGTCAACTGAGTATTTGAACAAATATGCACGTTTCTTAATTGGATGAATGTTCCATGTGCTTTTGGTTTCTCCGTCTGTAACGTACTCATGATTTCGTTGGACTCAATTGTTTCTCTCATAACACAGTTCTCCGGTGATCACGTACCGTACAAGGTTGATTGTTACTTGAATTCAGTTCTCCATTGAGACTGTCAATACACTACGGCCGAATGCCATCTCGGGACATAACGGAGCAGACTGTTCGGAAGCGCCAGGCTTGGTATTGTTCTTGACTGCAGGATAGTGTTCACCATTGCTTCGTCTCTACTACCACTAAGTCCCACATACAATATTGAAACATTGGTTACCGTGGATTAGATGGTTAGCACGGCCGAATATAGTGGTAACCGGATGGTAAACTTGGGAACAGCTATGAACGATAGTGTATAAAGTGGCCATGGGCTGGCAGTTGGACGATGAGAGTAAGCACTCTACCTGCGCGGTCTGACTCCCAGTCTATGATTAAGCCTCCAGAATTGGTAGCTGCACTTCCAACTTGGCTTCATGGCAGGGACCAGCTGGCATGTAGTTCCACTGCGATTTTTACGCCTACCCACGAAGGCAATGAGAGCACAGATCGAGGATCCCCAACTGTGGCTGGGAGGGATCGAAAGTCCCAACTGTGGCGAGTGACTTTCACTGCAATCTTAACCCTCACGAGGGTAACGAAAGTATAGACCAAGGATCAGCTGTGACAGGGGCTCGCGCAGGACAAAAAGCTCCGATTCGATGCAAAGTATAGATCGAGGATCCCCAACTATGGCGGGGATCGAAAGTCTCTGACTGGGGGGCGATTGACTTTCACTGCGATCTTAACCCTCGCGAAGGCCTTGGTACTGCCAGTTGTAACTTGAAGCTGACATCGGTTTTGACTGGTCAACTGATCCGACTGGACCCCGGGGGCTGGAATAAAGATATGACTTGTGATTGGCAGATCGCGCTGACATGCTTATAAGTACACTGCAATTTTAACCCTCGCGAAAGCATTAATACCGTCAGCACCGCCAGGCAGTTCCAGTCGCAGGGCACCGCACTATTGTGGCTTATTTCTCGCAACGATTTGACCGAAATCTGATATTCGTAAAGGAGGTCAAACCGCATAAATGGTCAATTGAAGGATCATGATTCCCATCTCTTCTAGCCCGTCGTCCCTAACTTGATGTGTCATTCGGTTGCAGCCCCAGGATCTTCCTTAAACCCCGCTCCAGGTCGCGAGCAGGGTCTTCCGGCAATGCATGTGACCTCCAACCAACAAACCGATCTGGCCTGACCAGGACACAGCCATCCTCCTCGACCTCGCTCCGCTGGGCCCAGTGGCCATAGACATCCTCGTAGTCCTGACCCCACCCGATAGAATACGCCGTGATCTCCACCCCGAGCCTCCCGCCGACCGCCTTCGCGGCGCTCTTCCACGCGTCGCCACCGGGGCCCGTGAGCACGCAGAACGCCGCGTGCCCGGCGAGATCGTTTGTGCTGATCTGCTGCTGCGGGACCTTGGTGTTGAGCCACGCATGCGGCAGCCGCGAACCGGGATAAGTCGAGATGACGTAGTCCATATCCTCGTCGGGGCGCGGGACGACGTCGGGCCTCGGGCCTGGCTCGTCGTCCGTCACGACCGCCGCGCTGCCCGCCTTGTCGTACTGCTGTCCCATCTCGCGGCCCACGGCGTGGAACTCCTTTTCGGTTCCTTTGATGGCGACGCGGAGATCCTCACGCCTCCTGCGGCCCTCGGGGGTCGTGGAGTTGAGCTCGGCGAAGGCGCCGCGCCGCGCCGGGAGCGAGGGCGAGGTCATGCCCAGGGCCCTCCAGACGGCCAGGTGGTCCCGAAAGCCCTGGTTGGCGCGGGTGACGATGCCGAGGCCGACGGGCTGACGCTCTGTGCTGTAGGTTGAGAGGAGAGAGGGCGAGGCGCGTCCCCGCATCGTATAGGCGACTTTCCACGCCAGGTTGTAGGCGTCCTGGATGCATGTGTTGGATCCGAGGCCGTTGAAAGGGGGGTGGCGGTGTACCGCGTCGCCCAGGCAATGCCTATTCGTTAGGAAGTCAGCATAGAGTGAGCATCAGCTGTGAAGCATGTGCATGAGATAGCAGGAGCAACTCTCATGGACGGGCACCAGTTTATGTGCTAATCACTTACACGTTTCCTTGTGAGTAGTATTCCGCGGCGATCTCGTTGACGTTCCATTTCGAGATGTTAATGATCTTTACTGGCCGGCTCCTGTCGCCAATGAAGTCTTTTATTCTCTCGAGCCATTGTTCCTCCGTCGGGTCTTCCGTATACGCAACGTCAGGATCCGGGAACACGATGAACATCCATCTGCATCCGTGTCAGTAGGTTGCCAATGAGTTTACCTAGGAGCGAACCGGGTTGACGTGGGTATCTTTAGCCGGAACACCTACTTCTTCCAAGGCTCAACCATCCTCGCCAACGCCATTCGTGCCCAGGGCGGGTGTTCGGAATCTGGCTGTATGAACCAGTGCAGATTACCAACCCGCGTCGCCATGAGGTCCGTCATATCAACCTCGGCATAGACATTGATGGCCAGGCCACCGCCGGGCTTCTTGATCAGCGGAATCTCAAGCTGTCGCACTACTTGGCTTCGCGCACCGTCACATCCGAAGAGATACTTTGACGAGATCTTATAGGATCGACCGTCTCCGTCCTGGACCTCGCTGGTAATCTGATCGTCTCCCTCTTGGAAACGAAGCAGTGTCGTGTTGAAACGGACGTCCCAGCCACGAGAGATGGCACGCTTAACCAGGATCGGCTCGAGCAGCGTTTGCGGCAGGTCGACGTGGTTGCATGCACTCGCCGCTGCGTATATACCCTTCCATAGAGAGTCAGAACGATCAAGATAGCCACAGATCCGGCCGCTCAACAGATTTTCAAATCACGTACAGCCTTGTCGGGATCGTGGCCCCACGAATAGATGCGCCCGTACTCCTCGCCAGCCATGCTGTGGCACCACCGCGTATGTGCCATGCAGTCGCTCGTGCTCGCAATTTCCAGGCAGGCCTTGTCTAGACCAATATCGCGGAGACATTCTGTAGAACGAATGAGCCAAGGGTTACAGGCAACAACAGACGTCACCGCGCCGAAGTCGTCGGCTTACCTAGTGCTGCCATGTTCGTGATGTGAGCCCTTGGCGTCTCAGCGGTGCCAGGCGCGGCCGCGATGATGGTACCCTTCAAGCCTAGGAGACGCAACATCATGAGTGGAGGCCCGGTAGGTCACGGAAAGTGCAGAGGTTCTCACCGTACTCCGCCAGGAAGCATGCCAGCGAAGCGCCCGCGGGCCCAGCGCCGACGATGAGGAGATCGGTCTTGAGATCTGACATAGTCGAAGATTGAACGCACACGAGAAACTCAAAAAAAAAGCTAGGCAACGAAGAATTACAGATTTATCACGAAATGCAAACTCGAACCCCCGTTGAGAACAGACATCAATGTCGCACTTGAAAGCATTTTCGAGGCTTCATGTTACATTTGGATGACCGCCATCCACTCCACCAGCGGCCTTACAAACACATTACTTAAGCTTACACATGGTTTGCGCTCCGTTTAGTTCCAAGGCAAGAGAGAGAAAATAGCAAATGGGGAATGGAGGGGAACGCCGATCGGTGAGGGGTTGGAGTATAACTAGTGAGTTTTCCAGTTGCCGAAGGTGCTCAGACATGTCGAGCATCGTTGCTAAAGAATGACAAACCGGGTAGAAGCTGAGTCATTACCCGCGTCGCGCGATTCATCGTTACATTGCAGATACCCTTGCGGCATCTCGGTACTAGGTAGTTTCCCGACCGCTGGTACTGTAAATAGCTCTTTTTCTTTTTCTTTTGAGTATCAATGTCGAACCTCAGAGAAGCATTCTAGTTCGTCTAGCCTAATTCCCACTTTCAAGCTCACCTGCAGTCTTGGACAAGCGATTTTCCGACTAGTCTAGGTTAGACTAGTTTCCAGCCGTGACCGCCGTTCCAAACGTCGCAGTTCTGGCATTCCAGCCAGAATTGACCGATTGAATCGGATACTTGTAAAGGGTTTTCCAGGCTCGACTGTGATCGTGATAACCTTCTTCCGGGTCGAATTGCTTTTTAGACGTCAGCCGTGAACCCACACACAATCACACAGTTGGAAACTTACCATCCCTTCTCCCAGCATAGAGTCACACCAAGCCTGGAATTTCCATCCTTCAATGAGTCTCTGATTGGGGGCCTCCTTGTTCAGTCCTTCCCCTTCCAACCATGCGTCAGTGCTTGCTAAGACCGAGGTCGCGACAACAACCTTTTGCTGAAGATAGAAGCTCGCCCATTTGTTCTTCTCGTTCACTTCGCACAAGACGTCAAGGTACATCGTGGAATATTTGACAGCCTCAGCCTCCATGGCAACACGCTCCTTAGGGGAGATGGCGCCGATGAATCGACTGGCCGAGATGAGCATTGAGAGGCCGGCGCCGTAGAGCTCAATGCGCACGTCCAAGGGTGTTTCGTCAGACGGAGTAGTGGACTGATGTTTATCATAGTTTCTGGACCATTCTACAATCTCTTCCTTGTGTTTACGGCAGCGCGCTTCCAAGTTATCGATCTGCTTCTGCGTGAGTGACTCTGATCCTGCGGTAGCTCGATAGACGTCAATCAGCAGACCGGGAAGTTCGATTCCGAGGGACCACAGTTGCATATAACCTTGACCTCGTGGGGAGTAATGGTTTCCACCATCGATGACAAGGGAGCGAATGACTTCTTTCCATGGCTCTTCGTCAAGGAAGCACGGTTCGAATAGGCGTATGGCCTCGCAGATCTATGCACGCTTAGCGAGTAACGGCATTGGCAGGGATAGGAAATTTACAATTGGAGATAGCATAGATGTGAGAAGAGCTTTCTCGAACTCGGTCTTCCACCTCGACGGACCTCTCGCACGTATAATCCTAGCTGCTCCAGAAATGTGGTTCTCCCATGCGCAGGGTCGTGATGGCGAATCTAGGAGCTATAGAGAATAAGCGTGGATGAGGAAATGAGGAAGCGTAGGTTGCTCACCTCGCAGATAGATAAGATTTCTATAGCAGCAAGGATGGATGGATCTGTCCAATCATTTGAGTCGTCAACCGCCGCTTGCAAGCTGCGTAGTGCCTTTCCATAAAGACCGAAGAGGTCAAGTTCTCCACCTGCAGAAGCTGGATTGTTTGGTAGGAGCACTCTTTTTGCCTTGCTTGCGACACAGCGGATGGCATCATCGAGACAAGCGGAATGGCCATATCTGGCAGGGATATGGAAAAGGTATGACTGCCGTCTTCGCACAATCAGCTTATCTAGACTCGTACGATGCTCAGAAAGCATCGAGGCAGCGACTTGACCAGTAGCCACACCGGTTAGCTCATCGAGATCCAGAACGTTGACCCCAACATCTGCGGACAAGTGTTCAAACCCGAACAGAGGCATACCCCGTGGCGGGCGGGCGTTCCATTGTCCTAATTGGGTAAGAGCTGAAGCTCCAGGTCCCGCCGTGGCCGGTATACCATCTGACTTTAGATACCGGACGATGGGTATGGCATGAGCCTTGGTCTTCAATGCGTCTCGAGCTCGGATACTACTTCGGTGCAATTCCCTGCCCTTACCACTATTACATGGAGACTCGCTGTTGCTGTTGCTGCTATCGTTGTCGCATATCACAATCTCTGTCTGGCGTGTGTTTTGCTTTCCCCAGGTACCTGTCTTCTTGCGGGACGCGGCAACGGATTTCATGGCTTGCACACGGATGGCTCGCCGCTTATCTGCGCCGTACCGTTGACAGTCATGGTCAGAATTGATCCATTCAAACTGGATGGCAACCATATTGAGATAGGTACGATGGCCGGTCTTGGCTCTTCTAAAATACAATGGCTTGGCTTTTAAATTATATGCTACCTCTCCCCGAGCTGTAAGACGGGTCGAAGGCAATCGTCGGTAGCGGAGATGAACGCAGTAAGCTGTACAACCCGTCGTTCATTGGGGTGGGAGCGAAAAGGTCATCTCAAAGTCGTCAGGAGAGCCGGGAGAGGACAGGCGTCAATGACAAATACATCCATCCATAGGCTCGAACGTTGATGATCGTATTCGTCCAATAAGAATTGCACGAAGCAATTCTCGTGGAAGATTTAGATTTGGAATGGGCCGTAGCTAAAAGCTCTAGGCGTCCGCTTTACCCCCGGAAGGACCAGGGTACCGCTGCCCGGAAGTGGTATAGCGCCCGTACTAGTCCAGCGGTAGTGCAGCTTTTGCAACTTGAAGGATGGGCTAGGCAAGCTAGGCTAGGCTAGGCCAGGCGTCTTGAATCCAATTGTAAGCGTACTTACGTGTATTTGATGTAGGGACTCATAAGCTCTAACCTAGATCATATATGGCCAGTAGAAAGACATCTCAACGCGATCAAATCCAAAGAACTAGCCTGACGTCTCGGACCTAGCTACACATTAACGATGTTGCTGAGTAGCCCGGCGACAGATTGCTGTGACGTTGTCTCCATTCGTTTGCACAAAACCAGGGGTTCTTAACCCATGCAATCAATCACGTGTTCTTAAAATATGTTCGGCAAACTAGGTGATCTAAAGCGATCCTCGTTGGCCTATCACTTTCTAGAATGATATTACTGAGCAACTCCATTTCAGCCAACTACTCGGCAGTAGAACATATTGCCGATAGGTTTAGCCTGTCCTCAGTCGCGCAGAACTCGCTGCTCTTTCACCACAAGGTGAGGGGCTCTTTCGATATGAGCTGCGGCGCCCGAAGAAGATAGTGCTTGGGCTACAACCTACACGAGAAGAGTTGCCCGTCAGCGATGTCCAAAGCAGCTTACAGGCAGAACCAGGAATATTCGCGGCGCAGTTTGCTTCCACATAGACTATATCCCTGCCGCCGCATTGCGGAGCTATCGGTATTGGTTACTGCTGTTGGTGATTTCAAGAACGAGGGAGCACGAGTGAGGCTTGATCGTACGGATACTATTCCAGTACCCAGGCATCTAAAGCCCACGGATTTCTCTTGCTGAACTGTGACATCCGCTGAAGGCAGATGATACCTGTACACAGAGGGCTTCATAGTATACGCGGTGGTAAAACCGTATACAACCAAGTTCCTGCATTATGCAAGATTGCAGAAGGTACAGAAGTGCCCTTCAAAGTGACGGGTGACGAGAGTGTGCCTATGCGATATGCAATATGCCTTGTGCGAAGTACCAACTACAAGGGTGTCCAACCTGGGCCCCTAATCACGCCATCCCCGACTGCGATCCCTATAATCGGGAGTGATAGTCGTGGAGAGCTGCTGTTATTGTCGCTCTTGAAATAGTTATTTAGTCGTGGCTAGTCTGCCGAGGTAGGGATTCATTCCGGCTATACTAGTAGGCCGATCGTAGAAGCAATAGCATCGGCTCTGAGTCACTGCAGCGGCATGCCCGACTTCCAGTTTCCATACATCATCTCTGTCTTAATCTTGAAGTGACCACTCCTCATCATAGTTCAGAGTCAAGCCCTTCTTCTTACATGTGGGACTTCTAGTATGCACAACACTCTGGGCTCAACTGGGTGGTACAGATGCGGTGTGGTTAGAAGTTGGAACGCGGCATGAGAGCCGTTCACGGTTGCAAGCATCAACTGACTACGTGCCAGGTAAGAAACAAATGTGGAATAGCGTGGTGGATACTGTCAGCGGCATCTCGGCTGCATCCTCATGTTATTTTGGAAATCCTGGAGGCCTTGGATCCTCTGGCACTGCGAGGATGCGACGGTGAGCAACGGGCTTGCGTACGATTTATACCGGTAGAATTCTTTGACCACTTTGGCATGGATTCTGCTCATGAACTGGGCGCGGCGATTCCTATTTATGATCCCAAGTATAGAGCAGTTCTCATGTACATTACAGTTCCGAGAACCGACGACGCTGAGTGGCCGTTGGCCGCCCACGGGCGGCAAAGGCTCATGTTGCTAAGTACGTAGTTAGGATGGGATCCACAAAGTGATACGACACCTACCTAGCGTTGATCCTCACTAATGCTCCACTGCCCCGTCGACCTAGCGCGACTGGTATACAGGTGTCTGCTTACCTCGTAGCTGCTCGTAGCTGTGATAGGCCAGGAATCACTCTGGATTCCAGACCGGAGCTTGAAAACACTGTCGTCACCAGTACTTGAGAAAGATGTCTATCCGGCCAACCTTCAAAATACTGCCTCAAACTTTCTCCCATCCACCTTGGTCAAAGGCTTTTATATATGTATATGTGATATCTATATATATATATTTCCAGTTCTTGGACGCTATGAGTTCCCCATCTGATTATGCGGTAGTTATCTGTCATGGCTCGTATCACTCACCAGAGCCTTATAGGCCACTGGTCGATGCATTAAAGTCGAATGGATTTGACGCTTACTGCCCTCAGCTTCCCACCGCCGATTTGAGCAAGCTAAACGTTGGCGACGTGAACAACCCAGACTTCGATCGGGAACCTCCGGCGGGCGGATATCCCCAAGGAGAGGAAGATACCGAAGCGGTCCTCAGCGTTCTCGAACCGCTAATCCAGGATAAGGGAAAGAGGGTCCTCATCATCGGTCATTCGGCGGGAGGCTGGGTTGCAACTCAGGCGGCGAGGCCTGAACTGCAACTTGAGACTCGCAAGGCGGAAGGACAGTCGGGCGGAATCGTGGGCATTCTGTACATGGGAGCGTTCATCATTCCTGTTGGAGAGTCTGTGACCAGCTTCTTTCAGCCCAAGGACGGGACATTTGTGACACCGCCATTTATGAAATTCCACGTAAGTACTCCCTCAGCCCCGAGATAAGGATTGGCCATGAGAACTGATGAGAGTACGCGCTGGACAGAAACACGGCGGTGCTGGGCTCGGTACGATGGTAGAAGTGGAAAAGTTCCTCTTCAATGATGTCGATCGAGAGGATGCTAAGAAGTGGTCATCCGGACTTACGGCATCACCCGTCTTGACCACGAAGCTCACCAATGATGCGTATGCAGCTTTGCCCTGCGCATATCTAGTATTGGAGGGGGACTTGACCTTGCCCAAGGAGTACCAAGAAGGTATGGTGGCGCAGCAGAGCCAGAAAACTGGAGAGTTCACAGTCTACCGCAGCCCAGCCGGGCATTCCCCCCATATTAGTTGGACAGAAGGCGTTATCGGTACCGTTCGGGATTTCCTATCAAAAGTAGGACTCTTAGTAACTTGAGCATTACCTGCTGAATTATACCTGAGGTATAATGAGATATATATTTAATAGTGCGCATTTTACCAACAAATTCTTCAGTTCGATGTCGCGGAATCTAGCGCTACTACATGCTCGTGTCGATTTTCCTAGCCTTACATGTCTGTTTCATTTCCATCACTGGTGAGGCCAACTCTTCAAGTATACCGCTTGGGTTTCAAGTAACACTGCTATTTGCTAATCTGACCGACTCGGCCAAAGTGGACAAAGCCTGCTTGCATGTCCCATAGGCAGACTGGCAGCCCGCCCCACACCAGGCATCTGGAAGATCAGAACCTGGTGGCGAGCAATATCCGAATGCGCTGCAACAAAGAGGAAAAGGGTCTTGGGGACAACGTGTTCCCTCAACGGAACCACATTGGCCGTTTTGGCTGACTAGAACACGGTTCTGTTAAAACATTGGTAAGCAATCTGATTACACAAGCAGAGCAGAGCATCTTTAACGATGAATTAGAGAAAGGCTACCCTACGCATTCTTTTGCCCCTAGTACAGCTTGAATGAGGGCAGGCTTCAAGTTTTGGAAGTAGTTTCGAAAGCCGGATGTTCTGTTGAAGGCAGACTCGGCCTCCCATATCGATACGCCAGCAAAGCTCGAGTTGCAAGAGTATGCGTTGGCAATATTTGCCGTTTCTTGAATCGTCAGAGTGTAGTCAGGTGTCGTCCCAACCGTCGTCAGACCAAGGAAGATCTTCGCGTCCTTGCTAGTTGTAGCCGCAAGGTAGCTTGTCCATTGGAAGATGGTGAAGCCTGCATTCGCAAATGAGCCACCACTTGTGTAGCTGGGGTTGAGTCGTGCCCACCTCTTGGCCGAACAGGTGTACGTGTTGTAGAATTGGATGAAGAGCAAGTCAAAGGGAATTGCCGCGATGATGTCCTTCATGTTTGCATCCGGTATGACGCACTGAGGGGAAGCGGTCAAGTAGTATTTCACGGGCAGGGCCTGCTTGAAGAAGCTCTGAAGCGTCTTGGACAGAGCAATGTAACCTGCTCCACCGTCAACTGGCGGGTGCTCGATATCCAGGTCGAAGCCATCGACTATGAAGCCGCCGCCTCTGTAATCGAACGGGCGCGGAATGCCTGCGTCTACCATTGTCTGATTCCTGGGGCCGAACATGTACCATAACTGAGTCGCCAGGTTGACGCCGTCGGAAGCTCCAGTCAACTGATATGCGTCGGTACCGCCGCCCAAGGAGAGAAGAATCTTCTTCTGGGGGGTCGCATATCTACAAAAGTTGAGATCGCGTTGGATACTAGGGCATTTGAGGAGTGCGTCCTTGGAGGGATCATTGATTCCATTGTAACCCGGACCGCGATACTTCTCACCCGAGCATTGGTTCCCAAAATTCAAGCCGGGGTAGCCATTGGCTTGAGCTGGGAATAGATGGACAAACGACAGGATAATGATATCTATACTGTCATCTCCACAAAGTGCGGCGAGCGGTCGCTGATTGCTCCCTTGGCCCTGTACGTGTAAGCATGGTTGGATACTTCAACATGATGTTGTATCTTACATAATAAGCCACCACGTTGTTCATCCCTTTACTGCTGAAGGCCGCAAGACATGGTGATACCCAGAAAGAGATGCAAATCACGGATAACAAGGCTCCAGGGGTGAACATCGCAGCGGTCTCTCGGGCAAGCTAAGAGCGACCACTGAATTATTTACATGATTCAAGCATCGACTGATGAATAATCTGGGGTCGTGGGTTCTTTCATATTCGAAGTAGCGTCCTGCTGATGTACCGGGGCTATAGCATCAGGGGTCGCAAGATTATCTTGAGACATGACCAGTGATGGCGCGCGCGAGGGCAGCTGCCTCAAGCTCTGCTTCGTCATGGCCACGATTCGGGCTGTCAAGAGGTGTACTAACGAAGTGAGTTCAGGTTTGTTATGCGAAGAGGAAAGTGAGCACATGGTGTGGATTTTCAGTCTCTAATCTTGCTACCACACGTTCGGGACGGGTCTTTTTACTTCTAGCTTGCTTTTCCTGAATACCGTCATGGTTAGAAGCTCGATGAAGAGATTCGGAACGGTTCAAACTGGTGCGAGCAGACATTAGAGTCCGATACGATGCGGAATCGAGAGAATAGCACAAATGTGGTGCGCCACCGATTGCAAGCATGACACGGGGTATGGAATAAATGAACCTTAGAGAAGACGCGACTGAATATTGTAACGTGACTGGACAGCTGGCCTATGAATGGAGGAGGATTAGGCTATTCGTTTGCCGCAATATCTACAATTGAAGTTTAATTTCATGTGGGGTCTTGGCGTGCTGGCAGGGAAGTCGCGTGCCACAGTTGCATTGATGTGCTTTCGAATGAATGTGGGCAAGGCGAAAAGAGGAACATATAGATACCGGATCGTGAAAGGAAAAGAAAAGAAAAAAGAGAGAGGGTTATATATATTTATACAAATTCAGCTGGCAAGAATATAACCTTAACCCATGATGAGCCGACGAAAGATGCATTGGCAGAATGAATTGCTCATGTGAGCAGGTTGTCGCAGATGGAGTCATGTAACCTAACCTTAGGTTAGTTTGCTCCAGATCCAGGTTCGGCCTGGGGTAACTTACTGTGTACCAAGTAGTCTGGCAATTCCAATGCCAATGCTAGTAGTCAAGGTCAGGTTAGTACAAATGGCCCCCTCGACTGGCTCCCCGGATAAACATTTCGGCGAATATCCAGGGGGCCTTCCCAAAATGTGGCCTCAATTGAGAGCTCCACGAGATCTGGGGCCCAGAGCTCAGGTTAGTGGTTAGGGGGCAGCGGATTTGATAATCTCTAAGCGTCCCTAGTCGCTAACTTCAGAATTACCACCAAACAGTAGCCACTTCTCCGTACCTCGCTGTCAATTCACCACATCACCATCTTGGACGCCGCACGCCCATCTATCTGTCTTTTTCGACGACTTTCCTTCAGCCTCTTTCCCACCACACACACATATCACAATGGTGCGTACAGTGTGACTCATGGATCCCACCCCCGACAAATGCGATGCTGCCACTGGAGCATCGTGGAAAGCCGGGGGAACAACAACAGCTTGCTGACCAAAGGAATTTTAGTCTTCTCCTAGAGCATCATCCCCCGTCAACACCCCCAGCACGGGCGTGAGCACCGGTCGCCCCTCCTCCCCCCCTCCTCCCGGCGGCGCACGAACTGCCATCCGACGACGAGCCGCTGCCGACCAGAAGGAGAAGATCGCCAATGTCCGTCCCAGCAGCACAAGAGCCGCCGGCGCCGGTGGTAGCACCAGCACGATGCTGCGCCTCTACACCGACGAGTCCCCTGGTCTGAAGGTTGACCCCGTCGTTGTTCTTGTTCTGTCTTTGGTCTTCATTTTCAGCGTTGTCGCTTTACACAGTACGTTCAGGTCTCCCCTCCTCTCCTTGACACGTGCGCATTTTGTGGTTGGGCCAAGCATTGGAACTAACCCTGCCCCTCACAGTCATCGCCAAGATCACGCGAAAGTTTTCCACCTAAACAGGACGAAAAAAAAAGTGGTGGGACCATGCGGGCGGCGTAATGTGGATGGGAAGGAAGCGAGGCTATGTATCATAACGGATCTGCATGGTTAGGAGCATCTAGATCCGGCAAAATACCATTATACCAAAACGAGAAGCATTTGCTGAATAACGACCAATCTACGAATCAAATCACTTCGCATGTCTGTGATCCACGATCCTGTCCTTATTTCCAACCCTTAGCGGCTGCTTTCGGCGTGATCAGTTTCACGCATGCGTCTCAACCTGGACGACGCCCTGTTCCAGGGACGACCACTTTATTGACCACGCCTTGTTCCAGGGACGACCACTTTATTGACCACGCCTTGTGTCAGCAGTCAGGAGTCAATACAGGGCTTGCGAATCATTTGAGGTTCAAGAGCTATGTTGCAACGGTCTCCGCCTCGCGACAAGTTCACTTTCAAGCGACATAACTTTGAGCCTTTCACAAGTCCTCATCTATCATGCATGAGCTGGGTCCGATATTCTTGGGCCTCTGTCACTCGCAAGCTTTGGAAAATAGTATTGCAGACTATTCCAGATATCAATGCGATCTCACGAGACACGCTCGCCTGGCTCTCATGGCATTTTAAGCTCTATACACACGAAGCGGAAGCGCCATACGACTCGAACATCAACATAATAGAGTCTTACTCGTCACTATTTGACCCGCCACATTTCATTTCCTACCAGAAATTATTGCATGCTTAGCGAAACTCAGTCTATCGATTATAGCTCGTGTTCAGATATCTTGGTAACAGCCAATATCATAAACTCAAGATTTTCAATTGCGTGTACCTGAAGACTTGGAAATACAATCTATCTCGCACTTCTCTCACACTTCTCTCACACTTCTCTCACACTTCTCTCATATTTCGTCACGCAGTTTGACTCAGAACCCATCCTCCACTTTTCATGATGCTTTGTGACGGGTCCATTCTAGAACGAGTAGGACCGGATGACGGAATTGGTGCGCTACATACGAGATATTACCGACAAAATCCCATGTTCTCCTTGTTAAACGATCATCTGGCCCTCTCCACACATCTGTATCCTATGTGTAATATGAAGATCGACTATATATTGTTAGAACTCGCACCGATTGCGGCGAGATTACGAAGCTTCATATTGACCTGTTGGCCAAGGTCAGAGACTATATGAGGCAATCACATTGACTGCCCTCGCAATAAACATTCCATAAGCATTTATCGTTTCACTTAGAAAGTCAGCTTGGTGCGGATAATGACATTCAACCTACAAGATGAGAATGACGCACTCGTTAAAGATTATATATAGCAAGGAAAAGTACCCCAACGGTCTGTTTCAGCAAGATCAAGGTTGCTGATTCGCGGAAGCCTGGTCGTAACAAGCTTCTAAGACCCAAGGGTAGGATCGAGCGATTCGGTCGAACTCATGAAATCTTTTGGACCATACTCAAAGTTACCGGCACCTTTTATGACGTTCAGAAATTGTGCAGCGTAACAGCGTTTGTACCACCCAGAGATAGGGTAGCAAGTTGGTCAGCACTTCTGGAGTCCCCAGGCTCGTGCACTGGTAATGATCCATACCCGCCCAAGAATTCAGACTATGAAAGGTCCTTTTGGGGTCAGTGTGACGCTGAAACGGTTTGGAAGAGGACTTAAGCCTTCGCTTGTCTTCAGCCATCACGTCTCTGGGTTAGTATCAATTGAAGGCAGAAGATACCTTCGATGCTTCTCACAATGTCACTAGTTCAATTCCTCGTTTGGTTCGAGCTTCAGCTTCCACCTTGACATAATTTTATCTCTCATCCTCTCACCGATGAAGACTCACAAGCTACATTAATCTCTGTTCTCCTGGTGTTGAGCTAGACTTGATCACTTGTGAGAGCCATTTTAATGCAAATGTCCCGCACTGCAAGCTTCAGTGGGCCTCGATGCGATCTCCCATCTACATCCCGATTTCAGAAGGAGATTCTCACTATAAAATTTGAGAGAGGTCTACCCAACCTCAACAAAAGAAAAAAGACTAAAGCTATGAAAAGAAACATTCGGATCATAACCATGATACTTCCCCATTTTCTCACGTCTTGGAGTAATGTTAACCGTCCCCTGCACTATGCATGCGATCATGGTAGTTATCTCCATCCGCCGAACCATGTAGTAAAATGGCAGAGGGTTCTCGTTAGCGAGAATGAGGTCTGAGCCGTACAAGCTGGCGAGCCCCCGACTAATCTTTAAAACTGCAACGATAGCTGACATGTTCAAAGATACACCCAAACTTTACAACATCGTCAAGTCACTACTTGCTACGTAGATTCAGAGCTTCTTCGGACCACGAACGAGGGAAGTATCCATGAGAGGCACATAGTGACAAATAAAATCACGTATTGAAAATATGACCTTGGCCACGAAAATTTTACTTAGGGATAAAACATCCCCTACGGTGCTCAGTCTGTCGAGTCGTTTGAACTGCTATAGATGAAGACATACCTAACCAAGTCAACATCTCCACGCAGGTCAAGACTGCGCGAACTAGATTGCATGAGCTTGATAAGTATCCTGTAAATGTCATTGCCGGCTTGCATTCCGTACCTGGCAGAACGTCAAAGCACCGCTCCGTTGATAATCTCCTCCAACAAACTCTAGGCGCGAGTATCAATAATAACGAGTATCCAATGAGCACTTCTGCAAACTTTACAAACACAAATGCCACGAAGGGCTCCTAATAGCTAGAGCTAGCGTGAGAAGCTGGGAGACAGTATCCCTGCACCGGCTATAAATCTCCAACATTGGGATGACTTGACATTCGTGGCGATGACAGAGATGATGACGTTTTGATCGGTGCAGAAGAAAGAACGTCGCCAGATAACAGCATCGATCCAGCCGCATAGCCACAAGCGTCCCGAACAACCAATAATGGCTCAGCAGGTCTCCCCCCCTGAAATCACCGAGATTCCCGAGAAGTCACCTCCTCGTCATGTATAGCCAGAGTATCATGGGCCGGGGACTAATAGATCCGATGCTCGTAGATCTGGATCTTGCACCCCGGGTGCCCCCAAAACCTGCATGCTATAAATGCCGGCCAGCCCATTTGGGAATGCCAACTCAAGGTATTATAAAGGTCTACGGGTGAGTACCATCGGGGTTTGAGGAGGCGGGCCTCTTCTCTAGGTGATGTCGCATATGCTCTCGCGCAGGTCTAACGATGCGTTTCTGTTCAGATGCGATGAATTGGTTCAGTGTGTGGTCTGTGAAAATTTGACTATCTAGGGAATTACAAATGATATAGCTATATGTGTTATTTTGCGTGTCGTCATGAGCTTTGCTGGGTATCTAACGCTGATCAACTGGGTCGTGCACATCATCTCTGTGATATTTGTTTAAAACATGTTCCGCCTGCCATCAATTTCTCACACAAAGTTTGGGTGTTGTGGACTGCGCGGCTCCGGCGTGCTGTCGCGCGAGATTGTCTCGCCGCCCGTTATCCTTACTTCCGTTCGGTAATTGGCGTGTGGTTCCAGGGTATCCATCGCCACAAGGTGCCCCTCGTCTTCCTCGTTCAGCTCGGGTGGCACTGCCCTCGAGAACAGCACACCCTCTGCCATGATCCTGTTGTCGTGAGCGGACCGGCTGACGCGCCAGCTCGTGCGCACCTGCGGCGGCAACCAAGAGTTCCTGGATGCGGCGGACTTGGGACCCGACGAGACATCTGTTTCGGTAGACTGAGAAGACTTTCCCTTGTCGGCCAACCTCGCAGCCTGGGAGAGCGTGATTGACTTGCTTTTCCTGTTGTAGTAATAACGCGAAGGTCTGATGAGCGTGGAGTCGAAGACCTTGGGCGCGATTCGGACGAGGATGAGTCGCATCGAAGGCATGCAAGCGCAGATGATGCCGATGGTGATCTCGACCGTCGACCACATTGATACGCCAAAGTAGTCCCATGACAGGTTTGTTGATTCGCGGAATTCGACGAGAGATGCCAGACGGATAATGCTGACGATGGTGACACTGGAGAAAAAGGTCAGCCAACTTTTATTCCTACGGTTCGTGGACAGCGCAGAAGTAATGACTCACAAAGTTCCAACGACAAACATCAAGGCAACGCCAATCTTCTTCTTCCAGTGCAGCTTAAGCTCTCGCAGCTGCGACAGCGGGATGCCCAGCATGAACAAGTCGAGAGCAATGCTAACAGCAGCGTTCGCCCAAGCCACTGCGCTGATGTCGATACATTGCCCACCGCCCTCGCCTCGCCAGTTGGTCCAGTTGTAGCTGATTGGTCGGCATTGTAGAAGAGCAGTGACAATGAACCCGACACCGAACAGGACGTCGAACGCAACAGTACACAATATTACTCGTCGGATACCCCTTCCTGGAAAGATGCGCTGGTGACGAAATCAGTATGTTGCATGGCAGCACAGGATATGGTGTAGGAAGCATACCAGATAGAAGAATAGGAGGGACAGTTTCAACACGAAGACCTCGGAGAAGTACAACAGCGTGATGATGAAGAATGCCCGTGCAAAGTCCGTAATTTGATCGGGTGTCAAGGTCCAGATATCCCTGCCTAATCCGTTGTATGAGAGCAAGCTGACGTTGATCACGGCCGATGGTACGCAGTTGATGAGCGTCAAGAAGATGAACCAGTCGTCTAAGCCAAGATCTATTTGTGTGAAAAACTTCTTATATCCAAGTCTGACGAGGACAAAAATACAAGCAATGGCCATCAGCGTTGTTGAGACGGCATTGTACTCGACTGTCTTATTGCGAATCGGGGCTTGGCACATTGTTTGCGTGGTGTTCTTCGCGCTAAGCATCTCTACGACTGTGCAAGTGTTCATTACACAGAGCTCAGCAGAAGAGACATATTCTGGATCTGCACACTGGCAGGCGAGATCTGTTGCGCCGCATGATGAGCTTTGAACGGCTGTTAACAGACATTTGAGCTACACTCTGTTAGTCCTCGATGGCATGATTCCATTCTCATGACAGTTGACTTACAGCACAAGCTGGTAGAGTTTCGAGTGCTTCGGTCAGTGCTGAAGAGCTACTACCAGCCGCAAGACCCAGGGTCAAAAGGGAGGCCCATAATATCCATAACCTGAGTATCGACCGCATTTTTGGTTGTATAACCTGGACGGTGAGGGAGCCTAGCCCTGTAGCGACCGAGGTGAGTTGAAGGAGGGACTAAAGGTGAGTTATCGAAACGAGGAGAAAAGGAAGGAAACGCATCATGATAATGCCACGTGGGATATCGGGGTATCTGAGGTTTTCAAATCGACACTAAAGGCCCGTTCATGCGGTTTTACGGAGGATTTCCTCACTTGACAAGTGAAGATCTGTGGACCTCCCGTATGGAGTTTCAAAATAGGACCCGATAGTTCGAATTGACTAGGACCCCAGAAACGGAAAGGGAGCCGTAGATCCCTAAGACTGGCTTGTTCCCCACCGCTTATGTGGGAGTTTCATTGGCTTGGGACGACAACAATTTTACCGTTTTCGGGATAAATTCTATGGAGACACGATGGAATCGCAATGAATGGACTCGACGCAATGACCGACGGCTTTCTTCGACGCCGGTCGTTAGCTAGCAAAAGTCAAATATCAACTGGCCTCGGTACTCGAAGCCATGGGTCCATCGTAGTTACGATATAGTCGATCCAATCTTCTTTGATGTCCGTAAGTGCGGAATTGGCGCAGTTAATGTCTCGGAATTGTCGGTTCCTTATACATGGCCCCATGACAGGCTTCGCAGAAACGGACAAGACTCACATGTCATGCCATGCCCCGCCGAGCCTTGTGGGAACCCCCATGTTATGTCGAGCATTGGAGAATCTTGGTTCTCCTGCAGGGTATAGGAGTGCAGAGGGACAAGGGGAGGCCTGATGCTCATACCATACTCGATGAGAAAGCTTATTAGATGGCTCTTGGGCGTCTGGGAATGAGCCCATCCTCAATTGACCACTAGGAAAAATCTGGTACGCAGGGTTCACAAAGCCATCGTATGGCCAGGGGGACCGCTGAGCAGACAAGACAGGCCCGACTCAATGCATGTTGCATCGGCCCAATTAATTCTTATGCAGCAACGGAGCTTTAAAGCATGCATCGTTAAATCATGCAAAGTCCAGGTTCAACGTTGTTCCTGATTTTACAAGTGCAGTAAGCAAACCTGTCTCCGCCTCTATACAGAAGCGCGATTGGGTTTGTTACAGGCACGTCAGGGTCAAGCCACAGCGGCAAAGGCGCCATATCTCGTACCTTGACAGAGGTACAGACGACAGGACGAGAGGACGAACACTGTTCGAAATTGATGATACTACAAGTGCGCGGCCTGTCAGAATCGCCCCGCAATAGTGGACTGTTCCTGGCGGTTCCTGACCCTGCAACCGAACGTTTACAGCACTTTTGTCAATTATCCAGGGTCCGCTCATGTTAGTATCTGGCATACATTATGGCCATCAATGGATCACCAACAATCTTAACATCCAAATTCCTCACCCACTTGAACTTTAGAAGATACTTATGGAAATCACATTATCTGGTCGGCACTGCGAGTCTCGTTTCGAACACGTTTCTAGACGTCAGCCCCGATATGCCTCAATCAAATATACTTTTCTTGGAACACATCGCATTAGGTAGCACAGATCTGGCGTTTTGGGTGATTCGAAACCACTATGGTTAAGCGAGCCCTAATAAGTAGGCAGTAAGCACTGAATATCACACTCACTCACTAACAGAGAGTATAGGGGGAGCGGCCGCTGTGTAGGCCCAAAAAGGCCCTAGACTAGATGATGCACTAAGCGAGTCAAGTTAGCAGCCCTTGCTCGCTCCCCTTCGGCACTCTTCTCCATCAACGACGCCGGTCACAGTCCGCTTCAGAAGATACAACCGTTGCGCTCTCGGACTCTAACTACTATGTACCTACGTCCCGCAAGCATGGTTTTACGTCATTCATTTTGAGTACTTCCCTTCGTGTCGACTAATGTTGATCTTACTTTTCACAATTTCTGACTCAAAGGAACGGTGGCAGCAGACGTGGAAACTCAACGGTGTCCAGACAAATGCCAAGATCTACCCAACAAGGTATAACGTTAGAATGGTTCGCTTCGATCGGTTCAATACCACCATCTCCTAATCCTGGTTGGTCGGTTACAATTTACCGGCACCATTTTGTCGCTTCTCTGGATCGTTTCAGAAGACAGTCAAGCCAGACTCGCCAGACAGTCGGGAGCCCGGACCGGTATGAGGCTTTGATTTGTTGAAATGTCTTCTCAACAGGCTGGAGGGAGCTGTCCCTCGTCTGAACGAGCCGGTCGGGTACTTTTGAGGTCCCGGCGTTGTGGAGGCAACCAAGTATACTGTTTCTTCGTTTCTTCGATAACAGCTTTGCGATCCAACATGACTACCCATCAAGATGGAGTGCGAACGTGCACATGGAAGGAAAGTTTCCCTAGCCCCCAAAGACCATTTAGGTAAATAAGTCCTGCGTGGCCTATTAAGTTTTAAGTCAAGGTTGTGCCTGAGCAGCTGCACCCGTTGGCAGCACACAACTTATCGCTCGTTCCCTGACAATTTCTAGCTTCAATGATCTACGTTGATCGACATGCCATTACGGTACTGGGACAGTCCGCACGAACGCCGCATCGTTGACACATGCACAGCACATTCAAGGCGCGATATCCGTATAGCTGTGGCATTTCAGAAAACTTCACTGTTGGCCGACAACTTTTGCACAGACAAAGTTCAGTTGATCTTCTACCACTTCCGTCGTCGCCTGTCAAAGCTCGATGACCATTGCCATTCCTGCACATACTCACGAGGTTGCCTGGCGGACCGAGCACTCTCACTGACTAGTATCCGTCCTGTACGCACGGTCGCAGGTTAGACTACGCAGCAGTTAGTACATACACTTTGCTTGATTCGTGATATCTAGTCGTTCGGTTGCATTCTACCGGCTAAACTCAGAACTGCAAAGTCAATCGAGCTGTCACGAGCGGAAACTAACTCGGTTGCTCGGGCTGCACAGACGTAGCGACAGCTTGCATTGTTGTCATTCGAAGCTATATGGTAACTATTGAGCAACAGGGCTGAATCATCTCCCCAAAAGTACCAAGAATATTCGGCATTACCTGACACAGCGCAAGTTTGCCAAACATGTCCTGCCCACACGGATGTCAATACAGCTGATCGTAGGTGTAGCAAAGAGGTCCGCGCTGAATGTGCATGATATCAGCAATCGTGATCTCTTGCGGATCGGCGATACCGACACGGATCGTCGAGTCTATTGTGTAGTTACCGCCCTCCTTATTATGGTAGTCCTGGGGAAAGAGTGGACCGGATATGTCCTTCAGACGAGCGTCTAGGTCTCGTGTCTGCCAAGACCACCAGGCACGGTCGAGGTTGGAGTGATGTAGGAAGAAGATGGGGTCCATCGCTTTTCAGTAGGTTAGCATCATTCTTCACGGTTAGAATACTTTCGCCGGCTTACGAGATATCCACATGTCGCTCATCGTTGCATACTCTCCACCAATCGCCCAATGGCCGCCCGAATGGTACGAGTACTCCGTCTTGTTTCCATACAGTCCGAAGTTTGGAAATTCCATCGCATTGCGTACGACTCCGACATCCGTCGTATTCCAGAAGTATGCATATCCCAAATCCCGTGTGACGCAGTGTTTTCCACGTCGCTGGATGTTGTCGCGGGGCCCAAGTTGGGTAGCAAGCCCAGCAAACGGCCCATCTATGAGACAGCCTCCACCGGTACGGTTGGTGGTCAGTTTCGGTCGAACCAAGAACATTGACGGCGCGGGCGTCAGAAGGTTGGCCGGCACATATCTCCCGTTGCCGCCAAAGCCTCTTTCGGTGTCAAATATGGGAGAGTTGAAAAATGCGTCTTCGCTGTCTGTGTCGAGTGTCCAATCCCAGTACGGTTGCCCTCCATCAAAACCACATATCTGGAGTGCTTGCTCGAAGTGAAACAGTAACCATCGATGCCAAGGATAGAAAGCTCCCTGTGCAATCTTTAGCCATAACTCGTAATCCGAAGGCGAGGACATCTTACCACGAAATGCGCATTCCAAATATCCAAGGCATGTGTAGCCACAAAATCTTCATATCGATTACTCGCTGCTGGGATAACAGGAAACTCGGTTGCAGGCTTCTCGAGCATGCAAGTCAATGCGGCGATGTAGGAATCCTTCTGTTCATCGGAGAGTCGGCGCCTGTCGAGTAGACATCAGCATATACGAACCAGCTTCGGATGGAATGTGATATATACCATTCTGTGCGCACCAAAGGACGTTGGCACGAGTGATTAACTCCGGTGGTCTGTCGGTCGGCCATAATCGGGTAATAGACAGACAGCGCGGTCACAAAATCCTTCTGCAGCTGGCCAAACGAGCTCAGGATGAGCCAGCGGGCAATAACAGTCAATAATGGCGCATTGAATACTGATCCAAGAATCATGATGCAATTATTGATCAAGATCTGACGAATCAAAATATAACTCTTGAAAAGGTTCGCGTCTCGGAGGCCGCTTTTCTATGTATCGGTTGGCCGTGTGGCACCTTCGTGACTCCCTTCTCACGTTGCGTGGAAACCGTGACACCGCATATTCTAGCGGTGAGTTTAATCTACCGACTTCTCGTAGGTTGGAGAAGCGGACCGCGAACGTGATCTGACTAGCCGGAACTGCCTTCGATTGGGATATTGCATTGTGTTGTGAACATGACGTTACGATTCATTCTGCAAGAACCCGAGCCTGGGAAAGTGCTCCCATGGGCTTAGCACGATACATCACACAACCTGCACCTCTAGTTCCATAAGCCTGTAGAAGGTGATATCGTCCGATATCAAGTTCCCGGTCCGATGCCTCAATTGAGCAACCTGCCTTGTCCCATACACAGTCTTATTCGTAATGTTACGATAGGGGAGTATGACTCACACATTTCTCGGATTCCACCAAACGCGAAATGGTCGGTCGCCTGAATTTGATGCTACCGACACTGGACTGAAATAACCCGAATCGTTGGAACAGCGCCGAAGAAACAAATATGCTGTGTAAAGCTTCTTCGAAGATGACTAGTTCTCTCATCAAGCCGGCGGGTAGGGGGTAAGTGTGTTCATTTCAAACGGCTATTCACCGTCAGTTTAGCATGCTCTAGTGATCAGCGAGCTCGATTTCCACGCAAGGGGCCTTTACTAACCCCTTACTTTCCTATACAATTTATACGAGGCTTCGATATGCTAGGTATTCAGTTGTGCCATCGGTCGTAGTAGCAAGACATGCTGGCCTCGATTAGTTACAGTACACACATCATTCTTGCGACTTTCTGTCTCAAAGTCGACAATTTGGCTACTGCTAAATACAGCAGTCCAGAAACCGTGAGCATGCAGGATAGCGAATCACTCCCTTACTCTTTCCTATGGGCCCAAATCTACATGCCTACAAATAAATTGTTTGAAGAACTAGACGATCTATTTCTAGTGGCAATAACTCCATCGTCGTGTGTAATAGCCATGCTCACTTGAAGAAATCCTACCAAGAGGCTTAGTTTAAAGTAAACCGTTCGGGTAGATGAACTTGCAAAATTTGCAGAACTTATATAACTAATAGAGAAAGACCTATAACAATTGCTGGGCTAATTAAGACTGTCGCTCTGCGTAAAGCCGGCCAGGATGCAACAATACAATATTCATTATGGTTGAATAGGTCGCAAGTTTGACTTCCATTTCGTGTCACGTAAGGGTGCTGGATCTGAGCTCAAAACCCTTATTGCGACAATGCTATGGCTACACCGAGTGACGACTTATGGAGATCATAATGGCTTGTCGCAGTGTCGATGCCGAGTCTCGCCCTGGGTACCAGATCGTTATAGTCAAATCAAAGTCGAGATCTAAATTGGCAGTGCACGTAGAGTTCAGCACTGCCATGGTTTTGCTGCATCGTTGGCGCATCCCGACAATGCGATCAATACCCGAGCGCGTCAATCTTAGGAGTTTGACGCGCCTGCACGTCCTCGGATAAACCAAGTCCCATTATTGAGAAGTCAGAGCCCCTTTCCCCATACTTGCAATCGGTGGTCTTCCTCCCGACCTCCGCTTACTCATCGGCTATGCTGGCCCAAACGACTAAAGTAAAATCACGTTTTATTGGACAACACTAAGACCTGTGAGCTTGTTCCCTGAATAGACGCTCATCAAGTGCATGACAGATACGAATTTTACCAGGCTGATGGTGGCTACTCGAAAGTCCGCCTGCGGACAACGATTTTGCGGAATAAGAAGTTGCGGAGCGGAGAGCCGCTTGAGCAATGGGCCGACTGCGAAGCTCGCTCTCCAGTTGAATATCTTGAATGAGGTTCAAATGAGAAATAGAAGAGAGTTGAATAAGCTCTGTAATTGAAGCAGCAAATTTCAACGAGGGCGACAGCTCGAGGTGTCTACGGCCCCGTTTCTCCACCGAATTTGGTTGTCAGTGCGAGCCCGCTCCCGCGCTCGCAGGGGTAGCAAGACTCCGCACACCATCCAGCAAGTCTAACATGACACCGGAGGTCGGTATTATCATCGGTCCCGTCTTCAAGTAATACCGTGCCGACTGCAAAACGTATTTAAGCCTGGCGTCTTCTTCAATGTCCCTGGCGGAACAATGAGAAGTCGTCCTACAATTGCCCAGCATGGATTTCCGTAAACAATTCAAGATCATTATTGCCGGCGCCGGCGTTGCTGGCTTGACCCTTGCCAACATGCTTGAGAAATTCGACGTTGACTATGTCATACTAGAGTCACATGCTGAGATTGCACCGCCCGTTGGTGCCAGCATTGGTCTGTTCCCGAATGGACTTCGAATACTTGACCAGATAGGATGTTACGAATCAATCATGTCTTTGGCCCAGGAGAACGCGAAACTCAACTATGTCCGTGATGAGAATGGAAAGGTCCTTACTACCATGAACGACATGTCCGATCATCTCCTGAAACGGTAAGGAACGGAAAAGACCGAGGACAGAATTGACGCCGCTAAACTGGCACAGACACGGCTATCCCATGCTCTTCTTCGACCGACAATGGCTCCTACGGGTGCTTTATGATCAGCTGAAGTACAAGGACAGAGTTCTGACGAAGAAAAAGGTCTCTAATATCATGCCCACTACTGGAGGCGTCGAAGTCACTACTGTTGACGGAGACAAGATTCAAGGAAGTATCATTATTGGTGTTGATGGTATACACAGCACTGTAAGAGGCGAAATGTTCCGGCTTGGCCATGAGCTTCAACCAGGGTATTTCTCCTCTGACCAAGAGGACAAGGTTCCTGCCTACTACAAGTGCAGCTTTGGTATAGCTCAAGATGTGCCAGGATGGAAAGGAGGAGAGCAACATATTCTTACAGGCAAAGGCACGTCTCAGTTGGTTGTTTCAGGTCCTGAAAATCGAGTTTACTGGTTCTTGTTTGCGAAGCTGCCGATGACCAAGTATGGCAAGGATATACCGAGATACAACAAGGAGGATGAAGTCGAGTTTGTGAAGGAGCATATCAACCTTCCAATCACTGAAAACATTACTTTTGGTCATGTCTATGCTCATCGCCTATCCTCAACGCTGACACCGCTTCATGAGACTGTATATCAGAAGTGGTTCTTCAACCGCATCATGATCTTGGGAGATGCAGCACACAAGGTATGAAGCACACCCTTTGGACCCCCACAACTCAAGGCACGATGCTGACCATCCTATCTCAGCCTAATCCGATTGGTGGTCAAGGCGGCAACGGCGCCATCGAGTCTTGTGCGGAATTCATGAATGCACTGATTGCAAAGAAAAACACTCAAACAACCAGTCTTGCAGTCTTGACTGACAGAGAAATCACGGATATATTTTCCCAAACGCAAGCAGCCCGACATGACCGAGCGGAGGAAATTGTCAATGCTGCTCACAAGTCTCAAGCACTAAACGCATTCGAGTACCCGCTGCTTTCCAATCTCGTTTGGAAGTTAGCAGCGCCTCTCGCGGGTGATGAGTCCGTCTTCTGCAGATTAGCGGAGATCCTATTGAACTCGACTACAATCAAGCACCTACCACTTCCATATCGACCACGAGCTCTACCATTCAAGGATGAACTACCCGAGAAGCCAGTCGGTCGACGAACCTCGAAGTACGTCAAGGTAGCCTTTATCGTGTGCATGGGCCAATTGATATGGCTTGTTGGCAAAGCGTTCCGACTTCCTATCACCGATCTTGGCAGCTGGGCTGACAGCGGCCCAATGGGACGGCGCTGGACCGGCAGTCAAGAGCTGGATTGGATCATCGATATGTTTGTCTCAGTCTTTGCGTGCCCTCTGAATGGACGGAATCAGGCACCCAAGTTGCAATTAGTCTACTTCGTATCGCAGCTCATCTCCCCTCTGCTCATTTACACGATCGAGGGCTACCGCATTGGCAACCAAGGGACGCTGATTTCACTGCCTAGCCTCTTCACCGCAGGCATGCAAGTTCAAGGTATCGGCCGTATGGCCCCAATCCAAGCAGCTTTCAGCGCTCTGTCAAGCCACGAGCTACCCACTGGTCGCTTCGTCCGTCCTGAGGTAGCCATGGCATTGATACCCGCCCTGACTCTAGGCTATGTGATCCCGACCATCCTTGCCCTTGCTCCTGGTAACAATATTCAGAGCTGGCAGAACTGGATAGCGTTGTGGCAACTGGCGCCACCTATCTTCTCGACCTTGACTTGGGCTTTCTCCAAAGCACTTCGATGGCGGATTACCCGGGACCAATCCTCAAGCAGAGACGAAGCAGAAGAAACCCAAAAACTCGAATCCTTCGACCGCTACAAGACCACAGACGTGCCCATATTGCAGTTCGTGTACAAATATGCCTTCGCTCTACAGGCGACTGCGCATATCTCAATACTAGCATACGCATACTCTCACGATATCTCGCTTTTCAGAACGTTTTTTAATCTGCCGAACATCTTCAAACCCGAATGGAACCTTGTGGATCTCTCCTCGGAAATCAACACATTCTTCAAATTCGACCAGCTTTTCGCCACGACCGCAATCCTCGCGAGCAATCTGTATTCCGTGTGGGACCTGAGGCGCCTGGGATACATCAGAACGCGGGAAGCCTTCAACGCCGCAGTGGGTGTTTTTGGCGGCCAGGCACTCGTCGGATCCGGTGCCACCTGGGCAGCGCTGTGGTACTGGAGAGAACAGGTGCTGTCTAACCTTGGACAGTAGAGCAATCTGTGTCTCAGTCTTTTTTATGTACAAGAATAACAATTCCATTTAGAATCACGAGAGGTGGAGGTTTCGAAACAAAATATCGTATCATTATAACTTTTCTGTAGATTCCTCATGTTACCCTGAGGCTGTTACTTCGGCACAATGGATCAATCAGCAACAATTATTCCTTGATAGAAATGGGTTATGAGCCATAAGACCTGCCCCAGGAGTTTTGATCCTAGAATAGGCTGGTATAACGTGGAAAATAACGTAGTGTTTTTGCCGAAAGCGGTAATAAATATCCTTTACATACAATGGCCAATACTGTTAAATTCGGCTTCGCAGAAATACAGAAAGAATGAGATCATCTTGAACTTACCTAAGACTTTCGGCCTAGCTATCATACTCTACATCCAGTAACTACACCTACTTTATGATTTGGCGTCGGACTTATGATTGGCGTTGTTCGAAGCGTACTTGGATCCTTGACCTTGAGCTCAACCCAACACATATGGACCACAGTAATCACGTCCTTTTAAGTGGATCGCAACACGACGACGTCCGCAGTCCATATACCCATGTGGTCTGCCCGGTACTTTTGTAGAAAACACGACCCGATCCATGCTGTCCACCCCCACCGACTTCAGGGCTGCATATATAGTAAGGCGTCCGATGACGGCATCTGGCGGGAGAACGTGCGCGGCCTTGTGGGATGATGGATCTAGTGGACATAGTTGTAGCCTAATATCGGGTTTTTATTTTTATTTCTTCTTGTATGAGTACAATGAGTATGCCCCGGTGGAGAATTTGTGGACCGCTGATGGTGACGATGGATGGGTAGGATGGGGGTGCTTGCTTGTAAACTGGGGACCACCATCACCACTTCAAATATGGCAGGGCAAATGAGAAAGCACCGTATGAAGGAGAGAGGTAGAGGGAGAGGGATGCCGCGCCCCCAGACTCCACGACCAGTCCCCCGATTGCTGCACCGAGCTGACTCGGCCGGGTCGGAGGCATACGTACGCAGCTTTCTTGGCCGAGTCGACTGACCGCCTTGTGGGTATGGTAACATAAGAAATATCCCGTGGAGGTACTTTTGGTCTCGACTCGACTTTGAAAAGATCGTCGGCACCCGGTGTATGGACGTGTGCCTACTCGAACATGAACTGGACTGATGCTTGGCGATGGAGTCCACGTATGTACGTCTCTGTCTGATGTACTCTATCATAGAGCTGGCTTAGAAATTCTGACCTCGAGAGTCTGTGGGACGGCATTCATTTGATGAGCTAGTGTATCTATGTCATACCATGACCACCTGATATGCCGTTCAAAGCTCGGACTCTGGGGAAGGTGATCTAGCCATATTGTCGATGAGATCTCGAGAGGCATAATGCCCCTAAAGCTCCTAGTCGAAATGAGAGTAACTAGACTTGTTAAGCTTATGCTTCCCATCTTAAGTATATGACGGTTCAGTTCACTAGTCGTGGTCCCTTCATAAGATGGTAGTACACTCTGATTGTTTGAGTTCAGGCAGTTCGAGCCCGAGCGTTCGACCGGAGCCAATGGAGTTCGGTCATGATATTGCACGTTCATGCACGGGCACGGCAAGGTGTCTTCTGAGCATGTATATCAAAGACACTATGGGAGTTCATCTGAACACGACTGAGTATCCACAGCAGATACTGGCATAACCCGAGAAATAAGCTATAGTGTCTTAATGGTACACTAGTTATTTTACACCACGAAGACGAAGAGCCACGTGAGTGTCCGCGTCTCTTTCTCGGTAGCCCACCCGAGCAGAAAACTCCTTAGTGTTGAGCGCGATATAAAAGACTAACAGACTGACCAGCAAAAACGGGCGACGACGACAGTGGGTCTTTCTAACGTGTAGCCGCATGCCGTCATCTGAAGATCAGGCAGGGGTTGGCAGCCTCCAGGTCTGGGCAAAAAGAGACATTGGGAGATTCGTGAACCGTGCTGTTTCAAGGTTTGAGGCTTGGGAGCAAGAGACGCGCGTCCCGCGAAAAGGATTAATAAAGACACGCGCAGCCAAGAAGTGGAGCCTACCCCCAGACCCTTGCTCTCAAGGTTTGTACATAGTATTGGTTTCCCGCGGATGGCCGTGTGTCGTTCGATAGCGCGGCAGGCATGACTTCTTCCGACAGATATGGCTCGGCGATTGTTTTGCTGTTTTGTACCTAGAATGCGACGCCTTTTGTCGCCTGCGAGATGCGAGTATAGTACGCGTTTGTCATGAATCTGGCCTTGGCATCATGCTGCCGGCGACGATTCCTCCACATTTGTTAGAGCTACGGTCCGGTAGATGGCCATGCTGGCTACGATCGACGTTCTAATAAATGTTCGGACGACTCTGCAACGCGTGCTACTTTGTGCTTGGTGTCCATCGTGGCTGTGCGGCTGACAGGGAAATTTGTATTCACAAGACGAGGCCATCCCTGTCCAGTTGCCAATATAGAGAGTACTGTATTGTTTCCGGGACATGATTTAGCTTGTCATAGACAAGAACATCGTGGAGAAGCATATGTTCTCTACAGAGACTTCGGTTTATGCCGAACTTGCCTTTGATCCGAATACAGATGGTTCGCAGATGAAAGTTCTAGCGAGGTTCGCTTCATGCCGTTATGGAGAGTGAACCGAACGTGATATAGATAAACGCCAGGATGAACAGCGTCGCACTCGAATGGTTACATGGCTCTACTTCATAGCCCAATATTGATACTCCTTGCGCCATGAACAAACGGGATACCTTGTGGTCATGCCTACCGGTAGCCGTTACCGCTGTCCTCAGGTAAAGGATGTCTTCATGTCATGTGTTGCTTCAATACCCCCCCGGCGCAACACGACAGAAAGACGTTGGCTGTGGTGCGACGCATGTAATCAAAGATTGCGTCGAAGTTATCATGAAGTCACTAGAGAGGTATTCTGGCCTCATGCTGCGCATTCTGCATATTGATGATATAGTTTGGTGATTGCCAAGGGCTTGATATTGCAAGAACATGTCTCCGATTGGCCGTCCAATCGTACGGAGAGTTCTCCTGTGGTCTAGCACGACTGTAGTCATCTTGTGTCAGCAAGAATCACAGGGTACGCAGGTCCCGGCGACGAATGTCTGCTTTGTACATGGATTGCTTTAGCCAAAAGCTTTGACTGATTGGCCAGGAACTACAGATGCACATTTAAAGGGACGCGCAAGCGTTTTGGGGTTCAAACACAAAAATAGTCAGCCACGCCACGTGATCGACATCCTTTGCGACATCCGGTGTCGACTAGGCACTGAATGCCGACGATTGGCTATCAGTTTAATTGAGGACAAGGTGAAATAAGTATTTATTTATGATCGTTATTGATAAAAGTCATCTGAATGCCCCCAAAAAAAGTTGAGTGTAGTACGGCATTGATTGAACAATAATACCATTACTTTGGGCGGATACTAGAGCTTACGTTTGCAAGCTTAAGAGTGTCGTCTCTGCCTGTTTAAAAGACCGCTGCACTATGAGAGCATGGCAAGATATCGTGCAACGTTATGGAGGCCACGAAAAATCTTCTAGCTAGAGGTATAATGTAAGGCTGCTGTACACGATGGGTGCAAATGTACATAATCACGAAAATAAATAAAACAATGTCGCCGCTGAGAGATTAGGATTTACATTGTAGCATTCGTGTTTCCATTTGCCGCGTCATGGGCCGTAAGAGAACACTCAGAGTGGATGAGACAGGACGATTAAGCTTATCTTTCAAACCAGATGTAGACACACAGACGTGAGACAAAGGACCGTGATGCTCGAAGATCAATAGACGACAAGCTTTTTGAAAACCCCATCTGAAAAGCTGCAGGGAGTCGGTTCGCTGAGATTCCGGATGGGAGCGGGCAGGGATGGGAGCTTCCTTGTGGTTCATGTTTCCAGCGACAAGCACCGTCCGGTAGGCGGGTCAAAACGCAGTTTAGGACCGTCGCTTTGTGGGCAGCTCTTGTGTGCCTGTTAGTGATGCCGACCCACCTAAACCATTTGGGACGAAGTTGACGCCTGCAGAGATGGAGTTGTATACGAGAGAGAGAAATTGCGCACATGAAGACCGTACTTGGACCTCGGGGGATTTTACCGTCCCCATGGTTTAGCTAAGTTAGCGGTAGGATACTATTAGCAGCCTCATGAGGGGCCCTGATGGAGTCTCCATTTTACCAGTACCAGCACCTAACCATAAATGAAGCAAGCCCTGGGACCGGGGATTTTACATAGTATTGACGGCGACTGAACAACTGGCCAAGACATCCGGGGCGCGCGAGCTTTGAGCAATCGATGGCAACTTGTGGAGAGGGAAAAGGCCAAGGCGTCTCTGAGTACCTGTAAATACACTAGCCGCAGAAATATTGACAAAAGGAACGATTGCGATTGGCCAAGTGTGTAATTCTGACAAGACTTTGACTTGCAGCCGCGTGGACGAAATGACGAGCAGCAAAAACGGATAGGCAGAGGAATGGCATGACGAGTTCAAAGCGAGTCTCAAAATGGAGGATGGATGGGGGGCCTCAGCTGGAAAATGCTCCGCAACAGTGGAGCGGACCACTCAATTCGTCAAACTCTGACGGAGCAGCCTCATGCCAAGGCCGCGCTTCTAACCGTAACGAAGCTGCAGCGAAGGTGTTTCTAAGCCCGGACAGGCAACTCTCAGCCACTGTCACCAGTCGATCCAAGGCCGCGCCTCGTCATCGCCTCTCCCTGCAGCATCCAAACCCCCGAATTTACGTTTCGTCTACAGGGTACCAAGTACACCTGCATGTCACAATGGCTGCTGCGCTTGAGGCTGTACTTTTTTTGTTTTGTTCTGTTTCCCACCCTTCCCTTTCATTTCATTTCACTGCCGAACGGAGAGGCACGCTTACTGTAGAAGGCATGTCAAACGGCAGCACCTGAAAAAGGACACCACGATCCTGTGCTGCGTAATTACTGGGTTGGGTGCCGTATTCGTGGCAGACGAGTCAAAGAGCTCGTCGTCGGAGATATTGGACCATGGCGCCAAGAACCTTACGACGAGTCTGGGTCAGATTGGCAAAGAGCAGTCGTCAACTGGACTGCAAACCCTCCAGTGCTTGCGCACACCAGTTGGCATGAGGCACATGTGGGCAGGGAGAGACAGATCATCCGTCTGAAATGTCAGAGAACAGAGGGCTCACTGGACCACTTGTACGGATCCGTTGAAGAGAGGAGCGCCAAGTGAGAGGGGACTCCGGCCCACATGCTTCCCATCCCCGTTATCTCAAGACTAAATTGGTACTGGCCTCAGGCACATCCCGACATTCGTGTTATGTGATTGGCCAGCCCGCTGAAGAGACGCGCGTTCCCTTGAAAATCGAGGGCCACCCTAGAACCGTCTGGGGCACTTCTCCTGCGGGACTGCCTGTGCTCGTTATTGCACGTAATGACCTTGCGTCTCAAGTACCCGCGCTCCGGACAGTGTGTCCGTACGTACACTTCCATCTCAGATTCAGATTCATGTGTCTGCCTGTCGCCTGCATGCTGCACGCTGCGTACTCCTTTTCCAACGCTAAGTGCGACTAGGTTACCAATTGCCTGTCCAGGACCCAGCATAGGACCCAGGCCCCAGTTAGTCCCCGTCTCCCAAGCCGGATGGCCTACGCAACCTCGCCCTCCACTGGTGTCCACAGACTCTACTTCCCTCTAATAACCATTTTCCCTCCTTGAAACCCAGTGGCAGGCCCCCCATTTCCCGTGCTTCCCATCGACTGCTACTGTACGTAACGGTCCCCTGCCCCCCCCGTCGACACCGTCGTGGCCTACAGACGAAACCTCTTCCTCTTCACTCCATACAACCCTCTCCCCCCCGACAGCAGATATCGTCGACCATTCCGTCGCTCGTTCTCTCTCCTCCAGCGTGTGTTTTGCGACCGACAGCGGCCTTTGCGGAGGACTAGGACGATCGACGTTACTACGACTTTCTTAGGGATCTACGACATCAGGAGGCGAATACGACGAATGCAACCGTTGGAGACATAACGACGACGGGCTAGGCCACAAGAGCCTGTTCCCCGATTACCGTGCAGCCATTTCATTTATCAGATAGATTGATCTCTACACCACCACGCTCCAACTGCCCGTTGATCTTTCCATCGCTGGCCACCATCCAGCATCCCACGATTGACAGTGATTTTCGGTCCGGCCCTCAATCATTCGTTTCGATTGGTGCCACCTGGAACCCACGTCTTGCACGACTCATTCTCAACCGTCTTTACAGAACCCTATTCCCGAACCTTCTCTCCACTACAGTAATTAGAAATACACAATGGACGGCCAAAGCAATCGACCTGGCGGAAGCCAAGGTGACTATGGCGACGACTGGGCCAAAGGACTCACTACTCAGTTTGAGCAACTCATGAGCTCTCGGAGGAGGCACGATATCCGACAGCAACGAGCAGACAGGTTGCGGGCCGGGTCGCCAGCACTTCGAGATAGCTCGTCGCACTCTAACCTCAGAGCGCCGTATACTCCGGACCATAGTAGACCGACAACTTCGCACAGCCAATCGCACACGCAACCACCTGTGCCGCCCATGCCACCATCCTACTCGTCCTTACGCCACTTGCCCTTGATTCCGACTGCTCCAGCCGCCCACGACCGTGAGTCGCAGAAGTTTCGCAATCTCATGGTGGCATTATCCGCGACCCCAACCAAATATGAGAACCCGGGACTGCTCGACGAAGCATTGCAAGTGATCCCACTTGACAGAATATATAGCGAAGCCGAAGAGGAGAGCCAAGTATTACAAGCCCAAGCCGAAAGCATGGGCGACGGCCGTAAGCCGGAATGGGGTCATCAGGACTGCGTCATTCGGGCACTGCTGAGATGGTTCAAGCGAACATTCTTCACCTGGGTGAACAACCCTGCCTGCCCAGTGTGTCTTGCTCCTACGATAGCGAGAGGCAATACGCAGCCGACCCCGGAGGAGAGTGCACGCGGTGCCATGCGCGTCGAGCTCTATGAGTGCTCGAACCAGGCTTGTAGGGCCTTTGAGCGATTCCCCAGATACAGCGACGTATGGCAATTGTTACAAACCAGAAGAGGCCGCTGCGGAGAGTGGGCCAACGCCTTTAGCATGCTATGTCGGGCAGTTGGCGGCAGAGTGCGATGGGTGTGGAATGCGGAAGACCACTTGTGGACCGAGGTGTACTCGGATCACCACAAGCGATGGGTCCACGTCGACGCCTGCGAAGAGGCATGGGATAACCCCCGTCTCTATACTGAGGGATGGGGCAAGCAGATGTCTTACTGCATTGCATTCAGCATCGAGGGTGCCACTGATGTCACCCGCCGATATGTGCGGAAGAGCGAGCACGCTGCCGAGCGCAAGAAGTGTCCTGAAGAGGTCATGCTATACATCATGCAGGAGATCAAGCAGCTGCGACGGGCGAACCTGAGTAAGGAGCAGCGTTTCGCGCTCGAGAAGGATGACGCAAGGGAAGACCGAGAGCTTCGTAGCTACGTGCTAGCCTCGATTACCCAAGCTGTAACCAACATGGTTCCTGGACCATTCCCAGCCTCACAACAAGCTGCCGCGCCGGCCCCACCTACTCGACCACCACCGATGCCACAGTCCTCGAGCGATGACCAGAAGCTACCTGTCGAGCAACCCGGGCGACAAAGTGGCAACGCTGAATGGGTTGCCGCACGAGGAGAGAACGGGAGGAGAAACCCGCACTTCCAGGATCCTCAAGATCCTTCACGGCGCGGTTTCTAAGCGAAAGCAACATCTTGGCCATACACCAAATATCAAATTTGATTTGTGTCTAATTTACCACACTAAATACCCCATCGACATTCGACAAAGCTCGAACCATTTTTCAACATGTATCAACTATAACCACACCTTTGGACCCGACGCATTTTTCTATGTCAATTCTTTATACATCTTCATCCGATCACCAACAACCATTTTGGAAAACGGCGCATGACAGTCCTCTGGATAGAGGCAGCATTTTTTCTATATACTTTTTACTTATCAATTTTCTGGGTGGTAAACGGGCGACGAGAAAGGTGGGATCTCATCATAAACAAGCCCCGGCGTTCCGGTAAACTGATGCATGAGGAATGGAGCAAGACGGATGACGGCCTATGCGATGATGGGAACAAGCGAGTTGCGTACTGCATCAGGATAGATGCTGTCCCATTGCGCGTGTGATATATACCAGGGGTTTGCGGAGGACGGGCCAGCCATCGGTTTTAGCACGATGTGACCCTGGATGACATTTGTCATTTCGGGGAAATCATCACGAGCACTTTAGCTTCTAGACGACAGAGCCAATATTATAGAGGAAGACATTTTAACTGTTCAATATTTCACCCCCCCCCTGTTCGCTTTGCTTATCGTGACTTTGCATTATCCCATCAATCATATCTCGTTCCGCATCATCATGGCAATCAAGACGCAGCACAGGTCTAAGCCACAAGTAGTTGCCTGGTCCCAAAGCCTCGGTCGGTTTCAACACTTACCAGCCCAAGCGCCGGCTACTGGAAAGCCCAGCAAGTCGGGGAATTGTCCTTTGAGGCATTGCTCGCAGGTTGGCGCCAGGAGATTTACCCCGGATTCGAGAACGCAGTACAGGCTCCCTTGACTCGCGCTGACTTCTCGCAAGTGTTCCAGCCATTCTAGCTTGCTTGGCAGAGGGCGAGTTACGGACTAACCTGATCAGTTCCGGCAAATGTAATTAGCTTGGAAGAGTTGAAAAAGATACGTACAGCAGTCTTAGTCCTTGCCGTAAGGAGCTCGGGGACTTGCCGAAGAGAAATAGTCAATTGATACTGCGAATTGTAGCTCTATTCACATCATAAGCGGTTGTGCAGAAATGATTTGGAAGGCATCTCGAGCCTGTAGGCGCTTTGCACCGGCTGTCCACTACACTTGCGGTGAGCAGAACAGTGAGGACCAACTGCCGCCCCAGCGCCAATGACCGATGCATGTATTTGAGATCACCTCACAACCTACGGAGGCATCTTTGACAGCCCGCATGGTGCTGTAAAGCTCTATCCTGCCGTCTCACGGGCGACAGTCTTGGACTGCAGCTTGAATTTTGAACGTTGACACGGCAGGTCTTAAGACGACAGTCGAAAATCTATTTGTGTGTCATTGCCTTGAGCGGAAGGTCATTTGTCTTTCTGCAATCGATCTCAAGGAGCGGTTGTATTGGATGACCTCTTGATTTACCTCTTGTAAGCTGAGTTCTTCGTCTTTGCAGGTTTCGAGTATACAATGCATTGTTATTATCCACGTTACGTAAGGATATTTTGCACTATTTCGTCTTGGCTTTTTTTTTTTGAAGCTGACCGGCGGACCACTGTTGCCTATTTCAGGCGATTACCCAAGTACTAGATTCACATCAACCCACCACACACTCCCACCACACACTTCCAACACCCATCGCAATGGCGGCCACCCAATACCCTTTCGACACTGTGGATGATGCGGCGGCAGTCGCAAATATTCAGAACCTCATGCCAGTAAAGACCAATAGTGTTCTTGATCCAAAGTTCTGCCAGGAACAAATCCGCCAAGATGCAGAAGAAACCCATATCATCGTGCATCACAAATTCCCTCAGCTGGTGAATCAGTTCCTACAGCACAAGCGGGATCGTGGCACCGAAATCGAAAAGAGGCTGTACGGAACTCCAGAAACCTGGACCTACGAGCACCAGGTCCGCCGCTTGATCGAGAAGCGAGCACTGGTTTTCGTGGGCTCCAACGATGGCACAATGCTCCGAGACGGCACCCAGGTCGGGTCGCTTGCCAAGGAATGGGACAGGGTCGGCACTGATGCCGAGGCCACCAGCAAGTATCTGAAGCTAGAGGATTACCTCAGCTACGACGAGATGATGCTCGGGTCGCTGATTGGGGTGAGCGGCACCAGCTATTTCATCAACGATGGCTCACGCTTCAACGCGGCTAGACCGGGGAAGCCGTCCACTTTCGAGACCCGCGGCTTGATCGTCGGTCTCGTCGGTGCCCGGTATGAGCGGAATGACCGCATGGACAGTGTCTTTTGTCAGCCGCCGGCCCCCAGACCCAGGCAGCACGGAGAGTTGACCAACATCTTCGCGGACTTCTTCGGGAAGACGAGGCGGCCTGAGAGATACTTCAACCTGAGCATGTACAAGGCGCGCATTCGAATCGCGATCGATCTCCTGCTGCTCGAGGCCAACGACGCGGCAAAGGCTGTGGGAAAACAAGCATACGTCCACGTCGTGGGTTTGGGGCTCGGGGTCTGGCAGGTGGACGTGCACCAGGAGGAGGCTTACGTTGAGGGCTTTATGGACGCGCTGGATGAGTATGGAGACGTCCTCTCGCACATCGATACGCTCAACTTCAGCTACATCGACGTCCCCCGGGACACGGCGGCGCAGATGAAGGCCACGGGCGCGACCCACGACATAGATGTCTTGTTCACAAGGCGCAACCCCGCCGCGAAGCTACCCCCCTGCAAGGAGGAGGTATTGCTGGTTGTCTCGTATGCCTGGGATAGCAACAGCTTTCCGGGGAACGAGTATTGGGGCGGCAGCCTGACCGCGAGCGGAGACCCGGCGGCGGCTGCCTTCTCTACGATTTCGGAGTTGCACAACCCGGTTTTGAATCCGCAGTTTCTGCATCATATCAAGGTGCTCAGCCCGGTAGGCTTGCCAGCGTGATCTTATCATGAAGACTAGTTTTCAAGGCTGTTGTCCGGTACTGACAGCGGAGGCGGACGTGTGAACTGCTTGGAAGTCATGAGTTGCTTCCTTTTACGTACAATGGTTTTTGCAAAGTAGTTGATAATCTGTTGTGTTAAACTATGTCTTCTCATCTTTCTTGCGCCTCTTCGTGGCCTTAACTTGTTTGATCTGACTGCGCGACGGCATATGATGTTTGAGCCGTGCTTCTCGAAACAGTTTCGGACATGACGGCCAAGAGCCAGGCTGCAGCGGAATGACGCCCCACTATCTTGATACCTGTTATGACACGGACAGACAGATTGTCCTGACCAAATAGAAAATTGAAAAAAAAAAAAAAAACCTGTACAATGATTCGGCGGGCCACGCGATATCAGCCATGTAAGAATAGTAGAAGTAGGTCGAGGTGCACAGTTCCAGTATGTCTCAAGGTTATTGTATTCCATTCTAAGCGTGTTCTAAGTTGAAAGGGTATAGCACGAAAACTCTAGAATAGCTACAGAAAGTATCTAAATTACATCCATTCTTTCTTTTCAGGCTCAACCATTGTGAAGCGTCTTGTACAAACGCGTGTTGGAACCTGGCCCGGTCACCGCCGTTTGGTTAGCACCTCGGCCGCTTCATAGCGCCTCGCTTCAGTCGAGATAGCTTTGTTGCGGCTGGAGCACCGTATGCGGCTCCGCCCTCTGCGCTCTCGAGTTCGAGGGTATGTCATAGGTATACTCAAGGTCGTGGCATCGTATTCTTTTCAGCATAACCCCTCTCTTCACTGTTCTTCGGAGACGGAGCTGTACGGCAGCTCCGCCCCCTTGTGGGCCCGTACGCCAACAGTTCAGCGGAAAGAGTATGTCCTTTGCCCTCGCAGATCTGACGAGTATGCACCAGACCAGAGGGCCTAGCACCCACAGAGGGCAGACCACGGCCGACAAGGTCCGGGCTTTACCTGGATCGAAGATAGGAACCTAGAAATCCTTAGCATTTTTTTTATTTTATAAAGATGGAGCGTTTGGTTTTCTTACCTGGAGGCCTTGTTGCGTCATCATGAAGCCACCGTGGACTCTGGGAAGTGGCTTGCCGACAATCGTGAGCCGATTTGAGTCCCAGAAGCACGAGGGTGAAGGGGCAAGAAGCCCCCACTCGTCCGCTTCCCAGCCTCCGGGCACGGCGAAGGTCTGGAGAGGTTGATCCTTGGGCAGCTTCCAAGCAAACAAGGACTCGTCGGTCTGGGTCGACAGCAGAAGCTGCTGCAGCCGCATGAAGGCCCCCATTCCCTCGCCGTACTGCGGCGTCAGGACGACGTTGAAGATGCCAAGCATGCTGTAGGCGAGGTCCTCTACCCGCGCAGTCTCGCGGGATGCCAGCCAGCTCATCTTGCTGGCAATGCATGCGGTGCCGAAGTGCTTCTCGCCCGTAAGATAGCTCACGTCGATCCGGGTGATGCGCGCCAGTAGATCTGCCAACTCGAATTTCGTGCCCATGTACCGCCAGTCCATGTCAAAGAACTGCATTGCCCTGGGCGCGAGGAGTTCTTGCAGCGTCCAGCCACGACTAAACCAGACTGACGGGCCACGCCCCTCGGTAGTCAAAAACACATCATCTCTGGGGCCGTTGGCAGAGTACCGCACGTCGCTGAGATACGTGATGCAAAGCTTCGCGTCCCGGTACCACCTGAACATGGAGTTGATAGCCTCGGACTCCTCAACAGTGCTGGCCTTGTTGATGCAGCACGAGTCGATCCACATCCATTTCAGGCCCTGCTCACGCGCCCTGTCGCAGGCACCGCGGATCTTAGCGAGCTGTGCCGTGGGTTGTACAGCTTTGCCCCGGAGTTGGGACGCGGAATTCTGGATTTGCTCAAAGGTGATCTCCCGCCCTACCCAGCGATGGGACAGAATCGCGTAGCCTTCCTGCTTGAAGGTCGACTGCTCCCCCGAGACCATCTCAAAGGTCTCTGTGTCGAGGAGTCGCATCACCATCTTGCCGGATCGTGATTTTTCCTCCTAGGAACCGGACGAGAAAAAGACATTCTACATGCCGCAGAAGCTTGCATTGTTTTGATCTCAGGCGTCAGCGCGACAAAACGTGTGGACAGGGGGCCATCAGAGGGAAAAGCTGTTAGTGCTTCTAAAATTAGCAAGCCAGAGCTGACTGACATTGCAATGCGCATTAACTAGTCCAGAAGCGTAGTAGGATTCGACCCCCTGCGCTTCGCATGGAGGGCAGAGCGCAAGAGCTCTGTATTGCATCAATGTAATTCAAGTTGATATAGATTTTGATCTGCCTCACCTTCTTCACCGCATTCACGAAACGTTGTTGTGGGCAATAAGGCGTCAAACAGAGTTATGATGCATCGTATTTAATCGCCACTAAAACAGGGTTAAATTAAAATGGAGGCAGCGGCCGCTCCAAAGCGCCGGGGTTTGGGTCCGTGGATCTTTCGACCCCTGCCGTGCCGCAGTGGATATATCTCGATTCTTGAACACGGTCGTCAGTCACGAAGCTTCCTGTTCCTGCGCACTGAAACTGTTGTCAACACAATTAAAGCGTGGGTCAGTAAGCTTGAACCATGTCAACACGGTCCCGCGAGCCGTCCCGGTTGACCCCATCCGATAATCATGTGATCACGTTTCGTCCCGTTCCCGCCGATGCCGCAAGCTTGTTTTGCGCCAATGGCAATCCCGGATGGCCGTACATTCGAGCAACGAGACTCGGGTGGAACCATAAATTTCCAACGCGGAGGTGCCATATCATGTTGGAGGTGGGTGGGTCTGTGCGCTACACATATTTGCCCGCCACATAGGCCAGGATTTTTCGCTTGAACAGTATGCTACATAGAATTTCCCTTCTAATCCTCCTCAGTGTCTCCGTTGTTTCGGCTACGCCAGTGTAAACCTTGTCGCAACGAAAATCTTACACGTCACGTATAACAGCGACGCCCTTCACAAAGCTTCACGAAGTTTCACGGTACGATCCTTATAACCCGGGGGACTGTCAGTGACGAGCCTCATATTCGGAGCTACGACACAAAACTTCCATTTACACGCATCTCCCCTCCTGAACGATTAAAAAATGATGTCCTGAATGTTCAAATTTCTTCGCAACTCATTTTTGGCAATCTTGGCTGAACTTCTTAATGGATGTCTCACGTCTCCACCTGTTGCCTCAGGTACACACCCAGGGCAACGACTTTAAGTAGCCTTCAGTGGAACAGAGGATATCTGTTCCACACAGTTACATCACACTCCATATCAATAGACTACTATTGATTAGCATACGTGATGTGTCTATCACTTCTTCTCTTGAAAGGGCTACTAAGTACTCAAATTCTTACGTTGCGGCGAACCAACCGGGGCCGGTAACTACGGTGGCCAATGCCTACAGTTATTGCAACTGCAACGCTTGCCGCTAATTCTCGCAAATCCATGACAACATCAGTGATCCCAACGGCCCGACCCTTGATTCAGACTATAGTTGCCACTTTACTAGTTTTTATGGATAGCACAGTTACTACGTCGACCAAGATCAGATGTGAAGAGAAAGGTTTTAGCATTGTTCGCGAGGCTTGTGCCTTCAAAGGCACATGCTCCAACTGATGGCTTTTTGTATGATCTGTTTCTTACTGCGATCAGATCTTGTATATGGTGAAGTCTAGGGACCATAATGCGATGTTCACGATAGTATAAATAGGCTAGAATTGACTGATAACGAAACGACTATCCTGATACAACAGTGTACAAATCTCCCAGCACCCTCATATCAAACACACTACTACCCTTGTGGCAGACTTGTCTCGACTGAATCTACCTCAGGCAGTAATCGGGGTCCGTGGAGGCAGTCCCACCGCATCCATTGATGCAGAACTCGACATACTTGATGTCGCCATCGGAAAGGCAGTCAAACAGGCTGTTTTGGATGTGCTTGTCATCTGCATCGACCTTGACCGTGTTTAGCGTGTCGACGATGTGATCCTGGTAGTTTCCTAGATTGATTCGCATGTTAGTCAAACTGACGCAGGCGTCGAACATCCCGAGCAAAGTGAGTTTCCCACCTTTACGGAGTAGCGAGGAGCCGCAGTAGACGCCGCCGCGGTTGCAACTGTCGGCGACGACCGAGGTGGTCATGGCGAAGAGGACAGCGAGGATCGAGGTGGTGGCCTTCATGTTGTACATTTTGTCAGGTATGGAAGTGGCAAAAATGGCTTTGTGTATTAAATTGGGAGTTCTGTTTGTTTGATGGCTATGGTGTTGTGAAGATGGTTGTGTGGATTGATTGTCAACATCTCAAACTTCAACAGCACAATGACATTTTATATTTCATTCTCCTTTGAACGATATTCCAAAGTGATACGCGACGCCATACTTAACTATGACGTCGTACCTATGATAGTCTGGTCATGTCATTTCTCGTTCATGTTTCTATTTAGGTGAGGGCGTACTTGGGCTATGCCTACGAGTATGACGTACTTGAAATTCATTCATATGTTATTCTTCCTACCTAGCGCACATCTGATTCCTAGGCCTAGGACATAGCTCTACGTAGTGCAAGACCACAATCAGCCTTGGTAAGCCGAGCTGATTGTTATGCTCAAACAAAAATAAACGGATCGGCGTCGAGGCTGCACAGTATATGGGTTCTTGGCATGACACCGATCGACAAGGCGACTTAGTAAGGCTGTCTGTCAGAGGGCTGAACATACTCTAGCGCCTGGAGGATTCTGTTTCACTTGCATGCATATGCGTATCATCTCAATCCATGCCAAGCACTCCGATTCGTCGCCCGTCGAGATCCACATAAAAGGCATTGTGTCGTACCATTTGATCCTTCCTCGGACATGATTACCCCGTTAGAGGAATATTGTGACGTTACTAATGCAGAGGTGGAAGGGGGAATGCTTTGGCTTCTCGGGTCACGAGCTTGATTGCCTGAACCTGGCAATGACAGGATCCATCATGACCGAGGTAGGATACTATTATAGTGAAAAGCGAATCCATCAGCAGCTCAAGTTGTCAACATCGCCAGCCCCCAATACCTATGCATGTAGATCCTGGCGAAGAAGTGATGTCACAAGTCCTTGATATGGTTAGCCGTAATAGTGCAAAAATTAATCACGCTTCAATCGTACGTTGCAATTAGATCGGTTCGCCTGGAGGGACTTCCGATTTTCAATAGAGTCTGAAAAAAAAAAAAAAAAGCGGCTTCAAAATCTAGGAGTTTGAGTGTTATTGCTCCAGTAACTGGAACTTGAACATGGAACAAATTGCAATATCATGAGTTTAGCTATTGATACAGTGCTGAATATATCTGGCGTGGCGCGAGGGCCGTAGCTTCAACCACCAATCTCTTCCATCTTGGCCTCAGCCTCTCTAGCGAGCGTCTGTAGATGTTCATCGAGACCTGCCTGGCCAGCCAGTTCTCCGAACCTTCGTTTCCAAAAGTCCCATCTCTCGGGGCTGAAGCCCACTCCACCATTCCACAACCATTCGCTACCAGGTCTCTTGACCCCAAGTGTGGCGTTGCGTGCGATCCGGTCTTGACAAAGTTTATGGAGGGTTTTCCCAGCAAGTTTGATCCAGATAACAGCTGGTGGAATAAACATTGCGGCACGCTCGGCTTGATCTCGTGCATAGGCTAATTCAACCCCGTCTATAAGACCGGAGGAGGCTAAGAACGACATGTGTCTCGCATCACTCGCTTCTAAGAAGAGAGCTGCGAACGTGGTGGCATTCTGCAGCTGCGATGCTTGTTCGAGCCAGTCGCCTTTGTAATCGTCGGCGTCCTCGATATCTGCAAACAATGTCAGTCTCTTGAGCATATATCTTTTGGATTCATTAAATCTCACAGATGCCGTATTCTCGGAAATGGTACGAAAATTCTGGTAGATCACGCCAAATAGCCTGGCCATTGAGGTTGATCTGCTCCCCCGCCTCGTCTAGAACATCGCCAGAATTCTGAACATGGAGGACGAAATCTACCAGCTTCTTTGCGGCGGCCTCGTTCTGACCAACAGCACGAACTGCACGGACTAGAATTCCCCATATGATGGCTACAGAGCTGGGCTCTGCTTTTACCAATGGTTTGTACATAGACGTGATTTGCTCCGCAGCGGAGGACGCGTCGATGTTAGTATCAACGAGAGCCTCGAGAATATCGATGGCTCGCTGTGGCTCTTCATCTTGCCACCATTTATCGCTACGAACCTCAGCGGCCCACGAAGTATCTGTCATGATGAAGTTGGTCTGAAAAAGTATGACAGATTGTGAAGATATTGAAAGGAGGTGATAATTTTTGAGAAATGTTTGGGAAATGATAGAAAGACCGATCGAAAATCCGTCAGTTCCACGATGCTAAAATCATGGAATAGTACCAATATGCCAAGGTCGGGCTAGAACTTGCGTCAGCATAAGGTTTGTTCGTAGGAGTGTAGATCCGTATGACAGGATGCGGGCGAGGATTTCGGGAAATGACGGGCCTTCGAAGCTTAAATCATTTGGCCCCATCTAAAATAAAAACTGCCTTTGGGCCCTGGGCGAAAGTGCTTGAATTCACCAAACATGCTTGTCAGACTATGTATAAGGTATTTTTGGGTCGCGCAATCACAAGAGGATCACTGTCTGACTTATTGTTCAGCATATGACGTTTTGTGTTACAGTGATACAAGGCTGTGTTCCGCCGGCGCTACCGGGTATTTGATCGGAGCCCTGTCCCGCAGAACCGACGAAGGGTGCATTACTAGCCCTGGCCTAGCCTCTTCTCACCATAGACTGCATGGTTGTACTCTGTATACTCGAATTAGTTTTCAAGGGGCTCTCACCTCAGTGATCCGCGTAGCATGACCGCCTTTGTTTTACTCCAACTCTAAAATTTCATCCTTCTCGTTGCTTATGTTATTGATCTGCAGGACTCAGCTTGACCTTTTGGCATTCATCTGCTCAAACTCAAAGGTTCTGGCACTAAGCCGTCCACTGTGGTCGAAATGATTTGCAGATCCCATAATTTGTCGTTCACGGGTCGGTTTAACATGCCTTCGTGGGCTGGATCCTGAGCAAGGTCAACAGTGGCTGCGCAAGTGAACTGTGTGATCCTTCTGACAAATGGAGAACAGATTTCTCTATCAGCGATGAGACAACTGTACATCGTCATGACGTCCAGAACCAGACAACCATAGATCACTATTTCATGAGAGGCTTGACTAAAACAAGACCATCTATAAGAGGCAGAGACCTCCTTGAGCATTTCAAAAACAGTATCAAAGGCATACAATCGACATCAGCACCACAAGTCAATATCAGTCTTTAAACACTACCAACCTCTCTCCATCTCTCTGACTACCCACCATATCTTCACGCATAGTCCTCAGCCTTTATTAGCCAGTATGCAGCTTCAATATGTCTTAGTCTCCGGTCTCTTGGCCACAATTGGTACTGGTCACCCGCTCAGTGGGACACCTCAAGTCGTAAAGCGCAGCCTCAGCAGCGCACTCCTTGGAAAGCGAGCCGAAATTACCGGCGAACATTGTGGGTGTAAGTATAACTCGCACTTCAGGGTATGAAGCCTACGTAGCTGATGTCTGTGTAGCCGATGCAAACGGTGATGTCGACTACGACAAGACTTGGGTAAAAAGCGCTTTCGATGACATGCAGAGATATGTCAACGTGGGTGCAGACCAAAGGCGTGAGTATCTCTAAAACATGTGGAGTTTGAAGATTCATGGAGAGGAATACTGACCTATCAACCTCTGTGCAGCATCAGCAGGAACACGGACGTATCCCTTAAGAAACGAGGCCCGCGACCCGGAAGTGGCCACAGCCCTGGATACGATTGATGGTTGTGAAACCGGCCAGGACGGCAAGACGTACTGGGAGTTCCCGCTCACGAGCGACGGCTGGAATGGCGGCCCCGAGCGCTCGCAGGGCCCGGACCGTGTTATTGGCATTGGCACATACTCTGGCGGCCAGGGAGGCACCTGGGCCCTCACATACTGCTTGTCGGTCACTCACCGAGGTCAGGCCAACAATGAGAATGTTCCGTGCACCGACATTGATTGAAGTTGGACGAAGGGAGCTCTCATTACCTGGAGTGTTGATGTGTGGCTATGTTTTATAGAGTGTCTGTCATTTACGTCAACGGTGTCAAGTTTAATGGTGCTAAGTGAGTTTCAATGAGATTTGAAGGTTATCTTTCGCGCTCAAGGTTAAATCAATTCCAGCCATTATCCTGTAATTAATGATGCCGTCGAGACGTATTTTCTAACGTAAAAACACAGATGTAATTATTCCCAGATATAGTACTACATTATCAGTAAAGTATCAAGGCAACAACGAGACTGATGCCTTACTGGTACTAGAACATCGACTTCGTAATGACAATGAGCAGTTGGAATCATATGACGTAATAGAAAATGAACTTGGAATGGTAGCCTCATTAGTGGTTATTGTTAGTCCCAGTAACAGTGTCTGTCTGTCTGTCTGTCTGTCTGTATACACTCTACGCAGGCTAATTGTCAGACGTTGGTGTTGCAAGGGAGTGCTAGGGTGCTAGTATTGACGGGCTGAGCCCTACTCTCTATCATATATGGAGGATTTCCAGCCCTTATATATCCTATTGTAATCCGATACCGGATAAGCTCTGACATTAATGCGAGACCTAATCTCTCATCGCAAAGGCACCCGCATGCATGCCCGTGATCCGAAGCGGAATACTGACAGCCGCGATGATGTTCTTTAACGTAGTTGTGAGTGTTTCCTTTGGGACTGGTGAGACGAGCGTTTTTATTCGTAACAGTTGTTGGACATGTTAGCTTAACATGACCTGGAAGTTTGATCAACGCGTGATAGGCAATGTGGTGTGGAGTGATCCTGCGTTATTTGTTGGAAACCAGGCTTTATCTTCTTATACGTACTCGAGTGCAGAGACCTGCGATGACTCAACATCACAGTTTGATGTCGATATGGCGACGTCCACTAAGGCCAACGGGAAATTATATGAATTGATCTTGCAGATGATGACATTCGGTGTTATGGTCACGTCTCAATCAACTATATTAAGCGATATTAATTCAGCTGCCGGATCTCTACGAGGACTGGAAAGATATAGCATGTGCTCGCACCGGCGCCATTAAAGACCGGGGACTTGGTGTGTGTTCTGTTCGGTGGTCAAGTGCCATTTCTGTCTGAGACCCTTGGACAGGCGTTACTTGCTTGTAGATGGGTGCTACGTACAGGGGCAGATGAAGGGAGAAGCAATAGAAATATTAGCTCGGGATGAACTTCATGAGAATATTTTTGACATCGTTCAAGCTGGGTTTGTGCCCAGAGTGTTTCAGCATAGCTCTATTGCCTTTGCCATGCAAAAGTTCTTTTTCTTTTGTCTTCTTCTCCTCACCTAGCTCATGAACGGCAGCGTATATAACGCTCTCATCGTCGTCGTTGCAAGCGCTGCCTGGAAGCTCCCATCTGTTAGGGCCTTCGTTTTTCGCAGAGCGCCCGAGAAGGAGACTGCGAGGATTGTTTGCGATTCTCGTGCCCAATTCGAGGAGACTTGTGGCGATATAGCTGATGGATTTATTTGTACGAGCAGTGAGATAGAAACGTTAAGAAACAGCGAATTCTGCGACGGACGGATGATAATCGAAGTTGAACACAAAGCGTTTATCCATTGTGGGAGAGTTGCTGACCGGGCGCACTTGTCGAATAGCACGGTATTTCAATCGACCAAATGAGGTTTCGATTGATGAGCGATTTCATGATTAAATGTATGTGTTCTGTGTACATTCCGCCCATGGGCTACCAAAACGGCTGAGAAGGAACGCTTTATATGGCCAGGGCTACCATGAACTCTGGGGTAGGGACATGCCTCCGGGATGTCGTGGCGTTGCCTCAACCTTCTCATATATACTGCCGACTTGACTGGTGTGGTTGTATTGCGTGTTGTGATCTGGGGCGAATGTGTAAGACGCAGGCCAGCCGTCATGCGTTCGGCACTAACGTTGGCAACGTAAATAAAGCGATTGGGTTATACTTTCAAATGGATGCACGTAGGAGCAGAGCGTCCCCTAAGACAGGTGTGACCCAAAAAGAACTCGTCTTGACTTCTCGAATCGCGTTCGGCATGCACTACGCGACCTTCGTCCGCCAAGGATATGTTCTTTGTGTCGAATACGCGCGGAGCCGCGGTTGGCACTAATTGATAATGCCAAGCATTGGCAGTCTTGCAGTATGTCCCTCGTGGGTGCCAAGGTAGGTGAGCTGTGGTTGCCTAGCCCACTATAGATGGAAGGTAGTGGTCCCCAAAAGTGCCCTATAGGGTAGGGGAGACAACTTGGGGGGAACTAACCCACTGAAAACAGGGTTTGGTGACCACCAAGGAGAGGCCGTTCCTTGCGCTACCGTATACGCCTGGGCAACTTGCGCCCCTCAGCCCGATTCTTGGACAGTTATCATAACCATCCAAACGAAGTATGTAAACAGCAGTTAATTACATCAACTCCGAGAGGATGCATCATCCGCTTTCAACACTTCGATTAGCCACTCAATGCCCCTTTTACCCTCACTCATCCCGTAAGTTCCCGCAAGCACGAAGCAGTGCATTTGCCCATTCCATACCAGCCAACGCCCTTTAACGCCATGTTCCTCGCACTTATTTCTAAACACTTCGGCGTCCGGTGCAAGTACATCGTGCGTGCCGTATATACAATGAACATTAATACCCAAATCTGCTAATATTCGATAAGAACTTGGCTCGTGAAGCACGGGAGATAGCTTCGGGTCATCGGCTGATGAGCGAAGATGCGGCTTTTCCGGCGGAGCAGCTAGCCATGCCTCTGCAACAGATTTGGTATAAGCCGCACTGAGAAGCGGGTCCAATGGATCGACTTGCGCGATAGCTGGATTCGAATTCCTCAGGTCGATTGCTGGTGAGACAAGTATGATGCTCTGCAGTACCGATTTCAACTTGCACTCGCCACTCGTAGCTACTTCTTCTGCCCACCAGAAACCCAAGCTAGCAGCGATGTTACCACCAGCAGAATCGCCCATCAAGGTGATTCTGTCTCCCTTCTTTGCCGCTTCCATGAATATGGGCTTCATGAGCCTCCGCAGTATCGACAAAGACTCGCTAGCTGGGCTCTCTGGTGCGAGAGGATAGCTGACGAGCGTGAAATGATGCTCAAGTATGAGAGACCCGGCTAGCTGAGAAATAAAACTCCAATGTTCCCGCGAAGGCTGACTCTGGAAAGCACCACCACAAAAGTAGTATATCGTTGTCGGAGGTTTGATTTTTATCGTAGGGGGCGACTCCGGTTGGAAATCATACAACCAAACGCCACTATCATCATGTTGCCGCTCTGAGATAGTGAAGGTACCCTTAGAATGAGGATGAGAGCCGAGCCGGGGGCTGCCGGCTGGCTGCTTATGCCCCGGGTGTACCAAGCGGGGACGCAGTGGCTTTATGACTGTCCTGAGAACCCGATATAATAATGACAGTTCTGTTTCCGTCTGTATAGTAATTGAACTGTTGCTGGGTGCGCCCGGAGCGTCCGGCACGCCGTTCGACATCTTTCACATACGACTCGTGACGAAATGATGCTTATGTGCTGGATACACAAGCTATAACAAGTTGAAGAGGACAGGACAAATGGTCGTGAATTACGATCACAGTCGTAAAATCAGTACACAACTTCCCAGATTTCACGATTTTTCATGATTCAGGACTATTGAAGCCTCGTCCGACAAACGGACCAATCCGTGATGCGCTGTCATTAATGGAGTCATGACGTTGGAGAACGCCAAGTGACAGAAAATGTGCAGAGAGCTCCGGCACGCAGCCAATAGGGTGATGAGGTGGGCAGCGCCATCTTAGAGCGTGCGACGATTGAGCGACCCCGACCCTTTTGTGGAGTTGGGGTAAGCTAGGCGGCGCTGCATTGCAGTGATATTCTCGACTATGTTGAATTGCGGGCACACTTATTGCATATTATCATGATACTATGCTCCTAAGACCCTGGTTTTTCGATACGCTCATCCGTCTCGGCCCTGATTTTGACTTGTCTTTCTGGGGTCTTAATCCTTGATCCCGAATGTGGAGTGGCATCGTTAGTGCTTGTTCAAGATTTTCAGTCCTCATCAGTTCTTCGCGCACGGCTACCACTTGCGCATCGGTGTGGTCACATGTATTTTAAAAGCTCAGCCATCTCCAGTTCAGAACCGGAGATGCCACCCAACTCTTCACTAATGCGATGGGATCGCGAGTCGACCCACCTTGTGATTGCTGATTACCACACCGCCTAGACAAATATCATTCTCGTTGTCCGGTACCCCGCCCATGATGCCAAACGAGCACGCTTTTCGGTCTTATCATGAATTGCAGATTGATTATGACGTCCAAGAGCACATTAAACTACATAGCAGCAGTTCCAGCCCTTTTAAGATGGTGGGCGAACCCCGACTTGCCTTGAGAGCTTCGCGATGTAGTTTGACTGCTCTCTATCGAACCTCAGATTATTAAGATGTCTTGTCGCCAAATGAACAGGTCTTCGCCTGCACATACTGCAACTTTATCATCCCTGAAATCGAAACCCTCCGTCTTCCTGGTAGGTAGATATACCCCACAGAGGAAGTAGGACACCTTGGTTACCCATGTGATCCAGACGTATGGCAGTGGCTTTTCTATCGAAGTTCACGATAATAGATAGGTGTATTTTCAAGTAGTGCTGGAATTTAGGTTTTGAGACTTTTGTTAGCATAGACCAAGGTGGGTCATACTTGTCTAGATTCCTTGGTCCGACTACACTACAAATCTTCGCTTTCAGAACAGAACGTTGTAATTAAGGAGTGAATTTGACCGGAGCTGAAGTGTCCTTCAAACAATAATCCCGTTCTCAGCAGCCTGAATTCTATAGCCATGTCCAGCCGTACTGCCGAAAATCTCACAGCCTAAGTGGAAGCCGATTGACAAGACCACGCGGCCATGGTAAATGCTGCACTTGTAGTGATGTAGAATATTAACTGCACGCAATCAATATAATAGAACATACGAACCTTAGGTAGGGCCCGCAGCGCTAGTTATAAATCGTAAGTCCATTGTGCTTAGAATCATAACAATTCTGCTAAATTACTTGGCAGGGCTAACATGTTGGTCTTTTAGACCACAATTGAAACAGGCTGTACTGTCTCGACCTTCGGCTCCATTCTCTGATGTGCTGCTCCAAACACATCTTCAAGCCTGGAAAGAACGTGCGCCTTTGCCGTCGTGGCCCTCTCCACAGGCCCGTTGGTCTGTAGATTTCTCTGCACTATGGGGCTTGGGATAGTCACTAATTCGGTGCTGCCAACAGGGTGGCTAAAGTATACAATGGAATATCGATCATTCTCAGCGGAGGGGTCAATCGACACGCGGTGAACTGTGCTCTTCATGACCCCCTCCGTCCAGTAGCTTAGCAAGTCACCAATGTTCATGACAATCGGAGGGAACTCATCATCCTCGGTTCCTGGCGGATATATGGCGACAGGCTGCCATTCGTTGTCTGGATTGAGAACCTCGAGCCCAGGTTGGTTAGGCAGCTGGAAGAGGATGGTGATGGTGCCGAAATCGGTGTGAGAGGAGGCGCGGGTTGAAAGAGGGTCAAAATTCTTTGCCTGTTCGTCGCTAAAGGTAGGATAATAGCAGAACCGTAGGTTGCTGCCGGAGGTACCTTTGGCAGGGTCATGACGGGCCACGAACCAGTCTTTGCCGCCTTCTTCCTCGGGAATATCCAATCCTAATGCAAACAGCTCGAGGATTTTGATGCAAACGCCACGGAACTTGCTGTGGTAGTCGATCAGGGCGCTCTGGTCTTGGTCATTCGCGAGAGCGGGCGGGAGCTTTTGCCCAGGCTTTCCGCCTGGGAACTCGTTGAAGGTCATACCCTCCTTGTAGTCTCCCTTCTTCTGTCGCTCCGGGTCGAGTACCTCTCTACCGGGACCAGACCATCCGCTGCCGCCAGGGTTGCAATCCAAACCACATGCAACACTTTGCTTCTCCTCGAGGGGGCTACGGAAGAATTTGCGAGCCTAGACATTAGCAATTGAAGTGGTAATGAGATTGCTGCCCACTCACGGTGTCAAAAGCGCCATTGATAAAGGCCTTGTCGAAGCCAAGGCCTTTACTCCGGATATAGACAAAGCCCCATTTGATAGCAGCCTCGGTTATTTCCTTCGAGTTGTGCGAGTCAGGTTGAGTCAGATCAATGATTGGGAGAGAAGCAGATTTGGAAGACATTGTTGCGGGATTTTACACTAAAAAATCGGTAGTTTAGAGGCGGTCTATACCCTTCAGTCTCGAAATCTGTATTTATGAATGTCCTGGTGGGTCCCACCCTTCCGCTATAAGCGAGGCTTGGAGCGACTCATCGAAAAAGGGAATACTAACTCCCCTGTCTCCTTGCGGTTAGTTCATGGTCCCATATCTTGCAGTCCGACAATTGGACAAGAGGGTTGCTCGACATCTCGGAGAGAGATATGCAGCAGGCAGTCTTGAGGACAGTCTTCAGAGTCAAGCCAGCTCCGTGTCTCCTTATGGCAAATGTGTTCATCTACTGATTTAGGGCGCACGACCAGCGCTTTAACGGTTGAAACGTTGACGCAGTTCTTTTGGTATTCTATAAGGAAATATTTGTCCGTAATATCGTATGCAATTCTTGAACGAAATATATGCAGAGCCGGCATTTGATGTTGAGGGGCTGTTACGGTATTTGTGAATGAGACCCGTCATACGACTCTCAACATCCGACAACCTATGGAACCCGCAGCTGTGCATGAACATCATAAAGCCAAATAAATTGCTACATTTTATCTGTGTTCATGACTTAGAAGATAAAGAAACATGAACAGGGCAATCTTCATTAGCCGGCACTGCGTCCAGTTGCACATGCCCTTTGCTGCAACCTTTGTCCCTAGCGCTTACCCGAATGCAACTTGGAGGGGCCACCCAAACGTAATCTTTCTCCGTCTCTTTTCGTTACAGATGGCATGCTGAACAGCGTGGGCTCCGCAGCTTCTACTTAAATTGATGTCCTTGATCGTTCATAAAATGCAATTCGTTTTGCTGATTTTCTCCTCCCATTAGAGGCACTACCTAGACAGCCGCAACCTAGTCATCTTCCTACCACTTGTTCTTTTAACCTCCTTCAGTAGGTGATGGGCAAGACTCGGTTTCCCTTCAATGGCGGCAGATGGTATGAGACTTAGAACCACACGCAGCCCCCTAGCGGGTTTGCACAGAACTCCTTCTTCCCATCCGCCCAGAACGTCGACGTTGTGGCAAAGGTGTCTTCCATGTATTGGAAGTAACTGATTAAGCCGGCGTCATTGAACTCGGCGCGGCAAGACCAGGGCGAGGAGATGCTTTTTCCCAGGGTGTTGGAGGTGATCTCGAAATTGCCCCAGGCCGTAAAGTTGCCCTCACCGTCGGTGAAGATGGACTGGACATTGAAAGGGCCGCGGCTCCACCACAATCCTACCCGCGTGAAGGTGTCGATGAAAGCCTGCGGACCAACCCGGTAGCGAGTCCCCGCCCACGGCAGAATTTGATGCAGTTCTGGGTTGTCTTCGGTCAAAGAGACGTACGTTGCATCGATGGCAACATTCTCCTTGATAACATCCGGATCTGGGTTTGGCTGAACGTTAAGGATCATAAGAAACCTAGCCATGCGGTCCATGGTCATGTTGGCAGGATAGATCACTGTTGGGCTGGTGTAGCGCCGCATAAACTTGTCAAGCTTGGCCGAGTCCTCGAGCAGCTCGTGAACTGGAATGGCGTTGATGCCCATGAATAGAGCGCAGAGGATAGCAAATATGTTAACGAACAGATAATTCATTGTGACAGAGGGTCGCAGCCGAATGGATACAAAAGGTGAACCTTTCAAAATAGGTCAGGGTTCGTTCGGATCTCTATTATATATAAGGTCTGCAGCGGAGAGATATTTTCCAACACAACTGCTTGGTAGTATAGAGTTCTCCTATGTGCCGAAAAGGAAATAATCTCAGTGTGGTCCCATTTGGTCAGTCCAGACACGCTTTGTGGCAGATGGTCTCTAGACAGCCCAACGTGGAATAGCCTCCTGGGGTTCCGAGATCTAATTATTACTGCTGCTACAGCCCCACAATGGGGAAAGCCATCAAATTTGCAGCTACAGAAATATGTGACATCATACAACTTTATGTTTCCTGTGTCTTCTTCCTCTCTCTCGGGACACGAAGATACAGGTTCACGGAAATGTTGACTCGCAAATTCATGCCGTCTGCGCACGGCATGCGGGGATCTCGGTGAAAGATAGATAGACCACGGTTGGGTCTAAGAAACTCACAACTCTTGGTTTAATCTAAAAAGAATGTAATTAAGTGTACTAACTCTATTGCATAGGCCTTCAAGCAGGCTCTCCCTAAAGTATCTACTCACAGATTCACCGACAGATGCTGCTCTAAGTTGGGGGATGCCTTGACCTTTTTCGCTCGACGTCAAGGATCCATAATACAGGACGAAGTTCCTCAATCTTCTCGTGGCTCGAATTACCCATATTCCTATAGTTTTTGGCGGACGCTGACAAAATAAATGTAGCTATGTTGCAGAGCAATACCCTCCGCTCGAGCATAAGACCTCGCTGCTTTAACCGCCGGCAACCATTTGCATGGTGAGCTTTTCGCGCTTCATAAATAAAGAGCATATGAGCACCAGAGCACCAGCGACGATGATCAGAATATAAGTATCGTTGATCGCCTCCACCAGCACTTCCAAAGTGGCAGCTCTCACATCTTCGGAAGCTGACTGCAAGACGGTGCTCTTGGCACCGGCCATAGCGGCAGTGATATCTTCTTCGGAAAATCCGGCAGGAATAAGAATTGGCCTGAGCTTGGTTAAGGCCACGTTTTGGAAAATTGTGTTGCTCATAGCAAGAGCAATAAGATTGCTGCCTTGCTGTCCTGCGTTGACAAACTGCATCGCCTCGGCGATCTGATTGTCGCCAACTTTTGTAGGCACGATGGAATATGCTGCCTGAAACGCCGTCAAGCCAATTCCACATAGAATGGAATAGCCATAGATGTTCGCGTATGGCATTTCCGTCGAGCTCGTGTAGAGCAGTGCTCCGCCAATGGTGCTGAAGATACCGCTTACAAGGAACCAAGGCATGTAATAACCCCAACGTATCATCAGGAAACCATTGAGTACGACGCCGAAGATGTAGAAACAAACAAAGGGCAGCAAGCGAACCGCAGCTTCCACGCCATTGTCACCGCCAACGAACTGGAAGAACAGAGGCAGATAGTAGACAGTGATGTAAAGCGCACCTGAAAGGCAACAGGTGGAAATAAACATCAACACCAGTGTTCGATTGCTCAGGAACTCGACAGGAAACAGCCTATTTTCTTTACTTGTGAACAACGCAAAGGTCTGCTGGACTGCAAACGCAATAAATGTTGTACCACAGACCACGTAAAGCGCGATTATCCGACCATCATCCCAAGGCCATATCGTGCCACCAAAGGTGAAGATCATAGCGAATGAGGTATACATACCCCAGCTTAGAACAATACCTAACCAGTCAAAGGATCGTAGTTTGGTTAAGAAACGGATATCCGGTCGTTGGGGGATCGACGGCAGGAGGAATATATAAATAGGAGCCATGACTGCGAAAATAAAGAGGTTCAAATAGAAGGCCTAGAAAGAAGTTTAACTGCGGGTTAGCAAACGATACAGAACATATACAGTTTGCTATACATACCCATCGCCAGCCGTCGGAAGAACTATCGGCCAATGACCCGCCCAGTACAGGCCCAAGAATGGCTCCAGTCCCATAGACCAGCACAATACATGACATGTAGATGCTGCGTTCATGAGGAGTCGTCATGAGCTGGATCATGTTCAAATTACTGTTGCGCGAGGTATAAGTTCAACGGCTCATATAACGGAATGAGGATCCCGATCGTACCCAAGATACATTCCGGCTCCACCAGCTCCGGCCCAAACTCGTCCAACGATTAACGCGTCCATAGTGGGAGCTGCACCGCATAAGGCGCTTCCCGCCGCGAACATGGTCAGTGATCCGATATAGAGCCATTTGACATCGAAGATGGCATAGCCCTTGCCACTATAAGCAACAAAGGTAAGCAGTAAACTTTCAAAACAGACGCTGAATGTCGGCTTACACAGCTAGGATGACTCCAATAGAACCCAACGGAAAACCGATGCCAAGCCACCCAAGCTTGTCGACGTTGCCGAAAGTCCCAACGATAGGGGCTTGGATATCGGCGACAATAGTGTTATCCAAGCCATAAAGGAAGTTGCTCGAATAGACTGCTAGACAGACGAGGACCCAGCGCAAGCCTCTGATCGATCTTTCGGGTTTCTCGATTTGTGGTTGTTGGTCTGTATCGTTCTGATTTTCCACCTTTGCCGACATGGCGGCGGTCGCATAGAGAATATTGCCGAGGATGATTTAGACGAGATCAAAAGAGATGACCAGAAATCAAACAACCTGTTGGATCTTGTCACATAGTGGGTGACAGGAGGGAGTTGAAGTGAGTTTTAGCATATCTGAAATAGAGCAGGAAAAAAAAAAAAAGCAACTCCATGCAAAACACCGCTTGTTGACATCAACTCAAACAGCTATGTACCAACGCTCCACCTACCGCCTACGTTCCATTTATCGCCTAAGCCCGATATTCAAACGAGCGACAAATGCGTCGGCGTTTAACGATTGTAAGCAGGAACGTGGTTGGCACTTAATCCCTTTAAGGTGGTAGTGACTTAGACAAAGCCCGCGGCGACCGGGCCGGTTGTGGGGTCCATGGGGGTCCCCTTGCAACTTTTAGCTGATTCTCGGGCGATACTGGAGGTAAAAGTGAGGTTTGTGAAAGTGACCAATTCTAATCATCTTCTTCACACATGGGTGGAGGTTCATCATGTTCACAAAATGACTGTTAGCCAGTTACGTCAATCTCGAAGCCCCATACGAGCAATCATTCACCTAACGGCAGTATTGAATGCATGCAGAGTTTATCTGCGAAATGACGATTTTCGATGATCTCTACCTGCAAGCCACAAGTCCGATGAATATCTCCGGCTACTCCTTGCGGCTAGCGTCGTGCATTAACACGGCTTAATAATGAGCCTCATTGGGACAGCCCGAACAGCCCGGACTGCAAGCCCAGCTAAGCCCTGGGAGTGGGGGGCACTACGCATGCATTAGAGGCGCCTCGTAGCTCGCTGGGGTTGCATCCCCTTGTGAAACGAGGTAGGTATGTGATGCACGAAATCAGAGGTGAATGTGATTCTGGAAATGTATGGGAGCCGGTGTAAATAAAAGGCTCAGGCTACATGTTCATAAACCGCACTTCACATGCCCGTTACCCAAACACAGTTCAACACACCATAAATCTTTTTCCTCGCCAAGCATAGGGGTACCATAGTACGCTGATCATTTGAATCAATCTCCCAGGCACCCCTGCTGTCTTTGACCGCTAATATGCCTTCGGCCGAGACCTACACCACCTACCATCGCACAACATATCCATACATTGACCCGACTCAGCCAAAGTTTTCTTGTGCTGGGAAAAATGTACTGGTCACAGGCGGAGGATATGGCATTGGCAAGGGCATAGCGCGCTCCTTTGCCAAGGCTCGCGCTTCCAATCTCATTTTGCTTGGCCGTACGTCCTCTATTCTCGAAGAGACCAAGGCTGAGTTGGAAGCGGAATTTCCCTCCACGAAGGTTCACATTTCCCCTGCCGACATCACCGATGCCGCAGCCATCAATAAGATCTTCAATTTCAGTGTCTCCGAACTTGGACATGTTGATATAGTCGTCAACAATGCCGCCTTTCTGCCTACCATCAGTGCTCTCAAGGATGCTGACTTGAAGAACTGGTGGCGCGGCTTCGAAGTAAATGTTTTAGGCACCGCGACCGTGACACAGGCTTTCTTGAAAACCAAGCCGGCGGGACTTAAGGGCACCGTCATCAGCATCAATACCTCGGTCGCCCATTACGGCATCTTCCCAGGTTACTCGGCCTACGTGGCGAGCAAGATGGCTTCTCAGCGCATGAACGAGTCTTTTCAGGCCGAAAGCTCCGACGTACGCTTTATCAGTTTACAGCCTGGTGGGGTTGACACGGAGATGTACGCCAAGTTCCACATGCCGGAAGACTACGCTATGACCGATATCCAGCTTCCCAGCGATACCTGCGTCTGGCTGGCCAGCGACGAGGCCGAATTTCTTGGGGGTAGGTTCGTGTGGACGAATTGGGATGCAGAGGAGCTCATCAAGCGAAAGGATACTATCATTTCAGAAAAGGAACTAACGAGCATGGTGAAGCCAATTGAGGGTGATCTATATTAGAGCCAGCAGGTAGTTAATTAAATTAGCGGTTACTCTTGAAACTTTGAGTAGCGGGCAAGGTGTATTAGATTATGCACAAATGCAGAGGCGATCCGTTGCTTGGTTCTATATCAATAGTGGATAAGCAAATACGCGGGTGTTAATACTTGCCACCCTCTGGTGTCATCCCATCCATGTTCGGCTCCTGACAACAGAAGAATATCCAAGGTCTATTTTGACTGGTCGGGAGTGCTTAATCCACCAAGACTCATCTGCACAGTGCGAGTAGTATCTTTTAAGTATTTGTGGTGCCGAGATCTCTGTCCGGAGCGACCGTTACGGTATCCCGTTCTGGCTTTTCCTTTTTCATGACGAAAGCTTTATCCGGACGCTGCGGCAGAGCGCTCCGAGTGTGACTGAAGGAGTACCGGAGGAGTCAAAGAATGCTATCACGCCGAAGGAGTATTTAAGTCTGAAGAGTTTGGTTACTCAATGGAATTAGATAGAAGTGACTTAACCTTCAAAGTAGTGAATGCGCGAATCCCATGTAAATATGTTGTATTGGGAAATCCTAGCTGTAGTTTCTTGGCCCCTGGCTGTGGCTGCAGAATTACCGGTAATTGACCTAGGGTACGAGCGCCACCGCGCCATCACGATCAATGTAAGATGACGGAATGGCTTATTATCCCAGTTGTTGCCTGCTGATGCGATACCAAGGACACGGGAGACTACTATAACTTCACCAACATCCGGTACGGTCAGGCACCGCTCGGCGAACTGCGCTGGGCGGCTCCTAAGGCACCGGGGAGTAGTAACAACAGCCTTCGAGTCACCGATGGCTCCGAGCAGGGCGGCAACTGCCCACAAACTTTCCCTTGCTGGTTTCAGGTTCAGACGAAGTTTACACAAGCCTATCTGGCAGGCGATGAGTTCGATTTCAATTCGACATATGACCAGGTTTACGCAGACGGAGCGTGCTCGACCCCGACGCCAGAAAGCCAACGGGCACCATCGGAGACGGAGGATTGCTTGTTCTTGGACGTCTTCGTTCCGCGGACTGTACTTGACAGCCGCAGCAATATCAGCTCACTGGCACCAGTCTTGGTATACATCTTCGGTGGTGGCTATTCGGGCGGCTCCAAGGACAGCTTTGGCTTCTTTGAAGGCAGTCCTGCCGGATTGATCGACAGTAGTCGCGTTACGAGCCCGGACGGCGTCATCTACGTCGCCATCAATTACAGGGTACGTACATTAATTATTAACCCTTTGGTCTGCTCCGAAAAAAAAATTTAATACTGATACGTGATCCTTCAGCTCGGCGCACTTGGTTGGATGTTCGGTTCTGATTACAATTCCCAAGGTGGACTTACCAACATCGGGCTTTACGACCAACGACTGGCGCTGCAGTGGGTGCAGGAAAATATCCACCTTTTCGGTGGGGATGCCAACCGGGTGACAGTCATGGGAGAGTCTGCTGGAGGAGGTTCTATTATCATGCAGATGACAGCATTTGGCAGTGGCGAGAAGGCGCCGTTCCAACAAGCGGTCACGCAGTCGGGTGCGTGGGAGCCCGCCTCTGCTGGCGCAGATTTACAGAATGAGATATTCGACAAATTTCTCGGTTTATTAAATGTGACAGATCTTGAGGAAGCAAGGCAGCTCCCGTCGCAGCAAGTCATAGACGCCAATCACATCATCCTGGCAAACGCTGGTTATGGAAGCGTGTTCTTAGGACCGGTAGGCTACCTCGTGTGCCCCATCAGACCAGTGATCCACATGTGCTATGAACGATCACTAAACAAGCCTTTATGATGTAGGTCGTTGATGGAAAATTCGTCCCAGACGACCCAAAAAGGCTGCTGCGTGATGGCAAGGTCGACAAGAGCGTTAAACTCCTAACGACAATCGCAGCGAACGAGGGCTTGCGCTTCGCGCCGGCCAACATTACCAGCGAAGCCGATTTCCAGCAGTTCACTGATCTCTTCCTAAACTCAGCTAATTCTAGCGTGCGCCGACATGTGAGCGACATCGTGTACCCGCCCCTATTCAATGGCTCGATGCCATACTCCAATCAACGCGAGCGCGCAGCCCTATTCTGGGCGGAGCTAGTTAGCACCTGCAACATTCAATACTTGCATGATGCCGTGGATCCTACAGGCTATGCGAACCTTTTCGACGTCTGGCCTAGTCTACACCAGGGCGACGTGCCGTACGTCTTTTGGAACGGCAACCCATCAACGCACAGCGCTGTGAACGGGACAGTGGCGCGTGCGACACAGGACTACATCACCGCGTTTGTAATCACAGGAGATTCTAACAACGCGGAGTCTGCCAGCATCGAGCCATACGACAAGAAGTCTGTCTTGGCTATGACAAGTACGGGGTTCAGAGCTGTGGATGATCCGACCAACAATGAGCGTTGCGCATATTGGCATGACGCCACGTTCCAATCTTAAAGCACAACCAGTGCCAAACAGGCACATGGATATAATTATAATGGACAAACTCTGCTTCAGGATCTTTGGCTAGCGAAGACCTGTGCGTAACGTGCAGCGAAAATATTCATCTGTCGTCAATCTTGCTTTTGCGTAATGGACATCGTGTTTGTGATTAAGATCTGCATTTTACTACATAAACCGGTGGCTGAAAAGTGACGAACATACAATTTTCATATCGTTATGCGAGGGTAGTGCGCATGCGTTTAGAAATCAATGAATCCCGGATTTGGCTGGTCAATCTGTTTACCCACTTGCAGGTGACGCCGTTGTTCCACAATTGACTCGATAAGAGAAAAAAAGGAAAAAAGCGAAGATGAATTTAATGTAAAAGGATCCATGGAAGCGACGGAGGCAACTGCAATGGTACGGGGGATGTTGAGCAAAGTGGCTGAAAACGTTGTTTGCATTCGAACCATAAAGCCAACCCTTACTTCATTAGTCAAAAGGAGTGCCAACGTTTGGCGAACCGGAAACAAAATAAGACGAAATTAATTCCGGGAGAGAAGCTGATTGGGCACTTGGCATCAGGGGTACAGTGTTTAGTTCAGGGACAGTCCAAGTTCGCTTTGATCCTATATTCTCGTTGGCATACTCCGGCAACTCCGGGCCCCTTTCGGTTAGTCTCCGGGGATGGCAAGCTTTCTGGGACCACTAGAATTTCAAGCCGATAACTGTCAGATGTAGGGAAGATTACCAATCTCGTAAACAGTGAAACGCTCGGTCTCAGTATGATCGCTGTCGCTTTTTATACCTCTCAATCGGCAAGCATATCGTGATGGCATTCCGAACCCTAGGCGCCGACTATGAACGAACTACGCGAAAACCTCGCTGATAGTGCGAAACAGTTTCTCGCCGGCAATGAAGCGGCTTCGAGTACTCGGTCTTCGGTCGTGTTTGATCGACTATCAGTTGTGGGCAGCGGCCGCGGTGTGAGTAATCCCCTTTGGGTGGGGAGACACCACGTGATTGACTTCAAACTTGTAGGTACAAGCTGCGCCAACGGTATGGACCACTTTAAAATCATGGTCGAACATTTTCAATCCACGATTGTATGGTCAAACCGAACCCTCACGTACTTTGCTGCATGAATTCTCTGGATCCTTGGCAAGCGGTGAGATGCTGCTTGTCGTGGGTAAACCCGGCAGTGGGTGTACCACCTTCCTCAAAGCTCTTGCAAATATGGGCGATGAGTATAAGAGCGTGACCGGTCAACTTACCTACGGTGGCCGTCCTGCTGACGACTGCGACCCTGATCGTGTTCGCTTGACCTTCTGCGGTATGTTCACCTCGATTTGGACCTCTATACCTGCACAATTTGCTAAACGGTGACGGGCAGCCGAGGAAGACAATCACTTGCCGACTCTCACAGTGGCACAAACGCTTAGGTATGCCTCATATTCCCGATGAAACTCAAAAGACAACAGCTGCAAGTACTCACAATGCCGACAGATTCGCTGTCCGCGCCACTTGGGATGCACAAGCATCTGGTGCCTCCGTTGATGCTGCAGTCGAGTCGTTAGCCAAGTGCGTCGGACTGTCCCATGTACTGAAGACTAAGGTTGGTAATGCCGCCATACGTGGGGTCAGCGGCGGAGAACGGAGGCGAGTCTCGCTCGCTGAGGCTATGGCGACTTGTCCGGAGTAAGTTGGTATTGTTCTCTACGCAAACTGAAACATACCATTTACTGACAGCGTCACATTTGCTTTCGCGCAGTGTTCTCTGTCTCGACAATCCTACCAATGGTCTCGACTCAGCTACCGCTCTTGACTTCGTGCAAATGACGCAAGAGTTCACGACCCAGCACGGATGCTCCACGGTCATGAGCGTATATCAGGGAAGCAATGCCATGGTGCCATTGTTTGACAAGGTTTTAGTCATCAGTGGCGGCCGCCAGATCTTTTATGGCAGGGCCACGCATGCCAAGGCATATTTTGAGAGTCTTGGCTTCATATGCCCGGATCGCACGACTGTCACCGACTTCTTGAATTCGATGACAGCCGAGCCCGAGCTTCGTCATGTGCGCAAAGGCTGGCAATCCCGTGTTCCCTCGACGTCCGCCCAGTTCGAAGATGCGTTCCGTCACAGCGAGCACTACAATGATGTCATCGGTCATATCACTGCTGAGCGTAGCAAGACTACAGTAGTGGGACCCAAGAGGAAATCGTACGCGTTGCCTCTATACCGTCAAATCCTGGAATGCTGTGTGCGTCAATTTCGAGTCCTCGCCCTTGACACGAACACGTGGATGACGGAGGCTGTGACCATCATCGTGCAAAGCCTGGTCCTAGGTACCCTGTTTCGCGACCAACCTAGGGCCACGCGGTCGTTATTCATCCTTAGCTCATCTCTGTTCAACTCTGTTCTGGTTCCCGCGCTACAATCGATGGGCGAGTTCAGCAACAGCTTCGCCGAGCGTCCACTCGTCATTCGGCAGAAACGATACCGCTTTTACCGGCCTGCCGCCTACGCTTTGGGTCTTGTGCTCACAGATGCAGTTTGGAAGGTTATAGCAATTGCCTACAATATCCCGCAGTACTTTCTCACCGGATTTCAGCGTACTGCAGACAAGTTCTTCACTTGGTTTTGCATTGTGTATGTACTGCATATGGCACTTTCCATGGTATTCCGCGCCATTGCCGTCTCCTCGCGCAACATGGCACGTGCAGTATTGCCTGTAGGCATCATGTTCAACATCTTCGTCCTGTACACTGGTCTATATGTACCTGGCCCGCAAATGCAAGTTTGGCTTTTCTGGATCAAGTACTGTAACGTTAGTGATTCTCCACTTCTTGCGAAAAATGTTCATTGTTGTTTTCGCTAACAGCGCTTGTACGCAGCCGCTCTATTACGCTTACGAGTCTGCAATGGTGAACGAGTTTGGTAATCTTTATTACACCTGCAGCGACATGGACCTGGTACCCAATGGGAACGACACAGATTCTATCGCCTACCAAGTTTGCTCGGTGCAAGGCAGCGTATCAGGGCAAGCACTTGTTTCTGGGGCCGCCTATATGAAGGCTCAGTATGGATTTCAAACGTCAAATCTGTGGAGGAATGTTGGTATTAACGCCGCATTCTTCGTATTCTTCGCACTGTGCACATGGTAAGTTGCTACTCGCTACCACCATCACCAACATGTTAACATTACGGAATAGTGTCGGCATGGATCGCTACAAGCTACCGGCTGGCCACCTCGCTACCATCTTTTACAAAACCGACCCAAAGTCCGTAGACCTAGCGATGAGCTCTAACAGTTCAGACACGGAAAAAGGTGCAACTGATCAGGACACTCCCCCAGTCACGACGCAGCCTTCCCTACCATTCGTGGCTAGTCACAATGGAAGAATGTTGGCATGGGAGAATCTCACGCTGGAACTCAAAGTTGGTAGTGAAACAAAGCGACTCCTTGATAATTTAAGTGGTAGGTTGAAAAGTGTTTGTAACTGGACAATATGTCTGAATTGCAGCTAACGTATTTGCTCTTTTAGGATTTGTGGAGCCTGGGAAACTAACAACTTTGATGGGAGCATCAGGAGCTGGCAAGGTAATTACTTCAAGAAACACACCTGTACGTCCGGCAACTAATTCGGTCCGCAGACGACACTCTTAAACACGCTTGCCGGGCGTTTAGAGTTTGGTACCTTGTCGGGTAATTTGTCAATCGACGGTGGGCCATTGCCCAAGTCCTTTCGGCGCTACATGGGGTATGTGCAGCAGCAGGATGTCCACTTGCCCAGCCAAACAGTGCGTGAGGCGTTGCAGATGACTGCCCACCTCAGACGGTCCCTGAGTGTACCAAACGAGGAAAAAGACAGCCATGTTGAAGCTGTAATCCGTACACTTGAAATGGAAGACATTGCCGATGCACTGATCGGTGTGCCTGGGGCGGGTCTTAATTTGGAACAGAGAAAGCGGGTAACGATCGGTGTTGAGCTGTCGGCTAGGCCAGACATTTTGATATTAGACGAGCCCACTTCGGGCCTTGACGGCCAGTCAGCCCTGACCATTGGGCGTCTTCTACGAAAGCTAGCAGACTCGGGCCAGACAGTCTTGTGTACAATCCACCAGCCGGCGATGGAGCTGATCAACCTTTTCGACCACTTGGTACTACTGGTTCCAGGAGGACGTCTAGCCTACGATGGCCCACTGGGTGATCATTGCACAGCAGTTCTCGAGTACCTAGTTCGTGTTGGCTCTGTGAGGCCTTGCAGGCCAGATGAAAACCCAGCCGAGTACCTTGTACAGGCGGTTAGAGGGGAGTTTTCGTCGGGTCCAGTAGACAAGAAGCCAGATTATCCCGCCATATGGCAGGCCAGCGAGGAGCGCGTTGCACGCGAGTCGCAGCGAGAAAGTTTGATATCTGCCATCACCCATCCTGAGACAGCAACGCATACCGAACGCACGCACGCTGTGCCCTTAAATGTGCAATTCATGACGACAATGCGCCGCACTTGGTTGTATTACTGGCGGGAACCCGATTACTTTGTCTCGAAGCTGTTGATGAATATGGGAAACGCACTTCTCAACGGGTTGACCTTTCTCAACGCGGGGAATAATGAGCGCGGCGCGTATAACCGTCTCTTCTCGGCGTTTATGTCACTGATCGTAGGGCCGCCGCTAGGCCTGCAGTTGATGCCACGCTTCGTGGCACTGCGTGACATTTTCACACAACGAGAACAGGCAAGTCTATCATATAGTTGGCTATGCTTTGTGGTGCCGGCAATCCTCGTTGAGTTACCCTTTGCTTTCATTACTAGCCTAGTGTATTGGTTGCTGTGGTATTTCCCTGTTGGGTATTTTACCGATCCGGCGCATGCGGGTTATAGCTTCCTTATGTATGAGCTCTTCTCCGTTTTCGCCCACAGCCTGGCGCAACTCTGTGCCGTACTCATGCCCAGCCTCAACGCCGCTCTTATGGCAAACGGCTTTTTCTTCATGTTCGTCAACTGCTTCGCTGGCACACTATCTCCCAAACCCTCTACCCCGACGGGTTGGCGCTGGTATTATGATATTTCTCCCCTCTTCTACTTCAGCGAGGGTACGACAGCCGACATGCTATATGATCTTGAAATTACGTGCGAAGCCTCCGAGGCCTACGTTTTCCAGATACCATCCAACGGAACTACCTGCCAAGACTACGCAAAAGACTTCCTCCAGACAGCAACTGGGTATTTACTGAACCCGGGCGCGAGCTCTGATTGCCAATATTGCCGGTATAAGAACGGTCAGTCATACGTAAGTGTCATGCTCACCAACTCAGCTCTGCTGATCTTGAGCAGTCTTTGCTGACATGAGAATGCTTGGCCATGTAGTACTCTCAATGGGGCTACGACTTCGCAAATCGTTACAGAAATATAGGCATCTTCATCGCATTCATCGCATTTAATTATACCGCTGTTATCATGCTTACGTACTTGACCAAGGTCAAGAAATGGAAGAGGGAATAATTATGTCTGACTGCACCACGTGGGGGAAGCTCAATTGAGGGATACATTTGCCTCTTCGGATATGTTTTTCAAGCTATATCACATTGGTCTGGTTCTGTTTAGTTTGGCCCACGTTAGCTTATAAGAGCCTTCAAAGGCTTCTCGCGAGAGAGAGAGCGAAGAAAAAAATCCCATTAGGTAGTCTTTCTAGTCAGCTTTCTAGTCAGCTGTCTCCATTGTCTTATAGAGAACGAAGTTCCACCTTCTATAGATATTATTGGTGAGACAGCAAATATAACAAACAGGATCATGAAAGGTAATACACAATACGAGGGTCGTGCCACGTCTCTATGCTCAATTAATGAGTAAAAACAACCAAGGCGATCATGGTGGTTTCTTGTATTAAGCCTATCCAGCCTCACGAGGAGTGCATTTTGTCCTTGTCGAGCCCCTCCAAGCCGACGTCTTCCATCATTGCCCAGAATTCGGTTTGTGAACTCAGCGTCGTGCCCAGATTGGTCCACAATATGTCCATTGCATCCCAGTCGCTTCCCATATCGCCCATCGCAGGCAGAGCGTCCATATCAAGCTGGTTGAGGTGAAGTAGTTCGTCTGTAGTAGCGGCAGGGGTTGATGGTCGCGCTGTGGTTGTTACTGAGGATGCTGTTGTTAGTGGCCTTGGGTTTTGCCTCTCCGAGGTCTCACTGCTTGAAAACCCCATAGTCGGAGATACCGTGGCAGTGGGTTGTTGGCCGGCATCTGCAGTAGCTGGTACTGGTGGCGGCGGCGGTGGTGGTGGTGTTGTTGTTGATGTTGTCGTTCCTAGTGAAGCCAACCATGACGATGACGACCAACTATCACCGACGTAGAAGCCGCTCATGACAGCGCCAATGTCGTCTGCAAGGATGCGCGTGTTGGTAGTTGCAGATACAGCCATCGAAAATGTGCTGGCATACATATCGATAACGGTGATGCCCATCCCTATTGTTTTAAGTATTGCTGTGCTTGAATGGCATAGGGGAAAGGTGTACGCATATCCGAGCATGGTGAACAGGGCGTTCTTTTGCCAGCGACACACGAAATAAATACCACTCAGCACGTCGGACGTAGTCAGGGCTTGATGAACCATGGTAGTGAGTGCTATCGCATGGCTGAGACCGGCGGCAGCCATGCTATCAGATAATGGCGTCGATATTCCAGGGGTGGAGGCGAAGCAGATGAATGGCTGATACAGGCATATGCACTGGTGGTGGTACTGCAGCTCTATGAGCAGTCGCTGGCGCTGGCAGTGGATGAGAATGTTGGGGTTCGAGTCCAGGTCAAGAATTGAGCGGCTTGTTGAAAACGGTTTACCTTCTTTACGTGGTACATAGTAACCATTAGGCACATCCTTGGCCCATGCCTCAATCTCCTTCATCGGTTCCGCGAGAAATCGTGCGCATTCTTCGCGAATTTCGCCGTTGCTGACGAAGGCCTTATAGCCATCCTCGCCAACAAGATCATCGTATTTATTCGAGAAGTCAGTGCGAATAGTCCGAGCAGCGTGTAAAAGACGTAGAGTCTGCGTTTGAAACCCAAGCCAAGATGGACAGGTCTCGTCGTGCCGGTAATGTGGAGCCAGCGATTGAGCGATCTCAAGCGAGTCAGAAGGCAGCCGGCAAGTGGAAACCAATGGATCAATGATCGGTGGCCGACCAACTTCCACAGAAAGTATAGCGTCCAGGGCATACAAACTCCACCAAGTGCGCCGGGAAAGCTCTTTCTGCAACTCTGGCTCACTTGCAGGCGGTTCGTTGGGCAATCCCAGAAGCATGGCAATCATCACAGCCTTGCCGGCGATGCCATGGGCAGCATTCCATAGCCCTGCCTCGCACAGATAAATAATGCTGAAAACGTAGCATTGTACAGTGGTCAGTGATGGACTCTCAATTGTCTGGTCAATGGCCTCTTGGCAGCGGTTGTAATATTGGAAGCCGGCGGGAGTGGAACAGCTGGGTGGGGGTGAGCCGCGTGCACCGGCACGTGGATCGCTTGTGTGGTGAATGCGGAAGCTTCCCAGTTGTATACATAAGGCCAATATAATGTCCACCAGAGCCGACGCCTTGCGCGGTGCTCCAGCCCCGGTCTCAGCCACCAATTCTTGGTATTCTCTTCTTAGCTCACCCTCGTTGAGTATGGGAAAGCTAAAGTAATGTGTTTGCCAAAACAGAGCTAGATAGTGAGTTTCTTGAGATGGCGGCAGGAACTTGGCGCTCGAAGAATCTGGAGGCAACAAATTTGGAGTGGAGACGTGGGTCGAGATGTCTAGTTCTAGCTGAACCTCAAGCTGCGGTCGCGTCGCCTGAAGGAACTCACCCAAGCGTGTGATAAAGAAGGGCAGCGACGCCATGCCGTAAAGAATGGACCCGACACGGACGCCGTTGCGTGAAGCAGAGGGCCGCACGGTGTATGTTTTCGGGAATGAGGCGTTCTTTGCCGCCTCGACGGGAGACCTGGTCAAGCTCCTGGACTCTTCCAGCTTCCTCTTGCTGCTCTCCAGCTCGCGCATTTGGGTGCGAAGAGTCTCGACCTCTCTGGCTCACGTATACATGATCAGCCGATGCTCAGTGGAGGAAAAATCTTGATCACATACTTCACAGCCTCAGCGATGCTGCGAAACTGATTTTTGCCGCTTGTGCCACATGTGCGGTCGCCTTGTCGGCAGTTACTGCAAGGCCGGTCATTGTCGCACTTGATCCGCATCAGCTTGCACCAATTGCACGCGCGGCGGACCTGGGTTCGCTTGGGACGACTTGATAAGGAGCCGTCTTCTCCATTACCGTTATCGAGAGTGAGTGTCGTGAACATGGCCAGGAGCGGTCGACAGAGAGTGTAACACCACGGCTACATAGTAGGGTCTACGCGGTAATAGCGTTGTATATATGCAGCCTACAGGTACCACAGCAGCGTGAGGGGTATGATGTGTCCATATCTGGGACACTGAGTTAACTAAGAAATTTGGACTAGCGGTACAGACGCCTCCCGATTGTGCACAAAAGATTGCGCATACTCTGCATGAGGCGTATCAAGCGCAGTTCCTGATGACTGCATATCCTCCCCAGGATCTTCATTTGTTGAGTAAGTGCTAACTGGTTTTCTGCAAGATCTACGGGACCTGTTTCCGCGTCGTGGAAAGAGAAAACTGCGAAACGGCCAGTGAATTAAAGTTTCCGGGGGTGGTATTATCTGTCCGGTGGTGGTATTATGCTTCTGGTGGTGGTACAGGGATGTCGTTCACCACACGGGCGTCCTGCGGCGTTCTTCCTTAAGCAAGTAGGATGCCGATCAACAACAATTGCAGACGATGTAAACGAGGGCCAGCCACCACCATCATCACACGTGCATTCAGCTTAATGCATACATAAACGGCCACTGAACAGAGCAGCCTTATACTCATAGACCTGTAAGGAAAAGTACATATAAGTTGGGAACCATGCTGCTATGTCTCTTGGCAGCAGTATTGAAGATGAGGGTTTCCTTTATTTCATTTTATTTTTTAATTTGTAAAGAAGTAAAAGATGAACGTGTCGCAGTTTCGACAAAAGTGTTGTTTGAGACCATCATGGCCATTTCAGGGATGAGTGCATTGAAAACCGAGAGAGAAAAAAAAGTGTAGCGAAACAGCCTCCACGATTTAACGTGGTTCCGGATACAGGCGGCCGCTCTGACGCAGATGGACTATTGCAGTATCTCTGCGTATTGTCGTTTTCAGTCGCAGCTGCGGCTGCTAGATGTTGCATTCCGATGCAGCTGTCGGCATAATCTCCCGCTATCATCAACGAATTGCGTGTCGCTGCCCACTGCCAGAGGAGCGTAAAATACATGGTCAGGGTCGTATTTTCGCTTAATGTCTAGAAGTCGACCGTAATTGGTGCCGTAGAACGCTTTCTGCCACCCTGGCTGGTTCGGATCGGCCTGTTCAAAGGTCGCCCAGTTAGCATGCATCATGATGCGGAGTTCTTCCCACCTGTTTGCCCGTGGCAGACGCCAAAAACCTACCTCGCTCATATAGGCGCCCGTTTGCGGAGCCAACCTGGACAAGGCTGGCACGCAAATCTGCGTCATTATATGCGCCAATTCCTGTGCACGCTGCGGGTCGGCCCCTTCCGGCCATTGCCTGCAGACGCGCTATTTAGTATGTGGGTTACAATGCCTTTCAGCTCAGCGATATGTATAAGAATATGAGAACTCGACGTACGTAGATAAGATAACGTTCAGCGCTGTTTCGCGCCAAGCAGGTAGTACCGAATTTTCCGTTAGACGGCCCTCGGCTCTTGACACATTGAGTGCCAACCCCACGAAAACGCAGCCCGCGTCTGTGATCTCCTGGATGGCCGACGTCAATTCTTCAGGATTGTGCTCTAGCACCGAACGCGGCACCATCCACCCGCCATACTGCGCATTCTGAACTAGTTGTGTCGGATTTGGCTTGATGAGCTTCTGCCAATAGTCGAGCCAGTTGGGGTGCTCGCTCACGTTCAGACTATAGGCCGGGCCCTGGTGCTCAAGCTGTTCTACAAGAGGTGCCAAGATCTCCCACGCGTCGGTACGGGACAAATTAGGTAGGGTCAGAGGCGTCAAGAGGAATGTGTCATTTGTCAGCTCGGCGATGCCCATTCCACCAGCAGCCGTGATCTTAGGGACGAGTTCATGATACTTGCTTACTGCACTGTGGAAGGCTTCTGGCCGCCCCCGATCAAGGTTGAAGCGAAGTTGCGCGCCGGTCACAGGCATGTCTGGGTGTAGCTTGAGCACAACGGATAATACGATGCCGTATGTGCCGCCTCCTCCACCTGAAAGCGCCCAGTACATGTCGGCATTCTGCGAGGGCGTGGCTTTGAGAAGCCTTCCTGTGCCGTCCACCACCTCCCACTCCACAGCTTGGTCAGCGGCCAGGCCGTATTTTGAACTCAAGGCCGAGTGGCCACCCCCTGCGAGGAGATTATTAGAGACTCATTTCAAGTGCCGTATAGGTTTGAACCAGCCAAAGAAAGTTGGAATTACCTTGTATATATCCTCCTACCACACCAACGGTGGCACAGTCGCCACCTACGACGATAAAGCCATGTGCCCGCGCGGCCACGTACGCCTCCTCTACCTGGACACCCGCTCCAAGTCTAATCGCTGGTCCATTGTAGAACTTACTGCTATACCATATATACTCAATACTTTTCATATGGTGCGTCCACACAGAGAGCGCCCACTTTCCGGTAGACCTTCCCAAGTAGCTCCACACTCTCAAGTCAGTATCATCATTTTGAAACATTATAGACTTCAGGGGCTACGGACTCGTGACCAGTGTTGCGTATCACCAAGCGGATGTCCTTTTCGCGAGCAAAGGAAATCGCGCTGGCTATGTCTGAGGCGTCTGAAGCGTTTACCGAGTATGTCACTGTATTACCAGGCTCACAAGGCAGCTCGCGTACTGTAAATGGATCACAGCTCAGGTTAGCTACTGCTGCTGCCATCACTGACGAGCTCGAATCATCGCTGCATCTATTAGTGAGTGTGCATGTGGGCGGAAGAGGGTATTGTAAGGCGAGGGCACGAACTGCAGCTCCGGTTGGTTCCAATATTTCTGCACGTAGTTGCAAGTAGCCTCATCGTAATTTGGATTATGGCAAACGGCAGCGAGCTGACTGGGAGTCACAAGTCTTCCTCGAATGGTAGCATTGAGTTCCACCCAGTCCTGTACGGTCGGCCAGCATTCGTCGCCAGGTATGCATTTGCATGCCAAGTTACCCACCAGTTGTGCAGCCGATTGTTGCACTAAGGTAAAGCAGAGAGTGAGGGCACCTATAAGAATTGCTGAAGAAAACATGGTAGTCAGTGCATATCCGCAGACATCGGCGTCGTCGTTTCAGCACTCTCTGCTTGCCCAATTGTTTTGATATAAGGCATCGAAGTCGCATCAACACTTGTTTTTCTTTGGGTAAGAAGTACCAAAGGTCCGTCTCCGGGTGCACAAAAGAGTGGAATTACGGAACCAAGTCATACATAAATATGCCTAATGGAGTAGTTTGATCGCAAAGTACGCCTGGAGTTAAATCGACCCACTCCCTCTAAGTCTTTAATGCGCGATGGCTTGACGTGACAGGAATTGACACCTTGTAGTCGATACCCCTGATATCTACTGTTGTGATCATCATACAACCCAATCCGTGACTATATCCCAAAGTCGACGTGTTACATTTGGGATTAACTTCATGCCTCCGGACTTGTGTCCCAATCGGGCCGACTCCGGAGTCTCGATGGTAAAATGAAGTGGCGATCGCTATGATCTATTTGGTCAATCCCGGCTGACGTTCCGATCTTATACACTATTCCCGGGTGGAGGCATGAAGATCCAATTAACGGTTTTGCAAGATCCATTCTTCAGCCCTGCGGTAGGGTTCAGAAAGAAACCAGCCAACCAAAAGACACGCCTGGTTGGACAGTGGTAAAGCAGTACGCAACCGACTGATCCGGTGATTGAGCTGGGGATACAACATGGTGATTTGAGTAACAATACCCAGGTATCATGCACTAGGTAATTACTTTTTTTATCGTCTCATTTCAGTTGACTACGCAGTCTTATCCATGTGTAAACTCCAGCTGAAAGCCGTGAGTACTGCGCCTTAGCCACTCGGGTAATTTTCTTTACAATATGTCTAGAGTTATTGCTCTTCTAGAAGATGAGGTTCCAAGACGTACCAGTCTGGGATAACTCCACTGAGACGGACAGAATTTTCGCTCAGAAACCGCCCGACCACCGATCTCTGAACACTAAGACAAGTCCACTGTTCGCTTTAGAATGTGGAGTGCGAGTGATGTGGACAACCTGTCATCACACAGAATGTCGCAGTGCATGAAAAAGAGGTTATTTCAAATATATTGCGCCTCAAATAACTGGCCCTAGGGCCCATAACTGATTAGAGCCTTTTCTTTTACTCCCAATCATTGCGGCGATCTAGATAGCTGAAGCATAGAGATTTTCTGTCAGGTACGGATATCTTGGAGACTCTTAACAGTATCGATGATAGTCTCCCGTAGCGGCCGATATGTTAGTCCAAGCACCTCTCTACTACGCGTATTATCAAATCCATAGGACCCGTGCTCTGGATAATCACCTGCCTTGAGTGCTTCCCCTGACGGCAAGTTCTCCTTCAAGTCCGGAAAGTTATCGGCTAAGATCTCAACTATCTCTTTGTTGGAGAATTTATTGCCAACCATGAAGAATCGCTTGCCAGCTGCCTCGGGCTTCTCTGCCACAAGCGCGTGGCCGAGGGCCAAATCACGCACATCTACAAAGAGATGATTGCCAGTGGGTGGGCAGGCCTGTTTGGCGGCGCCGACCATAAGATCACGGATTCGCTGGTTGGAAGTATTCAGCGTGTCAAGGGAATCTAAGTGATGAAGGATGGGGCCCAGGACCAGAGGTGGATTGCACTGAGTTACGTACGTCAATTGACCCATCGACGGAGCGTGATTTGCGCATGGTTTACTTACCACTGATAGGGAGAATCTAGGGTTCTTTTCCTCTATAAACCTCCACGCCGCTTTCTCCTACAGGTTATCGGTAGTTGCTCGTATTAGGCAGTAGTTTTGATGAATACTCACTGCAAACGTTTTGCTGGCTCGATAGCCATTGGCGGGACCAATTAGGGCCTGCTCTTCAGTAACTGGGCACCAATCCGCCTCCGAGTATACCTTTGTGGGCCGACTTTGGTCCAAGATGGCCGCTGATGAGGATGTTATGACAACACGCTTAACATTGGGGGCATGTCCATGAATAGCCTCTAATAGGCCAACTGTGCCGTTGATGGCTAATACACACGTTAGAGACGGTAAGCACCGAGAAGGTCTTAAACAGTTGCTCCTACCAGGCTCAAGCAGTTCAGTCTTGTTATCTCGGGAATTGAAGTGGTATGGACTGGCTGTGTGGATCACCGTTTCGAATGGCGGATCAGAAATGACTGCCTCATCGAATGCTGAGTCGGAACTTAGCAGTCGATCTTAAAACTGATTGCAGATACCTACCCCCCGAGCGCGCGATATCTTTGACGATCACAACAGACAGAGTCTCGCTTGCAAGATGCGGATATGCTTTGAGTATGTTTTTGCCCTTTTGTGCTGACCGAACCGTCGTAACGACGGAATGCCCCCGCCGTATAAGCGTCTCCAATACGTGGGCCGCGATGAAGCCGCTGCCACCAGTGAGCAAGATCCTAGTCATGTTTACAAATGTGTTGTTGCGCGAAGTTTACCATGCTTGGGTCCAAGTATGCTCCGATGGGCCCAGAGATATGCGTGTCGCAGCTTGCAGATTGACGTGCAACAAAGCTCCTTTCCTAATGGGGTTGTCGGAGTCCACCTCGGCCGCGCCTGCAAGAACTCCGGGTACTCCAAGGTCTTGATCTGATTTTCGAGTTCGACGCAAAGTTGTGTCCATTGAGTCAGTCGTTCAAATGGATGAAAAATTAACGCATACATTTGTGGAAGTCATGACTTCATACTCATCAACAATCTAGACCAAACCAGGAACCATTCGCGCTGTGGCTGCAGATTCACCTTTGTTTCGATGGCGGCCAAAAACGACATTCAGCTGATTGCTGATGCTGAGAAAGCCACCCCAACCAGCTCGCATGATGGCAACTCAGCTACTGCTGGGCATGACGAGGAGGCGCACCGCGTCGTCACGCGAAGGAATTCTCCAACGAAGCTTGGAAATGCAACAGCAGTGTTAGTTTCGGATACATGCTCTCCCCTTATCTTCAGTAACCAAAGGCTCATATACGCTGTTGATCGCAGTGCGCTCGCGGGATTCCTCCTCTCGTTGAGCCCTCTGAGTTGCATGCTCATGGGTTGGCGTGGGGCGGCTAGTAACGGTGCGTCCGCCACTGGTATGTACATGTTTGGTGGCGGCGGCCTCCTATGGTTCGGGGGCATAGGAGAGTGGATTGTGGGGAATACCTTCGCCTCAGTCGTGTTCTTCGCTTTCGGCGCCTTCTGGTTCAACTTTGGCGCAGCGCTGATGCCTTTTTTCAACGCATATGGCGCTTACTCGGATGATCCAGGGAATCCTGGTCTCGGTTTGTTTACAGTTGCGTACAATTCAGGTTGGGGTAGGCAGCAGCACCTTTGAGGGCTATGATAGGCGCGCAAACTTGCTGACATCGTTTACAGGCTTTGTAACACTGTCTATGGCATTCCTGAACGCCATCTTTCTTGTATCATCCTTGCGGACCAATGTTGTCTTCTTCTTGATGTTCGCGTGCGTCGTTTCGGCGTTAAGCTTCTTGACTGGTGCCAACTGGCAGATATCGAATGGAGACGAGATTCTCGCTGAAAAACTCACAGTGGCGGGCGGTGCTTTCTTCCTGGGTGCTTGCGCTTGTGGTTGGTGGTGTTTGGCTTCTATCTTGCTCACAGCTGTAGACTTTCCATACCACTTGCCTCGTAAGTCGTGCGGCATCTCTCGCACCACCCGACATTTACTCACCTTATTTAGTCGGTGACCTTTCAGGTATTGTGAAAGGAAGAAGTGAGCTACGAAGAGTTCGAGACGAACGCCACTAACAGGAGCAGACCATATTGATAATGGCTTCAGTAAACGTGGTCACTGGTCGGACTGCCCCCCCCGCGAAAAAGGACCATGCGCAATAGTGCTGTGCACATCATGTGATGCAGAACGGCTGGACTTGGAAATACAGATTAATTTGTGTTGAAAATTTCCTGAAGCTCCTTGGCAATCAGTGTACGGATTTAGTCTTGTGAAGGCCTTTTTTCCTTTTTTCTTTCCCCCCTTCTCTGCTGGGGTGAACGACTCTGCTCCTGATTTTACCACTAGACTAGTCTTGTCATGTAAACACTGAAGAATGAGATGATATATAACGAGTCTTTCTCTGTTCAAGTTTGAACATAGGTACGATGGATTTGTCCATCACAATATTTTAAATACCATTTCCTGCCGCTTTGAACCTCATGGGGCTATGTGATGGCGAAATCAGTGATTCGCAGAAAGATGATGATTTAGAATCGGCCCAGGCGGCAACGGAGCACGCTACTTTTGGATCACTGACAAGACCATCTTGAACAAGCATGCCCCCGCAGTCCTATGATTCATGTTTTTACTTATGATTTAAATATTATGCTGGACTATAGGGGCTATGAAGAAATCTAGTGAGGACAGTGTCAGTGATCAAAAGTAACATCACAGCAACGCGAGTCTACCAGGTAAACTTTCATTCATTACTTCCTGGAATCAGTTATTCCCAAAGCGGTTGAAAACGGTGCTTTCAATATCCTCAAACTCCCGCAATATAGTCTCTTTGACTTTTTGTGACCGTAAGACCGGCTTACAACCATACTCCTTGGGACAGTACAGGAACCCATTGTGATACCCTGTGACTGGGTCAGAGTCAATAGGAACCGTCCGCCCATCCGGCCCTGTTACCCGTTCGAACTTGAATGCCCATATGAGCTTGGCAATGGACAGCAGCATATTCCGCTCGGCGAGGTACATGCCAGGACATATACGGCGCCCGACGCCATAACCATAGTGATCTCGTTTCTTCCAGTCGCCTCCTGCGACATATCCCGGAGCCAGAAGCGGATGATCACGGTAGCGGTCCGGGTTGAACTTCTCCGGGTCCTCCCACACCTGCGGGTCCATATGCATACCCCAGCTGTTGATTACGACGATAGTGCCTTTGGGAAGGAATTTACCCTCAACCCAATCGTCTGGAGTGAAAGAAACATCGTTAGTTAGCTTCAGCTACTATATAACGAGCCAGTGATTTTGGATCAATGAGTTAGGAATTACCTTGACCTAGAGCATGAGGGAAGCAAAGTGGCAGAATAGGTCGCCAGCGGTGACCTTCCTTCACGATCATATTAATGTAGGGGAGATTTGCCATGTCGGACCAGACAGGAGTACGGTCTTCGTTAACAACGGCGGAGATCTCGCGGTGGGCCCTATCCTGGACTTCGGGATTAAGGATAAGGGCCTGTATAATGGCCAGGATGAGCGATGAGGAGGTATCTGAGCCGCCTTCCATTAGGACGCCGCCGATGAAACGAAGCTGGTCTCGTGGCAGCTCGGTCTTTTCCTGCTGGTCCAGGACTACGTCCATAAAGGAGCCAGTATTACGCGTTTCCCGCCGCTTGATCACAGCTTGGAGAGTATCCTCATAGAGACCTTCCATTTGTTTCCCGACAGCCTGAGCGCGTTTCTTGTAATTGCGAAACAACTTTTGTGGTAACAACTTTAGCCACGGGAAGATGTCAACGGGTGGCGTGCTCCCAGTCTCCATGAGCTCCGACCATGATTCCATCAGGTTGTAGAGACGCCTCATGTACTCAGAGCGGACATGGCTAGTACGTATCCCGTAGACTATAGGCCCGCATGAGTAGTCCTTCTTTCATAGGAACGAAATACTTACTAATTGAGTTGCTAATACTATTGCTAAATCGCTTCGGATGGAGCATGTGATCTTCAGGGTAGAGCATGTAGTCCCGGACGAGTTGAACAGCTTCAGCATTGACAATGGACAAGTGTTCACGCTCGACCATGTCTTCAGTCAGGTGTTGGTGGATAAGGCGTCGGAATGTACGCCATTTATTCCCATAGAACATGACAAGGAGATGGTTTCCGTTCGTGATCAAATCATGGGAGACATACGACTGAGGTCGATGACTGTATATGTTGCTTTTTTTATCCACAGTACTCTTCACAATACTTCGGTCAGTTATGATTGCCATGGTAGCGTTTCCAAGCTTCAGGGTGTAAAGGCCGCCGTATCGGCGCGCCCACTCTGTAAATCTGTTCGGCAAATGTGAGCGTCTGATCGCTGTTGACAACCCATAGCTTGGCTTACTTTATGTGCGTATAGGCTTTGGGTAATTGGTGCAGATTGCCGATGAATGGCAATGTCTTCGGCCCTTTCACGTGTCAGTTGTGTTGGAAGGCCGCAGGCCTGGGTCCATACCAGGGGGCATATCCTTCTTGCGATGACCATATTTGAACGCGCTGTAAAGCACACACAGCAATAGTGTAACGAAACCTGGAAGGAATATGGTCGTTGCCTGCATGTTGAAGATGTCTCGACGATATAGTAAGTGAACTCGGACAGGCACTAATGGTGTATCTCAGGATTAGGTTAGTTCTTCGCCTTTATTTTATCACCGCACAGAACTTTCATTCAAATGCGCTATGACTATAGTCAAGGATATTAGCAGATAAGGCCTTCGCTGAAATCAAACTGGCAGCAATGCGTTTCCTTTACAAGTTGCCGTTGCTCCATAACCCTTTTCGACAGGTATTCCGGAAGCTCGGAGTCCCCGGTCTTTGAAAGGAGAAATTCGGAGTTTTGGTTCGTAGATCTAAGTTACTCAAACAATCGGGGGAGGTTGTGTCGTCTAATGGAGCTTGAGTTACCACCCCCTCCCCCTCAAAGAAAACATACATACGTACAATCATGTTTGCATGATGGATATATTTAAAATCTGTATGCGAGTCTAGTAGCTTGACAGACTGCAGTCATTTTTCCAACATTTCATTCGACTTTAGCTGGACTTTTAAACGAGCGTTGCCATGGGAACCCCGCGAATTGACGTCCACCATCACTTCCTCCCACCTTTCTATGTGCATGGTAAGTGAATGAGCTGCGCTACCACGGTTATATCATTTCGGCTAATTTATTCACCGCAGCTCTAATTGAAGGTGGTGGAGACCCATCAGGATGGACGATTCCTATTTGGACTCTGGAGAAGGATCTCCAATTCAACAAAGAGGAGAATATAGCGTTTGCGTTCTTATCCATTACAGCTCCTGGAGCAGGCATTCTTCCGCTTGAGAAACAGGCCAGCTTTTGCCGTCAGGCGAATGAGTATGCAGCTAAAATACGTGATGCTGACCCGACGCACTACGGCTTCTTTGCCAACATTCCGTCACTGCTGGATCCAGTTGCAGCTCACGAGGAGATCACTCATTCGTTGTTGAACTTGCACGCCGATGGCGTCATACTTTATACTCGATACGGTGAGGACAATCACTATCTTGGACACCGAGATTTTCAGGCCACTTGGGATCTTCTTAATGGTTACGGCGCCGTGGTTTTCGTTCATCCCACACATCCCGTCGACACGTCGCTTGTGAATGCATCGCTGCCCCAGCCCATGATAGATTATCCCCATGAGACCACTCGCACCGCAGTCGACTTAATCGTCTCGGGTACCGTCCGATCACACCCCGATGTAAAAATCATTCTGTCGCACGCAGGAGGTACACTTCCATACCTCGCACTGCGGCCAGCGGCCATGCTGCCGTATGTTCCATCCTCGTCCACCAAGGGGGCTACTATCACCGGGGCTGGGGCCAATCAGCTGGAAAATATCATGGTGGAAAGTTTTATGGAAGATGCTAGAAGCTTCTACTTTGATACAGCGCTGTCGGCGGCGCCACTGACGTTGGGATTGTTGAAGGATTTTGCCAAGCCAGGGCACGTATTGTTTGGAAGCGATTTCCCGTACGCCCCGTCGCCTGCTATCCGGCAGATGGATGAGCTTCTAGATGAATATGGCAAGAAAGATGAGTCGTTTGTGTTGTCGGCCAATATCACCGCGGCACTTGCTTTGTTCCCGCGTTTGTCAAACGCTCTCGAAAACTCTGTGGCCACGACCACTCCCTAGCTACATATCTTTTATAACAGGAAAACTCATAAATCTTCCATTGTTGAATCCTCCCAATAGTCTTTGTTTGACCATCATGTATTTTACCTATTATGATGTCTCAATTGCAGGTGGGCTGAGGCAGCTCAGCTCGAACGGCTCATGTTGGTCAAAGAGCAGTGGCTGAAACGTGAGTTTTCAAGCAGATATTGAATTAACTGGTAAAATGAAATCTAAATGATTGTAATGATATGAGTTCAGTAATGAATTTAATCATAGTTGGCAAAAGTCTTGCCAGCAGCCTGGAACTCATTCCTGATAGTTTCGGCTCTTTTCTGGGACCTGACGGTGATTTCACACCCGAAATCTGCCACGCACTGCAGAAAGCCGATGCTTGACTTGATCTCTGAATCATCGTTGATATTCTTGCGAAATTCGAAAGCCCACAACAGTTTCGCCATGGCGATGAAAAGATTACGCTCGGCCAAGTGGATGCCAGGACAGACGCGACGTCCTGCACCATAACCAAAATGGTCGCGGTCGGGCCCATCACTTGTATACCGCGACGCCAGCTTAGGATGACTAGTATAACGGTCCGGATTGAATTCCTCGGGCTTTTCCCAGCGCCGCTCGTCGTGGTGCATGCCCCATACGTTGAGCACGACCGTAGATCCTTTGGGGATGAAGTGACCACCGACCCAGTCGTCTACACCAGATGTCAGTAGACATGTAACTAAAGGGAAAATAAGACTACTCTACCCTCAGCGACAGCGTGGGATACTCCCAATGGACTGACAGGCCGCCACCGGTGGCTTTCTTTAATCATCATGTTGATGTAAGGAAGCTTGGAAAAGTCTCCCCAGGTAGGGGAGCGACTTTCGTCCATAACAGCATCTATCTCAGCTTGGGCCCTGTGTTTTCGTCACGTCAGCACAGTTCACCTAGGAAGCCAACAATAAATACAAGTGGACATACTTCTTTTGAACTTCAGGGAATTCGATCAATGCACGGACCATGGCGAGGATAAGTGAAGATGAAGTATCAGAACCACCTTCCATAAGAACCCCACCCAGAAAATGTAGTTGATTTGGCGTGAGAGCATTCTTCTCGTTCTGGTCTAACACAATATCCACTGCAAAATTCGACTTAGATTATACTCTTTTAGATTGCATAAGGACTTTTCTTCGAAAAGCATCCTTAGGCACGAACAAGTAAGAAAAAGGCATGAAGCAAGAGCCTAAATATTGTTTTCGAGTTCACTTACTAAACGATCCGCGGTTCAGGCCATTTTCGCGCCTCCGCTCCACGTGGCCAAGGACTTCAGTGTAGAGCCCGGTCATCAGCTTGCCCACGCCCATGGCACGCGACTTCCATCCTCCAAACAATTTCTCAGGGACCAATTTTAGTAATGGAAATGAGTCGACTGGAGGAGTTGCCCCAAATTCGAAGATCTCGCTCCACTCGTTCAGGAGAGAAAAGAGTCGGATCAGATAGTCGCTATGGATTGTCTTGGTCCTGACTCCGAACACTACGACGCCCCTCCGTTAGATATGCTGCTAGCAATTCGTCAAACAAGTAGGAATCGGTTTATTGTTAACGTACCAAGCGAATTAGTGATGCTATTACTGTAGCGCTTAGGGTGCTTCATGTGATTTTGCGGATCGACCAGGAAGTCATGCATTAGTTGAGTCGCCTCGGCATTTTGCAGGTGAATATGCTCCTTATCACACTTGGGCTCCATGAAGTATTGGTGGATCAGTTTTCTGATACGTCTCCAGTCTTCGCCGTATTGCATCAGTAGTAAGTGGTCACCTTGCGTGATAAGTTGTCCGACGTACGAGACTGGACGATGGCTGTATAGACTACTCTTTTTATCCAGCAGTTCCTTGATCATGTACGGATCGGATACGACCAAGGTCGTATTGGTGAACCTTTTCAAGGTGTAGATACCGCCATACTTTTTGGCCCACTCGGTGAATCTGGAGCTGTTAGTGGCTGATTTGACTGATATCGATGCGCTTAACTACACAAAGTGGGCGTTGGATTTTGGGATGAGATGCTCATTTCCAATAATAGGCCGTGTTGGTGGCCCTGTGCTGGCAATTAGAGCTTGTGTATCATCTAGATTCTCTATTTCGACGTACCTGGCGGCATCATACGATCACGGTGCCCAAGCCTAAGTATTTGATGGACTGAGAATATAATCAAAACAACAGTTGCTACCCCTAGGGGCACGGACCAATGAACATAAATCATGGCGCTAGTTTGAACAATGCCAATATGATTCTGCACAAAGATGCCCATCAATCTGGGTATAAACGCCTACTATACTTGATCCTTGTGCAGTCACTGAGACGTCGGCCACAATATTTCGTAATAGCTGTGGAGCCTTCCCATATTTCTCACTTGTATCTTGTTTCCGATGTTGCGCTCCTTATGGCATCTAGGTTGCGTTGAACAAATTCGGAAACAGATTATAATTAGCTTCGCATACTAAGGTGGTCTGGATCGGTTCAGAAGGGTAATGGTGGAACATCAGTTTGGGGAAAGCTCCCCATCCACACTCCGGTATCTCCTTTTGGAAGGTTTGTTACTGTGAAAGGCATTGCGGTAGTTCCTAGGTTCCTGCATGCAACATTTATGCAAAACCTTCCTATGGCGATACTGTTATATTAGCAATATTAACTTATGCTGTGGCAATAGCGAAAATCTCGCCAATAACTGTCGTATCAAAGTCGTCGCCATGTAGAGCTCCTAAAAGCCTGTATTTGGGAGAAAGAGTGGGACTAAACCACTGCGCATCAACAAAATTGCAATAAAATAGATCAATTGACAGTCAATGATGTGTTAGTACATCAATTGAATCGTTGGGTAAGGATTGTTATTTCTTAGCTGTCCCGTTACTGTCCAGGAAGCGAATGTTGTTGTGCTGAGGGGACCCATACTATGGTCAACAACAATGCTTAGGACGACATATATAGGACTAAGTATCTCTAGTGAGGCAAAAAGGTGGGATCGACGATTGGAATTCATTAGTTCCCAGACATTACTATAATCATTCACCGTCAAACGATCCGTAAAACTCAAGTTGGGATTTTTGTCGTGTCGCGTAAGACACGAGCGATTGACTAAGATATAATACTATCCTAGTTTCCAACCGTTGCCGTAGATGTGCGACTATGTAGGCTGCCCACGCCATTCGTTGGTTCGTGGTCTTTACTGCCTTTGTTCTTTATCAAGGTCGCACTGTCCGACGACTCCGTCAAGTCGGTAGTCCATTGCTCGTACTCGGCGTTCAAAGGCTTTCCCTGATCTAATGCCACCTGCTCTTCCCAATTCCTGGCCGCACCATAGGATTCATGTACTAGATGACGTTGGAACCATGATCCTTTCATCTTAGCCACCGCGTAGTCCCAATCTGTTGTATATTCTTTGAAGAATGGCTTGTAACCTAACAAACCTCCAACCCACCGGCCGAGAAACACGCTTCCCCAATATCCTATGAATCGGCGAAAAGGAACCCACTTAGGCGGTACAGAGTAGGCGTCGCCGCCGTCCTGGATCTGTCCGTCCTCGTTAGTAACATGTTGTGACGAGAGAAAGTGTAGTATTAGTGTCAATAAATGACCAGCAGAGGCTGTAAACTTACCGCTAGATACTGGATAAAATCCAACTTTCCCTCGTGAAGCAATGCGTCATGCCAGTAGCCGTACCAATTTTCAAAGAAAATCCGGTCAAGCTGGTAGTCCATGCCGCTATCGGATGCACTCAGATAGACGGTCATCTCGCTAGGAGAGTCTGGATGAATATAAAACCGATGCACTCCGCCAGCCTTCACAGATATCTCGCCATCCTCGGGATAGACCTTGCGATGCTCACCGTTGAGCTCTATACCCATAACCCCAGACTCGACGCGAAAGTACTCGGTCTGGAACTGGTGAAAGTGCAATAAGGGACCTTTAGGTCTTAGTGGTGAGTCAATCAACCGCCTCAGATTATCTGGAATGGGGCCGTCGACATTGTGCTTGTAGGTCTGCCGGAAGAGGAAGCAGCGGCCTGGTGGCGGCTGGAGAAACTCAGTTGTCAAGATACCGCCAAAGCTGAGACGACTCATGAGCAGTTGGTTCAAAAGTTCTAACTTCTAGATGTACACTTACTTGACGATTGTAGTCTGACCAGCAGAATTGTGGTATGGCACAAATGGACGAAACAATGGCATGATGTGGAATGTAGCTCCGGCGACGGTCACAACTCACCATGCAATCTGATTGTCGTTGAGTGAAATTGCCTTTGCTTTCATTTTCTTTCGAGAGAGGTGAAACGCTCACTATTAAGCGACGAACAAGCTTCCGGTTCGACGTAACCGTTTTTAGTTACTAGTGTACGTATTTCCAAATCAAGACAATTTTGTCCGGGGTACGTGGGGGCTCCGCGAACTACCGATTAGATCGAAATATGTACGATTATGCAATCAATTGTAATCATTCATGTAAACATGGTCGACGCCGTTTAAGATCTCAGCACTGTGGTTGCGAACCAATAATGCGGCTTTTATTGGCTGAGCTCCTAACCTGTCATAAGCAGGCAAGACCCTTTTTCAGCTACTCCAGGTCAAGCTCCGACGACTCCGGACATGTCGGCTTTCTTTGCTTAAGCAGCGTTTCAAGGTAACACATCAATGCAGCGAATGCTAGACCAATCGGCAATTAGCACAATGAGTAGAGGTCTTTTATTTACTTCCGCCAAGACTCAATACCAATTCTTGGAAAGGTTTGACGGACGGGCCTATACCACATTGTCTAAAGCTCACGTGAGATTGTCTGCTATTTTTCCAAAACATGAATAAGTGAGATAGCTGCAATTGTAGTTGCAAGTGGCAAACGTTTATCCACTTGACGTCACTTCTGTCTTTGAAATGATCCTCAAAGCATTGTCGAAGGCTGAGTTATGATTGATCCGCTATGGAGGCGCCTCGTTTGTAAGCAGGGGTATATTGCTGGGGGCGAATATATTTAGGTATGCAAACATTCGTTTCGAAAGTCCGCAATCAATGCACTCCACCCCGAACAGAAATTTCCTGATTTGGACTTGGATATATTTCGAGTTAACTATCTTGAGCCACAAAGGAAAGCCGGGGAGACCGGGGCTCAACAAACAATACCTCCGAGTAAGTGGTTTGAAATGCCAGTTCTGTGCAACAGTTCCGGTTTAACTTAATTAATCAAAAGCCGATTTCATATATAATCTTGCATCTTGAATCATCTGGCGGGCCTCTTGGCCTCTGTGAATCTATGTCTGTTCCTATGATATAATCCATCCGCAACATAGCTCACGATGATATCTAGCGGCGGCACGGGAGCTTCTAGCCCCTATACTAAGTTATCGGGGAGTGCATCCCCATCCTTCGGCAATAGTTCCACAAGCGAGCTGAGCGATGCTGTACGTTATCATGTTTCCCCTCAATAAGCGACATAACAAGCTTATTTGACTCCAGACTGACTTCAACGCCAACGATGTGGCGGTGATTGGCATGGCGTGTCGCGTTGCTGGTGGTGCCCATAGCCCGGACCAGTTGTGGGATTCTATCATGGCCCAACGAGATGCGTCATCAGAGATTCCATCCTGGAGGTGGGAACCATACGAACGTCGTGACCCACGGAATGTGAAAGAGTTGAAGAATACAACCAAACGTGGATACTTCCTCGATGCTATAGAGAATTTCGACCCAGCTTTTTTCGGTATATCGCCTAAGGAAGCCGAGCAGATGGATCCTCAACAACGCATCTCACTCGAAGTCGCCTGGGAGGCCCTTGAGAGAGCTGGGGTTGACCCCAAATCACTCTCCGGCTCAAACACAGCGGTGTTCATGGGTGTCAATTCTGATGATTATAGCAAACTGTTGCTCGAAGATTTACCCAACGTCGATGCTTGGATGGGAATCGGTACAGCATATTGCGGCGTACCAAATCGAATTTCCTATCACCTCAATCTTATGGGCCCGAGCACAGCAGTGGATGCAGCGTGCGCTAGCTCTCTCGTGGCCATACACCACGGCCGTCAGGCGATCATGAATGGAGAATCCAACATCGCTATAGCTGGGGGCGTTAATGCCCTTCTGGGTCCCGGCCTGACTAGAGTTCTTGATAAGGCTGGGGCTATCTCCTCAGATGGCTCATGTCTATCGTTCGACGATCGTGCTCATGGTTATGGACGCGGCGAAGGCGCTGCTATTGTGATTTTGAAACACCTGGGAAACGCTATAAAGGACGGAGATAATATTGTAGCTGTTCTCAAAGGAACAGCTGTCGCTCAAGATGGCAAAACAAACGGCATTATGGCTCCAAATGCCAAAGCACAAGAACTCGTGGCACGCCAAGCCCTTGAGCAGGCAAATATCGACCCAATAACAGTACAATACGTCGAGGCTCATGCCACTTCGACACCGCTTGGGGACCCAACGGAAGTCAGTGCCATTTCCGCGGTCTACGGACAAAGCCGGCCTAAAGAAGAACCAGTCAGAATTGGTTCGGTCAAGCCCAACGTCGGTCATCTCGAGGCCGGTGCAGGAGCTGTTGGCTTTATCAAGGCGTAAGTTTTTCTATAATTACTCACTATCCATTTGACCCCCTTCTAGATACTATACTCCCCAAATACTAGCAAAAGCTTCTGAGACAGTTGGCTATAGCTTTAATTATCTGCTCAGCAGTCCCCAAGAAGAAATAGCTAACTTTAATAATCATAGTATCATGGCTATCAAGGCGGCGCAATATCCACCCCAAGCGAATCTGCAAAAGCTGAACTCCAAGATTGACTGGGAAAAGTCGGGCACAGCCGTAGTTCAGGAGGCTGCCGAATGGCCTCAACCGAGCGGGCACCCACGTCGAGCGGCTATCTGCTCTTACGGGTACGGTGGTACTGTATCACATGCAGTCGTTGAACAGTTTGCGCATGACTTTGATACGGCCAACCTTGGTGCCTCCAAGCACCCCCGAGGTCCTATCCTCTTTGTGTTATCAGCGCCCCAGGAGAAGCGACTTGGCCGAGAAGCTTTGGCCTTGGCTGAATGGCTCGCTACACCTGTTGGAAAATTGGAGAGTTTGGTGTCTATTGCCAACACTCTCGCACTGCGCCGGGCTCAACACGACTATAGGGCTGCGTTTGTAGTCGAGAGCCATGAGCAGGCTGTTGGAGCTCTTAAAGCGTTCGCCGAAGGCCTCAAGCAAGAATGGTCCTCAAGCAGCGCTGTTCTCGGTCCCGGCATCAAAAAGGACGTGGTCTGGGTCTTCTCAGGCCATGGTGCCCAGTGGACCGATATGGGCAAGGAGCTTATCGGAAAAAATGCTGTCTTCTACCAAGCCATCCTACCTCTAGACGATATTACCCGAACAGAACTTGGCTTCTCTGTTATCGAATCCTTGACGAACGGAGAGAACTTTGACCGGTCTGACCGGGTGCAGGTGCTCACTTACGTCATTCAAGTCGGGCTATCTGCTGTGCTGAAACACAGCGGACTTCATCCATCTGCGGTTATTGGACATTCTGTGGGCGAGATTGCTGCTACGGTCGCTGCAGGAGCCCTGACTCCAGAAGAAGGGGCCCTGATTGTGACAAGAAGAGCCAAGCTATATGCCCAAGTACAAGGCCAAGGGGCAATGTTTATGGTGAATCTACCATTTGAGCAGGTCAGGGATGAGCTCGGGGAAGACGGTGAAGTTGTTGCTGCCATCGAATCTTCACCTTCGTCTTGTGTCGTCAGTGGTGAGCTTGATGCAGTTACTACCTATGCCGAGAAGGCGAGGAGCAGTGGCGTCAAGGTGATGAAGGTGGCTACGGACATCGCGTTCCACTCGCACAAAACACTAGAACCTCTAGCAGCTTCTCTCAGGGATGCGCTGCTGGGCGGTATCCAGCCGCAAGCGGCTGAGGTTCCACTCTACTCGACTTCAAATATGGATCCACGATTTGACGGCGTCCGGGATATCGACTACTGGGTTACAAATATGGTTCGCCCGGTCCATCTTACTTCTGCTGTGGGCGCCGCTATCGAAGATGGCTACAGGCTATTCCTAGAGGTGTCAAGTCATCCGATCGTTTCCCATTCAATCAATGAAACCATCATGGATCTAGGTATTGATGATGAGGAGTTTGCGACCATACCCACCATACGCCGCAACAAGTCCGCAGCAAGCTGTGTTATGCAAGCCTGCGGCTCCTTATTTGTCAAAGGCGCCGCTATCGATTTCCGTCTGCAGCTGGGTCCAGATCACCGTTGGTCTACACGTGTCCCGGGTACGAGCTGGGTCCATAAGCCAATTTGGAGGAAAGTCGAGAGCGCTGTTGCTGCCAGCACGGCCAACCTCCTCACGCATGATGTAGATAAGCATACCCTCTTGGGTCTGCGCAACCCCATTGGTGGTACCAACACAATACTTTATTCGACAACGCTGGACAATTACAACAAGCCGTTCCCTGGTAGCCATCCACTCCATGGCACTGAGATCGTGCCAGCTGCGGTCCTTTTGAATACATTCCATCATGCTACCAAGGCCGCCACACTGTCCGATGTGACACTGCGCGTGCCCGTAGCCGTAAGTGCTCCGCGCGACGTCCAGGTCGTAGTGGCTGATGACACGGTCAAGCTCATCTCGCGTCTACAGCAAAATGCTGAATTTGAAGATCATTCTTGGGTCACTCACACAACGGCGCGATGGAGCCTCGGCAGCGGCGAACAAGCTCCTCAGATTGATGTTGAATCAATTAAGAAGCGCATCGGCAAGGCCCTGCCATCTAACTTTTCCATCAACTATCTGGACAAGGTTGGGGTCTCGGCCATGGGATTCCCTTGGGCTGTTACTGAACACTATGGCAACCTGAAAGAGATGATCGCGCGCGTGGATGTTGCGCCAAACACCAATTCCGGTGATCTTTTGCCGTGGGATGCGTCCTCCTGGGCTGCAATCCTTGATGCCGCCACTTCAGTGGGCTCTACCATATTCTTTGATAACCCTAGGTTGCGAATGCCAGCCCAGATCGATAAGGTATATTTCTACGGCGAATACGATGTTCCGCCACCCAAGGTAGGCTATCTGTATGTCGAGGAAGCCTCGGAGCGTGGCGCCCCTGCGGTGCATGTCAGTGTGTGCGACGATGATGGCCGCGTCATCGCCAAATTTCAGTCTATGCGCTTCTCGGAGATCGAGGGTACACCCGGCGCAAGCGGTAGCGTCGAAAGCCTTGTACATGGACTCACCTGGGTGGCCGCCCCATTCGCTAAGAAAGCCGCAGTCTGGGACAACGTCATTCTGGTATCAGACGACAATGCTGTTCTTGCACGATCCAGTAGGCTACAACTCAAGTTAAAATCCAGTCGGATCACAAAACTCACTTCAGCATCTGACATTACCTCTGCTGCCATTACCCCGAACACAGCCATTGTCTACTGGCCCGGCTCAGTTCTCTCGTTGGTCGACGTGCCAGCTAGGTCCGAGGTCTTCCTCGCTGAGCTACTCAGCCTGACCAAGCATGTAGTTCGTGAGGCAACCTCGATCCACAACGTTAAAGTCTTCGCGATTACTGTGGGCGTCGGCGATGCTGATACTCCCACAGCACTCGCGCAAGCACCACTACACGGCTTGGCACGGATCATCGCATCAGAGCATTCAGATCAGTGGGGGGCTCTCATTGATGTAGACGAAGACACCCCGCTTCCTAGTATGGCTATGCGATATATACATGACCAAGATGTCATTCGTGTCATAGATGACCTACCAAGGGTTGCTAGATTACAGCCACTGTCTCGAGACCTTCTTTACAGCCCCGAACAGGCGGCCATTCGTACACTTCTTCCCAAGCCTGAAGGTACGTACCTTATCACTGGTGGTCTGGGCGCATTAGGTCTCGAAGTCGCAAATTGGCTGGTGGAAAAGGGCGCTCGCAGGGTGGTGCTACTATCACGCCGTGGCCTGCCACCACGCAGCAAATGGGCAGCTACCGATGCCGACGAAGTTGTCAAGAAGGTCCTCGCGCTAGAGAGAGCTGGAGCAACGATACACACGGTCTCGCTAGACATCGGACAAGTGGATGCACCCGAGAGACTTGAAGAAATTTTGAACGGGCTATCGCTACCACCAGTACTGGGTGTCGTACATGCCGCAGGCACGTTGGTAGACCAACTTGTCTTAGAAACAACCACAGACGCTTTCTCGCGCGTTCTGAAGCCCAAGATATCAGGTGCCCTCACACTCAACAAGGTATTCCCACCGGGTACGCTGGATTGGATGGTGCTCTTCAGCTCGTGCGGGCAGCTATTCGGGTTCCCGGGTCAGAGTAGCTATGCCAGCGGCAACGCGTTCCTAGACACTCTAGCAGCGCACCGCCGTCGGCAGGGAGATAATGCTGTCGCTTTCCAGTGGACCAGCTGGCGCGGTCTCGGTATGGCTGCTAGCACCGACTTTATCAATGCAGAACTGCAGAGCAAGGGTATCACTGATATTACTGTCGAGGAAGGCTTCCGCGCCTGGGAACATTTGGCCAAGTTCAACATGGATCACGGCGTGGTGCTTCGCAGCTTGGCATTCGACCAGGACGAGCCTCTTCCTGTACCTATCCTTGAGGATATCGTCGCCCGGAGACCTGCGGCGCCCGGTAATGCAGGAACTAATAGTGGCGCACAGTCGGGCGAAACGGTAAGCGACATGCCATCTGGGGGCCCCGAATTAAAGGATTGGCTGGATGGAAAGGTCCGGGAGGTCATTAGCAATCTACTGATGCTTGGTGGTGCGGACGAAGTGGACGGGCGAGCCGCTATCGCCGACCTGGGTGTGGATAGTGTATTGACAGTCACACTGAGACAAAAGCTCCAGAGCGCTTTCAAGGTCAAGGTGCCGCCGACCCTCACGTGGAGTCATCCGACGACTAATCATCTTGTGGGCTGGCTAACAGAGAAGTTGGCCAAGGGTTGAAGGCGACGGAATAATATTTGCAACTCAAGCCATAGACTTTTTCACTGTTTTTACCTCGTCACTTTTTCTTTTCATTCTTTTATCTTCCACTAGCTCTTGAATCAATAAACAAATTACCTTTTGTAACCGAAGAGATCCATGAGACTTTTCCTCGTCTACAAGGACGATTTCCAAGGATCGTACTGACCAAATTGTTAGTAAATCTCGTTTTGCCCTGTGGACAATTGACATTGGCCATGGAGCTCCTTCCAAGCTTGCAGACCGGTTCGACAAAAATTATGGTTAGGCTTTTCGTCACATCGAAGCCGCCACGGTTGATGGTAGCTATGGAAAGGCGCTGGAAAAAAGAGGTTCCTTAACCGACGCTCCACTAGTTGACAAGATCAACTTCATCCGTTGTTATACCACGGCTATAAAGCCACCACTTTTTAATTATGTTAAGTCAGTATATGCGTGTACAGGGTAGCTGGCCATCTTGTTGTCGTACTGCTATTGTGCACCCGAACTCTAGCCAGGTCAGGCAGATACTCCAGGTCAGAATAGCGCTAAATCTGACGTTGACAAAACACTAACTACAGGCCAACAAGCCAGAGATGTATCTGCAAGACGAAGCCTAGAAATACACGTTCTATCAATCAAAGTATATAAGGCGCCTGATAGCCAAGCAAAAGTGATGGTTATGAACAACCAGGAGATTGAACAACCAGGAGATTGAACAGCTTTGGGGTGCACTAAACTGCCATCGGGCAAAAGAAAGCGGAGAAGGATGTCCAACCCAAACAGTGGTTGACGAAGAGCTGGATGAAGACGAAGATAAGATTGATTACGTCAGCTGGCTTGGGGGTATCACATTCGGGCCAGTAGATGCGGGGTCCGGCAAGGTATAACAATTGATACATTATAACATCAAAAGCACAACAAGTCTTGGATCTACCAATTAATACGGCTAGTAAATAACGTTAAGGCTGAGGGATTTGTGGTAGACTTCATCTTGCAGGGTTTGGGTGCAGTCAAAAATTTGACGTACCCGGTAGTGGGTGGTGGTGCATCATTCTTACATGTGCAAACGCCACTTTGAGAATCTCCGCAAAATCATATAGCAAGCGATTCCATACAGCTGGAAGGAGGTTTAGTTTTTGCTGAATCGTGCGCGGGTAGAACCAAGACTAAGATTACCGAAAGGAGTTTGCGGACTTCTGAGAGGGGAACAACCCGCAAGGGAGATTTGCAGACGCCCTATGGCTTCCATGTCCCCATGTCGCCTACCATGACCAAATACAAAGCAGCGATAGTGACCACGGAAGCATGATCTCCTACGTATCGCACGTTTCCACGCGTCGCACTACAATCCGAAAATCATTTGGCCGCAGCAACTATCTTGATCATGTCTCCAATTGACCAGCCTGTAATTTCTAAAGGCTCAATCGTTCTCGTGACGGGTGTAAATGGCTTCATAGCATCCCATATCGCCGATAAGTTTCTCAAGTTTGGCTACAAAGTTCGCGGCACTACGCGCAATGCGCAGAAGAACGCATGGATCTGTAACCTGTTCGACAAAAAATATGGCCCTGACAAGTTCGAGTTGGTAGTTGTGCCAGACATGGAATTGCAGGGTGCTTATGATGAAGTGATCAAGGGTTGTGCTTCATCAATGTCTAGCCAACGTATGTTCAGTCTGGTTAACATGCCGTGCAGGTGTATCGGCCGTCGTTCACACCGCTACGAACTATACAATGAACCCTAACCCGCACGAAGTGGTCCCTGGCTCGGTCGCCGGAACCGTCAACGCGCTGGCGGCGGCAGCCAAGGAGCCGAGCGTGAGGCGCTTCGTGCTTACATCCTCATCGGCCGCGGCCCTGATCCCGAAGCCCAACAACTTCATGACCGTGACGACTGAGACCTGGAACGACGAGGTGGTGAAATTTGCGTACCGCGGCCCACCTTACGAGCCTGAGCGCGCGTATCCAGTTTACGCTGCTAGCAAGATGTTGTCGGAGAAGGAGGCCTGGAAATTTGTAGAGGAGAAAAAGCCACATTTTGTGCTTAACGCGGTGCTGCCGAACATCAACTTCGGCGCCAGCTTGGATATTGCCGATCAGGGCCACCCTTCGACGTCGGGTATGGTGGCTGAGCTCTTCAAAGGGAATACCTCGCTTCTAGCCGGTTTACCAGCTCGTAAGTCCTGACCAACGGAGACACCCAATTCCCCGAGAATAAGGATTGAGCTACTCAATGACAAAATCAAACAGAGTACTTTGTCGATGTGCAAGACGACGCCCTGCTCCATGTCGCAGCTGCCATCCATCCGGGCGTCGAATCAGAACGCATATTCGCCTTCGCCGAGCCGGTCAATGGTGACAGCATCCTAAGTATTCTGCGCAAGCTGTATCCTCAGCGTACCTTCCCGGACGATTTTCAGGCTGAAAAAGACCTCAGCGAAATTATCCCGCGCAAGCGAGCAGAACAATTGTTGCTAGATATGGGCAAAGACGGATGGACAAGTCTGAAGGAGAGCATTCACAATAATACGGAGGATCTTGTGTGGGATTCAATAATTCGCACAGGCTGATTGCAGATGTATGTTGTCGGGCACTGCTATACCGGTATGTCTTTTGGGAGGCCAGGTAACCTCTTGGCTCAACGTAACAATCGTTGCTAAAACCGTTCACTTAACCTGCAATAATGCATTCTCATATGAAGACCTCAGTACGGCATCACGTGCTTGTATTCTTCTTTCATTATGGAAATTGAGGGCTAGTTGCTCATCGAAATGTCGATTCTTGCCCTGTTTATATATCCATTGGCCGTAATATACATGTAGCCTACGGCGCGTTGGATTTGGGGCCGCTAGAGCAGCCACAAGAACGTGAGCGCCACAAGAGCCTTCCGCACTCCGCAACCAAGTGGAGCCACTGTCAAACGTACGGAGTACTTTCGGTGGAGTATGAGCACTAGGTTAGTACTAACTAATTGGAAGTTTAAACCTCAGGGCTATGTTTAACTTTCAGCAGATCGAGGAGGTCGTCAATTGCCAATGGTGTTGGGAACAAGTCTTCACACATTCCTATTTCAGTGACATAAGACATCTTGAGATCGCATCATATCGCACACATCCCTCCACGGGAAGCAGGCCGGAGATGTATGGAGCTTGCCGTCACTGGTATAATCATTTCGCCTCTGATTACGGGAGATGAGACTTGTGATGAACTAATGCAACAACCCATTGTTTTGAAACACTAGGTTCTCGGTTCGCATAAACAGTGAATATGGGGTAGATTGAAATGTTTGGTATTATTAACGTTGTTTTCACAAGCACTATCGCTTTTCTCGAGTTCGTGCTGGACCTATTTGTGGAAATGAGTGACCAAGGATGTGGTCCCTTGCTGGTTCGTTTTGACTTGAGTGATGCCCCTTACTGAACTTACGGCAATCGGCCTACGCAATTCATGATCCTCGCAACCCAAGCTTTACGGAACCCACATACCATCCTTACACTGTAGCATTTGTTGCGGCATTGATGTTCTAGGCCATTTATGATTCTTTATATCGGATCCAGCACCATGGCTTCGTCCGTCAAGTTCTTGCGGCTCAACTTGATGTTTCATTGCTACACGACTACAGCTCAGTGAGCTTCGTTTCTTTTCAAGATATTCACTCGTTTTATTTATCGTCGTTCTTTTTAAGGCCTTTGAATTTTTCGTGCCGCTAACAATGCAGCAATCACTATTCTCGCTGCTGTCGGCTGCGGCCCTTGCGGCTCCGGTCTTTGCCTTGCCCCAAGCCTCTCATGAGAAGTTTCGAGGACACCACGGAGGACATAGTGCAAGTCGCACGTCCGGAGCTGCAGTCATTGCATCAACGGCTGACTCGACGGGCGCAATCCCTTCAACGAGCATCGCCACCAGCGAGTTTACAGCCGTTCCCACAACCTCTGCGAGCGAGATTGCCGTAGCCCCGACCACTACAGCTAAGGCTGTGTCGTCCGCCGCCACCACCAAACCTGTGGCATCTTCCAAGACCAGCACTACTGCTGCTGCTGCTGCTGCTGCTGCAACTTCCTCTCCAGTCGTGGCTGAGTCTACTGAGGCCCTCACCGCAACATACTGCGGTGTTCCCAACGCCTACCAGATCCTCTCGGGCACCCCTTGGATCGTCTATTCCATGAACTACAACTACCAGGACATTAGCGGATCCTGCTGTACTGGTTACTACTCCACCTCAGGCTCCGGCGACGACCAGACGCTTCACTGGAGTAGCATCTGGGAGATTGACGAGGCGGTCAGCACCAACGTCGTCAAGGGCTACTCGTTCATCGGCCTGACCCAGAACCTCGAGACGACCCTGGAGAGCATCTCGAGCATTCCGAGCACGTACACATGGGATATCAGCAACACAACCGCCTATAAAGGCAATGTCGTCTACGACTTCATGACCTCCGACACCAAGGGGGACTCGACGTCGTCCTCGGCCCAGGAGCTCATGCTCTGGCTCCAGTATGAGGGTGGCCAGGTCCCCATTGGCTGGGCCGACGGTGCCGTGGCTACGATCGACGGACTCTTTGGCAAGGACGGCTGGAAGCTTTACCAGGGAAAGAACACTGATACTGGTATCACCGTTTCCTCTCTCCTGGCCCCCGAGGATGACATGTTTGATGGCACTTTCACCGGTGATATCAAGGACTGGCTCTCGGCCATCTCCGAGCAGGGCGTTTTCAGTACTTCGACCTATGTCAACGTCGGTAACGCCGGTATGGAACCTTACTGGGGCACCGTTACGTTCGACAACACCTTGAGCTTGAGAATTGATCTGTAGATCACTCGTCGGGATCTAGATGAGACGTTCTAAACATGCCTTCTATTCTTGTACATATTCTTTATATTAGTTCTTGGGGCATCAAATACCACAGACGTATACCTCACCGACGTATCTTCATGTGAACTCGAGATAACCAGATTACATCTGTGCTACAGAGGTCAAATATATCGACCCTTGCTTTTTATTGTTGAAATTCCTTGACGAGATGTATTCTGAATACCGCCGCGAGCCGGTGTTCCGCCCAGTCGACTACGAATCCCAAGTAGCCCCTCGCATGTCATCAAACGGCACTTGGACATATGGTTCCAATCTCGAACACCATTTCCATGATATCCACGGATGACACCATTTGAGCGGCAGCGTGGGTGCCATGTAGTGCCGTGTTCTGAAAGGTTGACCTTCGACGACTTCAACGCACCAGACGAAATACTGAATACACGCAACAATAAGCTCCGAAGCAGCAACTCAGATATTTGAATATCTAATATTTGTATATCACCAGCATTACCTATTTTCGAGCAAATTAATCCCAAGCACACACAATCTAGTCCCTGTTTTTATCCCTTCAAAAGGAAAACAAATTTAAACGCCCTAACCCAACCTGCAGATGTTTCATCACTCTTCTCTCTCCCCATCAAAATCTTTTTCATTACAACAACCACGCCATTTTTCAAAACTTCTCATCTTCATTCATTACTTCCTCCTCAGACTCTTCCCCCTCTCCAGCAGTCCCAGATCCCACCACCCCTCGAGCACGCCCCAAACGGTCCTGCGCCCGGGCTTCTCCCTGGCGGCCTGGACGACCGGAACCGGCAGACCACCGGACGGGCTCAAGGGCTCCAGGTCCGAAGGATAGTAGTCGGCGGGGCTATTGCTATTGTTGTGCCTCCTGCTCCGTGAGCGCGTCGCGAGGAGCTTGATCTTGGAGATGGGGATGCCGAGCGCGTCCCGGGGGCTAGGGAGGGACGGGAACTTGGTCTTGAGCCTGGGCGAGGACGCGGACGGCGCGGGCGTGATGGGCGTGTATCCATCGTCATCGCTGCCGTCTTCGTCGTCGCCCCTTGGCGTCCTGGGTAGCGGGACTTCTAGGTTCTGGGTCTGGATCTTCTCCGGGATGCGCTTGTGCATGATGGGGATGAAGTCCTCCTCGGCCGGCAGGTTTGTGGACGACTTCCCGGGATTGGTTCTGGATATGGGCGATTCGGGAATCATGGGCATGGCGATGGACCTGCGCTGGGCCGCTGTGAGTGACCTGCCCCTCGAGGCGGGCCGGGCGACGTATATCATGGGGGGCGGGGGCGGGACCGCGGCGATATCCTCGTCGATGCCGCGGAAGTTGAGGACATGCGCCGCCTGCGCCGGAGGGTGGGGCGCGAGGGGGGATGGCGTGAGGGTAGGGTGATGGGAAGCAGCAGCGGGGATGATGTGCAAGGTCCCCGTGCCGAGGCTGCGGGGAGTGAGGGCCAGGGGCCCAGTGATGGCCCCGTCGCCATCTCTAATCTGGTGCGGAGGCGGGGGGATGAACTGAAACGAAACGCTCTTTTTCTCCTGGTGCCCGCCTACTGCTGCTGCTTCTCTTTCTTTTCCTGCCTCTACCCCACGTGCGCGCCCCGCGCGCCCTCAACCTTCAATGTCCTTGGCCGGAGCCGCGCTGGTGGCCTTGACGCGGCGCCAGAGGCCGATGCAGATCAAAGTGCTGAAAGCGAAGAGCACGCAGAGAGCGATGCTCAGGCCCCACACGGCCTTGATCTCGTAGCAGTGAGGTTGGTCGACGGCGACGTATGTGAAATAGTCAACGGCCTTGGTTAATACACTGCGGTAGGTTACCCCGGAGCCGCTGGCGACGAACACCTGCGCGCCGGAGGCGATCGTCGAAGTCCCGGCCACCGGGAGAGCTTCGCAGGTAAGTTTGGAGAGAGGTTTGCCGACTGTTGCGGCTACAACGATTACTGCGACCATGAGAAGCATGTCGAAGACGCCGGCAATGAGCAGCGGGAGTAGACCATCGTAGTAAAGAATGTAACTGATGGCGATGTAGAGTGATGCCGTGCTCGCCTGCATGATATGTAAGTAGGCCACTGGAGTGAAGGCATCAGACGAAAGACATACCACAACTAGAGTGCCAATGAGCACATCCGGAGCGTTGCGCTGGGCAGATACGATTTCGTTCATGAAGTTGGCCACGAGACCGATGATGGTAAGGAGCGAGACAAACTGCGCGGCACGCAATACAGTAAAGGTAACCCCAAGGGCGCCCAATTGAGGAGCTTGGAAACGCATCTTGAGTGGAATGGACTTTTCCAAGTCTGTGATAAGTGAGAGACTAGGTCTAGATTTGTAGGCGGTACGCAAAGGGAAATGCGACCGCGGCTGAGGAATCGATGCCGTTGGAAGGAGTGGAGAAGAAATGTTGAAGGTTGCGGTGCTGAGACCGTGTATAATCTGTCAAGAGAAGGTGTGGCTTTCAATGTCTCGAGACTGAAGTGAGGAAGAGATTGGACTGCGTTCCGGAACCCAAACGAGTGATCTCCAGAGACGTAAATGAGCAGGTCAACTGCGTGGATGATGAAGTAAATCGCTGGTGTGTCGGCGAACCTGATTTGACGGAGACGGTAGGAATAAGAGATTCGTTACAGCCAAAGAAAATGTTGAAGACCAGAGAACCCGTTTATAGTAAGAAACCTTCAGAAAAGAGACAAGGAAAAATAGGAAAGAGATAGGAAAGACTAAAGAAAAAGTCGTTATTGATGCTTATGGATTGTTTGATGAGTAGAAGAGAGAATCCAGCAACTCGGGAACTTGAGGTCATCTTATGTATCTGCTGAAGCTTCGCGTTCAAGCTATGGTCTAGGCCTAATACTCACCTTGGCAGTAGAGCAAGCCGTATACACCGCGGCAAAAGCTGGTCTGTTGACATATCGGATCGATGCTCTGACTAGTCTGTGCAGCTCTTTCGTCGGGTTGCTATTTTCATCTTTGCTTTACGTCGGTACTTGAAGCAGATGGCGTATTCAGCAGCCGCTGGCAGAGCCAATAGAAGCGCTGAAGATGCAATGCGCTTATTGCTGCGGGACTCCTGCAGCCAACGATAATCCCGTACCTGGACCCACTTACGCTGTGTACTCTCAATGCCCGTATTCCCCAATCAAGCCGTCGTCGCTTAGTGTCGTTTTAACAACCGCGATGAACATGGTCATCGGAGAATTCTGGTTGGCCATTGACCTTGATTCCCTCATCTCGCCTCAAAGTACGGATGCTGGGAGCTGCAGGGCATTAAGCGCGACCCGCGGCCAGCCCTATCCACGCAGCATTTAGCATCATCTCATGGCCGCTTGATCGACGACCGGACGGGTCAAGACAATAGGCGAAATTGGGAGCGGAGGAGGCAATGCTCGTTCCGCGGATCTGGAACCTGGACCAAAAGTTTGTGTTCCTGGCAGCTTGCAGGTATATCGAGCACTGCTGCCCAGTCGAGCTGGTGTGGATACGGCGAGCTGTTGGACGGCCTAGTTGCGCGAGCTGTATTGTCGAGCAATCCTGGGACGGTAAACAACAAGGGGCAAATTCCTAACGTAGTGTTTTTTGTTGTCCCCAAAGAGCCGCATCGTACCGTCATCGAACACGATAAGCTCATCCGTTTTGGGGATATATATGTTTGGTAAATTTGACAACCGCGGTCAATATTGATGACTGCATTGCTAGAGAAATTACAGGAGACAAAAAAAACCCCCCATAAAATAGTCATCAACCAGATTGCTTTCATTTTCTGCGCCTTGACGCCCACGAGAACGACTGCGTACCTGACACGCCATATATAGGACCGAGCGACCCATATCTGTCTCCTTCAGATCTTAATAAATGCATTCAGTGGCTGGTGTTTGCATATATAGTGGATGTGTAACACGCCATTATACGTAATGGCATCCAGATTCTTTCATCTGAAGCCCTGAATATAGTTATGTTATGTGTAGAACTTCTCTAGCTCAACCCAGAAGATCATCCAGCCCACTACTTCCTGTCGTAGATTGCGTAGGCTTAGGTGTGCTTGAGGCAGCAGGCGCTCCCCAAAGAGATTGACTCGTCTTTTCCTTGGCTAGCTGACCCAACTTGGGCCCAGAGGATACGGAGGCCTTCTTGGCACCACTGCCACCAGCTGATGCGAAAAGATTGGCAAATGGGTCGCCGCCTGCTGCTGCGGGCTTTGCAGCTGGTGTACCGGCCGGCTTGTTTAAGGTCGAGCTACCAAAGGTAGAGGTAGAAGATGGCCCTGAGAAAGCCGAAGCGGATTTCTGGGGTGCTTGAGAGGGCTGAACAGACGTGAAATAGTTGGGTTGTGCTGGCTGGTATCCAGTTGGTTTTGGTGCCTGAGGCGACATGACATTGTTACTTGGAATGTTGAAAGCAGAGTAGTTGGCAGCAGGTGTCGCATTGGCACTGGCAGGCGGGGAGATAGCCGACATCATGCTGCTAATGTTGGCATTCTGTGGGCCAGAAACGGGCTGAGGCGCTGCGAACTGAGCAGTACCCTGAGCGCTCGAAGTGACCATAGGCGGTGCAATGCCGAAGGAGTTTAACGGGGCCGACGATTGTGTAGCGGGAGCGGCGGACTGGAAGTCGTCAAAGTCATCATCGTCATCATTGGATAGTGCAGCAAAGGCTCCACCATTTGAAGGAGCCGCCGCGGGGGCAGCGACGGGCGCCGAGGGAGCGGGCGCTGGATCGTCAAAGGAGAAGAGATCAACTTCGGGCTCCTTGGCCTTCTTGGGTGGAGCTGAAGGAGTAGTCTTCTTGACACCAGCCCTTTCGGCCCTCTCCGGTCTCTTGGTGCGAGATGAGCTTGCGCCTGACGTGCCCTCGTCGTACTCGTCGTATGCCTCGAACTGGTCGCCGCCTCTACCACCTCGGTCAAAGTCGCTCGCCTCTTGGCCACCAAAACCACCGCCATCACCGTAAACGCCGCCAGAGTAGGCGCCATAGCCAGAAGAAGACGCACCACTACCACCACCACCGTAGCCGCCAGACTCGCTGCCGAAGCCGCCATATCGACCACTGCTGCTGCTGGAAAAACCGCCAGTGCCTCCCTCGACACCTGTGTATTTGGCCTTGTTGGATCTGGCCTTCTTTCGCTCTCCTCGGATTCGTTCGACATCACCCAAGAGTTCAGCCAACTCCTTGGCGCGGTTTCGTACGTTGATACCTTGATCCTTGCCGTTCTGGTCGATGAAGTGGAATTGCCGTAGCATCTTGAGAAGGGTGATGTGTCCTCGCGCATCGTCTATGACCCGCTCGGAACCGTGCTTGATGAGGAATTCGAGCAGTTGTAGAGCCTTGTAGATCTGCCGCCACTCCTCTGCGGCTTTCTCGGTGAACCGCCGGTAGATCATGGGCATAATCTCATTGAGTGTTTGACTATCAATGTGTCAGTGGGAATGAGTCGAGGGCGGGTTGGCGAAGACATGGACCTACTAGTTGAAGGTGGCATTGGCGATCTCTTGCATAATTGTCGAGGATGCGCCCCATGGTTCGTTGTTGGTAGCCTCCCTCACCTGTTGCGACACGGCAGTGATTAGCGTTTGAGTTACTTCCCTTCCGTGCTGCGGTGATTGGGGGCTCATACCTTGGCTTCCATTTCAGTGTAGTTCATGACAGCTGTTGGTAACCGAAACATGTAAGTCTCTCATAGTCCTGCTGTTCTCGTTGCGCACTGGTGGCTTACCATTTTGGACCTTGCGGACTCCTGCCTTGAGATCATACAAGGTCAGGTTGGAGACTTGGTCTTTCAAGCTATCGAAATTCATCTTGAAGTCACAGAGTGGCCCTGCACAGCGATTTGGTGTGGTGAGTAGGAAATAAACAAGCGGAATAGGTTGGTGAAAGCTGATGGGCTTTGGGCTCCGTGTCAGGTCTATGTCGCTCTCCTCAGCAACTAATGGCGCTGGCGCTGTAGTTTCCAAGTGTCAACTCCGACAGCCCCTTGCTCGCTTGTGTCACTAATCCGTACTGTAAGTTAGTACCGTAGCTGAAAAGGTGGATCTGTCTTTGCTTGAGTGCTTGAGGCCGAGCAGATTAACCTAACGCAACCCAAAGTCTGTTCAGTGGTTTGGAGACACAACACCACACTCAAAGCCACGTGATCAAGCTGACTCAGCCGACTCGACACTGGTTGTTATCAACTCAAATTGTTGGGCAATTCGTGCCTTAGATACTTCAAGGTAGTCAGGCATGGCTTTCGAATATTCACGCTCAAGTTTTCCTCATCCCGTGCGAAGTAAGGTTGGTCGTCATCGAGGTCAGACGTCGACGAAGTAAGTCAATTGTCTATCAATTGTTTCATCCGTCTTGGCGGCAGCTTCCGTCTCAAGCGCTGGTTTATGGGCACGGTTCATGCCGATGCAGCTATTGCAACACTTGACACTGATTTCTGACCGGCTGTCCGTAATCATATGCTGATAGTCTCGAGAATAGAGGTATGGTATCCTCAATTTCAGGTTGCGGTGGAATTCATAGTTGCAGCCTCACATAGTGCCTGGGTGACTGCGTATTCCTCGTCCTCTCGGACAATTTGGACCGTCATGATGAAAGCTAAGGCCAGCTGCTGGCGCCTATCCTATTTGGTACAGCAAAATTTCTGGACCTCCATGAGCCCTTCTAAAGCTTCATCAATAAAGCTTCTGTACATTACTTCAATCATCAACACTTTGATCTGTACTGTAAGAATCAACCCCTTTTTTGACCGTCTCAAGTCTCCGGTTGTGTATTAGAACTGTAATTGTACCCATAAGTCCTACTTCTCAAGCAAACATCCAGTAAGTGGTTCTTTCTTCAGTCCTCGCTGCCCCCTATTTCAGCCCCAGTCAAAGTCCAATCAAGCCTATGGTGCCTTTCGAGTCACTGAACTCCCTTCTTGACTCTTTCTGGAACTGGTTGGGGTTCAATAAAGATGCAGTCTGTTGGGTCGCGTCCTGCAAAGAGGCGGTGCCGTGGTTCGGGTCTTGCTAGGGATAGTGAACCTCGCCACCCTTGACCGCCAGACGCAACCGACAATATTGCCCATCATGGTTGTTTCAGACTCTCCTGCATTCCGCGCATGGAATCCCACCGATCCCTGAGACCGAAGCTGGCCGAAGTATGTCGAGTCTGCGAGGGGAAGAGGCAAGAGAAGATGATAGCTCGGAAGTGAAATACTGTGAAAGCACGTACATGATGCATCATAGTTGCTTCAAAGCAGCAATCTCCAGAGCTCCTCATTGCTTCGGCATCTCCAATTGGCACTCCTTTGGGCTTAACTTACAGGCCAGCTTCCAGTTGCATGCTTCAGGTGCAGCGTTACTCCCTTGAGTGGTCCGGTTCATCCCGCTCCTGCTTGGTATGTAATGCGACAGGCGCTCAGTGCAGACCTGTTTCTTTGTACGCATCCAACCTTGCTCTTGAAGGAGATCCTCGATCTTACTTTGGAGCGCAATGGCAATGGCAATGGCGACGGCAAATAAGAAATGCACTTGCAGTATTGACAGGCTCTCGAAACCCACTTCAAGAGTCCTGTTTAGATGGCGCCGAAACCTATGAGAGCTCCTGTCCAGGCACGGAGACGATGACGATTGCCGGCCAGGTGGATCTTTTCGGTCTAGGTTATGAGCACGATCCGTCAGCAAGCAGCTGCAAGCTCCTGAGAGGGGCGGGGCAATTCGAAGCTGGGTGACGAATTGGCAGCCAAGGGCAGCCAGCAACGTGGGACAGCTCTTGCTTGCTTGCTCTGTGGTTGGCTCATCTGCATGCTCAATTGAATATGACATGATAGAAGGGTGCTTCTGGCCATACCAGGCTAGAGCACAAACCGGGATATCTTGCAATCGATGATTCGCACCTCGATGCTGTCATTTCGGGGCTTGGCTCACCTTGTTTGATGATTGACCCGGGAGCTGGAGCCTGGGGGGAGTCTGGGACTGGGACCGGAACTGGGACTTGGACATTGGCCTTTGATTTGGAACTTTTTGATGCGGGTCGGCAATAGACCCCTCAAAACTCTTTGGTGGCGGGGCAGAAGCTGCCTTGTTTACTTTTTCTCATTGGCTGAATACCTGAAGCTGACCTTGAATTGCCCCGCCCAGATTTTTGTTCTGTCAACATGAGCTCTCTTCGACCCCTCCTCAACTTCTCTCCCCGCCTCTGCTCAAGAGTCTCAACCTCAACTTCTTCTCTCCGACCCAATCTCTTCACGAAGTCATCTTTTGTTACTTCTTCACCAACTTCTAGATATTTCTCAGCAACATCTAACAACATGGGCAAGGCTTGGTAAGTCACCGTCCCCTCATTCCCTTGTAGCACGAGCTACGTACCCTTTGACATCCCTTCTCCCGCCATGCCATCACCACAACGCTCCCCGCCGTTGTCGTTCTTGACGTGTTACCAATGACGGAGGTCGAGCGAGATCAATTCATGTCATGTCGTTCCCCATTGCAAATCTACTACCAACGGTCTCCCTCATGTCCTTACACAATACTGTCTGTGCAAGAGCATGCTGTATCCAATCACGAGTTCAGAGTCCCGGCTGCTTTGACCACATGAAAAGAGAAAGAGAGAGAGGAAAAAATTATTGCTCTGTTGCTGACATGAATTTCCATCAGGTTTAAGATTGAATGGGAGGGTCCCTCCGTCGATGCCAACGGCAGACCTACTGGTCAGCCCAAGGGTAAGCGTTCTTACCTCTCCTAGACGACACCGACCCAAACCTTGACAGCCTTTCCGAGCTCTCCGTCGGCTTGTCATGATCATTGGTTACTCTGGCGTCATCAGTGTTCAAAGGCTTACACTTTCATACAGTCCAGACCGCTGTCATGAACTTCAACCTCTACAGCGACGTCGTCCCCAAGACTGCTGAGAACTTCCGCGCTCTCTGCACTGGCGAGAAGGGCTTTGGCTACAAGGGCTCTTCCTTCCACCGTATCATCCCCGAGTTCATGCTCCAGGGTGGTGACTTCACCCGTGGCAACGTACGTTCCAGACAAAACATACCAAACCCCATGGTCAATAGCTGACCATTTCTAGGGCACTGGTGGCAAGTCCATCTACGGTGAGAAGTTCGCCGATGAGAACTTCCAGCTCAAGCACGACAAGCCCGGTTTGTTGTCCATGGCCAACGCTGGCCCTAACACGTGAGTCTCATGTTCACCTTGCTGTTCGATGTCGCACTACGTACAGATCCCAATCTAACACTTAATTAGCAACGGCTCCCAGTTCTTCGTCACCACCGTCGTTACTTCGTGGTTGAACGGTCGCCACGTCGTCTTCGGCGAGGTTGCTGACCAGGAGTCGCTGAACGTTGTCAAGGCTCTCGAGGCTGTCGGCTCACAGAGCGGTGCTGTCAAGTACAGCAAGCGCCCCACCATCATTGACTGTGGTGCCGATTAAGCGGTCGGACATGCCCCAGTCCTTCAGCGTGTAACATGACACTTGGGAAAGATGTGCGATGGTTTCGGAAAGTACACATACTTAGATTGACCTGGCGATACGAGATTTCAGAACGATATCTTTGTAGCTAGTTACAGAACCAAAAAGTCTCACTGAACACCCATACCATGCTTTTGTCGCTTTATATGCTTGTGATGTACTTGGCTCTTAGTAGCTTAGGCGCAGTCCAGGCTATAGTCGAACATGTTTCAGGGTGTCTGCTTGGCGTAAGTGATGCATACGCCAGGCGGAATTACTGACCCAGTGCTACTGAAATTTGTAAGAAAGCTCACGGAAATGATGCGGTCGTAGAACCGTGGTGAAGGGCTCCTGGCATCCTAGTCTTCAGTCGTTTGATAAGCATATGTAATATCTTCCAAATATGGTGGCAGAAGTTCACTTTGCGGTATGGGTCACAATGTCGTACTCAACTGCATAAAACTCGTGCAATTCTATGATTCACTCACGTCAACCTTGAGACGAGACAATCATACAGTTATTGTCTCTGTGTCAAATGACTCCGTGTCTATCATTATATCTGCCTCTAAGTTCCATTCTTCTTTCTCATTCCAAGGAGCTATCCTCTGGACAAAGCGACGTGGACATGCGCCTCCTCTTCCGGGATTAACCTCAAAACTCGTGGCCCGCGCCTCCTGACCTTGAGACTCCTGCGCTGGCTGGTCTTCTCGCCTAGCCGGAAACAATTCAAAAACCTTGGCCGGTTTCCAAGTGGCCTTAACGGTCACCAATGCCGTAGCCGCAGGGGCAGACGCTCCGTATCAAGGTGGGGTAGGTCACGCGGGCGGCGTCGGCGAGGTTGAAGCCCTTGTTCCAGTCGTGAGCCCACAGCCAGCCGCCGCGCGACCGGCCGCAGTGCGCCTGGATCTGCTGCAGCGCGTCGTCGATCTCGTGGGCCGGCACCGCGATGCCCACCGGCGCGCAGTTGCACACGAACATGGCCGACCCGTTCTCGTACTCGGCGTGGAAGTTCTCCCGGCCCACCTTGCTGCCCCCCTCCGTCCACTCCTTGAACTTCTCCCCCGCCGTCTTGGTCTCGTCCGGGTCCACCGACGTCGCGTAGCACCCCTTGTGCGACACCGGGATCACGCCCCGCTTGGTCTCTGCCGTGGCGGTCCTGTTGAGGTTGAAGCCGAGGCCGCCTGTGGTGGCCAGCGCCACGGCGAGGAGGTGGGAGAGCTGCATTGCTGTGATGATGGGAAGGTGGCGATGATAAATTCGAGAGTGATGTGTGAATCTACGGAAAACTGTTGACTGTCTTGGTCGGTCAGTACCTCATCTCTTGCTCAGGAGCCACGAGGATCTACCGCGGAGGGATACGTACCGCGTACAGGGTTGCCGTATATCTGATCTTCAAAATGTGGCACAGGGCTCTCACGCTCGGATCAGAAGAAGTGGAAGACTCACCACTATTTATGCTCGAGCCGACGAATCTCAGTTTGGTGCGGCAAACCCGCGCAGATAGATACAGGTGGGATTTCCTGCGCGCCGCGCGAGCACATGGTGCATTCTCGCCGCCGGAGATGGGGCAGGGAGGCGAGCCATTTACGCCGGAGCGGCGGGGCCATCGTTTGCTTTTGCGTTTCCCGGGCGCAGATGAAGACAAGAAACCTTCGCAGTGAGCATGTTTTACCTCCCATCTGGTCTATCTAGCCCATATGTATCTTTGTGGTCGGGCGACCCAAGGTGCAGACCGTCGAGCACAAGGGTGTATCCGTTATCCGAAGTGTGCTCACGAATCGGTGGCGTACGGCTTCTTGATGTGTAACCCCAACGAGCGAGCCGGGAAATGATTAATTTTCCAGGAATTTTGGGTTTTGTAGTTCCTCGGAAGATGTTTCATCAGGTGATAAGCAAATGATGGGAGTTGGGCATGCTGGGGATAACACGGGGGCAATGACTGAAAAGGCTTTATAAAGCAGATTATAGCATATTTGTAGCGATTTTTACTGGTGGGTATATTTAAACGTGTCGATCAATACGCTGCCGGTGATTACTTTTACGCCGGTCTCTACATAAAGAACACATATCTTATAACCGTTGAGGCGATACTCCTATATCTTTTAATTTAGGGTAGCCCGTGAGGAACATACACACAAGATAGTGAAATCGGTAGATCTAAGAATCGTGCAATCATTATTATTTACTCCAGCCATGCAATTGTGCGACGCCGAAAAAAGAAAATGACCGAATTAGATAGAGTACACCATGCCAGCGCTCCATAGCCTTTACCAATGTAGCATCCTTCCTGAGCCGTCATTCCTCGTCACTTTTGTTGTTGTTGTTTATCGACCCATGCGGATAACACCAGCAGCGACCAGCTTCTGGATGTTAGCCCGAATGCCAGGGTTCTTCATGTGCTCCTGAAGGGCGGCAGGATCAGACTGAGCCTGCTGCAGGATAGATTGCATGATAGGATCTTGCATGATGGACATGATCTAGAGTGGAAATACAGGTCAGTTATGCTTCTATGAATGGAGGCAATATGCGACTTACTTCGGGGTCCTTCTGCAGACGCTCCCTGGTCTGCTCCTCGGTCTCGTTCTCGCGAGCAGAGTACATAGCTTGCAGAGCCTTCTCCTGCTGTTGCTGAATCTCACGAGCATTGGCGCCGTTGTGGTGCTCGTTATCGACAGCCGACGCCTCGTTGCACTGGTCCAAGCACTTGTTGTACTCGCGCATGCCAAAGTAGACTTGTGCCTTACGGATGTAGGCACGGATGAACTTGGGGTCCTTCTTGATGGCCAAATCACAGTCTTGCAGGGCGCTGGGGAATTCGAAGAGCTTCACGAAGGCAGCAGCGCGGTTGCTGTACCCACGAGGGTCCTCGGGGGCACGCTTGACCATCTCACTGTATGCGGCGACAGCACCAGGGAAATCTTGGTCCTTGAACTTCTTGTTACCCTCCTCACGAGCCTCCTCGGCCTTGGCGGGGTCGATGTAGGCATTCCTGGCATCATCAATCTTCTTCTTCTCGGCAGCACGGAGCTTAGCGTTGACCTCGGGGGTACGGTGCTCGGTGAGGGATCTCTTGAAGTTGTCGATGGCACTGTCCATCTCACCCAGCTTCTCGTAGGCGCTACCGATGCGGGCGTAGGACTTGGCAATCAGCTTGAAGTCGGCATAGATCTCACGGCCCTCGTCGATGGCCTTGGTGCAGGCCTCGATACAGGCTTGGTAGTCACCCTTCTCGTAGTATGCGGCACCCAGGTTGTTCAAGTAGGTGATATCCTTGTGAAGGTCCCAGGCGGCAGTGTAGTGCTTGATAGCCTCGTCGAAGTTGCGCTTCTTGTAGTTCTCGGTACCCAAAGCCTTCTCCTTGTCAGCCTCCTCCTTGGCCTTCTTCTTGGCCAGCTCGTCGTCGTCGTGCTCGGGCTCGGGCTCGGACTCGGGTTCGGGCTCGGGGGCCTTCTTGGGCGCAGGGCTAGAGCTTGCGGGCCTCACGTCGGGCATCTCGACATCTTCCTCTGCATCCTTGGTACCCGATGCGCCACCAGGCATGTCGCCGGGTGCTCTCATGTCGAGGTCGACGCCCATGGCGACACCAAGAACCTGCATCATTCTGGGGTCGCTGAACAGGTCTGGGGTCATCTGGGGGTTCTTCTGTAGTTGCTGAACCTTGGCAATGAAAGATGGGTCGGAGAAGTAGCCGCTGGTCTTGGGGTTGGTCATGAGCTTCTGCAGCAGGTTGGGATCCTTGAACATGTTGCCCATTCCACCCATAGGGTCGCCGCCAGCGCCACCTTCTCTGTCCATGGCGGACTTGACGGAAGCCAGCGAGCTCTTCAGACCGGCATTGTTGGGGTCTTGCTTGAGACCCTCCTCGTATGCATCGTAAGCTCCCAGCAGGTCACCGGCACCGTGCAGAGCAGCGCCCTTTCTTCCCCAACCTCTCGGCCAGTCGGGCTTGATCTCGGTTGTCTTCTCGGCATCCTTCAATGCGTTGGTCCAGTCCTTCTTGGAGGCGTAGGCTGCAGATCGGTTGCTGTAGAGGACGTGGTTGGATGCATCGATCTCGATGGCCTTGGAGAAAGCGTCGCTGTAAGGGAAGGGGAGATTGTAAGTACGTTTGAAATACGGGGTGTAGGGCTGTGGTTGTCTCGTGTGGTGGATTTACTTACATGGCCTCATCGAAGTTCTTCTCGGCGATGGCCTTGTTGCCGAGAGCCTTAAGCTCATCCGCAGTCGACATTTTAGTGGGATGTTTTGGTCGAGTTACAAGGTAAAAGGATTGGGTTTGTGTCGGGCTGGGGTATCAATCAATTAAAAGGGGACGGTTTGCGTAAAAGTGCGAAAGGAGACGGAACTCTTAGTTGTGAGACTTGAAGATTATGAAAATAGAATTGGTAGTCAAGGCAGGCAAAGCAGTTTGACGTCGATTTAGAAATAAGCCCGCTTTTGACTGTTGACTCTGCGGGCGGCTTCATGGGAGACCAGCGACCGGAGAGCAGAGCAGAGCTTCGATGCAATTCTACAGACCTAAAGAAAGCCAACAGGGTATTTGATTGGTTGCGATGGAAAAAAAAAGGATCACTGTTCGACTTGTGAATGAACCGGCGCTAAAAGTGGCCCAGCTCCAATGGCATGCAACTATCTCATTCAGCTGAACGCTCTCGAAAGACCTGTGATGAAGTATAGATACATCAACGTATCCGTATCTGGAGATGAAAGATTAATCGGGTGATGCCCATTGCAAGGCACAGTGGCCATCTCACATCCAGAGCAGCTTCACGGACGCCACAGCCCGGGCAACTCAGAATACCCATCAACTGTGCAGTTTCCAATTGTCCTTGATGCCCCGCCAGGCTGCGCATCTGTATATCTATATCTAGGCTAGCCAAACAAAGCCTTCCAGTCTGGGCGGGCGGATGGCTGGAATCTTCTTTATCAGTCTAGGCAGGCTCGATCATCTGGGACGACATGGAGCCTGCAATTGTTATTTGCGCCCTGCAAGCCCGCGGAAACACATTGGTACGAATCGACGAAACAGGTGATTGCCATCGCCATCTCCATCGCTGCTGTGTATGTAGTTAACTATGTACTAACCAACCTTACTGCATGCACATGCCACATGCTTGGTCGTCACCCACCTCTTTCGATAAGGACGATAAGCTGAAATCGCGGGGCAGCTTTTTCTCCTTCTCGGGAGCTGCAAGTTTTTGGAGAGGGAGAGAGGAGCCAGAACTCAAGGACTCAGAGCTAGTCTCAATAAAAGCTAACCAGAGCCGAGTAAGAAATTTGGAGCGCAAAAGCGAACGCCAAAAGTCTCGCCGAAAGACTCATCTCAGCGCATTCCCCTGCGGCAGGTTGCTCAACGGCCGTTACTTTACGACCTCCGCGCATGGCCTACACACAGATTGGTCTCATTGCACGAACACTAGCTCTGCCGCCCTTCCAGTTCTCATTCTACCAACAGTTTCTCGCCATCCTCCGCACTCATCGACCCTTGACTCACCCCACCACGACAAGGCTTCGGCCGCCCGTCGATCACCATGTCGCTTGACCCTGAGAAGCTGTCCATTCTCAAGGACCAGCTCTACAGCGCTGCTGTCGAAAAGCTCGAAGGAGATGACGAAAAGGCCTGGGCAAAGGTCTTCTCCCAGGAAGAGCTCCAGAACCTCGATGTCATCCCCCCAAAGGACCTGAGGACTCTGGCAGCGGTCATTCGCGAATTGACCGACGAGTTCCTCTTCATCACCATCAACACGACCTACGGTGCAGCATGGAGGTTGCGGCCCGAGAATGAGGCCGTCAAGTACCATGGCCTGACGCAGGACCAGAACATCATCTACTCCCTCATCGACAACGCCGGTGCCGAGGGCATATGGCAGCAGGACATGCGCAAGAGGACAAACATGCGCGAGCAGACCCTGAAGAAGGTCCTGAAGGAGCTAGAGAACCAGAAGAAGCTCATCACCAGCTTCACTTCCGTCCAACAGGTCTCTCACCGGTGCTACATCAAGGCTAGCATCAAGCCCAGTGAGAAGGCCACCGGAGGTCCCTGGTTCGCAGATGGAGACTTGGACGAGTCCTTCATTGAAATGTTGCTCGCCGTCACCCACAACCTCATAAAGCGCGCGGGCACCTACCATAGTCTGAGGGGTGAAGCCGGCACCCGGAGCGCTAGTTCCAGTCCCGTCCTGCCCAAGAAGGTTATCAACGGCAGCCAGAGCGACGTGGCCTTGGCAGCTCGGGGGAAGAAACGGCCTGCCGATGACATGACTGTCGACCATGACCCATTCGCCGACTCCCCCACAAAGTCCCGGAAGAAGTCAGCCAGCCACCCCGTCCGTATTCCAATGCCCGCAGGTTACAAGAATTATGCAACTCTGTCAGAACTCACCAAACAAATCGCTGCAGCAAACCTCACCAAGGGTCTACCCCTGAAGGAAGGCGACATTCAACAGCTGCTAGATGTTCTCATGTACGAGAACCGCATCGAGGAAGTCAAGATTGGGAGAAAGGTCGGCTACCGCACTGTGAGACCCATGAAAGTTAATGTTGCCACCAACACCATGCTTTTGGATGAAGATAACCTGGAGCCTCGTACCAATGGCTTGACCACCGCGCCTTGCGGTCGATGTCCTGTATTCCAACTTTGCGAGGAGGGTGGCCCCGTGTGGCCAGGAGGATGCGAGTATTTCGACCAGTGGTTGATATGACAAAAGTCCCCTCGAGAGCAGAGGCTACGCATCGTTCGATGATGGCCATCCCGCATGGTGTGTATTTTCAAGTCCAATTGGCCGGACGGGAAACAGGCAGCATCTTTGTATTTTATAGCATTGCAATGGCGTTTTCAGGGGATTTGGTGTAGGGCCTTCGTTACTAAGTATCAGGAGCGATTGAAATTCAGGCTCCACTACATTTGCATCAGGAAGGACGGATAGATACCCCCTGCTATGGAAAGGAGAGCGCGGGCTTGAAGTGGAATGACAGGATTTCGACTCAATTACATGACTTGGTTTGGTATAATAGAACATGCCATATATCCACTGTTTTGTGGGGTTGAAGTTGAAGTCGCAGGTGACAAACATCGAAAACGAGACTCCTCAGATCCGCCGCATGGTTGGCAGCGAAGTTCTGACCATCTACCTTGCATGGACAATGCAACGCTATACCTTTTGACGTCTGCTGCGACCAAATCAGCTTTTACGTTCCGGTGAAGACGATACCGGCCACGTTGTGTCAGGACATGTTTTCGCCGGATCATAAGAAAGTCGTGGCATACTCGAGGAGCAAAGATGAGCGGAAGGTTAGTAGAGAAACCGTTGTTTTTGCTGTCGGACTCTGTCTAGTCGAGAGCCTGGACAAGAATGAGGTCCTCCGAAATCGTTCATCGTCGGGACTATTGGAAGCGTATACATGCTATGTGTACCACATGCACTCATCCGACATAACCCTTCTATGTATGCGAAGCTTGACAATATTGTTCTAAATCGGTTTCTACAGCGACACGACACGGAAAGCTGAGGCTATGCTGTACCGAGTGTTCTATGTACAAAGGACGAAGCTTCGAGGAAAAAGAAATCATGGCTATGAGCGCGGCAATTGTTGCTCTTTGATACATCAGCCCGGCCAGTAGCACTTCGACTGTAGTTTCAGGCACAGGGGTCAAACAACCAGGCAAAAACATTCGCGTCTTGATCACTCAGAAAAAGGTGAAACAAGGGCATATTTTTCTCACTGACTTGATGTATTCCCATTGAAATTGACTACATTACACATTAAATCTTCCCATATGACCAGAACCGTTTCAACTTCATCCCCGTTTCATCCCACTGCCTCAAGCCAACTGCCCACGGATGGCACCGGGCACAGCGAGACTCGAGTGGACGTCGGTAAAGAACGCCTTGGGGTCTTTCTCGATCTGGCCGACATGGAAGCCAGCGCCCGTGTCTGCACCGTTGGCCGTGAGGCCTGTGGTGAACGGGCCGGCGATACACCCGACACTGACGCGCTTGCCCTCGGGCTGGTGCTCGTCGACGGCGACGGGGTTCGGGAACGCCAGGCGCGGCGGGCCGTTCGCGCCCCTAGCCGCCTGGTGGATGTGCGTCGCCGTCTTGGCGGGCGACTGGTAGTTGCCCCTGAACCCGTGGATCTCGATGTGGTAGCAGATGGTGTTCGCGTCGGAGATGATGCCGTAGCTGAACGTGCCCCTGGAGCCCTTGAGGCCGCCGGTCAGGGTGAACGGGCCCGGGGCGGTGCCGTTGACCACCTGGTCCGGCGTGGCCTGGACGCTGTAGGACGAGGTGAAGATCTTGGCCGCGCTGTCCCACTGGGCGTAGCCCTTGTTGTCGTAGTTGACCTTGGACCAGTCGACCTTTTTGTAGTCGACCTTGGACCAGTCGACCTTTTTGTAGTCGACCTTGCTGTAGTCGACTTTGGACCAGTCGACTTTGCTGTAGTCGACGTGGCTGTAGTCTACCTTTGACCAATCCACGTTGCTGTAGTCCACCTTGCTGTAATCGACCGAGCCCCAGCCACCAGGAGGTGTGTAGTCAATGGGAGCGGGAGCTGCAGTGACCGTCGCGGCCATTGCGGTAATCAGAGAGATTGCTGTGAAGGACTTCATGATGACTTGAGGTTTCGATGTTGAGCTTTTGTTGTTTGGTTCGGTGGTGGTTTTTGATAATATATAAAGAAGACATCTTACTATTTGGCACTGGAATGACACCCTTATATACGAGATTAGTCTAGGAAAGAACAGTACGGACGACAGACAGGAAAAACCCGACTGGGACTACGAGGTCACAATCTTGGCCAACGTATGCCAACCCTAATGCGGCCGCAGAGAGTCAGGAGCACGCTGTATATCACAAAGATTACACTGCCACGCTCAGGCGGGAGTGATTTCACGTTAAGACCGCATGTAGTCTGGTGTAAACTAAACCAGCATCGTTGCAGGTGAAACTATTGACTGCCAATCTGCAACTAAACTCAAGTCTAATAGAGCTGCGTCCGACACTTGGGATCGGAGAAGCTCTATACGATCTTGTTTGCCTATGCTAAGCACCTGGACTAGACTAGGCTATAAGCAACCAGTGTCCAGAGCTACCTTGATCATGGGGGGTTCGGGGTAAGGCTTGGCGGCCCGCTCCAAACCCCAAATGCTAGGGCTTGGCCAGGCACTTGTCCCGGCGCCATGGAAGCGGCTGAGCATTTGCTTGACCAGGTACAAAACCACGCTGACCAGGTACAAAGTCTGTACCTTGGCTTCGCTTGGCAATAGTTCCCAGGGACAAAAACAAGCACTAGTGTAGCGGCACATGTTCGGCATATGTTCGACATATGTTTGATATATGCCAGGCATGTATGTCCGACGTATGCGACCATTAAATAATGTGGTTTGATATAATTGTGAGATTACGGATGCTTGAAGTTATTAAAAACCCCTTAAACAAGCAATATAAAAGGCTTGGATAGATAAATAAATACTCTAAATAGATTTTTTATGAGTAAAAGTGTTAGATAATTCTATAATTCTATAATTCCAGCGCAGTTCCAACAACGTGGCCGCAAAGGATGCTGTGATCAAAGCGGTTGCGGTCGTTTGGAAGAACTGTCCTGGAATTCATGCACGACATGATGCTGCGCCAAGCATTGTAAAGGGAGAAACCGACCTCAGATGATGTTGATTTCAGAATCAGTTTCCCAAATCGGCAGCCAAACCCGTTGTGATCAGTATATCCCGGAACCACCGAGAAGCGCGGGCTAGACATGGTTGTGCCACGAGACGAACTGCTCGGACAGCATCATTTGACTGAGTATGTGTTCTGATGGTAGTCAGCGGTTCCGTAGCTGGTGATGGAGTTTAGGTCATAAGCATGATGCGATATGAGTTGTATTATTGTGTCGATATATGAGTTCTAAAGTCGGAGCCGAGTTCGGTCGCTTCATACGTCCACCCCAGCCCGCCTCAAAATCACCAATCCGTGTTCGGCTTTTGTCCACCTCCTTCTGTACATCTGTTTGTGTCACCTGGACCGGCTTAATCACGGTCGGCTGCGGATCGTTTATCTTTACTACCGGCCTGAGCAAGTGTTATATACAAGACAGTTATGCCCGATCAGGCATCCACAAACTTAACATAGAACAACCACACAAGATAGTAAGTCATCTGTTCTACCCCTATAAAATGCAATCTAGGTCACAGAACAAGCCAACAACAAAAAGAATGAAAGAAGAGCATAAAGAATTTATCCAAGAGACAGAAGTGGCTTACAAGCCCGTGCTGTAAACAATATTATGTACTAGACTTGCTGACGCTCGCTTGGTCATATCCTACACTACATCAGGATCAATCATCCTTGTATCGTTATTTATGTCCAACGACATTCGATCCGCCTCTGGAACCAAAGCTGTGAGTTGTCACAGTGATGTTCCTTCCCAAATTCTGGGTCCTTGGCGCACTTCACTTCGCCGTGTCCCGGAACAGCCAGGGAACCGGGCCCGTCATCATTGCCCGTGTACGTGATACCGTCGATGCCGAACGCGCTGAATGCATCGAGCGACTCGGGGTATATGCTCTTCGCGGTACCACGCTTAGCGACCGGGTCTGCGTCGCATGGGTCGACTCCCTTGTCCGGGGTTGTCGTGAAGATATACCACGGGTAGTTCCAGTACATGGTCTCCATGATGAGGAGAACCTTTGGTGAAGGGTCTGCTGAAGGAACAGAAGGTTTCTCGGTGGTGGTAGGCGTCGTCTTGGTGGTAGATGCCGACGTGCTGACACAAGTGGTGTGCGTCACACATGCCGTCTTGTCACCGCCACCGCCGGGGCCTCCACACTGCTCCCAAGTACTGGTAGCCGCGCAGTTGGATGGAATTGGCTGGTCCCCTGCTGTCAGGGTCGGAAGGTTGGGTAGACTAATAGGTACTGTGGCGATGCTGGTGCAGAATTGTCTCGTGACACAAGCTGAATGACCGTTACCGCCGGCGCATAGCACGGTGGACGTTTTTCCCTCGCCAGAGGCACAACTCGTTGTCGTCGGGCCGCTTGGAGGCAGGGTGGGCAGGCCTGTCAAGGTGCTTGGGTGGTCGGGGTCCAGTGGATCATAGTAGCCCGGCGGCTTGCCAGTCGGTGTAGGCTCACAGAAGAAACCGCTACATTTGGTTCCGCATCCGGAGGTGCAGGTCGGTGAGGCAGGACCTGGCTTGTAGCTGATTGTGAGACCATTCTGACCTGAACCCTGGCCGCCACCATTCTGACCACCATCGCCGCCGCCATTCGGAGTGATTACACAAACCTGTCCTCCTTCCTGCCGCTTGCTTGCCCCGGTGTTCCCTGAACCACAACCATTGGAACCGAATGGTTCAAGGTCGGCGAGACTTTCGGTGAAGACAGGACACCCTTTAAGCTTCGGGTTAACCAGGCAATCGCCATCCTTGACACGGCCAGTCCAAATGAAAGGCACTTGGGGTTTGTCGTTGGCGGGCTGTTCACCTCTGTCAACTGTGATCTCCGGAGACTGGATTTCGCGCTGCATAAAGAGCACCAGCTTCTTCACATTGGCCGGGTTCTTGAGCTCGTCTTTCCATTGCTGCTTCATGTTCGGGAGACCTCTCCAATAGGCTATCACACCGGCGACGAGAGGAGCGGCTGCATTTCAAGTTCACGACGGTTAGCATTCGATCTTGTGTGCGTATCGTTGATTTTCAGCACCATGAGAGGGAACTGCGACTTACCCAAGGATGCGCCGTCGGTGATACCTCCAGCAGCATTGACATTCCAGCCAGGTGCCATGACGAGCCACGGTTGATATGGATTTATGGGAGAGACTCTGGTGTTTTTGTCGATGCCGCTAACAACTATCAAGTTCTGTATACTTTCGCCCGCTGATGTTCCGGGATCGCCGAATCGGCTTGGCCATCCATCGAGCCTACCTCTGCCGAACGGTTTCAAGTCGTAGTTGTGAGACACCGCAACCATGACGACACCGAGGTCATCAAATTCTTTCAGTAGCTGGTCTGAAAGAGGGAGAAAATGTAAGGATTAGTTTCGATTCGAAAGCCTTTGGAGATGCGCAGATTTTGAGGGTTTGGATACTCACAAAGCGTATCGTAATGTGCCGGGTTCATATATTCCATCTCCTCGACCATCCATCCAAATGACATGTTTATGATGATCTTTCCTTCTTGACCCGCGTATTTCTCCTTGATATCATCGAGAACGCGTACAAGACTGTCGAGATACAAGTCCTGGATCTTGTTCTTCAGTTCACGAGGGTCTCCGTTATTATTTGCCGGTAGGACAATTTGTGCGTTCTTGGCAAGTCCAAAGTTGACCCCCCATACTTTGCTGAGCACTTTTGTACCATGCGTTGTCTTTGCTGCACCTCTATGGATCTCGCCAAAGTCCCATGATGTGGGGATTCGGCGTATTGGGTTTCTATGCACAGTTGCGCCTCCTGGGGGAGTATAGTCAAGAGAGAATTCCTGTACATTAGGTATTAGTCACGGTGTTACATGTGGAACGAAGTTCATTATACTTACCGGGTCGTCCTCCCAATCATCCTCGATAACGTAGATTATCTGTCCCTCACCGAAGCTGGTGTCGTAGCTCTCAGTAAACGGCCCATCGGGCAGTGTTGCGATGCTGTTCCACTTTCCACCTGGAGGTACAGACATCTGAGACAGCTCCCAGTAAGGGCTGCTCAGTTCCGCTCTCTTACCAAGTTGAAGGCCATCGCGATGAGTTTCCAGGGATCTGACCTCAGAACCACTTTCCGCACCGACCGAAGCGTCAGCAGTGGTGCCCTTGTATTCACCCTCGTCATTATAGGTATAGATTCCGTAGGCATCCTTGACCTATAGTTCAAGCTTTGCGTTAGCGACACGAGAACACGTCACCTCTTTCACCCGGCACGAAGACGCTCAAACCACGTATCGCCGTCAAGAGGCCAACAAACCTGATAATTCAAAAAGAAATAAGTGTATGAGTGTACTTACCAGCATCCTATCACGGTTCAAAACTCTCAATAGGTCTGGTATAGTGGATACTTTCACCTTCTTCAGGAAAAAGAATGCCAGGAAGTCGCCTCCACAAACCACCTCCATCTCGACTGTTAGGGGCTCATCTTGCTCATTTTGGACTCTGCCGCCGTGTTTGCTATATTGATCCAAAGTTGACTCGATTGTGTATGAGTCATCGCCATTAGTTGGATTCATGGGGTATAGAATCACGTCGTCGTAAGCGCATCGTCTGTCGTATGGGGGGGCGCGTGCCTTCAACCCATGTGCGTTAGGACTTTCAGCTACCGCGGTGGCCTCGGTAGGTACATCTGGCATCACAGTTCTACGTTCCAGGTATGTGCTTGCCGTGCAGGCGCCAGTAGTGGTTACGCTCGTTGTCGAATCGTCGTCTTCGACATTGCAGCCCACCACGGGAGTGCAGGTCGAGACGACCGATGTGGCTGTCCTCGTGGTTCTGTCTGCGACGGTGGCACTGAAGGATGTGGTGGTGATACATATGTCCGCGCTGGAACTTGTGCAATCCGTGGGATTGTTGGTTGGGTAAGTGGCAACGCCGTTCGTTCCAATGCTACAACAAGTCAGAATATCGCCCTTTCCGTTTTTCTCAGTCTTCAAAGTACATACGTGATACGCGGCCAAGGTCCTGGCAGAGTCCCTTTGATGGAGACAAAAGGGGGAAACTTGATAGAGGGTGGTGGGCCTGGGGGCAGGATTCCAGGAGGGAAATCCCACTTCCATCCTCCGATCTTGATGTCTCCCCAGGAAATACAAATCTGTGTAGAGGCAATGTGTCAGCCAACCAATTAATACAGCTGATTCGAGGACGCTGGGTCTCTATAAGTACTCAACTTACGAAAAAGAACCAGAGCTTGCAAGTCGTCTTCTTGTCGTTGTCACCGTCCTCAGGTTCGTCTTCCACCCAGACAAGCTCGCCGGCAGGCCAGGTCGCGTAGACAGGCAAGCCTGAGATGGTAGAGGTCGTAGCTGGGGATCCTCCTGAGGTCCCCGATGGTACGGCACTGTAGCCAGTACCTTTCCAGGCTGTACAACCGAGCACGAAGTTGACGTCGGCGGCCGCCTCGATCTCGACCGTCTTGGTGGCTGGACAATTCCAGTCCAGTGTTGTGGCTCCTTCACAGTCTTGCAAAGTGATCATTGCGCCCTTTTCTGCAACATAAACTGTGCTGTGCGCACAATTGGCATAGATAGGTGGTTTGGTATATGGCGACCCAGCTGGGATCGTGAAAGTGACTGGAGAACCATCGTCGTCGCCGCCGCCGCTGCTGCCGCCGCCGCCCGTTTCAATGGGTCCACGGGTGACAGCCGGCCAGGGAGGCAAAGTCAGAACTCTAGTGCTTGTCTCCCCATCTCCATTGGTCACGACAACGGATGCAGGCGGCACTGATACGCTGGGGACGGCAACTACAATAGCACCGCTAGACTGGCCCGAAGATACAGGAACGTTATACATGGGGAACTCATCAGTGACAATTGATGTTAGTGTGAGAGTTACGGTCGTGGTGGTGATAACGAAACTCGTCACGCCATTCACCATGGTTGATGAGCCAACTTCCAAGGATGTAGTATACTTGGGCAGTGAAATGGTGGTGCTGGATGGCAACTTGCTGGGTGGGAGCACCATAACGCAGGGGGCCGAGCATTGCGCCGTGGGCTGTTGGTACACTTCTGTGCCTATATAGACAACCTCTCCCTGGTCTCCTGCTTCGTCGTCGGGGCTAAACCACCAGATATTAGTGATGCAGAACAGCATGAAGGGCTCATCTAAGAACGAGTCACTCACCCGCCCGATCCGACCTCTTGGAAATCGATACTCCAGACCATGGTACCACCAAAGCATAAACTGTCAGCATATGCCATCTTGGCTGCGAAGGTATCTTCGTCGTCATAACCCATCCATTGATCATCCCACGTGATCTGCTTCATCATGGACTCCTCAAGATATTTGGGTTCAATTCCACGCTGCTTGATAAGCTGCTTGATCTCCACAAGCGACATAACTCCACCAAAAGATGTGCACGGCGCTGGATTGCTGGGACCGGAGAACGGACATAGGAGCTGGTTGCACGTGGGATCAGCCAACGTGTAACCTCTGCCGTACATGGCGAGGCCGAAGTTGAGCTTGGCAGGGTCGAGGCCATCAAACCATAAAGGTAATGTGTTTTTGGAGATCTCGCGGATGTCGGCCTGGCCACGCACCAAACTACCGAGGGTCTTGACGTCCGCATCCCAGGAGCCGTGAAGGTCTGTCATCTGTGTGTCAGCAGCGGATATGCATGAGAACGGGAAACAAGTTCTTACCGTAAGCCATGAATCCGAAGAAGTCAACGTTTGGCTCCATCGCCTTGGCGTCAAACCATCTCAGGTACCAGTAGTCGGGGGCAAGGGTCACACTGATACCGTAAGAGGTACCGTACGCTGCGCGCATTTCTTTTACCAGGAGAGAAAAGTTCCTCGTATCGGCAAGCTTCTTGCCGCCTCTTTCGGGGGCACCTGGGTATTCCCAGTCGAGATCAATTCCTTGGAATCCATACGTGTCCATATACTCCTTAGCCGAGCTAATGAATGCTGCTCTGTTTGCTTTCGTGGAGACCATGTCGCTCCTGGACGAAATTAATACTTGGCAGAATAGAAATAAGGCATAATGACCAACCATGTAGTGTGCGAAGCAGCTTCTGGATTGCTGAAGTCGAATCCACCCACAGCAATCCAAGTCTGCAGCTTGCCATCCTTGGACAGTGCCGTGAAATCCTTCATACCTTGAACATCATCAGGGTGCGCAGGTGCGATACGATAGGTCGTAGGGTCCATGGATGCGAACGAGAAGAACAAATGAGTGTATCCCTCCGTGTTGAGCTGGTTGGGTGCAACCTTGTTGCATTTTCGATCTCTTTGATTCCAAGACTGGTAATATCCGATTTTGCGCTTCGAACTGGAGCCGCTTCCAGAGGCACATGAAGGGGGACCTGTGATGGCACAGGAGCCGTATCCAGACTGGCAAGGCAAGGTGCCATGAAGTGGATCGGCATTGGCACAGTAAACATCTGTAGTCTGGGGACAAGGTCAGCTTCATATGGAGGAGGGTAGACTGAAACCGAAAAGAGGTTGTCACTCACACCACACCATCCTGTTGCTGAGCAGCAGAGCTTCATACCACATGGCATATCGGCGTCTTCGCTGTACTGTCCGCACATGGCTGTAGCATTGCATTGAGAAGTGCACCCATCGCCACAGAAATCTGGGCCGTATCCACAAATTCCACTTTTTCCGCAACAGCTGTTCGATTGTCAATATACAACTGACGCTTGAGATGGTACACAGCTCACCTGCCATCAATACAGGGCCCGCTGGTACAATACAGCGGGCCATCGCCGCGTCTTTCTAGAGTGTGGGAGTCGTAAGGCGAATGGGAAGAAGCAAAAACGGACCAAGGTGTTGCCGACTGCAGGTTGAAGCCATGCCCAACCGTACCATTGGTCACATCGATGGCCGGATCATCAAATTGTTCTACACCAGTCGTGGGAAAATCAGCGATCTTGGATCGGAGTAATGGAACAGGAAGTGCAAATTGATTCTACCTTCATTGATTTGGTCGCGTCTGAATATATCACGTGGGCTCAGTCTTTGTCTGTCTCCCAGATGGCTCTTGGAGAGGAGAAACGGAAGGCAAAGAATGAAGAGACCGGCGAAGGCCCAAACGACGGCACTTCTCGCTTGTGATCGCATGACTATCGATCTACTTGCTGGTGGCCTTGGGTAACCTCTCAAATGCGATCATGGGAACTACTGCTCTTATAACATATTCGTACACTGGGCACCTACGGAAGCTGACGTTCGAGGATATGTCGGAAAGGCATCTAGGACAACCGTAATGGGTATTCTCTTCGCCGCAAAGATGTTATGCGACGGTAATTAGTCGCCATGGCCTCAGAACGTGTTGTCGCAGGGCAAAAACTAGTGCCTAGATCTGACCGTATATTCCTTCGACTCCACCAGACCTGCAATAGTCGTCTCGAAAATGTGAAATCTGGATTTCGTCGGTCGTCGGTGAAACTCGCGTATTTGGTGATTTGCAAGGATTCTCGGCTAACCCGTGTATTGGCGGCTCCCATTTTTCGCCTCCTTCCGGTGGGAACTGGGGGTAGCCGGGGAGGATAATAAGCTTCTTTTTTAGTTTTATGCAAGGTACATACGCGAGACGGACCGTATGATCGGACCAACCTAACCCTACTCAAGCAGTTGGGCAAATTTTTGCAGCAGAGATGACCCACCCTGATGCTTAAGTCTAGTGCTTGTGGGTTTTCTACACCAACCGGAGAATCGTCCGGGTAGCAGTTGTTGGGATGTAATCTCAAATTGGCCCCGAAGGATCCGAGCCAAGAGTTCCCACGCAAAAGGATCTAAAATAAAAATCGGAGGAGATAATCTTATACTGTATACTGTGGAGCTGGCTGAACTCTGGTAAGACTCTTATTGGTGGAGAACTTTTCCAATGGTATTACTTTGCTGTTTAAGGTTGGGACTCGATCCTCTCGGGTTCGCTCAAGTCATGGATGCAATCGCATCCAAGCCACTATTATACGAAGCATGCGTTTAACCTTATAGTATTACGCGATTCTCCTGTCCAGGAACTGCTGACAAGCACACGACCTCGTATAGACTGTAAAATGCCAAGCAACCAGCTGCATTATAATTTGGCATCTCCGGACCTCGGCAACGTTACATTCTCGCAGAATGCAATCCACATGACGGCTTTCGGCAGATTGCGGTTGCCGGGTCTTGTTGCCGTAGCCGTTTCTTGTAAGCGATGGTGAAGGGCCTCTCAGCCACGTAGGAAAGGATGCTGCAAAACTAGTGGTACTATATCAGGAGGCAAACTCCTGGAGATGAATGACCGACTCCCCAGGAAAATCGCACAACCTGATCCACACCAAAGATGAAGGCATCTGTACTCTTCTGGCTTTTGCCAACACTAGCAGCTTCCCAGACAACAACAACATCTTCACTTCCGGCATGGTCGACAGGTGTAGAGACGGAAGATGGTACTTGTGGCGGGACAACTGGTTGGGTGTGTACTCCCACCTGGGGTGCTTGTTGCTCCAAGGACGGGCTCTGTGGTCGTTCCAGCGCTTTTTGTGGCGAGGGTTGGTGAGTATTTGTTTCTTCCACAATCATCGTCTCAAAGCTGATCGTCGTCTGCTTGGATCAAAGTCAACCTCTAGCGGGCAACTGTAACGCAGTCGCACCACCTAAACCAGGACCTGGTAGCCCATCACCAGACGGCTCCTGTGGCGGTACAAATCAGTACAACTGCACAGGTGCGACTTATGGCTCTTGTTGTTCATCCAGTGGCTACTGCGGCGACACGACCGGCCACTGCGGTACCGGCTGTCAAAGTCTATTCGGTACCTGCGGAACAGTAGACGACACCGTCAGCACTGACGGACAATGCGGTAGTAATGGTAAGACCTGTGAAGGGTCGACGTTTGGAGAATGCTGTTCTTCCACAGGCTGGTGTGGTGCCGCAGATACACACTGCGGCGCTGGTTGTCAGTCCGACTTTGGCGTCTGTTCAGCTGCAGCAAATGTCACAACCGACGGCTCATGCGGCAAAAATGGCAAAGTCTGCAAAGGCTCGAGCTTTGGAGACTGCTGTTCTTCCAGTGGTTTCTGTGGAAGTGGGGATGGCTTTTGCGGTGCCGGTTGTCTGTCCTCGTTTGGCGACTGCTCTGCTCCAAGCGACATCTCTACAGATGGGTCCTGCGGCAAGAACGGGAAAATCTGTACAGGTTCAACATTTGGCGACTGCTGCTCATCAAGCGGCTTTTGCGGTGAGGGCAGCGACCACTGTGGTGCCGGCTGCCAGGCATTATTTGGAACTTGCGATAATGGCAGCGGCGACATCTCGACTGATGGGTCGTGTGGAAAGAACGGCAAGACCTGTAAAGGTTCAACTTACGGAGATTGCTGCTCGTTAGACGGGTTTTGCGGTTCGACTGATACTCATTGCAAAGCAGGATGCCAAGCCGCGTTCGGTACGTGTGATACCAGTGCCAGCAACATATCTACCGATGGTTCATGTGGCAAGAATGGTAAAACGTGCAAGGGCTCGACGTATGGAGATTGTTGTTCGTTGGAAGGATTCTGCGGTTCAAGCACCACACATTGCAAGGCGGGATGCCAAACAGCTTTCGGCACATGTGATGCCGATGCTGGTGCTATATCGACTGATAGTGTCTGTGCTAAGAACGGAAAGACCTGCAAGGGCTCGGCCTTCGGAGACTGTTGTTCTTCAACAAACTTTTGTGGTACATCAGTGGACCATTGTGGAGCCGGTTGCAATGCAGCCTTTGGAACTTGCAACAGCGGGTCCGGCAGTATTTCGACAGACGGGCTTTGTGGCAGTAAAAACGGCAAGACTTGTGTAGGCTCTGGGTTCGGAAACTGTTGTTCGCTCACTGGCAACTGTGGCAGCACTGGTGTCCACTGTGGTCAAGGATGGTGAGTTCTGGCCTTTTCATGTTTTCCCTCGACCTGCCGGGGTCGATATCTCCCGGAGAACAGTCACTGATTTCTTCAACAGCCAAAAGGGTTCTTCGAGTGGTTGCTTGACGAAGAACATCCCGACAAACGATGGCTCTTGTGGAGCAAAGGCTGCACTGACATGTGCAGGCGGCAGCTTTGACGGACAGTGCTGTAGCTTGAACGGGTTTTGTGGAACGAGCTCTGGGCACTGCGGCACAGGATGGTGAGTCTTCCACTTTCATGCAGGAGCAAGAATCATTGTTCTCAGAATACTAACTCTGTTTAGTCAACGTGGCTATGGAAAGTGCAATTAGATGGCCGGTGTGCCAGTTCGAAGTATGCCTATGGGGGGGGGGGGGCGGGGGTTTCCAACCAAACTACAAGAATAAATCTCTATCGAGACTGTAATATTTGTCAATTCAATTATTAATAGCATACACAAAATTCATCTGGTCTCACCAACCCCCGCGTCAAGGTCAAGGCGGGGAACAAATATGTGAGGAAATTCTGAAAACAAACACTAGTGCGTATACGAATATTTCACCTACCTCACCCACCAAGCCAGAAAAAGAAAGAAAAAAGGCCCACGTTCTGGGATTACAGCCACAACAGACAATCACAATCGGTCATCCTCTCCTCCCATTCACAAGGAACAAAACCTATCCCATAATGCTCTCTATATCGTAGCTGACTGAAAGCCCCAGAGCCCCTGTTCAACATGCTGTGTAGCAACTCTCGCCGACCACACTTCCGCTCAGACATGCAACATCTTTGACGGTAGGATGGCCTGATACGATAAGGAGGGCAGACTCGGCATCAATCCCGGCGCATGTGGCGAGATCAACTACAACAACCAGCTCATCGGCGACAGGAACCAGGTCCAGTACGGCAGCTACGCCAACCCGAACACGGCGCCCATCTGTCACAAGACGATCCACATTCGGTACCAGGACAAAGAGGTCGAGGCGGGTGTTACAGACCGGTGCGAACATGTGGCCACGGCGAGATCGACGGAACGCAGGCCGTGTTTCTTGAGCCTTATGGGCGACTTGGTTCCGGGGCGTGAGGAGGTTACTTGGTGGTTCGAGTGAAGCGGCGTGGTCCTAGAATTTCTAATCCGTAATCTGGCCATCCAGGAGTGATTGTTCTTCGCGTTGTTTATACATGCGAGATAGGCTCTTCTGACACGACTATAAAAATCAGCATGCTCTGAAAGTTTGGAATGTGCCCAGGTGGATTCCTCCATTTGATTAAGAGATCAGTGCTTTTTATGAGCAGGATGCAGTATCTATTCACTCTGGCTGCTTGTGGTACGGAAAAGGCTCGCGACAGCAGAGATCACTAGAGCAGGTGCCCGTCTCCCCTTTTCTCTAACTCTCGTCGTATGTCATGGGCGTTGGGTGTGCTAAAGTGGGTCAATCTCTAGCGAGCGGGGCGAGTTTCTTAGTCACGTCGAATTTAGGGTGAGTGCGTCGTGTATAAATGAATAGCTTAGGCCCCTCCCACTTGCTTGATGTCCCAGTACGCTCGCCACGGTGCAACTATCAAGCCAAAACTTTGCTCTTGGTCACAATCCTGAAGATATGATGACGTCCTGCAAGCTCGAATCACTACATACTGATGTCACCATTCTTATTTTATCCGCAGTCACGTCGCTCGAGGATCTCAGCGCCCTCATCCGGGCTTCACCTATCTTGTACCGGACCTTTCTGTTGGCCAAGACGTCGATTCTTGCCAATATCAGCTATGGTGACCTCGGACCCGCTATAAGAGATGCCCTCATTCTAGTACACACGGAGAGGCAGCCGTTCTCTTCGGGGGATCGTAACGTTTACAACAAGAGGGTGGAAGAGACTGTGGCGAACTGGAGAACGCGCCTCTTGTCTAGTAAAGAAGATTGGTTAAGAGGAGCTTCGGAGGCAGAAGCCGAACATCTCGTGCGGATAAACCGGACGGTCCAGTATTTTGTTGACCTCTACGCGCGTGTCAGGTTTACCTACTTCGAACGAGAACTCGGCTCGAAAGCCGGCTGCTGGGGTTTGAGCATTACAGAGCGCCAACAGCTAGCGCAGGCTTTTATCCGTTGCCAAGTCATACTGAATCTGTATTGCGCGCCAGGCCTGCCACCGTTCGACCAGGGATTTCTCGTCACCCGCGTCTTGGCTCTCTTTGAAGCTTGGGAGATGGAGCAGATATCGCAGGCCGATACCTTTGCATATACCATGTGCAGCGCCCTAGTCCACTGTGAGAATACGGAGGCCGGAGTGCCCCCGACTCCAGCGTGGTGGGATGCCACGCGGCGGGCGCTGCGCGAGGCCGCGCCTATCGCAGGTGCTGTGCAGGACGGCCCTATTCCAAGAGGGCGGTACTATAAGGACTACTACCCAAAGCTGTGGTCGCTGCGGCGCAAGATCATCGAGTCCACCTCACACGACCCGGATCTCATGGATCGGATACTACACTGGCGCGATGTCACCAACGGCAAAATGGCATATACGCCGTACAAGTTCCTGCACAACAGCCATCAATTTCAGTCCGAATACCAAACTCGACGTCCCCCGCCGCCTTCGATCCCGTGCAACCTCGCTTCGCAAACGCCAACTCATCCGCCGTGGGGATGGGTGGAGGCGATGGCCGGGCACATCGGCGATCGATGGGGAAGGGACTTACTTCCATCGCCACCAAACGGTACCGCGGCTGAAATCTGGCATGCTACCCAGCAAAAGTTTGAAAAATGGAGATGGGCTGGTTTTGTCTTCTGGGATATGGATCGTGCCGTGATAGTGAAGGAAAAGGGCTTGCTAGGCGAGAACGTGGGCGCCGGCTGGTTGGTCGCACCGTGGGGGTAGTCTGTCAAGACGTTGCAGAATTCGAGGTCGAAGAGAAGTTGATGAAATATAAACTTTACACATTTCTTGTAGAACAAAATAGAAGCGGTAGAGCCGGTTACCTGAAGAGCTTCACAAGGGTCTTTCGGAAGCATTATGAGAAGAGAGGGTGGATACCGTGTGGACTTACTTGAATCTGCTCGTCCCCTTCACAATTTGACGCCGTTCCTAGTGTAGTGTTCCGCAAGTGTTCGAGCAGTTCAAAGTTTACTCTCCACAAAAGAGTTATCTTCGGAGATGGGTAGAAATATAGCTATGAGCGGCACGCCAAACTTGCGCAATATGCGCAGACATACGGAGCATACGTCGAACCACATTTGTAATACATCAGCTAAATCTCGCAGTATTCCTGCTTTCTCCGATCTGATAAAGTTTACACTCCCTATGCGATTATTGAAGACATATCTCCGACACTGTTCATCTTTTGTATAAATAGCTTACCTCACCACCGAGTGAAATGTCTTCTTTTCCAAGATACAACTTCCACACAACACTTGTATTCGGTTGTAAACTAAGCCACAACACAACACTTTCACATCACACACACCCAACTCAATCGCAACAATGTTCAAGAACGTTCTCATCACTGGCACTACGCTACTAGCCATCGCCAATCTGGTTTCCGCCGTTCCCGTCCGGTCAGTTACCGATACTGCGGGACAATTGCTACTGCCACATCCTACCAATATGACGCATCATGAAGAGCGTAGTCTCTTCCCGCCTGTCGACCGCTTTGAGGACCTTATGGAGTGCAGTGGAATGTGCTCCAAGACGCTACATGGCTCAAGACCAGATGTTTGCAAGTACTTCTGTGCCCATGTCATCATGCAAGACGACCAGCACGACGATGCGGCCAACGAAGTCGACATCTTTACCATTGAGGTTGACCAGGACGAGAACGATGCGGCCTACCAGAACAACCAGACCGACGGCGGCAACAAGATGCCAAGAGAAGACGTGCTCGACGACGAGTATTTGTCCAACTCGAACCGCACCGCCGACTTCGTTCAGCACCTCCCCAGCGACCGCGCCTGGCAGGTCTGCAACAAGAGCTGCGTCAGGGCCGCACCCAAGATGACGTGCGTGTTCCCGTGTTTGTCAAAGGAGGAGCGCAAGGAGCAGGATTGCTTGACGAAGTGCGTGCATGACCAGGGTTACTTTGAGCACTGCGTGGAGCATCATGATTAAAATCAAATGGGCCCTCCCGGAGCTATTGGGCCTACTGAGTCTGTGGAATCTCTGCAATTTGATTTCTCACGTCTAGTTCCTGAAGGGGCAATTTTGGCCTTGGTTGGAATGTTCTTTTGGGGGAAGATGAATACGATTGAGAGATTGTATAGAGTCAGTCATTAATGGAATGCTATATATTAAACTTGTCGCCTGTCGTCGATGCGCCGTGAAACTAGACAGCCGTCATCAGAAATTAATGCGAGTTCGTCGTGATTAAGAAGAAACTCCCTAAAATGCTCAAACTGTTAAAGGCTGGTTGCCAGTAAGGCGGTCCAAAAGAACTGAACATTGCACCGTGTGGAGCATGAGGATGTTCGTTCCAGCGCCTGATTGATGAGTGCTTTCTCTAAAGATTGATACTTAATATATTTGTTTACTGTTAGAGTCTCCCTGTACTCCGTAGGCTACACAAAACTAGGTCGCCCCACTGTTGCCTGTAGAGTGGGACCGATTCCTAGCACCAGCGTTTGCATGTTTCCGTAGAAAAAGCAAGCATCTGAAGGAACCCCCCAGGGAGCGCGATGAGTTCATCGAGAATTCTAGGCTTGGCTGGTGTTTTGCTGTCTCATCAGGATATCTACAGTCGATAATTTACCACTTGTCGCCTTGATTCCAATCCCCCCGAATGAGCAACGCTCCACTGGGCTGGAGTCAAGCTGGTCTAGATTCAGCGCTGACGCAGGTCCTTAGGACAAGCGCGCGGGCGCTAGAGATTAGAGTTTGTCCCCACCGCGAGTGGCGCCGTGTCCCCTAGCTTCGCGCCCTGTAAGCCCACCTTCTGCACGCCGGCGCGCATCGCCCCCTGGAAGGAGACGCTGCGAGAGTCCATCGCCGCAGAGACGATTCCGCGTCAGTCACGTCGCCTCCTCCTCTGGTGTCGTGGCGCCGCAGACCTCTGTCCACGTGAACGACAATGAGATCGCTCATTCGTGCCGTAATGCCGAACGTCATACGTCGGCTAGTCGAAGCACTGGCTTTCCAGCTTAGGTACGGTCAGCCAGAGTACGAAGAGACCCAACGAGCTGTTTGGGGACCATTGACACGGTGTGGATGGTGGTAGTGGAGGTGGCGGCCCAATTTTCATCCCCATCCCGGACCTGTTCTTCCTGTTTGGAGCAGATTCGCGCTTAGCATCTCCATTGCTGCGCAGCAACTCCGTATGGTCAAAAGTAGTGTCCCTTGTATTGACAGAGGCTTCACAAGTTTGACGAACGTTGTAAGCGTCAAAACCAAAGCCCCGAAGCAGTTTTCTCCCTTTAACTACTTCCTTGCCAGATCCTTCTGCCACACAATTTGCCCTACGAAATTGGGGGAAATAATGGCCATGACCGTGGTGCTGGGATAGATGTGTGGACAAACCCATAGCCTATGCGTGCTTCTTCTTGACAGACTGCCACTCGCTAAAAACAGATTCCACAATGGTGGCAGCGCAAAGACCTAGCGGTAGATACAGCGTCTGGGTGACGGCCTCGTCATATCCCAGAAGTACGGCCCGTAGCCGATTATTCCCAATCATTTTGCGTTTCTCAGAGATCCCGACGACCTCTAAGAGCGTAGCCTTCGTCGACGGACTAGAGAGCGATGCCTCCTCGATTGATCGGGTATGGAAAAGCGCAGCCGAGACGACGATCCAGACGGCGTTCCTTATGGTAAAACCAAAGTACAACGTCGCGATCCCTAGGAAAAGGTCCTTGGGATCCTGACTGTCTATGGCGAAATGATGGGCGTCTGGAGACCGAAACCTATCGTAATACCGAGGAAGCCTAGATGGGAGACTACCTTGACGGGTAATTTATCTAAGCTCAGAGTCGTGGGTAAGCCTAAGGCGATGTGCACTAACCTTAGTATAGTCGTGGCGATTATAAGTGTTAACCTTGCACTACGTGACTAAGATAGTACGCGGTGACGGCCAGCGTGCTATTAACATTGTATGCATAGCTAGGATGGTGTTTATTCGCCTAATCGATGATAGCATTGTGGCGAAAAGAGGCTAGTGCGATAAGCACTGTGCCGCAGCATCGCTAGCGCTGGACCCCCTTAATTATCCTTGCGTACGGATCCGTTGACTGCGTATTGTTGCTACAACTCTCATAAACAGATCATTGGGTGCGCATACGTCCCGGCATCTCGACAGGCGAAAGGACTAGGTTAGCTCGTATCGTTGAGGGCACTACTCGTCCTGCTAAAGAACGCTACTTCCTCTATTGAATACCGTTCTTGAGCCCTTTGTGTCATTGACTTCATCTGCGGGTCATCTGCATCTCCTGGACTCCGAAAGCGCCGTGCTGTCCACCGTCCTGCTCTACCACACCTACGCAGCCTCCCCTCTCCACGTCTGAAACGAGAGAACCCGCGCTCTTTCAAGTTACTGCACAATCTGAGGATGACATCCTTATATGTTCCACCCGAATATAATATAGAAACTCAGCATGACGGCACCGAACATCTCGCCATAAACAACACGTTTGTTCGCCGATTCTTGACACGACTAGCATTACACACAACGGCCAAGTTTTATTCGCGAGATGGTCTTTGCATCCCAATCTCCAAACATAAAATTGTGAAGACAGGGCGTCGAATCCACCTAACGGAAGGTGCAACAATGAGATATCTGGCTGAAAAAACTGCCATTCCTGTTCCAAAGGTGTATTGCTCCTTTTTGCACAAAAACAGGGCGTACATAGTTATGGAGAGGATCCAAGGCGAGGAACTACCGAAAGCTTGGAAAAGCATGTCCGAAGAATCAATTGAGGGTGTCTTCGCACAGTTAAGAGCCATGTTCCAAGAGCTACGCTCCCTGACGCCTCCTCCGGGCACAGGTGTGGAAAGCTGTGTTGGGGGTTCATTATATGATTCCCGCATATCTCGTGGAAATCCACGTTTCGGTCCGTTCAAGACAATCCAAGAATTTCACTTTTGGCTCAGACGAGACTTGAAAGTCGAAGACCTCAAAGATCGAGAAAAGGACCAGGATTGGCATGACCTCGTAGAGCTGATAAGACGACAGGATGGGCCGTGGCCTCCGCCAATTTTTACCCACGGCGATTTAAATCCCTTTAATGTTCTTATTCGTGGTGGTAAGGTGGTTGGAATTATAGATTGGGAGTTCTCCGGATGGTATCCACATTATTGGGAATACACGTCGGCCTGGTTCGGCAATGTTACTAGGACGGAATGGCAAGGCAGGCTTGACAAGATCCTCGATCGATCACGCCCTGAGGAATTTAGAATGGAAGAGGTTCGCAACAAATGGTGGGGTGAATAAACCCTTATGGAATGGCGCTTAATGCATAAGATTCGTTCTCCCACACCGAAAGGAGAAGAAGGACTTGTAAAAAGTGCATATTGGAATGCCACCGGATTCATGCATTGTCTGACCAAGCGTTTTCTTATCACCTAGCCGCTGCCTGTCCGAAGAGAAAAACTTAAGAACGGCTATTGGTTCTCGAACAAAGGTTGGTAAATCGATTTAATAGTGGTCGAAATCGGGAGGTTAGACGACCGACAAAGGGTGCCATAAACCGGCCAAAACGGGTTGGATATCGGACAGGTTAGTAAAGTACGTTGTCAATGTACCGTTGTTTCAGAACGAAATGGACAGCTGAGTGCGAAGTTCCCATCTGGGTTGGGATGTTGACGATTCCATTGGTATTGGCGTGTACACGGCGGATTCTCTGTTCCTGGTGGAGCTGGCTATGTGGAGTGGTCTGGTTGCGACGGGCGCGTGAGAATCACTGACGATTGGTTTGAGTTATCCGCCAAGAGACCAGTTGCCTTCGAGGAGAGTAGCCCTGTATGGTAGTATCCCGATTAGAAGCAATTCAGCCGACGGTACAGCCAACTGCACTTGAAGGCCTACTGATTGGCTTATGTACCTTGATGAGAATTATTGAAGTGAAAGGAGCTTCTCAGTCATCGAAGCACTGTCGCTACCCCAGTCTCACACAACTAAGCTGCCGCCTTAACGACAAGAGAGGAGACTCATTAAAACTATTGTATTGTATCTGACGCTACCGGGTATGCAAATTCGACTTATTGCTCGTTAGCGCGACTGTCATTGGATTGCTAAAACCTCACGGTTTTGCCTATTTTGAGTTGCGGGATAGTATGCTGGCGATTAGATAAATGGCGAAAGTGATAAGTCACATCTAGCGCTGTGTTTTACACCTAAAGAAATGTTCGATTATGATGGCAATTGATTTCTCTATGACGGCAGCCACGCTCTGACTGCAATATATTTCTTATGCAGAATTGCAAGTTAAATGCCAGGGTCAAGTCAGCCCCTCCTGTGGGGGGCCAAATACCCCATTCCACGCTGTCTCCTGTCGATGCCATATGTTCAGTAGTAAATACGGATAAGGTTTTTCTTTAGGAGGCGAAGAACTTTAAGCGCTGTGATGCATATCACACTATAATTAGCATTAGTAGTGAAACCGTGCCCCTGCCCAGCGTCACGTCGTATCGTGGCTTGTACGAGAGGAGTAACAATTATGTTTCGAAGAGGTAGTGAGAATATGTTACAGTTGAATTGTTGAAAGAGTGAAACAGCTATTTTCAAATATTCCCTTAGCCACCTCCCGCTGTAGAATGGCCTTGGAGGTGGTTTATCTGGTGTTATCTCATCACAGGCATGATAAGCTGTGCCGCACACAGAAAGAGCGCGAAGATGCGGCGTAGATGATTAGTTTCGGTGCATCTAGGCCAATGGAAGCAGATATGTGATAGATGATCCAACTTTTGCAACAAGGCGCGCGCGTGTTCCCTTCTGCTTACATCCCATTGAATATTGGAAAAGTATAAGAACAGGCGCGGAGCGATTGTTTAAGCGGTCCATCTTATGATATCATTACATACTGTCTGATATTTCACATTGCAGAAACCATCAGCGTTACCTTTTTATTCATTTTCTAGTCTGCTCTACTAGCAAGCATGCCTTCTAACAAACCCCGATTATACATTGCCTTATATCCTAGCGGCGTTGTCAATAGCGAGGAACGCAAGTGGGCTAAATAATCGTTCAAATCTTCTTCAAATATGTGTTGACCTTTATAGATACCACTGGGGCTTCTTGATCGGACCGAAAGCAGAGAGCAAAGCCATAGTACCAGGTGCACGTTACCACGTCAAAAACTCCCCTCTGGGATGGACATACGAAGAGATTCCATTAGAGAATGTCCGGACCACCAATAGCCTCTTGGCGCGCATTCTCATTGCCAAAATCGAAGATGAGCAACGTCTCATAGCCCTCCTGCGCCAACTTCCAGTCATCCAGGGCGACCCAAACTGGAGATGTCGCACTTGGATCGCTGGCGCCCTGGCCGAGATTGCGAGGGATGGAAAGTGTCTTGGCACCGCCCAGCTGGATTGGCATAAGATTGAGGCGTTTGCAAGACACTATGTAGGAGACAAGACTGCTAGTGGTCGCTATCATTCTGCTGCGGATTTGATAAAGCCAAAGCCAACTTGGGATATGCTTGAAAATAAGGAAATCGTAGCTTAGAAGCTAATAATCGCGAAATATCGTAGGAGAACAGTCGTTGACCTCTAATCTTTAAGTCTTTGAGATGCAGCTGTTTTATCCCTTAGCAATGATATTACGAGAAGCGCGAAGGTCTTTAAAAGGTATCGTAGACGGGCAGTCAGACGATATTAAGGAGAAAGATATGGCATACTCTCTGCTCCATTTGCTCTCTATTGTAATGCCGTTATATACGTCGAAGTAAACAATAAGCATTTAAGAGACTTCGCACTAAGATTTCTAGGTGCTCCTCATCGAGAGTGCTAACATGACTTTCTACAGCTCACGGAGCCGCCCTCGATTCGTTTCCTTGAACGCTGCATCAATTACACCTGTCCTAAAGATCATGTTGGAAGCCGTGTTGAGCCATTGGCCGTCCTTTGAACATCTTATTTCGATGAGACTACGGAGATAATGCTGGTGCAGACAACGAAGAGTATGATTCATGAAATTTTATCTTGATCAGGCTTCCTGACCGAAAGAGTTTGAAAAATTAAAGTATGATAATGCACTTTTAATTGGTAGCCCATTCGTGAGTAGGAACAAAGCGGTCGTGAATTTGATTATTACAAGTTTACTAACTAACACGAAAATCGCTAGAGACTCTCCTCGTTAAAGTCCCTTATATTTTGGCAAGTTGCCAAAACTAAAGTCGGGATTCACTGTGCGCACAACGGATTTTGAGAGGGGAGAGTTTGATATATAGTGCCTTATATGCACGCAATCTTTCTTATAAGTGCGCAAAGACCTAGGTCAAGTAAAGATATTTCCGCCGATAGTTGTCATGACAAAAAGAAAGGTTACTTTAATTTAAAAGATATAGAAAAATGTGAACAAAGGCTAGGAGCAATGCCTTATATGGAGATGGACGCCTAGGACGGCCAATCTCTGCCACACCACTTCAATTATACAATTAGAAAATGTATAGGTATCAAGATCTCACGGGCACGTAATAAAGATCTAGGGATCTGGAGCAGATCCATCATATCCACGAAGGGATCTATGGTTCCATGGACATCAGTGAAGGAATGAATGGATATTAAAAGGATTGAATCTCCTACTCTACATATACAGCCATACTCCAGTGATCAATCTAAGGATATATCCTACCGCCAGGTGAAACTCAAGCTTTGATGACCACACTTGTGTTACGACCGACTACAGACCCACTGTAGTGCTCTGTTCTAGAAGAAGGGTGTATAGCCCACGATACACGTTTGCATTGTAACTGATTGCAAACATTATCGTTTTCTACGCAATATGGCAGTGTAGCAGTGATCATAGATTGACAACTTGTGAATTATCTATTGCTTAGAACATCCGGAATGCTTATCTCTTTAGTCTTTCATTCGTGGCCAGCATATCTTGTTAGGATAAACCTAGGCTGTTAGATTATTAACAATTATATAAACAGACAATGTAATCGTCACAATTCAATTTAAATAAACTTTTTATATTATCAACTTATTATAACAAGTGGCTCTGTATGTGCTTAATATATGGCGCTAGTGCTGTTTTTTTGTCCTTGTGGAACTCTTGCCAAGCTATGCCAAGCTACTAGGTGTTGTACTTGGTCAGTGTGTTCTTGTACCTGATCTGTTCAGGGTTGGAAGGGCTATCGGCTTGGGAGAACAACCTTTTTGAGATGCAAGTGCCGCGCCGAGACTACGGGTCTTGACACATCCGGTCGAATTGCGGCGCTGACGGCGCCAAGCAGCCAGCAGCTTGCACCATTGCAAATACTAGAGAGAAGCAACAGAGCCAAGGTATCCGGCGTCGTGGTTCCCAAGAGTTACTGCTGCTGCGCCTGTCCCCCATTGAACGTAGATCAGCGCACTCCTCAATCGCCCATCTAGCGTCAACAAGCTCTTTCGTATTGGGACTCGTAGCTCCAGTTATGGCCTTGGCGAAGTCACTCATGATGAAAATCATTTGGAAGATGGTTTGGCCAATCAGCAGCAATCATCCACACAGCACTTACCGCGAGAAGAAATCCCGAACTTCTGTCGGGCTTGAGGCGTCTGGCTTAAAATGTTACGCGTCTTCGCCGAAGCCTTTGGGGCTAGTATGATTTCCGATAACGCACGTCGTAGGATATTCACGGGTGCAATTAGCAACTCTCCAATCCCACAGCAGGGATAATCAAGCAAAGGCAGCGAGCGCTGTGATAAATGCGTCATTGGCTATAGCACCTATCTACACAATGGTACTGGAGAGCTCTAATAGCTTGTGTCGATCCAACTATAGCCATTTGGCCAGAGTTGCTTCTTAGTGACTGCCGCAGTGGCTGTTGTTTCCGTGACCCTATCTGATGTGTCGGACCCGTCTCCAGTGTTCTGATATTCCTCAAATATACTGCTCCGCGCAATGGGGTCAGTGATGCAATGGATTAATCTGGGTTGATATAGCGGGATGCAAAACTCACGGTGTCGCATTATCAGCCAGAGTTGTCCAGCCTTTTGGCGCAACTACTCCCGTCAAGGTGGAGTACTGATAGATCACCCGGGCGAGCACGCGCCACGGCCGACCAAGATAGACGTTTTCAGAGAGGCTCACGCCAGAGACGGAGGTGATCTTCTTGGGGGTTAGTCTGACCAAGTCATAATGCATCGACTACGCTGTGCGAGAATTACCGACGGAAATAGGTCTCACTTACTGTACTATGATCAATTACATACCAGGACGTATCATCTGCAGTCTCTCGTGAACTGGCTGTAATGGCACCGCCAGCTTTGGACGCAATCGTGCACTCGCCAAACCAGGCTGATGCATCACCAAAAATGTAGTCTGTCGCACCAGCAATATAGCAGTTGGAATAGTACTGGTACCCCGACTTGGCATAGAGCCTTCGAATAGAGCGATTAGAAATCTGATCCCGGCGAATAAATATTTATGAGAGACCTACGTATCTTGATAGCCATCGAATTGGCAGCCGTAGTAACCCTGCTGATCACCATTAGCAGTCAAGGCAACTGCCTGAGCGCCCTTGCCATATCCATTGGCGATGTTGACGTTATACAATCTGAAGTTATCTGAGACAACGTTGATAGTGCTGCTCAGATCCAACGATCCCGCCTCTGATGAGGAAATGGTATTTGTGATGGTCACGGTGTTGGACTTGTAAGTCGACGTACTGTGGGAAGTTAGCCTGATCCCCGGTGCAATACATTTGAGGTCAGAGTATATCCTACTCGGTGGTGTATCCATAGACTGTCGTCGTTTCTATCAGCAATGAAAAGTAAATGGAGTCTCAGGCTCAACTTACTTGTCAAGGAGCCCGCATAATCAATCTTCAATTGCTCATTGTAGGAACCACTATAGATAAAGATGCACGCTGAGGCGGTCCCGGACAGGGAACTGAGAGCAGAACCAAGTGTTGAGTACCAACCGCTGGTCGTGGTGCCACTCTTGACGCTCAGACAGCCACTTGGCGCACTCGTTCGAGAGGCTCGCTTCTCCAGCGTTGGTACCGCCCATCCCGTGGTGCTCAGTGCCAAGAGCCAAGGAAGGCCTTTGAACGATACCATAGCTATGAGGACGCGCTTGTAGATACGTGGTGTTTGTCTGGACTTTACCCTAAAGCCACCGTATTCCCTCCATCGACAAACGTCTGAGGCATGTATATGTAGGCTACTAATACTCGTCCATGGGGCTATCAGTCTCCTTCATGATCGCTGTTGCCCGCTGATGTCCTAATGGTGGAATTGAGTGAGTTGAGAAAAGTCTCACTAGACCTAAGCGATGCTATCACCCCCCGTCGGATCCCAGTTCACAAAGTTGGATTGGCATGTGACTCGATGGCCAGGTTTTCAAAACGGCCGTGATACGAATGTTTGCTATTCGCAACGGAAAGAACAGGTTAGCCATTGCTGCAGAAGGGGGTTGTCAATGTTTGGAATATGCAGGGGCTACTGCTCGTGAATAAACGTTAGCTAATGATTTTGCCCTGTGATTCGTGGACCGGTGATTTTGGCAAAGACAAATTCGCGATAGTGCTTCGGCGAGGTCCCGAATAGTTGGTAACGCCTTTAGCCTAAGTGCGACCCCTGCACGGAAAAACTGTCAGTTGTTGCGATGCATAGGAGATGTCTGGGGTTTGAATCCTGCAATACGCAAACGTTGCAAGGTACAGATGCCGGCATTCAGCTGTGGGTTCTGGCGTCAGTGGGTCGGGCAGAAAGCGGGAGTGATTTTCAAGCCGGACAATGCCGCATTGTCTCGTATTTAGTGGGTGATGCTCCGCGCCCGGTTTGGCATTGGGTCGTGGAGAGCTGTCCCACTATCCACCAATGAAGAATATAGAATTTGAGGATGACTTACCACTTTCGGAGTTGAACCCAACCTCGACCTAGGACCGATGTCACCAGTTGACGTGTGGAGCTGACATAGTCAAACGTAAACTACGGAAATAAGCGTCTGCCGAGTTGGATTCCACTAATCATGAGTATACTCCAGAACTTAACCAAGTCAGACGTACTTACATATAAAAATAGCCGTCGATAGACTGAACGTGGCGGGTCGGTGCTCGCTGACGCACAAAACTACGGTTGGAATCTTCCTGCGATTTCATTAGTAGTTCTCAATATGTTTCGTATTCTGCCTGCCGCATTCTTGGCAGCGAGTGCCAGCGCCTCAGTGCTCCTAGCTAGAGAACCACCTACCAGAGTCATTGAACGAGCCTCAACGTGCACTCCCGTGGCAGGGAATAGTGGCTCGATTGACGATGTGCCCGCATTGCAATCAGCCATTTCCAACTGCGCCTCAGGCACAATCTACATCCCTCCTTCGACGACGTACTATGTCAATTCAGTCCTCGACTTGACAGGCTGTGCAGGTTGCACACTCCAAATTGAGGGCACATTGAAGATTGCTTCAGATACCGACTATTGGAACGGCAAAACAGCACAGATTCTGGCCGACGACATCACTGGACTGAAAATAATCTCGTCGACGGGATCTGGTTTGATTGATGGCAACGGCCAGAATGCCTACGATCTTTTCGCGGAAGACTCGTCGTATGATCGTCCGACACTACTGTATATCACCGGAAGCAGTAAGAACGTCGTGGTACAGAACTTGAGGATCAAGAACCCGCCCAATGTATTCGTCTCGGCCACAAGCGGAACGAGTAACATCCAATTCTCCAGTCTCACCCTATCGGCCACTTCCAAAAGTGTAAATCCCGCCAAGAACACGGACGGCTTCGATATTAGTGGGTCATACATTACCATGAACGACATCGATATCACCAATGACGATGACTGCATCGCCTTCAAGCCTGGTGCCAACTATGTCACCGTCACAGATGTGACGTGTACCGGGAGCCACGGATTGAGCGTTGGTAGTCTCGGAAACAAGCACGGCGCCACCGACACCGTGTCCAACATCTATGTCAACGGGGCAACCATGGTTGACTCGACCAAGGCGGCAGGCATCAAGCTCTACCCCGCGGGTGCTGATCACGGCACCGCTGTCGTCAAGAACGTGACATGGGAGAACGTCGTGGTGAATAACTGCGACTACGCCTTCCAAATACAATCCTGCTACAGTGAAGACACGGACTATTGCGAGGACACACCTAGCACGGCGACCCTCACGGGCATCGTGGTCAAGGGCTTTTCGGGAACGACGAGCGACAAATATGAGCCGACAGTGGCGAACATCAACTGCCCAGCAGGTGGCACTTGCGATGTAGCTCTCTCTGGCATGACTGTCAAGCCGCCGTCTGGATCAGCGGAATATCTATGCGCGAACACACCGAGTAGTCTGGGTATCACTTGTACAAGCGGAGCTAGCGGTTAGTCAAGGGAACAAAGCCATGAGCTTATTAATCATGTCCATTACCTACGTGTACCACCACATGCGATTTCAGGCATGATGCGCAGGCTTTCCTCACAACGCTTCGTGATAGTTCAGAAGATTCAGAAGATCTCGTTCGACAGCAAAAGATGCACTAAAAGTCGCCTCGATTAAGCCAATGGGTGTACCATATTTGCAAATTTATCTCCAGGAACATGCTGGCATGTCGCCATTGACCGGGTAGCCTCTCCGCTTTCAGCTGGTCGGGGCGAACTAACAGGCTGGACGACAGACTGCATGGCGTTACATGTTTGATCTGCTTTCCCAAGGTGACCCAAAGCCCTAGCGATATTCCATGACGCCCAGAACGTTTCGATAGGCTGAATTGTGCGTAGCGAGGGAACAGACACTGAACCTATAGATGGAAAATCCCATGTCTTGAACGCTTTAACTAGAAATGGATGAGGAAAGCCACGGAATGCATGTGACCTGCACATAGCATCACGATAACGTCTCGGCGGATAAAACCCTCCGAGTGTTCTAGCTAGCCCAGCGGGCTAACCACAAGGCGGTGAAGGCGCTATCATCATCCATAACTTGGTGCTCGTCCAGACACTGTCAGTCGGACACATGGTGAAGTCTAGTTGGCCTTCATCATTTGAAGATCAGTGAACCATATGTGGTCAGTGCGCTTGGTAAATATTTGGGGGGTTTTTTTTTTTTTGATTGGTGCAGCGTTAGATCTTGGACCCTATTCTTACACAATACAGCCTCAAAGACTTGCTGTAAGGAAGCGTATGCTGACAATCGAATTGTGTCGTATCTTTTCGCGATCCGCGGTCTTTATTCAACTGATTTGTCACCTTGTCTTAGCAAAGACAAGAACATTGCCTTAGATAGGCCATCGAGCTGACACAACAAGGAGGCACCGGCACGGGACCTGGTCAGACACGGCAAGAACAGGACCAGCATACCTGAGTACCCGGAGTGGCAGGGCAGTGGACGCCACTGTAGTGCCCAAATGCAACGGGACTGACAAGCACAACCGACACGTCAGGGCTGTAATCAATTCCAAGTCGACAAATGCTTGAATCCATCGTCTGACGCTTGTCTTCATTCTGTTGACTGGAAGTAGTACATGGCGAGAGGGCTCTTTGATGTTTCGACCCACAACTAGCGCCACGCGTGTTTGCTAAAGTTAGACCAGACGCGTCCGTCTTGTTTGTCAATGAACACAACCGCGTCAAATAGAACCACGAGCGCATCAAAACGCGCGGTCACGGTCCATAGGAGTCAGTGTCAAGAGCCTCGGAAAGAACCATCATGATGTGCCTGACTGGTCGCTCGCCTTTTTTAAGGCTGAAGACGCAGGTCCTCTCAAGGGGCTTAGTCTAGTGCCCGCTGCTCGCTAACGCGGCCTGAACCGCCCAGGACCCACTCGTCTTTCACCGACTGTCTCCGTTAGATAAATTCTGAGACGAACGCTTTATGCGAGAAATCTCGGAGGCGTTTGAACGACCAGACAGCTATTCTTTGAACGCACTTTCTTTTTACGGACATTCTGGCGAAATCGAGGAACTGTGAGCGATGACGCTGCCTATTCGCGAGGAGTTTGTACTAGCAGAATTCGACCGCCGTTGCAAGGCGGGTCTGATATTCTACGACGATAAGCCCGAAATCCACACATACACATATGGCGACTTCCAGGTAAGTGGGATGAAAAATTGGTCCGTATTCGAACTCAAAATAAGTTGACCTATTTTAGTTCGAATTTGCCATCACAGAGGCTATCAGCAAAAAGCCGTATCTTCAGGATAATGAGCATGAGCCCGTCACAAAGGCGAAAAGACCTCCTGGGTATGCTCCTGGGAGTGACATTGATATCTCAGGCTATGAGATCGGCGACGTCAGCAGAACACACATCCTGGCCTTCAACAAGTACTGCATGTACAGGCCCCATTTGCTTCTCTTGACGAAGGACGGGTACAAGAGACAGTACGACCATCTAGATTTGGACGACATGCAATCAGCTTGGAATGCACTCGAGGCGCTCAACTGGAACTACTTCGTGTTCTTCAACTGCGGAAAGGACGGAGGATGCAGCAGGTTACATAAGCACCTGCAGCTCGGCCCTTACCTATCAGATCGTCTTGCACCATGGCCGTCAACGTCCAGGGCTCCCCGCAATATCCCGTACGAATACGTCCTGAGGCGGTTCGATCGGTCTCTGGGTCCGAAGCAGCTCATCGATATTTACAGAAAGATGATAGGACAGGCCAAGGAGATCCTGGGGTTGGAGGCTACTGAGGCTCATGTTCCCCACAATCTTATGATGGGTAAAAGCTGGATGATGGTCATCCCTCGAAGAAAAGCACACGTTCGAGGTGCCTACTCAAATACTCTGGGCCTATTCGGAATGGTCTCGGTTGCTAATCACGAAGAGCTGGGGCGTTGGGTGGATCAAGGCCCATTGAAAGTAGTGGAGCAGCTCGGTGTACCGAGGCAACCGGCCGCAACAGATTGATGCGTGATTAGGGCGGACTTTGTTGACCGCAACGTTTAGAAATGGTTATTTCGTTGGTTGGCAAGGCGTTTGGGAAACTTGAATGGACTATTTGGCGGAGGATTCTAGGACCTAGACTTCCCATTCAGGAACTGTTTCACCAGCGGCGTGCTACTTGGAGATGAGGGAACGATTCGTGATTCTCAGGCAGCGCCAATTCATACAAGGATAGTTGTATGAATGGATGCGGGAAATACATGGAAAGAGATTCATGCCATAGATAAGATTTCCCTAATACATTTATTAGAGCCTCACTGTTTGAGTTGCAGTCCCTACTGAGTGAGTAAATGGTGCGGGTCGCCCAAAGTATCTAATAATTTATCTATGAACTGTGTAATGGATTAGCCAGTTCTGTTGTTATAGAACCTGATTGCAGCAGAGTATCTACGATTGATACGGCTACTGGCTATCGAGCCCGAACATCACTATGGATACTCCCGTTGTCGGACCCTTCGGATATTGGGGAGAGAGAGACGGATTGAATGAGTACCCTTGGCCATCGTGGATGCCTCTAGATGTGCTCTCCATTCCTCCCATGTTGGAAAAGGATGGGCGATTGGCAGCACTAATTACGCAAAACATTTACCAGATGGTCTGTCCTTCTTTGTCTTGGTGTCATCCGTATCGGGTGTGGCGTGGTATGTCTCGCTGATCAACCACTCACGTGTAACACGTTCCAAGATGCTTTCGATCGTCATCTAATTAATACCAAAAAACCAGACTGCTACCAGCCAGCCGTGATTAGAGCGGGGGTCGTTGCTGACGACGATTGGGCAAGGAGGCACGTCGAGGCGCTCGGTTCAAGATCAATTGAAGTACAAATATGTATGTATCTCGTAGAGAAGACAATACACCGCCGCCCAGGAAATCCAAAAGAAGCTCGGGTCATTCTCAATCTAGAGTTGTGGGATAAGTGAGCGCTTGACGTCGCCGTTCGCTAGGATCTATAATTCAGAGCTGTGAAACTGGGACTGTGGTATACGACTGAGACTTTAAATTCTTGAAATCTGGAGAATTAAAGCTGGAATGCGTTGATTATGCTTGCCTTCGTTGAGTTTGAAAGTAAGGAGAACCACTCTATCTTACTGCTAAGATACTTATTCTATATGGTGTTTTTAAAGTGTTTGTACTACTACCTTTCTACCTAGATTAAATTTGTTTTGGCTCTGCTTAATGGTGAACCGTGAGGTAATACAATCTATGGTTTGTGTACATGGTCTATTGGCAACATAAGTAACCAAATTCCTTCCATCAAGTCTTAAGAGAAAGGACACACTCTTCCTATCCTATATTATTGTAGTGAGTACTAGTTGGACAGAAGGAATGAAAGTAAGAAAAGAAGAGGCGACAAAAATAAGGGTTAGGTATATGAGAAACTTTAAGTCAATGATAGAGGGTACTATGGCCAGTTCAAATGTGCTTTGTGTAGTATATTCAGGCTTTGACAAAACGAGCAACTCTATGCTCTAGAACAATTCCACCCAAAGGATGGAAAGATCTGGGGTGACTATGGCGTTGTTTATGTTTTAATGAGTCCTCTTTGTTGAGAGGAGAATAGACGAAAGGTTTACATAGTGCGGAAAATACAAAAGCGGCTTATGCTTGAAGGTGGCTTCCTCCAAGCATGAACCTCTTATTGGCCGTGTCTGGATTTCCTCCATACGCGTAGTACAACAATTAAAGTAAACTATTAGTGACAAACACTACCTGAGATAAGCCCAAAGGTTAGGACCGACGAACTGAAGCCAACCATATAACGTTGAATTGTATCAAAGTTCTCCCAAATGAAATTATAATCTGACCAACCGCCAAGTGAAGGCCACGCTTTTACAGGTTGCGTAATGCCACTTTTACTGGGAGACCATCAGCTGGGTGCGGGCTGGTGCCCCCTCCGCCGTCCTGAGCTTGGTATGCCCTATCGCCACTCGCTATTCTAATTCCCGACTTGGCGTGCAGGGAATCCCACTCCTCATATGCCGGTGTAATTGTCAGCTCCCTAAGCGTCATAACCAGCGCAATTCTCAGCTCCAGCATGACCAATGTCTGGCCGATACAGCTTTTCGGGCCCCAATAAAATGGTAGCCATGCGCCTTTGACGGGATAGAGCGGGTCCTCGGCCCCGACAAGCCATCTCTCCGGCTTGAAGTCATCAGCATCTTCCCACCATCGCGGGTCGTTGTGAATAGCCATTGTGGAAGTCCACACGTTACAGCCTTCAGTCGGGTACCTGCGGCCCTCTTCATCAACGATTTCGGCTCCGGCTCGCCCTCGACGCATAGGGGCGGCGGGAGGGAAGATTCGTAGGACTTCCTTGATCACAGCCACGGTATAAGGAAGCTGATTAAGACGCTGAGGGTCTTGATAAATCGCTTCGTGCGCCTTGTCGGCATCATGACCGAAGATTTCGTTGTGCTCGGCCATAACACGATCCAGAGCACCCTGGTTAGCGGAAAGCAGGTAGTAGCAGTAGAGAAGGGTGCTGCTTGTGGTTTCCAGCCCGGCGAACAGGAACGCCCTGAGTTGGGGTGCCATGGTCTTCTTCACAGTCTCCTTGACTTGGCTCAAGTCTTTGTCAGTGACCTCTTGGAGAAGCTCCTCCATTAGCAGGGCTACGACGGATTTGGAACGTTTCAAGCTTGTCTGTTGTGCTTGTTCCTCAAGTCTTTCGGCAAACCTCTGATCGATTTCCTTTGAGATGTAGTTATCTATACGCCTATTGTTGACCCATTGGATAATTGGCCGTATAGCAAGATACCGCTTGAAGGGATTCAGCTCAGTCCCAAACGATGTCCAATCAATCTGTGTGCGCAAGGCTGTTGCTAATGAGTTGTCTTGGGTTTGGTATCGTAGCCGAGCGTCCCTGTGGCGGATGAGATCAACAAACTTCTAGGTATACCGGTGCCGGGCACTTACAAGGTGACAGATGCGATGATATCAAACGTCATTTTCAATGTCAGCTCTTCTAGCTGAAAAATATCTGAGGTCCCCGAAGAGCATCTGCTCAGCAGGAGTTTACGAAAAACGGCTACTTCATCGGCAATCGCTGGCGCCAGGCCCATCATATATCCTGGACTGAAACCCGGGTTGAAAGCCCTCCGCCATCTCTTCCATTCTGGTCCGATGGACATGGACAGAAGGCTTGGACCGCCCGTTATAGCCTCTATAGGACTGACGACTTCGGGGCAAACGTTCAAGTCCAAAGCCGTAGCTTGAGTCGCACCCGATGGTGTAGTAATGACGAGAAGGGTTCCGCTGAATGGCCACATATTGACGTAGAAGATACCACTGGGAAATTGCTTAGACATCTGCCAAAAGGCATATTGAACGACAGCATTTGAAGGAAATAGTTCGAGGTTCTTCTTTAGTGTAAGGAGATGGCCAGTGAGAAGACCAAACTTGGGCATTGGCTGTTATGCTGTTTAGCATATTACAAACGCCATATTTGCTATTAATGAGGCAGATTGATATGGTACTGACCAGGCCAGCCTGTTGTAACCTCCACACCGGTCGTCGAGCAGCGTAGATCTTGGTGAAAAGCCAAGTCAAAGCCGAGATGCCGACAGTCAGCCATAAGGTTGCATGACCATGCATCGCGACGCAGCCACAGGATCAATTGTTATTGTTACAGTCTAATGGCTAATAGCATGTTAGAAACAAACAGAGTCACCTAAGTCCGCGATAATGACGTGGAATATTACTTATATTATTATGATGTTGAGTTGGTGTAGAAAAGCTCGTGAAGGTAGTCGATATGATCTGGAATGATCCCGTGAGAGATATCCCCAAATAAATCAATAAGGGCAAACAACTTGCTCTAGAGATCTTGAAAGATTGACTACAGTGGAATACTGAGAAGGAATCCGAGAAACGAGGGGGTTCGTGACCGAAGGAATACAAGACTTAATAGGTAAGGATTAAAGGATTAGAGGATTGAAGGAGGTCCCTTAGAAAAACACAACGTGAAGGAGTTTAAAGTAAATTGGCCCACACTGCGTTGTAACAAGCATAATTGACATCGGCGCTAATGACTGACGGTCTGGGAAAGCTATTCTTGATAACGAACAATATGGGGTATCATCCCTTGACGTGATGCCATATCTTTGGACTGTACTTGAGCTGATTGACTTGAATTGATCTTAATCTATGTGAAATCTTAAGACGGCACGTCGGTGCCGTACTTCTCGTAATCAAATACTCCAGGTTTGTAAGTCAATAACGAACTACGTGTACAACAATGACTGCCCATAAAGACCGCTTGCGCCGCATTGTTGGTAGCACCAGTTACGGCCAAGTTAATCGGGCTAACCTAGACATCGACGGTAGCCTAGAGGGGCAGCTAAAGTAAAAGCCAACAAGACACTATCAATCAAGCGGGCTTGAGAACGGTCGCCTTTCGTCCTTTGGTGGAAAACACGACGCCTAGTATAAATCTGCCTATTTCTATATCGTACTGAAAGCGACGAAGCGGCGGGAATCAATTTATATGATTACAGGGCTGAAAATCGCGGGGGGCGTCGACGTTCGGGGCCTTAGACGTCGCGCTATTTGATCTGGTATCAGCGGTGCTGGAAATTGGGTCTAGACTAGGTTAGTCTAGTGTCGGTTCGGGAACAAGACGCAGCGCGCCGCCTTGTTTTAGGGCTCTACAAACACCGTGATCGGGTTTCGTGTGCGCTGGACTCGTGGGATCTGGGGTGGTATCATTCGAGGTCTAATGTGAAGAACGAGAAGTATGATGTCAGTATAACAATGGATGCGAAGGGTACTGGAAAGTTATCGCTGTGCTTAGTGAGGTCGAACTTGTCGATTATTACCACGAAATTGATGATGGTCCAGAGTTCAGTCCGACCTTGGTCGTGCATTGAAGTAGGAGTTATTAGTCGGCAGGATATCAGCAATTGATGTGCGAGGCACCCAGAACCGTCACTAGTCTAGTAGCGCGTGGTATGTTTTTTATCATTTGAGTAGGTGAAATAGTACTCAATTTATCCACATCCTACAAACACTGTAAACTACTATGGTTTCAGAGTTCTCAAACCCTGCACCAGATATGAACCATCTTCCTTGTCCTGCCAGCCCTCACCCTATAGGTTTTAGGGAGCTACGGAATAATAAAATGACGAGGGATTTTTGGCTGCTATTAGACTGTAGAACTTCTCCATTCCCACGCCCGTCCGCTATTATCTGCGCATCAGCGGCTGGTGAACGCAATGACATTAGACGCGATATCAGCAGCCACACATGCTACGAAAGAAGTCCCAGATTTAAACACTGCATCTTCTTCCACCCCTACCAAGAGAATGGCATCCAATGCATCATAAAGTTGGAGTCAGGTTCATGCGGTGCTGGGTTTATGCCCCCCGATATTACCCTACCTATCCGACGCATGAATTTCCCAGAGCACCACGACATATTACTGAAAATCACCTACGGCTGTAGACTGATCAGGTCGGACGTGTCTTGCATGATCTCGTGTTCGATCCCCAATTCCTGGATGCTGAAAGCTGGGGTGTTGTCTGGCCCGGCTGATGCTTTGGAATCAAGTGTTCTGCCAATGATTGAAATTCTTCTGTAATCCAGAAGTTTCACTTGCGGGACTTTGTTAGCGGTGTATAAATCCTGGTTCCGTTTGTCACATACTCTCTGAGTGTGGTCATGGTGTTGAGAGACATTCGAAGTAAACCCTGGGTATCGTGATTGTGGCACTTGGCCATCTTGTAACCCATTCGTACCTAAAGAATCGTATCAAGGAAACATGAGGGAAGAATGTAGAACCATAAGAATGGGATTTTGCAACATGACACGATCGCGGAAGGGAGAAGAATGATGCATGACAATGCCTCTACCGCCAAATTCACGACAATGATGGTTTGGCAAATGACATTAATCGAAACACTGGACTGAATATAATTAAACCCTCCCCTACTTCTACCCTCCGGACCTGTTGCTCCTCGCGCACTATGCGTCTGTTCTGGATCCCGTGGGAGCCGAGTTTTTGTTCTTGATGGCTAGTCAAAGGCTCTAGCTAAATGCATCAGGAGACGTCTCAAGGAGACACAGTGGGCGGGGATGCTACTGAAAGATATTATTTTTTCATGTCTTTAAAAAGCTTCAAACTGATGCTCTACCCATCTCACTGCTGATAATCCTTACGAAATGCGTGAGGCCACATCGTCTTGTCAAGTAACGATGTGATCGCAGAAGGATTATACGTGGTCAAAGAAGCTCCTCTTAAAATGTCTAGCAATGAGCCATCGGTACGATTAACAATTTATACATCGTACTTGTAGTTACGATCCCCGAGTTCGTCACCATCGATTGAAATTCAAGCGAAAACTCCGATACAATTTACGTTATTAACATAAATAACTTATTGGATGAATATGGTTTGGCTTAGGATGCAGCCGTGGGTTAGTGCCGCTACCACGTCACACAGGTTTGATGGTAAAGCTACTGGTTAGGAGCTACCCAGTAACATAATACCCTGATCAAAGATGGCTATAGCTTGAAGGGGGCCATGCTTGAAGAGTTCACTAAAAATATCCCATGCTCAACAACAAATTGATCTTTGTTTTCTTGTTAGAAAAGTATTAGCCTGCGTTTCGGCGATTCGTAATCCCTTGTACTACCCTTTTAGCCTCGTGTGATAATAGTGTTGTTTTACGCAGTTTGATTCTCTCCCACCTGGCCTTGTCCGCAAGAAATTCAACCGGATCGACGACGAGAAGCCGCAGGCGTGAATCTGTGAATGCACTCAGGCGTCCAAGCACTTTTCTTACGCGTTTCCGTTGGACAGCCGATTCGGCGAAAACCACCAAAACGGGTATGGAGTTGCGCTTGTCACAGCCCGCAAAGTACAAGCACATCTTCATCTTCGTATGCAGCGTGTTCTCGCGGGACGCTATCAACTTCATCTCTCTTATTTGCACCATCACGAGAACAAGGACCTGGAGATATGCCATCCCACACCAGCCCTCGTGAGAGGCTCTCCAGAATCCAATGCCGCCAACGGTACAAGAAAACCCTTTGCGCGACTCCTCGAGATCTTCCCAGCGAGTTATGAACCTAACGCGTTTGAATACCTCGGGTCCGTTTAGATCATAGCGCTCAGCAACGATATTCTGAGCATCCTCTGAAAGGGAGTCTGTGACAAGAGGAAGGGGTTCCTCGTCTTGGATTGCGTGAGTATCATTCTGTTTCAACCAAACATCTAATTGATCATCACTCGTGTTAGAGAAATCCTGAATCCTTCGATAGATAAATCCACATTGGGCGTTTCCACTGTTGCCACGTCAGAAATTCACTTCACGTTTATGTGATGGCAGTCGGGATGGGTATGGATGTCTACCACCTACCAAGTTATGTCCATGTCAGTGTTATTCACGGCCTGTGGATGAAGGCATTTAGGACAAACGTTGTCTCTGTCGTTTTCCAGGTTTCCCTCCAAATTGCCTGATTGACTCCAATTTCCGGGAAAGATCATAGTCATAGACAGCGTTTGACCAGCACGTACCATTTTGTGGAACTCGACATCTGGCTGCAAATCTCGGCCAGTACTGGCGTCCTGCAAAACATATTTGTTGCCCGATACTAAATTGGTTCCCGGCCGATGCCTGAATTGATCTTGCATGATTGAGCGTATAGTCTGGACCCGGGTATTGTCAGTATATTTGTATGCTTATGACTTGTGCATGCATGCATACCGTCCAGGATGGATTGGTGGCAAGGTAAATCGGGATTCTATACCCCAGTGAATCCTCAATGAAAGCCGTATCTTGATTGTATAGGCTGAGGGTACTATAAATTCTTGGTACTAAGCTCGACACCTGCGTGTTTGCTGCTCGGCTAGAAAGAATCAGCGACTTGGTGGAAATGACTTCAAACTGGCAGGACTTTAGCTACAATTCGGACAGAGTAATGTCAAGCTTTTGGTCGATCTGCACTACATTTCTCGTATGGTCTCTTAAGGCTCCCATGACCTCATTAAGTTGCTCATGCACAAGCATGCGTGATTTTGTATTCGCGGTTGCAAGGTCTGCCAACCTTTTTTGCACAAGAGCAGCATTCTGTTCTTCTCTAGCACTATTTACGGCTTGTATCAGCACACTAAACAACAATTTGCAACCATTGGAGAGAAACGGGCGCAAACTTTGAGCCAGGTTGTGCACTATATCTAGAGTCTCTTTGTTGCGCCTCAGTTTCTCACGCAACTCTTCGACTCGTTGTGTTTCGAAGGTATGCCATTTGATGCGTTTTAGTTTATCGATGAAGGACTTCCGAGTCCCATGTGCCTGCAACAAGCTCTTTCCATACCTCTTGATTTGGTTTTGAAGGAATGTTTCGATCGCATCGCGGCATTCGGTAACGGCGGGCTTGGCGATGTCAGCAAGATCCTCTAGCTCAAGGCTTTGTGCTCTTGATTGCCAGAAGTCGGTCAACTGCGGTCAAGATTGGGAGATCAGCGTGTTTTCTAATTCCGGGGCTTCACTGCTGTCAAGGTAATGGGTAGATACCTTTCGAATTGCGCTGTAAAGTTGGGTCAGCTCATTTACCAGGTCTTTCAACCTTCGTGAGGAGCCATGGCTATCGCTAAGCGCCTGCGCCAATTGCCAAGCTAGCTGCGCCGTGGTTATGATGTCCCCGAACGAGCCGTACGTAAAACTGGACATTGCGCACAATGAGTTGGACTATTTTGTTTGGCAGATCCTGACCAGAATAAGTCGCGAACCAAGAGTAGGTTGTTGATTGAGCTCGGCATCCCGAGTTGGTTATTCCGAGTTGAAGGGAAAGATGTGAATATTCTCGACTATCACATCCGCATGGCAGAATCACAAAAGCGCCCAGATTGGCCCCGGTTGGGCTGAAAACCAGGCAGTGCACAACCTGCAGCTATAGCTTCGTGGTTTATTGGGTGTATGCACGTGGCGATGGGGTCTAAATGTACGGGGGTAAATTACCATGAAGGCTAACAGAACAAACATTATTAGTGAAGCCGGGTCATGCATAGAGCTTGCTTCTAGTGATGAAATAGCTTGAATCATTTATAGCCAAGGAGAAGTAATTCATTTCAAATACTAAGGCAGTGGATATACATGATTTTGCAACGATCGATGGTAAGCATCCTCCACAATGCACCGTCTAAAGCCTGGAGCCCGGCCCAGAAGAGCAAACCCAGGAATTAGGCCTATGAGAAGTAAGCTATGGTGTGACTATGGTATTGAGAGTATACTTTAGCTTACCTTCCAAAAAAAGGTCTATATCTACTGCATAATCAACCCTGTTGTGAGTTGAATATGTCGTCGCAGATCCTACATTGTTTTCAATGTTATTTTAACTGTTGTTCATACCGGAGGGATGTGCTGTGGAATCAATATACCGTGTATTTCCATGTGTTTATCGGGCTGCTCGTAAGATTTGTGCGTAATCGCTCCCTTAGATCGTAGGTATCCTTCCACGTCTCTACAATCGAGCCAGTCGCCCTCAAGACAGAGTGTTTCAAGCATCCTATGGCGATTTGATTCCAACTCGGCTTCACTGCCATAAAGCGATATATTTGGTAATCCAATAAGCCGTCTAGGGAGCCGTGAGTTCAACGGGTATTTGGGATTTCCGTGTTCGTCGCTGAGCGGATAATGCCTGCCAGCACCTCCTATGCAATAGAACGGCAGGGCGGCTATCTCCAAAGGTTCGTCCCTTTCAGAGCTCACGAGCTTTTTGAAGTATGGGTACATCTTCGCCTTGTCTTGTACGCATGGCACTAGTCTGAATGTCCGGTAAACTGTGCCAGGATCCGAGCGCGGATCGCAAAATAGCCGAAATGCATACTCCAAGCTATATCGATGTAGTCTTCGAGTAAAGGATGTCTCTTGGAAGCTGTAACTAGGTTGAATAGTGCTTGCGACGTTACGACCCATTGCCAGTTTTGTTGAAACTAGTGACTGAAACCCTTGCGATTTTGGCAGTATTCCGAGGTTAGGGGATCTATTTTCGGCGCTGTTTAAGACACTACGGCTGGCTGGCTCCGTGATTTGATAGCCAAGAGCTGTAATGGCCATCGGTTTCTTGCTTTTTGCTTCCCAGCCAGTCGAAATTTCTGTAGAGGCGGCCCGTATACCTTTCGCAGTAGCTACCGTACCAACGGAACCGCCCTGATGCCTGCTTGGATCACATCCCGACTGCAATATCTTCCGCAATTTTGTAAGATGTGCAAAAAGCGCTGGATGAGTTTCGTGGAGCTTGGAAGTGTAAGCAGCGTCATAAAATTCGAGGAGTGACCGCGTGATTATCTGGACATGCTCTTCCCACTCCAGACTTCGTGAAATGCTGCTTTGTAGCGTCTCCTCTCTCCTGCGCCTATAAGTTCTCTGGGCCCGTCGAATCTGCTGCCGACGATCCTGCTTGCAGATTAGTCTAGGGACTGGGGAAAACAAGGTAGAACACGGAAGAGACCTCGGATAAAGTAGCCGCACCAGGACCGTCTAGCCTTGGCCTGCCAAAGCTCTTCCTAACTTTTGATGGACGGCTCTGCATTTCTAACTATCATATACTCGCACAGTGAAATATATGTGCGATGGATTTTTTTTTTCAATGGGGTTCACATGGCTTGTGCATCGGATTGATTGATGGATGTTTGATGGGTTTGACAGTTGGCTGCACTGGCCACATGATGATCTGATCGCCCGAAGATATTGTAATCACTATGCCTCGGATTGATCCTGGAGCCGACATGACCCATATATCCGGTCCGCCAAGACGCTCCACTTCATCCATCATTGGCCGTACTTAGAATCCAATGCGTCAAAAATTGCTACATGCGCTGCGCTCTGTGATCCTGGAGCGGAACTCAACAAAAGTCCGTAGTATGGATGCACTCAACAAAACTCGGGGATATGTGATGTTTCCAACAATTTGTATAAGCACTCGGTTTCACATGTGTTCATTCTTTTCTCATAGGCGGTGGTAATTCCTCTATAAATTTCAATCGAGTTCTGGTATGAATACAGGTCTGGACTTTTTTCATAACCTCGTCAAGCTTCAAATCTCTCGAGGCAGACGGATAAGCCAGTACTGAAATCCCTCGGATTGTATACAAATTTCTTTTTGGGTTTTTCTTTTTGAATATACCTGCGATATCAAGCCAGAGGAGAGTCTTTCACCAATGGACCTGATTTACCAGCGATATTTGGCCATTGCCCACCAGCAATGGATAAGCTACTGGCTGCCCTGCACCTTAGTTGCTATCTACATGGCCGTAGTCCGCTCGCTGCGCAATCGTCGGGCCCAAAGTATTGAGTCTGGATTCAGCCAGCGGCCATTATCTAGCATGACAACCCAAGAAGCGTTCAACATTATGCAACAGCTACAAGAGCTAGAATTTCCTTCAGCTATGAACAAGGCACGACGGATCGCCCTACTTAAGGTATTATACTCATACCCGCAATTGTACTCTTTTACATGTATCATCTAGCTAACCCGATTAGGCTGGCGGTATATCCACTATGTCAAAGCTGTTTGCTGTTACAGGACAGAACAATACTCGAAATGCGGGCAAACGTGCTGTAGATACTGAGATCCTCCTTCGAGAGGTTCAGTCACAACCGAGAGATTCGGAACGTTACCAGCAATCAGTGGCGAGGATGAATTACTTCCACCAAAGATACCGACAAGCGGGTAAAATCCTCGACGAAGACCTATTACATACCTTGGGCGATAATGTGGTCGAAATATTCCGGATCCTTGACGGTAGTGAGTGGCGAAGACTTGGAGAAGTGGAAAAATGCGCCATTGGAATATTCCATAAACATTTGGGTGAAGATATGCTTATCCCGTTCACACCTTTGCCATCAAGTGAACAGGGCTGGAAGGATGGATTACATTTTGCGACGGAACTAAGGGGTTGGACTATCGAATACGAAAAGCGTGTCGCCGAACCGTCCGCTACGAACGACCAATATGTTCGAGTATACGTCGATGGTGCTACGGCGCGGCTGCCACGAGCGATTACGATGCTTCTGAGAAAGACATTGGGATTCGAACTAGATGATACAATGAGGAAGAGCTTGAAGTATGTATCAAACTATCTGATAATTTTCACAACACAAACTAACCTGAACCTCAGTCTTGAATCGCCTGGGTTCATATTGTCGAGCATTTTATTTACATATCAAGCAATTCGCAAAGTACTTATCCGTAACTTTTGCCTTCCCAGGCCATCGCTCTTCGCTGTCAAAGCTGTGGAAAATGACAACACCGAAACCGGATTCTACAACTTCCCGCAAGTTATCCCACAGCCTTGGTATGTGAAACCCACATTCTGGTCTATGTGGGGCCCTGCGGCGATCCTTTTCAGAGCTCTTGGTGGACGAGCTCCCGGATCCATGGGTGATCGATACCACCCGCAAGGTTATAACTTGTGGACAATTGGTCCTAAACCCCAGGAGGGAAAGGGGAGGGCTGAAATGGCAGCTGCGATTGATTTCATGAAGACACGTGGCTCAACTGGCTGTCCGTTTTCACACAAGACAAAAGGAACCTAGGCGCCAGCTCAATAGAGTACAGTATTCGCTATCACATAAACGGTCTAGTATGGCTCCTAATAAAGGGATGTCAATGATGCGATTAAATGAGATTTGCAGCCCCGTTGAAATATTATATTCAGTTGCTAGATTTATAGATGGAAATAAATAATGTTGTTTGCGTATCATTTATTCGTAACAATCGTTCTAAATACCACCTTGTGCCTTATTAATATAAACGGGAGATGTTTTAAGATCTAAAGACCATTATATAAGTTATGAAACTCTCTTTTATTATAATATAAGTGTGGAATGGCTTCTCCATTCATTTCTTTCCGTACAGTTTGGGCGACAAATAGATCTATTCAGCGCTATCGTACGAAAGGAAGAAGGGATTCTTCCCATCGTACGCGATCTACAGATAGGGGTTTGGCCTATACGGCTGCAAGCTGCCGACAGCCACGGTGTGGCTATAGTGGCTTGCCGTCAGTACGCCGGTAACTAGCTAGACTATATGGTCGTGCGAGACCGCGGATAACCATATTCTAACACTAGCTATCTTTTCTTTCGCGGTTCGTACGATAGTAAAACAAATGAAAAACGTTCTTCCCTAGGAATAGGGGCAACTGGCCTTGGTTAAGTCCAGCTATCTCCGTACAGTCACAAACGACTAAAGGATGGCTCCGGGGCGTCCTGGAATGTACCTGGAGTTAAATCCAGATATCCCCCTGTGTACCTGCTATCAGGTCTTTCCGCACGATTAGCTCGTACGGGCCGTCTGATCTTTCGTACGCTTCTGCTGTGATGAACAGCTTGTTTTGCATGCCTTCCTTGCTCGTGGCTGAATCACCTCGAGTGAGTGAATCACATCGAGTGAGTGAATCACGTCGAGTGAGTGAATCACATCTTTTGCTGTCGAGAACGTACGCCCAAAAAGATATAAAAGGATCCTTTCGTACGCCCTTCCTTAGGTCTCTCTCTTCTCCCTCCATGCTCTTCAACTCTATCACTATGGCCACTCTTCCTGTTGCCCTACACACCAACCCGCTGCTACGTACCTCGTTCATCGGGTCCGTAGGTGGCAAGCAGACGTTTATCGTGCACTATGGTAGCGATGCTCAGACTCGTGCGAATATTCTCGCCCTTTGCAAGAACGTACGTACGTTGCTTTTATAATCGCACGATCGTATGCTAACGCTCTTTTCTAGAATGAGGAGCTCGCCCTCGCCCAGATGCCTATGACAGATGTGCGCATTACGGTGAACAACGACTAGGGCCATATCCCCCTTGCGATTGCCAAGATCGTACGACGCGATTCGTACTTTACTGCACTGTACGTTCTGCTTTCTCTTGTCCTCGTACGGCTGGCTAACCATGTATAGTCTTGTCTCTGCCGTTGGTACAGCTTCCGATCGGCCGTGTGCACACTCATGCCATGCTTCTTTTCCGGTCTTCGACCGTTGTATCCTTGTCCAAGGATACCAGCATAGCTCCTGTTCCAACTGCATCTGGAAGTCGCACGCACAGCGTTGCATTTGATCGATTAGAAGGAAGGAACCCGGGGTGGAACTGGGTAGTTCTCGTAGTTCGTACGAGATATAATTGATTGCGTTCTGACCATACTTCCGTACGGTGCCTCCTTGTGTCCATGATTGTCATTCTTCTCGTACATGACGGTTAACATATCCTCCAATCCGTACGGTAAGCTGGTTTGTCGATACCAGCTTTTCTAATGCTGCGTTAGGCTTTGCTTTCGTACAAGCGTCTGCCGGGTTATCGTTCCCATTAATCCATTGGATCTCCGAAATCTCTCTCATCTCGTACGACTCCCGTAAGGCCATGATGTCGATCATAAGCCGTTTCTCTTGTGTCGTGCCGAGTTTGACAAGACAGTCGTACACGGAAAATGAGTCTGTACAGACGACCATAGGGATCCGTGGTAGTTCTAGGCGGTCGGTAATCTTTCTAAGTGTCGTACAAATGGCTATTCTAATATCAAAACCGTTTACCATGCCGTACAACTCACTCGCAAGAACACTCCTCGTAACTCTTTTACATTTGGACGATGTCCAGTGTACGATGTTCCCTCTTAAGGTCATTTCTTGTTTCGTACGATGTATCTCTTGCGCGAGTACTACAATAAACCCAAGCTGGGATGAGAGGTCACGGTTGTTCGCGAAGGAACCATCCGTAAACACATATAACTTCGTACGAGCTAGATCCAAAGGAATAAACCTTAGGCCTCTACGAGGGTTGTCGATCTGCCATTGGATTCGCTGGTTTAGGAAATCGATATCGGTATCCTCCGGTTCCGTTACTTGGGCAGCAGTCGATAGGTCGTACGCTGCCTCTGGTTGACAGACAGACGAGATATATGCTCCTCGTGCGCGTTGAGAGACATATTACTAGGGTGCATCCTCCGCACGATGGTCAACAATCTGTAGGTTCTCGGTCTGCCCTTTCTGGAGGAATAGAATATCCTCCCCATCCATCTCGATACGGCTACCATTAAACTCTAAAGGGTTGTCGTGCGATAGAGCAGTTTTGGGCTTCGTACGGAAACCTGCCTTTTGCATCTCTTCCTCCTCTCGACGAGAGAAACTTTCCGTACCGAAGCTTAGGGTGTCGTCTGTTTGAAGGGCTGTGATTCCAAACTCGTACGAGCTGTCCTTAGAGAGTAATAGACATGAGTCGTACGTTGATGTGTCCATATTCAAATTCTCCGTATGGTGACTATGGTACGTCTTGAACCAATATAGTCCTGATTCTGCCAGGCCGTATAAAGGCTTCTTGATCCACAAGACGGTACCCTCCGGGTATTTGGCTTGTAGCTCTGGTGGCAATACTGCTAGAATGTGTCGTGCGAGCTGGTCGTGGGCTTGTGGATAAGCCTGTGTGATATCTCGTAGTTCTCCAACCATTCCGTACGACTTGATCAAAGTTGGACCAAGTACAAGGATAAGCCGTTGGCTTACCCGTTGGATAGTTGGTGCCTGGGTTAGAATTTGATCCTTAGAATCGTCACCGTACCCTTGTACGACGAGTCTGCTCTTTTCGTACGGTCGTGTTGTCTTGCCCTTGATTTCTCGTACGAGGCGAGTCTTAAAGATCCGTATTCCTTTGTGGAGATACGGGTCGTATTTGATAATTTCAAATACACCTCGTACGGTAAGATCATTTACTTCCACAGCATCTGACTCCTCGAACGGTGCTCCAGGAGTGGTAATAACACCATCTTCTCTTAGCTTGATTGCTAGCGTACGATTATCCTTCTCCTTTTGAGTTAGATGGATAACTGCATGCCTTTGTGGTCGACCTGTCCGTCGTACGGGGAACGGTCCTTATACGATAGGAGCAATCTCCAGATCTGCCACGGCATTCTTACGTGGTCGTCCTCTCTTTCGTACGGGTGGTGATTCTCGTACGATAGGAGCAATCTCCGGATCTGTCACGACACTCTTACGTGGTCGTCCTCTCCTTCGTACAGGTGGTGGTTCTCGTACGATGGGAGCAACCTCCGTATCCTCCTCCTCCTCGACCTCCGGTTCATAGTACGGCTTGACGTGCGTACACCGGAACCTGGTCGGTCCATTCACCATATTAAGGATTACATCCTCCCCGTCGTGCGATTCGATCTCGTACGGGCCTTGCCATCCCTCTTTTTCTCTCCATACGAGGACCTTACTACGGAGAGGGAGTGCTTTTACGGCGTACGGATTAGGACCATTCCTAGTATTGATCGCACGACTAATATTAACTTGAGCGTTAATCTTCCGGAGTTCAGTCATAGCTTTGGAAATAGCCTTCGCACGGGCGATGTTGTCTGTTGATGGTGGAGAGTTATAGTTGATCCGTGGGTACGCTCCAAACACTAAGAGCGTTGGTACGATGCCGTCTGGTCCGGCGGTATCGTTTAGGGCCTTAACTGCCATCTGGAGGATCGTACGGTTGTCGGTACTATGGCCGAGCTCTTTCTTCAGGATGTCGTACGACCTCCGTAAGGGTGGATGGGCGCGTTCAATCTTTCCGATTGCCCAGTGAGCCTCGATGGGTGCCTCCTTACACGTACAGCCCATTATACGTGCGCTGCTCCTAAACTCCTTGGATGCGAAGTTGGTACCCGGGTCGTGCGAGATAATATCTGGCGGCCCGAGGTATACAAAGATCCAGCATCGGCATAACGCATCCCACACGCTTCGTGCGTCTTCCTTTTCTAGGAACTTAGCGGCCTGGTACGACGTCGAAGCGTCGATTACGTAGAGGGCCTTCCCGTCGGATAAGTGTACGATATCTACAAAGATCTCGTAGTTAAAGTTATGGTCGTCCTTTAACGTAAACTTGAATCTTTTGGGTGCTTGGTCGTACGATTGGCAATGGTGGCACACCTTTTGTATTCCCTCTAGTACGGAGTAATTAACATCCTCGATACCGGCTTTCCGAAGTAACCGGTAGAGTCGGTCTGCGTGCGCGTGTCCGAATCGACGGTGTAGGCGCCTTAGCTCTTGTTCTGTTAAGAACATGGATGCCTCCGTACGAGACAGGTTAAAGAACGGGTGTCCCCATTTTCGTACGACCGGAAGTGAGATACCATCGTTCTTCCGTACGATGCGGTTTGTAATGTTATCAAAATATGCTCCAAGGCGGTCTGCATCGTTTAATGATAACAGGAATGGGGTGTCTACCTCTAGGATATAGTACGTAACCTCACCAAGGGGATTGGTTTTGGTTATTGTACCAATTGCGTGTAAGGGTTCTCCTCCTCCAAAGTTGAATGTGTTAGACGAAGGACCCCATTTAACCTTCGTACGAGGGTTGTCACGTAGCCACGCGAGGGCTTGTGATTTGCCGACTGTAGAAAGCTGTGATGCTCCAGTATCCCAGAGCTCACCTTGGTATTCGTGTGAATACTGGTTCTCTAGGACAAATGCTTCGGAGGATGGTTGATCGTACGGTATGTCGTATACACTTGTGCCTGTCGCACGATGGATATACGACGCAGATAGGAGGTATTGGACAACCTT